TGGCCTAGAACAGATGAGGAGCGCAGGCGACAAAGAAATTGTGGATTTGTAGCATTCATGAACAGAGCTGATGCGCAAGCAGCGAAAGATGAAATGCAAGGTTTATCTCTTAACTTCAATTCTTCTCGACAAGGTCCTAAGGTCAACGTTTACTGTAGTTGCTGATATACTCGATGTCGGCTATGGGAAATGTGTGTTGGGACCTTGGGATGAGAGTTAAATATATCTGGAGCCTTCTTTATCTATATCAGAACGGATTGAAGCAAAACATTTATCAAGTCACGTGTTGTATGTTTTGTATGCATATTTTGTCTTCATATCAGCTGGTTCATTACAAAAGTATTTAGAGGGTTAAGATGATGGATTTTGGTTCTGGAATTCATTTCGCAAATGCTTCTAACATCATGGGGCTAGTTCTTTCATGTATGTGCATACAAAGGTCTTATCTGAACTGTTGAGCATTTATCTATAGAATAACTGGCCCTGAGAAATGATCACTGTTTAGGATAGATTCTCGATCGAAAGAGACTAGTTTATCTGTTTTGTACTAAACCCTATCAGTTGTTGCTCTAGATCCATTATAGGTCTTACATATGTGGATATAAACACACCTATTACTGCAATCCATTCATTGTACAAGAGTTAGAATGAAGTAGTATGCACTTCAGATTATGGTGAATATCTTCATCCTGAGTCCAAGATCAAATTATCTGTGATGTGTTATTCAAGTACCAACAGTTTTCTAGTGAATCTTTATTTGCAAATTTATTGTTATGAAGATCAAATCTTGATGCATTCTATAATATATCAATCTTCTCATGGAATTGTTTCTACGTGCAGGAGTAGTCGTTTACGAGTATGAGGTTAAAATTGGATGGGGTAAATCTGTGGCTCTTCCTTCTCAGGCTCTGCCTGCTCCTCCTCCAGGTCACATGGCCATCAGGAGCAAGGAGGTCTGTTCGTACTTCTTATGAGATATGCTACTTCCTATTCTTCATAATTAAACTAGGCATTCTTGAGATGTGTGAGAATCATGTGGACATTTTACTGCATGTTATGTCTGGCAATGTATATATGATTACTGTTTCGAAACATTTATTTCCTCTTGTAAATGGTGGTCTATTGATGTTCCATTTCTTCAAATAGACATTTTCTTCATTTTGGCAGGGGTGGGTGTATTCATTGATTGCTGTACTTTCCTTTTCTTTCCTTTCCTGAAGATGATTTGATCTTTGATGCGAAATTTTCTGTCTTGCAGGGTGCCACTGTTATTCTCTCTGGTCCATCTGGTCCGTCTGGTGCACCTGTTTCCTCCGTTCCAAATCAGAACTCTGAACTGGTAAGTTCGGTGAAGTTTGCTTGGTGCTACTTTGTCGTTTATGCTTTTGATCTCTTGATCAAACCATAGAAAGGTACAAATCTTGGGGCATTTGATCTTCCTATCTTGTTGTGTGGTTCTTGTTTGGATACTTAGTGCTTTTACATCAGAAGCCACTTCATTTTGGTGATGCTGGGTTGGTTTTGTTATTTTGTATGTGACATTGTTGGTTTGGTTGAAACGTTGAATCTCTTTCATTTGATAAGCCACTTAAACTTTTTGAAGATTTTATATTTTTATTTGATAATCTTATTCTTGTATGCAGGTCCTTACTCCAAATGTTCCTGATATAACAGTTGTTCCACCTCATGATGGTCACCTGCATCATGTGATTGATACAATGGCTCTAAATGTGCTAGATGGAGGATGTGCTTTTGAACAAGCTATCATGGAAAGGGGTCGTGGGAATTCTCTATTCAATTTCCTCTTCGAGCTTGGCTCAAAGGAGCACACATACTATGTCTGGCGGCTTTATTCATTTGCCCAGGTACTTGGTCATACAAACTCCTGGAGATAGATGTCACATTACAATGAGATTGACTATTGAAAGCTGGTTTCGCTGTGTTAATTATATACTCTTATTATTACTGCCATAGAATATACATTGTGCAAAGAGTTATTTTCCAATCTGTTTGGGTATTTATTTTACTGGCCTCCACAGGGCGACACACTTCAACGGTGGAGAACAGAGCCCTTTATCATGATAACTGGCAGTGGAAGGTAATTTTTTTGCGCATTCAGTGATTCAGTTACTTCTCAAGATTTGCTTAGGTGCTTCATTTATACCTGTAGTTAATTTTTTTAATATCCCACTTTCTAGATGGATACCACCACCGCTGCCAACTATTAAAAGTCCAGAGCCTGAAAAGGATGCTGGCACTACCTATGCTGCAGGGAAAAGCAGGGTATGTATACTTGCATTCTTTCTGGAGCAAGTTCGACTGTCTGTCAGTGACTAGCTATTATTTTTTAACTGTTTATCCATTTGCACAGCGGCTTGATCCAGAACGAACTCTTACTGACCCACAGAGGGATGAATTTGAGGATAGGCTACGTGCTTTGACACTAGAAAGAAGTCAGATAAAGGATGCCATGGGTTTTGCCTTGGACAATGCTGATGCTGCTGGAGAGGTCCTCATTTAATCATTCAGTTTAAAATGCATTGCAAATATGTTTTAGTGAGTAGGATTCATGTGTTGGAATTGCCTACTCCGCAGTTATCGTTATACTAGCTAATACTGCAAGGAACTACCTCTGAAGGATTTGCAGTTTGCTGATCTGAATACTGTTGGGAAGCCTATGTATCTTAATTGATAAATCCTTTCTGCAGATAGTGGAGGTCCTGACAGAATCATTGACCCTCAAGGAAACTCCTATTCCTACTAAAGTTGCAAGACTCATGCTTGTATCTGACGTCCTTCACAATAGTAGTGCTCCTGTAAAGAATGCTTCTGCATACCGAACCAAGTTTGAAGCTAGTCTCCCTGATATAATGGAGAGCTTTAATGACTTGTACTGCAGCATAACTGGAAGGATCACCGCTGAAGCCCTCAAGGTATGGTCTAAGACTTGCTCAACATCTTGTGGTTCACCCCTTGAATAGAACATGTTTTTCATCATGGATTGTTTCTTTTGTTCCGCAGGAGCGAGTCCTTAAAGTCTTACAAGTATGGTCTGATTGGTTCCTGTTCTCTGATGCATATGTCAATGGACTTCGAGCAACATTCCTTCGCTCCAGGAACTCGGGTGTGGTCTCCTTCCATTCATTATGTGGTGATGCTCCAGAAATAGAGAAGAAGAGTGGTGGCTCAGATGAAGCTGGTGGTAATGGGTCCAAGGACACCAACCAAGATGCTGCACTGGCAATTGGGAAAGGAGCAGCAACAAGGGAGTTGATGAGTCTTCCACTTGCTGAGCTGGAAAGGCGTTGCAGACATAATGGCTTATCACTTGTTGGTGGTAGAGAGATTATGGTTGCACGATTACTGACCTTGGAAGAGGCAGAAAGGCAGAGGGGTTATGAGTTGGACGATGATTTGAAGTTATCTAAAAAAAGTCAGTTTTCAACCTCTGGGACTGGTAGTAGGGTTACAACAAGTGGCAGTTACAAAGAAACTGGTTTCATTGATCCTCCTCAACCCACTGGGGGATTCTCTGGAAGTGACTCTACACCTTTGGGTTCAACACTTGTAATTCACCAATCTGCTTCCCTAAAACCCTTCACAAAGATAGATAAGACAGATCCTATTTTACCTGCATCTAAATGGGCTCGTGATGATGATGATGCAAGTGATGATGAACAGAAGAGAAATTCTGCTAAGGGGATTGGGTTAAGTTACTCATCTTCTGGAAGTGAAAATGCGGGTGATGATCCAGGCAAGGGTGATGATGTGGAGTTTGCGATGGATGGAATCGTTTCAGGACAACCTGACAGTGGTATAAATGAAGAACAGAGGTTAGTTATTTGACATGGTTCTTCTGACTTCCTCTACATTGGTTCGGTTATAATGCTATATAGATTTGTGACCTCAAGTTATTCAATCATACCGTGTGTTTAACGGAGAGTATTTCCTTTTCCGATGTCTCAGACAGAAGTTGAGGCGTTTGGAGGTTGCTTTGATAGAATATCGTGAATCCCTCGAGGAAGGAGAAACAAAGAGTTCAGAGGAAATTGAGAGAAAGGTAGCAATCCAACGGAAGAGGCTGGAAGCTGAATATGGCCTGTTGAGTAGGAATGATGCAACTGAGAACAGTAAGTTTGATTGTTCATAAGCAGAGTTCACATTGGTTTCAGTTTCTCACTAGTAATATTCAGACTTATGTCGTTAAGTAGTTGCAAAATTAGATTCCTTGTGCAATATTTGTATCTGTATAACGAGAAGTAAATCCAAAATGTGGAATTTTGTAGCAGAGAAAGGACCTTTGGAAAGGAGGGAGAGACGGGAGGGCAGTACCAGCAACAACGAATTGTCATCAAGAAAACGACAGAGGAGCCAAAGTGAAAGTATGAGCCCTCGTCGGAGACCGCCTTCAGGAAGGGAGAGAGAGAATGAGTTGGAGCGAGAGCGTGAAAGGCACCACAGGACGGACAGAGATAGGGATAATAGAGGTGGTCACGAGGCAGAGAACGAAAGGAGGAGTCGGCGCGAGAATAGTGGGAGCAAAGAACGCGATGATCATGACAGAGATAATAGAAACAGCAGCAGAGACAGGGACAGAGAGAGGAGACGATTAAAATAGTAGTGATCTTTCTATTTATCATTTATGCTCAGTCTAAAGTTGCAGAATGGGGAAAAGTGATTGTCGTTCGTTTCATAAATGGTATTGGAAAATGGCTGCTTGTTAATGCCACCATGAAAATGCAAATCAGAGATGTGATTTTGTTCTTTCATGAAGTTCAAATTAATTGAGTGACACAGATGGTATTGCTATCATTCTATCTTAGACAGTGAAGTTGGCCTCTGCTTATTGATTGAATATGGTCTTCTCTAGATTAAATAACCAAATCGAGCCTTCATAATCTCACAAGTGAACAAATTCCAGTGAAGGCAGTGTAGCAGCCAGAATTAAACAGGGGCAAAATATAACTTAAACCAATGAACAGCTTCAGCACTGCTGTTTACCAACGTTGTTCCTTTTATACAGAGAGGTAAAAGAACCCTTCCCAAATCCCAAATATCGAATAAGATGGGGTTAACATATTTTATCCTCGGTATGCACAATTCCTCTGGCCTTTCTGCCAGATCGTCAAGGGTTGTGTGATGACAAACTAATGAATCAGTCTAGGAGATCAAAGCATGATATTTCTTGAAGACCAAGGAAGTAACCCTTGTCATGTCCTTTTGAATGCTCCTAAGGGGAGGAGCTTGTCATGTCGGGAGGGTTTGCAGTCTAATGTGCTTGTACTTTTGTTGTTGGTTGAACAATCTTGCGGTCTCAGTTAAGCCTTTTGATAAGACCGACTTCAATGCAGCGACACCTTCCGGCAAAGCTGCATCAATCTATGAACAACAACAGAAGCAACACAAGTTGTTAAGGAAACTGAAAATTAATCTTTTTATGCTGTTATTCTTCAAGAAAATTCAGGGCCCTATCAAGCCACAACTAATTGCTGTTCATGTCCAATAATCGTTCTACACGGCTAGTCTAATGACGAAACGAAAGAAATGAAAACATTTTGCTTCTGAACTTGCAGACTTACTCGCCCTTGAGCTGTGGCATTGAACCTCTGTAGCAAGAAAGCCTTCGGGTCCATTTGACCAGGGGGTCTCCCAATTCCTGGGATATAAATTCATACATCATGATTTTTTTTTTTTTTTTTTTTTTTTGAGAATTCACACACCATGAATTGAGAGAGCATCAAAGCTGCAACGTATGAAGTGACGCACTAACCTATTCTGAGCCGAGCAAATTCTCTGTTGCCTCGGAAATGATAAATCACACTCTTCAAACTACACTAAAAGAGAATGGATAAGAACCAAGCATAAAACAATGAGACAGAGAAGGGATGAAAGCATAAACGGCCAATGAGAAATATCTTCTAGAAATCTAGTAGACCATGCCTCTCCCATGATTAAGCCAACAGAGTAGACTACAGTTGTCCATACTCCATACCCGTTGTGGCTAAAATGACCTCCCTTTGGTTGAAGTCGAAGCACTCCACAAGGTAAGTCCATGTCGTCATATAACTGCATCTATATCCACATCAAGTTCCTCATACAACATGGAGTAAAAAATTTGACAAAAAAGTAGACATCAACAATACCACTACAACTCTGTTAAGAGGTAGTTTGTAATAAGCTGCAAGAGGTCCAACCTGCAATTGATAAGACATAGATTAATATCTTCATTGATATGAAAAAGATTAAGAGGGCACCAGAGGATAAATCAGTTGGTTTCAGAGGCGACGACAGAGAAAAAAGAAGAAAAAAAAGTTCATTTCATAGAGACTGCAGTTTCAGCCACTTACAGATTCACCACTCAGGTTCATATAAGTTTGAGGCTTTGCAAGTAAAACAGGTGTTTCCCCAACATAACCTGCTAACAACAATGCAACCCAAGACTTAAGTTCAACAAGGCAAAAAAGATTCTTCCCAATGTTTCTGGCTAAAAAAGGGAGGTGTTCATCAAACCTTCTCCAAACAAAGCTTTGCAGTGCACTCTGTTCATTGGAAGTTCTTGTGACTCTGCGAATGCATCAATCATTTGAAATCCTACCTGCTCCAGTGAGAAACAAAAATGACTACTTAATTTTCAAAACCAAACATAAGTGGAAGAATCCAGACACCAAGCCCAAGGTGCATACACTTAGATACACACATTGTGACGAGTTTCTTTGAATTTCTCGCCAGGATTGCCTAGGCCCACAAAGAGCCATGGATGTGCTGTTGCAGCAGTACAGAAGCAACACTTGGGAATTCTACTAAGCATCTTCTATCTCTCATGTACTCCAACTCCAGCCAGAAGCCTTTAATGTCCGGATTGGACCAGCTCGCATATTGAGTCACTAAGAAAACCAAGTTAAATAGATCAATAGTTGCATTCTCGTAAAAAACGGAAGGATAAAAAAACTCGCAACCCCGTCTCCATATCAACAGATAAATGCCACCCCAAATACTGAAGATCACAAACTAGGCGAACAGAAATGTCCTAGCATAGCTTGAAACAAGACAAAAAATTGTCAAGAGTGCTACAATTCCTTTGATTGTTCAGACTTCAGATGGCTAAGAATCTCACACTGGTCCTAAAAAAATCAAAGCAGCAAATAACTCCCACACTTCCTTTCCTTTCTCAGATGAACCGTTACTATGGAACCTGCAAGCAGGACCTGCCAATTATGCTATCGACCATCAACTACCATGTTTATTGATTGAGGATGTAAACAAAATAGAAAGCAAACGGTACAAATCCTGACATTCTCTTAACCAAGCATTGAAATTTGAAACAAGACCCATACTTAAAATCCCAAACCAGAAAGCACAATCCACCAAGCTATGAAGTCTTCCGTGTCTGTGAAGATAAGAGATTTATAAACTTAATGAAACGCAAAACAATTGGAATCAGAAAAGGACCGTTGAAGCGAGAAGCAATCACCTCTGCTCTTGAACCTCCTTCTGGAGGAGCTACGGCCAACAAACAAATGGTGGCAATGATGAAACCGGCGATGGTCGCAGCGAATGAACAATCAGAATTTCGATCCCAGGCTCTCTCTCTCTCTCTTTCCCGCTCTCTAGAAAGAGCCGCAACAGCGCGGGTGGCGACGGAGCGAGATAGCAACGGTGACGGTGGAGCAGCTGCGGCGGTGAGCAGGGGACAACTGACAAATGGAAATTGCCGACGGCGGAGTGAAACACGCTCGCTAACTTTCTAGTCTCTCCCGCTTTCTTTTGGGCTTTTGCCCCGCCCTTTTTTTATCATCTTTTTTGGGCTATTTAGTTTAAAACGGCCCACACAATATGTGGGCTAAATACCCACTTCCGTGCTTCCTAGCAAATTCTCTCTCGCCATTTTGTACGATCGGAGAGAAAGCTCTCATTAGGGTTTTGTGAAACTCATCGGCGGGGAAGAGAAAGCAAGCAAACGAACGATGATCGGCGGCAGCTCCCACTGCCCTACATGTAAACGCAGAAAGAAAGCTCGGAAGATCAAAGATAGGCTCAGCGAACTCCCCGACCATCTCCTCCGTCGCATTCTCTCCTTCGTGGACTCGAAATTCGCCGTCCAAACTTGCCTTCTCTCCCGGCGGTGGAGATCCGTCTGGAAAGGCGTCCCTGCCCTCAATTTGGACTCCAAATCCTTCAACAACGCTGGCCATAGCTTCAACAAGTTCGTCTCCGAAATCCTCTCCCGCCGCTACGACTCCGCCCCAGTCGACGAAATCAGCTTGGAAATTAGTGACACCTTTGATCTTTCTTTAGGTGAGTCTGTCTTGATGTACCAGAAGCTCTTCGATTACGCGGCCTTGCATGAGATTCGATCCTTGCGCGCCGCCGATTATGAGGGTGAAGAGCTCTGGTACTATTTTAACGAAGTGGGATTCGGTTCCTCTGCTTTCAGAATGCTCGCGACTCTGCACCTGGAGGGCTGCCAGGTGTACTGCGCCGGCAGCATCGACCGGCTCGACCCGTTCTCCGATTTCCCCAATCTACGTGATCTATCCCTGACGCGTTGCAGCTGGAGGAGTGACGGTGAAGATGATGGCGAGGAGGAACATCCCCTCTGCTTGAGAATCTCCGGGATCAAATTGCTGAATCTCAGGATAGAAGGGCTGTGGTACATGCGCAAGATCGAAATATTCGCGCAGAATCTCGAGTCATTGTACTACGGAGAAGATAGAGGAGTGGACATTGGTGAGTTGCATCTTCCTTCCCTTGATCGCGCTTATGTACATATCCGGGATTGCTTTGGTGCTGCTCGGCGGCTAATGAACATGTTCCGAGGTTTGCACAGGACTAGAAGCCTTGAACTGCATTGGCATACTGTCAAGGTAATGATCTGAATCTGATCAAGTCAGTCACGCATCAATCATTCCAGTTCATTTTCCTTACCGATGATTGTTGAACTGGTTGGCGCCATAAAAAGCTTACCTCATTGTTGTTGTTCAGGAGCTTCAAAAGGATCACGATCTGTTCGACGGCCAAGTTTCTCCTTTTACTCGCTTGAAGACGTTGATCTTCAACGTGAGAGGATCGTTTCGCATCCCTGATTCGGTGTCGCGTTACTTCTTCGGTAACCCATCTAACAAGGAAAAGAAGTCTACTGAGTTTAAGGTGGACAAAAAATAGAGTGAGTTCAAGGTTGCATGCTGTCTGCATTTTGGTTGTTGTTCTAGGTCACTCGTTGTAAGCGAAAGTCTGAGAAAAAGGCAGAGTTTTTATTTAAGAGACGACGCGGCCGGTAACTGGGTACTTAGCCTCGAACTTCTTCTCCCAATCGGCGAGCACCCCGATCTCCTTGTCGGAGAGGCCGTCGAGTGAAGGGATGACGTCTTCGTCGTTCTTGCTCATCTTCGCCAGAGCTCTGCTTGCGTCTTTCCCGGCGAACATGGGGTAGGAGCCCCCCGGACCGTAGAAGGACTTGCCGGAGGTGACGTCAAACACCCGACCCTTGATCGCCACGTAGATGGGCTTCGACGGGTCGGTGCCGTCGAACTGACTCAGCTGCGCCGCCGTGAACTCCATCGGAATGATTGGTTTTTTGGTATTGGTTTGCTGAACAGAGTCACTGAATCGGAAAAGTGGCTTTGCTTCGCCTTCGGCTCATTTATCCCAAAATGCTGACTCGGATTCGATTGTCAGTTAAAATACGATATTACCCTTGCAATTTCTAAAATTTCCTTTTCCCTTCACCAATTGAGTACTCTGTAGATTGTAGATTGTACTCTCTGTTCTTTCGCCCTCGCTTCCCGATCACGCGTCCAATCCTTCTCCCCTCCCACCGCCGTTACAAGTACAATCCCTCGACGGCGACGCTGGTCGACTTCCTGCTGCACCACTCACACCTCTTGCTAATAAGAGTACCTCAACCTTACCGGCGCTGTCAGCCTCTGACTTCAAGCATCCTTTTACTCGTCCCCAGCGACAGTCACCAACTGTATGAGGAAATGCCCCAAAGAAGCAGAAAGTTTTGTTTGGAACAACATTCCTCACTTTGGCGGCTGATTGCGGCAGCTAGGTAGGATGGAGTGAATCCTTCATTTGGGCCGGTAGACGGTACATATTGAACAGCTGTTCCCCTTTTCGTAAAAGCGACTGTTCTTGGAATCACTTCATCCCGTAGCCTGGTCTTCTGCGTAGTTGTATAACATACACCAAGTACTTTGGTGGCTGTTGAAAGGAAGGGTTTTTCTGTACTGGGTAGTCTTAAATCGGCTGTCTCTCGACAGGTAAGATTTAGTTTTGGCATTTTGTTTCATCTGGATTTGCTTCTCCGTGCTTTAATGTAAATGCATTGCATGCTTCTATTTCCTCTTTCTGTTGTTGATATTTGCAGCACAGATTTTTCTTTGTGATGTGAATTGTGATGCTTAACGATGGTGATAATTAAGGTTCCATGCTCTCACTTTGTTTGAACATTTCTTGTCTGCAACAACAATATGGATGATGTTAAACCGTAGGAGGAGGAGGATATGGTAGGGAATTCTAAGAGGCGCAAGAAGAAACTCGAAGTTAGGGGCCATGATGTGGAAGAACAAATTGACAGGTTTAGCGATCTTCCGGATAACATTATCGAACGCATTCTCTCGTTCCTCGACACGAAATCCGTAGTTCAGACCAGCATTCTATCGAGGAGGTGGAGATGTCTATGGAAAGCAGTTCCTAGCCTCAATTTCTACAGGAAGTGTTTCCGCAAAAAATCTAGCTTCATTGAACACGTGAACAAGTTTCTCTCTCTCAGATTTGATTCTGTGACTGTTGGGAGCATCACCTTCGACTTTGGAAGAGATTTGTGGCGAAGAGATGGTATAGAGCTATTTCATAGTGTCATGCAACACGCTGCTGCCGGCAATGGTGGCCATCTTCGGCATTTGTCCATCGCTTCAGCAAAATCCAGCGACTTAGCTGCCTCCATTGTTGTTTTTGATCATCATGAGTCGCTCCAAATACTGAAGCTAAAAGGATCGGATCTTCACAATTCTGCACTTGCTTCTTTGGGTTTTAAATTGCTGACAACTCTGGAACTGCATCGATGTCATCTGCCGGAGCCTTTAGCTAATCTCCCAGCTTGTTTGAACTACTTAAAGCTTCTTGACTGCACATCACCACATCGCATGAAAGTATCAGCACCCCAGTTGCTGGATCTGGAGATTAGAAGTCTAAATTGTGGCGGAGTTGAAGTTTCTGCTTCGAAGCACAAATCTTTCCGCCTAGGGTATGACTTAATAGGCTTAAAAGTGACGCCCTACACGTTGAATTTCCCTTCTCTGGATCATGCAAATATCCGCATCTGGTCCGAGCCAGTTGTTTGGAGCAATGATGACGACCCAATATTGGAAGATTACTGTCGAGCATATATGAACTTGTTGCGGGGTTTGCATAATGTAGAGTTTCTCGGTCTTTGTTTTGACAAGGTACGTATCTACTAACTGCTGTTTGCAAGACATAATTCTACTGATGGAAAGATGCAAATGTCTCATGTAAGATATGATTGGCTTTCCTTGATGTTTCCCATTTAATTGTGTTTCCTTGTCAGTCGGATCGTGGAAACCCTTGGCAAGAACGCCTCTTCTCCTTCAGCAGAATGAAGCCATTAATCGATTCGTCAGAAGCCTCTCCTTTTACTAGATTGAAGACACTGACGGTGCTGTATCCGGAAGATCCGCCTAGCCTACCGTATGAAGTGATCCGTTACTTCTTCGAGAGCTCGTCTAGTACCGGAGAAAAGTCTGTTAAATTCGAGGAAGATCAAATAAGTAATGGATCATAGTATTATGTATTGTGAAGTGGCATTGAACTGTTAAAGAGTGTAGCAAGTAGTAACAGAATGTCAAGATGGAAGGAATGATGTATTGAGGCAATGGCGCCACTAATTTTGTCAAACACTACTACACTAGTGTGTCAACTGGGTCCAACTTCAGCTGTCTTTTTGGATGAATGATTTCAGCTTGTTCTATCAATAGGATGTGTTCTTTCTTCACAGAAACTAGCAGCTGGCAGGGTGGTGGCTCAGACTCCATTTCGATGCCATCCATCCGGAACTGCAATTGATCTAATTCAAGCTCAGTTCATCGTTGCCCAACAGCAGCAAGTTCTTTCTGATTCGCGGCAGCGTAGCTGGAGGAGTAGGGGGGCGGCTTGTGGTTTGCCAGTCGGAGCTACCTTCTCAGGTTCCTCTGCGGGTCTCTAAATGGCGGCAGCAGTAGACTGTTAATATGGTAACTGACTAACGGCGATTGAGGTCACCCGGGTAACAGTTGCTGTAACCGGTCTTCGATTCGAACATGTAAACCGGGTCGGTTCTCGCCGGCGCTCAGTTGCTTCAGAGCGCCACAGACGTCTCGCGAGACTCGCCACTTGGCATCCTTCTCTCGCAACGTATCGAACCTTTCTCTGTGTAAACGAAATGAACACTTGCACTTTCCTTCTTCCAACCTTGCTTCTCTGTTGTTCATCAGCTTCGGGAAATACCAATGACTATGCTAAATTGGTAAAACTACAAGAATCCTTTTTGTTTCAACTTCTTGTGAACGTTCTATGCTTTGCATGCAGATCATTTCATTTTGGTTGCCTCTGCAGAAAGATCAATCACTCAGCTGGTTTTCCTCTTCGGAGTTCGGAGTCTCTGTCTTTCCCCTGTTTGTTTCTCGAGAAAAGAAAAGAAGATCTCTTCTCCGAAACTGGTGCATGTTTGGACCTTTTACTCCTTTCTTGCTGAGATTCTTCTGAAAGTATGAACAGAATTCAGTTACCAAGTCAAGAAACAGCCAACATAACGCCCAGAAAACGACGCCGACGTCGCAGCAACGATCCTTCAAGTACACCGCTTCCCATTAGTACCCCGCCGACAAGGCGGCGTCGATCATGGATTGACAGACGCTCCCGCCTTTTTCCACTCCTACCTCTAATCCTAAATCAAACAGAAGCATGCAGCCCACCACCAACCAGCCCTCCACATTCTCCCTGCATATTGCCCGATGCCGATGAAACACCTGAAATCAGTCCTCCGAATCCTGCTGCTTCTGCTTCTGCTGCTGTTGTTCCCCTTGCTCAACAAGAACAGGTCAACGAGATCATCAACTATGGCCTCCCAACAGCAACCTGCGCCTTCTGTGGTGCACAGTTCTGGCACGAAGAACGCCTCAATCGCCACAGAAGCAACACAGCCAACCCAATCTTTACGCTCTGTTGTCAAAAGGGTCGTGTCAAGCTTCCACTACTGCGTCAGGCGCCAGCTTTCCTACACCAGCTCATGGACGTCAATGGCGGGCCAATGTCAAGCCACTTCAGGGAGCACATTCGGGCATACAATGCAGCATTTTCATTCACATCGTTTGGTGCTCGCCTGGATCACCGTGCAACAACGACGAGTACACGAGGGCGTGGTGGCCCTTACTCATTTTTCATTTGCGGCGAGAATTACCATCGCATTGGATCGCTTCTGCCCCCTGAAGGACAGACTCCGAAGTTTGCGCAGCTGTATGTTTCTGATCCTGAGACGGAGCTTTCGAATCGGTTGGCTAACTTCTCATCAGGAGGGCAACATCGATTGCTTCCCGAGATCGTTGCAGGCCTCATGGAAATGCTGGACAATACTAATGATTTGGTGAAGTCTTTTCGTCGGGTCCAGGCTGAATTACAGGACCCTGCTGCAACTCATAATGTCAGACTGCGTATTGTTGGTCCACGAAGTACTGCACTGCCTACTGGAATGGAAGTTGCAGAATTAGTAACTGGTGACTTCACAGCAGTTCGTGGCAATCGTGATATTATTGTTGATCACCAGGCCGAGGGGTTGAGGCGCATTACCAACCTAAATCCCAAGTTCGAGGCACTTCATTTTCCTTTGTTGTTTCCATATGGTGAGGATGGTTTCCATCCAATGATCAAATATTATGGTCTTAATACCCAGCCACCCATCAAACGTCAACATATCACACAAAGGGAGTACTATGCCTATCGATTGCAACACCGCCTTGATGAAGGACAAACACTTATGAGGGCTGGAAAGGCATTGCAGCATTACATTGTTGATGCATTCTCAACTATTGAGAAGAATCGTTTAGCATATCTCCGTTCGCATCAAAAGGAATTACGGTATGAATTGTACCAGGGGTTGGTTGATGCATTTAGTAGAGGTGACATAACAGGGGATGGCCTGGGAACTGTCATTTTGCCAGCTACATATACAGGAAGTCCTAGGTACATGAATGAGTTGTATTTGGACGCCATGGCTGCTTGTCAGTTCTTTGGCAACCCCGACCTCTTCATCACATTCACATGCAACCCTCAGTGGCCTGAAATTACTGAGGCATTCAAGGAATCTTGTGGTTCTAGAAGTGAACTCAAACCGGAAATCGTTGCTCGAGTTTTCCACATGAAACTGCAGGACTTGATAGATGATATAAAAAAGAACAACTATTTTGGACGTGCTCTTGCAGGTAATTCTCAGCATCTTGAACTTTAACATCTTGCTTTAGCTTCCTGCCTACCTTATACACTTCATGATTAAGCCCTGAGACTCTTAATGTTTTTTATTCAGTTGTCTACACTGTCGAGTTTCAAAAGAGCGGCCTCCCACATGTGCACATCTTGGTTTGGCTTGAAGCTTCTAGCAAGTTGAGCACTGTGGAATCTGTTGATGCTACAATTTCAGCTGAATTACCAGACCCACAGCTTGATCCAGTTGGCTATGAGGCAGTTTCGAAGTTCATGCTACATGGACCATGCGGTGATTCTAACCCTTCTTCACCATGTATGAAAGACGGTTTGTGCAGCAAGTCTTTCCCAAAGGCATTCAACTCTGAAACAATTATTGATAAGTTTGGCTGTACTGTTTACCGAAGGCGTGATACTGGGGTTTCTGCAACAAAGGGTTTAACTGTTATTGACAACAGCTATGTCGTGCCTCACAATCGCAATTTGGTTGTTCGTTATCAAGCTCACATCAATGTACAGGTTTGCTATCAAGGGAAGTTAGTGAAGTATCTATTCAAGCATATCACTAAGGGTCCTGGTCGATCAATGGCTGTGGTCGAGAATTCTGCTACAACAGCATCAACATCAACAGGCCCTCAGCCAAACCCTCCCCGTAATGAGATTCAACAGTATATTGATGGTCGAATGCTCTCATCTTATGAGGCTGCTTGGAGGATTTTTCAGTTTTCCATTCATGAACGAACGACCCCAGTTCAGCGACTATGCGTTCACCTCGAAGGTCGTCACCGTGTACCTTATATGAAGAGACAAAGCCTTCTTAACATAATGGCAAGGGACAATGTTGACAAAACAATGCTAACACAATGGTTTCATCTTAACAGGACGGATCCAGTTGCCAGGTCACTTTTGTACTCAGAGATACCAAATAAGTTCAAATGGAATGAGCAAGATTTGGTTTGGTCTCCTAGGAAGAAAGGATTTGCTATTGGTCGGCTTGCATACATCGGTCCAGGAAGAGATGACACCTTTTATCTCCGGCGGCTTCTCACAAAGGTCCGAGGTGCATTAAGCTTCATCCACTTGAGAACTGTGAATGGTGTTGTATGTCAGACTTACAAGGCTGCTTGCCGGAGAATGAACCTTTTGTCTGATGATAAGGAGTGTTCTCTGGTTATAACTGAGGTTAGCCAGTGGGGTATGTCTTCGCTGCTACGATCGTTGTTTGTGTCCATGTTGATGTTTTGTGAGCTTTCCGATTCTGCGTTGCTTTTTGATCAGTCATGGGAACTAATGGCTAAAGATATCACATATAGATGCCAACAACAGTTGATATTCAGCAACTCGAGCATTTCTGAGGACCTTCCACGGAACACCTTGCTTGCTGAACTTGAACGTCTGTTAAATGGATACTCAACTTCGCTTTCAAATTTCCATTTGCCGCTACCAACATCAGCCTTACGCGATCCTGCTACTAATATATTGCTTGAGGACCATCTTAATTACAAAACAACTGATGAAGAAGCACAAGCAGATGAACTGATGGCCTCTTTGAATTTCCAGCAAGTCGAAGCATTCAGTTGTATCATGAACTCAGCAACAAATGATCATGGCAGATTCTTCTTTTTACATGGCCATGGTGGCACAGGGAAGACCCATCTTTACAAGGCAATTGTATCCAAATTACGCAGCATGCATCATATTGTATTGGTTGTTGCTTCTTCCGGCATTGCTGCAACTCTTCTTCCCGATGCACTCACAGCGCATTCTTGCTTCAAGATACCTCTGGAGATAGACCACAATTCAACATGCACCATACATAAAGGTACTCATCTTGCGCAGCTTCTGATTCAAGCTAGCTTAATCATATGGGATGAGGCCCCAATGGTACACCGCCTATCATTTGAGGCTGTCGACAGAACATTATGTGATATTATGGATGTACCGTTACATGGAGATGGTTATAAACCGTTTGGTGGGAAAACTATGTTGCTTGGTGGAGATTTTCGACAAACTTTACCTGTTGTTCCTAATGCTGGTCGTGAGGAAGCCGTTGACTCTTTACTTACACGATCAAACCTCTGGAAATTCTGCACTGTTCTGCACTTATCCAGGAACATGCGAATTGACTCCTCAGAGTTGAATAGCATACCACAGTTTGATGGAAAATGCTTTGCTGAATGGGTCTTGGCTGTTGGTAATGGTGAGATTGCAGCAACGTCATTCAATCCGAACACTCCTGCTGATTGGATTCCCATTCCTTGTGACTTCTTGATCCGAGTAAATGGAGGACATTGTCCGATTGCAGAGATGGCGGCAGATATTTATTTTGATTTCTCCACCAGCTTCCACAGCCCATCATATCTGATGAATCGAGCCATTGTCACCCCTACAAATCAAAATGTGACGCTCATAAATGGTCACATGTTGACTATGGTTCCAGGCGACCCACATACATACTTTAGTTCAGACAGGATTGATTCAGATTCCACCCAACCTGATATACTCGCGTCACAATACCCAGTTGAATTCCTCAACACTCTTTCATCCAGTGGTGTTCCTGACCATGAGATCAAACTGAAAGTCTTCACTCCGATCATGCTGCTACGGAACCTAAATCCTGCCATTGGATTATGCAACGGTACGAGAATTATGATCACTCACTTGGGGGCTCATGTTCTTAAAGGTGTTATCATGGGAGGTTCGTTTGCAGGATCTACCGTTGCCATTCCAAGAATCATTGTTAATGTCAACGATAGGAGATGGCCATTCATACTAAAGCGATGTCAGTTTCCAGTACGACTTTGCTATGCCATGACGATTAATAAGAGCCAGGGCCAGACATTGGAGCGTGTTGGGGTCTTTTTACCCAAACCAGTTTTCAGTCACGGGCAGCTCTATGTTGCTGTTTCAAGAGTTAAGTCAGCTTCTGGGTTGCGCTTTCTTATCGTCAATGAGCCATCCGTTCCATTTAACTACACGCGCAACATTGTTTACCATGAAACATTTGAAGATCTCCATCCACCTGGTCATCCTGCAAGTACTACTCCTTGAGGTATGAACCCCATCTGGTCTGCATATTGATAATCTGCAAAATATTTATAGTTGCTGCTCAGAATTCGGAAAGTCATGCCTCTTCTTGGTACAGGTGAATTGTTGTCCGCGCTAAACAGATCCAGAAGGTAAATTTCGACAGCTGCAAAACGTCAATCAACGATGCACTCAATGGCCAATCAGTTTCCTTGTTATTACTTTGATTGATTATAATCACTTCAAGTGCCTCAGTAGTTCTGCACCAGTGTAGCCAATTTAAACAAACATCACGGTTCACCTCGAATTGTCTATATGTCTGTATGATTCAGAAAAATGTTCATGTTTGACTACTGAGAGAATGTATTCAGGTACCATCATCATCCCTTACTTGGTCAATGTACCTCCTAGCCTGACAGTTGACAAAGAGTTTGGTGAGTTCCTTTTCTGGCTGATGCTTGGCAAACTGGCTGATGTAGGATTATGTGATGATCACACCAAGTATCTACCAGTATGTGCCCTATGCAATGCCGCAGAATCCATTTCGATGCAATCCATTGGGAACTGGAATCGAGCTCTCCATATCAGTGGTGGTCTATTCTATGGGGAAGAAGTAGCTACACAAATTAAATCCAGCTGCTACTGCTTCTGTTTGTGAAGTTTTGATGCTGCCATCAATCGTTGGACACCCTGCTGAATCATCATTGGACACCCTGCTGAATCATCACAGTTCACAAAGGAAGTTCGCAAATCAAATGGTGATTTTGGTAGATAAACCTTTCTTTGAGGAAGAGATAGCGAATTGATAGCTTTGGTAGAAAAGGACTATGCAATGAATGATCATGCATAGTGAGAAACACAGACTGCACTTACCAATTCCCAGCCAAACTATCAAGCTCAGTTCTCCAAAGCCAGAATGTTCACTGACCTCTGGAAATCTCTGGACCAAATGCAAATCGGTTTGAAACTCAGCATCCTAGTTCTTTACTCCAAAACCAAATTTCTCTGTAATTTCAATTCCCTTGTGTTTCGACGACCAACCAAGATAAGGTCCAACATCTTCTTCCGAACGCCATGAATTGGGTTCGCCTCAACCAGACACCCTTTGGAATATGCTTCCCTAAGAAAAACGACTTGAGTTCTTCCCCTGGTTGATATATAGAAAATTCCAGGGTGGCTCAACAGCAACTCAGGTATATTCACTTCTATACCAAAATCCTTCTTAAAATGTGATAATCTCTGAACATCAACCATCTTCTCCACTGTCAAGCTCAACAGCTCGTGTATGTTCGCAACAGCACGTTTCTCGTCTCACACCACCACAGTCCACACTACTACTACTACTACTAACACCACCCACAATCTCTGCTTGGTAGGGTTTCAAGTAAGAAAGCCTTTGTCAATTCCTCATCTTCTCTCTAAGCCCTCCCTTAATCTTGAACCCAGTCGGATACTGAATAGGAAATGCATACTTTGTCTCAAGCTCACTCAGCCATTTATCTATGTACTCTTTCTCCCTCCATTTCTCAATCTCTGCCACAACCAAACTCTCATCTATGCTACTACCCGATTTCACTATTTCCAGATCAACCAACTGAAAATCACTCTCGTCCAAGATCGAGTCCCGGAAATCTTCTGGCAAACCCAGCTCTCTACTAATCATTATCAATGCATGAACATGAAGAGTTCCATCCTTGGACATCATCAACAGCTTCTTCAATCTCCAGAGAGCTTCTTCGATTCGCTGTCTCTAACAACCCTGGGCTCTTCAGCCATTAAGTCCTTCCATTTCGACGCAACTCTACAACACAGATCCCTCCGAATCGGGTGTGTGAAAACCTCGAATATGTGAGGGTACTTCTGAATGAACTCACCTACACCTACATTGAACCCCACAATGTTTCTCCACCTGGACATAAGTTGCACAGAAACAAAAGGCTCGTGCTTTCGCTTCGACATCAGCTCATGGAGATTGAGAATGATTTTGAGTTTCCTGACGTTGGCTGCTATTTTATCAAGCTTAGAGTCCCTAGTCCGGTCTTCCGGGCGGGTTTGTGCAGTGCTTGCAGGTTTCTTCCATCTTCTCTGAACAAATTGGTTGAATGGACCAAAATGAAATTCAGCCGAGACTAGTTTAACACAATTAGCAGAAGTTCTTCTCGTTCGCCACATAATTTCTCAGATTGCCACTCCTGGGAAAGACCTATCTACATTCCTTCAACTGATTCAGCACGAAAGGCTGTAAATTTGAACACTCAGGGGAAAAGTATGACTTTAGAACATCGTTACCCAATAGCAGCAAGTTCTTCTTCCGATTAGCGGCGGCGGTAGCAGAAGGAGGGGCGGCTTGCGTTTTGACAGTCGAAGCAACGGCGCATTTACAGTCGCGAACCACCGCTACCATTTTGATCTCTCTGCGTCTCCAAATGGCGGCGGGAAGAATGTAACGGACTAACGGTGATTGAACTTTGAAGTCACCCGGTAAGAATGTAATCACCGGTTGCGGTAGACCTGGTTCTTTTTTTGGTTCTCTTGCCCGTCTGGTTGACTCAGAGACCCACAGGCCACAGGACAGGCGTCGAGTGAGACTCGTCACTTGGCAATTTTTTGCTTCCAACGTGGCGCATCGTTTTGTGCGTGAAAACAATTAACACTTCCCAAGCACTTCCGTTCTTCCAAGTTCCAACCTTTCTCTGTTCTCCGTAGTCCGTAATGCATCCGCTTCGGCAGATAACAATAAGATTGGCGATCACATTTTCATGATCAAGATTCAAGAAGAAACGTCGGAGGTAATCCAAGAATCCTATTTCAGTTTTCACACGATCTATGCTCGCAAGCCATGCAGATTGTTGCAAATTTTGTTTGTTGCGCACGAACTGTTGGCTTGATTGCCTGACTGAGCTGTTTCATTTTTATTATCCTGCATTGTGCTTGTGGGTCGACAAAGCGTGTTCAGAAGATGGAGCCGAACGTTTGGTTATAGCAATTTGTTAGGTTTTTACAAATTTCCAAATTACCCATCAAAACCCAGTTCTGAGTTTCCGACAAAAGCTTGAATCTTTCCTGAATGGGTTGGAGATACAGAGCTGGGTTGGGACTGATTGGCACGGTTGTTATCATTTGGGTTGCCTCTGCAGAGATCACTCAGGTTCTTTTCTTGAGTCCTTTCTGTTTGTTTCTCTAGAAAAGAAAAGAAAAGAAAAGAAAAGAAAAGAAAAGAAAGTATTGTAATTGAAACTGGCATAAAGACATTCTCTCAATTTTTGCAGAGAATCTTCGAAAAGTATGAACAACCATTCGCCCTCACTTACCTCGGGGTGTCACTGATGTTGCTCCATCTTCCAATAGCGTTCTTGAAAGACTGGTTGTGCAGCTTGTTTGGAGGGATTAAAGAGGAGATTCAGAGTCCCAACATCACTTCTTCTTCAGTAATTGAGGTGGTAGATCACCATGATCAGTCGCCCCAGTATACTTCTGAAACTAACATAATGATAATAAGCTGTCATTTGTCTAACAAGGATATCAGTGAGAGGGAAGAAGGAAGGCCTTTGATTTCCAACAAGGAAGTTGTTAGTAAACCTGGTGATCATCTCCAGTTGCATTATAAACTTAATCCCCAACTTGGTTTGGGTGAAATTGTTAAATGTAGCTTGTATCTTGCTCCAATTTGGTTCCTATCAGAGGTGTGATGATCTATTTTAGTTTTACATTTATGCCTTATTTGATCAGTTTGTGCTCTCAAATTTGAATTGATGCTTTGCTATTCAGTACTTGTCAAACTCAGCTCTTGCATATACCAGTGTTGCCAGTACGACTGTCATAAGTTCTACCTCGGAGCTCTTCACGCTTGCATTCGGGCACTTCTTAGTCAGGACTCCATAAATACTGTTAAGGTGGTTGCTGTCGTGATTAGCATGGCTGGTGTAGCCATGACCACAGTTGGAAAGACTTGGGCAAGAGATGAAGGGTTAATCACGCATGAGTCAATTATTTCCTTGTTACTTACTTTTCTTGTTAAGTTGGTTCGCTTGTTACTTTTCTTCTTAAGTTGGCGCTGCTCATTTGACAAGAGCCTTCTGCCTATCTCTTTGATTTTCAAGAACAAGGAAACACTCCATTGAGGGGGACATACAAGGTCTATTCTCAGCCATATCATATGCCTTGTTCACCAGTAAGTTCCAAGAACACTACCGGCTTGTTTGCGCTACCAAAGACTACTTTCGCCCTAGAAGATTACTGATAAGTTATCTGCAGTGCTGCTCAAGAGATCTGCAGGATCCCAAGAGGAAAAGGTTGACATGCAAAAATTTCTGGGATTCATTGGCCTTTTCACTCTTGTTGGCCTTTGGTGGCTATGTAAGTAAACTCAAATCCATTTGTAGGTCCCTTATTCTTAACGAGTAACAAAAATACTACTACATTTAACAGTGTGACAATGATAGAACAGAAAAAGGTAGTTGTTATGAAGCAGTCAATTAACACTCTGCAGATTGTTCACTTTCCCTAATTTGTGATTTGGAGAGGGTCTCTTTTGTTTGGTGCTCGCGGTATGGCCTCTCAGTGCATTAGGAATAGAACCAGGATTTAGCTTCCCGGACTCGGTATCAGTTGATCTTGTGGTGCTAAATGGGATTTGTGGGTAGCGTTTTAGCAGACTACTTTTGGTAATGTTAAGCTGTTTGCTGTGCATTGATATATATGTACTTGATCTTCGTTTAATTAGATAATATACACAATATGAAACAAGAAAGAACTGTAATTGTGTTCCTTTCTTCAAGCAGGACTGTGTCTGTTATATGGACTACACCATTGGTGGCTACACTGGGGATGTCCTTGACCATCCCTCTGGCCATGGTGGCTGATATGGTAATTCACGGCCGTCATTACTCTGCCATCTACATCTTCGGCTGCCTACAGGTATGTACGTCGTCCTATGCTTCCACATCTCTTGTTTCTCGAATGGTACATAGTATGAAGTAAAGAAACTAAGAGGGGAGATATGGTCCAAACCCTCTTGACTTAGAATGGTTTTGAGTTGTAAGTATGAAATCTTTCGAGTCTTTTCCAGGTATTTGCAGGTTTGTGGCCAATCTTTCAGACAAGTTCTCAGGGGTTGCAGAGTTGTAGCTGCAGGCAAAGATCCTGATAGAAGAGAATGAACAAGATCCTTCCGCCCAGGGAAATGTAACGAAAAAATGTTCTAATGTAGTCCGTCCGAGACCTGCTAACTAGCATGGTCCTATTTTGAAACCTACATTAGTCTTTGCATTTAATTTACTAGTCTTTTATGATTCTCAGTGCCACATTGGCTGAACTTGCAAATTGTTCATAGCGCTAGTAGAGCTTCTTTCGTAGTACAAATCCTCGTCGGGAGTTGTCAACCTTGCCTTCGATGCAAGAGCATGAATGATGGAACCTGTTTGGACCGAGAAGAGATCATGATCAAGTAAACCTCTAGGTAAATAGCCATTACATCAATGGAACACATCCTCTAGGTATTACTCTTCCTGCTGGCTGATCTCCCATTGCTGATTGGGGAGTTCTACACCCGCTTGCTGGTTGAAATGCTTGTGGTCATCCGTTACGTGTGCTTCCCTGCTCGCCGTGTTCCCAACAAGCATCGGGGGCTAGGGACCATGCGGAAGGTGGCGCTAGAGATGGTTGCTCTGCAGGCAGCTATGGTGGTGAAACATTTGGCTCCTGATAATGTATTTGCCTTCCTCGCATTGGTGTTCTTCACTGCCGACTGCTGGGCTCTCCTGAAGAGGTCCTTCGGCTTCGCTGATGTCAGCTGGGGTAATGTTTTGTTGGTAGCTGTCCTTCAGGCTTTGGTTCGGTTTGCTCCGTATGTGGGATTGATTCCATTACTCGCGTCCTTCGCTGGCTACAAGTTCTGGGCTTATGGTGGTGGCGAGAGGACTAGTGATGACGATGATGGAATGGAAGGAATGGATGGTGTCCTTTAGAAGCATGTCCTAGCAGATGTGTGATGTGGGGAGGGGATTAGGGGAAGATGTGCTTATGACTCCTGCTTAGTTTCTGTTTTTGTTGAGGTACCCTGTGCTTTTATGGCAGCCTAACTAAGCATTTTGCGCTTTGGAGTCTAACTTCTGTTAATTGGCATGTAATTGTTTAACTATGCTGTTTTCCTTGTTGATTTGCTTTGGACATGTAATGGATCTATATATTAAAGTTGTAAACAATGATGGAGTACCAGAGATATCTTTTCCTGGCTAATATTAGTATATGTTGATTTCGATGCGAAGGAAGTTGACGGTAAAAATTTCGACTTAACTTGGATCCTACATTGATCAAATATATTTCTGTTATGTCCACTTTTCTTTTAGGGATCTGTTTCCTAATCGGCTTAAGATGACAATTTCAATATAGCCCACAGCCCTATCCATCTCGACTCATACCACGAGCCACTTGAACAAACAAGATTCACAGAAAGAATCAATCATATAGCTTTTCCTTTTCATTGTTCAAATCAGTGACAAATCTCAGAACATGGATACAAAGTCTCAAACCAACCTCACTTGAGTCAAAATTTCATGGATGATGAGGGAAAGAAAATTTGGGGCTTGATTGTTTTGACAGGATTTAAGTTGCACAGTTCAACTGAGGGACATAACTCCGCTGCCTAACCAGTTCATGCATATCGTTGACAATCTTGAAAACCGCATCAGGTCTGGCCAACTTCAGAGCATTCTGAGACATGGCCTTCAGTTCTTCCTTCTTTGGACCAAACCATTGACCAACGATCCTAGCTATCTCTTTCGGCGATTTCGAGAACTTCCCACATCCATTCTCCACCACGTATGGCACATTACCTACTTCCTGCATGTGTTATCACAACTCCCATTGTTAAGTTAACCCCTGCTTGCACAAACGAAGAGCCTGAGCAAAAGGACGTGAACAAGCAGACTACTTACTTGCCCTGCAATGTAGTCGTTCAAAATTATAGGAAGCCCGCGTATCATGGCTTCTGCAATAGTTCCCGGACCAGCCTATAAAAAACCGAAACTCATGAGTAGGTCATAAAGGATCAAACCGTGCCAAATCGGTTTGAGACAAACACATACCTTGGTGATGATGCAGTCACATGCACCCATGCAATCTTCCATTTTAGTCACAAAACCCTTCACCTGTACATGTGAAAATTTGTGTAAATAATGAATCTTTGATGGTTTAGTATATCAGTGCATGTTTAGAATATGATCTTCTACAGAAACGGTGCCACAAAGAGGGCAGCTGTACCTGAACAGGAATTTTCCAATCGATTGAAGCCAATCTATTAGCAAGCTTTTTGTTGCGGCCACATATAACGAGGACTTGACCAATTGGCTCCCCAAGATTCTCATCATATAAAGAATCACCAAGTGCCTTTGCAGTTGCCTCAATAGGCCCCATCCCTTCTCCTCCCCCCATCAAGAGAACAGCAGGAAGGTCTTCATCCATCCCTTGTTCTCTCCTTAGTTCTTCCTAGAACATATAAGGAACAAACAGACAACCACGAAAAACAGAACAAATGAGCTTCCAAAGCATCTCATTGTATTAACTCCATGAGCAAGACACCCAGTAGCTATTAGACCAATTCAATCAATTCTTGATATATGAAACTTGTGGTGTTATTTGTGCATGTGTTCCCATCACTTCAGAGTTCATCAGCCAAAACTGGGGTCACCTACCTTAGGCCGAACAGGTTTGACGAAGGATGGTCGAACAGGAAGGCCAAAAACTTTGATTTGGGGAGGCTGCAACCCGGCTTTCAAGGCTCTCTTAGCAACTTCGGTTGATGGACAATAACATCGTGTAACAAGCTTATGAAACCTAGAAGACCAATATCCGAAAAGTATTAAAAAGGTTGAAAGTTGAAACCCATTAATAAAGAAAAAGTCCAAGGTTGAATGACAAGTATCCAAGCATACAAGAGCAAAGTTCTAACCAGGTTGGATGGCATGTGCTAAGATCTGTAATTACTGTAGTGAATACTATCTTCTGCAGAAGACCCTTTGCCCTCAATATACGAAGAGGAACATGCTGCATCAGTGGATGCACACTGATAATAATGTCAGGTTGGTACTTCATCAATCCTTTGGCAACTTCACTGCAAAATGAAGATGACAACAAGATCTTCACATGAATCCTTTGGCAACTTACTGTGCTACAATAAAATAGCGTCAAGACTTCAGTTTGGCACTAAAGAAAAAGGACATCAAGGTCCTACCGAGCTATAAACGTTGAAGTTGCAGCAAAATTCGATTGATGAATTAGCCTTGGTGCAGATGCATAGTATGTCATTTTCCACAATGTACCGTGTTTGACCAAGAAATTATAGCTCCTAGGCAATTGATTGAACGGCCAAGGTGTGTGCTCTGACCATAGATCAGTAATGAACACCTGAAATACACACTCTTTAACACAGCACAAAAATGAACAAGACAAGGCAGGCGGGAATTCTCACAAGACAAACAACAAAAACAAGAGTTAACCATAAATCATTGCATCATCGATCATAACTTAGACCATTGTTTCCTCAAACTTTCCCTCACCCAAGAGACCAAACTCAATGAAAGCTCAGAGATTTACCTGATAATCATCACCATACTGCTCATAGAAAGCAGCCTTGATAGCCTCTGCGGAAGCTCTATGACCACCACCGGTATCACTCATCAGAATGAGAACCTTTTTAGGGCCGTCAGTCCCAACTCCATTCAAAGGCAAACCCTCATCCACCAAAGCATCACAACCATCGTTCAACTTACTAACATCACTACTACTACTACTCCTACAATCCCCTGGCCCAACCCCAACAGAAGCGAACCCAATAGGGATTCTATAACAGTGAGACCTAACAAACCCATTAAATTCATTCCAAATCCTTCTAAAACTCGAACCGCCTCCTTCTCCCAGCCTCAAGGAAGCAGCCACCCTGCCTCCCCTGATACTCTTTCGACCCGTGGTATCAAAGTACAAGTAATTGGAACGAAAGGAAGAGTACCCATTTGAATTCGCGGCGGCGTTGAATGCAAAGCGACCGAATTGAGCCACCCAATCGACAAGAGGCCCCGGTTCTTGAGCTACTCCCGAAGATTGCTGCATTTTCAAGAAGTCTTGCGCCGTCGATTTAGATAACACTCAGCAAAGCCATGGTGGGTCGTTGCCGTCGAGCGAGGAGCGGGGAAGTATATGACTGTATATGTTTGTGTAGTGCAACAGACGACGGCAGCCGTAGAGAAGGCGGAGAGCGGACAAGTGGGAATGAGGTGTTTGAGATAGTGACTGGCGGATACAGGAAGAGAGAGAAGCAAGAGAGCATCAATTGCAAGGGAAGAGGCTGAAGTAGGAAATCCGGAGGTTGGTTTTGTGGCCACAAAGAAAGGATTTTTTTCGGATGAAGAAGGGAATTATTCCACGAGCGGGGAGAGAGAAAGAGCCACTTCCGCGGCCGGCTAGTGGCGTTGTTGTTGTAGCGCCGACGAGGTGGCTAAGGCCGAATTGCTGTCTGTGGCTGGCGCACTAATCCCCGGCCACTCAACGCTACACGTTTGGCACCGATCAATTGGGTTCCAAGGCATAAATTGGGAAAGCATCTCAAAAGATCCCAACTTTACAATGTTTTATGTCGACACATTTTTGGAACGGATGTTACAGTTGCTTTGGAGCTTAAAATAGTGTAGGTTGTCTCGTTAAGATTAGGTGAAACTTGAGAGACGTACCTCAAGTTGAAAATAGCACTCTAATCTACTAGGATTTATAGAAAGGCGTGACTCGATTGGAATTTTGAAAATTGATCTTCGACAAAATATCACTTTATCATAATCAGAATATTTTTTTCACATTGTAAATTAAACATAGGAGACAAGGTTACAATCGCCCAAAACGGGCACGTTAGTGGAGAACCAACGTGTTAGATTAACTCCTAACGTAGGCCCCTTTATAGCGTCTGATTGAGTGCTCATTAAGGTAGACGCCAGGTATTCTCCAAAGTACGCAAAGAAATTTGATGACGTTTAAAGGTTCAGTTCCGTCGATCTATACAGGAGCGATACGTTCATATCATTTTAATCGATTGATCTAGACATGTGTAATCACATTACAACTACCATTAACAAATGACATATTACTATCTTACATCTCACTATGTGAAATCAGAAACCCAAAATTGTAATACATATCACTGGACATATCAAAATACATTGTTTGAAGCATGGTAAAGGAAACCGTACCGGACATCATACCGGATTCCTTTCTGGTATGGTATTTTGTGGTACGATCGTGGTTCAACCGTTTTGTACCGGTAAATACCGTTTTTCACTATTGATAGAGAAATGAAATGCGATAGTATAAAAAATATAATCCATTAAAAAAAGAACCAAATAGAGCATTATACAACCACGGTGACCCATTTTCAACATAGAAAAATAGCAAAATAATATTCATTTTTAATTATTTTTCACATATTGGACGAGAATACGGAGAAATGAAGCTGAATCATAGACCAGGAAACCGGATCGTACCGGCCGGTTCAACCGGTCAAACCGAAAAAATCGGCCGGCACGGTAAAATCAGCACAATCAGCCTACCGTGCCGCTTTTGGTCCAATTTTCGGTTGAACCGGCCGGTACGATCCGGTTTCCTGGTCTATGGTTTGAAGTCAACTTGGTACCGAAAATAATGGAGTTCAATAAATGGAGGTGCCGAAAAAGAATTTCAACTTGAATTTTTGGTTGAAACATACGGAGAGTGGTGGCTATTGGATCTTTAGGTTTATGGTTTTTGAAGCTATGGCGACCTAATTACATCTTAAAACAAGGAATCATCGATTGATTTACTGATGTAGGTCGATCAATTCTTCATTCAACCTACTGGAGCTGATAGAGAAGGAGTGTCTAATTTTGTTTCTTATTATTTTGATCGAGTCTATTAGTATATTGGAGATAACCCTAATTTGGTGTTTGCTCTCAACTTGTGATGGTCCCCTTTTAGCTGAGTTGTTAGCATATAGTTTAATTTAATCAACAACTCTCTATTTCTTTTTGATTAGTGGAATATTGTTCCTAAAATGAAAGCATTGAACCTTTATGTAGGATTGCGAGGTTTAAGATTTAGTTTCAAACTATCTATGGTTCGTGAGGGAATTTCAGTGAGCTTTTATACTCTATCTTTCTTGATAATCAACTAACCAAATGCATTTTACCGGGGACTTAATTATCATTATGAAAATGAGATCAATGATACATTTTATATTTCTTCAAATGTTCGGTCTATATATTCTTTCTATATGTAACATCTCGATCGAAGGATTGTCAATAAAATTAAACGGGTTGATAGACTTAAACGTAAGATAAAAATATAAATAATCAAATATGAATATTCCGACCAACTGGTCGGGTTATAAGCTAATATATATAATTGCTTCCTAATTAATTGCTTCCTAATGACAAGACTAATTAAATGCAGCCCCTAATACTAATCTTCTTTATTGCTAATAATACTAACCCTTTTAATTCAAGTAAATAACCCCTTTTTCGTTGAATAAGTTAGTAACTTTGGGGTGTAATTTTGTAGAAATAAAAAAAATCATGCTAATTAATTCGAGAACAAAAGTCATATTAGTTAATTGATTTAATCTATGATACAACTCAATTTGACAAGCAGAATCTATAGCATCTGAATCAATAATAGTGTTTTTATCATTGATTATGTCATATTTACGTATATTTTTTTGTCTGAATTAAAAAAAATTATCGAAATGTTCTCCTTAATTAATTATTAGTACCTAAATAAAAAATACTGAACAAAGTTTGTAATTAGAATGATGAAATCTACACTAAAATGAATTATGAGTTAAAGTGGGATTGTGAAATTCTAAACTCTTGGAACTTACCACTAATGTTAAACACTTTTAGATGGGCTAGAATTTGAATTCCAGCCCAAAATTTAGATTTTTGGAACTTAGCACTAAAGATGGTCTTAAAAGTTCTAAAACATACAATTATCTTGGCTGCCTGAGTATCCATTGATAGATGTGTAGCGACACTGACATTACAACTGTATTGGAACCTACCCTTATAATCAAGGAAACCAAAACCGATTCCACCTACTTCCTATGAACCAAACAGTCAGAATTCTAGAAATCAAGCAAGAACAACCAGTCAAAAGCCAGACAGTACTTTCACCTTCAACTTCAACCAACCTGCATACATTCACATAATTCCTCTTCAAAACCACAACTGCAAATCCGATCCCTCCATACCTTCAATCCAAAAACAACATTTTACTCATTTATAACATCCACAACTGGGCACACAAAAGCACATTGATGGCACTAGTGGTGCAGTGGTACGATTTCGTGTGTTTTGGGATTGTTGCTGCTGCTTTCATGGGATCACTGTGGACTCTGTGGACAAAGGAAGGAGTTCCAACTCCAGACTCACCATCACCATCTCCAGCTTTCCACCAGGCCAATGAGTTCGATTCGGATTACTACGAGAGTCTCCTCGAAGGAGTGGATCGAGCCCGCGACAACAAGTTTATGATAACCCAGCTATGGAGTTGCTGCTGGAAAGGTGTGCACCCTGGCTGGTTACTTGCCACTCGTTGCATTTCCCTTGTGGCTATGGTTGGAATCTTGGTCTGGGATATCCTTGATTGGACTGCTTCCATATTCCTTTACTACACTGAGTGAGCATTGTTCCTCCTCATTTAAACTTCCTTAGTTTGGTTGTTTCGGTACATATTCGATCATTTACCCTGCTCGAAAACTCTGCATCCTGAGTTTGGTGCTGAATTTTTTTTCTGCAGGTGGACATTCGCGCTCGAGATTGTTTACTTTGCGGTATGTCTAGAACAATTTTACTGAAACTGTCCACCTTATACTATACAATACAACGATGCTGATATCTTAATCCCACATGTGCACAGTTGGCAACTGCAATGTCTGCATATGGTTGTTGTTGTTGTTGGGGATACAACAAGCAGCAATCACCAGCTGGCAATGGAGATTGCGACGAGGCCTACGAAAGGGCGGTGCTGCAGCAGAAGAGGAAGGAGAAAGGGAAAGGTCTTGTTAGGGATACCATAATCGATATCGAACCTCGCAGTCATCATCATCATTCTGCTGATGAGCAAGGGAGATCAGCAGGATTCATGGGATGCCTTATGCAGACCATTTATCAGGTGTAGTACTAAGTTGGGTTATAGTTGCAAGAGTGCTTCTGAATTCGCCTGAGAAAAGGTTTCGGATTCATGAATCGATTATTCGATTGTGCTGCAGACTTGTGCAGGAGCTGTAATCTTGACTGATGTTGTGTTCTGGTGTCTTATCCTGCCATTTGAATCCAACCAACATTTTCAATTGACCATGGTATGTAAGCTACAATCCACTCCATCCTTCTTCTTTTTTTATCTCAAAGATGCAACATGATTTTAGTCACACTATTGGCCATTGGGTACTTTTCTGCAGTTGACTGGGCTCATGCACTCTGTGAATATTGTCTTCCTGATCATTGATACAGCTCTCAACAGCCTTGTAAGCCTCTGCTTCTGAGTTCTGATCCCAAGAACAACTCTGGGTTTTGTTCTTTCTTTGGTTTCTAACTATCGATGTTCGTCGCTCGTTGATCGTCGATTCGTGACCACCAGCCGTTTCCATGGTTCCGGATAGCGTATTTTGTGCAGTGGAGTTGCATCTACATTGTTTTCCAGTGGGTTCTTCACGCCTGTGGTCTTTCATGGTAAGTAACCATTTATCCAGCATTCTGTTGATGTATTCAAAATAACCCCAAAGCAAGAAATATGTTTGTTTGATTTCCTACGCTGGAATTCTGCAGGTGGCCTTACCCGTTCTTGGAGCTGAGTACGCCATGGGCGCCATTATGGTACTTCTGCTTGGCTCTGGTGCACGTCCCTTGCTATGGGATTTATTTTCTCCTTGTGAAACCCAAATACTCGATCCTCCCCAAATGGTTCCCCGCTGCTTTTGTTCTTATTAATTCTTCATTCTGATTCTCTTCCCTATTCCTGAAAGATACTGGTTGGACTTAACGGTGGATCCAGAATAGGGTAGAGTACTAGGCCACATTTGAAAAAGAGACGGAGAGAACTAGGCCGTAACCCGACGAGAACATAAACGAATACCTAAAATCGGAAATTTACGAGAGCTATACTAGCTCCGAATTCGGGGAGGGCTGGGCCATAGCCCGAGGGCGGCCCCCCCTTGATCCGCCGCTGGTTGGACTGTATGGTTCAAATTTACAGTAGTTCACGTGCTTTCATCGATTCCTTCCTATACATAATTTTAATGATTTGTTTTGTGACGACGATAATTCTTAACGCATCTAGACATTTCGTACTATCTTTGTCACGATAATCTTATTGAGGTCCGCGTTGTTAGCAATAGCACGTTGATCTTTTTGTTGGTACATATCATCATAGCATTAGAGGACAACACAACAACTAATCTGATAAATAAATAAAGGGTTAATTGCATGGTTGGTCACTGAGATTACAAAAAACGTTCATGTTTGGTCACTGTAAATATTTAAATCCAATCTTGGTCACTCAAATTAATTAAATGGTTCAAGTTTGGTCACTCTCCGTCCAACTTTGTTAAATTTGTCTGATGTGGCAGTCAACCCTCAAAGTTGACAGTTAACTCAGTGACGTGGCAATTAAAAAATAATAAATAAAATAAATTGTAATCTTTTACCATTTCCAACTCATTTTCACAATAAAGTAAAATAAATAAAACAAAAAAATATATTATAATTAAAAATTGAAAAGGGGCTCTTGCTCCGCCACTACATTCATCCCCCGCAACCAAATCAGCTCCTAATTCCCATCCCTAGCGACCACCACTGCCACCGCCGATGAAGAAGAAGAATTCTTAGCCGCCTCTGGCGGGGAAGTCTAGTCAGCACTACCCGGCGGCCCAGGAGGGGAACTACCAGGCTGTCCGGCAGGCGAAATCGAGGTGCCAGCGGGAGAAATCCCGGGAGCAGCAGTACCCTGTGAAGGCGCGGTGGCAGGGGAGTTTGAGGGAGCGCCGGCGGGAGAACCACCGGGAGCAGCAGCACCCTGCGATGGCGCGATGGCAGGAGGAGAAGAACCGCCGGACGGCTGTGGGGCCAAATCGGGAGTTCCTGCCGGGGCGGAGCTGGGCGACTGGGATGCGGTCGGAGGCAGAGCAGGGGCAGGGGACGACGGCGTTGTTGGCGTCTTCGGGATCGCCGGGGGAGATCGGACGGCGAGGACCACGATGATGAGCTTCTGGCCGGCGAGGCACTGCTTCTTGTTGCCGCTGATGAAGTAGAAAGGTCCAGATTGAGGGAAGTTGAAGACGGAGGCTCCTGATTTCATGACTTTCAGCTTCTTGCCCCTTTCAATTTGTAATTATAATATTTTTTTTATTTTACTTTGATGTGAAAATGAGTTGGAAATGGTAGAAGATTAAAATTTATTTTATTTATTATTTTTTAATTGTCACGTTACTGAGTTAACGGTCAACTTTAAAGGTTGACTGCCACATCAGACAAATTTAACGGAGTTGGACGGAGAGTGACCAAACTTGAACCATTTAACTAATTTGAGTGACCAAGATTGGATTTAAATATTTTCAGTTACCAAATATGAATGTTTTTTGTAATCTGAGTGATCAACCATGCAATTAACCCAATAAAGAAATGGTGATAGAAATATGTTTTTTAGCAACGATAAGGTCGTTGTCTGTCACCATAGACGAAGCATTATCAATGGACTGGAAACTTCAAGCAAAAAGGGGAGCATAGAGATAAGAGAGTACGAATGGGCCTTGGTCCAGTTAGTTGAGGGTTTTTGGGCCGGGCTAGCAATTAGGCAACTCACATCATGCCCACACACTTTGTGCTTGGGACCAAAAGGAGATTTGGGTAAGTTAAACTTCATCTACACATAATATAATACGCCGAAGAGAATAACGGGAGCCCCATTTCAAATTTTCTGCAACGAGAGTGAATGTAGGAAGGACATTTTGGTCTTCGCAATTACTTTTTTTTATTCATTAAAAAGACACGTACTAGGATTCGAACCATGATCATTTTAAAGAAAAGCAAAGATCATAACCAATCACACTAAGTACATTCGTTGTATCTTTTTAAATTAAAAACATATAAGAGCAGGGAGAAAAAACTCTTCCCCCATTTCAAATTCCCTGCTCCAGGAGCGTTTGTAGGAAGGGTAGAATAGAGAGTGTCAATTGTTTTCTCTTTCCTCTGTGGAACGGGCCAACTTACCTTACACATGCGGATTTAAACGGGTCCAGGATTGTCAATTGTTTTCTTTAAGCCCTTTTATTTCTCCGTGGTGATAAAATATATATGAAAAGGAAAAAACAATACTTCTTTTTATTGCTAAAAATAAAAAAATTAACAATAAACTAATGCATTGTATTTAATGGGCTAACTAATAAAGGAGTTGAATAGGTCTGACCTACACGGGATTTGACCGTCAAGTAAAACAAATGAACATCATTGGTTTGACATTCTAAAACAAGATATTTTCTCTGGCATAATATATATTATGCTATTATTGTATATCTTAGTGGCTAAAATATAATTTATTTTAAAGTTATTCAATGGTTCAACCTCGACCAACCCAATTAGTCCAATTTTAATCATTTCAAATATATATCATATAATTATTTGATATCATAATGATCAAATTATAGTGTATTTTATAGGGAATCATTTGGTATTTGTTAGTAAAAAACTAAACAGAAAGATCTATTTGGTTATTTTAAACATTAAAACGATCCTAAACATTTTCAGTTCCTTTTGAATTTCTATGGTTTTATTCCCAAATAAGTGATGTGCAAATGGCGAATTGCAGTCATCTCTTTTCTTTCACTATTTTTTATTTTCAAATAGAAAGTTTAAAAGTAAAGAATAATTAGAATTTGACATGAGTCGGTCAAACAGTAAGGATTTCAAGTTTTGACCCGTTTTGATCAAGTCTAATTTATAATTACATGGTTCCCTGATACCCGATAAAAATCTCAATCCAAACCAGTTTGGCAGGTGAGTCCGTGTTTACCACCATTTTCTATGGATACGACAACGACGGTTCCTATCCCAAATCGTGTTGTTCATTCTTGATTTCCTTAGATTTTATCATGGTCTGACAAAAACCAGAAAGCACAATGACGACAAGATGAAAGTTTTATATAGCAAATTAATCGGCCAACGGGCCGAGTAAAAGCTAGCAACGATTGTGAGATGCTCATTTCCCGAAAACCAACGGGATATGCGATTTTTTATTTGTTTTCTGGAATTCGGTTTCTATAAAACTTACTCCACCTCATCATATTACCAGAAAAAATATTGTTTCACAAGGTAACATGTACTTGATTTTGGTTCATAAGGCCGATTTTTGATTCGTTGCATCATTCATGTCTCTTTCTTGTTAAAATTCACTATTTTTATCACGTGTTTCCCAAAAAAACTATACAACAATAAGCTATACACCTCAATACATTATCAAATTTCATAGCTCACCTTCCTCCGACCAACTGGTCGGGGCCCACGCTAGTATTTTCTTAATTTCTCACTTACAATTAGATTGTATTGTTTCAGATCTTTCAGATCATTACAGGATTTCTATCAATAAATTCTGCAATTGTACACATGGTGTCAACATTGTGATTCTCTGATTCTATTAAAATTCACAAAGCTAGTTCATCCTATAGATTCTATAACAAGGAAACTAATTTAGGAGGGGGATCACAAACAACCAAGTGAACTATTACTATTCTCATTAAGTTATAGGGAATTTCTACCAAACCTTAAGCTATGGTGACTTAGGAATTTTTAACCTGTTATAGATTTTGCATGCCGTATTACGATAAAATATTATACTCGTTATGAAATGTTTATCTATGTGTTTATTAGGAATTGCAATTTGAAAACGTCCCGTTGGGTAATATCCGACATGACTCGCTATGGGGTGGGGCAAGAATGAGTATGGAGACACCCGTCCCGCCCAACCTGTTGGTCATCACTAATATCTTACGTAATAATTGTAAAATAGTGTGAAAATATCATTTTTTACGTAATTAACGTTGACATCGAGTTATGTAGGGTGTTATAACATTTATGAAATGCTTATGCAACTCGATGTTAGACTTAGTGGCGAATCCATAAATATGAATGAGAGGGGTTAATTTGAACCGTGGTAATTGGGGAACCACTTGGGAGGGGGCTAATGCCTTGGAGACTACTCTATTCACTAAATTTGTTAAGAATTTTACCTATAATTTTAACTATATTTCAAAAGTTGATGGGGCCTATAACCCCTCCTAGTTTCAAACTAGCCCCTCCATTTGTTACACTATCACATAAGAAATCCCCATAACCTTTTAATCCATACGTTATCTTATGTAATAGTTGTAAAATGTTGTTACGTAAACCTTATTTAAACGGGTGGTTTTTTACGTTTTGTTTATTAATTAAATAATTTTGTCTCTGGATATAAAAAAAACCAAATGGGAGTATGGGACAATGAAGGATAAAAAATGATTACCATTTTTTGGTGATGGGAAATTAACTGAATTTATTCATAAAAAAAATATTAACTGCATTTTTTTTATTTAGCAATTTCCACAATCAACCAAATGCTTCTTTCAAATTAAATTTTATATTAATTAGACAAACGTATTAACATATTTAAATTAATATTAAATACGAAATTACAATTTATGAGGCGTTAAACTAATTAATTAATTCATCTTAAAACCTACACTACCCACCAAATTTACCCATTTAACCATTCGCCGGATTAGAATCCCCAACGCATCTTTTCCTTCCCGTGTCAGCCGGCCGGCCAGACAAATATTCCGCCGGCCATAACGATTATCAACCCCGCCGCTCGCCGGATCAGTTATCCACACATTGGAATCGCTGCCGCCCAGCGAACCCAATTCAATTAAATTTTCTCCCCAATGCTTCAAATCCAATTCAAATCCTCAGCGTCGTCGGAGAACTCAGGGGAAACAGGGGAAGCAGCTCCGGCGGCTCGCTTCCGCGCGGCGTGCTCAACGGAGACGGATGGAGATAAAACCTCTTCTCCGCAATCGCCCTCTCCTCCTCGGAGCAAGGCGTCGAAGGGGACGTCTCGGTGCTGGAAAAGAAGGGCGATTCCCGGGCGCCGGAGCCCATCAGCGGCGTGACGGGGCTGGCAATCGGAGACTCCACGAGGCAGGGGGAGGAACAGGGGCTCGCGCCGGAGGAATTATTGTTCCGGAGAGACGCCCTGCTCAGCTTGATCTCCAGCTTCCTGATCGTGTGCCGGCGTTCCTGGAGCTTGTACGGCGACCTGCGGGGCGAATTGACCGGCGGATGATTGCCGTTGCCGTTGTTGTTGTTGTTATTCCCCTGTTTTGGAGCGTGAATTCTGGAAGGCAGAGTGACCGGCAGCCTGATCTCGGAATCGGGAGATAATCCGGTGAGCCTCTGGACGAGGTCCCGGAAGGTCGCCGCGTCGGCTTGGACGAACGTGGTGGAAGAAACCGGCGACGTCGGGGGTAATGCGGCGGCGTTGACATGGCGCCGGCTCTCTGTTTCCATGGCTAATATGACCCTAAACTTAAACACTCTTAGCTAGTAAGAGTGTTTACAAAAAAATGAATGAACAAAAGAATGAATGAGAGGAAGGAGAAGGCGGATTGATGTGTTCTTCTTCAGGTGGAGAGAGGTTGAGAGAGTTATATAATAAGGAGGAGGGAAAAGGTTGAGAAGAAGAGGGCGATAATGGAGAAGAGAAGGATTGGTCTTTGGAGATGATTCCAATGGTTGTTGTGATGTGCTAATGAGGGTACAAACATTGGGTGGTCCTTGGAGTCAAAGAGGAAATTTTTTTGTTGTTTGAATTTCTATTTTTCTTTGGTTAATTAGATAAAAGACTCATTCAAGTTCGCAATTGTTAACAAAATAATCTTTAAGTTTTGGTTCTTACAAATTTTTTCGTGGAAATCGGGCATAACTAGTACAACAGTTGCTTCACTTATCTTCGTAAGACATGTTTTCGTATGTATTGTCCATATAAGCGTATTGGTTTGCTAAAACTACTTAAATTAATAATGGAGAAAAGTCTTACATGTCCCCTAATTAGCTATCAAGCAGGGAGAGAAAGAAATAGATTAAGTGGTTTGAGCAACTCGAGTTAACGATAGATTTATGCAACAAGTTTGGTTTGTATCAAGTATGACTTGAAATGAATATTCCACGTCAGCTAGTAAATATCTACGTCTGGTTTCATTATTACTTTGATTGAATTGTAAAAATCGATATGAACAACTTTCTTATAGTGCGCACGTTCTAACATATGTTGCTATTGCCTATGAACACAATAACAAAGTCCCTATACAAAGACTTCGAATATGATTCCTAATAAAGACAAGCTAAACGACTGTAATAGGTCAGTAACTCCACATTCGGGTGATAACGTTTTTCCACCCCAAATACAAAGAGGAACAATTTAAAAGACGCTAATTAATTAACAATGTAAATGATAGTTCATAGACAAACGAACTGTCGGTCAAAGAGCTTGTATTGTCACTAGAGATGGACAGCTCTTTGAATCCTCTAAAGAACATAACAACACGATCGAAACGAGAAAAATCGTATAAAGGATACAGACTTCCTCCAGAAAGATCAGACCCCGCCATGGAATACATTCGATCGCTTCCAACACGCCAGCACGAAACGAATTATCAATAGAGAAGCAACTTTATCAAACATAAAAAAAAGTTTAGTGACTGATGATTTGCAGGTAACCCCAAGAAGTAGAGTGACCCAACTGTTGATGTTCATGCCCCAAGAGTTTGTTTAGCAGCGGGAGTCAACCTTTCTAGACGAAACATTTGTGCTATGTTGCGTCTCCTGTCGAAGAGACAAATGACGATGGATCCAGAAACCAGAATGTAGTCTTCTTCTCCCCAACTTCCCCATTTGACTGGTATACAATAGTTATAAAAACCGATTAGCAATGAGACAAAAGGGAAAATTGGGGAGTGGGGTAGGGTTAGGGTTTGTGACTTTTGGATGGTGACAAAAGCTCGAACATTTTTGCAGCTAATCAAAATGAGTTGAATACAAGAAAGACCAGGCATTTGGGTTTTGACTTGGTGATGATGATGAAGAGGTCAAATGGAAGTTAGGTCCAAGTGTTGAAGCGTGAGAGCAATGAAATGGAGAGAGAGTTTGGAAGATGATGATGACCTTTTCTCCTTTTTGTCGATTAGGGTTTGAAGTTTATTGTACTGCCAAGAAAGCAGCCATGAGCTTTGTGCCAAAGTGGAACAAGAACGAAGGGAATAATGTAAGGGGAAAGGAAGAGTGCGTACAAGAAAGGGAAAACAACAACTGTAGATGGGAAGGCAGAGACTGAAGAACGTAACCATGGAGGTTAGAGAAGGGAATTAATAAGAACATCGACATCATGCTGCAGGGTGATGAAAACAACATGCATGCAGCAGAATGAGTTGCAGTAGTCGATTGTTTTCCTATGCTAGGTGACAAATGGCGTCAAGGAGTCCTATAATTCTATAATCGATATTTGGGATATAACGAATACCCTACCGATATTTGTCAATATTTGGTAGTAATGAATATACACTTTTTTTCTTCGAGGGATTGTGATTGAATTTTAAGCATTATTTGATATTAGAAAACGGGATGAAAATCGTTATATGCCGATATACCGATCAATACCAAAATATAAGCAAGTACAGTGACCCATGACGAGTTTTCATATCTTGAAAAGTCTGTAAAATACATTCATCATCCAGACTATAAAGAATGTCACTCTCAATGTATCATACCAAAAAAATCATTCATGATATCATCACTCATTCGACTCCGAAGCTCCGATTACTGCTTGAATAAGGATACAATTATGTGTTATTTTTTAATTTGATTTATTTATTATTTGTAAACGGTAAATTAATTATATACATACAATAAAACGTATTGAGGTATCACGTAAGTAATTGTGGTTTAATGGAAGATGACAAAACTAATAATAAGGGGTTCCATGTTCAAATCATAGCTATAACATAAACTAATATCCCTATTTTTTGATGTTCTAGTCCTAATCTAAGGGTGTGCCATGGAACACTCTAATTATAAGCTATCTCCGCCCCTGGTGGTGGCGGAGGTAACCTTTGAGGAGAGAGCTCTTAGGACCCCGCTTAGTAAAACTAAAAAGTTGGGTACCAAAATCCTTTTAAATATATGTGACACTTCACCCTCAAAAAATTGAGTACCAAAATCCGTTAAAAACATTGTTGCTTCTTCGGTTGACGGGTACCAAAATTCATTAAGGTGTCGTTTGGAGAATATGATTAAGGACATGGATTCACTGAATCTGTAAATTTTGTAGAAAGTTATGTTTTTTTGTTGCTTTTTGTATTGTGGATTCTAACTTTAGAGATTTCAGATATCTGAAATCTGCGGATATCAAATCTCTCATAATCAGAGAGATTCTATATCTTGATTCGTGAGATTTTTTCTCTCCTAATTTTTCTCTTCCTTTTATTTGTTTATCACATGAAATATATTTATCAACAAAGTTTTTAATATTTCTCGAACCACTCTAATTTTTTTATTAAGGATAAACATGGTATTTAATATAATATTAATTTTTTATTGTATTTGAATGTTAACAATCACAATTACCAAACAATAAACATTTTAAAATTTATTTTCAACAATCCGAAGAGTTAGAATCTTTAGATTGTTGATAATTTGTAAATTTAATTCATATTCTCCAACCGACCCTTCATTTTAGGGACAAATTTAAGGTCTAATGATAAAATCAGGGACAGGACCACAAAGAATTTTGATAGAGCTCTAATTAAAAATGTATTTACTCGAAATAGAATGAAATTATATTTTTCAAGAAATTTCTGTGTGGGAATCAACGGTTCAAACGGCCTCCAAGGCCCAAAGAAAGAAGCCCATAAAGGCTAAAAGCTGTTAAATTTTGCGCCACAAGAAAAACAGGACGGAACTCTCTGCAATACTTTGGCGTCGATTATTCCAAACATTTCTACGGAAATTTCTTTGGATTTCATTTCACGCGATCGGAGAAGATATGACTACTTGCTTCTGCTGCGGCAGTAACACCATGCTGCCGGCGACGGCGGCTAAATCGCCGAACACCATGAGCTCCACCTCTTCTTCATTCATCGACAGATCGCCGGTCAACCTATTGCGACCCAGGAAGGTTCCATCTAGGGTTTTCAGAGTCAGTGCTTCCGCTGCTGTGGATTCATACGGGAGCTCTCCTGATTTCATCAAGCGCATGGAGCAGGCTTGGCTGATCTCTAAGGTAACGCAAGCTCCTGAATTTCGCGCGAATTGGACGCGAATTAGGTTTTCGCATTCAAATTCGAGGAATCATTTTCTGTAATGGATTGGGTAAATTCGTGGGCTTTTATCTCATTGATGTTTCAAATTCCGACTGATTGAATTAAATCAACGGCGATTGAATGACAGCAACCGAGGCCGGTGGCCTGTTCGTCATGCGACTCAAATGGCCATGTGGAATGCAAATGGTGTGGAGGAACTGGTTTCTTCATTCTTGGTGATAACATGCTGTGCCAAGTCCCGTCAAGAAACACCGGATGTGTTATCTGCACTGGAAATGTGAGAAATTTCTTTGTTCTGGAAGGAGCCCTTTTGAATTGTATAGCACTGTAGATTGATTCGAGCTGCCGAAAACTAACGAATGACATTTGTGAATGATGTGAATCTTTTTCCCCCCAGGGATCCATGCGATGCCGGGACTGTAAGGGAACTGGGTTTCGTGCCAAGTGGTTAGGGGAGCCTCCTATCCCCCACCCAAGTAACGGTTGATCATAGCAGCTGCAGCACGACAAGACACAAAGCTTCACCGTTCTGTTCTGTATGCGATTGAGTGAATTAGCCTCTTGATTTGCCCTTGCATACTGCATTGTGCTTGATGCAATCCTCGGTACGTAAGGAAGGCTTCAGATCGTATCAGTGGTCGTCTCTACACTAATTTACTTAACACCCATTATAGAAAAACGGTCAGACCACACGGTGGAATTGTATATTTGGATCTGTAATCCTGGCTCATTTATATACTATGCATTCATCATTCGATTTCAATGCCTATTCATTTCCTGGTACTCTATCGGATTGGAAGGTGCAGCGGATGAAATTTCGTCCCAGAAGCTTTCTGCTAGCCCTATGTCCAGTGTGTAGTGGTGCCTGCAAGTTTGATGTCTGGTCTAGGGTTATTCATGATGGCATGTTCTTTCAAGGCTCCCTGCCCTACTAGCTGGATTACTACTTACACAGGGCAAGGTAGACCTAATAACCTATGCAGCAGAATCGATTGACTTGTTGGCTTATGCGAAAGAACTAGAAAGGGCACGTCTTTCAGGAATGCTCGATGACACTGAACAAATGAGTAACTTGGCAACTCTTCGAGTTAGCTCATTTGCTGTTTAGCTAGCCAAGAAAATGGATTCAAGGACCTTACTATGCTAAGAGCCAGCCTGGGGATCAAGTCTGTATTAGCACAAATTGATTTGCATTTCATAATCCTCTTTTAACTGTAACAGGACTACAGGAGGCATTGTTAATACAACTCTGACGTAAATACTGACTGTACCACCAAATCAAACTTTGGTGCTTGCTTGTTATCTTCTTCAAATATGTGGTGCTTGTCACGCAATTGGTGAGGCCATACTACAATTTTCGATAGGTTCTGGGAAATCCCATCTTTTGCTACCGACGTCTGTACTTAGTCGTTGCTTTGCACAATGGTAGAGAAGAGCAATTGGTTTATGTCCTGGCCTTCAGAATCATCTCCAACGTTTCCTGCATCAACAACAGGAAATGGCTTCTAGCTTCAGAAAACAAAGACGATTACTACGACCAATATGATTATTGGCCAAACCACCTGAAGTTGTGGCCTCATGGACTTTGAAATGTACAGCAGCACAACATTTCAGAAGAAAATCTCCACACAAGTTTTCCACGTAGAGCTCAATGGGGGAATTACAACTAAACATACCTGATATTTTATAGCTAGAGAAATCTCTAAGCTTGTCAACCAAATTTTTATTTATTTATAAGGTTGTCCACCATTTCTAATGGAAGGAGGTTAGGAAGACAAATGAGATGGGATGAACTTCAAAATTCTTACCAGTTCCTGATCGGACTTGTGTACTCCACTCATCAATGACCTGCATAACATTATAAGATGCATCAACAATTTACATAACAAAGCTACACATGACTAAAGAGAAGTCAGAAGAGACTGGACAATGAAAAAGAATCCAGAACCAGCAAACAAAAAGTTGGCCATGATTCAGTCCTGTAGGTCATTTCAGACTGAAAGACAAGCTACCCAAAAAGCATCTCTGCCAGGGTACTTGTCGCTGGTATAAGGCCTCAACGATTGTTCAATGTTGGTTGCCTGCTGGCAAATGGTGCAAACACTTCACACGCCACTTGGAAATATCCAAACTTTTAAATCACTACCTCTAGTCGTAGGCCACACAATCCATGTTTCAGTTCTTTTCATTTGATTTTGCTGTGGAAGAATGTTAGGATTTTTGGCACAATATATACCTGATTGAAGTCAGCAAATGCAGGATCCTCATCAACAGTAGTTGGAGAAATGCCAGTTGATACTTGCATCCTTTGTATTACAATGTTGTTCCCCAGAAGAACCGTGCGTGCTTTATCAATCAACTCCTGCAGAAATAGCACAAAGAACCAACCATATTCGCAACTGTGAAACTAGCCACAGCATCAAAGAGAATAGCACCAGCTATGAACACAGCTGACATTGCAACACCACTAGATTCAGAGAGAGAAAAAAAAATATGCTATGCAATATGGCATTTATTAGGTTTTGATCATCTCCGGGGTTTCCTAATCTAAATCGAGATGCAATTCAAAGCACGCACAGTTGGTCGTCGGCCTCAGGATCAGATCAAACAGCTATAATTTCCACGCAACCACAATCTACTAGTATGCTTCATAGTTACTAATGTGCAGTGGAAGACTAAAGCTTACTACTCAGTAAGTGCACCATCATTACTAGTCTCCAGTGCGCTAGCATCTTGGTGACTTCGCTTATGGTGGGGAAATCCCAATTGACAGGATGAAGTAGAGCAAGTCACCTGTTTTGCAGCAAGAAGCTCGCCGCACTGCTCCTTTAGCCCTGAAACCTCCTCCTGTATCTTCTTTATCCTATTAACCAGCTTGACAGGATTTGCCTGCAGTCAGAAATACAGGCACACAATTTATCCTTCCAAATTTCCAACACACTGGACCGAGTTACAAAACGAGTTGCTTTTCTCTCATTCCTCGCAAATAGATGAAGCTTTACTACAGACGAAGTATGAAACTCAAGCATTAAATGAAAGGGTGCAAGATTCTGCCAGAAGAAAGGAAATCCTTCGGAAGGCAGGCCACTTACATTGTCTGGGTAAGTTTGTTGAAATTCCTTCTCAAGCTTGGACTGAACCGCTGCGAGATCATGGTGAGCTTTCATCAACAGAAGCACCAGACCGTCGGCCGCTTGATTACGATGATGATCACGTCCCATTTCTTTCCCCCTTGCCTCAATCTAGGGTTTCCGTTCGGATCGAAATTGGGAATTTGAAATGATGTATGTGATTGTGATAATACATTTACCCGCCGATCTCTGGTGTTATAATTTTGGAGAAGCCGCATCGCCACCGTTGCTTTCTCAAGACGTCATATTGACGGTGGAGATCAGCCTCCAAATATATCTCCTCTCCTCTGCACCTGAAACGACAGCGTTTGGAAGCTGATCTTAAACTATAAGCGGTTTCGTTAACATTAGTCAGCGAAACAGAGAGAGAGTGGGAGAAGAAGAAGGAAGGGGAAGATGGCGAGCGAAGAAGAAAAGGCTCTGGAGAATGAGCTTGAAGAACAGTTACAGGAGCTGAGAGATTCCCTCACCGCTCTCAACGACGCACTTGCTTCTGATCCTTCCAATTCCGAACTTCTCTCTGTAAGATTCTTCTCCCTCACCCTACCCCTCTCTTCTTATTTCCATCGCAGAATCCGAATCAAGCCGATCTTTTTAGGGTTTCATGTCGAATTTTAGGCGGATAGAATTGGATGTGTTTTGCTCTATAGCCTTCTTGTATGGAGTTTTGAGTTTTTTTTTTCTTCTCTGCATTTGGGTTTGATCAGGTTCAGGAGGAGCTAGTACAGTCGATCAAAGATGCGGAGGATGGGCTTCTTCACCTGAAACGTGCACGGTTGTTGAAAGAATTGGATGTGACAGCTGCACTTCAGAGCTCCAATGGTTCCGCAGAGAATGTCAAAGTAGAGCGTATTGACATTGACTCTAGTACGGATGATGGAGCGGAACCATTGGAGGAAGAAGAACAGAAAGAGTTTTCAATTGGGTCCAATTGTAGATTCCGTTTCAGTGATGGACGGTGGTATAACGGTCGGATTATTGGGTTTGAAGGTTCTGACGCTGCCAATATATCTTTTCTCACCCCTACTTCGGATAACATGGTGGTGAGTACATCCTTCTAGGTTTCTTCGTAATCTTATTCTTCTTTTGAAGTTTGATGCTAATAGGAGCACTCTTTCTAATGCTGTTCGTCTTCTTGTATGTCTCTGAATTATTTCAGTGAATAAGTCATGTGCATACTGAAGTTATATTAGCTGCATCCTGTAGTGAAAGCTGATGGTTTGTGTAGTCATGATACTAATGGTAGACCAACCACAAGTGCAGATGTGCAAGTTTTTCCTTCAAGAACGATGTCGATTTGGTACTAGTTGCCGCATGTCACATGGTATGTTGCATTTTTTACATTGCTGGTCTATGGACCAGTGGATCCTTTTATTTAGTTGAGGGGGTTTTTTCTATATCTTCTGTTTTCACAGCATTGAACTTGGCGAGACAGACATACCTAGTGACAGTTTTTATAGAATGAAGATACTGTACTCTGTTACTGTTTCTTGCAAAAAGAGATGTTCTCTTCTCCGGATTGTAGAATTTGTCTTGAGAGAGTAACTTTGGCACCAAGGTTTTAATTACCACTATGTTTGGGAAGGGGTGCAAATGGAAGGGGGTGCAAGTTTGGAGGGGTAAACACAAGTTCCAAGGTGTTTACCCCCGTTTGGTTATTTTGTAACAGTAGGGGGGTGCAAAACGTGAACGTAAATTCACTGTTTCGGCTTACCCCCCAAATTGGGGTGCAAGGAAAGGGGGAAGGAGGAGGAGGAGAATTATGAATTTTTAATTAGATTATAATTACATAATAATTAATATTATTAATTTTTTCTTATATCTATATTAGTGTAGAAGTTGTTTGGGGTTGACCGTTTGACTAAGAGAGCAAGTTTGTCAATGTTCGCCTCGTCAAATCGATATCTCTTAGTTGACCCGAATTTGAATTGAAAATTAGAGATAAGAAGCATTTGTTGAAAAGATAGAGAGGAACAGTTTAGTTAACTCGATTTACTTTAATAAGTAGTTAAAACTTACAGATTCGAACGTGTTTGACTAAGTTTGACCATATTTAATTTAAAGTTAGGCACGAGAACCCCCTTAGGATGACCAGTTACGAGTTGGATTTCGAGTTTCGAGGTTGCTCGACCAATGATTATTATTGTTGTTATAAATAATTATATTTGAGCATTATTATATAATAATTATTTTTATTAAAATTATTTTTATTTATTATTTTTATTATTATATATTGAATTTTCATGTTATTATTTTGTGATAATATTTTATAAATTGATAAATCTATTTTATAATAATATAATTACTTACTTTTTACTCTATTTGCACCCCCTACTTTTTCATCCAAACAACAATTTACCCCTCCACTTACACCCTCCACCAAGTTGCACCCCCCAACAATTTACCCCTCAACTTGTACCCCCCTCGAACTTGCACCCCCCTTGTTGCCAAACATAGTGTACGTGACTTTCTTGTTGCTCTCTCATGCAGTCCCCTGCACCATTGTTCTGAAAATGATGGATGCTTTGATCCAATGTTCTCCTTGGAACCTTTTGTTAATTTTGGTGGGCTGGTTCCTGATTTAGCTTCCAACATATGAGATGCACCATAATCTACTGAATGCAATTCCATTTTGTAGGCTACCGTATACAGAATCCTTAAATTGATCTATGTTTGTGAATGCAGGGGTTGATGTGCCGTTATCTTCCTTGAAAGAGTATGTTCCTACAGTCTGGGATCAGTCACTCGTGGGGTCCAGCATTCTGGCAATGCCTGACAAAAATACCGGCATTTGGAGGAAAGCTGAGCTTGAATCTTGGGATGATGAAGTCGGGTTAGGCAAAGTTGTTTTTCACAATGATGGGAGCTCTGCTAAGCTTTACCCTGAAGCTATATCCCTATCTGAGTATGCAATAGTTAGCGAAGAAGAAGAAAGTGATGATACCGGTGCAGAACAATCCGATTCAAGTGATTATGAAGAAGGAGAAAGCCCTGACGCTATAGGATTTCTTGGAAGCACCAACCAACAAAGAGGCATCCAAACGGAGACCACCATGTTTGCCAAGTGGGAGAATCACACCAGGGGCATAGCTTCCAAGATGATGGCAAATATGGGGTATCGTGAAGGAATGGGTTTAGGAGCATCTGGGCAGGGAATGGTGAATCCAATCCCCGTGAAGGTCCATCCAGGCAAGCAATCACTCGAACATGCTCTAGAATCTCAGAAACGTGAGGAGGCCGGCGGTGGAAAACAGCCAAAAAAGCGAAGCAGAGGTGGAAAGAGAAAACGTGATAAGAAGTTTGCTGCGGCAGCTAGAGCAGCCAAAGCAGCAAAGGAAGATGAGGAAACTCGACCAGATGTGTTCAGTTTCATCAATGACCAACTAGCTGCAAATGGTGGGTCGGTGGCCAAGAAGCAGCAAAAGACCAGTTCGGTCGAGAAGAAAGTGGACAGGCGAGCTCTGGTAGCTTATGAAGATGAGGTGAAGGAGTTGAGAAATCGTGTAGAAAGGCTGGAGGAGATGGCCAGTAGAAACAAGAAGGAGAAGTTGGTCTATGATGCCGCCATGAGGAAGTTAAAGGAAGCTCGTAAAGCTTTGGAAGATGCCGAGGCTACTCATGCTTCTGCTACCAATGCCGTGGTTAGCAAAGAGAAGGAGAAGAAGTGGCTCAAGTTTTAAATAGGGCATTGTTTGTTTCATATATTTTTGTATCAAATGTGATAGAGAATTATCGAACTTGATGTTCAATTCAAAAGTTGGCATTGACACAAAACTCACTATCAGTCTATCACTATCTCTTGTGGTCTCTAATGAAATTTGTTGTCTTGGTAGCAATAACTGTGGAGGTGAAGTGCACTCCAGCCAAACATAGTCCCGCCGATACCAACAGAAAGGCCTTCCACTGCCGTTGAGACGCCAGAATAGCCAACGCCACCAGAGCAACAGCTGCACCAGAGAGCACATTCCTCGCAGCATTGAAAGTCCTGAAAGCGCCCAAGCATTCCTTGCAGTGGACGACATGCCTGAAATATCGGCTCGTCAGGTTGGGAGCATGCATCTCCATGATCCCTCCCTTCGCAGGCGGCGAAGCAGATGCGCGAGCTAGAAAGCCAGCGGGCGCTTGTTCCACGACAGCAGGAACCAGAGGCAGAGAAATGGTGCTGTGCCCTAAATGGTAAGGCATTCCATGCCCAACTTTATCCATCCATTTCCGGTACTCGAGCACCCATGTATCGGAAGACCTCAGGTTTATGTACAGCTTTTTGGTGGGAACTTTTTCCTTCATCAGAACTTCATTCTGCGATGACAGAAACCCCATGTCCTGTTCGAATATCTTGCAGGAGAGGTTGTGTATGAACCATTTGGGTATCCATTTCGCCAGCTTGAAACCTTTGGTCGTACCGAACTGGACGAGGACCATCGACTTCCCTTGGCCCGCCGGTCTACAGAGAAACAACCCAGTTGCATAGTGCTTCTCCCCATTTGCATCTGTATATTCTCTTACGTTTGACAGAACACAAGGAGCTTGAAACCGCAGGAAGCTCGTCAGTCCCTCTGCTTCCCTCCCCCAGTACCCAGCAAACCCTCGATCGGACCTCTCGGTGACCTCGAACAGAAGCGGCTGAGCCTCCTTCCTGCTGGTCGAGGTGTCGGTTCCATCGTGGGAGATCGGAATGTGTGCAGGGTCCATCAAGTTCTCGAGGAGTATGGAGTGATCGTAAGGAAGCTCGTGGATGGTCGAAACCTCCTGGTACCTTGGTTTCGCCACCGATTCGAACCAAGGCAGCTTCTTCGCATTCGGCGGCGTCCTCGACGACATCCACACCCACAAGATTCCTTGCGAATCTCTGATCTCGTACGATCGGACGCAGGCCGATTTCGGAATCGTGCTCCCTGCAGGTAACTGAGGTATCTTCACGCATTTCCCTTCTCCTCCTTCGAATTGCCAGCCGTGATACAGACACTCCAGCTTCCCGTCCGTAATCTGCCCTTCTGATAGCTTCGCCAACCTAAAATTCACAGGTCGAAGCACAGGTTGTGAAACCTTACCAAGATCAAACCAACAGTTCAAGGTAAAAACAGAGATCAACTTTACCTGTGTGGGCATCGATCTTCGTAACATCGGAACTGCCCTTCTCCGTCTCTGTACACCACAACCTGCTTGTCGAATACAGTGAGCCCCAACGGAGCGTCGTCGGGGACGTCCCGGGCGAAGTAGAGCGGGTACCACTCCTCCGTCCAGTCGTAATCCGCCACCGCCACTCTCTCCTCGCTCCGGCCCGCTTCAATCGAGGGATCGCCGAACAGCACTGCTTCGTCGTTGTCGGAATTTTGATCCATTGCAGGAGGATGATGCGAGGTGGTGACTGCGTGGCACTTGCTGCTGCGGCGACGAAGGTTTGCAGCAGAGTTGGTGATCACAGCGGGAGGAGGGAAGGTGGGTATGGAGAAGGGATATTGGTTGGTGGGTCTTCTGGTGCGGGAGAGGATCAATGGGTGGAGTAGGGATGATGATGAGGATGATGATAGAGCCATGGCGACGCCCTCCATCTGCTAAGCGAAGTGAAGCGAAGCTAGTTGGGGATGCGGAGGAAGAAGGCAGTGAGCGGTGGAAGGAGGGAAGATTGGTGATGGAGAGGTGTGGCAGGTGGCGGCCGTGCGTGCGTGTGTCTGAATTTAGCTTGCACGCATTGTTCTTCTTCGGCTCGGCTCGGCTCGGCTTGAGGGACACGTTTACAGTTGGTTTTCGCGGTCGGCAGTTAACCACCACTCATATTGTTTTGATCGGAAATGAGCCACAGAAAAAAAGAATATGTTGTTTCCCTCCACTTCCTTCAACTCTTCCCGATCACTCGCATTTTAATATTATTGAAATTTTTCTTACGAATATATCATCATAAAAGGCTAATAACATTCATAAATAATGTATATTATTAAGACTATAATAATATCACTATTATAGTAATAGCATTCACAAATTATCTATATTATTATTAAAATTATATACACGACGACTTCATTTGCTCTTTGGGTGCAGATTGAGTGAACAATTGGTCGGGTTTAGACAAAATTCATGCACAACCCGTCAATTTCAAAAGCAAATAAAATCACTCTATACCCAAAATTGCGTAATTTCAACTTCTGTGACCTGATGGAGTCGAATTGAGTACCATGATTCGTATCCTCAACATCGATCTGAATCGCAAACATGTGGCCTGAGATTTTTTTTTTTAATTTGTTACCATATTTGAGCACGATGGTGCCATATACGTATTGCTCAGCTTGATTTTCTCCCAGGATAGTGAATTTTTTTGAGTTGGGGATTCTTCTTGGGAAGCCGGCGATGAAGGAATGGGCGAAGAAGAAAAGGGTGTAGCGGCCACTCCGATCCCAATGTAAAATAATTTTTTTTGAATTTTGAATTTTTTTTTAAATTTACATGTCATTAAGTTAACGGTCCAGTCATCAGTTTCGTTTGCCACGTCATCAAAAAACTGACAGAGTTAACTGAATTTGACGGAAACTAACGGCCGGTGATTAACGATGAAACGATTTGTAAAGTTAGTGGCGAATTAGAAAGAAAAATATTTCGGGTGACAATTATGAAAAATTTATATAATTTGAGTGACCAAACGTGTAATTTAGCCGGGGAAAAATGTAAATCTTTTTGTCAAAGGAAAAAATAATTCCACCGTTACCAAAAGGGGGGTAAAATTGGAAAAACGGAACAACGATTAGCACTCTCTGACCCTAACGTCTTCGTCCTCGCAGGATCACTCTCCTGATTCCTTTCTCGGGCTTACAGACTCCTCAATCCTTCCGACCACCACCGTCACTGGCTCCTCAGTAGCGCCCGCGTCCGCCTCTCTCATTCTAACTCTCACCATCGCCCAGCCGGGACGACGATTGCTGCCAGACTCTCGAGCAACTGTCCGCGGGCACCTTCTTCCGTCGAAAGGCAAGCCGCTCTCTCTGGTTAGGTAAGTTTCTCCCCTCCCTTTTTAACTTCACTAGATTGGATGGTTGTATAGCGCCAATGCCCACGTTCTTAAGACTTCGCTGTTGGTTGGATTCCCTTCTTATTCGTTCTTGGTTCCGGCGGTTAAGAGAGGGCTCTGGTTTGCTTCCCTTACTCTCCTCATTCGTGTATTCGAATTCGTATGCAGAATCAATGTGGTCTTGTTTGATTCTCCTGACATGGAATAGGGTTCAAACTTAGGTCATCTAAATCAAAACTGTATTGGTTGCATACCAGCTTTTTATCCTAAACCTTGAATCTTGAATTTTCTTTTGGGCGGAATTTGTTGTTAGATTAATAGTAATGGTGGCCTTCAATTGACTTGTTTTACTTTCCGTTCAAAGGAATTCCTGAGAGGGAGAGACAGATGAAGATAGCAGTGGAAGGTTGTATGCATGGTGATCTGGACATAGTTTACCAGACAATCCAGCACCTGGAGAAGTTGCAAGATATCAAAGTCGACCTTCTCCTCTGCTGTGGCGACTTCCAGGTTATTGTTGTTATCTTTTTTATCAGTTTCTTTCATCATCTCATCGACTACTTCCTGGTAACTTGATTTTTTTCTTTTGGGTTGTGTTCTCTCAGGCAATTAGGAACGAGAGGGATATGCAAAGCCTGAATGTGCCACACAAATTCAAGGAAATGAAGTCTTTCTGGAAGTACTACTCCGGCCAGGAGGTTGCTCCCATTCCCACCATTTTCATTGGTGGCAATCATGAAGCTTCCAATTATATGTGGGAACTGTAAGTACCGCCGCCTATTGTTGCTTAGGTCTTTCCAATTGTTGATTGATACCGGTTTAGCTGGTTGGTTGATTGATTTGTTTTGTGCTTTGTTCTTCAGATATTATGGAGGATGGGCAGCTCCTAATATATTCTTCTTGGGATGTGCTGGCGTGGTCAAGTTCGGTAACATTCGTATCGGTGGGTTGTCTGGGATTTACAATGCCAGGCACTATCGTCAAGGTTGGTCTTTGTCATCTATCAGATCCAATGCGTTGAGAAAAAGATAGCTAAAAGTTGCCATAGTGATATGATTCTCTTGATCCTTGTTGCAGTCAGCAACTAGAATCTGATTGTATTTGTTTTTGGGATGGATAGGGCATGATGAAAGACCTCCCTATAACCAAGACACAATAAGATCTGTGTATCATGTTCGTGAATACGACGTACATAAGCTCATGCAAGTTACAGAACCGATTGACATCTTCCTTTCACATGATTGGCCTCTTGGCATCACTGATTGCGGTAACTGGCAGCAACTTGTTCGGTTCAAACCACACTTTGAAGAAGAGGTAATTCTTATGCTTCCAATGTTTCTCCTATGATTCATTTTTATTGCTGGTACAAGTGCTAGATGTTGAGAACCATAGCAATTCTGTTTTCCTTCACTATTTCCTTACATAAGTCTGTAAACAAATGCAGATTCAGGCAGGAACCCTTGGAAACAGAGCTGCTGCTGAACTGCTTGAAAAGTTAAAACCCCCGTATTGGTTTTCAGCTCACTTGCACTGTAAATTTGCTGCCCTCGTCGATCATGGCAAAGATGGCCAAAAGACGAAATTTCTTGCACTGGACAAATGTCTACCACAGAGAAGGTTCTTACAGGTATTCATTATACTTTGCCATGAACGATTCTTTCTGATAGTCCATATTTTCAACCATTGAATTCATTTTGCAGATTCTAGAAATAGAGTCTGATTCTGGGCCTTTTGAGATCCAGTACGATGAAGAATGGCTAGCAATAACCAGGAAGTTTAACTCTATCTTTCCGTTGACAAAAGCAAATGCAAACTTCAGGCAGGTCTATTATTATTTAACTTTGCACCTTCAACATCCACTTCCATCTTCATGTTCCTCTAAAGTATCCCCTCATCTTTTCTAGTTACTAAAGCTTGTCCTGGTGAGTTTATAGGGATACAACCCCAGATATCCAAGAGTGCCGTGAATTTGTCAGGAGCAAGCTAGAAGCTAGAGGAGCAAAACCTTTTGAATTTGCACAAACCGCTCCTGCTTTTGATCCCAATCAATCTCAATCAATGGGCTCCTCCAGGGGGGATGGTAATAATAGATGGCCATTTATTCTCAGTTATGCTCATTTTATTTCCAGCACATAAACATCAGAAATTTGGATTGGTTGTTATTTCCAGCATCACTAGATCTACTAAGTGTCTAAACCATTAGCGACTCCCTCCGCATCGTTAGTTTGGTCTTATAGAAAGTTTATCTTTGATGGAGTGCAGAATGTCTTAGGAACCCCCAAACGGAGTCATTCTTGCAGCTTTTGGAGCTTCCATATCTGCTAGACCAAGGAACTGCAGTAACAGCAGCGAATGCTTATCATCGTCCTAGTCCGTCGATCCAGAGAGGTAAACATGACTTGCCTTGCCTCTGCTTTTTCACGTTCATGGATCCTAGTCGTTTTTGCCACCCCGTTTCGTTAAACATTTATCAACGAGCGAAACTGACCATTCAATTGGCTCACGTGCAATAGGTCCTTGCGTTGATAATACTGAAGAAATACCGATAGATGACATTGATGAAACAGAAGACTAACACTGAGCAGCAGCATCGTTGACAACTACAGCGCCGATTTCACTGTGGAAACTCCTGCTCCTAACTCGAAGGCTAGCTGGGAAATGTGAACCCAACCCATCAATGGGAATCGCCTAAAGTCCTAAACTACGGTGGCGGCGGCTGGAAACCATTTACCTTTTTCACCAGGAAACTGACTGGTAAAAGTTTGGTAGTTAGTTACAGCCTCAAATGTCAAGGGTTGATTTCGATTTGTCTTGTGGTAGGAAGTGAAATTGCAGGTGCAGCATACTGTAAGGGACAGCGATCCATGTGGGTTGGTTGGTGAGAGGGCAAAAGACAAAATGACTTGACATTTTCGAAAGGGGCCATGGATTACAGCAGTCAGCTCCAATAGTAAAATGTGAATGGTAGGAAAAACAAAGGCAACGAAGTCACGTCTTCCATATTCGCCTACCTTTTCATCTTTCTGCAAATCATCTATTTATACCATCTAGCTCCGGTATGAATAATGATATTTGTTGGTGTGGGGTTGACTCATGATCCGTTCGCCTGATCTCGTCGAGAGGGAAGAAACCTGTGAAAGAACCGGGGATGCCCCCGGATTAAGCTCCGACGATCAAGTTAGTATATTATGTAGAATGAGTTGAGAGAATAGATAGAGAGAGAAAGTGTAGAGAGATAATGAAAAGTTGGAAAGTGAGGTCCTCTCCTTTGGAGGGCTTCAAGCCCTTATATACCTGTAGCGGGTATCAAGCGTTGGGCATCGCCGATTGTGCGCCCTACTACTTAGTTTGTGCGCGGAGTATCTTAGTAACACCCCCAACATCATCCATTCACGATATGTCAAACCGTTTCTTTTTTATCCTTCTATTAGTGCTGGTTTGCTTCCATTCAGATTCAACCAGGCTTTAAATTCACGAATACAACGAGACCATTCAGATTCAACCAGGCTTTAAATTCACGAATACAACAAGACTCGGTTATCGAGTGTATATAACTAATTGTAATATGTTCACGTTTATTAAGAAATCGCAATGAGCAGAGCGGATCGAAAACATGGAAGTAAAATTAATCAGGTAGGGAGAAGGAAAACCTTGACTTAGACAATCCTAATAGTTTTCACATTTGTTACGAATTTTACTATAGTTTAAGAGATAGGAGGTCTATCAGCAACTTCGACATGATTGAATTGGTTGTTTTAAACTTTTCATTCTATCATTAAGAGTTGGCGAGATAAGCAAAATAACATGGGGGAAAATCGTAGTAAACAAATTAGGATTGAGAGAAGATACATTTTCATGTTCATCCACTGCCAAGAAGAAAGTTACTACGTAGTGATGGCAATAAAGACCCAAAATTTGAGTATTGTCCAAATTCAATTTATTAGGAGTTAAATCAGGTTTATGTAATATCGATTTTTTTGGTCATACCCATACCCAATTTTTTAGCTTTTTGCTTATCAAAATTGGACCCAAAATATTGGTTACCCAAATGAAAAAATTGGGTACCTGATTCTAATACAATTTTTTGCATTTTTCTTTGTTGCGAAACAAACAAAATGTGGAAATGTCAAACATTAAAGGTGTGGATTGGGGGGTGAAAGACAGTTAGTGAGATTGGTCGATATTTGCTTTTTTATGTGTGTACAACCGTCTGAACTTCAATACATATGGTCCGATCCAAATGGGTTGACTTAAACTGTACCCAATTCAAACCCAATCTAAACAGAAAAATGAATTGATTCGAGTCCGATCCGATATCCATAACAATCCAAACTGTGTCCAATTGAATTTGTGTTGTAGATTCCAGCTTTACTTCCACCACTCACTCAATCACCAACTGTGGCCTACACAGCACTGCCGACTACAATTTCCCCCCACCACCAGCCGGCAAGAGTTCCCGACGAAAGAGAGAGAGAGAGAGAACGAAAGAAAGAAACAAAAGGAAAGTAAAGGCAGTGCCAGTACTACTCCATCAATAAAGCCGCCTCGTGCCATTTATCTCAAACAAATTAAACCAGATGAAATTGTGGGAGTGTTTAGTTTGTTTCAAATAAAGGTTACTTCGTAAGTGTTTGTTTCGATGTTTCGAAGTAGGGGTGGGCATTCGGTCGGTTCGGTTCAAATCGAACCGAAATAATGTATACCGGGTTTTCGAGTTCCATCAAATCTCGAACCGAATTATAATTCGGTTCGGTCGATTCAAACTGAATTATAATTCGGTTCGGTCGATTCAAACCGAATTATAATTCGGTTCGGTTCGGTTTTGTATGAAAAAACAAAATTGTGAGGTTAGTTTGTATTTTTTCTCTTTCAAATTATTTTTCACCCCTAATGTAAACAATAAATATGCAATTAAATGTATCATCAATGATAAAATCAAACATTTCAACACATAACTCATAAAACACTAACATAATTCAAATATTTAAGTCTCATAATAAGTACAAACATAAAAATTCACCATTAGGAACTTGCAATTATAATAATTCGGAAAATCGGTTCGGAATTCGAAAATTCGTTTCGGTCGAAAAGACCTTGGTTTCCGAAATATACCATTTTCTCTTCCGAATTCCGAACCGAAGTAATGTTATTCGTTTTCGGTTCGGTTAGGTTCGGTTTTACCGAACCGTATGTCCACCCTTATTTCGAAGGAAGAATTGATATAATTGAGGGAATTTTCGTGAAAGTATGAATTAGTACATTACATTATTTACATTAATCTTATATTTTTTAATCAATTTAGACTGGAATTGATTCAACTTTTGGCATCGTGATGTGCAAGAGATTTTGTCTTTCATTTCCTTCATTCTCCCAATCAATGGACTCAATTATGAGCATGAGTCGACATGCCTTCATCTGTAACCACCCGATTATTCAGTTGTTCTTAATAACTCTAGTTGTTGGGAGAGGTTCAATAATGAGTTTTTTACCACTCAATAACACGTACACCCCCTCAAACGAAAGTCAGTCAACCCATAAAGGAGTTTCGTTTGCACAGGTCTGAATACAATAATATCATGTGCTTTACAAATTGGGTCATCGGAATTCGAACACAATACCTCTCGATCGCAGAAGGCCCTGATACCATGTCAAGAACCATTTATCACAATAACTCGACCTGTTGAAAGAAGTTCAATAATAGATCTTATACCACTCACTAACATATATATAACACTAGCACAGGACCCGGCCCGTTGGCCGAAAGAATTTTGTCGAGAAATATGATATATAATAATGGATATATAATAAAGGATTTGAAATGCACAAAATGATTGTTTTCTAACTTAGTTATCCACATAACATTTTTGAAAGTGATCCAACTATGCATAATATGTCTAGACCTCCATGAAAAGAGAAAAATATAATATAAGCATTACTTATAATTATTGAATAAAAAAATAAATAAATATAACTAATTGTCATCCATTACTTAATTAAACCATATAATTGAATATTAGAGTTGTTTCTCATAATACATACATAATCAACCTTTAAGATGAAAGAAAATGTCTCTCATAGAGTTTAGTATGTCCTTTAAGTTTTTCCCAATAGAGAGCATTCTTTTTACCACACCATTGGTAATGAATCTGAAGTTGCTTGATTTGAAATATATAGGACATGATGCTAAATTGTCGCTAATAGTTGGTTGGAGAATGTGTTGTGTATGGATTTCCAAAATTATTCTCAGATCGCAGACATGTTTAACAACAATGTAGTAATTTTCATGCAGCAAATATTTTTTTCATGAAATAATTCAATAAATAAAAACCTAATATGTACTCATTAAGTTGATGAATGAGCAAGAGTATAAGTAACATACATCTATTTTAAAAATATAGAAGTTGCAAAGTGTTTTTTGGGTTGAATGAGATCGCATATTCTAATTATCGCTAACTGACTTATGTTTTTTTTGCAATAGATAGTTCAAAATGTGCTTTAAAACTTCTGTTTCCACCAGTGTAAAAGAATTGTTTGAACCAAATGATTACAATAGTATAAATTTTTTTGACAGTAGAGTATTTTATACTAAAATCATAATTTAACTGTGGTTCAACCGTTTCATATTGCTAAATATCACCTATCGATTTAGCCTATGGTGTGAAGTTGTATGGAGAACCGCCAATATGTACGATCTTTCAATTCAAACTTTAAATAAAAAACCACTAAAATATTGACATGAAAAAATACCCTTAAATCTCATAAATTACCATAATCGTATTAAGGAAAAAATCATCCAGATGATAATACTGATTTAGGATTTTATGGGGTCATTTGGAAGTTGCGATTGTTAAATAGATATTGTGTTGTGAATGCATGTATAATATTATATATGTATTGTCGGATTAGATGCATTGTGTATGTCACATAAGCTAAAAGTTTAGACAAAACAATCCCAAATCAACTATCTCAACATTAACAACTAAAATTTGAGATTTAACAATACTCATTTTGATTGATAGTTTCGGTCATATCACAGATGTAATCCATGTATTGGTTCTACTAAAAAATATAAAAATGATGAATTCTAAACAATACATGTATAGTAAATCTCAACAAAACAATCGCAACTTTCAAACGACCCCTTGATCGAAATGAAAAAATTCTATCAAATATAATGTCATCTCCTAAAATAAATCAAAACTCAACAGGGCAAAGAATACCCACTAAGCAAAGCAGAAGGACAATTATTTCACACTACCTCATTCCCCCCCCCCCTCTCGTTTAAGTATGTTCTCTCACTCTCTCTTATGCCTCGTTCACTTGCCATTTTGTTTTCTGTTTTCTGCTGTGACAACAAAAATAAAAAATAAAACAAATTGTATAAAATGTGTTCACTTGCAATTTCATTATCGTTTAAAAAAATAATGGGGAATAAAAGAGGCAGTTGGGCGGAAACAATAAAACATCCTTTGCTGGAAAATGAGAGACGAATTTCCTCCCGTTGCCCATTGGGTTATGCCCCCATTCCTTTTAATGAGCCCATCGTTCGAATCCCTTTGCCACATTTTTTCTCTCCTTTTGTTCACTTAGACCAACGACGTCGTTTTGCTAACCCCAGCTCCCATCCTTCTTCTCCCAGCCTCCCCCAAACTCGACCTCTCCATCGAACGAAGCTGCTACAGTTCGCCTCTTCTTCCTCTAGCAGATGGAGAGAAGATCGATCCGATGAACTCCTTCTCTAGTCGGCGAAGCTCCAGCGGCGAAGGACGGGTTTGCTTTGAGATGCCAGCAGGTATTACCCTTCCACCGCTAAGTTAATCATTCTCAAAGGCTTAGATCATCGAGGTCATATCAACAGAGGTGTGGATTAGGATGGATGAGACAGTGATGGCTACACTTGCCCAGCGGATCGTCAATAATCCTCTTTGTTTTTCCATTTGTTTTTCATTCGTTTTTCCATCTCTCACTCTCTTTCTCTCTTTGAGCTTTGTATCTCACCACTCTCCCTCTTTCCTTCCTCTTTCTTCCCACCGCCTGGAATTGAGAGAAACCTAGAAACATCCCAATTACTTATCCAATTTTGCATTCGAAAATGCTTCTTCTCCATTCACAATCGAAAGTATGAATCAGAGGACCTGAAACCTGGCGACCAAATGGCCGCTTATTCCTCTCAAATGACACATTTCTCCATAAAACATGAGTGCACCAATATAGATTATGTGGTGCTCGCACTTGTGCGCGAGCGCTTGAAGTTTAAGTTAGGTATGACCCATGAAGCATTCATACTTGTATAGTGTCGATCCATATACATTGTCTTCATGGTATGCTCTAACTGTGTCATGCTAGCTCGATCATGTGTTTGCGTATAGTTACATGCATTCTAATAATTAAGTTTTTACATATTCACAACACCAAGATAAAAACAATCATAAATGCTAAAATACTACATTTGAACCAACTACCACCGATGCCACAAATAATAAGTATATCTCTAAATCATACATAAAATATTTCAAACATCACAAATATTAAGATTAAATTAATTATTATAAAGAGTAAAAATTATATTATGAGGTTAATTATAACTTATTTATATGTTAATGCCCTTAAATTGATCAACACACCCAAAAATGGTAAAATGAACATCACATTAAACCTAATATCTTCTCATTATTGTCGGATCCATTCATGCTAGATTAGCAAAAGGTTTAATGTTTAGCAATTAACCAGGCTAAAATTTTAGATAACCAGTCAAATATAGTTTGTACAAAATATTATTGCTTCCTAGTAGTTATGTAAATATATATTAATTAAAGAATTCTACATCTCTGTTGCATATTTAATACTACAATTCGATATGCAATTCAAGCATTGAATTTGTGTTGCAATTTTAAGATTACCCGTCATTTTATAGGTTATAAAAAATTATAAATCACGTATTAAACTTTGCTTTTTAGAATATTTAATAGGCTAGCTAAACATGATGGAAAGTTCCTATGCTTTTCAAATCTTCGCTAAGTGTATGCATACAATTCAAGAAGATAAAACAAATTTGTTTAGTGTAATTGGTTGTGATTATTTTTTTTTAAGAGACCATGGTTCAAATCTATATGTTAATACCTTTTCATAAGAAGTAGATAAATAATTGCAATGAAAAAAACACTCTTCCTACTTTCAGTCTCGTTTCACGAAATTGGAAATGAAAAATCTTAAAACATTGAATATATCTTATAGAAAGATCTTATTCAACCAGGTAAGAAGGGCATTTTACCTGAAATTATTATATCTTATAGAAGTGATTAATTGTGAAATCGGAACTCAAGTAACATTTATTCAAACATTAAATATTAAATTGTATGTGTGGTACAGTTTAGATAAAAGACATGTGTGTAGCCAAAACATAGGTCTTTGTGACATATATAGTAACTTTTTGTGACAAATCTACACATAAAATAAAGATATATTTGGCACTATGACGAAAAAAGAGGTTCGTAGAATCACTCTCATGCCACGAAATTTAAAAGAAGACTCTCATTTTCCAATTTTATCATTATATTATGTATAGATTTGTCACAAAAAAATGCTATACTCGTTACAAAGGTCCATGTTTTGGTTACACTTCTGTAGTTTGTCTAAACTAAACTAAACTACACATACAATTTAATATTAATTTTTGAATAAATCCTACTTGAGTTCCGATTTCAGAACTAATCTCATTCTATAAAATATGAATAACTTAAAGATAAAATATAAATATAGAAGCATCATCACAAACATATTCCTAGAGTTTAATCAAAGAAATAACAATAGATATAATGTAGCTTAGTTGGTTATAATGCTCTTTCTTCATTTAATTGATCCAGGTTCGAACTCCAATGATAGCATTTTTAATATATAAAGATAAAGTGGGCGCAATGATAAAAATGTCCTTCCTACAATCACTCTCAGGCCACGAAATTTGAAATGGGAGAATTCTAACCCATGTTTTGCCTTTATATATCTCGTAGATAGATGTACTTGGTGTGTATGAGTATTAAGTTACCGGTCCTGCCCTATTATCATCACTAATTGTCGCCGGATTGTAGGTGTTTGTTTGACCGGCGGTAATCACATGCTATCTATGGCTTGTGGGTTGGTAAGACTTTCAAACTTGTTGCTGCTAGGAGAGCAAATATGGCTTAGGTATAAATAGTAGTGATAATGATGCATCAATTGGCTCTCGATATTTTAGTTGGTAAAAAAATAATTGTTCTGGACAGTATATTGCTAGAACTTCTCGAATAGCAGGCAGGAAAGTATATATTTTACTGGTTCAAACCAGTCAGAATCATATTGAATTAAATATAATAAGTGTGAACACGGACTTATATGATAGCGTACGCTAGTCCTAATATACATACAACACATTACGATCGACAAATACGATTCGTTGGGTTTTTTTAATTTATCGAGATTCGCGGTCAGTTTTTTTTTTTTTTTTACACCTGTGGCTGATTAATGACTTAAAACACATTAAGAAGTTTCATAACCAATAGATGAAGGAATATACTAAGTAATTAGTTAGTTGTAGGCTACTTTCTCGTGATCTCATCATATCTATTGATGCAGATATATACAACATCACATTAGAGGAAATGAAAACGAACCAATAGATGAGAATCTTACAAGATATATAGAATGTAAATCCGGCAGTTCATGTCGACGTGCTGTAACCACCACCGGAGGAAAGCACATCCGCCATCGTTCATCATTTCTGGGAAAACAACAGTCAGCAGCCCTCCAAACTAGGCCCTTCAAAGTTAAAACTGTAAGCTGAAGAACAGTGGAAACGAACCGGGGTGTGGAAGTGGAGCTAATTTGACGTTGACACATGCGCTCTCTCTCTCTCAAGAGGCCAAAGCGCATTAGAGACCTGGTAAGAAATACGCTTCTTCGAGTTACTTACGGTGAACGTAACTGGATAGATAGAATGAATTTTAGGGGTTGAGAGTAGAAATTAGGGATTTAGGGAAGAACAGAAAGAACGGCCTAAACCTTCCGGAGAGAGAGATGGACGAGATTTAGAGAGAAAGAGATTAGGGTTTAGGGATATAATTCTTCTATTAATCTTTGCTTAATAGTAAATGAATGTCTGAATAGGGTGTCAGTTTGGGTCGGGTTCGGTTACCCAAACCGAAACTCGAAAAAACCCGACAATCCGAAACCGAAATAACTGGAAACCGAACCCGATAAGGACTTTCGGGTTCATGTTACAAAAAACCCAAAAATTTCTTATCGAGTTCGGTTAAAGCAAAACCGAAACCCAAAAATTTCTTATCGGATTCGATTAAAGCAAAACCGAAACCCAAAAATTTCTAACGAGACCTTTAGACTTGGACTGATATTCGTGGGCTATAAAAAGGGGACCAAAATAACGCAGAGACCACAGTTCCCATTTTCCTCATCCTGGACCTAAAGAAACAATGGCCACTACTACTACCACTACTGTTTTCTCCTCCTCCTTCACCCTCTTTGCTGCATCTCTATCCTTCTTTCTTCTGCTTTCTTTGAACACTGCGAATGGCGATGGAACATTTGGGGTTCAGCAGCAGCATTTCTACACTGTTCAGCTCTCCTCGCTGTTTCCTTCCGACTCTTGCAGCCCTGCTCCTTCAACCAAAGGTGATTCCAAGCTAAATTCTTTCACTCAATATTTGTACCGAAATGGGAAAGGATAAGGTTAACCATTTGGTTTTTGGAGGTTCTGCGTTCAGATACTTCAGAGTTCCTCCTACAGGATCCATGTTTCACCACTAACAAGTTACAACAATCTATCAATAAAAGAAGATAGGTCTAAAGACCAAAAATACGTATCGTGGGTTCGATTTTATCCAACCAAACTCGAGCTAGCTACATGTGCTTTATGAACCTAAAGTTGAATAACTAATGGAAATCATATCAGTTCAATTTAATAATATCTTTGTAGGGTAATTTGTCACAAAAGGAAAATAAAAATAGTGGAAAGTAGAGACCCCATCCAATTTGACTTTACTGAAAATAACCTAACCTGTTTGTGGAGGAACCCAAGAGGACAAACAACATGTGAAACCCTCCATAGTTCAACTGGACAAACTACTTTAGCCTACCATATATACTTGATTGGGAACCTTCTAAATTGTGTGGCTGCCAGTATTCTGCCCCAATCTCAAGCAATCTTTCACCCTATCCAATCCTCCCTTTAAACTTAACTCATAGTAATAATACTCATAATTAAGGAATGCTCAACTCAAAATTAAGTAGATAAAAACATGCTCCAAACTACACATTATTGTATATTATTACTAACTAATTTTAGCTCCCACTAATGACAATCTCTCAGTTTGAGAAATATGCTTTGGGGAATTCAAAGTTGTACATCTTGTGTATGGAAATGAACGTTTTTGCTTTCCTATTGTGTAGGGCTGAACAAGCTGCCAGTGTTCCACAAACACGGGCCGTGCGCTGAGGCCCAACAACTCGTCACCTCTACAAACCAGCCCAAGCCCACCGCGGACGAAATCCTTCTCCAGGACGAGTCCAGGGTCCGGAAAATCCAGTCCAGGTCCAGAAAGTCCGACGTCAGGGTGACGGACTCCACCAGCATCCCGGCAAAGGACGGCAGCACCGTCGGCTCCGGCAACTACATCGTCACCGTGGGGCTCGGCACCCCGGCGAAGAAACTCTCCCTCATATTCGACACCGGAAGTGACGTCACGTGGACGCAATGCCAGCCGTGCGTACGGTCTTGCTACCAGCAAAAGGAAAAGATCTTCGACCCTTCCTCCTCCAAAACGTACCGAAACGTTTCCTGCGAGGCCGCCGCCTGCTCCGCCCTCGCTGCCGCCACCGGTACGTTACCGTAGTTAATTATCACGTAAAACGACAAATACTTTGAAATTTCTCAATATGGTTTTGACGAAATCTCAATTTTTCAATTTCCGGCAGGAAACAGGGGATGTAGTGCCTCGACGTGCGTGTACGGGATCCAATACGGCGACACGTCGATCTCCGCCGGTTTCTTCGCCATTGAGAAACTGACGTTGACCAAAACCGACGTCTTCGACGAATTCTACTTCGGGTGCGGCCAAAACAACAAAGGGAACTTCGGCGGCGCCGCCGGGCTGCTCGGGTTGGGCCGGAACCAGCTGTCGCTCGTCTCCCAGACCTCCGACAAGTACAAGAAGCTCTTCTCCTACTGCCTCCCTTCCTCCCCCAGCGGCACCGGATTCCTCACCTTCGGCGGCGCCACCAAATCGGCGGTGAAATACACTCCCATCGCCAGCGTCGCCGGCGGCGACAACTTCTACGGAGTCGGCATCACGGCCATCAGCGTCGGCGGCAAGAAGCTCCCCGTCGCCGCCTCCGTCTACTCCGCCGCCGGCGCCATCATCGACTCCGGCACCGTCATCACCCGGCTCCCGCCGGCGGCGTACTCCGCGCTCCGGTCGGCGTTCAGGAAGCAGATGTCGAAGTACCCATTGGGCCAGGCGCTGTCGATCCTCGACACGTGCTACGACCTCAGCAAGTTTAAGACTTTTGCGGTGCCCAAGATCGGGTTCTTCTTCGCCGGCGGCGCGGAGGTGGACATCGATGCCGTCGGGATTCTGTACGCCAACAAGCCGTCGCAGGTGTGCCTGGCGTTCGCCAGCAATGGGGGGGCGAAGGACGTGGCGATATTCGGAAACGTGCAGCAGCAGACGCTGGAGGTGGTGTACGACGGCGCTGGCGGGAGGATTGGGTTCGCCAGCGGCGGCTGCAAATGAGGACTCGGAGCGACGTCGTATTTCCCCCCGATGAGCGATGAATGTCCCAATTTATTAGGGGACGAAGGAATTAAGGTAGTAATTTCGGAATTGAGAAATGTTATAAATAATCTGAATCATCGAAAAGCTGATTAAGGTAATGGGGAAGCAAATGGAGGAAGAAGAAAAACTCGAGCTTTACTCGTACTTTACCATATAGTCATTAGACATGGAGGTAGTATGTCATGGATTTCTTGCTTTGCGAGAAACAACAAAGTGTACAATAACTGCCGCAATTTGATTTAAGGAATGATGAATATGGATTTATGGCTTGTCTTCTTGTTAGTCTACATATTTACTAGCTTTTACTCTGGCCCTTGGCCGAAAGAGTTTCGCTTTATCATTAATATTCGTTAATTTATAATTATATTTAATATATTAATCTGATTCGTTGGTAGGACGAATTTTATTTTATTTTATTTTGATAAATATCTTTCATATTTTTAAATAAGTTGAGGTTTCTAAAATATTTAATTCGTTATTTCATAGTAATCTTTATGGTATTTGCTTATTATGACATTACCGATAATGAGTTAATATGTACTTTATTATCAAGTCCTCCTAGTTTACTGTTGTGTATTTTTTTTCATATCTTCGAAGAAATTTGTGGATTTTTTATTATCGGATATGAAGTTGGAGTTGAAAGAAAATATATATCATCTAGAATGGTAGGAATTGAAGGTATATAAAAAAATCAAGAGAATAACGAAAAAGATTATGTCTAGAAATCTCAAATATATTCGTTATGAATTTGAGATAATTGACTTGGTTGTTTACAACTTTTCATTCTCTCATAAAGAGTTGGCGCGATAAGCAAAATAACATTTGAGAAAATTATGGTAAAAAAAAAGTAGGATTGAGAAGATATATTTTCATCTTCGACTTAGTAATCCACTACCAGAAGATAGTTATTATGTTGACACTACGGATGACAATAAGGATCGCCGATGTTTCGACTTTGGCAAAGATTGAAGGCTCTTCGTCATTTGTTATATGATTGGAGCCGGGCCGGTACGAGTAATTCGGCGAGGAATATTTAGATTCTGCATACGAAAATAGAGAGTTTGAAGGGCGATGAAGAAGTAGACTGGGATCGCGTTGGTAGGATGGAAGGTGAACTGGCTAAACAAAGGGCAGTGGAAGAGGAGTACTGGAGGCAGAAGTCAAGGGTCCGGTGGTTAGATGAAGGGGATAAGAATTCGTCTTACTTCCACATAGTCACGCGTGCGCGACACAGGAGGAATTTCATTGAAGGATTACTGAATAAGAATGGAGACTGGGTGACTGAGGAAGCTCTGAAGGGAGCTGTGGCGAGTGAATTTTATGAGGACCTCTTTCGATCAAAGAGGCAAGACTTAGACATGGCTGGTAAAGTAGCGGGGTTGCCTGTCCAGGAACTAGTGACGGAGGAGATGAATAGGGGATTGACGACTGAGATCTCCGCTAACGAGATCAGGCGTGCCGTTTTTTCCATTGGGGCTACTCAAGCCCCGGGGTCGGATGGGTACACTGGTCAATTTTACTGGGCATACTGGGAGATTATTGGGGGTGAGGTGGTGGAGGCGGTACAGTCTTTTTTCCAATCTGGTCGGCTACTAAAAAGCTTCAATCATACCTGGTTGACCAATCATACCTGGTTAGTCCCTAAGGTGGATGCAGTGGAATCCATGAGGCAGATAAGATCAATCAGTTTGTGTCAACTCTTTTACAAGATTATATCTAAAATCATGGTGGAGCGAATGGCGAACATTTTGCCTTCTATTATCTCACCGGAGCAAAATGGATTCATTCGTGGCCGTCAGATCGTGGACAATGTACTGATTGGGCACGAGGTTATGCATTATCTCACTGTCAAAAAGCGAGGGAAGAAAGGCTACTTGGCTCTGAAGGTCGACATGGAAAAGGCCTATGATAGAGTCGAGTGGGATTTCTTGTTTGCGATTATGGCAAAGATGGGATTTCGTATGCAATGGATTGCTTGGGTACAGGAATACGTCTCGACGACGTCATTCTCTGTGATGATGAATGGTACGCCAATGGGCTATTTTCGATCGTCGTGGGGATTGAGGCAGGGGGATCCATTATCTCCGCTCCTCTTTGTCATTTGTTCGGAGGGCTTTGCGGCTCTTTTGCGGCGGGCTATTCAGGCTAAAAGTTAAACAGGGGTGAAAATTAGCCCTCGATGCCCTAGTGTGTCGCATTTGTTCTTTGCAGACGACTCCTACCTGTTCCTGCGGGCTTCTAAGGGAGACTGTGAGGAGTTGCTGAGAGTATTGCAAGAGTATCAGGGGCTAAGTGGGCAGAAAGTGAATTTGGCGAAGTCTGTGGTGTGTTTTAGTGGTAATGTGGATCCCCCGGATGTGGCAGAGATGGCAGTTGTCCTTGGGGTAGGGGCGATTGGTGTCCAGGACAAGTATCTGGGCCTTCTTTCCTTGGTCAGCGATCCAAGGTGGAGACCTTTAGATATTTGCAGGAGCGGATGTTGGCTAGACTTCAGGGATGGAAGCAGAAGCAGTTGTCGTGGGCAGCGAAGGATGTTCTCCTTAAAGCGGTGGCCTCTGCTCTTCCTATTTATGTTATGTCTTGTTTCCTGGTACCGGTGACACTATGCCGTAAACTAGACAGGTACATGGCTCGCTTTTGGTGGGGATACTCAGCAAACAAGGACAAAGAACATTGGGTATCGTGGCGGAGCCTTTGCCGGAGCAAGTTTGACGGAGGTCTCGGATTTAGGAGGTTTGAAAATTTTAACCAGACACTGCTGGCTAAGGTTGCTTGGAGAATTTGGAAGGAGCCTGAATCGCTACTGGCGCGTGTTCTGAAGGGCAAGTACTTTTCTAAGACATCAATCTTTAAGGCGGGTCGCGGCTCCCGACCGTCCTGGGGATGGACGAGTGTCTTACATGGGAGGGATCTCTTGTGCCAGGGACTCAGGTGGCATATAGGAGAGGGGAAGGCGGTAAGCATTTTGGAGGATGATTGGATCCCAGGGGTCCGTCCGGAGGACCTTGTCCTTCGACCTCAGGCCCCGGATTTGTCGGGTGTGAAGGTAGACTCGCTAATAGTGCCGGGCATGGGTAGGTGGTGTGTGGAATGCCTGGAGCCGTGTTTCCCGACGGAGACAGTGCAGGCTATTCAGTCGATTCCGCTACCTAAGCAGCCATTGGAGGATAGCCGTGTCTGGATTTGGGAGGGTGATGGAGTATACACGGTGAGATCTGGATACCATCTGGCCTTTCAGTTAAGCAGGAGGATGCTGGGGTGGAAGGATGAGGTTTCCTTTTTCGGTATGTCTGATTGGAAGAAGGTATGGAGCTTTCCCCTTCCTTCTAAGCTGAAGTTCTTTGTGTGGCAGGTCATGAAGCGGGTACTGCCTACCGCGGAGGCTGTAATTGAGAAGAGTGGTAGGGTACCGACTGATCTTGAGGAGGCGGATCTTGATGATAGTAAAATTTCTCCATGTTGTCCGGTCTGTTGGGCTCCATTAGAGACTCTGGAGCACATGTTTTTGTCTTGTCGGGTGGCGGTGGAATTATGGACTTGTTCGGGCATTGATATTGGAGGTATAGTGAATTCTCCGCTGAATTTTGCTCTAGTCTTCAGGCAATTTATCGAGAAAGAACCTGGGCCTGAACAAATTGTACGGTTTGTTGCTTTACTATGGAGAATATGGAAGAGCCGGAATTGGGTGGTCTTTGATCATATGCAGTATGATATTAGGATTTTGGTGCGCCAGTATGAAGCCCATGTCAGGGAGTGGCTCGCGAATATGCAACTGGGAGAGGGAGTGGTGGAGCAGGGGAGGAGAGTGTCGGTTTCTATGGGGGGGGGGGGGGTGCGCAGTCAGGGCGCGCAGTTGCCATTCTGCTGCTATGTGGATGGTGTTGTTCTGGCTGGGTCGCATGGTGCTGGGGGTTTGGTTGTTCGGGATGGGATGGGAGCTATTAGATATGTCAAAGGCTTTCAGTATGCAGGTCTCGTGGATCCATTTCTGGTGGAGTTGGTGGAGCTCCGGGATGCAATTCAGTGGTGCTCTTTGAAGGGTCTAACTGAGGTGATGTTCTGTGGGGATGTGAAGACGGTCATTGACAAAGTTCAGAAGATGGATGTGCGTGATGTGAAGGGTGGAAGGATATTGGTGGAGATTTTGAGCCTTAGACAGCAGTATCGGAGCTTTGGAATTTCGTTTGTTGGCAGAAGTAACAACTGGGTGGCCCATGATGTGGCCAGGAAGACTCTTTCCTTGTTGCCTGCGTCTGTAGATAGTTTTGATTTTGAACAGTGGTTTGAACTTGGGTTGTAAACTTTGCTATCTTTTTGCCTTGGTAATACAAGTGATCTATTGGTTAAAAAAAAAAGATGACAATAAGGATCCAAAATTCTAATATTGTCCAAATTTGATTTATTACGGGTCAAATCAAGTTTATGTAATATCATTTTCTAGTTTAGATCAAAACTGGACCCAAAGTATTGTTTACCCCAAAAGAAAACGGATACCTGATTCTAATACGATTTATGCATATTTTTTTTGTTCCAAAACAAACAGAAATGTAGAAACGCCCAACATTGAAGGTGTGAATTGGGCTGAAAACAGTTAGTAACTTAGTAAGACGGTCCATGTTACATCTTTGTATGTATGACTTCATCTTAGCTGGACTAAAATGAACTTTTATGGATCCGACCCTAACAAGTTGACTCAAATTCCAACCAATCCAAACTCAAGGCAAACCCAAAATCATTAAGCGTCCATATGAATCCTACCCAATGTCCATATGTATCATATAACAATTGTATCAAATGAATCGACTCATTATCGTTCGACACCGAACCGGTTGCATGCAATCTACCAGCTCATTTGTGAACAACCGTTGCCCAAAGTAACGTACGGTTAAGACAAGAGTAGATTAACGTTAGAAACAAAAGGAAAAGGCAGTCCTCCATCAATCAAGCCGCCTCGAGCCATTTAACTCAAACAAATTAAACCAGATGAAATTGTGGGAGTGTTTGTTTCAAACAAAGGTTACTTCGTAAGTGTTTGTTGCGATGTCTCAAATGAAGTAATGTTGAAGGGTTTTTTTGTGAAAGTATGAATTAGTAAATGACAAAATTTTGATCAATTTAGACTATAATTGATTCAACTCAATATAATTAATCTACCTATTGTCTTTATTTTTTTCCATTTGTACACGAATTTTACTTTGTTTGATTGTTAAAATGTAAATAATAAGCATGAGTCGACCTGTCTTGATCGATACCCACCCGATTATTCAGTTGTTCCCAATAACTAGAGTAGGGGGGGGGGGGGGACATCAGAATTCGAACACAAGACCTCTCGATCACGAAAAGGCTCTGATACCACGTTAGGAACCAATTACTCCTAATAACTCGAATTACTGAGAGAGATTTAATAATATATCTTATAGGCACTCACTAACAGATCTAACCTGCACTTGATGCGTATGAGTAATTGAGATATCGATCCGACCCCAATACCATCCCTACTAATTGTCGCCGGATTGTAGGTTGTTTGACCGGCGGTAATGCCTTACTAATCTATCTATGGCTTGTGGGTTGGTAAGACTTTTAAACTTGTTACTGCTTAGGAGAGCAAATATGGGTTAAGATATAAATAGTAATGATAATGATATGCATCAATTAGCAAAGCTTGCACTCAAACTAACATAAGAATCCGTATTTCATGTAAAATTGGACAAATAACGACTTCCCACGTGGTCCCTATCCATGTATATGCTATGTGTCGTTGGAAAACAAGAATCCAAATAGTTATTTGTTTTCTGGTTAAGGGGTTCTGTCCAAACGCCCAACGTGCCTTTTCACCATCGTATCACAGGCGGTACTGCATGTTACATATTATTAGGAATGGTAATGGGCAGGTTAGGGGCCGGTTTCTTGGTACCCAGACCCATTTCATGACAGGTCAGATCCAGGTTGGGTAATTGGTCACGGGTCGTGGGTCGGGGCAGGTCGACTCGATATTTATGCAATTTATATTAAAAATATTAGAAATATTCGTTATTTTTATTATAAGACTAAGAAAACAAACAATATTATGACAATTGTAGTTAAATTATTGGAGAAATTGAGGTTTTCACTAATTTACAACTTTCTTATAGCTAAAATATGATGCAATAAAAGGAAAATCCTAAGTAATTTGACTAAGATTACATGTAATTTAGACAAGAACGGGTCGAGAATGGGGCGGGTCAGGGCAGGTCGGGTCGGGTCGATGAGACTACCCATGCCTGCCCCGAAACAAGTCAAACAGGTCGGATAAATCGAGTCAGGTTGATGCCATCCCTACATATTATTCTCCCATTTTTAATTGTGGAAAATAATTGGCTCTCGATATATTAGTTGGTAAAAATAATTGGCTCTCGAATTATATTGGAATTACATCCGAACACGAACTTATGCGATGGCGTGTGTACGCTAGTTTTTTTTTGTCTTATATTACCCTTATTGATATACAACACATTATGATCGCGACAAATACGCGATTCAAGTTTTCGAATTTATTGGAATTCATGATCAATTTCTTTTTTTCGTTGTGGCGTGACCGATTAATGACCGAAACAAATAAAGAAGCTTCGTAAGAAATCAAAACGATCGAGGTACGAATCCAAACTCCAAATCTCTCTAGTAGACGACCTGACGTTATCCTGTTGTTCATTTTTACCACGAGGAATATACCGAGTAATTAGTTAGTTGCAGGTTACTTTCTCGCGCGCGATCTCAATTCTCATCATCATATCGATCGACGCAGATATGTACAAACATCACATTAAAAGGAAATGAAAACCAACCAAGATGAGAAACTTTTCCCCCGTTTCTAGTCCTTACTTCTTCTTTGGAAAGCCGACGAATTCAAGTTGACGAATCGGGTGCTGTAACCGCCACCGGGAGGAAAGCCCAACCGCCATCGCTCATCAGTTCTGGGAAAAACACACTAGAGTCAGCAGCCCAAATCAGGCCCATAAAAACAGCAAGCTGAAGAACAGTGGAAACGGACCGGAGTGTGGAATTGGACCTATATTTGACGTTGACAGATATTTCGTGGGCTATAAAAAGGGACGGCCCAAATAACGCTGAGACCACATTTCCCATTTTCCTCAAGAAACAATGGCCACTACTACTGCTTTCTCTTTCTCCTCCTCCTCCTCCTCCTTTGCTGCATCTCTCGCCTTCTTTCTTCTGCTTTCTTTGAAGACTGCTAATGGCGATGGAACATTTGGGGTTCAGCAGCAGCAGCATTTCTACACTGTTCAGCTCTCCTCGCTGTTTCCTTCCGACTCTTGCAGCCCTGCTCCTTCAACCAAAGGTGATTCCAAGCTTAACTCTTTCACTCGAAATTTTTATATTAATGTACGTTGGAAAGGTTGAGCAGTTGGTTTTTAATATTGCGATCCTAATGTGTAGGGCTGAACAAGCTGCCAGTGTTCCACAAACATGGGCCGTGCGCCCAGGCCCAACAACTCACCAGCACCAAGCCCACCGCGGACGAAATCCTCCGCCAGGACGAGTCCAGGGTCCGGACAATCCAGTCCAGGACCAGAAAGTCCGACGTCAGGGTGACGGAATCCACCACCATCCCGGCCAAGGACGGCAGCATTGTCGACTCCGGGAACTACATCGTCACCGTGGGGCTCGGCACCCCGGCGAGACAACTCTCCCTCATATTCGACACCGGAAGTGACGTCACGTGGACGCAATGCCAGCCGTGCGTAGAGCCTTGCTACCAGCAAAAGGAAAAGATCTTCGACCCTTCCTCCTCCAAAACGTACCGAAACGTTTCCTGCGACGCCGCCGCCTGCTCCGCCCTCGATGCCGCCACCGGTACGTTACCATAGTTTAATCTCAATGGTAATGAAACTTTGGACCGAAAAAAGATTTACGGTTTCGAATTATTCTAGTGACTGAAGAAATTTCAAATTTTTTTTCTTTCAAATTTCCGGCAGCAAACAGGGGATGTAGGGCCTCGACGTGCGTTTACGGGATTCTTTACGGCGACGCGTCGTTCTCCATCGGATTCCTCGCCATCGAGAAACTGACGTTGACCGAAACCGACGTCTTCGACGAATTCTACTTCGGGTGCGGCCAAAACAATAAAGGGAACTTCGGCGGCGCCGCCGGGCTGCTCGGATTGGGCCGGAACCAGCTGTCGCTCGTCTCCCAGACCTCCGACAAGTACAAGAAGCTCTTCTCCTACTGCCTCCCTTCCTCCCCCAGCGGCACCGGATTCCTCACCTTCGGCGGCGCCGCCACAAAATCGGCGGTGAAATATACTCCCATCGCCAGCGTCGCCGGCGGCGACAACTTCTACGGGATCGGCATCACGGCCATCAGCGTCGGAGGAAAGAAGCTCCCCGTCGCCGCATCCGTCTACTCCGATGCCGGCGCAATCATCGACTCCGGCACCGTCATCACCCGGCTCCCGCCGGCGGCGTACTCCGCGCTCCGGTCGGCGTTCAGGAAGCAGATGTCGAAGTACCCTCTGGCGCAGGGGCTGTCGATCCTCGACACCTGCTACGACCTCAGCAAGTTTAAGAATTTCGCGGTGCCCAAGATCGGGTTCTTCTTCGCCGGCGGCGCCGAGGTGGACATCGATGCCGTCGGGATTCTGTACGCCATCAAGCCGACGCAGGTGTGCCTGGCTTTCGCCGGCAATGGGGACGCGAAGGACGTGGCGATACTCGGGAACGTGCAGCAGCAGACGCTGGAGGTGGTTTACGACGGCGCCGGCGGGAGGATTGGGTTCGCCAGCGGCGGCTGCAAATGAGGACTCGGAGCGACGTCGTATTTTCCCCTATGGATGTCCAATTTAGTAAGGGACAAAGGAATTATGGTAGTATGTCGGAATTGAAAGAACGAACCAATGTCGGAAGGAAAATGTGTACGATAAGTAAATAACTACCACAAGTTGATTTTCCAAAATGAAGTTGGTCACCAACAAAAATCATATTTCGAATTATCTACTTTTATAAGTTCACCAAGTATTGGTTCGAACAAACTAGACCGAAAATAATTTGTTGGATTCACGTATAAAAGACAATACGTACAACAAAGCGAATCACACCCTTCAGCTCTCCTCTCTGATTCCATCGGATGCTAGCTGCCGCTCTTCTCCTTCTTCTTCAGCTATGGAAGGTGGTTTTGGATTAGAAAGCTTTTTTCACTCTGTCTTCATTTTTTTAACTCATTATTCATGGTACAAGAACAAGTTTTGTGTAGGGCTGAACAAGGGAGCATCTTTGCGAGTGGTCCACAAATATGGGCCGTGCGGGCAGGCCCAACAACAGCCCAAGCCCAGCGCGAAACAAATCCTACTCCAGGACGAGTCCAGAGCCCAGGTTCAGAAAGGCAGCCGCTGGCGGTGACGTCAAGGTGACCGAGTCCTCCACCACCATCCCGGCGAAGGACGCCCGCACCATCGGCGCCGCCGGGAACTTCATGGTCACCGTGGGGATCGGCACGCCGCCGCAGAAGCTCTCCCTCGTATTCGACACGGGGACCGAGTCCTGCTACGAGCAACGGGAGAAGATTTTCAATCCATCCTCCTCGACTTCGAACCGAAATGTTTCTTGCTCCGTGCCCTCATGCTCTGCACTCGCTTCAGTCTCAGGTCGTCGTATTCAGGGGCGGACCCAGGGAGGTTTAGGGGTGTCCCCGGACACTCCTAAATTTTGGGAAAATGATTATCCAACCCCCGGTGGTAATTTACGTATGGATAAAAAAAATATAATTGATAGTAAGGGACACCCCTTAAATTTGAAAAAATGATTATCCTACTGTCATTTGTGTATAGGAATATAAGTGGTATGTTGGATAATTTAAATCTAGAACACTATTATTATTAATAAACTTAATTTCCGTTGAGCTAAACTCATTTGTTGTTTGATTTTGAACAATGTGTAATAGTAAAATGGCATTCTCTATCTCTAATTATTTTAAAAACCTAACAATTAAACTAATTTCAAACTACCCTTAATTTGTATTGATTTTATGATTGTACGGCAAATGTTGAAAGAGTCTTTCAGCTTTGGGTTACATCAAGAACAAGTTTACAAATAGAATATGCGATAAGTTCGTGAATGATTGTCTAGTAGTGTATATAGAGACAATTTTTTTTAAACACTATAGACACCAAGTGTATTCTACAATTAGTTCCGAATATGAAAACACATCATGGACTTTTTAAACCTGTACGCGTAAGGTATTTTCATATTTACAATTTTATTTTTATTAATTAATTATTTTTATTTAATTTATTTTTTAAAAGAGGACACCCCTATAAAAAATTTCTGGGTCCGCCACTGGTCGTATTAGTAAACCACATTAAATATCTGTGTGTCTTGTTTAATTTTTTTTCTTAATATTGCCGATTACTCAATTTATCGACAGGAATAAAGTCGGAGTGTTCTTCCTCAACGTGCGAGTACGAGATCCAGTACTCCGACTCGTCGTTCTCCAACGGATTTTTCGGCACTGAGAAACTCGCACCGAGCTCAACGGACGTGTTAAAAAACTTCTTTCTTCGGATGCGGCCAAAACAACCAAGGAACGTTCGCCGGTTCCGCCGGATTGTTGGGCTTGGGCCGGGACAAGCTTTCATTCGTCTCCCAAGCGGCCCAAAAGTACAAGAAGCTCTTCTCCTATTGTCTACCCTCTACCTTTACCCATGGACCAGGAAACCGGATCGTACCGGCCGGTTCGACCGGTAAAACCAGGAACCGGACCAGGGACGATATGGCACCCCTACCAGCTCTTTTCTACCGTGTCGGCCGGTATAATCGGCGTAACCGGCATATTCCGGTATCCCGCCCGGTTTAAATCAGACCGGCGGTAAGGAAATTTTTTGCTAAACGTCTTTGTTTGAAGAAGACAAAATTGAAAAGAAAAAAAAATTAATGGACACTACTAACCCTAATCGATCTTCGGCCTTCAATCTCCATATTTCACTTCGCTTGCCGCTCCTCCTTTTTCCATCCGGACCAGAACGCCGCCTGCCTGCTCTGTCATTTTGCCTGCTCCATCGCTCCGCCATGCCGCCGCGCCGTCGCTCCTCTTCTCTTCTCCTCTGGCGAGTGGAGAGTGGCGACTGGAGACCCACGCCACGAGGCACGATTGGAGAGATCAATCCGGGACTGCCTTTGATCTGGCTTTGAGCGCGGGGTGGGAGTGAGATTGGGTTTGCATTTTGCAATCGGCAGTTTGGTCATGGTGACAATATGAGAGAGAGAGAGAGAGAGAGGAAGAACGGAAGATGGGGAAAGGGTGGAGTAAATGATGGGAAAGTTTTTATAAAAAATAATTATTATTTAAAATTTCTTCTTTTTCTATTAATTTGCTAACTACTTGTATTTTTATCATTTATTGTTCGATATATCCCGATACATCCGGTATTATTCCGAGACGGTACTCTGATTTTGCCGACACGGTTTTTTGACAAAAAATTTTTTTTTTATTACAAAAACGGTATTTACCGGTACGAAACGGTTGAACCACGATCGTACCACAAAATACCCTACCAGAAAGAAATCCGATATGATGTCCGGTACGGTTTCCTTTACCATGCCTTTACCACCACCGGCTTCCTCAATTTCGGCCACGTGTCCACGAAGTCGGTCAAATACACTCCCATCACCACCATCCCCGGCGGCGCCAACTTCTACACCGTCGATATTACCGCCATTACCGTCGGCGGCCAGAAGCTTCCCATCCCCGCCACCGTCTTCTCCACCGCTGGAGTGGTCATCGATTCCGGCGCCGTATTCACCCGCCTACCGCCGGCGGCCTACTCGGCCCTCTGGCCGGCGTTCCGGAAGCTGATGCCGGGCTTCCCGGCGGCGAGGCCAACGTCGATCTTCGACACGTGCTTCGACTTCACCACTTTCAACCCCGTGTTGGTGCCCACGATCGCGTTCTCCTTCGCCGGCGTCGTCGAGGTGGAGATCGATGGGGCTGGGGTCCTGTACTTCTTCTCGTTGGCGCAAGCGTGCCTGGCGTTTGCCGCCAACGGCGGCGCGAGCGACGTGGCGGTCTTGGGGAACTTGCAGCAGGTAACGTGGGAGGTGGTGTACGACGGGGCCGGCGGGAGGGTTGGGTTCGCCGCCGGCGGCTGCAGCTAGATGAGACCCGATCGAGGGAAGCATTGTAAACTAAGAACTTCGGAAAGAGAATAAAGAATCGACGGTGTAAATCGCAAGTACTAGAATTCAGGCATGATAAAAACCTTTTGTTACATCTACGAATCTGTTAGATTAAGATAACAGAAGTTTTAACTAAATGACCATTTATGTTGCATTTTTATCCTCGTTGTCTTTGAAAACAATTAGTCGGTTTGTTGACTTACTATGCAAAATTAATGTAAAATGCCACGTTACTCAATCAACTAATTATGTGGATCCCATCCAACCCAAACTCACACAATTTTGCACAATGTAACAAAATTATTTAAAAAAAATTGTGGTTTACTAATTTTGTGGTTCCGAGACTCAGGATGATCCTTATAACGCGATCCACTGGCTTTCGTAAACTTGTTGAATATTTATTTACCAAGAGCATCTACATCAATGCAATTGCAAACTCAATTGCATTTGTTATTTTTGTTGCCAACTCAATAATTTTGCAATCCATCTCATTTTACTTCATTTTACCTACATCAATGCAATTCATTTACAATTGCATATGTGATTTAATTCCACATATAAAGCAAAAAGAAAAAAAGAAAAAAATTAAAAAAGAAAATAACCATCCTTCAAAAAAAAAGTCATATTGGCTAGGGATGGGTGGGCAATGGCGGGTTGGGTGAGTTTTGCTCTCAAATTGACCCTCCCATTTACTATCGGATTGAAATAATTGTGACCCGCAATCCACCCACATACTTCTGCGGGTTGGGTGGGTGGCAGATGGTGCGGTTGGGTCGCGGGTCAACCCGTAAAAGCAATTCTTCAACTAGCCATTAATAAAGTTGACTAACATTTTGTTTCCCGAGAAAATCAAATACCACCGCCGGTGCCGAATTCGGTTTCCGGCGATGTTGATTCGATGTTTCGGGGTGAAAACCCTTGCGGTGCCGTTTGATCGGATGCACCACTGATTGCTGAAATCGAGACGACCGTCAAATATCCACCGGGCGGTGTTGATTTGATCGGTGCAACTGACTTCTGAAAACGATGACGATCGTCAAATATTCATCGCCGTGCGATGTTGATTAGATCGATGCACCTCTGAATAGTGAAATCAACGTGACCGTCAAATATCCACCGACAAGCGATGTTGATCTGATCGATGCACCTCTGACTTCTAACCAACGCGACCGTTACTACAGTTCGCACCTCTCCAAACTAAGTTCGAACGAGGGTGTTTGAGTTTTTGAGGAATCTACGCTACCACTACTCCTATGGAGATTCCAGTGGAGAGCTCCGCGACTACGACTAAGACTACAACTATGGAGATCCTTCCTGGAAAGAGAGCTCCGCGAAGGAGTTACAGAGAAAAGGTAAATTTTGAACAGAGTTTATCTGTGTTTATTTTTGGTTCTCCGCTCTCTCCTTGCAGGGTTGATTTTATCTAAAACCAACTTCGTAGTCTTCACGCTCTGTGGAACTGCTTCCTCAACTACTCCGTCCTGAAATCCCACGTGTCTCAACTGCCTTGATCTTCTCTTTCTGCTTTGCGTAAAAGTCACGTGCACACACATCAACTTTGTACCATGGTTCGAATCACGATACCGCCATCGATTAAAACAACATTGTTGTTTCACCCTCGTCACCGCGTACTCGCCGCTAGATTGTTGATCTCTCGGCGTCGTTGACCACACAAAGTCGATGGTCTTCGTTGAACTCCACGATGTTGTTTTGGCCTTGCGGCATCATTGAACTTCGCGGCATTGTCGCACTAGCAACGCCGCTAGATTCGCGACCGCGACATCTCTCTCCACCGCATTGTTGTTTAGCTCGCGGCTTTATCCACCATCGCGGTATTGCTGATTCCTCACGCGATATCGTTTTCAAGCTCCGCGGTGTCGTTTTCTTCTCCAAACAGCTCTGTTTGTTTTTTTTCCGCGACATTGTTTAAATATTTAAACACTGTCGTTTGCTAATACAGCGGTACCGTTGGGCTTACTCGCGGTACCGTTTTTAATTAAACGACACCGCTAACATAGCCAAAAAATTCCAATTCATTGAACCGCCGAGAGTTTTCACTCGCATTGGGCTGGGCGGAATTTAGGCCCTTCACTTACCCGATATGATTTTTTATTTAATCGGCACCGCTTATCAAGGCCTCCCGCGACATCATTTTTAAATTCGCGGTACCGTTTTAATTCTCCGCGATACCTCTTATCTCCATGCGGTACCGATTTTTCCCTTTCAACAAGGAATAAAAATAATAATTAATTATAAACAAAAAAACTCCTTCCCCGACACCTACACTAAAACGCGCGGCCCCTTTTATTTTCAGTAAACAGTGTCGTTTCCAGTGTCGCGGTACCGCTGAGCTTCCTTGCGTTACCGTTTTAACTCATCCGCGATGCCGCTTGTCGCAGTGCCGTTTTTAGCCAAACGACACCGTTTTTTACCCGCGGTATCGAATTAAATGCCGAAACTCATTAATGCGCCATTTAATTGCATCAAAAATAATTTTACGTGCAAATACATTTATAATAAGTTCAAAGCAAAATTATTAAGACTATATCATTAATTTGTGATTTTGATACAATTAATAATTTATAGTTTGCATCCCAATATTTAATGATTATTAACAATAACCTGCATACCAATATCCAATATCTAATGGATATTGCACAACACAATGACCAATAATAGTAGTCAAAACTAATATTTATTCTTCACCTTTTGAAGTATATGGTCACACTGTAGTGCAGTTCAAAAATATGATGAATATTCGATACTATAGGAAACAACATTTTTTCGTGTAAAAATAGGATGCGAGTCATATGGGTGACCCGCAATCCACCCACCATCCACCCACATAAGTGCGAGTGAGAGATTCACCAATCCGCAATCCACCCACATCAATCACCCACTGTGTGCGGGTCGGGTTATTTACGGGTGAATCGATATCAATCCGCGGATTAACCACTCACGTGTCCACCCCTAATATTGGCTTTCTTTTCCATTTCATTATATGCAAGATTGCAAAATTGCAATTGGGGTCTACATTAATGCAATTATATTTGCAATGCCAAATGAGCATACCACATCACTTTGCAATTGCAAAAAGTGACAGATGGAGATGCTCTAATTTGCATGCGACTGAAAGTTCGACTTTGACCAACAACAAAAGTTCCACAAGAAACCGCAGAGGGCTAGTAAGAACATGGAGATCAAGGTTGTCAAACTGATTTATACCGTTGTGTTGGTTTGGCAAGTGGAATGGTACGACCGGTGGTATAACCAGTTTGTGCCGGTTCATGCCGGTTTAAAAAAATGTGAAAACAATTAATATCTCATGCATTTAATCATATATAAAACATATTTGTGGACAATTTAGTTCTATTCCAACAAATATCATCAACTTTTAACTATTACATTTATAAAATGACTAATAAATTAATTTTTTATTCATTAAACTCATTAAAATGATGTCATTTTACTTAGAATGCGTAAGTCGATCATACCGGCCATACCGGTGGTGTCATGCCGGTTTCATGACCGGCACAAGTTGAACCAGGTTCAACCAGGTGGCATGCCACCGGCATGACAACCATGATAGAGACAGAACAAGAAGAATTCAAAGTATGAAAGCTCAATGTTGGGTTCTATCCAAAAGATGAGTTCCTCATCTACCTAAGAGCCAAGGGGAGCGGATCAGGTTAGTAACGCATATGGTGAGTAACTATCAGTAACTTGTCCACATCTGCATGACATCAGCATACCCTCTCTCCTGGAAAGTCTTTTATTTTTTTTCCTATTAATCTTTAACGGACGATTTCTCTCTCGTTTTAAGTCAAAATTTAATTTTTTTGCACAGATAAATCAAATTAAATGTGCTCTTTAAAATGATATTCACTTTGATATATTTTTAGTACAAAAAATTGAATAATTTTTTACCAGTCATTACCATATGGTATGCTAGTATTTAATACCATATGGTAAAAAAGCGTACCATGATGGTATGAACATACCAATATGGTAAGAAGGTTGAATACATGATACTAGGTGTATACTAACTGTCATTTACGACTTTCATCATTGTTTACCACAAGTTACCACCCACATACCATAGTGGTAAATTATGATAATTTTTTGTCCAGTATTTTTTTCATCCAGAAATTTGTAGATCCAATAGATAATGATGAACTCGTCCCTTCTAAGCAAACGTTTTCAAAAACGACTTAAAAATGAAGAAGTTACCATATGGTATGTAGTTGGTAAAAAAAAAGTTTCTCGAAATATAGTGAAAATTGATCTCATTTTGTAGAGCACAACGAACTCGTCCATGTGTGCAAAAAAAATTGAAATCCGAGTTAAAACAAAGAAGATAAGAGTCGATTAAGAAAACTAGGAAAAATAAAATTTCTTTAATTGACAGCCCTTAGATCTGAATTTTCTTGGCCCACTTAGATCTAAATGCATTGGTTACATCCTATCCTAAGCCGGAGCCAAGAATCAAAGAGAAGAACTCTTTATTGCAGGAAGAGCGCACACATACAACACAAGTTCAATATGCCTACATTTGAGAGAATTACAATATCCAAAACTAAACAAAAGAAAAAAGGACGTGCCACTGGATTCGTTCTTCATATATAGTTCCTGAGCACAAACTCCCTATAGGATGCCAAGAGTATAGTTCATTTAACAAATAAGTACTGCAGGATGAATCCTAGAAAACCATATTCAAAGATTCCAAATTACAAGAAATCACGGCACCTGCAGATTTACACAATTCGTGGTCTAGCATCCAGAATTTATCTCCATCAAGACAATTAGGGGATGAAAACAGACGATTATACTCTAAACTTGACAAAGTAACTCATCATCGGAATTTGGACCTAAGAGTTCACTTAAGAGGTACCAAGGGAGGCTATGGCTTCGAGCTAAGGAACTGCATAGCTAGTCGAAGCATCATTCAACAAGTCAATGAAAAGGAAACACCATTATTACAAGATTCCATAAATCACACTAACAATCGTTGATCATCCGAAAGGAACGGAAGCTCTCATCCCGGATGGAGTAGCAAAGCCAAGTACAGATGGAAAAGAAAAGGTCAGTGAACACGACTTACAAAAGAAGCAAAAACTGAAGTAAGTGTTCGTCCTTCCTAAGAGATCAGTTCCAAAGTGGTCATAATGGTGTTGCAAACTCCTTTTGGCATTCCTCATCCAGCACAGATGTCATAAAGGTGTTGCAAGGCCTAGGGCAAGTTACCAAGATAAAAATGAGAGACAACCATGATTCCAAGGCAAAGAATCAAATGGTAAATAACAGAACAGTTAACAACATGAGTAATGAACACAACCCCAAAAAACACAATCAACAAGGGCTCAGATGAACATGGCGGCCATAAAAGTGTTGCAAGGCCTAGAGCAAGCTACAGAGAGACAAACTAGAACCACCATTCGAAGGCAAAGAATTAAATGGTAAATAGCAGAGCAGTTAACAACATGAGCAATGAAAACCACCAAAAACACAATCAACAAGAATCAAATTAAGCTCATGTCCATCCGCTGTGTATGTTAACAAAGAAGAGGGAAATGTTCATAGCAAAATCCAATCAACTTCATCTTACTGTAACAATACATTTTCACTTAATTTGTGTTGTATGGAAGTCACCATTGTGATAATCAGAATGTAAAGTTCTAACACGCCAGACTGACTGATAACCAACTAGACACAGAAGATCGATCTCCCTCCTTCCATTGGCACATCATAACGCATAATAGAAACGAAATACTAAGATTAATTTGAGAACTGGGTAACTAGATAGAAAAAAGAGATCACCTTCAGAAAGTAAGCTCCAGCAAGAGGAATCAGCAGCAATGCTGGATATAAGCCGCGCATTTGCAGTGGCACTATGAAATGGTAACAACGAATCTACGCTCCCGATAGCTGAAACAACCCTAAATTACACCAAGCCAGATACCCAAAATGGTTCAATTACTCCAATGAGTACAGAAAATTAAGGGGCAGAGTAGAGATTGAAATTCGGAAGTCAAAAAAGAAAAATTCTCAGACCTTGAAGCGCTTCGGACGACTCGGGTCGGGGAAGGAGAAGCGAAAGGAGAGGACGAGAAGATGGGCTTCTGAGCTAATGTTCTGGAACGCGCAGCTAAAGACCTTGAGCCCGCCATTACAGCGGACCTGCAAAGGGAAGCCATATCTGCCTTTCGACTACAGAGAATTGGGGGAAGGGCTGAAGAACCTCAATCGAGAGTGAAATGGAGCTGCCGCCTTAAACCCTTTAGGTCGCCTGACGTCATAGTTTCATACGCCAATGTATCAGCCGTATTTTGTGAGAGCAAAACGAATTAAGTGCTTAAATGAAAATAATATGTACTAACCAAATTAAATCATTTTATAATAAAGACCTAATAAACATTATTTTGCTCATATTAAATCAACATTTTAGAAATATTGTATACTCGAAAAGCTGAAATCAGAGCAAACACCTCTGTAATTCCAACGTTATAAACTTATATTTTTGGAAGCCCGAATTCATCCTCATCCAATATGCTATTCCTTTGTAAACAAACAAAATGAAATTCATTGATCAAAGGAAATTGCCCTAACGAAATTATCACAAAATCAATATGTTAGTAAATGGTATGATCGACAACCAATTTAAAATATGTATATCCATTATAAGAGATCACTAGTCTAGTTTAAGGCCCCAACAATTGGTGTGGATGATATGAAAAAGGTCCAATAATAACAGTAAGACTAGGCAGAAAAGAGGTATGTGTAGTCTTAGCTTCCACACAACTATTGCACGGAAATCATATTGAGAATCAAACGTCGCACTACTGCCTCATAAACGTTGTTTAAACTTCGTCAAAAGCCGACTAGAATTGGGACAACCCTATTGAAAATGCCACAAATAAAATGTTTTATCACGAGTACTAAAAAAAAACAGGTAAGGAATGTGAATTCCTAGACATAGAAAGGAAAGACGATACCCTATACGCCAGACGAAACAAGTGATGACTACGAAACAAAGTTGACAGTGGGCGAGATTCAAGTTCCTCCATATGAACAATGTGACCATGTTTGCTACCCCAACCAATCTCCCTTCCGGTCGTCAGATCATGCACATAACAACCACAAGGTACAAAATGTCATTTGCCCACTGGCAGCTTCTTCTTCGCGAACCGTAACTAGAGTCAAAATCTCATTCGTCATTTGGGAATTAATGAGTCTAACTCTATCTTAAAGCTCTAGGAGTCTAGGTGGTTTGTTGGTTACATTATCATTGAACCAAGAAGTAAGTCTATTAGCAGTGCATATACCAGACATAATCATTGGTTTAGGTGCTCGTTTAAGTGATTTTTTTGTAACTTACAAGATAGAGGAGCCTTCATTAACTTGCATTCATCCCATGTCAACTTATAACTAGAGGAATTCAACTTAGAAGATAGAGGAGCCTTCATTAACTTGCATTCAACCCTTGTCAGCTTATAACTAGAGAGATTCAACTTACGCAACAACAACTTATTTCTTGTGATCTCCCTCGTACTTAATTTTGTTTCGTTCTTTGTTTTCTTAGTTTAGCTCATGGCGAGACCCCCAAACAAACGAAAAAATGAGCAGTCCAGAGTTTCCAAGAAATACGACCCAGTCACCACCATACTACTCCGCCGATCTAAAATACTTTTGTTCTGAATTTGGATAATTAGTATCGGCGACGAAACGAGGGGGAAAACACACTTTGCAATTAGGACCAACAGAGAATGAAATATCAAAGACTTGGGCTTAACTTAGGCATTCTTAGCCACAAACAGCCCTACTAATCAAATCCTTCTACCCAATTTAGTTGCCACCACAACTTCCAGGCCCGATTTCAACCCTGCTATTCTCAACATCGTACAGCACATTCAAACCCCGCTGCTGATGGTTCCCAATGATGTTCGAATCCTTCTCATCTTCTTTAGCAGCAAACGCCAAGCACACCTGACCGTACCCATCGTCCATCCAAACAACCGCCGATGGACCCAGCCTCAGATCCATGCCGTCAAAATGCAGCACCACCGCCGGAATCACGGCGTCGTTGAAATTGCCCTCCATGTCATAGCACGTGTCCAACTTATCCGCCTTGTCCACCCTCCTGTAAAATTCCCCCACCGATTTCACAAACTCTGCTTTCAGGAATTCGTACACCACAGCCGGAAGCTTGGTAATTACAGTCCCGGAGTCCATGATCGTCGTCCCCATCGACGGCGAGGAGGAAGAAGAAGATCGGAAGTCGAGCCTCGCGCTTCCGATTGTGACGCCGTTGAAATCGACGAAGTACTGATTGGGGGAATCGCCGTCGTTGGGGACGACGAGGGCGGTGAATTGGTTGTCGGAGCTTCGACAATGATGGGTCGCCCCGTTTCCGAAGACGAGGTACCCGGCTGAATTGTCCACGGTGGGCAAGCAGTAGCAGAAGATCTGGCCGTACATCGCGGCGGTTTGGGAGATGAGTGTATTTGGGTTGGATCGGCCGAGGGCGAGGACGCCGGCGGCGTGGCCGAAATTGCCGGAGGTTTTCTGGCTGCAGCCGAAGGTGAAATCGGCGAGCTCGTCGCCGGCGATGGTGAGCCTGTCTTTGGCGCGGTAGCCGGTTGAACTGGAACGGTCAAGGTAGAGGACTTGGTAGTTGCAGTTGGGATCGCAGGTGGTGTTGAAGGTGGAAGAGGCTGAAGGGTCGAACACGACGCCGCCGCCGCCGTCCGGTTGGCATTTCACCCACGACAAGTCGCTGCCTGTGTCCAACATTAGATCGAAATCTCGTTCCGGTGTGCCGAGGCCGATGGTGACGAGGTAGTTTCCTGCGCCCTGCCAGCGGCCGAAGATCCGCATTGGGACTCCTTCTCCGCGATCTGAAGAATCCACGGCGTAATTAGTGGCGGTGGATGCGTCGGCGGCGGCTGTGTTGTACAGCGAATTGTGGCTCCCCTGTTTCAGCTCCTGCCGCTTCCCCTGGAGTGAGCAGGGGCCGTACCTGTGAGAGATCTTCAACCCACCTGTTGATGCATAGATAATTGAGTGAGTATTGATGGAAAGCCGTGTTTCTGAGATAAAATTAGACCGTGATTTTTACTTTATGTAACACTTTCTAGGTTACCTTGAGGCAGAGGAGATGATGCACAGGAAGAAGAAACAGAGTAGGTGGAAACAGAGGAAGGGAGTGACTTCTTGGCTTGATGATGACGATGATGGCTTCTTCTAGCGCGGGTTCCCCTCGCGGAGACTTGCCAGTTGTTAAAGGAATGGAAAATGGAAATCAAGAGAAGGAAGGAGATTACTGTTATGTGGGTATTGTTAGCCATTGGAGCTTTAGCTTGGATGTTCTGGAAATGGAGAAAAGGGAAGTGAGTAATTGGCTTGAACATATGAAGGATTTCTTGACATTATATAGAAGTTTTAAGAAGAAGGGTTCAACGCGTCAGAATTTTCCAGTTGGGGACCAGATGTAACGTACTCGCCGAGCAGATTTCCAAAACTCTGTCTCGGCGCGGTAGAGACAGTAGCAGCAGCTTGGAAAAAGGACAGAGAAGAGACCACGGAGAGACGACTTGGTTTGTTTTAGGGTTTACGGTTTGGTTTTGTGAGGAGGAAGAAGAAAGCTATGTCAGATTACCGAGGAAGGTTAAGTCAATACTGAGTAGTATTATTATTCGTTACAGGAAGTTTCGAAACAACAACAACAAGTCAAATGGATTCACATACGAGATATCGAGCGAGGAACAGAGCTTGAAAAGAATAGAGTAGGGACCGAGAGAGGGAGACGACTTCTTTCTTTTCGGGTGGGTCAAGTGGGTTAAGTATGGAAGCTTTGGCAGCCATGTATCCTCTTCCCGAGCTCTTTTTACTGAAACTGAATTTTTGACTTTATCCAAGTTGTCAAATGAAAATCCTAACCCATAATTAGGGGTGGAAATCAGTATCCCAATACCATCGAAATCTCAAATACTGAACTATACCCTAAAATCAATCTCAATCTCAATTTCTAAATAATTTCGGTATCTCAATTCTAATCAATAAATATTTCGGTATGTCATTCGGTACTTTGATATCCCAATCTATATTATTGAATACGAAATTAATTGCCTTTGTAATTAATAATTAAAAATTTAATTGTTTACTTTAGTGCAAAGAGACTAAACAAAGAGTCTTGAGTTTGCCTAGAGCTAGGATATGGATAAGGAGAATGAAGGAGAGGTGACATTTCAAGTTCTTGTCATTGGTAATCTTTAATTTGACGAATTGGAGGATGAGAGATGACTAATACTAGTATTTGCATTTTGGTGTTATCAAAATAACAAGAGATTAGATGAGAGACGAGAGTGACTTAAATTGGAAAGTCAAATTTGAGTTGGATGAGAACTTCTAAGTTGTGAAATAGTGATGGAATGATCTATGTATAACTAAATGACACGTGGTTTAGGGTCGTGAAGTAGTGAATGAGAGAGTTTAGTTGAGAGGATAAAATACACACTAGTTTGTATTTCGATATATACTGATCTCAATCCCGTAATCCCTAATGCCGAATACCAATTGAAATTCAATCTCAATCTCAATCGCAAGAAATAATACGTGTATTCAATAATACCAAATATAGACAAATTCGGTACGGTATTCGGTATATCCCAAATACTGGTACCAAATTTCCTACCCTACTCATAATAGCATTTATATCAATGCAATTGCAAGATCCTTGTCGAGGAGGAAGAAAATATATAAAATGAAGGTGCCAGCTAGTTTGTTCCGCTGGAAATAAGTCCGGTGAAGAGTATGGTTTCCTCCCAAGTTCTTGCGATTTGCTAACATGACCTACTATAGGATTCTCTATCCTTTAGCGAAAGTGCAAGGGATTAGATATCATCACAAAGATGATAGAGGTGAAATTGGATCTGAACTGATCCTCTTACCTTGCCTACCTTCCTAGCTGTGCGGAGATGGTGGCGGAGAGGGAGATCAGAGGTAGAGAGTAATGGGTTGGGTTGGATTGGGGGTGGTGGGTTGGTTAGGGTTTAATTGTTTTTATTTTATTTTATTAATTATTTTGATGACGAGGATGCTGACGGGACAATTAACTTGACCAAACTAACAGAATTTTGGATGGAGATGGACGGAATTACCATTTTATTATTAGTCCAAACAAATGTTACTTAAACGTGTAAAATTAAAAGATTGTAACCGTTTTGTACAAAGTGAATAGTTTTGGTACCATTTATGGTAACTATCCGCAATTAACGAGTATTCAACAACGGTTTAAAGGGAAAAAGATAAAAACAGTGCTACATCGAGATAATCGATCAGCAGCCACCGGCGGCGAACGCCAGTTTCTGGCCATTGATATCGTAGTAAACCCTCAACCCGCGGTGCTGTTGGGTCCCAATAATCGTCAATTCATTCTCATCGCCGTTACCGGCGAAAGCCAAGCAAACTCGAGACGCCGATTCCCCATCTCCTTCCTTCAGCGTTACCGCCGACGGATCCAGTCCCACGTCCACCGAATCCTCAAAATGCATCACCATCGTCGGCGGCGTCCAATCCTGCTCACGTCCCTCCAAATTATAGCAAGTATCCAACAGATTAGTCGGCTCCGCCGTGGGATACCCCGACATCATCCCCCGGAACGCCGCCCGGAGCGCCGAATAGACCGCCGGAGGTAAGCGCGTCACGACGGTCCCCGAATCGATTATCGTGCTCATCGGCGAAGAGACCAAGGAATTGAAGTCCAGTCTCTGGGACCCAATGGTTATGCCGGTGAATTTGACGAAATAGTTGGTGAGGCCGTTATTGTTCGGGTCAACAACGAGCGAGATCATCTTGGAAGCTCCCGGCCGGCAGCTCTCCATCGCCTGGACCCCGAACCAGAGCACCCCAGTTGCGGAATCCGTGGGCGGAAGGCAGTAACAGAAGATGCTGAAGAGATTCGGATCGGTCTGTGCCAGCAGCGAGAACTGCCCTTGTCCGAGCCCAAGCACACCAGCTGTTCGACCAAAGTCCCCACTGACTTTTTCAGCACAGCCGAATATGAACCCTTCCTGAGACTCGGTGTCCGCCAGGGAGATCGTGTCTCTAGCGTAAACCCCAATCGACTGCGACCGATCATGGTACTCCACGGTGTAATCGCAGGCCTTGCAGGGGACATTGGAGGAGGTCGAAGACAGCGAAGGATTGAAAGTGGGCGAGCCAGGGGTGCAGCCTTGAGAACACGAGTGGCAGTACACCCAACTCACGTCGCTCCCGGTGTCAAAGAGCAGAGGGAATTCGACTTTTGGGGTGCCGAATCCTACGGTAACCACGTAGCTTCCACCTCCGGGCCCTGCAACCACGGGCAGGGCGACTCCTACCCCGAATCTGTCCGTATGAATTGGGTTCGTCGGAGCTTGCTGCTGCAGTGAATAGGTGCCTAACTCCTGTGGCCTGGCTCCATCGGCGCACGAATGGCTCAGGACATAGGATATGATTGTTGCCGTGATGTAGAAGCAATGAAGGTGCTGAGAAGCAGCCATATGCAGCAGATGCTTATTAGTGTGGTGTGGGGGTTGAACATGGACAAGGAAATGCAGGTGACTGACTATATAGACTGCAATTTTGGTTATCGTGGCCCGGTGTTTACGCCTATCCCTCTCAGCAGTCAAGTACGAATCGGAGGAACTCGGTATCTCGTGATGCCGAAAGGATTATGCAGAGTAAGCATTTTGTTTTTGTGTTTGTTATTTTGTTGATGTGGTGTTGTGGCTTAGGGTAGAAGAGGCCAAGAGCTCAAGACTATTGACTTGTTGATTGGCCGTGAAGTTAGTCAAAGTTGGAGCCTTGAGATTAATGGCTGTTGCCTGTTGGTTGTGCACCACACATCCGAATGAGACCAAGGAATTGAAGTTCTGGTGCCGCAGAGCGAAGGGCAACGTGAAATTGACGGTAGTGAGGATGGAAAGGATGTGATACTTGGAGTGCAAGATTTGTCTGTCAGCGCCAGTTGAAGCCGAGGTGAATGGGACATCGAACTTGGTTGAAATCAATGAATGGGCTGAAATCAAAGGGCCCAAAGTGATTTCTACTTTTATGGTTAGCCCAAGTGTTATTTGAATGACACTGGCCCAATTATGAATTGATCCACCTGATTTTTATATATTACCAGTCACCCTTCTCCATCAAGCATGGATGATGAGAGGCAACAGAAAATGATTTAGAAATGAATTCAAAGTACACATTGGATGGAGAAAGATTAGCAATTTAGCATTGAAGGAGATGACGATCTTTCTTTATTATTATTTGATTAAAGCGGCAACAACTGGATTGATGGTGTCTGTTATCTTTCTCTTCTGGAATATATAAGTAGGCAAGAAATTTAAGGTTGCTGTTGGCCCAAGAACTACAATTAATTAAGAATTTATGCTTGTCTTTGCATACAAAACCAGCAACGCAGAATATGTGCCTACCGGTGATCACAATGCCATGCCCCTATCTAAACTAAACCTTTTGGTAGCTTTTCGACTTAGAATATACGGTGATTTCTAGCGGCATAGGGTAGATTCAGCGTATTGCATATCTTCATAAGAAAGTGTTATCTAGATATTGAATTAAGACCTGAATTTAACCTGAATCATCAAAATGCGAGTGATTCAACAATTATTGATGTCCCAAAATGAGAACCTGATGCTCTTTCAATTAACTCCACCGAACCATACTAATCATGATGGTTACACTAATCCAATACCGAATAATTGAACGAGGGTTAAAGCTGTTGATGTCAGTTTTGTAGCATTGGGTCGACAAAAGAATGAGAAACAAAAGCTTTCCATCCACTCACACATTCGTCCAGCTTATAGCACACCGATTCTGAATTTTAATATCGACATCCCAACCAACCCGCCCACCTAAAATCACAACAGTCGTATTTTGTACTTACACACTCACTCACCCACCAAACCAACCACTGCCCTCTATTTCCCACTTCCTAGCAGTGAAAACAGGACCAAGTAAAATCACCCCAATTCAGTCATTTCATCATGCATCAATATGCCCTAAATTCTGGTGGGCGAAAACTAACCAATCGAGATTCAAATACTATGATAACATAACAGTGTATCAAATGTCGAGCTTTCGAGTCCTTACAATCAACATCACAAAAATTTTTAAGGTAGTTATGTGTCATGAATTGACTAGATAATATGCAACACCTGATTTCTTCCCCCACAATGCGTCGAGGATGTAAACCAGTTTTTTCCCTTTTTTTTTTGTAATTTCCTAGCAAGCTGCTAGTCGCTCGAGAGTTAGCAATCGGCTTATGAGTCCAAGTCAAGTAATCTCACGAATTGACCTCGACAAGCCACCGAATCAAACTAGCTCGTGAGCCCTTATAAATTTAACAAAACTTGAGTGAAGTTAGACCCCGTTTGCTAACTATATCAAACAAACTTTTTTCGAGACGACTATTGAACCACTTGTGAATAGCGGGACATAATTGTAGACTACCTACCCACCAACCATTGGCCAAGTTTCAACTCACTAGCCATGAAAACAAGACCAAGTAAAAAATCAGCCCAATTTAGTCATTTGTCACCTCGTAAATCCCTCCAAACCCCCAAAGCCAACCCCATTGCCCTAACATTTGGCTGCCCAATAATTCTTGTAGCTAACAAGTCAACTCCCGCAGACTTCAAGCACACACCAAAAACCTAACTCGTTACGATGATTTCGTGGTGTTATCGATTCGTAGTTATACGTTGTTGGCTAGATAATCCGCAACACGACAGAAAAATTTCCGATAGTGATTTACTTGACTCGATTTCTTTCTCTTCAATGTGAGAAGCCGTTTTTGCTAAAGAAATTTCCTCGTTACAGACGTTTTTCCCACTTTATCATCTACAATGGCCACCGTCAATCCCCATACACAAAAGAAACGGGGATCCTCCATTCCGTCACAAAACATTGAACCGAACCGTTACATTTCTTGAACAAAACGAACCAAAAAGGGAGAGGAACTCGCCCAAAAAAAAAAAAAAAAAAATCTAAACCCCCGGATTTAGGTCGACAATTACAGTTTTGTCCTTTACCCCAATCCAATCAATCTTCCTCCTCATGATGATTGACCTTCGCCAACCCTATCCCCCGCCCAACCACCGCCGTCGACGCCGACGCCGCCACAACCGCGGCCGACGACATCTCCATCTGACAGACCCTCACCGCCCCGATCAACCTCTCCGGCAACTCCTCTTCCTCCTGCGCCTCCACCAAAAACCCCATATCAATCGTCACGCTCGTCACGCACCCGAGCGCCAGGTGCAGGATCGCCGTCGCGATGGCGGAGCTCCCGATGTCGACATCAATCTCCAAATAGTTCGGCCCCCTGTGGTAATTGCAGGTCAGGGCCTTCCCCAGCAGGCACGCGCTATAATTCCCCACCGTCTTCCTCACCAACCAGGGCCCCTTCACAATCCGATTCACGATCTTGAACCGCTGGTTCCGGTACTCGTCGTCGCCGTTGACGAATCTGTGGAGCAGGCTGCCCGTGGGGAGCGGATCTGAGGAGGCGAAGTAGAAGACGGCGCTGTGCTGGTCCTTCCCTGGGACCTGGAGGTTCACGGCGAGGACGAAGGATTTCAGCGACTGACCTTCCGATTGGGCCCCGCGGAGGGCCTGGGCCACGCGGTTGTCGGGCCGGCCCAGGACGTTGTCGAGCTTGGTGGAGGATTTGAGCCAGTCCATCCCGGCGGGGCGGAGCAGGTAGTCGCCGCCGGGGGATTTTTGTTTCTTGGTGAAGTAGTTGGTGGAGCGGAGGGAGAAGAGGTTGCCCGGGGGTGAAGCCCAGCCGTTGGTTCCGGTCTCGAGGTCCACGTGGCGGAGGGATCCGCCGTTGATTGATTCCGAGATCCAATTTGGGATGGGCGAGCTAGTGGTGGTGGTGGCGGCGGCGGTGGCGGCGGGGTCTTTGGCGGTGGATCTGTTAGCGGCGGAGGTCGAGCTCCGGTGATTCTGTACGGTTGGGGACATGGTGGACGGTGGTTGCTCTTTTCCGCTTTGTGGGGTTTTTTCCTGCTGTCTCTCTTGGCTTATTTCTTCCGGCGGAAGAAGAAGGAGGCGGCGGTGGAGGGAGCGGTGGACTTTCTTCCGTATAAGAGTTTTAAGAGAGACAAAGTGACAGTGGCGAAGGTGGGATGAATCTAATAAGATATTCGGAGAGACTTTGCCCTCGGTGTTCTAGGAAACTACGGAAATGCCATTACCAGCTCACTCTTTTATTTATTTATTATTTATTTCCTTTATTTTGCTGCTTGTTTTCGGCTACTTCATTATCTTATGATGAGAAAATAAATAAACAAATGGATGAGTAGTGCTTGTGTTGAATTGTGACTCATGAATTGGATCGTTCTACACTTTTAAGTTTTCTTTCACAATTGATGGATATATATTATATTTATATATACAATGCTTGTGTTTGTTTGATTCTATGTGAAATTCTAATATAAAAGACTTGAAGCCACTAAACACTTGATATATAAGATGTGACATGCTTTGATAAACACCTAAAAATAATTAGTACTAGCTTTAGTTGGTTACTAAAACTATTTATAAGGACGAATATGTATATATCGATTAAATGATCACATGAGACTGATTGTGTAGGCATAACGATCTATGAACAACCTTTTCTTAAGCTATAACCATTTTTCTAAACCTATTCCATGGATCATATGTTATGAGTCATGACAATATAATTCATATGATAGTTTCAAGCGTGTGTGAGAATTAAACATAGATCACCCTCTTGTCTCAAACCTTTTAGGTTTCAAACGGAACCAAGTCTCTCTCATTGCATGATTCCTTTTTCCCATAACATGAAATTTTGTTAAAAAAATAACCTATTTGTACCATTGTTTGGTATAAACGTATTTCAAAGATTACCTACAAATCCATGGAACGTTACTAAAGATTATACCTATATGTTTGATATTACCAACATACGTAAACATTGACTTTCAAAAATAACTTGCTATGTAGAACAGAGATATTCTGCTAACGGCATAAGTTGTTAGTATATACTCACTAATATCCAAAATGTATGAACTTAAAGCATCTAGATAGCACAGTTGGTATTCAAAACATCACAAAACTAGTATCCAACACATATAATTAGTATTCAGCTAATCAATTACCAACTAATTATATCCACAATCAAACCAATTAGTATTCAATATGGATACTCTTATGTGTTATCTGGATACTAATTATGTTGATGTATGGATACTATTTTGTGTTGTCTATATACTTGATTCATGGTGAATTTGGGATAATAGTTGATTCATGGTGGATATCAGTTAGCAAACCTTGAATACTAGTATGTGCTCTCTATATACTTTAATACTACTTCATAAAAGCAACAGACTTGGATACCAGTTCATGCATTTTGAATATAAGTTAGTATCTATGCTAACGAATCTTAAGTTAGGGGATTAACTTTTTTCGTACTGTGGCCTTAAAAGAAGCTACCGATCGATACGAACTCTGACCAAGCTCCTTGCTTATGTTGCTTCACTAAGGTCAAAGACTTCCTATCCTTCACATGCAAGTTTCAACTTATCAACCATACTCTTTGGACTTTTGTAACCTCTACACACAAGTTCAACCATACACTTTCTTGTAAGTCTTTGCTTTTCTGTCATCACCCATGATGTTATTTTGTGTACGTAGTTTGGCGTTTGAAGATTGATTTTCACCTCGCAAACGCCTTTACGCAGGCATCGTCATATTCCATGTTCAACAGCTCATGGTGACTCAGTTTCCTTTGAAGCAACTTGATTTCTTCTGCGTTGGAATCGGTTCTTTCTTCCTCCAACATGTGGATCTTTTCCCCATTTTGTCTCTCTTTTAAAAGTAAGTATATGACGTCGATAAGCCTAAATATTAGTATATGGCTAAAATCAAATTCAAATGATGTCCACAAATACAGAAAAGATAGATAATACAGCTTTCCCAAAGGCGGCACTGGCCACTAGGGACTTTCCTCAGGGGATAACAAATGAGGAATACATGTAGATGGATTTCCAGTATAGATTCATCGTATTGTCATAAATCAAACGGGTTTACAATAATTTTAGTTGTTCGGAAGATTCATGTATGGATTCTTAATCACAAAATACTCTACCACGTACTTTCTTGGTATAACCTCTAGTACGGTTTTACTATCCTTGACTTTAGTACGTGACCTCAAGTACAAACCATATACGCGATATCGTGTCAAGAACCAATCAATCTCAATAGCTCGAATGATTGGAAGATGCTTATTTATGTATCATATTCGCGAACGAGGGCTAATCTAGCCGCGGTGGATCGACACACTTGCCAGGTTGTATGTTTGATTCCCAACAACGACGCTGCCCCCTTCCTCCCCCTTATTAGCACCCCCTTGTAACATGTTATAAATAAATAAATAAATGTATCATATTCCTCTCTCTCACACCCAAGGATTAAAAAAAAAAGCACCGCACCGACAGTTCTATCAGAAAATTCTCATGCCAGAGGCTAAATTGTCAGGCGGTATAAAACAGTTGAATCACAATTAAACCACGATTTCAGCATAATATACTCTATCACTGACTTTTCTAATACAACCTTTGATGCGATTTTCCAATCTTTGATCATCATTAGGTTTTAACAAATTCATTCTACCCTAACCCTACCCACAAATTCAATATGTGTGAATAAATCATTAGAGTCCCAACTTCCAATTGCATACACACGCACGCCAACGCCAACCCAAAATAAATAATTGGATTTGGGGGTATCCATCCCACAAGAGGCCATAATACGAGCTCATGTGCTCAAGGAAGAAAACGAATGCCCACTAATTATAAAAAGTCAAATTAAAATATTCCTATCCAACAAAAAGCAAGATACTTCACTAATCCATCCTATCTCTTCCACGGATCGCAGATGATTCATATAAGATCATGGGTAAATATGTTTACTTTGTCGTAATTTTGTAGAAAATATATTGTTATTGTTCTACCAGATGCTTTTGGTATCGTGATAATCTAAAGATGCTAAATTTGATTTCAATTAACTTTCTATGGGAATTACAAATTTTTAATATCTTCTCATTTTGTCATATTTTCTTCTAAACATACATGACTTTGAAGCGTTTCCCCCCAAACTTCACACATTATAACAATTTTAGAGGCGTGATCGTCAAGGATGCAACCGTGTCTCCTCGTTATAATGGCGTCTTTTAACGATGGAGTGACATAGAGAAGGATACATAAAATAAGGCGAGACGGACGAGACCGGTGGCAGAAAATTTGTAATAAATTTTTATTTTTTTGCCTCTAGTTGTTATTTGTTAGCAAATAAAAAGCATCACTCTCACACAAAAAAAAAAAAACACCACTCAGCTTTTTTATCATTGAAATAATAAAAAGTTTTTTTCTTTTGTAATGTTTAAGAAATGGTAGCAATTTAGGCATATTCCACATTGACTAAAAGCATAGTAGAGATCTATGATTCATAAGAAACATCCAACATTAACCGACAAGATCCATTTTGGGGTGAAATGAAGGAGTTATTGTAAGAACTTTTAAGTTGAAGTGCTCAATGTGGAACACTGCAAAGATGAGTCCATATGAAGAGAATGAGCTGTGTCTGACTAAGCCACCCAATTTTATGTATTCTCCGCTTTAGGCTAATCGCAAGGACACCATTAATGGTTAATTAAATTACAAAATAATTTTAGATAAAAAAGTGCTTAGTTTAGAGCATTGCAAAATGCAGAGATAAGTGACATTCCAAAAAGGCATCACAATTCACTTAAAAAATGAAATCGAACGAGAATAAACAAAAAAACAAACAATATATGTAACACCTTAGGCAAATCCCACATCGGCAAAGCACAAGAGAGATCCATGGTTCATAAGTAAGAAATCGACCTTAACTGACAAGACGCGTTTTGGAGTGAAATGGAGGAGTTCTTGTGAAAACCCCGAAGTTAAACGTGCTCAGTGTGGAGTACAACAAGAATGAGTGTCCTTATGGGAAGTCACCTTAAATTGCACCCAAAGTCGAAATTTGTGAAGGCCGAGGCCCAAAGCGGACAATATCTTCGTCGGGAAAAGGTTCAGGATGTTACAAATGGTATCAGAGCATCTCCGCGTCCCTCTTGAACGATGGTGGGGCAAACCTCAACGAGGTCGTTGAGTCCTTAGGAGGGGGGGGGGGGGGAAGAGGGTGTATGTAACACCTTAGGCAAATCCCATATCGGCAAAGCACAGGAGAGATCTATTGTTCGTAAGTACTCCACGTCCCTCTTGAACGATGGCGGGGCAAACCTCAACGAGGTCGTTGAGTCCTTAGGGGGGAGGGGGAGAGTGTGTATGTAACACCTTAGGTAAATCCCATATCGGCAAAGCACGAGAGAGATCTATTGTTCGTAAGTAAGAAACCGATCTTAACTGACAAGACACGTTTTTGAGTGAAATGGAGGAGTTCTTGTGAGAACCTTGAAGTTAAACGTGCTCAGTGTAGAGTACAACAAGAATGAGTGTCCTTATGAGAAGTCACCTTGAATTGCACCCCAAGTCGAAATTCATGAGAATCGAGGCCCAAAACGGACAATATCTTCGTCGGGAAAAGATTCGAGATGTTACCAAATAGAAAAAACTTAAAAAGTGAAATCGAACGAGAACAGAAAAAAACCCAACAATATCTCCATGAGAAAAAAGTTGGGATGTTAAGCCTTAGGCATAATACACTTTCATAACCAAAACTATTCGCGTTGTGACAAATATAGCCCGTTTTTTAAATCTTTATGAAAGTTTTTTCATAACTGGGTGGCATTTTGGGCTTGGGATTGGGCTATTTGTGGTAGAGATGGACGATGAACGGCCCAGATCATCCATTCAATATGCACCACCCAAACCCACGACGGCTTCCTGGTCCCACATCATCCACTCCGGCGCCACTTGCTTCCTAGCTAATGGCCTCTCGTAGAGGCGACGAACCAACTGAAACTCCCCTCGCTCGCTCGCTCGCTGGCGCAAGTCCGTCTCTGATACAATACAAGTTGGGACAAAATGCTGAGCAGCAGGACAGTAGTGGCAGTCGCCTCATCCTCCTCTTTCCTCCCACTCTCTCATCCTGCTGCTTCCACTTCCTCTTCCGCCGCCGCCAGTTACCCATTTTTGAACAGACGGCTCGCATTCTCCAGATGCCACACCAATCGTGATCACAGCATCATCCCAAAGCCACAACGCAGCAGAGTCATGGAGGGTTTCAAGACTCGGGCGGCGGCAGCATCGGCGCCGCAATTGGAGGACGCCGACGCACTCATCGACTCCGTCGAGACCTTCATCTTCGATTGCGATGGTATAGTTACTTGTGCTCTTCGTGGCTTTTTCATTCTCAATTCCCACAATTATTCACTTCCGGCTTTGTCTCTGTTGTTGCAGGGGTTATATGGAAAGGGGATAAGCTGATCGATGGAGTTCCTGAGACGCTTGACATGCTCCGCTCCAGGGTCGGCGCCCGAATTGCAGCTTCTGATTGATCGATTGTTGGGTGAATTGAGTCTTGAGAGTGTTTTTGTTCTCTGTTTTGCAGGGGAAGAGGTTAGTGTTTGTGACCAACAATTCTACCAAGTCGAGGAAGCAGTACGGCAAGAAGTTTGAAACATTGGGTCTCAACGTGAATGAGGAGGAGATTTTTGCTTCGTCGTTTGCCACCGCCGCTTACTTGAAGTCCATTGATTTCCCCAAAGATAAGAAGGTAACTTGGTCTCTCATGATCTTGTTGTAGTCCCTAATTTATCAGCGGAGTGAATGGATGGACTTAGACTACTAGCAGCAGAATCATCCCTGTCTGTTTGGGCAGAAACAAAGACTGAATTTTGAGAGATGGGTATATGAAAGTTGATGCTGTTGTGTTCTTTCTGATGCTAAGGTTTATGTAATTGGTGAGGAAGGGATCCTGAAGGAGCTTGACATTGCTGGAATTCAGTACCTTGGTGGCCCGGTATAAAAGTTTCTTTCCCAATTCACCACTTGGCAGAATGTTGCTGCTGATGCTGGGTGGTTTCTTACTTGTTAAAATGTACTTGAGACAGGAGGATGGTGACAAGAAGATTGAGCTAAAGCCAGGGTACTTTCTGGAGCATGACAAAGATGTAAAGCTTTCTTTCTTTTTTCGTTCCATAAAAGAAAACTACTATCCATCGAGACTTATATGAGCAGCAGACAGATGTGTTGTTTCATCTTCGTGAGATTTGCATGTTCATCGAGTCTCTTTGTTTCAGGTTGGAGCAGTTGTGGTTGGATTCGACCGTTATTTCAACTACTACAAAGTCCAGTAAGTTAGAGCATGTTGGTTAACAGCAGGCTCTTTACAGTCAAGTCCTTGCACTAATGCATAAGAATCAGGGGGAAGATGAACGGTGAGGTGAGGCTGATCTTTGTTCTTTGTTTCTTGCCTCAATCTATATAATGGTGATCGAAGGTATGGAACTCTTTGCATAAGAGAAAACCCTGGATGCCTTTTCATTGCCACAAATCGTGATGCTGTCACTCACCTCACAGATGCTCAGGAATGGGCAGGTTCTAAGTTCTAACCATCACCTTCTTGATTTCCTGCTCTTTCCTCCTTTTTGTTATATGGCCATTGCACTCCTGCAATCCGTTTGTAATCCTTGTTTGATTTCAGGTGGTGGTTCTATGGTTGGTGCTGTTCTTGGATCCACTAAACAGGAGCCATTGGTTGTGGGGAAGCCATCGACTTTTATGATGGATTACTTGGCCAAAGAGTATGGATTCTTTTCCCCTTTCTGAAAAAACTTTTCCTTAGTAGCTTTTAGCATAGGACTTGTAGTTGAATTCGAACGAAGTGTCGATCAAAAGAAAACTTAATTAGCATGTGAAAACAAATGGAGCTCAATGCTCATCTAACTAAACCCAACACCTTGCTTGCTACGGAAGGTAGTCAACACTGTTACACTTTGTTCGAGTTTTTATTTCTTTCACGTTGATGGTTTAGCTCTACCAGTAACGATTTCCGATTTCGAACAAGAACAGGTTCGGGATTACCAAGTCGCAGATTTGCATGGTTGGGGACAGATTAGACACTGACATTCTATTTGGACAGAATGGTGGCTGTAAAACTCTTCTTGTACTGTCAGGTAACTAAATACTGATGGTTCATCGCATAACAATTCACTCTGCCTTTGTTCATCTTTTGGTGCGGGACTAATCGAGACCCTCTGTGCTTTTGTGGGTAAAAAAAGGTGTGACCTCATTGTCAACGCTCCAGAGCCCCACCAACTCCATCCAGCCAGATTTCTACACCAACAAGCTATCAGACTTCCTGTCTCTGAAAGCTGCAGCTGTATGATTGATTGCAGCAGAGCACTTCCTTCCTCTCTGGCGTTGCAGAGTAATACGGCCTTTGTAGATAACGATTATCGTTCAAACATAGATAGTCTTTGCCTCTGGGTTGCCCGTATGTATGTTATTTTGCCTCTGGAAACTCGAAGCAAGAGGTGTTGCTCCAATGCAACAAGAGTAGCCTTTTCCTTTCCAAGTAATTCTGGCAATGTACCTCATCAACTGTCTTGGTTCTTCCTCGCGTGGTCTTGTACCGACCACCTGCCAAAAACATTCGCAATAACTTGAGTTGCTCGAAGAGATTTAATTGTAAATCTTATATTATTTACTAAGGCGCCCTTCAAACGAAAGCCACTCATATGAAGTTGAATGTTGCACAGATCCGAATACCATGTCACAAGAATTCGAATAAGAAGCTTTTCGATCATAAAAGGTTCTGATACAATATCAAAAACTAATTGGATCCAATAACAAATGAGTTATTCTCTCTTAATTAAACCACACTCCTTACTGATATTGACTCGGCAGAGCCATGGAGCGGTTGCCATAGGGGTGTGTAATGGTCCAGTCCGTAGCGGTTACAACTACTGAAAAAATGATGGACCGAACAGATATTTGGATATGACCAAATGGAACGAGTGCAATGATGGTCCTTTCCTTGATCCATAGATGTCTGTCACTAATAGATCGCATTTCTTGGGAATTTGGTCCGGTCCAAACCGAACCGGACCGTTGCACACCCTTAGACCAGGGGGGGGGGGGACCCAAACCTAAATTTTGGGAAAACGATTATCCAACCCCCGGTGGTAATTTACGTACGAACAAAAAAATATAATTGATAGTGAGGGACAACCCTGAAATTTGAAAAAAATGATTATCCTACTCTTATTTTTTAGTTTGTGTATGAGAATATAAGTGGTAGTTTGGATAATTCAAACCTAGGACACTACTACTATTAATAAATATTATTTCCATTAGGCTACTACTTCGATTTTAAACACCGTGTAATAGTAAATTGACATTTCCTATCTCTAATTATTTTCATAACCTAACAATTAAGCTAATTTCAAGCTACTCATAATTTGTATTGATTTTATGGTTGTAAGACAAGTGCTGAAAGAGTCTTTTCAGATTTGGGTTGCATCAATAACAAGTTTAAGAATCAATATACGATAAGTTCGTGAATAATTGTCTAGTAAGATATACAGAGACAATTTTTTGAGCAGTGTAGACACTAAGTGGTCGTTTGGAAGTTGCGATTGTTTTGTTGAGATTGTCATTATGCATGTATTGTTTACAATGCATCGTTTTTTTGTTTTTTTAGCAGAAACAATACATGGATTGTTTCTGTGATGTGACAGAAACTATCACTCATTTTGAGTGATTGTTATATCTCAACTTTTAGTTGTGATTGTTGAGATAGTTGAGTTGAGATTGTTTTGTCTCAGCTTTTAGCTGATGCGACATACACAATCACACATACCAAACATTGTATTCTTCTGTGATGTGACAGAAACTATCGCTCATTTTGAGTGATTGTTATATCTCAACTTTTAGTTGTGATTGTTGAGATAGTTGAGTTGAGATTGTTTTGTCTCAGCTTTTAGCTGATGCGACATACACAATCACACATACCAAACGTTGTATTCTTCTGTGATGTGACAGAAACTATCGCTCATTTTGAGTGATTGTTATATCTCAACTTTTAGTTGTGATTGTTGAGATAGTTGAGTTGAGATTGTTTTGTCTCAGCTTTTAGCTGATGCGACATACACAATCACACATACCAAACGTTGTATTCTTCTGTGATGTGACAGAAACTATCGCTCATTTTGAGTGATTGTTATATCTCAACTTTTAGTTGTGATTGTTGAGATAGTTGAGTTGAGATTGTTTTGTCTCAGCTTTTAGCTGATGCGACATACACAATCACACATACCAAACGTTGTATTCTACAATGCATCAAATTAGACAATACATGTATAATATTATACATGCATTCTCAACAATACATCTATTTAACAATCGCAACTTCCAAACGACCCCTAAGTGTATTCTAGAATTATTTCCGAATATGAAAACACATCGTGAAATTTTTTTAACGTCGTACGAGTCAAATATTTTCTTATATAAGAATAATTTTATTTTATTTTATTTTAATTTACTTTTTAAAAGAGGAAACCCCTATAAAATTTTTTGGTTCCGCCACCGCCTTAGACTAGCCAGGCAATGGCGTACGCTAGCTAGCTGGCCCAACCAAACCATCGGATCCTTCTTGCCGAATGCTGTAATTCGAAGACCAGTCAAGGCATCTTTTTGTTTGTCACTCAAATTCCATCGACCGAGCGTAACGTACCTTTAGTAATCTCCCACAAAAGTACTAAACAAGAAATTCCCTCCTACTCACCTTTCCTTATAATTAAGAAGACTACAGATCGAACAAATTAAAGGAGTATTCAACCAAAACGGGAACTAGATAATATAGTTAGAAGATGAGGGCGTCGAGAGTAGTATTAACATGGACCACCGTTATCTTGTTGGTCCTCTGCAGCGACAACGCAGTCCCGCCTGCAACGGGACAAGACGGCGGTGTCACGTGCAGCACCAACAAGATAAAGAACGGGGAGCCGATCGCCCACGCGATCGCCTCCCTCGTGTGGATTCTGAAGAACTCAGCTCCGTCCCTCGTGAAGAGGCCCGGGTCCATCTTATGTTTCGACAACGTCTACCAGGGTCCCGGTGGCGCCGCCGTTGCTTATGGCTCGGCGGCTTGTAACTCGCAGGATGTTGGCGGCTGCGCGGCCTGCCTGAACGATGCACTCAACGCGTTGTCCGGTGGCTGTCCCGGCTGTAACGGCGGCCAGGTCACCCTCGACAACTTCTGTCTCATGAGGTTCGAGGCATATGCATACTGCACTTGAAAACATATATATGAAATCCCAATTCACAAATCTGTACCGTTCTCCTGTTGTACACTTGTACAACGTACTTTTTTGGGTTGGGTATATGCAAATAATGTGCATGGTCGGATTTACAATAAGCAATTGGTATGTTTGTAGTTGATGCTATATGTATATGTATATGTGATGTGATTGATAATGTGTAATAAAGATCGTCATCAACATACACGCTTCACGCTTGTGTTTGATGTTGGTCCCCTAGTTAGTTTTCTCAGCCATGCATGCATCGTCGTCGTTACTGAGCTACGTTGACTAGAGATGGCAAAAATATCCGTAACCGTGGATATCCGCTCGAATCCGACATTGTCACGGGTAAGGGTAAAACTCGAACCTGAAGGACTTTTTAGCGGGTACGAGTAAAATCCGAACCCGAATATAGCGGCTAATGGGTGGGCATGGTTTTCTCACTATCCAACCCGAACCCGCCCGATATACACATGCATATATATATTTTGTCTAGAAATAATCATTATTTTTCTTTAACACATTTTTATACTTAGCATATAAATATAATATGTTTATGAAATTGTATTGTTTTAATGAGTTTTCTTCATTCCAGTGAATTATTGTCATACTTTTCGTCTTACGTAATGTGAGAATATATACATATGAATATTAACATATTGGTTGGAGTTACAAAGAGAAACTATTATCCATGGATAATTGTGGATATCCGAAACCCGAACAGGTATGAGCATGATTTTGATTTTCTACCCATATGGGTAAAACCCGAACTACTTTGGGTAGGGTAACGGATATGCACTATCCGTCCCCGACCTGACCCGTCGCCACCCCTAACGTTGACTTGACGGCGTCATGGGGCCAGGCCGCCACGGCGTTATATGTCTAATGTCTGCCGAATTCAAAGTTATTCGACGACGAATCCGCCGAACGCACCTCTAGTAATCCTCGACGTCCGACCGCATCCGGCAGGATGCAACATAACGCCAACAACAAACAAACAAAAAAGTTTACGATATATATGTTTCCAACAACAAGATACCCTCCTCAACTTTCCATTCAAAAGTTTACGACATAAATGTCGATCAGAGCCGGAGGAGTTGGTTCCCCGTCGACGGTACTACTACGACGACTACTATGGATACTCACCGTCACCATCTGGTTATTCCTCCCGGCGGCGGGGACGGCGCAAGAGGCCGTCGCTGATCCTCTGTGCAGCACCGAGAAGCTGAAGGGCGGGGAGGCGATCGACTACGCGATCGTCCACCTGGTGTGGAACCTGCTGAACGCGGGGCCGAGGCTGGCGAAGGAACAACCTCCCGGGGCGATCGCCTGTTACACGAACGTCTACGAAGGTGACGTGGGCACCGCCACGGCTTACGGTTCGGTGTCTTGTAACCTGCAGGATGCTGGCAGCTGCGCGACCTGCCTGGACGACGCGCTCCACGCGCTGTCGGATGCCTGTAGCGGCAGCGCCGGGGCGCAGGTCACGCTCCCGTACTGTTTCATGAGGTTTGAGGATTACAGATACTGCGATTGATTGATTGATTTGGAGTTTATAGTTAATCATCGCTGTTCATGCGATCAGATCTGCTTCTCTTTGTTGTGTTGTGATTTGGTTACTGTTCTGGTTGGGTGTGTGTCTGTGTGTCTATAATGTTATGCATGGCCGGTTTTGCAATAAGCTTTTACTAGCGTGGCCCAGCCATTTGCCCGGAGGAATGTGAAGTATGAAATTTGATAATGTAATGGGGTGTATAGCTTATTATTGTATAGTTTTTTGGAAATACATTAACCAGTTATTATACATTCAACCAACTCATTAAATATCCTATGCATCATCAAGTCCAGACCACTTGAAGGAAACTAGCTTCAATGCCAAAGCAGCATAGTCCATCAAATTGTACCGTACCGGTGGTTGAACCACGAAATACCAGTATTAGAGGCTAAATTGGTAGGCAGTATTTAACGGTACTACGGTCGAACTATGATTAAACTACGATTGTACAATAAAATTTCCTACCACTAACTTTAACGGTACAGTATCCTGCTAATCACCACCACCTCGCGCCAATTGTCAGGTGGTTGGCTCACCGCCACCGGCGGCGGCTGGCTTAGGTGACGTAGTAATCAAAAGTTTTGCTCTCTACTTGTCGATGTCATTCGGATTCGGTAATGGTAGTCGTGAACTCGTGATTTGATAATGCAATGGTACCTTGACATATGCAAGCAAATGAGAGCTTTTTTTTCACCCAACGAAAAACAATCGAGAGTTAGTGAACTGATGATAACTGTTAACAGCCGGTCAAATTTATCAATCAATCATGACAGGTCTGAAACAGGCAATGGCGCTCTAGGAGTGTGAGTATGTACAACAGAAATCGCCATAGACCACGATGGAGAAGAAGACCAACAGAAACAGGAGTAAAGTAGACTACAGCTAGTGGCAAAACGCAGCATCGTACAACCGTGTGTATATCCTCGTGTCCAGACTCGACTCCGTCCTGCAAATAGAGCAAAGCCTTTGATCTCAGTTCGAGTTATGCAACACAGGGGAAATGTAGACGACAATGTACAATGCAAAGATCATCTCTTTACAGAAACCAAATGCAGGACATTAGTTGGAGAGGAGATAACAGTCAACAACAGACATTCAGATGAGCAATAATACAATGTTTTTTTTTTTCCCTCGACAAAGATTATCTTCAACAACACCTAAGTGGGGATCGATTTTGAGAATAGCTATTGTCGACAATACAATAAGGGAGGACTATATAGAAGTTCACAAGAGAAATAGAAGCTGGTGATATCAAGAGCACCACAGGTTTAGTTGTCAAATACCAAATATTTGGACATGGAAGCCTCTCATCACAGCAAATGAAGATAGTTTTGAAAAATAACCCCACTTCAGTTCGAAAGGTTTTCGGTCAAGAAGCAATTTAGAATCAAATCATCAACTGTTTGCAAAGCATCTACTAAGGCCATCCGAGTTTCCTTCAGCAGATGAAAGCCCTTTTAGGCTACATAAATTAAAATGGTTTCAGCAGCTACACATAACGGATATTGGAAAACCCCAGTTGGCCAAATTGGTGTAATGGCATACTAAACAGCTAAAGACACACATAAACAGGGCTCTACTTTGCGGCTTGCAAAACTTTTATTTGCCAGATAGTGACTAATCACTAACAGCAAGGATGAAATTTGTAAAGGAATTAAAAAAAAAGGTTCAAGTGCTTCATAATTGATTGCCAATTGAGACACTCCAAAATAACAAATGATTTCATACAGATGCATAAACTTTAGGCACAAACTTATGAATATTTCTCACAGAAGTAGTGCCATTGCTCATTCATCTAGGTCCTTTACATCTCTTATGCAAAGCTTTTATGTGGAAGGAGATGCAACTTAATGTAGAATAAGCAGATGAAAGTTATATAATTCTAAGAACATTTGTGGAATTTACTACAAATTCCACTCCAAGTAGAACAGGAGCAAAAGACCTCATCAAACATTACTATTCCAAGTAGAACAGTCGGGCGTTATTCAGTAACAAGATCAGTTGCCAATCTGTAGGTTCACAAATGTAAAAATGTGCCAACGCCTTTTCTTCAACAAACATTCAGTTCCTTGGTACCTATTTTCCAACAAACCGTTAATCATCCGCTTCATTTCTACCCTGACATATGAAAAGATGAGCATCTCATTGGACAACTTACTAATGTCTCAACTTAATCCATCAGCAGAATCAAAGGAATAGTTGATGCTTAAAAAAATGGAAGCAACAATCAACATGCGTGCAAGATCAAGCAAAATCAGAAGCCAATTCCTCCCTCTAAATTACCAACAATGAAACAGATCTCCACAAAGGAAACCCTCAATTCAACAATCAAGAAGCAGGTTTACCAACATAGTTGAAAGAAAGATTACTAAATCTCTCATGCTTTCTTACAAGAAACACTATAAATCCCGCTAGCCAGCTCAACAGAACGAGAAGCGGATGAGGAAAACAGTGAGGGAAGCGAACAAACCTGGGAAGACGCACGCTCAAATCTCAATGTGCCTTCCTCCTCAGTGGATTCTTCTCAGTAGCTACTCTGTAAATCCAGTATACCTAAAAACCAAATGACAGACCAGAGAATCCGAAGATCGAGCTCAAATTTTACCTTCGCCCACAGAAACAGTTAAAAACGAGTGAGATTTCAGTGATCGAGAGACTACCAGAGCGAGGACGTGCGCTGCTATTAGCACGACGACGATGAAAGGTACTAAATCGAGAAACCACGGCCGCGGCATCGAGTCCCTAGCCATTTCTTCCGGCAAGAACTATTGACGGCGACAGCAGAAATCAACAGATCAACCGCTCGCCGTTGAGTGATGTTAAATCGTTAACCCCTTGAAAAATCAGGGTTTTGCCCGAGCTCGCTCCCTTGAAAGAAAAGGAAACGACTCAACTCGTTCGATGCTTCCACAGTACTACAGTGCTCCGTTGCAAAATGTAGCAGAGACAGAGAGAGATCTGGTTGGCGGAGTCGGGTCGGGTCTCTATTAGCTCAGTTAAGGCTGGTTGGGTATTTTGTAGCTTGGGCCTAGTACCGTTGGGCCTCAAATAGGCCCAATTGAAAACTACAATTTCCCGATCGACACCGCTGTGAATGTGATCAAGTCCGTCGTCGGTCGCTGGCTCGGCGACATATTGGAGAGCCGCGGGTGTCGGCGAATATGACGTGGCGGCTTTCTGGCGCACTCTCAAATTACAAAGGAGCGATCAATACGTATCCTGCTGCAAGCACCACTGTTCTTCCTTCGACGGCGATTTTTGTTTGCCCAAGCATTCCCACAGTCCTTCTGTGAGTGGCTTTTCTCAGCTGATCAGTGTTGTTCTTTCGGGCATTTTCACGAACGGTTGTTGTGCGAAAAGATGCCGGTTGATGGTTAGCGCGAGAAACTGTTCTTATTGTACTGGTTTCTTCGGTTGGATCTTGAAGCGCCAATGAGGAATGTCATCGGAATTCTCAAGCGCCACCGCCGGATTACGGTGCTTTCCCGCAGTAAGCAACTTGGCTTTCCGCTTTTTACTTGCTCATCGTGATAGGAATTTTGTGATATTCCTTCTTCCAATCCTTTTCGTTCATCTCTCGTTGTCGAAATGTAGTTTCTGCCACAAGGATAGTGCCAATTTTATTCAACGAAAAAAAAAAAATGTATTCGACGAAAAGATAGTGCCAATTTTGATATGCGGTCTTACAGTCTGCGACCTGTGTTCTTCTAGCAGTTTCTCGTCATGAGAGTTCTGCATTGGCTCCTCTTGGAAGTTCTAGTAGTGTTCTGGCTGACGGGGGAATCATGGAGATTAACAATCAGGCATGCTTCCTTCAGCAAAGGCTGTGAGTACCATTACCTCTAGAGCTGTAGGAAACTTTGCAATTTTTTATCTGGTGTAGACTGTAGAGCATATGAACTTGGGTTTAGTGTCCCAGTTTCCGGCATTTTGATGCTTCTGATCTTTGAGCATTTGGTGCAGCTTCTCCACGACCTTCACCAGTGTACATGTCGAGAAGCCTTCTGGGAAGTATGCAAAATTAAGGAAAGAGTCTCTAGAAAGTGAATTTGGACAGGCTCTTGGTACATACAGCTCCAGCAAGGCATCTCACATGTATCGATTTGGTCCATTTCTGGCGATTTATAGAGCTGCAATCATCTCATATCATCTCCTCAAGTTAACCACTTGGCAACTTTTCGTCAAGGATATGAGAGAGCGTGCCATCATGGTATGTCCGTTCTTTCTTGGTTTTTAGTTTCAGTAGCTTAATCTTAGTTATATGCTTGCCGAGTCAAAGCTTGTGTTTGCAGTGGTGGTAGTGGTGGTTGTTTCAAAATTTCTCCCTGTTCAGTTTGCTTGAAATGTTACTTAAGAATTTTGCTAGTAATTATCTTTTTGTATGTTGTGTGTACATGAGTAGTACATTCCACACCAAATAGGCTTTCAGAAATTGAATTCATAACCATGCACGCATGTGCGACTTGAATCACCAGAAAGTTCTTATAGCTTTGGATGAAGCGAGTGATGAGTCCATTCTTTTCTTTGTATGAAATGACCTACTTGGAAACCATTATATGATAGTGTATCCTTCTCATAGAGCTGTCTCGTAGTAAAGCGTACATTTGTTGCATGAGCTGAGATTATCATCTTTACTAAGCATATTTGCTCTTCTATATAAGACTGAGGATGATTACATTGTCAAATGGAAAGAGTTGCAGAAAGTGCTTGCATAAAGATTTCAAGAGTTTTGGTATCTTTAAGTGATAGAGACATCTGACATCAACTACTTTAATTCCCTTTATGCAATTTGTTGCAGTTTCGTGAGACTCTAGTCAGCTTGGGGCCTTTCTACATCAAGGCAAGTGACTGGTAGATACTCTCTCATTGACAGTGATGGTAGTGGTTGTCATCTTGGCTCTAGGTTACAAACTCAATCATTTTGCATTGCTTGTATGCCAACTCTAGCATTGTTTTGAATTAGTAAATAACATTATGATATGGGAAGGCTTCGAGTCCTGTTTCATTTGCTAAATTCTTTCTAGTGTTATTTCTGTATTCAGAATTTATCGGTTTTGTAGTGCATATGGTCTCAGCTATGACACATGGTAATTAGTACTCATTGAAATTTACAGCTTGGGCAAGCTCTAAGTACCAGGCCAGATGTATTGCCAACCATATACTGCCAGGAGCTTGCTAAGTTACAGGTACCCTATGTCTCTCTCTTGATATATCCTGCATATTGGATCTTATCATTGTTCGCTAAAGCCTACTATTTCATTCTCACAGTTTATCTCCTTATATTACCAGGATCAAATACCACCCTTTCCAACTAAAGTTGCAATTAGATCTATTGAGTCCCAGTTGGGCCGTCCTATTTCACAAATCTTTGCTGACATCAGTCCAGAACCTGTTGCTTCAGCATCGTTGGGCCAAGTGTATAAAGGTCAGATAAGTATGCTACATGAAATGGAGTAGTTGACTTAATAAACACAGTTCATTTTCCTCCTTATGCTGGTGGTTAAGGCGGGATGCTTCTCTGAAGTTCTCTGTATTCTGTGCACGATCAGTAAGAGTTGGATCTGGCAGGAGTTAAATGTTTGAATTTATTGTTCAAGTATTGCAGCTCATTTGCATTCCGGAGAGCTTGTTGCTGTCAAAGTGCAAAGGCCCGGGATATCACATTCATTAACACTTGATGCCCTGTTATTCAATATGATCGGGGGTCAGTTGAAGCGCTTCGCTAAGGCTCGCAAGGATCTACTGGTTGCTGTAAATGAGATGGTGAGCATTCCTTAACTATATTCCACTGATTTGTAACTTGCACTGCTCTTTTTATTGCACAATTAGTTATAAAGTTTGAGAATATGTTCAACCTATCCCTGTAGTACTGTATCTGTTGTCTCTTTACATCTTCGAGGAATCATCACTTACTATTACAACTGTAGAATTCTGGTCATGATTATATATTCTAAAGGAATTTGTGTGCAGCTTCACTTTTAAAGAGCAAAAAGAAGTTGGCCCCACAAAATTACCAGTGCTGCTCTATTTAGTAACTAAAATATGTACATGTCCACCCTCCAACTATTTGAGCACCAATATGGTTACTTCCTGTGCCAAAGCTTGCATATAGGCACAGCAATGTAAATATTAATGCACATTTGTCCGCTTCAGTGTCTGTTATTAGCTTGCATTTCTCATCTGCATCACTATTTCTAGTCTTCTTTGCAACATAATTCTACATGCGTATGGACTTCTTCAGGTCTATTTTGGATGATCAGGTCAGGCACATGTTTGATGAGGTTGACTACATTCTAGAGGCAAAAAATGCTGAACGTTTTGCTACTCTTTATGGTTGTGAAGCCTGTAAGTTCATCAAATCTCGGGGAAGAAACATATCAAGAGCTCTCATTATGTAAAGTATCTGTCATTCAACTCTACTGTGGTAACAGTCTGGCGTTAGATCTGGTCGTATAAATGTGGTTACTATGTTTGGTCAAGTAGTATTACTGGAAGTCTTGAAAACAATTAGTCCTGCTCTTCAGGCTCTCAAAACTCGCTGGACTTTTTTTTTTTTTGGTCTTCGGAGCAGGAGGGAGGTTGGGGTCAGGGCTTTCAAACTAAATTTCTTTGGTTGAAGGGTGACAACTAGCTTCATTTAAGTTTTAGGTGGTTTCATGAACATATGCAGAATACTGTGTACTCAAATGGTGACTTCAACTTGCTTTGACATGATAAGAACTGTGACTGTATCACTCTTGCATCTATTCATGCTTCCCTATGTTATGCTTTCTCATAACAAATTGTTACAGCTACAACAGTTGTGGATGAGAATGAAAATTATGTTAAAGTTCCGAAAATATATTGGGACCTCACACGCAAAGCTGTACTCACTATGGAATGGATAGATGGGATCAAGCTCACTAATGAAGCTCGCCTAAGCGAAGCTTGCTTGGATAGAAGAAAACTGATTGACCAGGTAAAGGGGTCAATGAGCCGAGTTTGTTCTTTCTACTTTGGATATGTTTGGGCCATAGAAATGGAAATTCGCCAATTGAATTATATTTTGCAGGGATTGTACTGCTCCCTAAGGCAATTGCTTGAAGTAGGATTTTTTCATGCTGACCCCCATCCAGGAAACCTTGTTGCTACTGACAGTGGCCATCTCGCTTATTTTGACTTTGGAATGATGGGAGATATTCCCCGGCCTTATCGCGTGGGACTTATTCAAGTGGTACTGGCTGTTTATAATTATGGTCTTTTTCCGATTTTATTTTATACTTTAGTCAGTTTGATAGCTTCAAGAGAATCATTGTGCGTTATTGAGTTGTTTGATTGTCAAAACTCAATAAGTAATATAAAGCCAGGCGCATAGGTTACTGATTACAAGCTTTCTGGATAATTATGACGAGAAGCCACACCCTCTTTTATGTTCTTCTACCTACCTTCTTCTTTTCCCACCTTAAGAGCTTACATACTGCTTTGCTTTAATTTACTTGCCGTAAAACGGCTTTGCTTGGTGCATCCTAATCCAGGCCCGCAAGTGGGCCTGTGTCCGCTTCATTTTTTTGGTTTGGAAACCATTCTCACTAATGACTGTTGGCAAATGTTGTTAGAATTGTGTAATTGTAGCTCCAGAATCTATTAGCAAAGTTTTCTGTTAATATTAGCATGGTTGTGTCTGGGAAAGAGTTTTCCCCTTTGCTTCATTACAAAGCAACTTATCAATTTGGTTCTGATTTGGCGATGATGAATGAGTGAATATCTTTTCCCTGATGAAACTGGTCTAATGCTTTCTGCTCTTCATTGAAACTGAAGCATTGTGTTTGTTGACAGTTTTGTATTTCTTTCAGCTCGTGCACTTTGTTAACCGTGACTCTCTGGGTTTGGCAAATGACTTCCTTTCTCTGGGATTTATTCCCGAAGGGGTTGACATAAGAGCAGTCTCTGATGCATTGCGAATATCTTTTGGGGATGGTTCAAGACAATCAAGAGACTTTGAGGTAAGGACTAGTGGATGTATTACTATCATGCACTTTTTTCTTACAAAGAAGATGAAGATATGATGATTTGCTAGGAAATTGACACCCTCCTAAAAAGAACTAAACTGATTAGTCCTCTCTTGAGTGTCTCATTAAGTTGAGATCACCCCAGCTTTACAACAATTGCATTCAGGTTGCGTCTCATCATTTCTAGAGATACGTTGCTGCATTTGGAAATTGAAAGTGCACTTTAATGCTTGTGTTGATCTTCAGGCAATAATGAACCAACTATATGATGTTATGTACGACTTCAACTTCTCCCTTCCCCCAGACTATGCTCTCGTGATAAGGGCCCTTGGATCACTTGAAGGCACAGCAAAGGTGCTGGATCCCAACTTCAAAGTTGTCGAGAGTGCATACCCTTTCGTCATTGGCAGGCTATTGGCTGACCCAAATCCCGACATGCGGAAAATCTTGAGGCAGCTACTTATCTCCAACGATGGATCCATCAGATGGAATAGACTTGAACGCCTGGTATGTTATTTAACCCTCACTTCTGTATTTTAACCGGTTATGACTCTGGATGAATTTTTCTACTTTGTGAAAAAAACAACTTGAGAGTTGGCACTTTGTTGTTATCTTTCACTCTTTAGATTGCAGCAATATCGCAAGAATCAGCTTCAGAGCCAATCGGTCAAGCTGCTAATTCCAAAGGCGACTCTCCAAATCCACTCGGATGGAAATCGTTTGATATGCGTGCTGTCGTCAGCGCAACAGAGGACCTTCTCCTCTTTGTTCTGTCACAGAGAGGATCAAGGGTGCGTGTTTTCCTCCTCAGGGATATGGTGAAAGCAGCGGACGCTTTCATACAAGATGAAGTAGCATGCCACATCTTCGACGACAACCCACATCCTGAACTACAACAACCATCAGGATCCGAGGTATTCCTCCTCGAGCCATTCTTTAAGACGTCGCCTCCTCGATTTTCCTTCTCTTTTTTTAAACTAGATTTCTCGATCTTCCACGGCAGGAACACAAAATGGTAACGAGGGTGGCGAATGGGTTTCGATATCTCTCTCGGGCAATGAAGATGGCTCCCGAGGTATGGACAGCGATGCTCATACGAATGGCGGTGAAGCCCGAGTTCCATCAATTCTCTGTCGACGTCGTGTCAGCATTTGTCATGCATTTTAGCAGTAGAGTTCCAGAGACATATATTATCTGTATGTCTAGACTGCTACATAAGCTTGCTGGAAAATACAGGTACAGTGACCCCGTTAGATGAGAAGGTCAAAATTTCTTCCCAACCCCTTCAATAGGTTCTAGATATAATTAGGCAAAGGGCTATTTTTTCAAATCGTTCTGTTAGGGTTTTGATTAAGGTGTAAATTAATTAAATGTGGCATGTTGCTTTGTCTCGCTCCCAGCTCCAGTTGTGCTTATTCCCATTTCTGGCACTTGCTAACAGCCTGAAGAAGGAATGTCCAAATTGTACTGAATCAACATTTTGATTGGAAATGATTCAAACATATTTTGATCCCCGTAAATTGTCGCAAATATGAAGGAAATGCGGATTGAATTTGAATTTAGATTCAACCCGAAGACATTAGTGGTCTGATAGTATCTTAATTTAATTCAACCCGAAGACATTATGCATTCGCACATTTGTGTTGGTGAATTGGTGTGAATATTCACCATTTCACCTTATACCTAATCAATTCCCACATATATTTTTATAAGGGTGATATAGATTTCTTTTTTGTGATTAATATACTATTTAAGGAATTCAAACCTGAGACCTCCAAGTTCTAGACTAGTGGTATTACCACTAGACCAAACCCTTATTCGTCAATTCCCACATTTATTTGGTGCAACTATTCACCTTATGCCTAATCAATGTGATAATTCTCTTTGCTACGGCCGAATTTGATCGTTGGGATGGGAGTGAAGAGTTAGCCAAAGCTACAAGAATATTCTTGTAGCAACTGATCAAGAGTTGGCCTCTAGGTTCATAGCTCAACGGCCGACGATCAAAATTCAAAAGCATATGTATGGCCGTTAAATGAACAGAGTATAATATTAGCACACACTAATCCGCAAACAGTACTCTATAGTGATCAAAGTTGCGCGGCGATCGAGAACTCGGAGACTCCATAGACAGACAGTGTTGAGACAAAGGATCGCTTGGAACCTTCGATTCTGGAAATGATGCATTACGAATGTGTGGTTTCGAAATTTCATTGTTTGGAACCCATAAAAGAATGCATGGATTATAGTTTAAATGAACCATGGGTACTAAAATCTCACCAAAAAAGTAAGATTGTGAATACATCATTTTCTATGTATTAGGAATGCAACATGGATTATGAATACATACATTCTGTTATTACATCAAATCTAAAAACGTTATATCCTCAAGATACATGTATACTGAAAATACTTCATCTGAAATCAGAGATTCTACCCGAAGGAAGTGGTAAGAGTAGTCAGATTTAGGAGCCAGATCGTCTTGGTAATGAAGCCCCCTTCGGTACGGAAAATGAATTGTCAAACATCTGCTGTTTTGGTCCATATAAAGACGCAAGATAAATAATTTAACGAACTTAATAAATACCCTTTTTTATTTTACAAAAAAATAAATAACCTCTGGTTCTGGTCTGGTCGGTGGCGCTGTGGATTTAATATTCAGCCGGCAGCGGCAGCAGAGCCACAAAGCCTTCTCTTCCCCCGCTGCGTTTGTCAGGCTTCGTTTTCGAGATCTCGGAATATATTTTGAGCTCATTTCATTGGTTCAGAATCTGACTCTGCATCCCAAGCAAGCCTGTCGGAATTAATCCATCCTTATCCATGTGTTTTATACATGTCGATTACGAATGACAATAGATACATCGGAGTGGATATTTCGATATCCATTTTCATTTCGTGATTGGATACGCGAGTAAGGTATTTTATTATGAGACGCTGTCCGGGGTAGATCATTACAAACAAGAAGCTAAACCATAACGTGATAAAAGAAGGTTCAATTATTCGAGAAATTGGAATTTCCATCTATTTATAAACTTATTATAGCTAAAATGTAAGATAGTAAAAGTACATTTCTAAAACTATTTAAGAAAACTTATATATATGTAATGTAGCCAAAAACGGGTTTGGGTCATAGTAGGCATGTCAGATCAATTAGATGAACACTCGTGCTCTTCACACTCCAAAACAAATCGAATAAAACAGGCATCTCGACAAGATGGATTATTTCCCCCTCGAACCGTTCGATTTATTGGAATGAATTAGTTCTTACTTCTTAGCTGGTTAAAAAGATTACATTAATTAATTAACGAGTGAATTGCAAGTTTGGTCACCCATATTACACTTTTGTAACACGTTAGCCACCCGAATCAATTTCGCTTCAATTCAACCACTGATAATACACATTTATGTCATCATTGGTCACTCGCCGTTACACACCGTCAACGCCGTTATACTTATGCTGACGTGGCAAACGGGGTGCCAAGCTGGAACACGGAATGCTGAGTCAGAGGCTTTAATTGAGAACAACACACCCGACCCGTACCCTCTGGAAAACCCCGACCATTGACCTAAAAACCCGACCCGTTTGCCCAACCCAATTAAGTAACAAAAATTAAAATAGATTGGATAAGGGCAGAAGAAACGAGAGGCCCTCGTCATCTCCCTTTCTTCCCTTTCTTCTTCCTCTCGTTCGAATTTCCAGAGCAGGGGAAGAGTGATTGATTTTCCTCCTCTTTGAATCTTTCTTCCGCCGGCCGTTTCTTCTCTTCTTCTCTTTCGTTCTGTTTCACAGGCGTCACAAATTTGTTGCGATTGTATGCTGAGATGGATGGAGAAAAGTGAAACCCTAAATCCATCTATTGAAGTTTGCGGCCGATTCTCGTTACTCTTCTTTTCGGGGGTTGGCGTGCAACAAAGGAGCATATCTGAAGGTACCTATTCTGTTAATGGAGTTTGTTTTGGTTGGAGTTTGTTTAGGGTTCAGTGGGTTTATTATAAACAAAACGAAAGGGAAAAGGACAGCTTCGAGTTTTTCCAGGTGGATGTTTGATTCTTTAAACTTAAATCGCAAGTTGGTGTTGTTCCTTTCCAGGTTGTCCGACTCTTCATCGAGAATCATGGTGGGTCATGTGCGGCCCCCAAATGGTTCCCTACCCAACTATCGTAAGTTCCATCGCTTTCAATTTTGTCTTTATGCTTTTAACCCACATCTGTCTCGCATTCACTTTCTTACATACTGCTCACCAACAATTTGTTTGTAATTGGTCCATGCAGTGGTGAGTTTTCGTTTGAAGTTCACGTAGACCACGAGTTGAAGAAGAAGAGTGGCAAACACTTCTTGAAGGAGAAAGAATCTGTGTTCTATGACTATGCCGACATCGATGAGTTGTCTCTCTTGGACTTGGCTGACATATATGAGAAGTGTGGTGGGAAGATTCAAAATCCAAGATTCTATTGGAAAGCTCTCACCAGTGAGTCAATGACGGAGATTTCTAACAATAGGGACTTGCTGGACATGGCTGTAGCAGCTAATAATCCTCCTCGAATCATTGAGCTGTTTGCTATTGGAGAGAATGAAGTGGAGGATCTTTTGAGTAGTGATGTAGATGAAGATGCAGTCGGCTGTTCGAGAAAGGAGGCCTTACATTGTGGTGCTTCCGATGAAGATGATGAGGACTACAATGCAGACGAAGATGAAGATGACGATGACAGTGACTACGAGGGTGATTTTGAAATGGCCAGCACTGATCATGACAATGAAGAATTTGAGGAGAATTGCAATATGGATGTAGAAGCTGACTTGGGCAGAATTATTGGTGGAGACGGAGAAAATGAGATGGAAGATGACGTAGAAGAAGAGTCGGATTTTGTCGACTCTGATGATCGTAGAACTGTTCACAGTTCAGAGGATGACTCCGATGATGCACATGTGTCTGAGTTTCGTGTGGATCGAGACATGGAGAACCCAAAGTTCTCACTTGATCAAAAATTCAGTAGCAAGAATTTGTTGGTTGAGGCGATAAAGACACACTCTTTTATTGAGCATCGACCAATCTCTTTCAAGAAGAATGATCGAAAGAGGCTACAAGAAGTTTGTCAGGCACCTTGTGAGTGGTACATTTGGGCATCCAAGAAAGAGCATGCAGATTTTGTACAAATCACAAGGTGCAAATTAGAGCATTCAAGAGATTGTAGTCTGACTTTCAATAACAAGTTTGCAACCGCCAAGTTCTTGGGAAACAAGCTGTCAACAAAGATGGCAGCCGATCAGAAAATGAACAAAAACTTGTTGAAACAAATAATGAAAGAAGACTACAAGGAAGAGGTTGGAGATATGAAGGCATATAGGATCAAGAAGACAGCAACTGATTTGGTGCGTGGGACGTACAAAGAACAATTTCGAAGCCTCTATCATTATGCAAAAGAGCTACGAAGGAGCAACCTCAACTCAACTATTGTTGTTGAGTAGAGATACCAGACTTTTCACCGTATGTATGTTTGCTTTGAAGCATCGAAGAAAGGGTTCCGGGCAGGCTGTAGACAGATTTTGTGCATCGATGGGTGTTGGTTGAAGCACGAATATGGTGGTCAACTTCTTTCTGCAGTGGGCATCGATGCAAATGAGCAATACTTTCCGGTTGCCTTTGCTCACGTTGAAGTGGAGAATAAGGAGAACTGGACTTGGTTCCTTGAACTACTGAGGTTCGATCTTGACATAGTGGATAATCCCGGCTGGACGTTTATGTCAGACAAACAGAAGGTAAGATTTACTCATGTTTTATTTTGTACGTTTTATATTGTACCATGATGCTAAACTAATAGGGTGTTTATTTTTCATACACAGGGTCTTATTCCAGCACTAGATGACACCTTTCCTAACTGTGAGAAGAGGCATTGTGGTCGTCACTTGTACACAAACCTACAAGGTGCATGTGGAGCCTCCCAAATGATGAAGGATCTGTTCTGGACAGCTGCTAGAGCTACAACTGTGCCTGAATTTCACACTGCTATGCAAGAAATCTCAAACTACAACAAGGCCGCCTACGAATGGCTTCTTAACAAGCCATTCTTCCATTGGACAAGGTCTCACTTTCTCACTCTTGTCTCTTCTGATGTGCTTACTAGCAACATGGTTGAAAGTTGGAATGATACCATAATGGATGAGAGGGATATGGCTCCTATTAGCATGTGGGAGGGTATTAGAAGAAAGTTAATGTTGATGTATGCTAAGAGACGACGCTTTGTGAAAAAATGGAGTGGTCCTTTGTGTCCCAATATTGAGCTGAAAATTAAACAATTGAAGAAAGAGGCTCTCAAGTGGGTTGCAGTATCAAATGGCAATGGAGAGTTTGAGGTTAGGTGGCACAACAAGCAGCTTGTGGTGAACATAAAGGAAAAGACTTGCACCTGCAGAAAGTGGGAGCTAACTGGCATTCCTTGTGAACATGCTATGCAAGCAATTAGGAAGGCAAATAAGAAACTCCACGACTATGTGGTAGCATGTTACTTGAAGGAAACAGCAGCCAAAATTTACCAATTCTCTATTTCACCTACTGCTGGCAAGGAACATTGGGGTCTTTCTGAATTAGGTGAGGTTGGAGTGCCTGCTCCTATAGAGGGAGACAAGAGAGGAAGGCCAAAAAAGGCAAGAAGGAAGGAGAGGGAGGAGGCTGCCAAAGGTAAGAAACAAAAGAAGGATGGAAGAGAAGTGTCGAAACAACCTAGAAGACCATACAGGTGTACTACATGTGGGCTGGTTGGTCACAACAAGTCTTTTCATGTCGATCAAGCTGGAAAGGAACAAGCTCGTGCTGCAAAGAGGACAGAAGATGTAATGGAGAAAGAAAGAAAAAGGAAGGAGAGGGAGGAAGAACAAAGGAGGAAACAACAAGAAAGATCTGAACGTAATCGACTTGCTGCCCTACAGAAGCTGGAGCAAAAGAAGAGGAAGCTGGAAATGAGACAAGCACCAAGTCAGCCTCGTACTGTCCAAGTGATGACTGATGTTTGTCTTTGATTTGTTCTTTTTGAAGTTCATTAATGTAGACAAACGTCCTAATCTCACTCATTTTGCAGGGAACTACCAGGAGGCCATTAGGTGAGGCATCCCAACAAGGAAGTCGAGCCACTCAAGGCTCGCAGATAACAAGCCAATCGACTCAGCTGAGGAATCCTTGAAGCTTGGTAGCAGTTAATGTAGGAGTGGTTGTTTAGGTAGTTTGGTTAAATCGTACGACGATGTACCCTTTTGGTGAACAAGTAGTTGTAGTTATATTAGCCTCATTTTGGTAATCTGTTGCCTATTTGGTGAACTGTTGCAGTCTATGATTGATCTTGTAAATCGGATGATGATGATGACTTGCTCATTTTGTGATTTTTCTAGACTGTTATCTAATCAGATGACTATTAAGAATGATAGCAAGCCTTTTGTTCTTTGTCTTCCACCTTTTGATTGCCAAGCAGGTTTATTAACAATGATAATGTTCTTTTCTTTCATGACATTCAGCTTCCATCACCAGACACTCAACTTCAAAGTACATGACACAACACACACAACACACATTACACCTTGCAAGTTAAACACAAACACAATTAACATTTTGATTACGATTAATAACAAACACAATCCGCATTTAAAATCCGACTACAGCAGCTGTGGATACTCATTGCATCATTCCCCATCAGACCCACCCATTCTTAATTCCCTATCAAATTTGACTACAGATTGCATTCCCCCATCAGACTCACCCATTCCTAATTCCCTTTCGAAAGACAAAAGAACAGAGCTGCAGAGAAAAGGAAGAGTAGCACTTCTTTGCTACTAAAAGTCGACACCCTCCCTTGCTGCCTATTCTCCAGCTCGCGCAGCCGACGATGGAGGTGGAGAACCAAATACTTCACGTTCTCATCAAGAGCCGGGTCATGCCATCTAAAGTAGTTGCAAGCTCCCGTTCTCTGTACAAACGCAAAACAAGGAAAAAGAAATTTGAGAACCCAACGATTGAATAGAGCAGCAGTGCTTGAACAGAGCAGCAGAAGAAAGAAAAGCACAGGAAGAAGAAGAAGAAGAAGAAGAAGAAGAAGAAGAAGAGGAAGAGGAGAGGAAGAAGACGGGGAGTTGGTCTTACTCCAAACTTTGCGCACCCGTAAAACCTCCTGCCCGGATTTGCATCTGTCCAACTCGTTCTCAGATCGGCTGGATCTCCATAATGACAGTAGGGACCGGCCATTTCTCAAGCTTGAAGAAGAAGGTTCTGTCGGGGGCTTTGATTGGGGAAATTAACCCTAATATAGATGGAAGAGTGGGAGGGAAAACCACTTTTTTTTTCCCGCCCAAGCCATGTCAGCGATTAGTTGGACTAAAAAACAGCTTTCCGTGTTCCAGCTTGGCACCCCGTTTGCCACGTCAGCATAAGTATAACGACGTTGACGGTGTGTAACGGCGAGTGACCAATGATGACATAAATGTGTATTATCAGTGGCTGAATTGAAGCGAAATTGATTCGGGTGGCTAACGTGTTACAAAAGTGTAATATGGGTGACCAAACTTGCAATTCACCCATTAATTAAGGGGATTGCTATTCGTCGCCCTAAAATTTCTTATTCGTCGCCCTAATTAAGATAATTTTACTCTAATACCCTTAATTCATTTATTCGTAGTTTAAAGACTTAAACCCAAAACAAATTACCGGGAAATAAAATAAAATTGACATCAACTCATCGCCGGCCGCCGCTGTGCGATTTACAGTCCATAATAATGGCGTGGGGGCTCGAGTTAAATCCAAGTTTTACACTGAAAACAAAAAAACCAAAACGTCCCCTTGTCCCTGGTCAAATGAATTCCAAGAATCCCCCTTACTTTGTCGAATTAATTCCCAGCGAGATAATCTTTGAAAAAAAACCCCTAAACCCTTACTCTGTTCTTGGAGCTTTGTTTATGTTTCTCTTTTCGTCCTTTTTTATTTGGTAATTGGGTTAGTTGTTTGGTGGGGGGACTAGGAAGTGGAATCGTTTCCCCTTTCATGAAGCGAGGAAGATAAAAAGGGCTGATGGAAATAATAGATGAGATTGCAGAGGACGGCTTGCCAGAGCGGGGACGCCTTATTCTTCGATTTGAGCGGCGGCCAATTTGGATTGGGGATGAAGAAGGGATTAGAGATTGTTTGGTTAGGGTTTACGACTGAAATTGGGTTGAGGGTAAATATGTCAATTTGTTGCGTTTTAGGGCGATAAAATTTGAATTTTAGGGCGACGAATAGCAATTCAGTTAATTAACCCTCTCTCTTCCTCCTCGATCGACCCATCGGCGGAAGAAGTCTAGCTATCGCCGGCCCTATCGCCGCCCTACGGCGCCGGATCTCCGACGGAGCAAATTCATCCCTTTTCGATACGACAATCTGATGAAATGGGCGCAACGTAACTCGCAAGAGGCTGTTATGGCTTTATTACAAGGCGACGACGGGAGTGGCTGGCGTAAGGCGGTGGTGCATGAGCGCCACGTGTCCTCGCCGGAGGCAAGCTCCACGCATGCACGACTTACTTGGCACAGCACAGAGAGAGAGAGAGAGAGAGAGAGAGTTAAGAATTGTTTAGTTATGGGGTAAAGCAAATGCCATTGACTTCTTCGTTGTCTTTTTGGGTCATGTATTTAAAATGTGTGATTAGTCTACTAATTAATCACACCCCAAAAAGAGAATCTTATTAGGTCATTTAGTTTCAGGGTCAAATAAAATCGATTAATTGTTCCACTAGTTTGGTACCTGGTTCATTGACGGATAAATTTTGTTTGAAATATGTACTTTGGTAATTTTTTCCTCTTAAGGTGTCTATTTTGTTCGGTCTGTCATTGTCCTCTCTCATTTCGAATCGTGTATACCTTTGAGTCCGACCAGTTGGCCGCTAAATGATTTTTTTTAAGGTAAATTAGTTTGTCCCGCATGACAATATTTTAGCACCCATGAAATTGTTGTGCATTATTATTATGATTACAAAATTAAACATTGATATAATTTAGTAACTCAGTAGAATAAGAAATTTGTTCTGCGATCTATATTAGTATATACTTTATGGCGGTACAATCGAATGATATTGATATAGTTTCGCAATTGTCGAATAGGAACATGCCTTGTAAATATATGATTGTGGCTATGTTTAAAAAAAACATATATCAAAATAGGTATCCTTGTGTAGATCACATAAATTCTAATTTGTTCGCGCAATAATATTTAAATTCGGAGTTGAAGCGAAATAAATATGTATCAATTAAGAATAGTAGGGGAGATTTAAAAAGAAGAGAGAGAGAGAGTTAAGTGACACATTCTAATTGGGGTATAGAAAAACTTAAAAGAAAAAAAAGGAGTTAAGAAAAAATCTGATTGGTCGGAAGGGTGCTGACGTGGATGCGTAGGAGGACTGAAATTTTGAAATGGTGAAGGTAGTTTTTGAAAAAGGCTTTATATATTTTATAGAAGATAGATTATTAAACCAAGCCTAGTACTCAACACAGGCTTAAATGTCGGACAATTAAGGATGCAGTTGCACTCAATTCGTTAGTGAACGATAATAACTTATGTAGAATACAGAAAGACACGATCGAGATGTTGTAGAATAGAAAGTCTTGTTATCATCTCGACGGACTATCGAGAATTGAAGCCCCCATAACAATATTGAGTAGCTTTATGTTAAGAAAGCTATGACACTACCAAGTATCATATTCGCATCGTCGTTGAAATGTACAATTCAGAAGGTAGACGATGATATATCAACGATATTGTAAATTTACCGAAACAAGCCAATAATTAAACCACCATAAAAGCATTGAATGTCAACAAGGCGACACAAATAGGGGAGCGGATCAGGTCAGTAACCTTATGGTGAGTAACCATGAGTAACCCGTCCACATCACCATGACATCAACATCCCCTCTCTCTCCTGTAAAATATTTTATTTTTTCCCCTTTAATCTTTAACGGACGATTTCTCTCTTGTTTTAAGTCGAAATTTATATTAAATGCGCTCTTTAAAATTATATCCACTTTGATATATTTTTAGTACAGAAAAAAATTTGAGTCATTTTTTACTAGTCATTACCATATGGTAGTATCCTATTTAATACCATATGGTAAGAAATTGTACCATAATGGTATGAACATACCAATATGGTAAGAAGGTTGAATACATGATAGTACGAGTATACTAACTGTCATTTACGACTTTCATCATTGTTTACTACAAGTTACCACCCACGTACCATAGTGGTAAAGTATGATAATTTTTGGTCCATTATTTTTTTCACCCATAAATTTGCAGATCCAATAGATCATGATGGACTCGTTACTTCTGAGCAAAGGTTTTCTAAAACGACTTAAAAACGAAGAAGTTTTCATATGATATATAGTTGGTAACGAGTGGTATGAAAAAAAGTTTCTCGAAATATATTGAAAATTGATCTCATTTTGTAGAGCACAACAAACTCGTTCCATCTGTGAAAAAAAAAAAATTGAAATCCGAGTTAGAACGAAGAAGATGAGAGGCTATTAAGAAAACTAGGAAAAATAAAATGTCTTTAATTGATAACCCTTAGATCTGAATTTTGTGGGTCCAATTAGATCTAAAGGTCCAGATTTAGTTACTCATAGGTGAGTAACCAATGGATACTAACCCTATTCTAAGCCCACAAATAGGGGTTCGCCCATGCAGTCCACATCCATGAGTACACGTGGCCCAATCGAGTTTGATTTTAGGGTCTTGCTGATACGAGGGTGAAGCTGGTTGATCTACGTTTAAGTTATTATTAGTAAAATGTTTTATGAAAATTTTAAGTAACGTGTGCATTATGTGTATATGATACATGTTGCGTGCACGTATTTTGTTTATACCATCTAGATTTTATCTGATCAAATTCTAGTTCGTGGATGTCGGTATAACTTATAAGGAAATAGTGATGAAATGTAAACAATGCACCCCATGCAGTCCTTGCCCACGAGGAGTGCACGTGGCGTGATTGACATTGATTATTTGAGCCTTGTTGCTGATACAAGTAGTGAAGTAACTATGATCTTCCTTTTCTTATTAGTAATCTACTTAATGTCAATTTTAAGTTACAAGTACGTTGTTTGTCCTCGACAGAGTAATTGATTCATCTGTTTCATACCATCTACATCTGGTCTAATCGAACTTATGTCTTCTTTATATATAATATATATATGAAAAGTAGCTGCCTATTATTTTCACAATCAAATTAACACATCCACACTTGCTAATTGCTATTATTACCGATATGAACATTAATCATGATGTAGATGGTGGTAGATTGACGGACTGGTTAGGTAATTATATATTATACTTAAAACACCTTTGTTATTTGTTAGTTTCTTTTTCCCTTGCGTTACTTTGCTAAACTAATCATATACCTAATCACTAATCAGCACCATAATAAATTAATAATCACCGAGAATTAAAAAAAATATATATAACATAAAATGATAAAATGGAACGAGGAAGAAGAAGACGGACAAAAACCAAACTGAAAAACAGAATCACCACCTCCACCACCATCATCATCAATTTTGCCCCTTTCTTTCTCTCTCTTCTGTCTTCTCTCATATTTCTTCTGAGGAAGAGGGTTTCTTTCGGTAATTTTGCTTACGCCCCGCACCCCGATTTTTCTCTAGCAGTCTCCTGAATTCCCTCGCTGTCGCTTATGCCATTTCCCACCCATTTCTCCACCTCTTCCCTCCCTTCACCTTCACCTCCATCTCACAAACTCACTCTCCCACCTCCCTCGGTTTGTTTCTCCGATTGATTGATTGATTGAAGAAGAATAAAAGAAAACCCAAATCATGGATCATGGGTTCTCCCCCTGCATGATCATGTACGCTTTGATTCTTTTTATCTGTTGGGATTTTATCAATAATGCCGATTCGTTCATGGGATTTGGTTCCCTGATCGCGTTTTGTTCCGTGTTTGTTTGTTTGACATTTTGGGGGGGTCATTGTTGGTGCAGGATGGAGCTCGAGGATGCTGTTTGAAAATGTCAACAGAATAATAGAATCTAACTGGGGTTTACTAATCGGCTATCGTTCTCAGAACCGGCTGCAGCTGTTGTTGGTGGTGTTTCGCTTCTTCTCTCTTCTTCTATTTCTCGTGTCGATCAAGGGGATAATTGCTGGTGAAGTCGATTCTTGTTGGGTTGACGGCGACATGGGTTATCTCAATTCGGTGCTCTCGTCTTCGAATCAGGTTTATGCGGAGGATGGCCCTGTAAGCGGGGGTGGTCTCAGGTTTGTTTGCAACCCTCATTGAACAATCCATTTCTCAGTTGTTTATTACGACATGATTGACTTTAGATCTATGTCATAGTGCTCTCGTTGGGCTGAAGTCCCTTGTCGTGTATTATTGCTCAAGTGGTTTGTTTGACCTGCTGAACCTTGTCTGGGTTTCTCTTACGTGGTTGTGGTGTTGTTGTTGTTTGCCTTGATGTAATGTCCATTTCAATTGGTTATGAGTCGTTTGCAAATGATTCATTTCTTCATATAGAGGGATCTTTCTGCTATGGTTCTTCTCCCTTAAAAGGGGGCCAGAGAACGATTTGTTGGTGTGGTTTCGATCAGAATGTACGTTCCATTTCGCTGTGTTTGCTTTTGGAATGATATGGCCTTGCATAAGCAAATAGATTGTCGTTTATTCTTGAAGGGGCATTTTGTCACGGCTTGTTCTTCCTGAAGAAATATGAAAGAACGAATGGTCTACTTTGATAGGCACAAATTTTCACTGAGATAGTCTCTGTTAAGAAGCTCAGGTTATATTCCATAGGGTTTGTGTTTGGGTCTACAAGATCTTATATAAACCTCTGACTTCCCTTCTTCTTAGGTGTAATGGTCATACAAGGTGACTTTATACACTTTCTTATACGTGATGATTTTCATTAACTAGGACAGGTCTTAAAGAACCTACAAAAGAAGTGGATAGAAAGAATAATGAATGGTGGAAAGGTTGCCCTAGGAGTCTTGATATTTTGTTCTCCTGAAAAAAATGGAATCAAGAATTGTGGGAAAGAGGTTCATGCACACTGCATGTCTGACATTTTTTTCTGATGACGTACATACCGTTTGTCGGTATACCCCTTCGGAGATCTTTGTTTTGATTTTTTTCCAAGAGTAGAGTACATTCCAGTCCGTACGTTCTGTTATTTAACACTTTTTTAATGCTGAGAGGAAATGAATGTTCTTTGCTGATGCAATTATCTCGCCCTACGTTTTATTGTCCGCCACACTTGTATTATAGTCATTTGTGGATATAATTTGTTCCGGGAATCTGGAAACTGCTATATTATTTGGCGTAACCGACTGTCTTTTCACTTACTGATTTTTGTTAGGCAACATGAAGCTATACAAGTTATTTAGTACTTCAAATGCATAAGTTATTTTACGTTCTATGTCATACTGGTATGATGCAATATGTGTAGAACATCCGAACCCCTTTGGTGGCGATGCTGAATGTGAAGGAAACACTAGTGTGGTCCTTGTCACTCACAGTCTAAGATCAGATCCGAATTGGCTTTTCATAATGCAGTTAGCTTCTTTTCAGTTAAGCACTAGCATTAACATAAGGACTTCATTGCTGGATGCAATAACCCTGCGGTAGTGTTGCATGGAATCAAATGTTTTCATTAACTTTTACCAGCCACCTTACCAAGTTTGTCTTCTTTTTTTCCTTTTTCCTCATTGACAGTCAGAATGGAAAGTTCAGCTATGGATATGCAAGCTCACCAGGGAAGAGATCTTCAATGGAAGACTTTTATGAAACAAGAATTGATGGTGTTGAAGGGGAGATAGTTGGTCTTTTTGGAGTTTTTGATGGTAACTGTTATATTATCCTCTTGCCCTGTTTATTTTGGCTGATGTAATTTGTTTGATCCTATTACGAGAGTCTAAGTTTAGACTGATATCTAGGATAATTTTATCCTGCAATGTCTATTAATGTGTGTGAAATGGCACTTAGTACAGTCGATCGTTAATTTATTATCCTTGTCATCCAATATTTTCTAGTCTGGCTTCCACTCTTTTTCTTCTCAGTGTACTTTGTTGTATTTTGATTATAAATGAGTCCTTTGATGTTTTTGTTCTGTCCGTTTTTGGTTCACCGAAATGTTGGATTCGGATGTATTTTTATGTTAGTTTATACATGGAATATCCTTTGAAAAGAGCCCATTTCCTTTCTTGCGGTCATGCATTAACTGCTGTTGGCTGGCGCTTGTGGGTTGAATATAGTAAATTTTGTATCTGAAACTTGATTCTACTTGGTATTATTATCCTAACATTTTCCCCAACTCTTTGCATGAATATTTACTTATTCCATTTTTTTTTGTTATCTAATTTTTGCCACTTGCGAAATTCATGTTTCTGCAAGTCGTGGCATTTCATAAACGATAAGCTTCTTTGATCACCTTTCAGGTCATGGAGGTGCAAGAGCTGCTGAGTATGTGAAACAAAACCTTTTCAGTAATCTGATCAACCACCCGAAGTTCATTTCAGATACCAAATCTGCTATAGGTACTTTGACTACCTTAAGTGGAAAGGATAGGCTTTAATGTCACTCTTTTATATTAGTTGTCGTAATGATAACTTAGTTTCTCTTTTTCTCAACTCTTTCACCTGCAGCTGATGCATACAACCACACAGACTCAGAGTTCCTCAAATCAGAAAATACTCAGAATAGGGATGCTGGTTCAACTGCTTCCACAGCTATCCTTGTTGGGGATAGGCTGCTTGTTGCCAATGTTGGAGACTCAAGAGCTGTCATCTGTCGGGGTGGAAATGGTAAGACTTGAATGGGACTTTTCTCATTATTTCCTGGCCCCATGGCTGGTTAGATGTGTGCCCATGCTGCACATTATAGTTCTGTCTGTTTTTTTCGTTGTGCTAGTATTAGACAATTACTGACAATCAGGAACAAGAGGCTCAGTCATAACTGAGAGCTTTAAACAAGTACAAATGTGCTACAGTTATGAAATGATATGTCCTGTTTCATACTGTTTTTTGTCCATGGATGTGTCTGGTTTGCTGGTTTTTCTGGCGGTAGAAGGATATGTTGTCTGCTGATATGAGATGTCCTCAAATTCTGAGTGGTATAATTGCGAGGATTTGTACTTTATGGATCCTAATGCGGAATAGATGTTGCCTCTTTTGTATATGAGATGTTTTATGCTTCTATTCTTGGTCATGGCCTTAGGGTAATAAGGTAACCAATGTTGTAATTATTTTGTGCAGCTATTGCTGTTTCTAGAGATCATAAGCCTGACCAAACTGATGAACGGCAAAGGATTGAGGATGCTGGAGGATTTGTAATGTGGGCAGGTAGCTACTTATACTTCAACGAGACACTTTTTTTTTTTTTTGTCAATATCTTCCTATGACATAGCTTCCGAAATTAAAAATCGCAGGCACCTGGAGAGTTGGAGGTGTTCTTGCAGTGTCTCGGGCATTTGGTGATCGGCTCTTGAAGCAGTATGTTGTTGCTGACCCAGAAATCCAGGTTTGATTTTCAATGTTTAGGTCTTGTCATTAAAATGTCGATTTCCCCCCAATTTTCCTAGTACTCTTTCTGAACATAGGAAGAGTAACTTGTTACTGAAGATTTGTACAAGCACCTTGTCCTTTTACATGTGGATCTATTGAGTTGCTTGTTCGTTTTTCTTGTTTTGGTTTTTGGCATGAGGTTGCTCATTTCTGGTGTTGGTGTCGTCAGTACATGGCTTTCTTCATTAACCGAATCGTCTTTGTTCATCATATGAGTAAAATATTGATTGCTGCCTACAGTCATAGTCAGATTGCTGGTACACACTTTTGACTTAAAATATGTGGGTGGGTTTGGCTTTTGCAGGAAGAGAAAGTTGACAGCTCTCTTGAATTTCTCATCCTTGCGAGTGATGGATTATGGGACGTTGTAACTAATGAGGTTTGCTTAACATTATCCTCAATTATCTTATATTGACTGGAAAAATAAAACCCAGAGTTTTTCTTCCCCAAAAGCAGCATCTGAAGGCTGGTCTTTTTGTGTTCACTGCAGGAAGCTGTTGACATGACGAAACCTATTGACGACCCAGAGCAGGCGGCAAAGAGGTTGTTGCATGAGGCATACCAGAGAGGCAGTGCAGATAACATTACATGCGTCGTCGTTCGCTTCTTGGCTGCCTCTCACTCTCACGGTGGTGGTGGTACCACCTCTCAAGGAAGCAACCCTCCTCCTCAAGCGGGCAACACCTCGCACTCACACCCCTGACCCAGACACAGACCGACGTAACTAGGGGGCAGTCGCTGGCTGCATCGTTTCAGTTCAGTGTCGAGGGGGAAGTTTGTTGTAGCCTAGTGTTGTGGAACCCGTGAAATATATAACTAGTATGTCCCTATATGTAGTCTCAAAACAGAAACAGAAGCGGAACTCGGGCTTCTAGGAGGTGATCATCATGTGTATTAAAGCATGTTCCAGCCTCCTAGACTAGAACAGAGACAGAACAGCATTGGGCATGGGAGGTACTTTTTCTTTTCCTTTTACCTTGCTGGACAAGAAGAATGTGATTTGGGGGGGAAGTTGGTAAGTAGTTGTTGGCTTTGGCTAGGACCTTGCAACAAGCTGTTAAATGTTCGTCCTTTTTTTTCTTCTTTCTGTGTTGAATGAATGTGTGTGGGTTTGATGGCTGTGTTACAACAACAGAAAGGCAAAACTTTTGTGGCTGTAAATGGTGCGGTTGCTTGTTTCTTGCTTGGTTGAGGTTAACTGCTACCTTTCCTTTCACACATTGCAAAGCATTTGCAAGTTGATCGGAAGGTGGGTATATTTGATGCGGCTGTAGTTGTAAAGCGATGCGGTGAGCCGTTTATCGCAGCTGTCGAGTGACATTTGTGGTGGAGGATGAACGACAAGACGCCATAGTTGTCTTCTTCTTGCTTTCTTAGGTGTCCCGGTGGTCACGAGAAGAGATGAGGAGAGAGAGAGAGAGAATGAGAGAGAGATAAAGATATACGCAGAAGAGAAACTTACTCAGTCACTGCTCTCTTCTCTTCTTTCTGCTGTAAACTTTGAAGCGTCGTTGTCCGTGTTTGGAGCTGACTTGACTCCATCAGAATCTACACCACCTCTCTCTCTCTCTCTCTCTCTCTCTCTCTCTCTCTCTCTCTCTCTCTCTCTCTCTCTCTCTCTCTTATCTCGATTTCAGCTCTCTCTCAGTACAACGCAGAGACGGGACCGGGGGGAAAGGATGAGGACGACGAAAAGGAACGTGATCCCAAAGACTTGGCCATGTTTTTTTTTCACGTTATTGTTCATTGACAGACAAAAAAAATCACCGTTTTTATCAATGGTGACGGGAGGTGGACCAGGATTCGGCGTATTATACATGAACTTCCTCTTGTATTGTTGAATACATAAAGGTCTGACACATATAATTCTAGTACTGGAAAGATACATATACTCACGAACTAGGGCTGCAAATGAGCCGAGCCGAGTCGAGTTTTACCCTAGTTTGAACTCGGCTCGTTAATATATGAGTCGAGCTCAGCTTGTTTATTAACGAGCCGAGTCGAGTCGAGCTCGAGCTAACTTGTTTATTAAAATCTTAACTTTTATTTGGTACTTCATTTTGAATATCATGATACATATGATTTGTTTTGTTAGCTAATCTCATATTATGCTTTGTTGGTATCATATATGATTTAGTTAATAAATTTTAACTACTCCAAATCATGTTCTTTCATAGTATCGAAGCAATCTATGATGCATAATTTATTTTTAAAGTAAAAAATAACATATATTTGCTCACATACTCAACGTGTGAAACTTTATATATGGTGAGATATATAATTTAACAACCATATGAACCAAAATCATAAGATATAGATTGATTCATCCATAAGTTGGTAATCGAGTTGGCTCTCTAGCCACATGTTAAGACATATCATGAGCTCTAAACGAGTCAGCTCACGAGTTTAGCTCAACAAGACACCGAGTCGAGCTAGCTCGCGAGCTTCACGAGCTGAACAAAGGTGAGCTCGTGTTCGACTCGTTTATTAACGAGTCAAATTTCGAACGAGCTTTTCTCGAGTCGAACGCCGAGCCGCTCGGCTCATTTGCAGCCCTACTCACGACTAAATGTAATATTGAGATGGTGTATGCATTTGCAGTCCAGATTTGCGGTTGCAAATCATCTCTTCATACTCTTAACGACAAACTCTTTACAATTTTCATCTCCAATTTCGTATGTACAATTTTTCGTCTCCAATCTTGGTAATGGTTTCATATGTAATAGTGAAGTTCCTTCCAATCTTTGAGTCATAGTTCAACACAACGATCAATTTAGATTTTGACCCCACAAGTAGGTGGAAGAAGCTAGAATTGCAAAGTAATCTCATCCAAGAAACACAGGACAGGCCCAACTATTCACGATAAGAAAAGTCCATTATTCAATCCCGGCCTTATCAAACCAATAATTCCACAGTCAAACCATTGTTTAGTAGATTGAGGAAAAACGAGGAAAATTCTTTCCGAATCCAAATCATTGCGTATTCCAAAAAGTAGCATTCCCTTTTTCGTCGACATCGATCCAGAGATAACGTGAGAATCAACAATCATCTAATTAATCTTAGATTAATTTGATTAACCACAAAATCAACGGTCATTTATAAACATTCCCGTCGATCAAACAGCTACAAAATTACATACAATACAAACATCTTACCCCCCTCTACCTTCTATTTACACATCCCAAACACCACCCTAGAAATTAGAAGAAACGAGAAATAAAAAAACAAAATAAGAAACGGAAATTGCAATAATTAGGAAAAGATTGTAGGAAAAAGAAAAAAACAAAACTAGTGTCCTTTCTTTATTACTGGATTGTCCGTACGTTCTGGTGAGAGAGAGAAGGGGTAATTATTAGAACGACGGCACGACGCCGAAGCCGTACATACTCCGGTCGGCTTCCACGTCGATGTCGGTTCGCTTCGCGAACCTTCCTTTGATTCGGGGCCTCGTCTCCGCGTAGGCTTTCCTGGAAGCGTATCGGATCGTCTTCTCGAACTTCCGGTTCTTCCTCTTCTCCCTGTAACGCATCACCCTCGCCTCCCTGTCCACCGCCGACAGCGGCACCGTCGGCATCGCCGCCGCCGCCGCCGATTCGGCTCCCGTGCTCATCCCTCCGGCTCCTCCCACTCTTCCGTACGGGTTCGATACGTCCGCCGTCGCGCTGCCGTCGGGGACCACTCCCACGTCCATCGACGATGATGACACCTGGCATACGGAAAATTCGGGAGTTAGTTAGATGCGGAAAGTAAAAAAATTAAAAAAAAAAATCGAAATTAGGGGAAACGAAGATGAGAAGTGGGACTCACGCTGTGGCTCAAGCACTGAGCTGTGTATCCGTAAGCGAAAGCCTTGGATCCGACTGCGGCGGCAGCGGCGGCGAAATCGAGGTCGAAGCAGTGCTCGTTCATCAATTGAGGCTGGTGGACGCCGCCGGGGACGACTCCGTCGGTCCCCGAGCTGTTCTGCTCCTGCGGCTCCATCTTCGGATCCACGGGCCCGTAGTCCAGATCCAGGTACGGATCCATCTCGGGGAACATGAACTGGCCGGTGTTCAGATCCGGAGAGTCCATGACCCCGCCGCCCTTGTTGCCGCCGCCTGCCGGCGGCGGAGGGTTGGGGAGGAGCCAGGAAGCAGCCTCTGCCTCCTCCCTGCTGACGTCATCGTCCGCGGCGTCGTCGGCGAAGTAGCGGTCGTCGAGGAAGTTGAGCGCGCAGGGCGGGTGCTGCGCCGCCGCGTCGTCCGGGGAGGAGGAGGAGGACTTGTCGACGGCTTCGTAGAAGGGGACGACGGGGACGCGGTCGTGGCGGCGGGCGAGCGGGTTGGCGGAGTGGATGTCGCGGTCGCAGGTGACACAGAGCGCGGCGGCGTCGGCCTTGCAGGTGACGTGCGCGGGCGCCTGCTCGCAGACCTCGCACATCCAGACGCGCGCGTGGCGGGAGGCCAGCTTGTTGGCGGCGTGGATCTTGGAGTCGCAGCTGAGGCAGAGGAAGGCCGAGTCCGGGCGGCAGAAGAGGGCCGCCGTTGCCGACTTGCAGGAGTCGCAGAGCTTGGAAGCCATGATTTTGCGAAGAAGAAGAAGCGGAAGGGAGGTGTGACTTTGTGGTGGTGAGTAAAGGCTGAGCTGTTCGGTTCACACAGTGGAGAGAGAGGGAGTATATGGCTACAGCTTCTATCTGGTGGGCCAGGGGGAAATCTGAGTGGGAACCAATCAGGACGCGCCGCGTCGGCACGGGGCTTAGCCATACCGCAAACTCATTTTCCCCCATCTTTTTTGTTGTTGTTTTTTTCTGTATAATTGGTGAGCTGTGTTCGAGTGTAGGGCCCGGAGACCACGTGGGATGTGGGCCTGTGGGCTCGGGGATGGGTATGGCCCGTATGGGCTCGTGGAGGGGAACTAAGAGATGGGCCCATGGGGTGTGAACGAGTTGAGGAGAGGAATCTGTTTTTGTGGGGATGGGGCCCAGGGAGGCGAGTAGAGAGTTGGATCTGGTTGGAGATAGATCTGGTTTGGTTTGGTTTCCTTCTTTTTCTTCTTCGTTTTGTTTGGGAGTGAATTAATATGTGGGAGGAAGGCTACAGTGTGGTCGACATCGTGGTTGATGGGGAAGGGAAATGGGAATGGGATTGGTATGCGTAGGGCAAAAGCTGAGTGCCAATCCAGATAAACAAGTCCATCCTCAAAACAGAATCTTGTTATACTAGATTTCTTCGTATGATTTGAAGGGTGTGTCAGTAAGCAAATGCATCAAAAAGATGAAAGGTAGAGAGATGGGTGTGTGTGTTTCTTTGGTGCTCATAAAGGGTGGGGAAAGATATAAGCGGTTCCGGGAAATTACGTTTTAGAAAGCTTGTAGAATTCATGATTTAATTCACGGACTCAAATACCTTAGGAAGGTGAATCCTCTATTTGACCTGGCGCGAAGGATATTGTAGGGGATAAATATTGTCTCCTATGAGTAGTTGGCACGCGGCAAATCCATTGAAAGTATAGAAACAAAGGGCATTCCCACGTATAATTAGGGTACCAAGTTGGGCCGTCCACGAGTAGTATGGCTCGTCACAATTAAGGCACAATAAGAGTCCAAACAAACAATACATGGGTTTGCCTGGCATGAGCACAAATACTTTATGGGTGATGACGTGCCTAAACGTCTTGAACACGGGCACAACATTATCACTAATAAGCTGAGATAGACTTAATATTTTTGGCACGTATAGGCATGAATAGGCAAAAAAAAAAAAATACTTAGACAAAGAGACTTGGAAAAGGTTAGTCAAATTTGGTGCATTTTGATTCGCTGAAGGGATAAACGCGTACAATACATAAAGTTTTGGTGCTTCAAAGCATATGTTTACCACTACTAGAACCTCTCTGGGAAAATGAAGGCTGCCTACACAGATTCCTAAACCTTCAAAGAGCACACGATGCCTTTGTGGGATGTTTTCTTCCTACAAGTACAACCGATATTGAAACTAGAGTGTGACAAAAACTAGACCTAACGATGTCGTTGACGAAGATGGTAGTACTTTTTCGCCATGGGAGCACATGTAAGTGATTGTTCTGTCATGTCCTTGGGGGGTTCATAATCAGGATCTTCTAAACTGGGAACTTCCTCTGGTAACTCATCTTCAATCCATGAGGGCCAATCCACATCGCTGTCTTCTTCCCATGTCTCCTCTTTACTTCTTTGTATGGAGTTCACCTTCTCCACCAATGTCTCAATCATTCTATGATTCAACAGTTCATAGTCCCTGGAAACCAATATGAAGCAGTATGTCAGATTCACACAGATTCCAAGTGCAACTCTATGGCTTTCTCACAACAGTTTTGGACGAGTGTTCGATTTTGACGAACCTGTATGTGTAAATAGCATGTAGGAATTGGAGAATGGCCAGCATTGCATACAGAAACCTCATCAGGTTAATCATCCATGTCTGTCGCTCGATATCACCTGGTGTTAGCCGGATGATTCCCACTTCTATGGCGAAAGTTATGCATAGACCTGTGATGGAAAGAAGCCGTTTTAGTATTTCATTCATTCACTGTTCATGTTCCGGTATTTTTACAGGTTAGCATACAGAGTTGCAGGACATGAAGAAGATATAGATGTTACCGATATAAAGGTTCGCGCGAACTAGGTATGTCTGCTTCGTGCTGGTGAGCAAGTAAATGACGAAAATCGACATAACGTAGATGAAGAAAGCCTTGACTGCTCGTGATTCGAGCAACATTGTGTTGTGCAGTTCAAACAACTTGTCTAGCACGACGAACATGCTTGCTTGCTTCATCTCAAATGCTTCCTGTCGAAGAATGAGAAGTTAACTTTATTCAGGTTTTGTTCAAAGGAGGTTTTGATTTTTGAACGATGGTTTACTGCAATAAAAACCAAACCTGTGCAGCCAATATCGACTGCGAATTCTCGACCAATCGATCGTGAACTTGTTGAAGCTGTTCCTGCCTACCAAGAAGTTCTTCCTGCTGCTTACGACCCAGATCAGCTAAATGTTGCACAGCATTCCTGCTTTCTTCTAGTGCTGCAGATTGAGATTCCGTGAGAAATTTGAGACCTTTGAGTGCAGTGGATTGTCCATCCAAAAGTTCTTGCTGCTTGCTCAAGGAATTCCCTGCCATGTTCTCGATGTCATCTGCTTTGCTCTGCAGATCCTGAAACTTGGAAGACATTGTTTCTCCCACACTATCAATCTGCTTTTCAATCTCCATAGCCTCATTTCTCAGGTTACCAACTTCCTCACCCAAATTACTGTAAGCTTCCTGAAGCATCGTTACACCCTCCTTCAGGTTCTCATTCATCATCTTTTGTCCTGCCTGCAGCTGTGATTGTGACTGTGCTATTTCCTCCGAACGTTTGTAAACAGCTTCTGAATGCTTCGACAACGCATCTATCTGACCCTCCACGCCCTTCGTAGCTTGAACGACATGTCGAACCTGGAGATCCATTGAACTCAACGATTCATGAATCTGATTAGAGCTCTGTAGCAGGGAGAATGTTCTATCTGCAATTATGTCCAATTGCTGCTCTGTATATTGCGCTGAGCTCCTCAATTCATTCACCAACCTCTCCGTGTCCCGCTTGAATGCATGCGCCCTGGGAAACCAAAACAACCAAACAATCAGTTTCGCTACACGAAAATCAACAAAAAAACAGGCAGAACAGAAGATTGCATTTGTTCCACAGTACTCAACTGCAATTGGTAGCAGATGGAGTTGGTTTCCAGAAAGTACTCGAGGTAAATTTCGTGTTCATGGTCATCCAACTTCTTCAGGCAATGAACCATGGCTGAATTCTCCGCGCAATGAGGGAAAGGCCTCCTCCCGGAGTCCTTCTGAAAGCAATCGCTGAGATGCCAAGCGAACCTGGAGCGTTTCTCCTCGTGGGCGAGAATTTGTGTGCACCCGGTGAAGATGTGTTGGTAGGCATTCTGCCAGCAGGAATTCGAATCAGCAACCAATTTAGTCCTGGCCTTTTCGACCAGTTTCGTTCCTTTGGAGTCTGCGTGACCGTCCATGGAGAACTCGGCCACCGCCACACCGTGACCACCATCGGCCGCAGCGGGAGGAGGAGGAGGTGGAGGAGAAGAGAACCATCCCCATGACTGGCAATTTGGAGCAGAGGAAACTGAGACTAGGAAAAGCAGCAGAAGACGGTATTTCAACATGTTCTTGGTCTCGCTCTAATCAAAACCTCTTGTCGATGAAACCTGCAGAGCCTGTTAGGAAAATAGAAAGACGGATATGGAAATAGAAGCTTGAAGAGATTCTGTGAGTGTGAGTTCTGTGTATCGTACAAGGTCGTCTCTTTATACACAGCGAAGATAGGCCGGAAATGACGAAGCTTGGAGTGCAAGTGAAGCAACCGGGCTTCGACAATGCCGGTGCTGTTTTGCTATTATGAGCCGGCAACGTCCGGCTATGCGGTTTTCCGATGAAGGGTCGGGACGCTTCGAATATATTTTCTTCTTGTTTCTGTTTTTGAACGGAGGGACGCTTTGATTTGGTTTCCCCAACGAAACTCCGGCGACTGTTAGAGGAGAGGTTTGTTATTAATCTGTAACGGTCGGGTTGGAACAAAGACAGACGATCTAACACCAAACCAATGGCTATTTACAATACAGGTCCTAAATTATATTCTTTTTTGCATGTAAGTACCCGTACTGGCTATCCACAATACAAGCTATTCTCCTTTCAGTCATTGCAATCTACACATAATATAATACACCGAAGGGAAAAACGGGAGCCCCATTTCAAATTTCCTGCAATGAGAGTGAAAGTAGGAAGGACATTTTGGTCTTCACAATTACTTTTTTTTATTCATTAAAAAGATACATACTCGGATTCGAACCATGACCATTTTAAAGAAAGGCAAAGATCATAACCAATCACACTAAATACATTTGTTGTATTTTTTTAAATTAAAAACATATAATAGCAGGGTGGGAAAAACTCTTCCCCTATTTCAAATTTCCTATTCCAGGAGCTTTTGTAGGAATGGTGGAATAGGGAGTGTCAATTTTTTTCTCTTTCCTCTGTGGAACGGGCCAACTTACCGTACACATGCTGATTTAAACGGGTCCAGGAGTGTCAATTTTTTTCTTTATACCCTTTTATTTCTCCGTGGTGATAAAATATATATGAAAAGGAAAAAATAATACTCCTTTTTATTATTAAAAATAAAAAATTTAACAATAAACTAATGCATGGTATCTAATGGGCTAACCGCTAAACATAAAACAAAAGAGTTGAATGAGCCTGACCTACATGGGATTTGGTCATCAAGTAAAACAAATGAACATCATTGGTTTGCCATTCTAAAACAAGCTATTTTCTCTGACATAATATATATATGCTATTATTTTATATCTTAGTGGCTAAAATATAATGTATTTTAAAGTTATTCAATGGTTCAACCTCGACCAACCCAATTAGTCCAATTTTTATCATTTCAAATATATATTTTATAATTATTTGACATCATAATGATCAAATTATAGTGTATTTTATAGGGAATCGTTTGGTATTTGTTAGTAAAAAACTAAACATAAAGATCTATTTGGTTATTTTAAACATTAAAACGATCCTAAATATTTTCAGTTCCTTTTGAATTTATATGGTTTTATTCCCAAATAAGTGATGTGCAAATGGCGAATTGTAGTCGTCTCTTTTCTTTCACTATTTTTTATTTTCAAATAGAAAGTTTAAAAGTAAAGAATAATTAGAATTTGGCATGGGTCGGTCAAACAGGTTGAATTTCAAGTTTTGGCCTGTTTGTTTTATGCATTGCAAATTTATTAGCATGTTGATGGAAATGGCTTGGAAAAAAGACATATAAGTTGTACCTTTGCAGAAATGTCCTCAAATGTTTGAATGCTTTGTGAATCAGGTTCTGTGACTTTTGTGATGGTGTATGTGCTTGACGATTGCTCGATGTTGTAACTACTTAATTTGAGAGTAAATCTTTTGATTTTCCCTATGAGTTGTGATACCAGTTCTGGTGGTTGCAGTATGTTGTCATTGTTGGCCTGTAAAAGTTGTTCCGTCGTGATGCTAAATACCTTTCTTTCTTTTTTAACAAATTGTGTAGTAGTGCTATGAAACAGACCACCCATGAACGATACGCTTATTATGGTCTTTTCTTACTTCCGGTGGTGAGAAATTGTGAATTGAGAATCATATTCGCCTACCGCACTGTGTCTGGTTGGTGGCTGCTTACTATGCTCTCTAGAGTTATGAAACAGACTACCCATGAACGTTACCCTTAAGAGTCCATAACTTTGCGAAAAACCAAATTTAGGCAATCAAAGGTGGTGGATGTTTGATGATTTTTTATGGCTTAATTGTTTGTGAATTGGATATCTGATCTTTGTATGATTAGAGGGGATGTTTGCTTAATAGAATAATCCATTTTAATTCATATTTATTTTTAAAATGAACTTTAGTAACTCAAAACCTTCGAGACACATATTACCTACTGCATTGTAATCATTTTGCCTGGGTGCTTGCTGTGTTGTCAAACTTCTTTGCTGCTGCTGCATTTACACTAACAGGGGAGTTAAGAACCCATGAATGTTTCTGTTTGACACAAACAAGAGGACTTACTTCTAAATCGTGCACTAAAGATGATTGGAGGAAACATCTCTGTTGCAGTTGATACACTGGAGACCAGAACAAAATCAACGTATAACATCAAAACCAACCATCTGAACTATTAGCATTGTTGCTTTACTCTTTTTTCGTGGTTGAGTATCCTTCAAAAAATTTAGTTTGATTTTAGAAAATTTTGCTTCTGCAGTCCTGTCTTGCCACCAACGCGTTCAATAGATGGAGATGGCAGAGGCGAAGGCTATTTTTGTGTTGTTGTTGCTGGTTTAGGGATCGGTTTGCGAAGAAGAGGGAGAAGAGAGGGGGAAAGGGAAATGCATGAGAGGGGGATAACTCTTTTCTCCGACAAAAATGGAGTGAAGAAAGGAATTATGATCAGTAAGGATATGGTTATCTTACATAACTGTGCCTATTCTGTTTGAATTGAGCTTGGGAGGTAGTGATAAGGACGAGCTGCAACCAATTCATAGTGATAAGAGTGCTATGAACTGTGATCATGTATTATTTCAAGTTAGAAGGTAGTTTCAGTATAAGGATTATTTAATTTGACAAGTTGTTTCGTCCATGATTTTTGGTAGTTTCAGTGCCATTCTAGCCATTGTTTAGTCTGTAATTTTTGAGAATTGATGTGCGAGTAATGACTTTCACTTAGCTTCAACTATTATGTGTGTATTTATTGGCATGTGATAGAATTCTCTTTTCCTTTTCTTTGATATCAGTTTCATACTCTAATTGTATCATTTGTACATAGGCAAATCATGCTCGAGATGACAACTCACCGATATGGCTGGTGCAAGGAATGAAGCCATCATTAAAATTCAGACCGACAACGGGGAGGGATGCCTAGGACTAATTCAACGATGATTGATGATGGTATGATAAAAACTGCAGTCTGCATCAACACCAATTTCTAGGACAAGTAAAGTTATTCAACCCAGAACTCTGCTTAGCGCTAAAAATTGCCCTCACCCAACATTGATCCTGTTTGACCCACTTCTGAAGAGTCAAGATATATTACTAATTCTCTCTGTTCGTATTTTCTTATTGACTCTTTCTGACCCTTTAGGTTGGGGCGGGTCGGGAAGAATCAGATTAGTGGGTCGGTCCTAATCAAGTGGAATCACAATCCCTTCACTCTCACTTGCTTTCTCTCCCATTTCACAAGTGGGTAACATACAGTAATCCGGCCAACGGGCCGGGTAATAAGCTAGTTTCCTTTTGAAGTGTGATGTGAACAACCAATTTATTCCAATTCATCAACGACCGCTTTGAGATAATCTCGATGATGAATTTTATACCATTCTCATACATTTTTTCGGCTAAAAAAAAAGTCGTGCCGTTGAACGTGAAATGAACTTGAAGAACAGTAGAACACATTCACATAAATATTGTTACATTGGCGTTGTTACGATTCAAAGCCGGCACCTCATAACTTTAGATATCATGTAAGAAACCAATTCACTTCGAAATTGTTAAATAGCCTCAAGAACATGTTTCACATGAGACCCTCGGCCTATATCCTTGACACTAACCACAACGCAAGACACAAATTAGACGATGTCATCGTAACCTAATCTCAGTACTCATATTAATCTGCAAAACATTAGTACATTGCACAAGCTCACCAAAACCTCGACGTTCTAAGAAAATTTAAGAACAAAAAGCCAAGAGTTAAGAAAGAAGAAAAAATGGCCATTACCCCTCCAGAAATGAAGCTAAAAAGGAAAAAGAAAAATAGATATATAGAAGATTGGAAGACAAAAAAAAGGTGTAAAAGTTAATTAATGGTAGGTTTGTAACACTTTTGGCTTCTGCATTGCCACACAACATAGAGAGCTCGAATTTCACAATATCCTTAACTACCTCCTGACTTGAGAGTATTACTCAACCTGCAAGCAACCAAGAACCCAAATATTAGAGTGATGCAATGAGCAGATTCATCCAAGGAGGCAATGCTGCTCTTCCTGGTCTTGTACACAATGGCTAGAGGAAATATGATTCTGAAAATTTGAACATTCGATTCTGTTCTGAAATGTTCTTACGAGATGGCTTTCCTAGTAGTTAGTCCTGTTTCTAATCAGGTTTGTTTCCAGTATTCGCCTAATCTATGGCAGTCGTATAAATGAGTTCCGTAGGTTTGGATGAGTGACCATATATGACAATCAAGTACTGGAGAATGCTCACCAGTCCAATCCCTCATAGAGGCCTTCGCCCTTAACAGCACAAGTCTTGAAGATGGACCATTGCCGGTTTTTTATCTTGTGCAACTCTAGAGCCTCAGTAACTGCAGCATCATCAAGCGCACCAGGAAGATCCTGCTCACAGAGAGTAGCAATATCAGCAGAGCTAATAGGCTGCGAAATGGGGAAACAGGCTTGGACAACTTACGCAAACCAAAGAATTAATCAACCCGAAGAAAATCTGTGAGCTTATTGAGTCCTCTACATAGTACCGAAAGATGACAGAAAAAAAGGTTTCACCTGCTTGTTTGCGAAAATGAGGACAATGGCCCCTTTCAATTCTTCTTCCTGCCAAATTGTGCAATTACATGAGCTAGTGAAGTTTGTCAAGATGCAAGACAAGAATTCAGGAAATGATACAGGTTTGCAGAAGTCAGATAGCAAGCTAAACATCCTCAATTTCCTTTAAGCAACTTTTATGCCTAATTGATAGTTTAACCATCACCATTATTACCTGTTGCTTAAGAAAACACAAAATGACATGTTCAGTTTGCTATTACTAACACACTATCCCATAACACCATTTAGATAAGCACAACTATCCGCATGATCCTACTTTGAATGACTAGAAAGCTTCCTATATCAGGGATCTATAGTCTCCTCATTCATTTCCGCACTTTCAATGGGTCAAACAAATCACAAGCTAATGTAACCTCCACTTTATGGAAGTCAGATGTGGAGACCAAGATGGTCAATAGCAAAAGCCTCATAACATTGACATAAATATACCTACAAGCTTATTATGATGCATTTACAGCATATAAATACTTTGAAAGAATATATTTTTGTATTTCTGACCCATAGATTACCTCCAAAATTGCATGAAATTCTTCTTTAGCTATTCCAATTCTATCCGTGTCACTTGAATCAACCACATAAATCACTGCTTGAGTATTTGGGAAATAGCATCTCCAGTAAGGCCTGCAATAACGATCCAGTCACTCAACAAGACAGCATGGAGGTGAGCTGTTGAGCCAAACTTTCTATGTGATAAGCATTCCAGGAGGACGTATATGAACCACAGAAATTAGAAAGAGAAAGTATCTGATCCAGCCTATTCCATAATTATTCTTCAGAAAGAGACTGGAGTTGCAGCCAGATTAATAGGTTATAGACTAACATTCACTAGTAATTTGTTCTTTCCGCAATATCCAGTTTGAAATTCAACAACTCTACCTGTGAACCTTTATAAGACCCTTGCCATGTTTGACATAGTTCTATCTTATTCGAATGTAAAACATCCAAGTAACATTTCATACAAATCTCTGAAGTCATTTTTTAGTGCTATGTATATGAACAGGCAACAGCTTAATGAGGAATCTCCACTCAGGTGTTCATTATTGCCTCCTTGTGAAGTGTTTCCAAACTAATGGTCAAAGCAAACTAAATAATCATAGTGTCAATTATACTAAGAACAAAATCAGTAGCAAAGAACACCAAACACTACTACTAACTTGCATCATCTAACTACATACTGATTGGCAAATGAGATAATCTTTTATGATTTAAAAGCCATTGATAACAAAACCTAGCCTTTATGAATGTCTCCTAGCATAAGAAGGCCAATTTTTCTAGAACAAAGAAATCAGACAAAATTGGAACTTGCATAGGACCATGTTGGAACCTGGTCCGCCCATTAAGCACTTCTACAACAGAGAGAGAGAGAGAGAGAGAGAGAGAGAGAGAGAGAGAGAGAGAGAGAGAAGGGAGGAGCACAGCTTCTACCAACATTCTACATCAACCATTGCCATGTACTTGATAATAACATATTAAAGTCGATGTGATTCTTACAACTTACAAGTAAATCCAAGAGTTTTGCATCAAGATTCAGAAACAAAAGGACCAATTTTATTGCAGAGCCAGACTTCTGGCTGACAATATCAACGTGTGCTTCAACAGATTTAAATTGTGATATTTTAGATAGCTTGCTTAGAAAATATTGATGAAATTTGAATGTTCACAACCCGATGAACAAATCATAACCAAGCTAGAAGCCATTATTCCAAGAAACTGCGTGCTAAATAAAGGGTGAAAGAAGAGGTTGAAGAATCAAAGTTACCTGATGCTTGTCTGGCCACCTGTTCCAAAACAAAATGCAATAATTCAGGTTGATATTCTACATAGCAACGTATAAACGTTCACCAATTCAACTTTAAGCAAGATAATGGCTTCTGTAAACTTCAGCAGCTGAAGCAGTTAAACTTGGTCGTGCATCTGATAATATCAGGTACCCTCAGAAGCAAATATCAAGGTGTATCAATATAGACTAAAAATGATTTGAGCAGAACCAATGCTCACAATATCAAATATGCTCACAATATCAAATAACATTTCATCGTTAAGAGCTACACCCTGACACATAGCAGCATCTCAAATACCGGCAGCAGAAGCAGTTAAGCAGAGGTAGACTTTCAATTATACGTGAATTTCCTCGTTCTTAAAAATTGAAATCCATGAACAAAAAGTTTAGCGCCAAGCAGATTCAAAAAACTACACATGAACTGGACCAATTTACAATGCATCACAGAGATCATCCCAAGCAACAATTCAAATCAAACCCACAATGATCAACGACTCCCTTAGCTTGCATTGCATAAACAGATCAAGCGAAGACTAATACCGATCCTAACAGAATAAACAAACATAGCGAACAATGCAAAAGAACTTCAAACTTACCCAGATCCCACACCTGGAATTTAATGTTGTTGTACTGTACAGTTTCCACGTTGAATCCAATTGCTTCACAGAGAGAGAGGGGAAAAGGCAAAAGCGTCAGATTTGGTACAGAATCCGAACAATTCAATTACGGGCTGAATTTCAGGAAAATCCGCATGCACCATTAAAGACTTACTCGGGATCGTGGAGACCACCTCCCCCATTTGAAGCCGATCTGGCAAGCAAAGAAAACACAGACCGTTCAGTAGATTTACAAACGGAAACCAAACCAGCTGGGAAATCAGGCTGAATAGGAGAAACAAGATAAACCCTAGAGCGCGAATTGAGATAGGTAGACAAGATCGCATACAGAGAATGGTAGTTTTGCCGGCATTGTCGAGGCCGAGAACGAGAATTCGAGCTTCCTTGTTGCCGAATACAGAAGAGAACATCCGCGTGAAGAGAATCCCCATGGCTATCGCTGCTCTTGATCGCCCTCCGCCCTCTAGCTTTATTTAATTATTCTATTTTCCTGCAATTTTCTGCAGAAATTCCTATAGCCCAATGGTTTCCTCCTCGTTCATCTCCCTCAGATTCGCTTCACACGAAGTTTCAAAGGAGTCAAGCAATTTTATTCTTTTTTTCTGTAAAACGGATTCCGATGGAGGGCCAAGGGAAATTTTTTCCGATCTGAAAGGCTCAAGTCCATTTTACGCTACTGGTCAGCGCTACGACGCCGTTTCACAAGCCAAATGGTTTTCTATCATGCGCTGGCCACCTTGACGCGAAGAGTTCGACTCGCTTGCTAGTCCAGGAGTTGGGCTGAGACATTTGGCATTTCTTCCGGGTCCAAAACAGAGCCTGATGTGCTAAAGTTGGGCCTATTTAGCCCACGTTTTTCTATGTCAATCTTCATACTCCGAAAGAGCGGCCCACGAAATTTCATGGTCAAATTGAGCTCAATAAGAGAAGCTTTCGGTTTTAGTTACCAGTATGCACACGAGAAACCATCTAAATAGACATTGGCGCTACAATTGCATATCAATTAGAGCCCTCAATAGGGCTGAAATCTGGTCTCGAGTTTGCTGTTTGGCAAAGTTTAAACCATCCGGTTGCAATCGAATACCTATCAATTCGGTTCTAATTGTGGTTGTAGTATCAATAGAAAAAGTTGTCCCTTGATTAAAACAAAAACCAGATAGAAAAATCCAACTCAGCCCAGCCTATCTAGCAAAGCTCACAACCCAAAGCTCGTGCCCACTCACAGCCCGTCACAAGACTGAGTCACAACTCGAGCCCAACCCTAAACCTGCATGCTGCAGCTGCTAACCCACTAACCCTAATCCTTCTCTCTGGCCCTCTCAATCCCCTCCTAGACGACTAGAACACCGTAACGGCGGATCCAGGACATAAGAGAGCATTGGGCCGCATTTGAATAAATATTAGATACCATAAACAAAAATATATAATAATATAGTTTTCATTACAATGCCAATTGGACAAGAAGATCTTTTAATTTAACAAATTCGTCAATAATATAATCTCCATCCATACGGATAATATACTCTTTTTCAAAGAAAATAGCTAAATAATCAACGAGAAATTCATCGCTCATTTTGTTGAACAAATCAATGTTCATGTTCCATTGCTGAAAATATTCTCTCCATGGTAGTTGTTGAAACGGCTAGGTCAACACTAGACAAATCAATTTTGGGTCTGCCCGTCTCCTCGTTTTTGTTTTGTTTTGGGGGGATTGAGAAATTTTTTGAATTTTGCAAGGAAGGGTGTGCTTTAGTTTAGAGTTTCCAGGAAATGAGCTCTCCAACTTACATGCGACTCAGAATTTTCGATTCTAGTATAAAATATTCTACCATTAGTTTTTTTTTTTTTTTCAGTATAACCTCTAATACCGTTTACAAAATCTTGATTCCAACATATAAATGTCTTCATTTCTTGGTGTAGCCCATCACCAAAACCAAACCAAATTACTCAAAAGAGGCTAGGTTTGAAAACAGATCGGAAGAAGAAAAGAAAGGAAGCCATCAACAAACCAACAGCCTCTCTTACTTTCTCTCCACGACAAATAATAAATGTAAGGGTTGCCTTTTTTCGAGTGTAACCAGCTGCCACTCACCAAAACCACAATGGAAAAGAATTAACTGCGGCAGCAGCAGCAAGCAGCTGGCCCCCCCGCCGCGTCCTCTCTTTCTCGATCGGCATCTATCATCATGATAATGCCCATTACCATATTTAATCATCACAAAACCCCAAAAGAACAAAAATAAAAGGAAAAATAAAAAAACGTACGCTTCTTCTTTTCCTGGCGAAAGCATGAAGAAGAAAGATCATCAATTACAAGACGCAGCTTCGCGTCGCCGCGGGCAGGCTCCCACCTGTGGCCCACCCACCGCTCTCCGTTGCGCTCCACGTTCGCTTCCCACTCCACTTCCCCAACGCCAATCCGATCTTCCCCGGCCACGTGTACCCCACTACCTTCCCCTTTTCCCTAGGTGAAGAAAAATACAACAAAGAGGAGAATTTAAATGGACATAGGAAGTAGGGTTGTTACTTGTTAGCTCCGGAACGAGTCCAGTCGAGTCGAGTTGAGTTTTGTCATGGTTCATGTTTCGTTTGTTGATTTTATTTTAATCTCCAGTTTGGTTCTCGTTCAACAGGAGATTTGTTGGGCAAGCTCGAGCTCAGCTCGTCAAATGAGGTTAACGAGCAAAAATCAAGTTCATCTGATAATATGTCGGTTGTAACTCGAACTATTTATGCTTTTCTTTCCTGTGACGACTAGGAGCAGGAAAATTTAAAAAAATTCAATTCGAATTTCGGACCTCAACATCCTGTTGTTGCTCATGTTGTGTTCGGGATCGGTATTGGAAATGAATGGAGAAGTGGTGGAACGTGCGGAACCACATATTGGATTACTCCAGTGTGGCACGACGCCCTTGACGTGCCGCTAGCTATGGCTGGCTTGGTACCCCGGCACGGTGGAGGTTTCGTAGCTATCGAGCTGAACATATCATGGCTCGAGCTCGACTCGTTAATTGACAAGCTTGTTCGTGATACAAATCGAGTTATTAGAATCAATTGATTCTGAACATGGTATCATAATTTTCTATAATTTGAAAATTTATTATTCGAATCGCATCCTCTCGTATTTAAAATATGTAACACCAACTCGAATTATTGTGACTAATTGATTTTTCGCATTTTGTACAATTGCAATAGAGCGTTATAAACATAATGGAGATTAGGACCTTGGAGTGAATGTGTCTGTGAACTCATCTTCTTCCACTTTCTCGTGTCCCCCACCTTACCACTTACAAAAGCCCGCCCGGCCCCCCCACCGCACTGGCTGCCGGCGGGCTGTCAGCGCCGTCGCTGAAGGAATAAGACGGGCGGCGGCGGGGAAAATAAAGAAAGAAGCAAGAATGTACAGGAGGGGTCAGGGGAAGGAAGGGAAGCGGAAGAGAGCATCTTGTCTCTTCACTCACGCCATTACCACTTATGCCTTTATTCTTCCCCCCTAGCTCACTACAAAACATAATTAACAATTGCAGTTCTGTCATCTGTGCTTAAAGTTTCGATTCCTTTCTTTCTTTCTTTCACTTCCGCTTGCAGAAGCTGGCCTACTATGGCGTGTTTGGTTCATGGAATGGGTTCATTTTTCAGCTCTTCTTTAATTGGATAAACCATATCGAACCCAGAAAGCAATTGACAAAAGGAGAAATGAACAGGACGATTTTGTGATTGGTTTCTCACTTTCGGAATGCTTTGAACATGTTGTCAAGCTTGTTATTATTGCCTGTAAATCGTAGCTAAACACATTGTGATTCGCACAATTGCAGTGTCATTTTCTTAGCTGTAAGGCTCAAAACTGTTGATATTCTCATATAATCTAAGAATTTCGACTCATCTCGTCAAAATTTACATTTTCCGGTCGCCGGAGGGACATAATGGACCAAACCCCAGATCAATCTCCAAAACCAAAACCCAGAAACGAGAAAAAGAAACAAAATTGGCGGGAGTTAAATTCCCAGGCGAGGTGAGGAGTCTCTGCAAATCACTCCGAGCCTCTCTCTCTCTCCCCCTCCCTCTTACATCTCACTTAAATCAATTCCGATCCTCCATTTGCTGTTGCGTCTCCGGCGTTCCCTGTCCACTGTTCCCTTCCTCCGTTCCCTCTTCCGCCGCCGCGGTCGTTGGTTCTCCGTGTTCGTAAAACCCCTGTTTCACTTTCCCCTCATTACCCATCTCCGCTCCATCACTATCCACGGCTCTGGCGTCACCGCATCCACAAACACCAGCTCTGTTCGAAGCAGGGGTAGCCAGGAACGTGGGCTGGTTGTCTCCAGCCATAATCACCAGAAACTTCTCCTCGAAAACCTTATTCTCCACCGGCTTCCCTTCTTTCTCGCCCCCGCTCTCGATGTCCCCGCCGCCCCGTTGACGGCGGCTGGAAATCCTCCAGTAAGAGCAGGCCAGGATGAGCAAGGCGAAGGCAATCAGGCCCAGCATCGCCGCCAGCCCTCCGAACAGGTACGGCACCGGAGAGTGCCACGGCGATCGGATCGCTGGCGGTGGCGGCAACATTGCGGATGGTGGAGTAGTAGTCATGCTGTTGGGTTCGGAGCCGCCGCCCATTGATCTCATTTCTTAAGACTTTAGGTTAATTTGCGTATTGCAGGGAAGGTGTTTGTTTAAATGTCAGGAGGTTTCTGGGGCGGGGTGGAGGCAGGGGAGAGAGAGGGAGAGGAGTGGAGTTGAGGCGTGTCAGGTTGGTGAAGCAGGGCGTATGAATGCGTCGTATTTATAGGCCGTTGTGGGAAAGCGAGACGCGGCGTCGTCGGCAGCGCTAATAAAGCTATTACTTGTTGGGCTTTGCTTTTGAGAGGAGGGCACGGATTTTGCTCTGTTTTCCCAACTGCTTTTGATGATAACTATCCAATTGGTCCCTGCCTCTCAGCGAAATTTCGATTTTGGCCCTCTTTCTTCTTCGAATAGGACACACAGTACCAACTCAAATGGTTATTGTAGAATTTGATGATGCGGAATAACAAGAACACGAGACAAACGATTTCACGTGGCATCCTCGATCGATTGATCGAGACTAAGATGCGGAATAACAAGAACACGATACAAACGATTTTACGTGGTATCCTCGATCGATTGATCGAGACTAATCCACGGTGAGCTCATAAGAGCTCACGACTGATCTCTTATTAGGATTACATCTTGACGGCTTGCTATCACACAAGTCGATAGCTAAGCTTATATAGATAAACTTAGGGTTAAAACCCTAATCCAACGAATCAGACGTGGCCCAACAAGGCCCAATACTAAAACGGTTTAAGTAACCGCAACAGTTATTGTAGGGAGACTGTAGATTTCGGTAAGTTTAAGGAAGATAACGTAGGAGTTTTAGGAGTTCTCTTGTTAAGAATACGGCTAAGCCTATTCGATCTTGTGCAATGGATGGTTGCATTAGGACATTGAGTTTCTACTCTACCCATGTAATTAGGGTGGCTTAAATGTGTGTTGAGACTATGTATTGCATGTTAGTATGACATTGTTAACTTTGGGTAAAGTTCGTAAGGATTTTTTTAGGGCGCCTTTATGAAATGTCCAGCAGAAAAACAAAATTTGGATCTCCATTCGATCCTCTAAATGCCTATCTCTAATCGCCATGTAACATAACAAGGTCCACATAAATGCGTTCTAGTGCATTGGAACTAAACTCTCATACCATGATCTTGTACCACTTGTTGAGACCATACACTACACATTAGTGCGATATTATCCACTTTGAGCAAACCTCATACGATTTTATTTATGGGCACCTTCCTATAAGGTATTGTATTGATAGAGCTACGTGGACACATATAGTATATATATACGAGATACCTTTCTTACAATGTGATACATGGATTGCACACCAACAATCCTCCACTCAAGTCAACGACCACGAACGTGGTGGCATCCTCTCTAATCGATAATCGATCCACCAACCACCTTGGATCCCCAGACTTCTCGACATAAGAAATCTTATACAAATCTACAATAGTGAGGTCACTTGACGAGGGTTTCCCTTCCACAGTTGTGATCCACTATCCTGAAAACCGAACCTTAAACTCTTGTACCACTTGTTGAGACTATACAATCTGCATTAGTACCTTATTTTCCATTTGGGCCAAGAGATCGCATAAATTTATTCCTAGGCATCTTTAGAAAATAACTCTTGCCAATGGGGTTAGGTGAAAATACAATGAGATCATCTCTTATTTTTCCAATATCGCACTTGAATTGCATCCCAACAATCATCTCTCAAACCAAGGACCACAAATGTCATTGCCTCCCCTCGTATCGATTGTCAAGCCACCATGCACCTAGCATTACTAGGCTTCTTGACACAGGAAACCAGATGTATATCTCTATTTGGACAACCAGATGCAGATCTCCCAATCGCGTAGTCACTCAATGAAGGTTGTTCTTTTCTCGTAACTGCAATCCACCATCCTGAATCTGAATCTTCTGGATATCGCTTGTTTAGGCCATGCATTATATTGCATATTAATATGTTATTGTTCGCTTTGACCAAATCCGCACAAATTTGTCCTTGACCCCTCCTTTCTTAAATACCTTGTACTAATGAGTTGGACACTTACATATACATATATATATATATACATATACATATATATATATATATATATATATTTGCATCAGGGGAGGCTAAAAGCCAAGAAACTTACATATATATAATGTTATTAAAAGATTTGTTCTCTGACTAAAACTGTTATAACTTAGAACTTTATAGTAACATCATCGATCTAACATGTTTTAGGCTAAAACATCATTTTACTCGTTTTTTTTTTTAAATGATTTTGGCGATTAACTATTTACTTTTCACTTAACCCCACAAACAGCCCATCCATTACGACTTCTATATCTTGCACTAAACAATGGTTTCCCACCTCTTCAGAACACAGAAGGGTTAATTAGACCTCAACAACTCCATTTTCCACTTTCTAATCCACTGATGTTATGGTGGTTAATTATCCAACTAATCTTGTTAAAGAGAATCATATCTCCTCCATCCCACAACAACCAGCATAGGAATTGTTGTTGCTGTGACATTTAATCCTTATTTTATATCACTCCCTTAGTATATGTGAATATTAAATACGGAAAAGATCGAATATATATAAAAAATAAGATGAATGTAATAAGAAACATAATCTGATGGTATCTCTGTGGTGGATAGGCCGAGCGAGCAGGCCGGGCACTTGAACTCGCCAAATCTCAACCTTTGATGAGTTGATGTTAATGGACAAGGTTTTTTTTTATTTTTAGAAGGTCCAATCGGGAACGTATATAATAGTTAGCACCGTCCTAATCAAGGGAAAAACTACTACTAGTTTGAATTAGTAGTGATTTAGCTTAGATGTTGTATTGATTTTATAATAATCCGTAGTGATTTCGTTAATTTTTAGTAGCGTTTTTTTTCTAGTTATCACGGTGCTAACCCTACACCTAATCCCATTCCGGTCCAATCGAATGTGGTGTTGGAATCATTCGTCACAAAACACTGGCCATTTAAAAAAGTTTGATGGCAGCACTTGTTCTCCCCACTAAACCATTAAGTGGAATCCACATGTGACGTCTTTAAAATTTAAATATATAAAAAATGTGGTCAACTAAATGGTCACTACTCACTAGTACAATCATTTGGTACTTTTCTCTATCCTTCATTCTCAATCCAAAATCCCAAATTTGAGGATGAAATGATCCGATTCGTGGTATGGGTATTTTAGTCAATAGAGCCCAAATATTTTCTGGCCACATGAAACCGTACCGGAAAAGTTAATGGTAGGGTATTTTATGACAAAATCGTAGTTTAACAGTAGTTCAACCGTAGTACCGTTAAATACCGCATATCAGTTTAGCATCCGATACTAGTATTTTGTGGTTGAACCGCCGGTACGTTACGGTTTCATGGACCATGATAATTACCCATACATGCATAATTATCCAAATCAAGTAAACTCATTAATTATTGATAGAGTTTGGATCGTGTTTATATGTATTTGGATATTTGCTGAGAAATGAGTAGGTTATGTACATTCCTACTATATTCTATTTAGATATGAGTTGGGTATGTGTTTCTTCGTTGCTTACACATATAAATCGGACACGTATGTAGTATAAAACGGGACATGTTTGTCGAACTTTAAAAAGTTAAGGTATCAAAAGAAAAAGTAGATATACTAAAATGTAATTTTTCATATATTTTTAGGACTTACTTGAAAATATTCAAATTTAGGTTTTAAGTGCAATATGCTTATAATAGTTTGAGTGTGATATGCTTGGTCAAGTATCAAGTCCATTATGAAAGGACTAAACACATCGATGTGAGGTATAATTTCTTGATAACAGAGAAGAAGATTAAGGTGAAGAAAGTGGACACTACGACAATCGTGTTGATATGTTCACAAAGCTGGTTACACATTGCAAGTTCCAACACTAGTTGGACTTTCTGAATGTCTTGAGTGGATGAATCCGCCTTTAGGGGCATTGAAGCGGGAGAGAGAGAGAGAGATAGGAGATCATAGCACAAGAAAGATTCAGGTGGATGATTCAAGTCAAGGTGGAGATTCGTTGACATGACTTTAATTAGATCATCTGCCATCGACTGAAAGTCATGAGGATCTTGTTGTCCTGTCACTGAGTCGTAGTCCAGGGCTGGAGCGACCGGTTTGAAAGCTCGAAGAGTCAGATTCCCCTAATCCACGGTCCACGATGTATTATGGGCTTGTACACGGTTTGGACTTTTATGGGGGGATAGAGGAGAATACACTAACCAAAATGTTGTCCGAAAGATACTATATCCTGATGGGTCAAGATCCATCAATGGAGCCCAAATATTTTCTCTTTTTTAAACCGAGATAACCAGACAGGGCCCATTAGTATATGGGCCTCGTGGAGCCGAGCCGACTCTCCTTCACGGTTAACATCCAGCCACATGAGTTTCTCGACCTGTCGTCTTCGTTACGCGCCACCTGCCCCTCCCTCTAGAGCTGTCTTCCTTTCTCCCTCGCGTCATTCTTCTGCTGAATCGTCACTTAAAACTCGTTACCCAAACCTCCACCGGAACGCGATTTTCCGCGGAACCAGAATTTCGCACCGTTACCGGAGTTTGAAAGAGCCACAGAGAAAGAGAGGGGGAAGAGACGAAGGAGGAGAGAAGTTGCCATCGAAATGAGGACGGTTACCTCGCGGTTGATCGACTCTAGAGCTTCTCTATCTAGATTGTAGTAAGTCCGCCCTTTCTCATTCCCTTCAGTAGAATTGTATTAGCATTAGCTAGGGTTTCCACGGGAATTGCTTTTGATGTTTCTGATTGTTCGATTCGTCGGAAGCAGTACTACAATGGCGGGGTACGGTGAGCGGAGATGTTTCTCAAATGATTCTAACAAGGTGGATGAGCCTTTCAAGGTCGAGGAAGCAGAAACTGTGAACGTCCCTCCGCCACCTCAAGAAAAGGTTTGAATCTTGTGTCGCGTTGTTACTTGTTGGTTGCCTTTTTTGGTATTTGCATTTTCATTCTGTTGTGTGTGTTGGATTCAGTTGCTGGTGTTGGGTGGAAATGGTTTCGTTGGCTCTCATATTCTCAGAGAGGCTCTAGATCGAGGCTTATCTGTTGCTAGCCTTAGCAGGTATGCGTTTTTTTATGATGCTTGTTTGTTTGCTTGTGAATCTGCTACTAGTTGTCCATTTTGATAAGTGTCATTTGGTGGTTTGAACTTCAGAAGCTAGCCTCCGATATAGATAAATGATCCACAGATTCAAATTCTAGTTAGAACGTAGAAGGTTGATTGAAAGTAGTCGAGGCTGTGTAGCTTCTTATGTGTTTGAACCCTTTCCCTTCAAAGTTGTGGTTCAATAATGTTTGTTATGGAAAGCTTGCTACTATACTTGAGCTGCTTTCAATGTTTCTCAAGTTCTTTCCGGATTTCGTTTTGCATGACTAATGTCACCAAACTAGTTCTTACTGGCATTTGAATCTGCTCGTTTTTTCCATGCAGATCTGGGAAGTCGTCATTGCATGATCCATGGGCTAACAATGTCACGTGGTATCAAGGTTTAGTTTTTACTTTGCTGTTGAGTGTTGATTCTTCTGCATTCTGTTTAGCATATTTGGGAAGTCTGGAATTCTTTTCTGTAGCTTGATTCCTTGCCCTTACCTTATGTAGGGAACCTTCTTTCATCCGATTCCTTGAAGGATGCTCTCGATGGCGTCTCTGCGGTTGTAAGTAATCACTCTGTTTGCTTGCATCTGTTCAATAGGTTATGTATAGGGAGTTACTTCTTTGTGATGGAGTCGACTATGGCATGTTGTTGTCCTCTGTTGGTACTGACTCAGCTTCTACTATATTTTAGATTTCCTGTGTTGGTGGTTTTGGCTCACAATCTTACATGTACAAGATCAACGGAACTGCGAATATCAATGCTATTAGAGCTGCTTCAGAGAAAGGTATATGGGTTTTCTTACCAGTTAAGCATGATAGATAAAGCTGAATATAGTCTTTCCAGAAGCAACGCTTTACTCAGCTCAGCTTTCACTGAAACATTTCCCATTGCAACTAAGTTATCACTTGATGGTTCATCTTATAGGTGTTAAAAGATTTGTTTACATCTCTGCTGCTGATTTCGGCTTGGCTAACTACATACTGCGGGGATATTATGAGGGAAAGGTATGATTTCATAGTTGGTGTATGGGTTCTGAATTTTGCTCAGTATAACTCTTTTTTAATATTGTTTTCCCGGAGTAAGGTTTTCTTCAATAGCGTTTCTCATTCTCTCTCTTGGTTGATTTGCTTAAAATTCTGACACGCATGGTCATTGCGCCCTTGATACAGAAAGCTGCTGAGGCAGAATTACTTGCGAAGTTTCCATATGGAGGTAAATTCATGTTTGCAGCTTATTATCCTTTTCTAATTTTGGTGTCTGGATCAGAAGACCAATATCTGTATCTCCATCTTTTGAAGAACTTTTTTTTTTAATTCTCTGTAAACAAATTAACTCTTCCAATTTCCTTTACAGGAATAATTCTGCGACCAGGCTTTATCTATGGGACTCGTGGTGTTGGAAGTCTGAAGTTGCCTCTTGGTGTGATTGGTTCGCCTATGGAGATGGTATAACTTGTTTATGCTTCCATGGATATATGCCTGATTTTTTGCCATCTTGTAAACCAAACACAAATCTAGTCTTGTGGTGCTTGACAATTGACATCCAGTGTATATTCTGCCAATTGACATGGACTCCAGTTTTTAGTACGCTTCATTCCGTTAGCATTCGATTTTTGAATAGTGATGAATGACGTGCTCTATTGCACTGCACCTCAGGTTCTTCAACATGCAAAGCCGCTAAACCAGCTTCCATTGATTGGACCTCTGTTCACACCTCCTGTGGATGTGAATGCGGTGGCCAGGGTGGCATTGAGGGCGGCAACCGATCCAGTCTTCCCACCGGGGATCATAGATGTTTATGGGATCCAGCGTTACAGACAATGAATGTGAAGATTAGTAACGTTAGCTCTCTATACTCGCTGTTCTCTTTCATTCATAGTTACTACTCTCCTTTTGAACAGTTGATGCTGTAGAGTTGCTGGCCATGGAACCTTTTTCCATATAGGCTGGTAAGCAGGAAATTCCCTACCATGGTCGGGAAAAAATGCAGAGGAATAAGTTTGTTCAGAATTTAGTATAGAAACTGTTACTGTTCTATAGTGACAGAGATGAGCAGAAGATTTATGTACCGGGGGTGTGGTAATCTTGGCTTCAATAACCTTTACCATGAACCAACTATACACAAGAAACTATGTGAATATACATGTTTTCATACTTTTACTAGGACGGTTTTGTTTCGTCATCATACGATCTTTCTTGGTGTCTCATAATCATTAGTGTTAGCATCAACAATGTGTCCTGCTCTATTGGAATTCGGATGCGAATCTATGTTCATCGCACCTGCCTAAGCTACTGTGTTGTCATGCAACTCTGACGAAGCTTCTATCAGCGGAGTAGGTCTGTGGGTTGAATCCACAGAGATTCTATCAGCGGAGTAGGCGATTGAGGTGTATCCATGGAAAAGTCCATGCGAACAGGAAACGTGGAGGGAGTAATCGCATTCATGTTGGCAAGATGAACCTCAGTACCAACTCTGTCGTCCCTGGAAGTATGGCATGTGGGATTTATCTTGTAGCAGATCGTGAACGGATTCAGAATTCTTCTCCAGAAGGAAGGGTTTGATTGCGAATCGTCTTCTTCGGGCACCAGAAGCTTCCGGTGCTTGTAAATGGACACGGCGGCAAAAATACAGAGTGATGAAACTGTAGCCACTCCAGTAATCAGAAGCAATCCCCAGAAGTTGCTTAGCCCAAGCTGGTTCTTTGAATAAACCGAGGTACTAGATTCCTCCAGCCACCACCTCTTCTTTCCAATTCTTGCTTCTACTTTGGAAATCTTGTCTCTCTCAGCTACGTTCAGGACTGCCACCGTCGGCTGCAGCCCTTCCATAGTTCGAAGGCTCGTGAGGCTGGCGGTGTAACTCATCGTCATGATCAGCACCACAAAGCACAATATTATCACCACCGTCCTCGCCAGGTTGCTCGCCACGTTTTCTCCTGCAATTCATTTATACGGCTCAGTAGTAGTGACTAGTAAGTACCCCTTTTCATGGCTGTAGCCTATTTTTTAAAACAGTTTTAACTTACTGTGAGCGAAGACCATGGTGGATAAGGAGAGCCGTATGCTGGTGCCAGCTTCGTGTGAAGGCGACCCTCTGAAATCTTCACTGATCATCCTGTGCTCGAATACCCACACCACGAACCCAATAAAGAGTAAGAGGAAGAACACGATGAGCCAAAGATTCGACGTCAATGGCTTCAAGAACAGCCACGGATTCTTGCTTCCATTTGGCTTCACCGGCGGCACCACCATCGAAACTCCTGATTCTGTGTTGTGGTCGACGTACGTTGACCTTTTAGCGATGATTTCAGTGTCCCCTACCACGTCGTCGAGATGCTGCTCTCATGCATGCAACAAAAGGATGGTAATTACCAATTACTAGGTGATTACAGTTACTGATCTTGTCGGATTTGATTAGCTGATTAGCGTACTAATGTACTTATACTTACCCTTGAAAAGACCTGATAGAGAAGGTCGTCATAGTCAAGGGGAAGCGCATACGGCAGCGTTTGGACAATGGCTTCGAAGATATCAATGGAGTAGCCAATGATCACGTTCGTCTTGTTGGTCTCGGGATCGGTAGTCACAGAAGAAGCAAACTCGCTGAATCCGTCTCTCACGGGGACTCCGATTCTCAGCTTCTTCCCGTTCGGAGCCATTGCTCGATCACCCTTCCATACCGCCGTCCTCCGGCTCTCCCACGACGTCGAATTTGTTACTGACGTCGACGACTTCATCAGTTCTTTAGCCGGCATTTTGCCAGGTGTCCAAAACCCAGCAACTCTAGCTCCGTTCCCATTTACATACACAACTCCATAAGACGAGTGGAAAATGGCGCTGCGGTGAGGGATGCAGGCGTCGACGGCTTGGAGGGAGTTGACTGAGGAAGGGACGGTGCATTGGCGGAAGGCGTTGTCGACGTTGATCGGGATGCACTGTTGCCGGCCGACGGATTTGGCGATGGCGGCGGTGGCGTTGACTTGAGTCGAGTCCCTTTGAGTGGCGCCGCCGAAGTAGTACGGGCTGTCCATGGAAGCGACGGTTGGGCTTAATTTGGAGAATGAGGTGATGGAGGCTTTTTCTCGCTGCTGGATCAGGAAGTTGGCCTGCATTGAGGTTTCTGGGCCTAGGATTGCTTGGACTTGCACGTTATTTGGGGCTGCCACGTGTTTGTTGCAGTAGGAAGGTTAGAAAATCAGAGAAATATACATACATATTATTAGGATATAGGTTATTCAGTTAATACCTTATTATGGTCTGAACTATGACTATGTAATCAACTTTGACCTGTGGTTTGAGAAATTAACATTCTGGCCTAAACTATACAGCATATAGACAGAATTGGTCTGGAGCGTGGTTTAATCGTTTGTTTGGACGGTCAACACCGTTGACCGTTAATCAACTGTCCAGGTCATTGCCATGTCAGTAAAAAAATTTATAATTTCAAATTTCTTTTTATTTCCTTTATAAAATTGAATAATAAAGAAAAAAAATTATAATTTCATTTTTCTTTTTATTTCCTTTATAAAATTGAATAATAAAAGGAAAAAAAATCGGCCACCCATCCCCACCTTATCCCTTCGCCTTCTTTCCTTTTCGATCAGAGCCCAAAAAAACCCTAACCATTTTTTTCTTCTTCCAACCATTGCCCCTCGTATCCACTGCATCACCACCAACGTTATCTTCCTCATATCCCCGACCAGAATCTAGGGCCAGAGTCATCCTTCCCAAAGACAACCTCGTCGACCTAACGGAGTCGACCTCACCAAACCATCTTTCGACGTCGACGAATATGGAAAGAGATGAATGTTTCGTGGCGAAGGCCCGGATCTGGGAATCAATGATCGAGGGGAAGGGAGACAAATCGTCGCTTTCGAATCGGAATTCGCGCCGGCGACCCCTTGAAGCGCTTCGCGTGGGTCGAAGAGGACGGCGACGATGAATGGAAGCGGCCGGTAGGAGACGATTGGTGGGTTCTGAATCGCCGACGGGAGATGAGCGAAGGAAGAGGGAGATGAGGAAGGCGAGAATCGAAGGGCCTGAAAATCCTCAAGATTCAGGCCAGATTCTTCTGGGTTCCAAGTATTCGACTCAAATCGGAGGTTCCCGTGGTGGTGACGGTGGTTTCTTCTGTGTTATCCGATCATCTTTTTTTTTTTTAAACGAGCATCCATTTTTTATTTTTATTTTATGGGTTTTTGACTTTCTGGGGAAGATAAATGTGGATCTGGGGAGAAGACAAAGGGGAGGGGCAGGGGCAAAAAGATGAAGAAAAATGAAAAGAAATAAAAAGAAAAATAAAATAATATTTTGTTTTTGCTGACATTGCAGTGATTTGGATAGTTGACTAACGGTCAACGGTGTTGACCGTCCAAACAAACGGTTAAACCACGCTCCAGGCCAATTCTGTCTATATACTGCATAGTTCAGGTCAGAATGTTAATTTCTCAAATCACGGGTCAAGGTTGATTACATGGTCATAGTTCAGGCCATAATAAGGTATTAAAAAAAGGAGTTTACCCTAATTTGGAAAGGATACAGTAGGCGCCGACTAAGTCAAGTCGTTGCTTGCACCCTACCTACTGCCTACTACAATCCCGTAAAAAAATCGGAGAAACCAATTCACCGATTAAATAAAATCAGAATCCTCAACACCTTCTATTGATGCTCTTTAAGTTGAAGGCAAATGGCAGAGCAAAAGTCAACCTAGCTACTAAATGCAGAAACGAATTCAAGGCCCCAAAATCGATCGGGGGGAGTCATCGACCGAAGAACTTCAAACTACTAGCTAATCGACAATTGGATATTTTTGCGGTCGATTTTCATCGAGGAATAACCACAAACACCTAGAGCGCAAGAGCAGAAAAGCAAAGAAAGACGAAAATTGAAATGGGGGAACAAGTAGTACGCAAGTACCTGAGGCGGCAGCTTGAAAAACCACGACTCTGTGGGAGCTGATGACGAGGCGGTCGGTGTAGTTCGGCTGCGAACCGTAGAGATCGGAAATCATCCCCATTTCCACGTAGCTCGGCTCCAACTGTCCGACAACGTCGTCTCTGTTGAAGTCGAGAATCACCCCGGCGTTCGACCCCACCGTCGCGTTATTACTGCTGCTAGTCTGCCCAGGCACCGGCGTTATATTAACAATCGCGGCATAATAAACCGTAGCGTAGAACGTCAGAACGAAGAATCGCGACCACCCCGGATTCCGAGGATGGCGGTGGCCAATTTCCGGCGTCATCGTTTGGGAATCGGCGGTCACGAGGCCCTCTGTCTTTTGTTTTTTGGGTAGAAAGGTGAGTTGTTTCTTTGTAGTTGCGGCAATTCTAAGTTGAGAGCTGGAGAGCCCCCAACTCCATTTTATCACCAGGAAAGAAAAAAAAGTCAAACGATGAAATGAATAAATCATAATCTAATTTCGATACTTTTAAGCTAGATGTCATTTTAAATTGAATTCTAAAGTTCTTTGCAAAAACAAAAAAATAGGAGCAATATATTGTAATAATCACTCAACCGATAAATCCTACCAAATTACATGGAAGTTGAAATGATATTGACTGTTGTCGAACTACTGTGCGCAGCAGCCTCGCAGGTTCAACTTTCAACTGTGCTCCTTTTAGAGTCCATTATTGAAATTATTATCAGTTGAATCTATACTACTATTACAACTAGGGTAGACAAGAAATGTAGGCATTCAAACATATCACATTATTTTTGGCCTATGCCTGCTCCTCATGAAGATATATTATGTTTGACCCTAATTATAAGCATGGTCGTAATCGATTAGTCTGTTAATAATTTAAATAATTTTCTATTAATTAAAAAAATAATTCCACGCCATCAAATACCTTCTATTTTTTTTTACTCCCCTACCAAACATACTTTTATGCCAAACTTAAAAAAAAATCTCCAAATTTAAAGAAAAGCTGAAACAAACACAACCATTTAGTTCTACAATCATCCTTTATATGCTTCTAAGTACAATAAAACCATTGCCGACTAATCACCCTGCCGGCGGCATGTCAGAAACAATAATTAATAAAACAGTCCACTTTAATTTATTAACCCCCATGAATCCACGTCCTAATCCCACTCCCCTAATTCACAACCTCAAAAACAAATACCAATAACTAAAACACATGACTTGTTGTAATTTCACCATCAGAAGTAGCAATAACTCCTCCTTCCCGAGCCTCTGCGTTTTCAGGCAACTCCAACGGAGAATCTAGCGGCGGAGTACTGGGTGTTTGGGATAATCCCGCAGGAAACTCCGTCGTCTCCACTGAAAACGTGGAAGGGCTCGCCATCACATTCAAATCGACAAGATGAACCTCGTTATTGCCAACTCTGTCATCCCTGAAAGTATGGAAATTGAGGTCTTTCTCATCGAAAGTCTTGAACAGATTCATAACCCTTCTCCATAATGAAGGGTTCGAATGTAAATCGTCTTCTGAGGGAAACAAAAGCTTCCTGTGCTCGTAAATGAACATGATAGCAAAAATGCAGAGCGCTGAAACTGCGGCCACACCTGCAATCAGAAACAGGCTCCAGAAGCTGTTTAAACAAAGCTGGTTCCCTGAAGAAAGCGAGGAGGTGCTAGATTCGGGGCACTTGCTGTCCTTATCAAACCACGCTTCTTCGATTCTGGTCATTTCATCTCCGTCATTTACGTTCAGGATCGCTCTTGAAATGTCTGGAACTAGTGGGGAGCCTTTAGGAAAGACCTGCAAACATGTCATCCATCGTTAAAACCGACGCTAAATGACTGTTTTCTCGAGGAGGAGTATTGGAAAAGCCAGAGAGGAAGCACTTACGAAGCCAAAGCCGTCCGTTTTGAAAGTGGGATCGATCATCATGTAGTCGGAGCAACGCTTGGCCAAGATGAGCTTGATGTAGGGAGCCTCATCGAACGCCGCCACGATCTTCCCTTGCTTGAAGAGCGAATCGAAAGTCTCGATGCTGTCGTAACTCACAAGCCTGTCTTCGCGGAACCCCAATCGTTTCAGCAGGCTCGCCACAAACGTGTCTTCCTGGTACCCAACAAACTCCCCCTTTCTCACCAGCTCGTTCATGTCCGTCACCGTGGGTTGCAGCCGCTGCACCGTCAGGAGGCTCGTGAAGCTGGCCGTGTAACTCTGGATGATGATCAACACCACGAAGCACCATATTATCACCACCGTCCTCGCCAGGTTGCTCACCACGTTTTGTCCTATACCATACACAGATTTATTGAGCAGTGCTATAATAAGTACACTTTTCAGGTTTAGGGTTTAGGATTTAAGGTTGAGAGAGACGACTTACGTTGAGCGAAGGCCATGGTGGAGAAGGAGAACCAGAGGCTAGTTCCGGCTTGATGTGAAGGCGGGCCTCTGAAATCCTCACTGACTCTGTGCTCCAATACCCACACCACGAACCCAATAAACAGGAAGAACAAGAACGTCGTCACCCAAAGATCCCACGTCAACGGCTTCAAGAACGACCACGCGTTCTTGCTCCCGTCCGGCCTCACCGGCACCACCATCGACACTCCCGACTCCGTATACGGCAGCGTGAAGTCAACGTAGTTTGACCTATTGGCGATGATGGTGATATCTCCGACCACCGCGTCCAAGTTCTGCTCCCATGCATGCAAAAAGCATTTTGTACTAATTAGTCTCATCACAGCGGTATTATTAAACTTGGATGGATTAGTTAATTATCAATTAATTGTCTACTTAACTTACCCCTGAAAAGACCTGATAAACTAGGTCGTCGTAGGTCCCGTTTTTTTCCCCGCTAGGGTTGGCAAAAGGCACGTAGTCAAAGGGAAGCACGTACGGCAGCTTCTCGACGACAGCTTCGAAAACATCCATGCAGTAGCCGGTCACCGCGGTCGTCTCGTTGGTCTCGGAATCGGTAGTCACGGAGACGAACTCCCTGAAACCGCTTTTCACGGGGACTCCTATCCTCAGCCGCCTTTTCCCATTCGTCGGGATCTCAAACCCTTTCGGCGACGTGGCGCTATCCCCCGGCCATATCAACTTCCTCAGGCTCGTCGACGTCGAACTCGCTTCCGGCGCCGTCCACGAGTTCTTCATCAGCTCTCTAGCCAGCCCCCCCTTGCCAGGTGTCCAGAACCCAACAACTCTATCTTCGTTCCCATTCACATTCACAACCTCGTAAGCCGACGCTCGCAACTGCCCGTCGGCCTCCATCACGAACTCGCCGGAGAGACCAGCGAATCTCGTCCTCGACAACTCCCGAACTAGATTCGGGCCGTTACCCGACACACCAATCCTTTCCAGGTCGGTTGTTGTTGAGTTACTGGTGGTGATGACATTGTTGTTGTTTACGAAACTGAAGGTTGTGGCTCCTCGGCCATTAGCATGAGTTTTCTCGAGCGCCATTGCTAGTGCCCACGTGGCATCGTACGCCCACAGACCGTAAATGTTGAGGTCGGCATCGGGAATCTCCGGGTGGTCTCGCCGGAACTTCCTCTTCCAACGTGCCCTAAAGTTTCGGACCTCCTTTGATCGCGGCACGTGCGGTTTGACTCCCAACACGCCTTGCATGGAGTGGAGAACAACGGAAGGGTCGACGGAATCCAAGAAGACGGCGATCCCGTCGGTTACGATCCACACGTAACCTGCCGACATCATCCCAACTTCTTTGGCCTTGGCGAATAGCCTGCATTAGGGTATGAGTATTATCAACATTATGTGCGTGGTGTGTTAACCAACAAGTTCATCTAGTTTTAATAATGCGTGGTTTTCAGTTTGTACAGGTTGGATATATTGTCTTTAGTGTTAAGGTGGAGTTTTCGGTGTATCAACTTTTTATTTTATTGGTGCATTTCAATGCACGCGTCTCATAATTGTCATTCCGAGCATGTGATTCATGTGAAAGTGGTAATTGACCGTTGCTTATGATATCATGAACAACAAACACATGATGAAGTGATCAACAAAATCATTCAAGATTTACTTTAATTTGAAGGATTTTGGGATTTGGAGTTAGGGTTTTAGGTTTACAATTTGGGGTTCTGGGTTGGGATTCAAAATTGAATGTTAAGGGGTAAGGATAATGAATTGATTAGTTGTGATTTTATGTTATATCATCATATTAGACTAATGCTACCAATTAAAGTTCAAAATTTAATGTATTCTAGCCACTTTTAGAAAAGTGAATGCATCTAAGTAGCCATCGTAGTGTTAAACTATTATATTTCTAGTTTGTATAAGTTAAACATGTTATTCCGTGTACTTAAATAATCGTTTATATTGAAAGTTGTTATAAAAATTCGGAACCATAATTTGAAAAATTTTTGAGACCACATTAGCGAACAAATTAAATCATTTAGTTTCAATAAGTTGCGGTATTACCTGGGGCCGAGATCGGGAGACATGTGGACTATGAAGACGCGAGTCTGCATGGTCATGAGCTTGTAGAGTTCTTGCCCGATTTGGTCGTCGGTGGCGGACGGCGAAATGGCGCTGCGGTAAGGGACGCGGGCGTCGACGGCTTCGAGGGAGTCGACCAAAGAAGGGACGATGCCTTGGCCGAAGGCGTCGTCGACGTAGATCGGGACTGCCTGACGCCAGCCGAAGGCCTTGACTATGGCGGCGATGGCGTTGACTTGGGTGGAGTCATTTTGTGTGGCGCGGAAGAAGTACGGGCTGCCGATGGAAGCGAGGGTTGGGCTTGTCGCGGAGAAGGAGACGATGGGGACTTGGGCTTTTTCTCCCAGCGGGATGAGGAAGTTGGCCTGCATCGATGTGTCTGGGCCGAGGATAGCTTGGACCTGCACGTTCTTTATCAAATCCAGGGCTGCCACGTTTGTGTATTTGCAGGAGGACGTCAGTGGATGAGAAGGTAGTACACGAGAGGAAAATATACATAAGGTTTAAGAAAAAACTCAAAATACGAATAATAAGAAACATAAAATTCCAACTATCTATACAATTCAAGGTAGGTATTGATAAGAAAAGAAATCAATGTTGGTGGCAATGTTGTTTTATTATTAATATTATTTTTCTTCTAGATTTAACAGTGTTGTGAAGATCGAATCGAACTAGTTGATTCGACTTGAAAATCTGACAATCATTCATCTATCCGGTTTAAATTGTGAATTTAATTATCAGCTTTGAACTTACGTACCAGATGTATGTTCGAACGGTTAATCGGCCGAATCGAATGAATTGGCTTAAAGGTCAAAACCAACCATGAAATTGTTGTTATATAACGACGTTGATGGCATTTAAACCGGCCACCTCTTGAACATCAAATTAGCTGCTTTCCAATGGTCATAACGTGTGATTTGTTTTATGCTGCCAAATATAACTTACCTTGTGTTATTTATAAACGATATGCTTGGTTATACAAAGTTTTGTATATATGCAGCCGAGCTCCAACTCAAAACTACTATATATCGTTGCACAAAAATAAAATCATGAAAAGTTGTTTTCTACGTACCGGTACCTAGTTAGTTAAGTTTTCGGTCCCGACCAATTTATTTATTATTTACGGTTTAGCATTTATATTTGACTTCATCACTGCTCATTTGGCTTAAATTCAACAGTTTAATTAATTTTTGGCATACATGAGACAAAGTCGTTGTTTGCTGCTAGCCACTACTACTGTTTGTTGTTTGTGGAATTTTCTTTTTTCGTACTCGTCCGTCGCTATTGTTATTAATGATATAATCACATGTTGTCGCTATTGTTCTTAGAATTCAAGCTCAGCGGCAAGTGGGATATCATATATACTCGTCAAAATCAAAGTAAGAAGTCAAGCGGAATCTCTTCTTGTTGCTGTGTAGCCTAGGTTCAGCCACGTAGCAGCCAAGGAATCGAATTTTGGGCCACCAGCATGTTCATGCATGAACCTTAGAGCGCAAGAACACAACACCAAAGGGAAAGGGGAAGGGGGGAAAAAAAAAACGAGTACTAATTAGTAATTACCCGATGCAGCAGCTTGAACGACGTCGTCTCTGCGGGAATCCCTGGTGTTGATGACGACGCGGGTGGTGTAGTTCGGGTGGGAAGCGTAGAACTCCGAGACCGCCATTTCCACGCAGCTCAGCCACACCTGCCCGGCGAAGTCAGTCCTCTTCAAGTCCAGAATCACCCCTACGTTCACCGCCGTCGTGTTATTAGTACAACTACACCGCCCCACCGCCGTCGCAGCAAACAAGGTCGCGACGAAGAATCGGAACCACCAACGTCGGCGGCCAGTTTCCAGCGCCATCGTAGGGCTAGAGATTATGGAAATGGGCGCTTTAGTTGACTCAGATGATGATGATGATGATGAGTTGTTTATTTATAGAGAATTATATGTGACCATATCGCCAGCTATTAATTAACCATATCATCATGTGACCACACACGAAGGAAGATTAGTCGTCACTGTTGTTCGTCAACACACACCAAGAAATACGATGGAGAGTCTGCATGCAGTTTCATGGAAGTTTCGCAATGCGTTTGAGCTTCATGAAGCTGCTGCTACTTAATCAACCCATAATCGGCCATCGCCATCGGGTCTTAAATGCATGTATTAAGGAGTTTAATTAAAAGACTGTTAGATTTTCTGGCACTAATTATTAAGCTGAAAATGTCAGTAATCTTGCGGTGCGGGACATCGATCGACACATGCATTTGTGCAATCACATCCACATGTGACTACTAGTATATTTATTTAAATTTCTTCAATTTTTTAGTTCTTCCTACGCGTCCTCGAGAACCAAATCATCCAAGTTACTGATTAAGATGGGATGGCAGGTTGAGGGTAAACCTACGCGAAGTTTGATGGGAGGAGATCGTATGATTAAGATGGATGACGAAAACTAGCTGCTCGGCTAGCAGTACGTGTAAGAAGTTGCACTAAGTAGACCTCGGTCGTATTGTACGGACCGGTTACATATACTACATCATATACCACAACACTAACACGCCCCCTCAAACGAAAGCCACTCACAAGGGCTTGAAGTTTTCACAGGTCTGAAGACAAGAATACCATGTGCTTAACAAATAGGGGTCACCGGGAATCGAACACAAGACCTCTTGGTCACAGAAGGCTCTGATACCATGTCAAGAACCAGTTGATCCCAATAACTCGAGTTGTTGGGAGAGGTTCAATCGTGGATCATATACCACAACACTAATAGTCATGACCATGAATATTTTGAGGGAAAAATTAATGCTAGCTACCAGAGAAGAAGTCAAGACATTTTAATTCTTCTCCATTCCATCTTCGCAGCGACGACGACGTTTCACCTCAAAGCAGCAACGACATCGCTTCGTCAAGTCAAGGGAGTCAACCTTGCAACGATGACGTTTCACCAAGTCAAGAGAAACAATCTCGGAGCTGGAGCGACATCGTTTCAGGAAAAGGAAAGATCGGATAGACAATTACCTTTTGGTACCTGTTCTTATGTTTTTTTTTTTACGTTTTGCCCTTTTCGGGTTGTACTTGCCACTGAAGCAAGCTTGTTGACTCGCTATGACACAACTCCTAACAATGGCCAAGTGTAACCAATGAAAGGGACTGCAGTATAGTGGCTCAAGTAATAAATATCGAATCCATGGTTCATTATCTAGCAAACCAGATTAAGATGGAACAACTAAAACTACTCTAACAAACTACAGTTAAAGTTAATCTAATTACAGGTTGGGAACTCACTTAGGTATGATTCCCCCTAGCCACTAGCCAGATTAATGATTGATGATCTCTAACATGTTTCACTTTCATTCACAATGCGGAGAATCCTTGACTAGACCTTGAGTCTCGACTAAAGGAATAAGGCCCTCTTGAGGCCATTGCCTAGAGGGACGTATCCTTCTCTAGAACAACCGATCAAGGCGTTCTGAAGTAGAATCCCTCTATCAAAAGGGTTCTCTATAGATACAAAGTAGTGAATCAACCCTCGACTAAAGCAACCGATCCAATACTATCAATCTATGGTGCTCTATTGACCTAATCAGGTGTTTGCTCTCATAGGATCAAAGCATAATCAATAATCTCGACTAAAGCAGAATTGAATCATGAAAACATGCATAGATTGACTATGAACTCAAGATTATCAAGTAGGAGTACTCATACAATCATCCAATCAAACAAACATAGCTAGGGTTCCTCAAAACCTAAGTGAAGGGAAGTTACTCCATAGAGAAGAGAGAGACTGCAGTAAGAATCTTCAGATGATCAGCCTTCAAGTCCGGGCTTGTTCCTCGAAGTTCCAAGGGGAAGAAATCCTCCAATTCCACTCCAAGATTGCCCTCAAATCGCCCTCTCTCTCTCTTGGGTTCGTCCCTTGGGTGTTTGGGATCCAAAATCCAGCTCCCTCTTGCAAAAACGCACAAAACAGGCTTTAGCAGCCTGCGTTCGTGATCCCCGGTCAGAATACCCGGTCGGGTATTTTAGGTGGCGACCGGGGATTGTTGAAACGCACCGTCGAGGACAGGGGGATTAATCCCCGGTCAAGAATACCCGACCGAGGATTTTTCCTTAATGCCCGGGCCCCCTTCTGCTTGAATCGCGCACCCAGAGTGGAAGATACAATTGGCGAGAATCATGGATCTGTCATTGCCGGCGTACCAATTGGTGTATATCTTCGGTTGTTGCTGCAGCTCCAAGCCGGCGGCGGGAAGGAGCTCGCAAGGTGCAGAGCTAATCACGGAAAACAGGAATAAGAAGCCAAATTATGTTTGGTTTCAAAAGGGGAGAGACTTTGTGCTGAATGTATATAGAAGAGATATATATGTGAAAAGGAATAAGGAGCTGTTGGAATTCTGATGAGTTTTTGGACTAGGGTGTAGATATTAAAATAAGCTCTTGCTCTGATTGGAGCTCTCATGGCAACAACAACGCAATAGCAAAAGTCTGGCAAGGTTCTGTGCTGCTTGTTGATCTTTGTAGTGGGGTTCCATTCATGATAGTTTGTTGTTTCGTGGCTTTCTCAGCAAAAGAGATGACATAATGATAATATCCTTATTATCCTTTTACTTTTCTTTTACATGGATGTGTGGTCTGGTGCTCGCAATTTCTTTTGGTATCTGAAGTCCTTGGCTGAATATTACAATTTCTTTTGGAACTCACAGTGGTATGGAAATTATACCAGAAATCTCCTAATACGTACAACATTTTGCCTGAAACAAACCAGAGGTCCCACAAAGCAAACCACACAATGTTTGAAAGCATACCAGAAACTTCATAATGCAAACCACAAAAGCCGTAAAGCAAACCACAAAAAAGCAAACCACAAACCTCCTAGTGCAGACCAAAAATCAATTAAAACAAACGAGAAACCCCACAAATCAAACCATAAAATTTTCGAAAGCACACCATAAACTTCTTAATGCATACCAGAAACACAATAAAGCAAACCAGAAACCCCACAAAGCATACTACAAATATTCCGAAAGCAAACCACAAACCTCACAAAGCAAATCACAACATTTGCGAAGCACACCAGAAACCTCCTAATGCAAACCACAAACACAGTAAATCAAACCATAAAAAAGCAAACCATAAACGTTCTAATGCAGACCACAAATATATTAAAACAAACCAGAAACCACTCAATGCAAACCACAAAATTTTTGAAAGCAAACCAGAAACTTCTCAATGCGAACCACAAACACGATAAATCAAACCATAAACTTCTCAATGCAAACCACAAACACGATAAAGCAAACCACAAAAGGCATACGAAAATATGAGAAACCAAACCATAAATCTCACAATGTAGACCATACATCCGGTGGTCGTTGATCGTTGAGCGTTGACCGAACTCCGGTGACCGTCAGTCAGCAGATTCCGACGCCGATAGGCATATTCCGGCCCCGATGACTAGATTCCGACGCCGGAAAGAATATTCCTACCGCGGTGAGCATATTCCGGCGATAGTGGAATATTCCGGTGACCGGCGACCAGTTTCCGGCGACCAAAATTTTGGGCTGAAAATAAAAAAATATTTTTTTATATTTTTATATTTTTTTATTATTATTCAAACATATTTTCATAATGACAATTATACCCCTGCTTTGATTTTACACTAGGTCAACTCATTTAATAAAAAGTCATCACAACCCTAACTTCCTATTTGTTGGAGATTAGTGTTATAATAACAACACAAGGAATGTTGTCGTAGTATCTAGTCCCGCTCCACAGCTGCAACAGTTGATAATGGAAGCAGAGATTAACTAAAGAATGAAAGAGAACATTTCGTATACAGAATGTTGGATCCCATAAACATATAGGGACCTCCTACCATGCATTGAATTTACTATAACTTGACGTTTTTACCTGCTATAGCAGGTTTTGTAGGTCGCGTTACGTAAAACTAATGTTTATTACGTAACAATTACGTAATGCTTCATTACGTAAAAGCATCGTCTATTACATAAGGCTTCCGTAATGACATTTTAAAACTGTTACATAAAATACACGCTCATTACGTAAAGGTTACGTAACGAAGGTTATTTCTTACGTAACAGTTAAATTAGAAGTGTTACGTAAGACTTCTGCAATGACTTACCACATTACGTAACTTGATTAATATCATTACGTAAAAGGACCATCCATTACGTAAGGCTTCCGTAATGCCACTTTAAAACTATTACGTAAAGTATGCATCTATTACGTAAAGGTTACGTAACGATAGTTATTTCTTACGTAACAGTTAAATTAGAAGTGTTACGTAAACCTTTCGTAATGATTCAACAGATTACGTAACGAAAGATTAATATTCATTACGTAAAATGAGTGTCTATTACGTAAGGTTTCCGTAATGACATTTTTCAACTATTACGTAAGATAAACACACATTACGTAACCATTACGTAATGCCTATTGTATTTTACGTAATGCGACTTGTGAAACCTGTTATAGCAGGTCAAAAACATCAAGTTACCATAACTTCAAAGTATTGTAGGAATTTCCAAACATATATGGTTGCTCACCAGAAAACTGGATAGGTGGTTTGAACGGAGGTCCGATTACTGAAAGCTGGTTAAGCGGCAACAGAATATATAACAGTTCTTATTATTACATCACCAAAGACCGATGGCGATGGGATTGATTAATTAGCAGCTTAATTATTTCTTCAACGCATTGATGAAACTTCCATGAAACTCTCCTAACTCGTAATTATAGGCACGACGACTCGTTTCTTCATTCAATTTCTCTCTTTACTTTTCAGTATTCTCTTAATTTTTAATGAATAATATATATTTTCTTTTAATCAGTTTTTTTTACAAAAGATAATCTTATATTGATTGAGAGAAATAGACAGTTACGCTCTGGAATTCAGTCAGGTCTGATAATCAAAACGACTTGTAGTCGGGTACAAAGAAAGGGCTTTTCGAGCTACCAAATGAGCTACCTTATTGCGACGCCGACCTACAAATCGAACAGTAAAACCCATGTTCATGTCAAACAACTGGACAATCTCCTCGAGAATCGATCCCACTCGATTATCCCTAATCCTGCCGAAAAATCTTCTCAATGATCACCTGGGCATCTCCCTCAAAACGTATCACATTAAAGCCACTAGTCAAACACCAAAAGACTGCCTCTTGAAGAACAAACGCCTCACTCACCATAGGATCATCAATCGCCGGGAGCTGAATCCCCTTGACTAAGAGGATCGCTCTATCAGGACTCATGATAACCCTGCTCGATTATACATTTATACCCAATAAAATGCTAAACACTTTAATATTATTTTTCCCCCGATGGTTTTAAGTTTTAACAATGTTGTTGGGGGCTATCTTGCACTCGAGTTAGACTATTTTGTATAAAGAAACAACTCACCTCTCTCAAACAAACAGAAGAAGAAAAAAAAAAGGGGCCTCAGTCGAAGTTTTGCTGCCTTGCTCCCTGCCAATATTTAGACCGACCATTCCCAAACGATGTCGCCGAAAATTGGCCACCGCCGTCGGCGGAATCCGGGGTGGTCAAGAATCTTCGTTTTCATGTTCTTCGCAACCGTTTATTATGCCGCGATCATTGATATTACGGCGGTGCCGGGGCAGAGTAGCAGTAATAACGCGAAGGTGGGGGTGAACGTCGCCAAGTTTCTCGACTTCAACAGAGCCGATGCTGTCCGACAGGTGGAGCCGAGCTGCGTGGAAATGGCGATTTCCGATCTCTACGGTTGGCAGCCGAACTACACCGCCCGCCTCCTGATCAACACCAGGGATTCCCGCAGAGTCGAGGTTGTTCAAGCTGCTGCTTCAGGTCCGTGCGTACTACTTGTTCCCCCATTTCGATTTTCGTTTTCTGCTCTTGCGCTCTAGGTGTTTGTGGTTATTCCTCAATGAAATTCGACCGCAAAAATGTTCAAGTTTCGATTAGCTAGTTGTAGCTAGAAGTTCCTCGATGGATCATTCCCCCAATCTCGAAGGTGTTGAGGATTCTGATTTTTTTTAATCGGCAAATTGGTTCCTCCAAAAAAAAAATAAAATAATAATAATAATTAGCGGATCGTAGTCGGCAGGTGCAAGCGACGACTTGACTTAGTCGCCACCCACTGGACTTTTTCCAATCTAGGAATAAACAGCATTTCTAGTTTCTACTAGTCATATATTTTTTTTTTAAAGGCTTAAACCAAAATAAACTACTTCTGATTGAAATGAATGACACACTTTACTAACTATGGTTTAAATATGCAACGGTCTGCTCTCTTTATTATAAAAGTACAAAGAAATGGTGGAGTATAATAACCAATATCCCAAATAGCAATTCTACTTAGTTGGAGTTATATCATAAAAAAATGGCAAAATACACTTGTATAGTCAAAACTTTCGAGATTTTGCCAATAATAGCCAATTTTGAAGAAATACCACTTATAGCCACATTTTTAAAACTTGTTTGACAAATTTAGCCATTTCCGTCAAATACTTTAACACCGTTAACAATTCCGTCAGTTAAATAAACGTTAAGCTTATGTGGCTGCCACCTAGACAACACATAGCCGCCACATCACATTTTAAAATAAAAAAAATATATTTTTTGTATGTTGAATCTCATTTAACCTCCCTTCTTCTTGCGACAAGAATCCGGCGTCCTCTGCTTCGTCATCACCGTCGATTCTTCACCCCTGCCAAAAACAAAATCAAAGGTCGAAGACGCCTCGTCATCACCGTCGATTCTTCACCCCCGCCAAAAACAATCCTCGCCCCTGAATCGGGCTGCTGGTAGATTCATCACTCGAAATCCATCTTCTTCTTCTCCAAAAATTAATCACACCAACACCCACCAATCACCATATCCCTGACTTGTAAAAACCCACTGTGAGGACAAAAAATAAATTTCAGCATCATCATCGTTCATCAACCATCTCGCTCCTCTACTTTGGAGTTCGCAACCCAGAAATCCCAAAACAAAACTGGTATAGATGATAGATCTAAAAAAAATCTTAAAGGAAAAGACTAAAATCTCCGCCTTCTTTCTTTCCTGCACAAACGCCGCCTTCTTCTTCGCGATTGATTTGAGGAAATCGTCGTCGTCTTTTCATTTTTCACCACTTAAGTCTCCATCGACCGGCGGCGGGTAAAACCTTACTTTGCGCACCTGAATCGAGCAAATCGTCGTCGCCAGCGCCGGAAGTGTCAGGATTGAATTCCTCAATGCTGCTGTCAAAATAATGGAGCGATTGCTGGAACAGAGTACCGATTCGCTTGTCCAAGTAAGAGTCTAGACCAGATCTGGGTTGTTGATTATCCGGGCTCGAAATCTCTGGCGGCGGAACTGAGAATTGGGGATGGTGGCGGGTTGAATATTGCTGCTGTGGTTGAGTCTCTGATGGTGGGGAAGATTGATTCGCCTCTCCCTCTTCTTCCCTACTTCCAGCTTCTACGATTGGATCGACGCGTCCTTGAGGAGCTCGCCGCCATCTTTATTGAATAGCCTGTCTGGCGACCGTGACGATGAAGTTCTCGTCGGAGAGGAGGGCATTGTGGCTGGGCAAGCCCGAGAGCGAAGAGGGAAGCGGCGTCGTGGCCACGGTGGGGGAATCGGGGCGGTGGTGGTTTGGATCGGAATATTAGGATGCGTCTCTGAAAAGAGAGAAGCGAAGAGAGAGATGGGGAAAGTGAAAATGCACGGTGGGTGGAGAGTGGAGACTTTTCGGTTCCACTTTAATTTTAATTTTAATCTTATAAAGTTAATCCACCGTGGAATTCAAAATAGAGAAACTCGCCAACTCAGCTTTTCCGTTTGTCCAGTCAGCCTATTAGTTGACACCGTTAAAAAATTGGACGAAAGTGGCTATTAGTGGTATTTCTCCAAAATTGGCTATTATTGGCAAAACCTCAAAAGTTTTGGCTATACAAGTGTATTTTGCCTAAAAAAATTGCATTGTTATGTTATGATATAATTTCAACTTATACCGTATCATAAATAATATAAATTGATTCAATTTGTACTATAAAGAAATTTGTATGAAATAGTATAGGCATAATATGAAGTAAAGATAAGCGGAGATTAAGGCATGGGGAAAGGGCAAGAGTAACTTATCATATAATATTTGCTTTAGCGCTGCGACGCCCTTTTCTTGAATACGCGGATATTGACTCATCACATCAGTTTTTTGAAATGGAGGATGCTGGAGCAGCAAGAAGTAGGGGTGGCTATACGGTCCGGTCCGGTTAAATTGGCCCAAATTGATCCGATCCAGTCCGGTCTTTTTGAAAATATAAGGACCGAAGATTGGATTGGATACAATCCGGTCTTGATCCGGTCTGGTTTTGATCCGGTCCGGTCCCAATTCGGTCTTGATTTTACATTGAGATTGTGGGATTTGAGTGGCCTAAGGCCTTAAAGGGTGAGGAGTTGGTTAAGTTTTGTACTAAGTGCAAAGGTTTGTGACTGTTTATGCAAATTACCCTTAAGTTTTGGGTGTTGAGCTCTCTTATCCGGTCTTTATCCGGTTTTTTACCTCAAATCTAAGCCCAAAGATTGGATTGGATTGTTTACTATCCGGTCCCGGTCCGGGTTATATGGTCTGGTTTCCGGTTTTTAATCCGGTCCCGGTCCAAATAGCCACCCCTAGCAAGAAGGTCAGTTCTGCTTAGGGGTGGCTATTTGGACCGGGACCGGATTAAAAACCGGAAACCGGACCGTATAACCCAGACCGAGACCGGACCGGGACCGGATAGTAAACAATCCAATCCAATCTTTGGGCTTAGATTTGAGGTAAAAAACCGGATAAAGACCGGATAAGAGAGCTCAACACCCAAAACTTAAGGGTAATTTGCATAAACGGTCGCAAACCTTTGCACTTAGTACAAAACTTAACCAACTACTCACCCTTTAAGGCCTTAGGCCACTCAAATCCCATAATCTCAATGTAAAATCAAGACCGAATTGGGACCGGACCGGATCAAAACCGGACCGGATCAAGACTGGACCGTATCCAATCCAATCTTCGGTCCTTATATTTTCAAAAAGACCGCACCGTACCGGATCAATTTGGGCCAATTTAACCGAACCGGACCGTATAGCCACCCCTAGTTCTGCTAGGGCGGATTGTGCTTATGTCGACTAAAGCGATTGTGTTTGTATGTTTACAACTTTCTACAAAACATGAACAAAAAGATCACTAATGAAAATTCCTCATCCTAATAATGTATATTCTCTCGAATTTTCTAACCTTCCTATTGCAACGAACACGTGGCAGCCCCAAATAACGTGCAAGTCCAAGCAATCCTGGGCCCAAAAACGTCAATAGAGGCCGACTACATGATGCCACTGCGAGAAAAAGCCCAAGTTCCCATCACTTCATTCTCCGAATCAAGCCCAGCAGTCGTTTCCATCGGCAGCCCGTACTTCTTCCGTCAAAATGACTCGACGCAAGCCAACGCCACCACCGCCATAGCCAAATCCGTCGGCCGGCAACAAAGCATCCCGATCGACGTCGACAACGCCTTTGGACAATGCATCGTCCCTTCCTCAGTCGACTCCCTCGAAGCCGTCGACGCCTGCGCCATTTTCCAATCGTCTTACGAGGTTGTGAATGTACATGGGAACGGAACTAGAGTTGCTGCGTTTTGGACATCTGGCGAGATGCTGGTTAAAGAACTGATGAACTCGTCGACGTGGGTAACAAGCTCGCCGTTGAGGGAAATCCTGGGGCCGATGATATGGCCGGGGGATCGGGCAATGGCTCCGAAAGAGTCCGGGATCACGACGAGCGGGAAGAAGCTGAGGATCGGCGTCCCCATGAGAGACGGATTCAGCGAGTTTGTTTCTGTGACTACAGATCCCGAAACCAACAAGACGAGCGTGACTGGCTACTCCATTGATGTCTTCGAAGCCGTCGTCCAGATGCTGCCTTATGCGCTTCCCTTAGAGTATGTGCCTTTCGCCGGGACTTATGACGACCTTGTCTATCAGGTCATTTTAGGGGTAAGTAAGTACACAAGTAATAAGCTAATTAACTAATCAAATCCCAACAATATGAGTAATCCCCTGATGCCAGACTAATTAGTAATTACCCTACTTTTGTTGCATGCATGGGAGAGCAGAACTTCGACGCGGTCGTCGGAGATATCACCATCATTGCCGATAGGTCAAAGTACGTCGACTTCTCGCTACCGTACACAGAAACAGGAGTGTCGATGGTGGTGCCGAAGAGAACAGACGGGAGCAAGAATGCGTGGTTGTTCTTGAAGCCACTGACGTGGAATAATGTTTGGGTCACTGTGTTCTTCCTCTTCCTCTTTATTGGGTTCGTGGTGGTGTGGGTACTCGAGCACAAGATGCTCAGTAAGGATTTCAGAGGGCCGCCTAATTCACATGAAGCTGGGACTAGCATCTGGTTCTCCTTCTCCGCCTTGGTCTTCGCTCAAAGTAAGTTTTATGTAACTGTTAGAAAGGGTAGGCTACAGTCACTGAAAATGGTACTTACTAGTCATCACTGCTACTGCACCATGTGTACGAGTTACAGGAGAATACGCGGCGGCGAGCAACCTGGTGAGGACGGTGGTGATAATATGGTGCTTTGTGGTGCTGATCATGACGATGAGTTACACCGCCAGCTTCACGAGCCTTCAAACTATGCAAGGGCTGCAGCCGACGGCGGCAGACATGAACGAGCTGCTGAGGAAGGGAGAATTTGTTGGGTACCAGGACGGATCGTTTGTGCGCGACCTACTGAAACAATTGGGGTTCCGAGATGACAGGCTCGTCCCTTACCATAACTTGGACGACTGTGACTCGCTTTTCGGCCAGGGGAAAATTGCAGCGGCCTTCGATGAAGTTCCATACATCAAGCTGTTCTTGGCCCGGCATTACTCCAAGTACAGGATGATCAACCCGACTTATAAAACTGGCGGCTTTGGCTTTGTAAGCTTTGCCCTGCATACATTGTCGAACATTCATTAGATATTAATGGCGATCACCACATGTGTAAGTAATTTCTTAATGACATGCTTGCAGGTCTTCCCCAAAGGCTCCCCACTAGTTCCAGACATTTCAAGAGCAGTCCTGAGCGTAGCTGAGGGAGATAAGATGGCCAAAATAGAAGAAGCAAGAATTGGGAAGAAGAGGAGGTGGCTGGAGGAATCTAGTACCTCGGTTTCTTCAGAGAACCAGCTTGGGCTAGAAAGCTTCAGGGGACTGTTTCTGATTGCTGGAGTGGCTACAGTTTCAGCACTCTGTATTTTTGCCGCAGTGTCCATTTACAAGCACAGGAAGCTTCTGGTGCCCGAAGAAGACGATTCGCAATCAAACCCTTCCTTCTGGAGAAGAATTCTGAATCCGTTCACGATCTGCTACAAGATAAATCCCACATGCCATACTTCCAGGGACGACAGAGTTGGTACTGAGGTTCATCTTGCCAACATGAATGCGATGACTCCCTCCGCGTTTCCTGTTCGCATGGACTTTTCCATGGATTCACCTCAATCGCCTACTCCGCTGATAGAATCTCTGTGGATTCAACCCACAGACCTACTCCGCTGATAGAAGCTTCGTCAGAGTTGCATGACAACACAGTAGCTTAGGCAGGTGCGATGAACATAGATTCGCATCCGGAAGCTTCTGGTGCCCGAAGAAGACGATTCGCAATCAAACCCTTCCTTCTGGAGAAGAATTCTGAATCCGTTCACGATCTGCTACAAGATAAATCCCACATGCCATACTTCCAGGGACGACAGGGTTTGTAACGAGGTTCGTCTGGCCAATATGAATGCGATGACTCCCTCCGCGTTTTCTGTTCGCATGGAGTTTCATATGGATTCGCCTCAATCGCCTACTCCGCTGATAGAGTCTTTGTGGATTCAACCCAAAGACCTACTCCGCTGAAAGAAGCAATTCGTCGGAGTTGCACGACAACACAGTAGCTTAGAAAGGTGTGATGAACATCGGAGTAGAAAAGGACACATTGCTGATGCTAACACTAAAGAAGAAATTACGAGACACCAAGAAAGATGGTATGATCGATGACGAAACAAAATCCGTCCTAGTAAAGTATGAGAACATGTAGTTTATTCTCATAGTTTCTTGTGTATAGTTGGTTCATGGTAAAGTATGATGACGAAACATAAATCTTCCGCTCATCTCTGTCACTATAGAACAGTAACAGTAGTTTCTATACTAATTCTCAACCAACTTAATTAATCCTCGTCATAGTAGGGAACTTCCTGCTTACCAGCCTATTGTGATCTGTTCGTTTACAATATCTGCAAAATAGCTTGTCTGAACCCAACCCCCCCCCCCCCCCTCTCTCGCTTTCCCTTATACTGATCCCTTCTAGATTGTTTGTGTTAGAAAGAAGGTTTCTAACGCGTTCGGGATTGGGGAAATTAACTAGATCAATTAGGGATTGATCTAGCTAGGAACTGGACTTGGGAATTTTAGAACAAAAGGGAAGGGGGAAGAAGCTTGCTGCTGCCGCAGCTTTTGGGAAGAGGAGAGGAAGAAGGGAAGACGCAGGGAAGGAGAGAGAGAGATTAGGATTTAGGTTTTCGTTATGTGATTGCTTAATGAAAATAAGACCACTACTACAGATTATACGTAAATACTTCAATTACTACACATATACGCATTTTATTCTTGTAAAACTTTCATATATTCATATTATTGTCAATCCGTTTTATTTTTTTTCGTTTTATAACATATTTAATATTCATATGTAATAAAATTAATTGGTAAGGTATCTATAATTTATATATTTTTAAAATAATTTATGTTATATATTTATATAACTATTGACGTACAATTTGTACCTTTTTTAGAGACTAGGTAAACTACCCGTGCATATATTTTATGTAACTTACCCTTCAAATTAAGTATTTTACCATATTTATTAATGTCACAGTAATTCGAGTGACTTGTTTTAGTAATTCGAGTGACCAAAATTGATATTAAAATTTCCTAATGACTAAAAAGGAAGACTAATCCACGGAGAGAACCAACCTTTCTTATGTGAGTCAATCTTATTAGCACTTAGAATCGTTAACATTATATGCAGCTCTCAACTTATATACTAAATCGCATAAGTGTACCATGACGGGTTAATGTTATTACGATAATGCTACACAGACTTCTAACAGTAGTCACATGTGGATGTGATTGCACAAATGTGTCGATCGATGTCCCGCACCGCAAGATTACTGACATTTTCAGCTTAATAATTAGTACCAGAAAATATAACAGTCTTTTAAACTCCTTAATACATGCATTTAAGTCCCGATGGCGATGGCCGATTATGGGTTGATCAAGTAGGCTGCTTCATGAAGCTCAAACGCATTGCGAAACTTCCATGAAAGTGCATGCAGACTCTCCATCGTATTTCTTGGTGTGTGTTGACGAACAACACTGACGACTAATCTTCCTTCGTGTGTGGTCACATGATGATCATATGGTTAATAGCTGGCGATATATAGAGTGATAGCTTCCGTAGTTATATAATTCTCTATAAATAAACAACTCATCATCATCATCATCATTATCAAACATAAATAAAAGGCCTCAGTACGTAGTTTTGGTCTCTTGATCTCCGATGGCGCTGGAAACTGGCCGCCGACGTTGGTGGTTCCGATTCTTCGTCGCGACCTTGTTCGCTGCGGCGGCGGTGGGGCGGTGTAGTTGTACTAATAACACGACGGCGGTGAACGTAGGGGTGATTCTGGACTTGAAGAGGACTGACTTCGCCGGGCAGGTGTGGCTGAGCTGCGTGGAAATGGCGGTCTCGGAGTTCTACGCTTCCCACCCGAACTACACCACCCGCGTCGTCATTACCGCCAGGGATTCCCGCAGAGACGACGTCGTTCAAGCTGCTGCTTCCGGTAATTACTAATTATTTGTAATTAGTACCACGATTTGAAATTTTCGTTTTTTTTTCCCTTCCCCTTTCCCTTTGGTGTTGTGTTCTTGCGCTCTAAGGTTCATGCATGAACATTCCTTGGCTGCTACGTGGCTAAACCTAGGCTACACAGCAAACAAGAGATTATATTCCACTTGACTTGGTTCTTTAAGAAATAAAGAGTTTGGACTAATAGGGCTGGTAAAATAGACAAGACCGTTAGAAAAACCGTGGTCCAAACCGTACCGCATAGTTTGGTCCGGATAGTATACCGTGAAGTATGGTCTGGTGTGGTCCATGGTCTGTATTATTTTATGATTTGATCTCTTGGTGTGGTCTGGTCTAGACCGCGGTTTACCGGACCAAACCGTGGACTCAACTGACTTGTCAATACGTGTTAACAGCCCATTCGACCACTATCCAAACTCCCACAACGACACCCAAGTCTCAACCTTAATTTTGTGAATCTCTTCCCTCTTTCATTCACAACCACATTAAACCAGAGAGTAGAGATAATAGTGTCTCCATATGACATTATGTTAATGTTTATGATGTTATGGTGCAAGCTAAGATGTTTTTACTTTGTATCTTTGTTATGTACTAAGATTTAGAGTATCAAAATTATTCATGCATGTTAGGATTAATGCTTTAAAGCAAATAACAATTATTTTTCTTGATTATTGGTTCAATTTTTTGTGTGGTTGACTAAACAAATTATTCATTTTTCGTTGAGTGTGGTCTATCTGGACCAGACCAGACCGAACCAGACCGTACAGGCGTGGTCTGGACCGTACCGTATAGTCTGTGGTCTGGTCTGTGGTCTATACTTTAGCCTCTCGGTCTGAACCATAAACCGTATATATGGTCTGGTCTGGACCAAACCGCACCGTTTTCCAGCCCTAGGGACTAATATCCCCACTTGCTGTGCCTTGAATTAATATAAGGACAAGAAGTAGAAAGGAATTAGAAAACAGTAATAGCGACATTAACGTGTATCGTTAATAGGAATAGCGACGAGTACCATTAATAACACCAAAACCAAAATTCCACAAGAACAACAACAGCTTGGACTTGGTACGTATAGTAGGAATTGGCTAGCAGCAAAAAACGACTTATTATTATCTCATGTATGCCAAGTATACTGCTGCTGAATTTAAGCCAAAGGAGTGAAGTCAATACACGCATGTCTTTCGTATCTATGAATGAAGAAATAGCATTTCTACTAGCTATAATATTGGTCTATAAATGCTAAACCATAATAAACTCGTCGATACCGAAAAACTTAATTCGGTACATACATAACAACTTTTCTTGATATTTCTTGATGTGGTACTTAAATTGCGTTGCCAGCAACGTATGTAGTAGTTATGGGTTGGAAGTTGTTGGAGCTAGGGTGCATGATATACTTTACTATAGCTTAAAAGATGGGATGTTTAAGCTAATCAACGGTTGCTCTCTCAATTTCAATATTGTTGTCATAATCGAATTGGAGTATATGAATCGGTCTAGCGATCATTAGTATACACTTTACTGGTTTAATCGACATTGAATATTACTAAAAAAAATCATTGATGGTCCGATATCTCATAAATAATAATATTATAAGTAGAATGCATATAATCACACACTAAATCTCAATTATGTAACTAATTACAAATATGAAAAATCTTCGATGATAATATGTGTAAATGAATTTTAGAAATGAGAATTATTCAATGACAAAAGATGGAAAAAAAAAAACTAGGGGACATTTTAACTTTGTTTAACAAATTATATCATTTATAAATAACATGGTAACTTATATTTGATAGCATATATCAGAAGTTAGCACCATTGGAAAGCACCAAATTTGATGTTCGAAATGTGGTGGGTTTAAAAGCCATAAACATCATAACAATGTTTTTGGTTGTTTCCCAATTTGGGTGGTTTTTAGCCGTTTGATTCGAGCTGTTAACCGTTCGAACCTGTATTCGATAGGACAGCTCAAAACTAATGATTCAATTTACCATTGAAATTGGATTGGTAGCCGATTGTTGATTCGACTGGTTCGATTCGATCTTCACAGTGGTTAAATCCAAATGAATAATAATACAACATTGTGCACAGCACCAACCTTGATTTCTTGTTGATTAATACGTACCTTGAATTGTATAGATAGCTAGAATCTATTTGATGACATTTCTTGTTGACATTTCATATTATTATTATTATTATTATTTTTTCTGTAACTAAGAATGCCTGTGACTATGTTCTCTCTCAACCACTGACGTCCTCTTGCAAATGCAAACGCAAACGCACATGTGGCAGCCCTGGATTTGATAAAGAACGTGCAGGTCCAAGCTATCCTCGGCCCAGACACATCGATGCAGGCCAACTTCCTCATCCCGATGGGAGAAAAAGCCCACGTCCCCATCGTCTCCTTCTCCGCAACAAGCCCAACCCTCGCTTCCATCGGCAGCCCGTACTTCTTCCGCGCCGTACAAAACGCTTCCACCCAAGTCCACGCCGTCGCCGCCATAGTCAAGGCCTTCGGCTGGCGGCAGGCCGTCCCAATCTACGTCGACAACGCCTTCGGCCAAGGCATCATCCCTTCCTTAGTCGACTCCCTCCAAGCCGTCGACGCCCGCGTTCCTTACCGCAGCGCCATTTCGCCGTCCGCCACCGACGACCAAATCGGGCAAGAACTCTACAAGCTCATGACCATGCAGACTCGCGTCTTCATAGTCCACGCGTCTCCCGATCTCGGCCCCAGGTAATAATTCGGACAAAAACATTGATCACATTAATTTTAATCGATCGGTATACGCACCCTAATGCAGTGGCGGATACATGGGTCTTTAAGGTGTCCCGGTACACCCCTAAAATTTGGGAAAATGATTATCCAACCCTCGGTAGTAGTTTCGTATGGATAAAAAAAATTATAATTGGTAATCCGGGACACCCTTAAATTTTGAATAATGATTATCCTGTCATCGGTAGTAGTTTGCGTATGATTAAAAATATATAAGTAGTACTCTGTGTTATTCAAACGTAGGACACTACTATTATTAAACATATTCTCTGGGTTGCAACTCATTTGTTATTTTATTTTAAACACTATGTTATAGTAGTAACACTATTCTTTATTCACAATTATTTTCAAAACCTAACAATTAAACTCATTCGAGCTATCCTTAATTTGAATTGATTTTATAGGTATAGTGCAAGAGTTGAAAGAGTCTTTCGAGTTACATCAGGAACAATGTTAGAAATTGAATATGCGATCAGTTCGAGAATTATTGTCTAATATGGTATATTTGCACTAATCAGATATTTTTTTTATTTATGAATTATTTAATTTAATTTTTAATTAAATTTAATTTTTGGAAGAGTACACCCCTATAAAAATTTCCTGAATCCGCCACTGCTCTAATGCATCATTCATGCATGCATGCAGGCTATTTGTCAAGGCCAAAGAGGTCGGGATGATGTCAGCAGGTTACGTGTGGATCATAACCGATGGGCTCACCGTCTTCCTGCCTTCCTTTCACCCTTCAGTTCTCCGCTCCATGCAAGGCGTGTTGGGAGTCAAACCGCACGTGCCACGATCAAAGGCGGTCCGAAACTTCACGACACGTTGGAGGAGGAAGTTCCGGCGAGACCATCCGGAGATCCTCGATGCCAACCTCAACAGCTATGGTTTGCGGGCGTACGATGCCACGTGGGCACTGGCAATGGCGGTCGAGAAGGCTGGAGCCGCAACCTACTTCGGTTTTGAAAGCGATCAGACGAAGAATATGATCGGGGTGTCGAGAAACGGCCAGAATCTGGCTAGCGCGCTCTTGGGAACGAGCTTCCCAGGTCTCTTCGGTGGGTTTGCGTTGGAGGCCGATGGGCAGCTGAGAGCGTCGGCTTACGAGGTTGTGAACGTGAATGGGAACGCAGATAGAGTTGTTGGGTACTGGACACCATCACCAGGTGGCGAGCTGACGACGACGAGCTCGTCAAAGGTGGCGAGCCAGCTGGGGACGGTGATATGGCCGGGGGATCCGGGTGCGGTTCCTAAAGGGTTCGAGATCCCGACGAGCGGGAAGAAGCTCAGGATCGGAGTCCCCGTGAAACCCGGCTTCAGGGAGTTCGTCTCCGTGAGTACCGATCCCGAGACCAACGAGACGACCGTGACCGGCTACTGCATGGATGTTTTCGAAGCCGTCGTCCAAACGCTGCCGTATGCACTTCCCTTTGAGTACGTGCCTTTCGCCAAACCTAACGGGGAAAGCAACGGGAGTTACAACGACCTGGTTTATCAGGTCTTCTTAGGAGTAAGTTGTCAACGAACTAGCCAATTGGTCTCAATAACTTTTGTGACGTACGCGGTGAGATCTAACGACCATAAATATGCACCATGTTTGTTTCATATGCATGTGACTCTCTGGGAGCAGAACTTGGACGCGGTGGTCGGAGATATCACCATCATCGCCAACCGGTCCAAGTATGTTGACTTCACGCTGCCGTACACGGAATCGGGAGTGTCCATGGTGGTGCCGGTGAGGCCAGACGGGAGCAAGAATGCGTGGTCGTTCTTGAAGCCATTGACGTGGGATCTTTGGGTGACGACGTTTCTCTTCTTTCTGTTTATCGGGTTCGTGGTGTGGGTTCTGGAGCACAGGATCAGCAAGGACTTCAGAGGCCCGCCTTCACACCAAGCTGGGACTAGCCTCTGGTTCTCCTTCTCCACCATGGCCTTCGCTCAACGTAGGAATCAACTGGTCGATCATGTTGGAATAAAATCATGCTTTTGGGTAATGTCTATTTTTATACATGGAGAACAAATCCTAATATCGCACGTGCATGCAGGACAAAACGTGGTGAGCAACCTGACAAGGACGGTGGTGATGATATGGTGCTTCGTGGTGCTGATCATCATTCAGAGTTACACCGCGAGTTTCACGAGCCTCCTGACGGTGCAACGGCTGCGGCCCACGGTGACGGACATGAGCGAGCTATTGAGAAAGGGGGAGCTTGTGGGATACCAGGAAGGCACGTTTGTGGTCGGGCTATTGAACAGTATGGGATTCAGCGCTGACAAGCTCGTGAGTTATAATAGCATCGAGGGTTTTGACTCGCTTTTCAGGCAAGGGAGAATCGTGGCTGCGTTGGATGAAGTCCCCTACATCAAGCTCATCTTGGCCAAGCGCTGCTCCGAGTACATGATGATCGACCCCACTTATAAAACTGACGGCTTTGGCTTTGTAAGTTTCCCCTCGATTGAACCTTTCACAATAACTCGAATTATTGGGATCAATTGGTTTTTGGACATGATATCATAGCCTTCTGTTACCGAGAGGTGGTCTTCTATTCGAATCCCGATGACTCTTATCTATTTATGTTAAGCGCATGGTGTCCACACCTGTGCAAACTTCAACCCCATATATGATGACTTTCGTGTTTGAGGGACTGTGTTAGTAAACAATATATGATCCACGATTGAACCTTTACTAATAACTCGATTTATTGGAATCAACTGGTTCTTAACAACTGCATGCATGCAGGTCTTTCCTAAAGGCTCCCCATTAGTTCCAGACATTTCACGAGCCATCCTCAACGTCACTGAAGGAGACAGCATGACAAAAATCGAAGAAACATGGATTGGCAAGAACAACAAGTGCCCGGAGTCCAGCACCTCACCTCCTGTAGGGAACCAGCTGGGGCTGAACAGCTTCTGGAGCCTGTTTCTGATTGCCGGAGTGGCCGCAGTTTCAGCGCTCTGCATTTTTTCTGTTATGTTTGTTTACGAGCACAGGAAGCTTTTGTTTCCCTCAAAAGACGATTTACATTCGAACCCTTCATTCTGGAGAAGGGTTCTGAATCTGTTCAAGACTTTCGATGAGAAAGACCTCAAATTCCATACTTTCAGGGACGACAGAGTTGGTAACGAGATTAACCTTGCCGATTTGAATGTGATGACGAGCCCTTCCACGTTTTCGGTGGAGACAACGGAGTTTCCTGCGGGATCATCCCAAAAACCAAATACTCCGCCGCTAGATTCTCCGTCGGAGTTGAACGAAAGCACAGAGCCTCGGGTAGGAGAGATTAACAACATGGAATCACATCCAAATTCCAGTGCAGGAGGAGTTATTGCTACTGCTGATGGTGAAATTATTAAAAGTCGTGTGTTTTAGTTATTGGTATTTTTTTGGGTTTTTAATTAAGGGAGTGGGATTAGGAAGTGGATTAGTTAAAGAGGGACTATTTTATTAAGGGTTATAGGTATAATATGCTTCTTTACTATGTCGTTTTATCAAACATGCCACTCTATTATTTTTTACATCAAACATGCCCCTGTAGCTTACCGCCTACTGTGATGCAGATTGGGGTGGCTTTCAGATGACTCATTGTTTTACTACAGGTTACTACATCACCCTCGGCGATGCCCCGATGTCCTGGCTCACTAAGAAGCAACAAGTTGTTGCTCATTCTTCAGCTGAAGCAGAGTATCGAGCCATGATCAGCAGTGTAAGTGAATTGCTCTGGTTGAGGTGGATTTTGCGCGATCTTAGTGCTCCACAGGATGGTCCCGCACCACTCTAATGTGACAATCAAGTTGCTCCCCACATTGCAGCCAATCTAGTCTTCCATGAGCGCACTAAACATGTGGAGATGAATTGCTATTTTGTTCGTGAACGATTTCAATCCCAAGATCCCGCTTAAAGTTAATTACCTCCAAGCTCTATCATACGGGGGAGGATTAGACGAGGGCGATCCACAGCCTGAGCCGACCCAATCCAAGTCGGATACGGCCCAACTTAATCATCAGCAGCGGACACTTTCGTCCTTCGCCTGGAGTGTCTTTTCCTTGGAAACCCTAGATGATTGTAGTAGGGTTATATATTGAAAGGCCATTGGTCGTGGTCAATTAATCTAGTAATAATAACTACAGCGGGAGAGACTCTTCTCTCCCATGGACTAGTCTCGTGCAATGGGGATACCACGTAAACACCTGTCTCTTTCGTTACCGCTCTTAACAATATTTCATACTTATTTATCCTATCGAATACTCATCATATCTTATAACCATGACACACTAACCATCAACTTCTAAAGGCAAAAAAAAAAAAAAATCGAAGTCTTACTTTGGTTATTATGTTATGTACTTTCCATTTAACATTGGGATGCAAATTACCAAGTGTTAATTGTATCAAAGCCATAAAAAGCGTCAATTTTCTCTTAACAATTGGCGATCATAGAGTGACGAAAGATTTGACACCTATGCGTAAAGCGTTTTTAAAAATATGTTATCAGCAGCTTCGTTTTCTTTATTAACGAATATTTTATTTAAAGTACGTGGTCAACTGAAAAATTGGTATGAGAAATCGCTATTACAATTTACAAATGAAAAACATTACTGCTACCCACAACAATACTACAATTGTTTAAAAAAAATAATGATTAGAATAAGAATCATCATTGTTTGAAAATAGGTACTACAAAACAAAAACTCAACAACATAATTCCATATTATAATATGAAATCACGAACAAGTTGGACACTTTGATTTGTGCCGACTGCCGACTGCCGACCACGAATTACAATTTCCAAACAACACTTTTTCTTTATACACTTAACTATGTGCTTACCTGCCAGGATATCGTCTATCGTTAGGCGCAGACCGAAGAAAGAATCTCTCTTTATTGGTGGCGGATCCAGCAATTTCAGTGTTCTCTCCTAAAAATTTAATTAAATTAGTAATTAAATAGTTATTAAATAAGACAATATCTGATTTGTCCAAAGTACAACAAAGCACATGACGTGTTTCGTACTTTTGAAAATTTGTAAAATACAATCGGTGTCTAACAATGCTCATCTATAAATCTCTTTCGATATATCCTACTAAACTAGGGGAGCCCGTAATTTGGTTAATCGTTAGCTTTTGAAAATAATTGGGATACAAAATAGCTTTTTACTATTATATTAGATTTGAAATTAAAGAACAAATGAGTTATAGTTTAATGAAAAATATGTTTACTAATATGCAAACTAATATCGGGAGTTAAATAATCGCGTTGCCAAATTATAGGGGTGTACTGGAGCTGAGTCTTAGCTATCATCATTAATAAATAGATCACCAAGACCCCCAGAAAACGGGAAGGCAAGAAAAAAGTTGATTACTATATTTTTCATATATAGCATGGCCACGGCGGTAATTACGGCAGCAGTTTGCACCATCTTTCTTCTGACGATGACCGCCGCCGCCGCCGCGGCCGACGGCGACACCTACATTCCCCATCCACATTGCATCAACGGGGGCGGCGGCGACGTGGCGACGGCGGTGATAATAATGAAGACGCTGGTCCGAGATCTGTTGCGCACGGTGCCGTCCAGTGGAGGCGGCGGGGGCTACTGCATCCCACGGCCGTTTGAGGGAACGACGTCGTATGGGTACGCCAAGTGCTGGTGGCCGTCGATGGTGTATTGCCAGGAATGCTTGAGATTGATCGGTCTGTCTCTGGTCGGTAGTTGCAATAGCACGGGCTTCGGCCACGTGTGGGGAGCGCAGGACGGCTGTGTTCTGAGCGTTCGGTTTGACCAGTGCCCCACGATCACTTGACCTAACCAGTTTGCATGCGCGCGTTCTGTAGTGTGTTTCTCGTTGATTTCATGGTTTTATAGTTCGGTGTTTTGTCGCTCCTTGATTGAGAGTCGTCACGTGTTACTGTTGCAAACCCATGTATTGCGTACACTTTGTGAATCGGATCTCCTAAATAAAACATCGTATGACGGCACGCAATTTATGATCCGAGTATACTCCTCGCGCGCGAACTGATTTGTCCATACAAGTTTGGCGGGAGTATTTAATCGAACCGCGCAGAACCGTGGGGTCATTGGTGGAGCCATATTGTTGTTGGTTGTAGAAACTATCATTCAAAATTAAGGATAATTAAATTTTCACTTGTTGTGTTCATTTTTGTTCCAACTATATATAAGCCCTAACTTTTTGTATGTGTTTTTTTTTATTTGTTTTAAAAAAAGAATATAAGTGATATTTCGTCCACATTATGTAGAAAAAAGTTACATTTCATTCAAAAGGTTGTATACTATATTTAAATAGCACGCATAATAACTATCAGAGAAATCAAACGATTGAATGCACATCGTATCATTGTCATATAATGATCTTATCACTAGTGAATGGCTGTGGCTAGCCTCCTCCATGAATAATCGCTCAAAATGATATATAGTTAGTGACGACGTGACACCTACTCCTGTCAATCAGTAACATAATATAAATTTTGGAATTTTCACCCCAAACCTTTCTTCTTTTTTCTCTTCAGATCATTCTTATAAGAACTGAATTGGATCAACATTTGGACCAGCAAGTTGTTTGGTTCATTTTTTATTATATGGTTAGGAATTAATCGAACGATTTTAGCAATTTGACATGAAACCAGATGAATCACTATGATTTTACTAGTCCAATGGTTCACTAACCACAAAAGTCTAAAGGAAAAAAAAACTTTTGTGTTACCTTTTCTTCATTTCAAAGTCCCCTTGTCGGCTTTTTTGTGATCACTACATATTAGCACTCTCATTAGTAATTTGAATTTAATAAGAAAATGGAATATACCACTAGGAAATCCGAACTATTAAAAATATGTCATCTTTTTGTGATAGTTTCGATGCTTTGCTAAAAAAAATTGTTGATAGACAATATGGATTTGAAATTGTTTATGGTTAGTGACAAATTCATTCCTGAATTAGTTAAATATACCTTTTAAGTTATAGAGTAATAACCGCATCTATCAAACAATTAACCAACGACTTTATAATAGTTAAGTAGTTAACCAATGAGTCTGGTTTTGAAAGCTTTGCTTCAAAACACTTCAAACCTGTAGACGATCCCTTGTACTGTAGTCGATTAACAATCCCAATTGACTTCGATTACTAATTAACGAGTAACTTACTTTGTGGTTTAAGTAACTCAGGTGATCATGACAATACAATTAGTTTTCGCATAATGGAATTTTCATTGAAAGAGACCTCAAAGGGCTCAAACGCATAATTATGAAATCACGAACAAGTTGGACTCTCTGATCTGTGCCGAATCTGAATTACCAGGGAAATTAAACCCTTTTGATTTAATAAATGCCGGGCAGATTGTTCGTTCGGCACAGATGGGGAGCCGAAAACACACTTTATAAATGAAAAATAGCGATATTAAGAAGAGGGAAGAAGTAGCAGGTTGGTCACACAAGTCAGAAATTGCAGCATAGAGACAGAAAAATCAACTGTTGATTTCCCCTGTTTCGAGCAAAAACCATCATCATAATCTCATTACTCAAGGGCCTAATCTGAGAGAGCAAATCACATCGGGGCGCTCTTGTGTGGTAACAGAAAAACTAACTCCCCAACTCGAACATACTACGCTACCTAAATGTAGAATCTGAGATTCTCTGCAAATAGTGAAATCCCAGATCCCAGCAATCAAATCCTCCCATCTCTACCAGCTGTGCTAATCTATCTGCTACTTTCTCTCGTTAGGATGGCAGATATCATAAGAATCATATGGACAGCAATCAAAATTAGTAAGAGAGTTGCACGGCGGCGCGCCCTTAATATCGTCAACAACACTTTGTTACCCCTGCTGCTGCTGCTGCTGTTCTTGTCGTTCCAGTCCTTTCGTCGTCATCTAAATCATGGAACTCATGTTGCTGCCGACAATGATGTCTTTCTGCGAGTGGATGCAAGTTGATGCCGTCTTCAACATCAACCACTGTTCTGCAACTCGAATCATGTGATCCTTGTTCCATGGCAGTAGTAGAAGAAGGGTTTCCAAAACCTTCCACAGAAACAGATGAATCAGAGTCCATTGCATCTTCTTCAGCTGCTGCAGGGGTATTATCGAAGGCAGATGATGTTTCATTTCTAATGGCAATAGTGCCAGCCGTTTCCAAGTCATCTGCAGAAGATGATCTCGGTTCGTGAGATTCTGGAGGTGGAGAGCTTGAATGGAAAATTGGAATATCTTCCTCCTTAACCCCACTCACAACTTGGACACGTCTCTCGGATTGAGGGGATACAGAAGTGGTTGGCTCAACATCAACGACCATTCCGCAACTCGAATCTTGTCCTTGTTCCATGGCAGTAGTAGAAGGGTTTCCATAACCTTCCACGGGAACAGATGAATCAGAGTCCATTGCATCTTCTTCAGCTGCTGCAGGGATATTATCGAAGGGAGATGATGGTTCATCTTTAATGACAATACAGCCAGCAGTTTCCAAGTCATCTGCAGAAGATGATCTCGGTAGGTGGGAAAACCTAGCTTCTGGAAGTGGAGAGCTTGAATGGAAAATTGGAATGTCTTCCTCCTTAACTCCATTCACAACTTGGACACTTCTCTCGGATTGAGGGGATACAGAAGTGGTAGGCTCATTCCCCACCAGCTTTACTGGTGCACAACTCTCACCATCTTCGACCACTCGAGAGTCCATTTGTTTCCCAACAGCTTGCGCCCGATCATCCTTCGAAGGTGTGCTAGTTCTAAGACACGATGGTCGAGCAGAAAATCTGCATAAAATCATTCAAGTAAATCATATTAGTTTTCATAAGAATATTGAAGTGCACAAAAAAATTTATGGTGAACTAGAGTAGAACCCTTTTTAAAGCAACCCATGAATAGGGAGAGCATTAATAACACAGGAATAATCAACAAATTAATATTGATCCACCCACAACTTATAGAGATTTCATAGAGCTACACTAACTAGCATGTGGAGAATAACACAAAAGCACTCCACGAGCAGCAGTGAAGTTATATGGTTAAATATACCAATCGCAAGTAAAATACATAATAGGCGATAAAAATACAACAATACCTGCTATATAAAAGCATGTATGCTCCTTGTGATAGTACCTCGGCCAAGTCGACATTTGTAACCTGATCAATACACATCACCCCACAGCATAATCAAGTCAGGACATAAAATGCAATACTTCAAAAGATCTAAAAGGAAATTAGCCGCTCAAATCCACACAGAAGGGCATAGGCAATTTATGCCAGTTATATGCACACATGTAGACAACCAAAGACAGATACCTACCTTGCAGTCATCAAATCTGAACCAGTCTCCTTGGAAATCCTTGATATAGCAAATATAATGGCCAAAAAACGATGCATTTAGCATATCTATGTGCACAACAACGGCATAAAGCTTGTACACGTCACTGCCATCTCCTTCACTCATGTATGGACTAAGATCTAATGTCGCGGGAAAATTTATCCTCTTATTAAGTTTCCCGAAGCTTCCACTCTGAAAAATGTCATCAAAGCAAATAGGAGACATTAAGCACTGCATGTTGTCTGACAATAACTAGATACAGAATCTGTTCATCTCAAACCTGAAATCTTTTCAGAGCGATAGTAAGAATATTTGGAGCTCGTCGAATTGTAAGGCGCTTCCATGCGTTGACATAGTCATTGCAACTGCCAAGTATACAAGTTAGCAGGGTTTCATTGAACATATCCATCGTTTCCCATCTAATGAACTGGTGCTACTTGTAATGTGCAGGTAGATCCGGCAGGCCAAAGCAATTCATTTATGTATATTGGAAATGATGCAGCCTGGAAACCCTGCCAAGGGATTCACTGCATAGATTCGAGAGGCTTTTGCCCAATCTACCAGAGAGTGAATGTGGTGGTCGACATTAAATGAGGTCATAGTTAATTTAGTGTTGTCTGTCAATTACCTAATGAACAAGAACTTCCCAGCGAAAAAATGGGAGATCTTTTGACCTTCAATACAGTCAAACATGTACTTGATAATCCAACTACTTATTGTTGAAGAAAAGAGCACATAAACAACCATACCTGTCACATTTGTACATGTTGTCATCCTGAAGCCATTCCTTTGCCGTGAATTGATCAAGGCACTCCTCCAAAGAAGTGGCATCTCCATGGATTTCAACAGTTAAATCCATCATGTTTTCAAACTGGTTTGAAATATTACAGCATTTGGTACACATAACCTAATTTATGAAAAGTAATTAAACAACAATCAGAACTGTGGACAGTAACAACAGGGCAAAATGACTGCTAAAATGTTTTACAAGACGAGGAAATGCAAGCTATCACAGGGTTTGTCAGACCTTCATATATACTAAATAATCATCCGATCTACAATATTCAAATCATCGATCTCTTAATTTATTTTCATTGTCACAAATATAGCATAATAAAAATTGATAGCCACTGTCCCAATCTTCAAGGCCATGCTCTCATGTACCAAGCTCAATGAAGTATTCAGTGTATGCATAGACACTGACGACAAATCTACATACCATCCCTACTGACAAGCATACACAGTGCATGCATAAACATTCAGTGATTCAGACTTCGAATGAAATTATCATGCATATAACAGATATCTCAGTAAATATAGGACCACTATTCTGTTTATGCTGTAGAACGTTTATGGGTAAAAGTAGACCAAGCATGCATAGCCAAATCAAGTTCAGACTTTACTCCACAGGACGTTACCTGGGACTGCAGGTGACCGCCAAATATATGTTGAACCAGAGTCGTTTCTTGAGAAGCCGGGTCAACTGCCTTTTCTCCACCGAATTCATCAAGGCACACCGATTGCATTGTGTCAAGGGCAAACCTACAAAATAGAGCAAAATTTGTTGGTAAATTGTGTGAAGCCCACACAAAGATACATATTCTCTTAACCTGCACATCAAACATTCTTCTTATTCGTCTATCAAGTTTTTTGTGATTAAGGGAGGAACCGTGTGGTGTGGAGTGTCACATATGCATAAGATTAACGATACATAAAAAAACAAACCTCATGAACTCATGGGCATCTTCTTGTCTCCCATAGCCAAGATTACCACCAATGTTAGGCAAGCGGGAAAGTATGTTAATTGGAGAAAAGGGATGTGAACTTTGGCTGGCTCTTTCAACATGAGATTCAAAAACGCACAAAAAACACCAGCCTTCACGTCTGCCTGGAAACCAATATATGATCATCAATAATGAGGAATCATCCTACATTCGTTAAAGATGATAATGCAAGACCAAAACATTTAGTAACCAGAGCTTACACTCTCGGCGGTGGCCTTTCTCCAACAGGTAAGCGACCAATGGCCTTGTGTATGTCAGACATTGTAGAACCACATTGGCAAAGCAACTATGCATACAAAAGGGGAAAAGGAGTCAAAACAAACATATGGGAAGCAAGCCAAACGCCAATCTTGCAAGTTTTGCTATGTCTTCACATTAAGAACTAGAACCAACCTGTTTCCACAATTTAAGAGTCCAGAGGGTGGAAACGGTCTGTTCCAATTGTACAATTTAACAAATTCCGCATACGGGAAAAGTACCTGAAAATTCATCATAATGTCAATGATAAATCTTAAGGAACTATGAAGAGTGAAACTAAAAAGGTTACAAAAAAATACCTTCCCAGGCTTCTTAAAACGCTTAAAAGTCCCACTACTAATAACCAATGCAATTCCAGAATAACGTTTGCCAGTGCTGGGTTTTCTTATAAGTGATTTGCATTTCAATTTGTGACCGGAATTCCAATGTGAACTTTGGCACTCGGTCGAACTGCCAAACAAAGAAAAGAGGGAAGTGAAGACCTTCACAAAGATTGACACCCTTCTGTGTACAATTGATTGACTGGTAATTCCTAGCTGAAGGAAACATTGTGTCAAAGAACTAATCACAAAGAAAAAAAGAATGCGTGCTCCTTTCTTCGTGACAAAGATAATTCTCTCACGGGAACGGTAATTCTTGGACAGAGAACCACAAGGCAGGAAGACTTTCGATAAAGAAACAATGAAAAGAGCGGGATGGTCCAAAGTATGCGTACCAGTATCGAACTGATTTGCAACCGGAGCACTTCTTGGCGCCAGACTTGCCACAATTAGTGCAGGAAGAAAGCTCCTCCGGCGACCCCATTGAAATCACCGGCGCAGTGCGATTCCGATCAGCAATGTGCACACCGCCAGTACCACCGGCGCCTTCGAAACTGGCGTCGACTTCGAAGTACTTCGTGTTCTTGACCACGTACAGCAATCCCGCAGCAATGAAGAAGATGCTAAATATAAATCGAAGGAACCAATTAGGATCCACCGGAATTCCACCGACATGCATACTCCCTCGCTCATTAAACCCTATTTACATGAGATTAAAATAATAATTCACAATAATCGTATCAGACTACGCCTCTGGCCCCCCTTTGGAGATGTAATCCGAATCCAAATTGGAGAATTTAGGGTTTTCCGTGAATGGGCTGTGGGAAATTTTAGGATTTCTTAGGGTTTCTCAGTTTCAAGCTTTGTGTAATTGTTCGTGCGTCGTGGGCCCATTGCTGGGTCGGGTCGGGTCGGGTACCACTTGGGTGCGGATTTAGTTTTATTATAAACTGCATGCAGCTTCAGTTCATTCAATTCGATATTTGGGCCAATGAGGCCCGACAATAGTTGGCATTGGGTCAATTTTATTTAGCCCAAATTTAACTTCGCTCATTAAAAAAACATAATAAAATTTTCGTAAAATGGAAAGCTCGATAAAATACTCATTGGATTTCGAAGTGCAAACTCGATCCAATCCAATGAGTACTAGGGGTGCATGATTACTCAGAGATTTACAAACTTAACTATAGATTATTTATCTAAAGTCCAATATTGAAACATTATAGAATTTTCCCTACAAATATATCTCTATAAAAATACTAATAACATTCATAGAGTAGTAGTTGCTATTTAACTCACTCCAACACCCCAATCAAGATTAACTGCTCTAACGAATCTCAACACGACGACGTCGATGCCACACATTCACCCATAACTTCGTATAGAGGTGGCAAATGGATTGGATTGGTGGATTGGATTGGTGGATCCATGGATCAAATGGATTGGATCTAATGGATTGGTGGATTCATGGATTGGATCAAGTGGATTGGTGGATTATCCATGAATCCAAATGACATCCTCAACCAAGGACCAATATGTAAAATGTAAAAAGTTTAGGTACTAAAATGTCATAATGAAAAATTTTAGGTACCAAAACGTAATTTTCCAATGATATTTTTCGTATAAAAATTTAAATTTTAGGTACCAAAATGTAAAAAATAAAAATTATAGGTACTAAATCGTATTTGCCAATGATCCATGGATCCAATCCATGAATCCGCCAATCCAATTGGATTTGGATAAAATGGATTGGATTTAAATGAATTGGATTAGGTGGATATTTTTAATGGATTGATGAATTGGATTGGTGGATTGGATTGAAATTGCCACATCTAACTTCGTATGAGTACAACAGACACCAATAACAACCTACCCATCAAAACAGAATGCATCCAACATCACATCATTGGATACAACACACGTTCCAAAGAGTACTCAAACCTCTCGGATTCCGGTTGACACCCTCAACAGATAGTTCCCTCAATCTCCAAATATTTAAAAAAAAAAATTGGGTTAATACACTGGAAATACCAACGTTTAGCGAAAGTGCCATTTGTATTACGTACTTTCAATAAACACAAAAATATTTCAACCTATTGGGTGTCTGTGTCATTTGTGTTACGCGAATTTTAGTTGACCATTAGAGTTAACCGTTGACCTAACGGTGGTCAATCTTTGTTTGACCATTGCTGAAGTGGCGCTTATGTGTGTTCAACGCATGAGCCACGTAGGAAATTAATATTAAATTAAACTTTAATTGATAAAATTTGCTGAAGTGGCGCTTCGTCTCCTTCTTATCTCTAACGAGCCGGCGACGACGAGGTGCGTTGATACCCGAACCCGCGAGGAATTGTGCTGCAATCAGTTTCAGAAAAGCAAAATCGAGAGGGAGAAGGCGCCGATTTCTGGGTTTCGTGGAGAACGAAAAGAGGGAAAGGAGACAGATCCTGACTGTCGATTTTGGGTTTCATCAACGAGGAAGAGAGGGAAAGGAGACAGATCAAGCTCTGGTTTTGGGTTTCTTATTATGAATCAGAGCAAGAGGAACCAGACGGGAATTTCAGGATTTTTGGCCGATGACGAGACGATGTGACGGCATGTAGATCAAAGTGGAGGACGTCAGCATCATTTTGAGTCATCTTCCACATGCTAGCAGTGAAAAAAGTAATACTTTACCAAATTTCGCCGGGAGAAAGCACAGAAAATAAAGTGCAGCCGGAAAAGACACCCCATCTTCGTCGCTCTCTTCTTTGTCTTCTAGCATCATCCCTTCTGAAGAAATCCATATTCTTTTTTGTCCCTCCCATTTCTTAGTCAAGAAATTTCAGCGCAGTTGCGATGCAAATTCCTGCTTTCCGCCTCCCCCGCCTATTTAACCACTCTTCCCTGCCTCTGCTCCATCTCCCCATCGCCGGCCAAATCAGCCCACCCCAAACGATCAATCAGATTCTCTTACAGCCATGGGAACAACCCTCTCCGTCCTCGCCTCCGTCGCCGTCCTCCGCTCCACGGTCAAGGAGTTCGTCCCGCCCGAAATCCGCACCTACCTCCTGGAACTCAGCCGCCGCTTCTCGTCGGAGATCGTCCTCGTCGTCCCGGAGTCCCACGAAGGCTCGACCAACCACCTCCACAAAGCCCTCGCCACCTACCTCGGCAGCGCCGCCGTCTCCGACCCCGGCGCCCCTCCCCGGCGGCTCACCGTCGGCAAGAGCGAGACCATGAAGGTGCTCACCTTCGGCCTCGACCGCAACTCCGAGATCGTGGACCGCTTCGACGGCATTCCCATGAAGTGGGCCTACTTCACCGAGACCAACACCGCCATCCACTTCGAGCTCAAGTGGTACGAGCTCCGCGTCCACCGCAAGCACGGCGAGCTCGTGACCGCCAGATACTTCACCCACATCCTCGAGACGGCGAAGAAAATTAGGGATCGGAGCAGAGTGGTCAAATTCTTCACCACGCGCAGCGGGCGGGACGGGTGGAGCACCAAGGGGATGAATCTGGAGCATCCCATGACATTCGAAACCCTCGCCATGGATGGGGATCTGAAGCACGAGGTAATTGAAGATCTTGATTCGTTTATGGGAGGTAGGGATTACTACAAGAAGATTGGGAAAGTCTGGAAGCGTGGGTACTTGCTGTACGGCCCTCCAGGGACGGGGAAATCCAGCTTGATCGCCGCCATGGCGAATTACCTCAACTTCGACATATACAACCTGAACCTCTCGGTGGTCAATTCGGATTCCTCGCTCGAGTATCTGCTGCTTCACATGTCGAATCGGTCCATTCTCGTCGTCGAGGACATCGATTGCTCCCTGATGTTGCAGAATCGTCAAGCCGTGGACCACCAGCAGCGTCTGGTGCCGGATCAGAATCCTGCCGCCACTCAGATTCAGGTCCCTATTCGCCCCAATCAGGTAAACAATCACATTTAGTTTCCCTGTCAGGTTCCGTGGACTATATATACTTAAGCGTTTGTTGCTGCTCTGCTCAGCTCCACTACAATACACAACACAATTAGGTGACGCTATCTGGACTTCTGAACGCCATCGATGGGCTGCTGTCATGCTGTGGGGATGAGAGGATTGTGGTCTTCACTACTAACTACAAGGACAGGATCGATCCTGCTCTGCTCAGAGCCGGGCGTATGGATATGCACATTCACCTGACTTACTGTACATTCTCCACGTTTAAGCAACTTGCTCTCAACTATCTGGACATTGGCTATCATAAATTGTTCGGTCAAGTCCAGAGATTGATATCAGAAGTCGAGGTTTCTCCAGCAGAGGTGGCAGGGGAACTCATGAAGGAAAGAGATCCCAGCAGCAGCTTGGAATGCCTCATTAGGTTTCTGCAAAGCAAGGTATATATGGCAATGATGTAGTAACTCCAATGTATACAACGTATTTCTGTAGTTTCGGCCTTTCATTACCAGCTGGTTTGCTTGCTTGCAGAAAGCAGAAGTGAAGCCCTCTTCACCGGAAGATGTATTTAGTGACGGTGAGAACTGTAAACCAAAACAGAATGATGGACGAAAGGATGAAAAAGCTGTTTGCAAGCCACTGGAAGTTGGAGGGTATCGGATCAAGGAAGAGTTGTCATCAACTTTGGGGTCTATTCTCTCGGAACATGGCGACATTGTTGCTAACTGCACATTGCAGTCTCCGGAGTGTCGCGCATTGTTCTTGGAACTTGTCTGCGAAATCTTTCAGAAGCTTCAAGCTTTGAAGGAAACCAGGTTGACTCTGGCCGAGCTTAACTCCATGGCGAAAAGTGTTCGAGATCTTGAGTCACTGAAACTCGAAGTTGGGTGGCTCCTTGGGAGCCTGGACGAGGTTACTCCAGTCTTGAATGGAACGGAGGCTATGCCATGAATTCGTCTCTTCTTGTATCTGAATTCAGTGTGGTTCCAGTTTTATAGGATGTCAGAATTCAGTGTCCTATGGATTTCTAAATATAGTTGTGAATATATTTGTCACAAACCTGATAGTTGTGGATATACAATTGTATTTTGCCTTCTAAATATGCCAAAGTAATGTCTACATTGTATTGTTTAGGTATTGGTACAACTCGATTATGACGACTAGCACATCTCCTATTTGTTATTTTAGTATAATGATGTGTTTCACCGCTTTTTTCTGTAGTTGTATTTGACTTACACCATTTGTGTAAGTCGACTCACTTTTCTTGACTTCAGCCAATATATTAATGAAAGAAATACTCACCTTCTTCAAAAAATCAAAAAAAAATCTGTATTTGCTAAAAACAAAATGTCTGTATAAATTTCAAAGTTAAAAAGCCACATTTTCATTTTTTTAGACGGTTTTGTTACCTTTTCCACATAGACCACTGGAAACCCGCCGCTCTCTCTCCCGACCTTAAATAGAGCCCTTTCCCCACATCGCAATTCTTCGCTGCCTTACCCCCCTCCAATTCCAATCGCCGACCGACTAAAACCATTAATTCTTCGTCGATTCATTTGGCCGGCCGGAAAAGATGTTGCGTGATGATCTGTCGTCGGAAAACGCCGTAACTGAAGCGGAGTTAAGGGCTGCTCTGATGGTGTTTCCCCCCATCACCTCCATTAATCTCGTCCGTATGTTCAAATCACGTCTCCGTTCGGCTGAGGTAACGCAACTTAAACCCAGCCAGCTTGTATTAATTTACAAAATCTTTTTATACCACGATGCATATTAATCAATCAATTCAGAAAAGACAAATATTGGAGTTAAGTATTTGTTTGAGATCCTCAAATTTCAAGTAGACAAGTTGGAGATGGTTGTCTTTGACAAAAGTCACTTGTTTTACCCCAATATCTCACTCCAAAACATTTGTGCTCATCAGGTATTATCTGTTGGGTTTACATTCTATATTGAAACGCTATCGACGAAATCCTAAACTATCCCCCTCCACCGTTTCACTACAAGATTTTTGGCCTTGTTAATTCCTGTCTTGTCGGTATATGGTAACGTTCGGGACAATTTCAAATCCTCCTTTCATTAAACAAATCACCGTGTGACATATCCAAACAACAAACTACCCTTTCACTTTTCGCGCCCAGCATTCGGACTATCACTCTTATATAAAATATTTTGCTTTAGCAAGTATGCTTGTGCTATGCAACTGCCATATATATGTGATGCCTCTCAGATTATGCCAACGATATGCAGAACAAGATGGCCTTTTCGAAAACACTGGGGAGAATCGCCAAGATCTCGAGGAGTGGAGGCGCAGCAGGAACCTACTCTGTTGTGCTGAGGTGAGATTCATGAACCCATATGCCATATGTATCTATGGAGTGAAGCAATCGACGATGATCATTGTGATTTTACAGGGCTTGTGTTGTTCTTTCTGGATCTTCATTATGACATTGTAGCTAAGTAGGAACGTTGTTATGGTGCGTGGGTACAGGAATAACTCTACTGCCGTCGAAGGAGCAACTTCACCGCCGCCGCCGCCGACGAGGAGGATGAGGTCATTAGCAAGATCAGGTTCCAGGCCTGTAACTGAAGAGGGGTTAAAGGCTGTTCTGATGGAGGTTGCTCCCATCACATCGATGGATCTTGTTGCATTGTTCAAATCGCGTTTGAAGTCTTCCAAGGTAAAAAAACCTTAAAGCTTTTAGAGTACTAACCGTAGTCTCTGCTGTTATTTATAACGAAGCTGTACATGATCAGTCTCAAATGTTCATATACTGTATGTCCCAGGATAAGAAGGCCTTTGCGGACATGCTGAAGAGAATTTCCAGGATCTCGAAGGGAGATGATGGAGCCCACTATGTTGTGCTGAGGAGCGGAGGTGGCAGTTCTGAATCCAATTCACTAATCCAATCCATCAATTCGTTAAAAATATCCGACTGATACAATTCATTTCAATCCACTCCATTTGAAATTCAGTTAGATTGGTTGATTCTTGAATTATTGGCAAATTACAGTTTAGTACCTAAATTTTTTATTTTTTACATTCTGGTATCTAAAATTTTTTACCACGACATTTTAGTATCTATACTTTTTGCATTTTACATATTGATCCAAGGTTGAGGATGTCATTTGGATTCATGGATAATCCACAAATCCACTTGATTCGATTCATGAATCCACCAATCCATTTGATCCATAGATCCATCAATCCAATCCATTTGCCACTTCTAGTGACTTCGAGGCTTGTTTCTTCTTGGATCTAAGTGGAATGGGTATTTGTTTGTGGCTCTCGTAGTTGTTGCCAATAGTCAATCCAGTTGTTATTGGTTACTTAATTATTGGTCATTCCTGTTAATTGTGTATGCTACTGTTTATCTAAATAATTTTTCGTCCAACAGGGCGTGATGTTACTGAGAATGACAGTAAGAATGTTCGATTGTTTTTTATTTTATTTTTCATCCTCGTATGTTTCATAAGAAGGATATTTGCAAACTCAACATTATTATTTTTAGATATCCGTGGTTAATCTTCGTCATGCACCTCTAATTAAAATGATAATGCTTTTAAAGTTATAATGGGAACATCAGACACCAAAATACCAAATGAAATAATATGCGGTGAATATGGCAAATGTAGATTTTTTTTTGGGTCGGAAAACGGGACGCTTAAAGGGTGCCCCTGCCCGAAACTTAAATTAAACGAGTTTGGGCTATGCCCAAAGAGTCGTACAAAAGCCAAAATGACAGGCCGAGGTCCGTAATATCAAAATCATGGAAGCCAATGCGAGCAGCGTGGCCTTTATTTGCGAGGAAGTCTGCAACCTTGTTGCCTTCTCTAAAGATATGAGAGATCCTGATCTCCCAGTTTTGTTGTAGGAGTCTTCGGAATTGATGAATCACGTTGTGATATCTGTGCTCCGTCTGGTCCGGGGATGTAAGAATGCTAATCGTCGTCATGGAGTCCAGTTGGAGGTGGACTTTACGGAAGCCAGCCCTCCAAGCTATCTGCAACCCTCTGATGGCCACCATAATCTCTGCTCTAGTGATCGTGCATCGCCCCAGGTTCACAACGAAAGCTCCCTTGCACTTTCCCGTCCAGTCCCGGTTGACCCCACCACCTGCTGCTATCGAACCAGGTTGTCTGACAGATCCGTCAGTGTTGACGCATACCCATCCCTGTGGGGGGGGGGGGATCCCAAGCGACCTGGTGTGGGGATTTCTCTAGGGTAGCAGCGTGGGATCCCTTATCCTCTGCTTGAACTTGTCGGATAGTGTTCGTCCAACATTTGATCTTGTGCACCAACACATGGTCTTTTTGATTAAGGTTATGAAAGACTTTCTCGTTCCGCCGCTTCCAAATGTACCACGCGGCAACTCCGAAGAGAAGGCCTTCTTCTTCCTTCTTGGGTGTGCATCCAACCAACCTGTAAACCCAAGGCCGTACGTAAGAAGGTTATCAAGAATTCCTAGCCTCCGCCATACCTGTTGAGAGTTCGGGCAGTGTCGCAGAATGTGCTCCGCAGTTTCCGATCCAGTTCTGCAGATTGGACAAGCATCATCAGTCGTCAACTTTCGCCTCTTATGCTCTGCATTCGACATCAACCTGTCATGAAAAGTCAACCATAGAAAATGCTTAATGCGATTTGGGCCCGTCCATTTCCATAGCCTCTTCAAGTACGGCTGGTCAGTTGCTTCTTCCAACTCTCGGAACTCGTCCCCAATCAAATCCGCGGCCGCCGCATAGGCTGTGCGGAGCTTGAACTTTCCATCTGGCTCCAATCCCCAGGTTGTGATGTCCTCCCTTGATCCAGAAAGCGGTGGATCTGTACCTACAACCAAAGCCACAACGTTTGGAGTTAGGTGTTGCTCGAATTCATGCCACTTCCACTCACCTTCATTGGTGGCCATATCCGCCACCGTAGCAGTCTAGTTAATCCCGTCCCCATTGCTCGTAACATGATCCCTTAGCACCATTCCCTCCGCTATCCACAGGTCCGTCCAGAAGTGGACATTACGACCTTCCCTAATATCCCAAACAATCCTATGCTTAAGAATTGGCCATGTGTCCACGATCCCTTTCCAGAGCCTAGAGTAATTGCTCTTCTTCATGACCATGGTCCCATCTGCAGTAGCTCGGAAATACTTTCCTTGAAGGACACGGACCCAGATATCGTCTGATTGATTCAGGAAAGCCCACACCAGTTTCATCAGGTAAGAGAGATTCAAAGCCCTGGCCGACCGAATTCCAAGACTTCCTTCTTCTTTTGGTCTGCAAATTGTCTCCCATTTCACCAAGTGCGTCTTAGCGTGCCCTTCTTCCGCACCCCAAACAAAACCTCTCACTTTTTTGTTGATCGTGTCACACACAGAGATGGGGAGAACCGATGTCTGCATTACATAGTTAGGGAGAGCATTCAACACCGATCCCGCCAAGGTAACTCGTCCTGCCAAGGAAAGACTCTTTGCCTTCCAACCTGATAGCCTCTGATCGTTCTTTTCCAAAATGTATTTTTTGGTGTCCTTGGTGACTCTGCCATGGATTACCGGGACACCAAGATAGCGACCCAAATTACTCGTAGCTTTTATCCCCAACATATCACTGATTCGTTTCTTCTACTGCTCCTTGGTGTTTTTGGAGAAGAAGACACAAGACTTGTCCCTGCTGATTTGTTCCCTGGAGGCTTCACAGAATCTATTTAGGCATGCTAAGATATCCTCTCCCTGTTTTGGACTAGCCTCCCCGAATAACACAAAATCATCTGCAAAAAATAAATGAGTGAGTGGGGGTCCATCCTTGGAAAGAGTAATTGGTTTCCAGGCTTTCCTGTCAACAGAATCCTTAATGTAGTGATTGAGTCTTTCAACACAAAGGGTAAAGAGATAGGGTGAGAGGGGACATCCTGGCGAAGCCCCTGGTCGGTTGGAAAGACTCTGTGCAACCTCCATTCCAAAGAACTTGGAAACGAGTGGTAGTCACACAAGCCATGACAAGATTAACAAAATCTCGAGGAAGTCTGGCTGCAAACAGCGTAGACTCTAAGAAATTCCAGTTGATCCTGTCATAGGCTTTGGCCAGATCAATTTTCTGGATCATGCGGCCTCTGGCTCCTGAATGGCGAGACAAAGTATGAACCACTTCTTGAAGAATTATGATGTTGTCCGTGATATGTCTCTTGGGGACAAAGCTAGACTGATTCGGATCAACCAACTGCGACATGAACTTCTCAAGACGATTAGCCAGGCATTTAGCTATCGCCTTATAGCTCATGTTGCAAAGTCCAATGAGCCTAAACTGAGCTATTTTCTTGGGGGCGTCCACCTTGGGCAGCAACACGAGCAAGGTCTCATTGCATCTCATGATGTGTTCCGGGTTCCTGAAACAATCCACAATGTGGTCATGGAAGTCTGCTCCTATGTTACTCCAGCATTTCTGATAGGAAGTGGCGTGGAATCCATCCTTCCCTAGTGCCTTTAAGCCTCCCATCTCTTTGATGATCATGTGTGTCTCCTCAGGAGTCGGTATGTCTGCTAGGTGGGCTGCTAGGGCCTCATTAAGAGCCTTGAAACCTGCTGGAATATGTTGTTGTCCCATGCCATCATCAGTATAGAGCTTTATATAAAACTCCCGGGCCATAGACTTCAGCGCTTCAGGATCCTCAATCCAACTCCCATCCTCCAATTGAAGTTTATAGACTCCGTTCTTGCGACGCCTTGTCAGAGCAGCAATGTGGAAGTAGTGAGTGTTCCTATCCCCGTTTACGATCTGGTTCGCCCTAGCTTTTTGGAACAATAGAAACTCTTATTGCCAAAGGGTCTGTTCCAGTTCCTCCCTGACTTGCCCTTCCCTCCTTAGGGATGCTTCTGTTTCCGCAGATTCATTCCTGATTTCCAGTCGAGCTAGCTGCTTGGTGAATGTTGCTTTCCTCCTAAATATATTACCAAAGACCTCTTTATTCCAACGAATCAGATGTTCCTGTAAATCCTGCAAAGACAACAAAAAAATCCCTTCCTCGATGCCACGAGGCTTCAAGTGTAGTAGAGAAATCTTTGTGAGCTAGCCAAGGCACTAGGAAACGAAAGGGTCTTACCTGTCGAGGAGGAACATGTTCATTGTTGCTACAGATAAGGATGGGTCTATGATCTGATCGGAGCTTAGGCAGATGAGTAGACTGTGTATCATGAAATTGACGAATCCATTTTTGGTTACACAAATCCCTGTCGAGCCGTTGAGATAGTCTCCCGTTACTCTAAGTAAACCTAGGGCCATTGAACCCTATGTCAAGAAGACCACAGTCCTTATGCACTCATTGAAACTGGTGGTTCTGCAGGGATTGAACATTGCTCCTCTTTGGCGCTCTGACAGGCAAGTAATGGAGTTGAAATCGCCCGCCAACAACCAGGGTAACATGATAGTCTGCTTGAGTCAACGAATTGCCGCCCACAAGGGAAGCCTGTCGTGATCATTGGGCTTGGCATAAACAGCAGTAAGGATGACCGAATTGTTGTTGTGCCCTATGCACAGGAAATGAAGGAATTGTGAGTCTCGATCTATCTCAGCAATCGTGAAATCCACATCTCTCCACAAAACCTAAATACCGACAGAAAAACCCACAGCATCAACAAGAATATGCTTGCCAAACCCCATCGAGCCAATCACATCTTCTGCATCCTTACCACTGATACGTGGCTCTCCTATGAAGACTAGATTAGACCTGTGGGTTCCCATATACTCCTTAAAGGTTGAAAGAAAATTTGGGTGTTTTACCCCTCGACAATTCCAACTAAATATTTTAAACATCAGTAAAATAAGAAGAAACAAACTAGAGAAGGACGAGAACTTCCCTGACAGAATGCCGCATCCATCAATGATCAAACGATTAACTCGCCTCCTCGGGAGGCAGATTCGCATTTCGATCAGGCGCACCAGGTGCCAGAGCCTCATCCGTAGCGGTGGTTGCACTTTCCGTATTCTCAACCATGCGTTCATCAACCTCCCTTTCTTCTGATTTCCCATCGCCTGTCAAAGGATCAAGATGCAATTGGGCAAGGAAGTCCTTGACCACTTTCCGTTGGATTGGACTTTTCCGCTTTTGCTGCACCCTTTTCACCTTGGTTGGCGTTGGATTTAATCCATGATTCGTTTTCAGTCTGTGGGCAAGATCTGTTTGCTACTCGCCAGAGATGAGCTAGTGTTCCGGGAGCGTTTCTTGTAGTGTTTCCGGATTGACACCTTGGCTTTAGTCTCCTCCACCACACTAGTGGAAGAGGGAACACCATTGAAAATCGGAGGGTTCTCTATGATCATATTTCTTTGATTTGCATGAATAGATGATTATAATTTTGTTGTTAAATGTGGTTAAATGGAAGGAATTCATGATTGCATCCTGAGTATAGTGCTTTCTATAAGATTGTCAAGAGTGAACAAGGTTAAAAGCGAGTCGGGCACCTATCCAAGTGACATCAATACATTGTGCACTAGCGACCTTGAGTTCCTTAAAGTTTCTAGTATGTGATAAAAAAAAGGTTAAAAAACGACGATATTTCACAACCAGTTGGATGCTTGCCCATGATGCTAGGTAATACCACGACGAAAGTATAACTATCATTTATCATCTTCATCCCATTTGTTTTGTCGAAAATATAACCTATATACGAGCAAATTATACATACTATGCCGCCACTTCTCTTAGCCGAACTCCCGACTCTTTTCCCAGGTGCTATACCCCTATAGACGAATGAATCGACACATCTGAGCAGTAAATTAGTGAGATGCGAATTAACAAATTATTTAAATTTAGTAGACCACTATTTTTTTTCGATTCATCTCATAACTTTCACCTAAAGTAAAATTTTGTATGTTAGGTCTTGCTATTCTAAGAAAAGGTATACTTATACTGCCTGGTCCAACTCCAACCTAGTTTCCTTTCCCCCTCAAAGTCTCAACAAATGCGGATACGACACCGCATAGCTCAACGCAGATGTACTCGGACCATATAAAACCGAAAAGTCGTACTGCTCGCTCAGCTATGCAAAGGGTGCGTCGTTTGGCAATTGGCGCCCCCTCCCTTCCTTACCGCTGCTGCGTCTTCCGCTCAGAAACCCTAATCCAACCAGTCATATACCTTCGACCCCGCCATTAGAGCTTTCACGAGGAAGAGACAACCTCTCTCTCTTTCTCTCCCCCCTCGCCTGCACGCTCGTTGCTTCGTGTAGAACGGCATAGTTGAGGTGCGTGGAATGCTAATCTGAGCTCATTCATCGGATTGATGTCCTTGTTTTGTCGAGCTGTTTTTTTTAGGTATATCGTGATCGCTGTTGTTGATCTTCAATTTGGCTGTTGTTCGTTGATTCCAGGTCAGCTTAATTTGCTCCATCAAAAAGCGAGGGCGGCGTTCGCGGCGGCGAAAGTGGGGTGTATTTTTCGCTCCTGCCCTGCTTTGTGACTCGGAACGGACGGATTGGCGTTGAGCTTTGGCCGGAGCTTTTTGGGTTTCCTTCCAATTTCAGAGCTCTAGAAGGGTTGTTGTTTCTTGAGTAGCTCTGTTTCGTGGGCTTCCATCTCTTCGATTTATACGGGGTTTCTTTCCTCGTTGTAGCCTTGTTCCGTGTCTGTTCTCTGAGCTCGCCAAGAGTAAGCTAGCATTCTCCCGTTTATGTATGTTTTGCTTCTGCTATTGATTGTTGAATGCTAAGCTGTTCCCCTTTTCTGCTGCTGCTTTTCCACCGAGTGAGATGGATGAGGGATTTCCACCTGAGAATTCTTAGCTTGGGTTGCGAATATTTATTCTATCAGATGCGATGACCATGCTCTAGGAAATCTGGTCGTGCAGCTAGCTGATTTTGTCTGCTGCTTTTGAGAAATCGTGCCTTGGAATTTGCCATTATCCTTTCTTTTACGTTGTGTATAAACTTTATATAGGATGTGGTGGACGAGACATCATCTGTTTCGATTAGGGGGGATTTGATTAAGCTATTACCTTTTTAATTCAATCATTTCTCTGTAGCTATATGTTTTTCTGGGATGATAATTCCCCCGATGATTACTTTCTTATGAAGTTGGCTGCATCAAAGGTTTGCAGTGTGCCTATTTTTTGTGTGATGGGCCGTATGACCAGCTGTTGAGTGTTGATAGACAAAAAGTGTCCTATCTTCTCTTAGATTAATTGAATTTAGAATCGAAGTCAAGGGGCTTGTGTTTCACTTCAGCATTAGGGCAATCTCCATGATCTTGGAACAGCGTCTGATGTTTTGCCTGTTGATTACTTTTGATTTAGTATAATGGAAATAGTGTAGCATGGCATGTAGTGCATTGATATGCCCTGCGTGCTATATATCAGAGGATGAGACGTTGAGTTATTTTCGCATCTGTCTTCATGGTTTCTATTCTCCTTACCCGTGTTCTCTCTCTCTCTCTCTCTCTCTCTCTCTTATCCGCACTGAAGCACATGTTAGTTACTTGTGGATCCAAAGATGCCATTGCATCCTAAGTGGTTATGTTGTTGCTTACAAACTTTGTAGCTGAAGAAATTGTGGTCAAAATTTCTCACTCGCATGCCTATTCGAGATATTTGTTTGTTATTGGTACCATCATCCTAAGTTGTATACCTAGATTACTTGTTAATGCTGCATTTTATTCTTGTTCCACTTGTTTACTCTGTGCAACTTGTTTTGTGCAGCTTGGACAAAAGAGTATCACATCGAGTCGGTCAGTCCGGGTTCTGATTATTGCCATTCCATTGCTATACTGAACCCGAAGAATCAACATGACTCTCCAGAGCTCTTTCCTGCTTATAACCTATTCTCAAGAACTTGTAGATGGACAACCTGTGTTTGCTTCTTCAAATGGACTTCCAGTCAAAGCGAAAAAGTATGAACCTGCAGGACATTGCTTCCATGCTGCTGCACTTAAACTCCTTGGACACGAGGAGGAGGTTGTGGAGAGTAAAGATGATACAGTTTCCAATGAAAAGGAGCAGATCCACATGCCATCATCTGAATCTTACAGTAGTAGCAAAGGGAAAAAGAAAGGAACTGGAGACAAGCAACAGGATCACTATGCCTTGTTAGGGTTGAGTCATCTAAGGTACCTTGCCACAGAAGAGCAAATTCGAAAAAGTTACCGTGAGGTTGCTCTGAAGTATCATCCTGACAAACAAGCCTCACTTCTTCTCGCGGAAGAGACTGAGGCTGGCAAACAAGCTAAAAAAGATGAAATTGAAACTCATTTCAAAGCCATTCAAGAAGCTTATGAAGCTCTAATGGACCCTGTGAAGAGGAGAATTTATGACTCCACTGATGAGTTTGATGATGAAATACCAACCGATTGTGCGCCTCAGGACTTCTTTAAAGTGTTTGGCCCTGCATTTGTGAGAAATGGTCGTTGGTCTGTTACCCAGCCAGTGCCACCATTGGGCGATGATAACAGTCCTATAAAAGAAGTGGACAGCTTTTATGATTTTTGGTATGGCTTCAAAAGCTGGAGGGAATTTCCTAATGATGATGAATTTGATGTAGAGCAAGCTGAATCTCGTGACCATAAGAGATGGATGGAGAGGCAGAATGCAAAGCTCTCGGAAAAGGCTAGAAAGGAAGAATATGTTCGTGTCCGTGCCCTTGTCGACAATGCCTATCGAAGAGACCCAAGAATAGCAAGGAGAAAGGAAGAGGAGAAAGCCGAGAAGCAGAGGAAAAAGGAGGCAAAGTATTTAGCCAAAAAATTGCAGGATGAAGAAGCTGCAAGAGCTGCTGAAGAAGAGAAACGGAGAAAGGAAGAGGAAGGGAAGCGTGCTGCTGAAGCTGCTTCACAACAGAAGAAGATTAAAGAGAAGGAGAAGAAGCTTTTGAGGAAAGAACGCACTCGCCTCCGTACCCTTTCAGCATCAATTGTGTCGGATCGTTTGCTTGGTCTCCGTGAAGATGATGTAGAAAATATTTGCATGTCATTCGATATTGAGCAACTGAGGAGTTTATGTGAAAATATGGAAGGTAAAGCATCAGTAGAGCAAAAAGCTAAACTTTTGAGAAATGCTTGTGGTGGAGGTGATGAGGATGTGGAGGAGAGTCGCAAGAAGGAAGATGAAAAGAAGAGTATACCACAGCAAAATGGCTCTACTACATCTAACGGGGGTCCTCATACCAGCAACAGTTCTTCAAGCAGCAGGAAAGAAAAGCCTTGGGGTAGAGAAGAGATCGAGCTTCTGAGGAAGGGAATGCAAAAATATCCTAAGGGCACATCCCGGCGTTGGGAGGTTATCTCAGAGTATATTGGGACAGGAAGATCTGTGGAAGAAATTATCAAGGCGACGAAAACGGTCCTCCTACAAAAGCCCGACTCTGCCAAAGCTTTCGATTCCTTTCTGGAGAAGAGGAAACCTGGCCCAACCATTGCTTCTCCGCTTACAACTAGGGAGGAAGTGGGGGGTTTGGTAATCAATCCTCAGGAATCTGAAGTCAATACAACTACGATGGTGGATACTAAACCTGAAGACTCTCTGAGTGCGGGGAGTTTGGAAACCCCAAAAGCTGATGATGGAAGTAATGATGGGAATGCAGCAGCTTCATCATCTTCTTCTTCTTCAGATCAGGATGTATGGTCTGCTGTACAGGAGAGGGCTCTTGTTCAAGCTCTTAAAACTTTCCCCAAGGAGATCAATCAACGCTGGGAAAGAGTTGCAGCAGCAGTACCTGGAAAGACTGTGAACCAGTGCAAGAAGAAATTTGCTCTGTTGAAGGAGAGCTTTCGAAGCAAGAAAAGTGCAGTCTAAGTTTCCAGACGACGGGGTTATGAATATGATCACGGAGTTATGACTTACTATCATCGAGGGTCCAGGATCCATCTGCATTACTTGTTGAACCGTTCATTCCCCCAATCCATAGAGCCATCTTATATGTGAGTTAGAGCAATTTTTCGACCTATTGTTAACTTTTGATGTCAGGCAACAGCACCCTTCGTTATTATTCAATATTTTCCAGACACCATATGGAAAGATTTTGGTCACAGTAAAGGAATATATGTCACATGGTTCCTTGACTGTCATGATCGTTGCCTTGCAGGTTATTAGCCTCTACAGGTGAGTTGTTCATTACTTCTCCGAATCGTTTATAAGCAGTTTGCACGGATTTTTGCTATATTATTATCGTACTAGATTATGATAAACTGTCGTTTGTGTTGAACTTGTAACGCCAGCAGCAAGAAGTGAATCGTGTGTCCTAGACTTGTAGAGCTACTGATAGTTTGGTACTTTGTAGGGAGCTTTTTGGTTCTTTTTAATGTCCCTTTTTTTTGCCTCTCCAGTGTTATTTTTCAATATCTTCTGGGTATCCTGGTCCTTGTGCCCTAGACGAAATACAGTAGCCTTTTGAAAGTAAGTTATTATTGTATTACTGTTGGTGGAAGTTTGAACATGTCTTGCTAGACGCCAGCTTCTTTTGTGCAGAGAATGCTTCCTTTGCTCTTGTTTCTACTCCTTCCACGCATATAAAGTTGTCAAGTTCGAGGGGCATATTCTTGTTCTTGACCTTAGGTATCACCAGAATCTTTCTGCTGAACTGCACCCCATTTACAGCTTGAAAATTCCCCTCTGATCACATTCTTTAAGCCATGCTATGGAACAGGGGTTTGATTACCGATTCTACTATTCAGGAAGGTCTCTACTCTCCATTGGCATAACGTCAGTCACTTCATCTCTCAAGGGTTCTTTTTTTTTCTTTTGTGTCACAATTGTATTCCTCGAGACCACCTGCAGCAGCAAAAGCTTGTTTCACGGTTCTTAAGGTTGTTTTTGTTGGGAGCTTCTGCCATCCATGTTTGACCTGTACACCACTTTTGAGGTAAAGAAGAAAGGACAGTGTTTAGATGTTACCTTGAAAGTCATGGCAGGGTTCATTCCTTTTTCGACGAGATCGACCATGAGCGTATCTCCGACATGTAGGCCATTCTCCTTCACAAGTTCGGTCCAGCCGCTTGCAATGTAAGTAATGTTGTTCGAACTTGTTTCCACCGTCACCAGCCAATCTCCTCCTTTCTCATTTGTTAGGATCAGAGTCCGAGACCCGCCATACAGACCACTGTACCGAGCTAAATCATCTGGGATTCTCTGCAGCCGAACGTTCATCATGTAGCAAGTTCCCAGCTGTTAGTTCAGTGCATCTAAAACTGGGTATAGCACAATAGCACATACTTACCAAGGAAATTCCTCGTAGAAACTGGTTGGTTATAGTAAGCATGAAATGCGAATCCGGCATCTTCGAAAACCCTGCAGCTGGTGAGTCTTGATCACGGAAAGGCTCCGTCTTAACATCCTTCACATTCTTCCTTTCCTCCTTTCGTGCCTTGTCTCTGTACTCCCTTTCCAGCATTGGATTAGCATGCAGCCCTTCACACCATACATTTAGGAATCAGCCAAGGCTCAATCTCAGTTATCATGGACAAAGTGGTAAGAAGTAAGAACCCACCGTACATTCTAAGGGCGAGCTTCTGACCGCATTGAACAAGTTCAAGATTGAAGGTGTCACCCAGCTTCAGTTCACATTCCTTCTGGATAACTCTCCAACCTCGTTCGATGTAAGTAGTGCGAGTGGAGTTACCGTAGTAATTAATCCCTATTGGCCACGATCTACCCTCTTCGTCCAACACAACCGCATCAGTAGTGTGCGCAGCATCCAGGCCATTCATCTTCGAAAATGACTTGGGTACAATCTGCACAAAAATGCAGATTTGCCCTTAAAAAAAAGTGCAGATTGGAATGTCCAGACAACTATAGTCATAAACCATCACCAGATGAACTCAAAACTAAAGCATTTTAGATACTGACCACTCTGCCCCTTTTTAGAGTGTCAAGCTTTATAGATACCACAAAGTAGGGTTTCTTAGCCTCTGAAGGGCCATCTTTCACAATCTCCTCCCTTGATGTTCCTGAAATATTATCCACTGACCCTTTGAGAAAAAGGCAAACACACAGATAAGAAATGGTAAAGAACCCATCAATAGAACACACTTCCTGTTCATCAATGAGCTCATTTCAAGCCACGAGATAATAGTACTTACTACTATGGAGCCCTGTTTCAGGTCCTGGTACATCAGCAGCACAAGGCAATGGCTTTTCTTCTTCTTCTTCTTCTTCTTGCACGTCCTCTGTTTTGGCATCAAGTTGTTGGCGGCGGTATGGCCTCTCACAGGCATTCGGGTCAAAGATCATCACATCGAACACCATGGGAGCATCAACAAGTCTAAAAACCACCACATCACCCACATGCAAATCATGGTCATCAACAAATTCCTTCCATCCGTCTTTAAATTCTCTTCCTTTCCCCATCTTCACCCTGTAAATTTCCCCACCAGGGCTTCTCAGAAAAGCATCTTCCTCGCCCACTTCGCTTACCTTTAGGTACTTGTTGTCAAACCCTACTGGAATCGACTGCTTGAGAGCAAGCAATATCAATGCATTACAAACCATGATCCAATAAACAGAGAAAGGAGGGGGAGAAAAGAAAAAAAGGGTACGTACAAAGTGATTGTGGAAGCCTGGAAGGAGGGGCTGGAAGAAATGGGGAAGACTGCTGATAATTCTGCTGCTGCTGCCTTGTTCCGCCATGAATTTTTTTCTTTGATGCATGCTTTCTGGTTGATGGTTCCTTTGTTCTATATACTGGTTACCCTCCGGTACTCGATTCACTTTGCTTCTCCCTCTTTGCCCTTCTTTTAATGCATGAAATGAAATTCCCAAGGGAGACATGATGAAGACAGGGCGGCGCGCGCATGTGTTCTTGTTGGGTTCATGGAGTTTGGTGATTGCAATTGTTTCTGTTTTAAGTCTCCTCTTGTCTCTCATTTCGTGAGTTTGTTGTTTAAGTAACATTTCTCTTTCAATTACGAAGATTGTTATGTACGATGGCAGATTCTTGTTCTTGGCATTATGATTTATGTGATCACTTTCCTAATCCTCATGTTATAGCCTTAGAGAGGCCCAAGGGTCTCCTGCAGAAAAAGATGTTTTGATTACAGTTTCCTTTAGGAAGAACTAGTTCTTCGTTTCCATTCACATTTCATTACACTACATAGTTAAGAGTACATAAAGGTCTTTACTTCTGATACAGACTGGGATCTCCATTACTGGCTGAAACCGAGCTTGTTCGAGATGAAAGACCGTGATTAGTGCACCAGACTTGGTTCTATATACACAAAACAAGGGATCAGGATTCAGGGCAGCCGCTCTATGACTTAGTTACTTATTCATCTTCAATCAAGGCTTCTCTTCTTTTGGCACAGTTGTATTCCTCGAAACCACCTGCAAAGTAAGCTTGTTTCAGAACTAAGGTTCAAGTTTCTTTTTTCGGTTCTTAAGTGATGTCGACTCCAATACTTGAGCCGAGTGCAGGGTGGATTAGAACTATGTGTCATCCACATTACCATTACGCCACTGTGAGGTTCAAGATGAAAGGACAGTGTTCAGTTGTTACCTTGAAAGTCATGACAGGATTCATTCCTCTTTCAAGGAGTTGCACCCTCAGGCTATCTCCAATGCTGAGCCCATTCTCCTTCACCAGTTGGGTCCATCCACTTGCAATGTAAGTGATGCCATTGGTGCTTGTATTCACCATCACCTGCCAATCACCTCCATTCTTATTCCTGAGGACTAGCGTCCGAGATCGGCCATATAGACCACTGTACCGGGCTAACTCTTCCGGGATCCTCTGCAGGCGAACATTCACTATGTACCAAGTTCCCAGTTGTTACTTTTGCTCATCTAAAATTGCTAGAGTTCATACATGATGCTTATTGCTTACCAGGCAAATCCCTCCTAGAAAACGGCTAGATACAGTAAGCATGAAATAGGCATCTGCCGTTATTGAAAACCCTGCAGCTGGTGAGTCTTGATCATAATCTGGCTCCGTCTTAACCTCCTCCACAATCTTTCTTGACTCCTTTCCTACCTTCTCTCTGTAGACTTTTTCGAGCATTCGATTTTGATGCAGTCCTTCATGACTCACGAATCGGTCAAGGCTCAATTTTAGATATCATGTAGAAGTGGGAATAGCAATCTAGTTAGCATGAATGAACAATGAAGAGATAAGTGGAGAACCCACCTGACATTTGTAGGACTGGCTTCTGACCACCTTGAACAAGTTCAAGACTGAAGGTGTCTCCCAGCTTCAGCTTATTTTCCATTTGGAAAACTCTCCAGCCTCGCATGATGTAAGCAGTGAAATAGGATTTACAGTAGCAGTTAATCCTTACCGGCCACGATCTACCCTCTTCGTTCAGAACAACTGCCTCAGTGTTCGTTACATTCAGCCCATTCATCTTGGCAAAGTACCCAGGTAAATGCTGCTTACAAATGCAAACCTTGAATGTCTAAAGAACTGTAGTCTTACAATCCAAAAGTCTAAACTAAAAGCATTTTAGGTACTAACCAGTCTGCCCTTCTTGAGATTGTCAGGCTGTATGGATACCACAAAGTAGGGTTTCTTAGGCTCAGAAGGACCATCTTTCCCAACTGCAATCTTCTCCATTGGTGTTCCTGAACCATTTTCAAGAAAATAAAGGCAACACCAAGATAAGCAAATCAGAAACCTAAATAGAAAATAATCATCCATCAACAAAAATACACCCTCTTTCAGGAATTCTGATTCTAAACCGCAATTTTCACCCATTCAAGTCATAGCAACAATACTTACCATTATGAAGTCCTGATGCAGGTTCTGGTACATCAGCAGCAACTGGCAGTGGTCTTTTTTCTTCTGCTTCTTCTTGCACTTCCTCTGTCTTCACATCAACTTTTGGGGGAAAGTAAGGTTTCTCACAGGCACTTGAGTCAAAAACCAGGACATCAAACACCATGGGGGCATCAACAAGTCTAAACACCACTGCATCACCCACATGCAAATTGTGGTCATGAACAAATTCCTTCCACCCATCTTTGAACTCTCTTCCTTTTCCCATCTTCACTCTGTAGATTCTCCCACCAGGGCTTCTCAGCACAGCATTCTCTTCATCCACTTCCCTTCCGTCTAAGTACTTGCCAAATCCAACTGGAATCGACTGCTTGAGAGCATGCAATTAATATTCATGCATTATCAACCATGATCCAATGAACAGACAAAGATAGATGAGGGAAAAAAGGAAAGGGCTTATCGTACAAAGTGATCGTTGAATCCTGTAAGGAGTGGCTGGAAGAAATGGGGATGACTGTTGAACATTCTTCTGCTGCCTTGTTCTGCCATGAACGGGTTTTCTTTTTGCCCTAGCTGCATGCTTTCTGCTGATGGTTTTCTTGTTCTATATACTGTTACACTCCACTTTGCTCCTCCCTCTGTTCCCTTCTTTTCATGCATGAAATGAACTCCCAAGAGAGAAATGGTGAAGACCACGCAGCGTGCGTGCATGTTTTGTTGTTGGTTTGATGGAGTCTGGTTTGCCATTTGTTCTAGAACCATGGTTTAACCATGGTTCAACCATTTCAAATCGGAAAAATCCCTTACCGACTTAGGGCCTCGGTAGGCTGTTTTTTATGAGCTAATTACAACATTCAAACTGATTCTAGATACACATACTCATTGCGAGCTAATTACAACATTCAAACTGATTCATCATGCCTAAATCACATGGACAAATTCTTATATTTTTCAGGGGATGATAATTGATAAGCGCCAACTCTGGCTCTACAGCAACACAATGACAGCAAGTGTCTCCCTGAACTAAGGCTGTCTAAATCAGCATTCCTCATCGGATTGAACATCACATCGCAGCCTTGCATGGCCTTACAAGTACAAAGTTAGATGTTACAACAACACAGCTAATATCATGAGAGCAGCAATAGCTGAAAGCCAATCTTCACTTTCATTTCAGTTTACATTACAGTGCTTCCTCCTTGGTAGAAACCCATCATGAACATGCAAACCATGCAGCCATTTCAGTTACAGCAGCTCTAGTTAGAGGTTTAAGTTGAGCTGATCACCTTGAAATTCATGACAGGGTTCGATCCTGATTCGATGAGTTCAAACCTCACGACATCTCCCATTCTAAGTTGGTTGGCCGCCACCACGTCCCTCCATCCACTTCCAATGTAAGGTCTACCAGCTTGGGTTGTCTTCAACGATACAAGAAAGGGAGCTCCCACAGCGTTGGCAAGGAGCATGCTAACTGATATCCCATGTAAGCCATTCTTTATGGCAAACTCCTGAGGTAAATTCTGCAGACAATAAATTGGAGGAGATTAACAATCAACCCACTGTTGGCCATTACAAACTGGGATGATGAACTAACAAAATATGTTAACTGACCAGAAAGCCTCCTTTCAAGTAACCTTCTGTTAATTTGACTGTAAAATATGAATTCCCATCTTTGGAAGATTCAGCGGCTGCTGATTCTTTATGAACTTGCTCCTTTACCTCCTTCTCCATAATCTTCGTGTCCATCTTAGGAATAGGATCTAGTTTTCCACAGAGACAAATCAGGGAAAATGAAATGCTAAAGCTATCAAGAATAGTGAAATTTCATTTTTCCATATCTTCCAAGAACAAGTCAAAGTTATTGGGTTGTATTAGTTCTTGATATGGATTCAGGACATTAAATGAACAAATATTGTCTCTAAACAGTTGATTTAAACACATAGTATGATGAAGTTGTGCGAACTTCACACGAGTCAGTTGGTTCTAATTTGAAGAGAAAGCATGTAAGAAAATTATATGTATTAGATCAATTCTTGAACATTATTCCACAAACTCAAGGTATTGAGATGAACCGATTAAGAGATTTTAAGTAACAGTAAACAAAGATTTGAAATGTAAGAGCTTCAAAGGCTAATGATGAGAACCCACCAGGCAATTTGAAGGCAGGCTTCTGTCCATCTTGAACAACTTCAACATTCACACTATCGCTTGACGACACTCCAGCAGCAGCTGGTAACTCTTCAAGAACCGGCTCCTTATTTATGTCCTTCTCCATCCTCCTCATACCAAAACCTTTTGGCAAATTCAACGGGGAGAAGTCAAAAGCTTAAACATCAACAAGAACATGGAATTGTCAACTGATGGTTTGTTTCAAGTAAGAGATGTGATAGCAGAAACCAGAAAGCCTCCTTTCAAACAACCTCCTGGTAAATTGATTGTAGGATATGAACTGCCATCTTTTGAAGATGCTGATCCTTCATGAACTGGCTCTTGCTTCACCTTCAGAATCTCATCAGTATCCTTTGGATCTGGATGTAGTTCTTCAAAGAGACAGATCAGAGCAATTAAAATGATAAAATCTATGAAGAATTGTGCAAATACAATTTTCAACATCTTCTAACAAATCAAGGTCATTGGGCTGTATTGGTTTGTGACATTGATATCATAAAACTGGATGTCTAATGATGATAACCCACCAGACACTTTGTAGGCAGGATTCAGTACTTCTTGAACAACTTCAGTATTCACATTATCTCTTGAAGACACTGCAGGAGCAGCTGCTATTGATCCTTCGTGAACTAGCTCCATCTTTATCTCCTTCTCCATCCTCCTCATCCCAAAACCTTCCACAATGCCAATGGGGAAGAGATCAAAAGCTTGAAAAACCAACAAGAGCAAGGAACCAAATGGTGGCTTGCGCTTAAAGACAGATTTGTAACAGCATATAACCATATGGAGCAAACCCACCAGACATTCTGAAGACGGGCTTCATCGAGCCTGGAACAAGCTCAAATTTGAGACTATCACCCATCTCTAAGCCATTTTTCTTCTGAAATTCCCTCCAACTATGCGCCATAGTAACTACATGAGTGGAGTTCGGGTAGCTAAGATACCTAGCTGGCCATGGCCTTCCTTCCTCATCCATAACAACGGTCTCAAAAGACTTACCCGCCAGACCATTTTCCTTGGCAAACTTCATCGGGATATACTGCTCGGATAATTTGCCACTCATATGTCATTACCCTATTCAACAATAGAAATGCAATTCACAAAGCGCCATAATATACCAACCACTCTATGATTGTCTATAGTGTTGGGCCCTGCAGTGAACTCAAAGAAGGACCTGTTTGGGAAACCAGACCCAGCTTCCTCTGCTCCAATGCTTGCCTTATCTCCAATATTTTCCTCTCTTGGTGTTCCTGAAGAAACCATTCCATCCACACGAAACCGTTAAATTCACTCAAAATCTCACATACCCAATTCAGCAAAAGCCACAAAAAGAGAAGGGTTTTCTCAAACTAGATCTAAAGGCGAAAACTTTATTACTTACTAAAATTAAAACCGTCATCTTTGGTCTCTTCAACGGCAGGAATTTGAGTTTCTTCAACCTCTATTTCCACAAAGACGTTTCCAGCTGCTGCAGGAATTTGGTTCTGTTTCGGTGAAACAGAGGAAACCTGCTGGTACTGCCTCTCACAGACAGTTGGGTCGAACACCATCACATGAAACACCATCTCGCCGTCGAGCCTAAACACCACGAAATCTCCCACGTGTAAATCGTGCTCCTCCACGAATTCCTTCCAGCCATCTTTGAATGCTCTGCCGCTCACTCTCACCTTGTGGAACTTCCCGCGGCGGGTTCTTAGAACCACGGTCTGGTCAGCACCACCTTTCTTCTTCCCTCCGTTGAAGTAGTTTTTGTAAAAGGCTTCTGGCATCGACTGGGTCCATTTTTTTTTTAACAACGAACAGAAGAAGGGAAAGTTTTGATTAGTTCTCTGTAGCAAGAGAGCCCATAAACAGGAAGGCGACCAGAAGACAAGGAGGGAAGCTTACGAATTGAAGCTCGAAACCTGGAAGTAGTGGCTGGAAGAAGTGCGGCTTGCTGGGAATCATTCTGCCCTGTTTTTTATTTCCTCCTCTGTTTTCTGTTTAACTATGCTGTGGAGTGTTTTGTGAAAAGGGAACTTTGCTGGGGAGTGGGGATCATTTATCAGTGGTCTTCTTGACTATTTATTTATTACTCACCAGAGTCCAGAGTCACCACTATCGTTTTCTGGTTCTCTATCTGTTTTCTATTCTTTCCATGCATACTTTTAATGTAAAGCAAACGAGAAATGACTGATGAGCAATGACCCATCTCCCGTGCTCTGTCCTTGACAAAGTGGCTTTTTTTTTTTACAAGGGAGAAAACTACTACAGTACTACATGATTGGAAGCAATCTAGTGGTGTTTTTTGTTTGGGCAAGAAAATGAAGTAGAAAATAACGAAGAAATAGCTTCACTAGTCCAATTCTAACCTGACCAAACCTAACTGTTCGTTCATGTTGAAAAATTGGTCAGTTCATTTACTTAAAGCGCAGCTAACCGTGATACATAAATATCGAATAGTCAGAATCGGGATGATATAAGGTTAGTTGTTTCGTTAATTTAAATGAAATATTAATATGAACAAATTTCAAGTTTAATGTACGTGTTTCGTTTTAGATGTGGTGGAATTGATGATGGACTTATATAGTACTACGAGTTTATGTATTTGGATCCATGTTTTGATCAAATATTTATGATTTCTGTGAGACATTTGGATGTTTCATGAAAACCTTGATGATAGATGTGATTCTAATTGTTCATGGTTGTCAATAATTTCATCATATTCTTCTTACAAGTATAAATAGTTCCATAAATGGTTCACAAACTTTTATAAACGATCAATCAGTGAGCAAAGAACTCATGCTTTTCCCTTGTGCATGTCTAGTACAGTAATTCTGAAAACAGAGGAATTATACCCTTTTTGTAGCTTGTGATACAAGTCCAACTTATCAGCAGCCTCTTTTGGAGCATTCTCAACTTATCCACACTGCTACTTTGATGAAGACAAATTGGAAGGAAATATATTTCATTACTGCTGCTGCTGCTGCTGATTACAAACCATAAGCATTTCCATTACTCCTCTAAACAACTTTCTTTGACAGTGAGACAATGTTGAGTGACAGTACAATACAGTTCTGTGTATTCACCCTCGATTGCAGGTTTCCTCCTGTGACACCACCTGCAAATTTCTGAAACAATTTAGCTCCATGCAGAAGACCAGCTTGTGGTTTGTACTCGGAAATATTCCTATCTTCTATCATCAAGAGGCTGCAACTCGTGGTTATACAATTTATATGCATATGAGAGAACAAAGGGTAAGAAGAAAAGGGAAATGTTTAGTTTAGGCAGACAAAGGGTGATTCTAGTTACCTTAAACGTCATAACAGGGTTCATTCCAGTTTCAACGAGTTCAAACCTCAAGACATCTCCGATTCTTAGGCGATTTGCTCTTACTAGGTCGTACCAGCCAGTTCCGATGAAAGGTCTACCGGCCTTGCTACTCCTTAACTTCACGGGATAGGGACTTCCTTCTTCATTTCGTAGGATCATTACACATTTTAAACCAATCAAACCATTATTTAGGGCAAACTCCTTTGGGATATGCTGCACCGCAAAATAAACCACTTATAAGAAGCTGATCAAGCATAGTTTTGAACTAATTAACAAGCTTACGTTACTAACCAGTGCATATCCGTCGAAGTAGCGGTTGGTTAACTTGATGAGGAAATGGTTTTGCATGACTGTAGATGGCCCAGAAGGAATTTGCACCTCCTTTACCTCCATTAGTTTGATCTTTTTCCTCTCTTTTTCTACCTCCCTTTTCATGGCCTCAGGATCGGAATGCAACCCTTCACATCAGTCAGTCATAACAAACACCAGAAATCTTGCAGTTAAGTTAAGCAGAGTACTAATAACCTTGATATTAAACAGTTCTCTTCTTTCTGTAACCTGGAGGAAGAGAAGTACTCACCAGACATTCTGAATACAGGATTCTCTCCACCTTGAACAAGTTCCAAGTAGAAAGTATCTCCCAGCTGCAGCCCGTTGTCTTCCAGGAATTGACCGATACCTCGTCCAAGAACTACTTGAGGTCTATATTTAGGGTAGGCAAGCCTGTTGGTGATGATCAAATGTGCCGGCCAAGAATTTCCCTCTTCATTCAAAACCATAGCAAGACGACGAGATTCCAGATTATTCTTCATCGTAAATTCTTTGGGAATGGGCTGCAGACAGTAATCAAATTATTCTCCCATCTCATTGATCCCTTCAATTCGCAAACATAAACAAGGAGAGTGACTAACCAGCCTGTTCTTTTTCAGGGTGTTCCTCCCGATAGTGACCACAAAGAAAGGGACTTTCGGCACCGACCCAGCAGCAGCTTTCACCGTTGAAGTTTCCTGCACTTGATCATCACCACTCTCATCCGTTGTTCCTGAATCATTTCAACAAGATTTGTTAAAGCATGCAGTTTTCTTCTGGGTATCTAACAATCGACCGATCTTTAGAAAAAAAGGGGACTAAAACAGCCGAAGTTTGTTTACTGCTATCTAGTTCAGTCTCGGGTTGTTCATCATCAACCGGAGGTGTTTCACGCTCTGGCTTGACAGGGACGAGGAACGGAAGAGACGACGATGGAGAAAAAGAAGAAGAAGGGTACACTCTTTCACAAGCACTCGGGTCGAAGATCATTACGTCGAACACCATACGTGCATCATATCTGAACACCACGAAATCGCCCACATGCAAGCTGTGGTCCGCAGCGAACGCCTTCCAACCCGCATCACTGAACTCTCTGCCATCACTGATCTTCACCTGGTACGATTTCCCGCCAGGGCTTCTCAGCACGGCAGCAGTTTCGCCCGCCATTTCCCCGCCATCGAAGAACCTTTCGGAGAAGGCCACTGGAATTGACTGCAAAGATGTACAAAACGAAAGAAAAGTTAAATGCTTTGCGGAGTCTCGGCTGTTGGCCGTAAAATCGAGAGACGAGAAAAGGGAAGGGAGGGAGGTTGTTAGTACAAGCCGATGCTCAAAACCGGGAAGGAGTGGGCGAAAGAAATGGGGTTTAGTACAGGCCGCCATTGCAGCATCTTCCTGCGGTTCTTGCGCCATGACGAAGTGACTGACGGGTTCTCCAGCTGCTACCTTGGTTTTATTATTGTCGCCATTTTTTTCCCCACCTTCCCTGTTTCTCTCTGTTTTCCTTTTCCTTCGCATGCATTGGAAGTTCCACTGTCTCAATCAGAGTTCAGCAAGTGTACTTTGTCCGTTTTTTTTCTTCTTCTTCTTTCTTTAATTGCAACTAGTTTTTTGCTCGCGCTTCACAACGGCGAGATTTATGTAATATATTTGCTTAACTAAAATATATGAAATAACTACCCTCCATTTTACGTAATGTATTTATAATTTAGTTTATGTAATGTGTGGTCTAATAATAAAAATTAAATTAGAAAAGTTATCATATCTATTATGTAAAATTAACTTACCTTATGGAATAATATCAAATTAGAAAAGGTATCATATTCTACTAATATATTATGTAAAACTTAATTTACCTTATGGAACCTTTTTGTAATGCAAATTGATGAGATATTGAATATCGTAGTTAATAATAAAGAAATTTTAATAAATAATTAGAAAATTAAATTAAGAAGAGTATCACATTTTATTAAACTATTATGCAAAATATAACTAAGCTTATAAAACTTTGTGTAATGAAAATTGATGAGATGATCAACTTAAAATATCATTACAATTTATATTATGAAAGACTTGCATAATAATTTTTAATTGATACATAAGAAACGATTATTCCTCGATAAGTTTTATGCAATGACTTAATCATTATAAAAGTCATTCCCTATTGTGTTTTTCTTAATTGGTACATAAGAAATAACTATCTCTCCATAAGTTGTACGTAATGTCTTAATCCCTACAAAATTCACACCCTATTATGTTTTGTTTAATTCATACATAAAAAAAATTAATGCTTAAAAAATGTCTCTCTCTCCCCGTATGTTTTACATAAGTCTTAATCATTACGAAAGTCACACCATATTATGTTTTGTTTAAGTTGATACATTAAAAATAACTATTACTCTATAAGTTTGATATGATATAATATACGTGACTTTTTATATCACGGTGTTACGTAAATATTTGCTAATGTGCGGTCTAATAATAAAATCAAATTATAAAAAGTATCACATTTTGTTAAACCACTACGTAGAAGGCACATTTATGTGTAATTTCTTCATATGTTACATAACTTTTTATAGCACGGTGTTCGTAAATATTTCTTAATGTGCGGTCTAATAATAAAATCAAATTATAAAAAGTGTCTCATTTTTTTAGACCACTACGTAAAAGACACCTTTATGTGTAATTCCTCATATGTTACGTGAATTTTTATAGTACGGTGTTATGTAAATATTTCGTAATGTGAGGTCTAATAATAGTATCAAATTATAAAAAGTATCACATTTTAGTAGACCACAACGTAGAAGTTCCCTTTATGTGTAGCTCTTCATATGCTACGTGACTTTTTATAGCACGGTGTTACGTAAATATTTCATAATGTGCGGTCTAATAATAAAATCAAATTATAAAAGTATCACCTTTTGTTAGACCACTACGTAGAAGACACCTTTATGTGTAATTCCTCATATGTTACGTGTCTTTTTATAGCACGGTGTTACGTAAATATTTTGTAATGTGCGTCTAATAATAAAATCAAATTATAAAAAGTATCACATTTTGTTAGACCACTGCATATAAGACCCCTTTATGTGTAACTTTTCATATGTTACGTGAATTTTTATAGCACGGTGATACGTAAATATTTTGTAATGTACGGTCTAATAATAAAATTAAATTATAAAAAGTATAGCATTTTGTTAGACCACTACGTAGAAGACCCCTTTATGTGTAATTCCTCATATGTTTGTGCATGCTACCACCTGTAGCTAATGATTTAAATTAAAAAACTACAATAAATGTAATGAACAGTGTTTGCGAAAGCATTGGGGGTGGGAGTTTTTTTTTCGTAAGGAACAGTAACATTGACTTGTGCTTTTAATTAATTGACATTTTGGATTCCATTTATGCCATTCAAATCAGTCAAATAAAGAAAGAAATAATCCTACGAATCAAATCAAACAAATGGTAATTAATTATATAAATATAAACAATATACTTTTTTTGGTAATTATTTATGAATAATATTGTCAGGCATATAAAAATCATTGTTGATTGAGCAATCTCGAGGGTGGGTAGGCCCGAAGCTCAACTCATGGTCAAGAGATGTATCTAGATCATCTGCAAGTACTGACATTCAGTCCTACTATAAAGTATAAACCAGTACTTGCAGTTAATTCTAAAAACATGTCTCTCACTCGGATGTTGATTGTTGACATGGTGGGTAAATCAGTGTGAAATCGACATATCAAATCGGGTTTAATCATAACTGGTCATTCTACTGTATTCTCGTGTCGGGTTTAACTTTAAATTAAATCGGGTCAAACTCGGTCGAACATGTTCAGATCTGTAAGTTTTAAATATTTAATCAGGTAAATTGAGTCAACCAAAAAGTTCCTCTCACGCATTTTTCCACAAATATTTCTTCTCTCTAATTTTCAATGCAAATTCGAGTCATCTCAATTTGATTAGACGATCTTGACAAACTTCCTCATCCAAGTCAAACGGTGACCTCTGGACAAGGTATACATTAATAATGACTACAACGATAAAAAAAAAAGATTATTATTATGTAATTTTTGTATCATTATAATGAAATTGTTACTTAGTATGTTTTATGCATGGAATTATTATTAAACATAATAAAAGTACATAAATCAACATAATTTTTACATTAATTATCTCTCATCTGATCTTTCCTCTTTCTCTCTCTCTTTCCACTTCAAATTGGGATAGACTAGAATAGTTTATTTATTCAACAAAAAAAAAATAGTTTATTTATCCCATTTACATATTTACTCCCTTCACTTACACACATAAACAAACATAGCGTAATATATTTAAATATGGAATTATCAGTTTCAAAACCAATGAATTACCACTAGACAAAACTCTTTAAATCTCTCGTTTGAAGGCATTTTAACTAACTAGTATCTTATACTTCAACACTTGAGAATTTGAGAGAACTCCCCATCAAAAAAAAAAAAAAAAAAAAAGAATTTGAGAGAACTTGAATGACAAGCTAATTTTTTCTTTTTTTTGGTTTTGTTTTGGTATAACTTTGATGGAAAATGGTTGATGGTTGGGAGTGTATACGTGTTTGACTATTGTTAAGACATTAATTGCGATTACAGACCAGCGAAGGGGAAGTAAATTACTTGTTCAGTTCAGTATTCAGGGGCTCTAAAGTAAAAAGCTAATCGCCATCACCTCAATCCCGCATCTTCAACTCATCATCTCCTTCCCTTCCCATCCAGCTTCCTGTCAATGGCGATTCCTTTTTCACTACAACAGTAAAAACCCAGATGAAATAATTTAATAGCAACACATCTTGTACTGCAATTCACTAACTTCCAAACTCCCACAGCAGCCAAACACCACGCCGCTCTCCCCGCGCACCCACGCCTCTTCTCTTCTTCGAACGTTACCCACTAATGACTTCTTCCCCGTAGATTCACGGAAAAACCCAACAATCCGGCACCAGTTCTTAATGCGGTTCTCTCACACTGTCAATTGAATCGCGCCGCTGCACTCCTTTCAGGTCCGTACTTCTTTGCGATTCTGGATCCGATATCATTGCTTCCTTTCTGTTTCGCCCCCTTTCATCTGAATTCTCTTTCAAGCAAGCGACTTTGGGTTGGTTTCTGATTTGCAGTTTCAATTGCGTTTGGGAATCGGATTATGTGATAATAGTTCAAGAGAGCCGGGTGAGAGACATTTGTCCAGTTTCTTTTGGTAGATCGGGAGCCATGGAGAATGGCATGGATGCTGACGCAAGCTCTTTTCTCAGGTTCTTTACTTGTTTTGCCCTTTCCCCTCTGCTGCTTGTTCATTGCCATTCATCCAGAACTTTGTTTCATGCAATTCAAGTGCGGGTTTCATACTTGTCATGTTAAATTTTGAAGCTTTAGCAAGTTATTATGAACTTGAAGTCTAGTTATTGCTCAATGTACGGATGTTTCCTTGTTTTACGAAAGGACCCTGATCTTTCCTTGTTAACACAGTTTGTTTGCAGCGATTTCATATGGGATTGCTTCAATGGCGATGGTGTTTATCAACAAGGCCATTGTTATGCAGTATTCTCACTCTATGACACTTCTCACTCTCCAAGTACGAACTCATTTCTTCCACATTCCTCTGACTGTAAAATGCAAAATTTTGGCTCATAATCATTGCTTCAAGATTTCGTCTTGGTTGATTGGTTGTTTCTTTAGCAAGTTGCTACAGCCTTGCTTATACATGTTGGGCGGAAAACGGGATACACAAGATCGAAGGGACTCGATCTCCAAACAGCTAAGAGACTTCTCCCTGTTTCTCTCTTCTACAATGCCAATGTGGCATTCGCTCTGGCCAGCTTGAAAGGGGTTAACATTCCCATGTATATTGCCATCAAGAGGCTGACTCCTCTTGCTGTGCTGATTGCTGGCTTTTTCGCTGGGAAAGGAAGGCCTTCAACGCAGGTCCACATTTGCTCTTTCGAAATGCTTCTTCATACGAATGGTGGGCTTGAGTTGCGTTTGTAGATCGATTTGTTCAAACATTAACGCGTCTTTGTCATATTTTCAGGTGACTCTATCCGTCCTACTGACTGCTGGAGGGGTTGTTATTGCAGCGCTTGGAGATTTTTCATTCGATGTGTTTGGTTACGGCCTGGCATTTGTTTCTGTTTTCTTCCAGGTTAGTCGATTACCTATTTTAACAGCGTTTAAGGCCTTCAACTACATCTTGAGTTAGTCGTTTTCTGTTGCTGATGGTACTAGTGCTTTCTGTGTTATGCAGACAATGTACCTTGTTTTAGTGGAGAAGTCTGGTGCAGAAGATGGGCTTTCTTCAGTTGAGATAATGTTCTACAACAGCTTCTTGTCTCTTCCATTCTTGATGTTCCTCATTATTGTTACTCGAGAATTTCCCGACTCTTTGGTGTTGTTAATCGCAAAGGTAAGAGAGATCTTAACATTTTTGCCTTCAGTCGTGATTTTTTCTTTATCTTCTTGAAAGTTGGAAGAAATGAAATTTTCGATGGTGCTAAAGCCAAAATACTTGATAATTGTCACCATGCATCGCTAAGTTATAATTGAAGCCTCAAATGCCTAGATCACAGCATAGCCTGTACTTAACAATGTAGATTTCTGGCAATATTACATGAAGGACTCTTGCCTAAGCATTATAATGTGCCTTCCTTGTCATGAATGTTGTATCTACTACTGATGATTTATTGAAGCAACAACATCTTTTTTATGCTTCTGTGGACAGAGTAATTCCTTGTCATTTTTGGTGATACTCATTCTTTCATTGGTGATGGGGATCATTCTCAACTACACCATGTTCCTATGTACGATAGTCAACTCAGCTCTGACAACAACTATTGTAGGCGTTCTCAAAGGTGTTGGATCCACGGTAAGACCAATTCACCTTAAACTTGTTCCTTCGATGGATAATTACTAATTAGAATTGTTTTGTGGGGTTGAATCGGGTTTTGGGTATTCGTTTGTTAATGAGATGTTGGATCAGATACTCTGCATAAAGGTCTGAGCTTGACGTTTCTTTTGCTGATTCTGGTTCAGACTCTTGGTTTCTTCTTACTTGGCGGGGTGAAAGTGCATGGTCTGAACGTGACTGGTCTGGTCATCAACACAGCTGGTGGAGTGTGGTATTCGTACGCCAAATATCGGCAGAGGAAAAACAGGCCACAGAAGCTAACGCCAGATATAGAGGCACATCGAAAGTAATAGGTAGAGTTTGCCAGTTTTGTCTTGCATTATTACCACAGTAGATGATTCAAATTGCTGTTTTCAAGTTGCTTTGATGCACATTGTATAGTTGCTTTTTAACTATGAGAAATTGTATGAGCGAAATGGCATATAAGAGTACCCCTTCCTCTACTGTTCTCCATTTTCTGATGAGCACAAGGTACCTGGAAATGGATATGGGCATATGGCTCAGACTTCCTCTAACTTGCTGCTTCTGCTTTTGAGAAATTGGGTTGCTTGAAAAACTGGAAAACTTGTTGCAGTATACGCTTCTATATTTGTGTATGATCGCATAACGTATTCTCGGGTTAAATTTGCAGCTCTGGCGCAAAGGTGGCTGACATGAGGTACTGCAAATTAAGCGATTGAACGAAGGATGCGTTCTTGGTATTTGAAGAAGAAGACAGGCTCATTGTAAGGAGTCACATTGATGCTTCGTAGACGATATGTCTTTCGTTTGAATGCTGAAGCTGCAGCTCTGTGAGCCGAAGCAAGACACTGTAGAGTAGCCGATTCTACAAAAACCTAAAGGGGCAATGAGCCAATGACCATATTCCCTTACATCACAAGTATAAGCGCATGAAACTGAACTTAAGTCGAGTTTTGTTTTCTGTGAGTTCATTCAATGGATTACAACAAAGTTTGAAACTCAGGGGAAAACGATCGTCGATTGATCTACACTCCAACGATCAAGCCGGTACCGAGTAATATACACAAGTAGTTAGATCAGGCCAGTTGGTGGGAAGAGGTCGACCTGGTTGTTTTCAAGCCTTGAGAGCCATGATAACAAAGATCAGTGGGTCTGGTGAGTAATAAAATACTCTTATGGATTACATTCCAATCTTGCATCATCAGAAGAATTCAATCATCTGATGATTCTCTACATTTGTTAATGCCTTTGCCTTTTAAGTATTTTAAGTCAGTGGGGTTTGAAGGAAACATTATATTTAATGTTCCAAGTTGCACACCGTACTTTAAATTAAACCAGAATTTGGTATTAAAGTAATCATTCTTCATTCTTTTGTGTCCTGATAAAAAGAATTTCTCAACTATGGTGTATCTGTATTATATATGTGTTTTGGGGCCTGCATGATTAGTTTAATATTTACATTAACTAAATTTTGAGCCCTTTGGCAAGATGATAGCTTTTTCCCCAAAAGGATCCGTCCGGTTAGTATGTTTATGAGTTGGACGTTAGTATTTCGGAATAATCAGTTTGATAAGCAAATTGAGGGGTAGACATGAGCAGGAGTCAACATCGTAGGATCGTAAGGTTTCATGATTTCAATTGTTAAGTAATCGCTCTTTATTATTTTTTTATGTTATATAAAACGGAGTTTTCAAAATACGGTGTATCTGTATTATAAATATTTTGGCTTCTGCGTAATTAATTTAAGATTGCATTAATTTCGACTGCTTTGGCATTCTATAAGATAGCTTTCGCAGAAAGGATTCGTCTCGTTAGCATATATTGACTGTTTAGTCCGGTTAGCAATGTTTATGAGTTGGACGTTAGTAATACAAAGCGATCACAGCTTGATCAACAAATTGAGGAACATACATGACCAAGAATCGACATCGTTTAGATTATATGGTACCGTGATTTCAATCGTAAAAGATACATGCATTCAGCGATTGAAAAATCACATTACGTCTGATTTAACGATGTTATACCCTCCAGAAGTATGGTAGCAAAATCCCAAAAAGATAAATGGCAAGACAAAAATGACCACCTCTTTTTGTTTTTTTTTTGAGATACAAACTGAAAGGAAAGTGTTGGCAATACAATCCATAGAGAAAGGTGGGCAATGGTGGTGGTGATGTTTGTTTGCAAAGAGAGGGACCAAAGCAAAGCACAATTGAAAGTCTTTTTCTCATTTGATATTGTGATAATGAATGGCCTTTTTGTTGGCTTTTCTGTTCTGTACAAAATGGCCAAAACGGAAGGGAATATCCCTTTTCCTCATTTTTCACATAACCGACATCTCTCTCTTCTTCTTCTTCATAGGATGGATTATTATTACAGGCACATCATTTGATCCACTTGATGTAAAAGTGTTTGGTGTTTCCATCAAACTTACTACGGTTTAGATAATTTTGTTTATAGCACTGAATTTTTGGAAATAAATAACGTGGGAACATTGGTTTGAGGCATTTTCTCTACCTTTAAGAAGAATATCGTCACCTATTTTTAGTACGGGTGTTCACCAGCTGAATTCCATTACATCAAATACAATATTTTAGAAACTCAATAGGTACTTACCAAAAGTAGTGTAAGAAATGAAGAATTTTGGAATTCATTGGGTTTTTACAAGTGGGTTTGTAAGGACTCATGCAATGCATGTTTGGTTTATAAGTATTGTAATTTATAGTTGTTATAAACGCGCTGCTACGGATCGGGAAATCGCTGGAATCGATAAAGTAAGAATATGAAAGGGAGAATCGAAAAAACACAGACACGCGATTTACGTGGTTCACTAACACGATGTGTGTTAGCTACGTCCACGGGCGAGAGAGAGCCAATTTCACTATATCGAGGAGATTACAGATTACAGAGGAGTATGAGAAGTATTTATAGTACTTCTCCATGTGGGTCTAAACCTAATCCAATCTGGCAAAGGAAATGGTTACAGACCAGGCCCAGAACCCGAACCCAAATAACATTGAGCCCATACACCGTGGGCCGGGGGCGTTGCCCCCCACCCCCACCGGGGCGTTGCCCCTGGACCCCACTCGCTGACCGGAGACCCCCGATTACCAGTCGTAGCGGCTGATAGTCCGATTCAAGTCACATCAACAATAGTATTGAGTCTCGTATGATTGTACGAATTGTGGAATATGTTTGATACAAATACATGACAATCCTATCGAAACGAAGATTGGGAAACAATATAATGCAAAAAAAAACATTTACTTTTGTAACCAGCGAGCTGATTACGAGGTTGTTAAACTCGTTTTTTAAAAAAAAAACATGTGCTTTAGCTCTTCATTGAGGCGAGAAGAAGGTGTTAAGTAAGCACCTATTTCTTGAAGAAATAAAAAAAAGGGTATTTGAATCCTACGATATTCGTTCGAAAGTTACTGAAGATATGACAAATGACCATGACTTCATCCATACAATAATTTTATAGAGAACTTTGTTAGAGATCGAAAGTTACTGAAGATTTGAGAAGATGTTTATCCTCCTGGACGATCCGAAAATTTTGATATAAAACTGTAATACCCATCGGAATTCTTTCATTTTCTTTCTTTCTAACCAATAGTTTAGCTCGTTCAAAAAAAAAAACCAATAGTTTAGCTTGGATTGGGTGAAGCCATGAAATATGGATCCAGAATTCTCTCCCCTGCAGTCCTTGGATTCCTCAACTCCCCGCCACCATATTTGGACAAATATTATCAATTGAGCTTTGAGTAATAATTATTTTTAATTCTTCTCAACTCTCACCTGCAACCTGATAATATTTTTTATTATAATGAGAATATTTTAATTATTCATTTTATTAAACATGGATGAGTTGGAAAAAGGGAAGGAAAGAAAAACAACAGTCAAGTAGATTTGTCTATGACTATGAGAGTATGAGTTTTACTTCCCAGTCAACCTTATTGTCAACAAATTATTCTTCCCCATTTTGTTGAACTTTGTCTAGTCATTACTGTTAAAATGTCTTTCTTGTTTTGCTTATGAATATGATGATGATTGAACTTGTTCCAATCATTCTTCACCCCGAATGGGAACTTCCTCAGGGAAGTAAGTTGGTGGAGCTAATTTCTAAGAATAGTAATAATAAGTGATTATTGGTTTATCCGATTTTGATATTGAACAGATATCGTAAAACTCTCAACATGTGACACTCGTTATTTGTTTTGTTTGTTTAAGTTTACAGTTGTTTATCGAAAAACTCACTTTTTGATATATCTATCCGTTGGTTGGACAGGTGTTGATATCATGTTTATGACGTCTGATTATGTGCTTTCTCATCGTATTATATTGTTCAGTTCATCGAATCAAATGTTAAAAAAAGAGAGGTACTTATGTATTCACATTTTGTACACAAACATTAATGTCAATCCCTAACTCTAACAATTGGAGTGACATAATCACGTACTTACCGTCTACCTCATTCAACAACCTGGATACAATTACCAGCTAAAATGAAAAAAAAAACAAAAAAAAAAAAACATGGTCCATGAAACCGTACCAGAGATCGTATCGGAAAAGTCAACAGTAGGGTATTTTATGGTAAAACCGTGAATAAACCATAGTTCAACCATTAATACCGTTAAATACCGCTTATTGATTTAGTCTCCGATACTGTTATTTTGTGGTCGAACCACTACGGTTTAATGGACCATGAAAAAAAAAAAAAATTGGGAGTACACGAACACATGTTGCTGCCATTCTTACAGCTGTCTATATACCTTCCATCTCTCCCTAAGCTCACCACCGAAAGGAAAACAAAAAGAAGGAAAGGAAATGAAATGAACTTGTAGGAGAATTCTTGCTCCCTCTTCTCTGCTTCCCTTCTCTTCTAGAGGAAGCCCTTCTGACAGTACAAAAAAACATCTCCTCTAGCTGCCGCCTCCCCCACAATGTGCTTCTTGTAAGTATTATCTGTTATAGCTGTTCATCCTCCACTGCCTGCACTTTCCCAGTCGGTGGAGTGAGCTTTCATGGATCTACTGCTTCCTTCATTTCTGCAACTTCCGGAAATGGGTTTCGTTCTTTTCCTAGTTTTGGGATCTGGGTTCTGAAAATATTCGTGTTTTCCTTCTTGGGTTTTCTGGATGCTGGTCCCTTTTTTAATTTTTACTTGATTTAGTTAAAAAAAAAGGACAGTGAGTGAGCGAGTGAGTAAGTACAGAAGCAACAAAGAGGGAGAAAGGGGGGAAAAAGAGCACAGAAATGGCTCCAAGGTTAGGTTTTTCGGTGCTGATGGGGAAGGAGAGCAAGAATGGTGGAGGAACTCCGGTGGTGGTGAAAATGGAGAACCCAAACTACTCGGTAGTTGAAATCGACGGCCCCGATGCTGCATTCCGGCCGGTGGACAAGAGCAGAGGCAGAAACGCGAAGCAAGTCAGATGGGTTTTGCTTCTCAAAGCTCACCGCGCCGTCGGCTGCGTGGCCTGGCTCGCCGGTCTCTTCTGGGCATTGCTTGGAACCATCAAAAAGCGCCTCTTTTTCAGGGAAGGGGTCACAGTCGCCACTGAGAAGCTCGGCAAAGGGAAGTTGGTCCTTCGTGTTATCAGGGTTTTCTTAGTCACTTCTCTGGTAATTTTGGGGTTTGAAGTTGCTGCTTATCTCAAAGGCTGGCATTATTTCGAGGCGTCTGCTGCTGCTGAATATCTTCATCGGATTCCAATGGCTGCTCCCAATTTGCTGCACATGGTCTATGTTGCTTGGCTGAATTTTCGAGCCGATTACATCGCACCAGCCATTATGGGTCTCTCCAATTTCTGCGTCGCTCTGTTCCTTGTGCAGTCTGTGGACCGTTTGGTGCTCTGTTTAGGTTGTTTGTGGATCAAGTTTAAGAGGATTAAGCCAGAGATTCGGGGAGGAGATCCCTTCAAGTCTCCAGATATTGAGGCCTTGGATTATAAGTGCCCCATGGTTCTTGTTCAAATTCCAATGTGTAATGAGAGAGAGGTATTTTCCAACTCAACTAATTGCTTGTACTGGTTTTTAGCTTTCTGTGAGTCCTGCATTTTGCATTGTTCTCATGTGGCTTCATGTTTTGTATGGGAAATGTTTAGTTCTTACAATGGACATTGTGGAAATTACTGTGCTGATGGATATTGGATTGTCGGCAGGTGTATGATCAGTCAATCTCTGCGGTTTGCCAGCTCGATTGGCCGAAAGACAGGATCTTGATCCAAGTTCTTGATGATTCGGATGATGTGGACATCCAGTGGTTAATTAAAGGAGAGGTTGATAAATGGAGACAAAAGGGGGTCAACATTATCTATAGGCATAGGCTGCTTAGAACTGGTTACAAAGCTGGAAACCTCAATTCAGCAATGGGCTGTGAATATGTCAAGGATTATGAGTTCGTTGCAATTTTTGATGCTGACTTCCAGCCTAACCCTGACTACCTCAAGCTGACCGTGCCACATTTTAAGGTGAATATGAGTATGAATGGCAGGCATTATGCGAATTTCGTGATAAAATGTTGTTACAGTGTTCTTAAGTATGCCTTGCCTTATTTATCTTGTTGTTTCAGGACAATCCTGAACTGGGGCTGGTTCAGGCGAGATGGTCATTTGTGAACAAGGATGAAAATTTGCTGACTCGTTTACAGAACATCAATCTGTGTTTCCACTTCGAGGTTGAACAGCAAGTTAATGGTGTCTTCATGAATTTCTTTGGCTTTAATGGAACTGCTGGTGTTTGGAGAATCAAGGCCCTCGAGGAATCCGGTGGATGGCTCGAGAGAACAACTGTCGAGGACATGGACATCGCTGTTCGTGCCCATCTCAATGGCTGGAAATTCATCTTCCTTAATGATGTCAAGGTATACTCTTGACTCTATTACAGAAAACCTGAAACTACTGAACTGAGAAATGAATGCTTCTATGACTAAAAATGTCCACAACAAGTCCAAATAAGCTAACTTTGTTACATGTTTAGGTCCTCTGTGAACTTCCTGAGTCCTATGAAGCTTATAGAAAACAGCAGCATCGCTGGCATTCCGGCCCAATGCAGCTTTTCCGCTTGTGTCTTCCTGCAATAGTAACATCCAAGGTTTGTCAAAAGAAGAAAAAAAGCACTCTTTCTCGATGTTATTTTCTAAGCCAAAAGAAATGTACCTGACTCGACCCTTTTACTGGTTGGTTCAATATTTTGCAGATAGCATTATGGAAGAAGGCAAACTTGATATTCCTCTTCTTCCTACTGAGAAAGCTAATCCTGCCATTCTATTCCTTCACACTATTCTGCATAATCCTCCCACTGACCATGTTCGTCCCAGAAGCCGAACTCCCACTGTGGGTCATCTGTTATGTCCCCATCGTAATGTCGTTCATGAACATCGTTCCAGCTCCCAAATCTTTCCCTTTCATCGTCCCTTACCTTCTTTTCGAAAACACAATGTCTGTCACCAAGTTCAACGCGATGGTCTCCGGGTTATTCCAGTTGGGAAGCTCTTATGAATGGGTCGTTACGAAAAAGGCTGGCAGGTCATCAGAATCAGACCTACTGGCTGCTGCTGAGAGGGAATCGAAGCCCTCGATGATCCAGCCTCAGTTACACAGAGGAGCTTCAGAAAGTGAGATTGGGCAGTTGAGTTTACTGCAGGAGAAGGCAGAATCAGTGTCGAAACCGAAGAAGAAGGTGAACAAAATATACAGGAAGGAGTTGGCTCTAGCATTCCTATTGCTCACAGCTTCAGTCAGGAGCTTGTTGTCTGCTCAAGGAGTCCATTTCTACTTCCTTCTGTTCCAAGGTGTGACCTTCCTCTTGGTCGGTTTGGACCTCATTGGAGAGCAAATGAGCTGAGAGAAGCTTTGGAAGATGCATGCATGCATACAAGGAAGGCAGCCCTTTTTCCCCTACTACTACTCTCTGCAGATTCATCTTGTTGGTATCTGGCTGGCTGCAACAAAAAGGAAGTAGTACTTTCTCGTTCCTTTTTTTTAACTTGAATAAATGCAAATTTCTGTCTCTCCCACATTTAGTTTGAAGACATTTTTAGGATTCTTATAATTCTTTTTTCCACCTCCGCCCATTTCCTCTTATGAACACAACAGCATATCATTATCACCTCTTTGATTTGTTTTTATTTCTTATAGGAGGGTTTTCTTCTAGCCTTTTATTTGAATTCAAGTGATCATTGGTTGTTGTTGGCTGTCATAGACAGTGATTCTAGTGGAGTTTAGATTCAAGTAAACGATCTGGGGCAGCTGTAAAAAACCAGGGGAAAAAAATACAGTTAAAAGAGTGAGGTCCAGGTTATGAGATTGCTTTCCTTCCTCCTGTAGTGTTTTGTAAGGGAGATGGTATCAGACTCTGTAAGATAACACTTTTGTGATGTAAATTCGAAATTCTTCCACCCGTTTTATTGATTTGTTTCATATAACAGCACATAATCATGTTTGTCATATCTGTATCTCTGCATGCTCTTCATTTCTCTGCAACAAAGTGCAATCAGCCCTGCTATGATATGACCAGCCCTGAAGAGAAAGTAACTTCATGGGTTTTTCCCAGATTGCTCCATGGATTCCTCGTGAGGGAAAAGGGTAACACGTTGGGAACTCCATGGATGAAAAATGAACCACTTTGGAAGTTACAGAAATCAGTCAGCTGTCTTATATTTAATACCAGCTTTAAGGTAAAGGAAAGGACAAGAGGGAAAAGGAAAGTGTCGGCAGGGGAAGGCAAAAGGAGGTAAATTTGTGTTGTGGTGGCTGAGGTTTGAGTTGGTGTAGCAATCAAAGAGCACTTGACTGAAAGGTTACTGGTAGTTGTATTAAGCAGAAAAGGGGGACCTTTCTTTTTTCCATTGTTTATGGAAGGAAGGAGACAATCGATCTTTTGTGGGCATATGATGATTCTTGTGTTCTTTTATATTGGGCTGGTGGGTCGCTGGCTGGCTCATAATTAAGAAACAACAACACAGCAGAAACGATCACTCTTTGTCTGAACTTGACATTCTACCGGTTTTCCAACGTGTCTGCTTGTGCTTCTGTTTGTTGCTATTACTCTTCTTTTTTGTTTCGCCTACTCAATTACGCTCTGTTTGGCAACAAGGGGGGTGCAAATTGTAGGAGGGTGCAAGTTGAGGTGCAAATTGTTGGGGGGTGCAAATTGCTGGGGGGTGCAAATGGAGGGGTAAATTGTTGTTTGGATGAAAAAGTAGGGGGGTGCAAAATGATGTAAGAAAGAGTTTTAGATTATTATATATAAAGAGTAAATATAATAATATGAATGTTATATTATACATAGGTAGTAAAATACGGTACGCGAAAGTTGTGTATAAAATACGTACGGATATTTTACTTCGTCTCTAACCGAATGTTACGTTTAACAGTCATAAATATATATAAAAAATTTATTTTAAAATTAAATAAATATATAAATAATATTAAATTGAACAATTTAATTCATTAAATACGGATATTAAACGTGTTATACGGGTTTTATACGCGTTGAGTACGGGAGCCATCAAATGAACGAAAATAAACGAAACGGCTTCACAATAATATGGATACAGAAGTTTTAAACAGATACAATATGTACGAGTACATATACGTATATTAAACGGAGTATTTACTTACTATGATATTATACTTATGGTATCTTACTAGTGATAAAATAATACGTATCTCATGAACACCAATCCTTTATGAATAATCATAATAGTTATTATATTAAAAATAATTACTAATTATGTGACTTCTTACATAATATATAGGCATCATATATAAAGACATGTTCCCAAACATGGTGATAAAGTCACTTTACAGCCCACTGCATCCTAATAACAAGATAAAGTTCACAATTTGTACATACGGGACATTCATAAAAGCCACAGCTTGCTTTCTACTAGTAACCAATGACCATTTCAGTATGTATAGGTCATGGCTCATGGTTCATCAGCAAGACCATAACACTCAAAATTACAAGCATAATAATACCTGGCTTTTAGACATATAAGCAAAAATAACTAACAAACACTCTAGTCATCATTCATCCAGAAAGATGGTTTGTTAGACAAGCTCATCACAAACCGCAAGCGTGCCCCTTCTGGCAAACCAAACATCATGCTTGTCTGCTGTCGATTACCCACAAAGAACTTATAAGCTTGATCGAGTAAGGTTTCAGGCAAGTCCAACCTCTCCAATTCTGCATAAATTTCATTTGCATGATAAATACGTTCTCGTTGATGTTCTTGAATTGAATTACCTCTCTCGATAGCACCAATCAGCTCCTTAGTGGATCTTTCAGCAATCTTGTTACCTGCATCCAACATCTCGACCATGCTCTTAATAGAAGCACTCACATCTTCAAATTGATGACACTCCTTATTATAAGCATACATATTTTATCAACATAATTAAAAAGGAAAGATACAGAACACCATAACAGAGTCTCACTCAAAGAATCAGCTTTTCATTTTAAAACCCCCTGTTTCTTTCACATACCAGAGGTTGCACGCCATTGCCATTGGCCTTTACTTCTCCCTCTACCCTCTCTCCCTCTCTTCCCAATTGACAACCATAAAAGCCTCTCTTTCCCAAGCCTGACTTTCCATTGCCCAATTAATCCCCAGAGAAAGAAACCAAAGCAGATAAAAGATGGAAACTGATGGAAAGTAATTAAGGTTGCCCCTGGCCCTTCATCTTCTCCCTCCATCCCCAAACGTTAACCTAACAATGAGAACCCATCTAGTGCTAACCTAATGCATTGGATAAAGCTTAAAAAATAAACGGAAGGCAAATAATCATGTCATCTACTAATTATACTAGAGGGAAATGTTATAGCTAAACAAAATTATATACGGACACAGTGCAAATATTGGAAGGAACTCAAAGAGGGATTTATAAGCATTCATCTAACCAAAAAAAAAAAAAGAGAGGAAGAAATAGCGATTGGGGAAGTGATAATCATGGACAAAGTTGGGGTTTATCATATTCACCTTCAAAAAGAGCAGGGACAAGTCCAGCAAATTTTGAATGAAGAACCCTTGTCGAGCAGGCCAACGATCCGAAAAACAGAACACCACAGCAAGAATAGTAGATCGACCCAACTCCTGTATAACACAGCAATCGGAGATGAGGATGACAGGACTCCGCCGGCCGATTGAAGCCGACGAGTCGGAGTGGGCGGAATCAGAATTTCTATCTCCTAAATCTAGGTTTATGGTTTGTTTGGGTGGGATGGGTAGGCTTTCGCAGTGAATGGCGGAAGAGAGATGGAAGAGAACAAAGTAAAAGGGAAAAGAAGAACCGTAGAAAATAAAGTGGGGAGGAGAAAAAAAAAATATAAAAGCAAATAATTTTTTGCTTCCCTTCCTTCCGCCCCAAATTGGGGGGTTAAGTAAAACAGTATAATTACCCCTTTAATGCACCCCCTACCTACTGTTGATAATTATCCAAACAGGTACATATTTTTTGGGATTCTCATTTACCCCCAAAAAGTTGCACCCCCCTCCATTTACCCCTCAAAACAAACAGAGTGTTAGTCAAACTTGAACAAGTGTTGGAAAGGAAGGAAGAAACAAGGATGGAACTTTGGAAGGTTTCAGTCTTGAAAAAAAAATCCCCTTTCTCTGCAGAAGCTGGCTTAATCTCTTCTGGCTTTATTTCAAAGATGATGGTGTTTGGCAGCATGCGCCGACGAATGTTTAGCCGTCCATTAATCTAAAGTATCAAATTGCACGTACCACAAGTTTTAGTTATGGCATTCAATCAATTCATTCAATTCAAAGGACTTGCTTTGTAGTTGGGCAAACTGCATATGAAGAACACGTGTGGTGTGGAGCACGGTGGTGGTTGCATTATAATAAGAGAAATCATAAATGGATCATGGTCTCCCTCCCCACTGCTATCTTCTTCTCTTGAAATGTTTTTATAAGACAGAACTTAGTTATTACAATTGAATTTTGACTTGACTAGTGCATTGTGAAATTAATTTTAAGGTCGAGTCGCTAAGTCATCGACGGTGGGCATAGGTACGACGAGTCTAGGTGCGCGTAGCTGCTCGTGTAAGGTGGCAGTGTATAGTGAGCAACACATTATGGCCACGAGGTCTCATTCTCATGTCCAGAGACCGCGTCGCCAAGTCTATTGCTAGTGTGTAGACATGAGTTAAGGTGGGTATAGTCTCCTTAGCATAAAAGAAGGCACATAAAAAGGCTCGGCCCACATTTTCGATAGTGAATTATTTTTTTAAAGTTTGGGGTTCATTAAGAAGTAATTGGGTCAAGCCGAGAGGAAAAGTTACAATCAAAGCACCAAAGTTTGAAAAACAAGCTAAACCTAAAGGCTCACTCACAAAATTGGTACTCGATAGGGTCCTTACGAGGGACCAAAACACAAATCTAGTCCACCCCAAACCCTAGCACCCGATTGCCCTTTGGAAACCACCGCCGCCGCTAAAAGAGCACTAGGTCACCGCTCCCACCAGGAACCTTCAGATCAACGAGAGCTCAGATCAACTAGACCAAGGCTTTGCCTCTGAATATGAGGGGAAGAGCCGACATCGATTCAAATCAACAGCGATGACGGAGGACCTTAGACGGATCGAGGGAGCTGGCGTTGTTTCCGTCGGTGGTGAGGCGAGGCGACGGTGGTGGCGGGTCAGATCGGATTCGGTTTAGTCAGCGGTTGAATTGGTTTTGTTATGTAGTAGGTCTGACGTGGCGGGTTTTATGACATGGCGGGTTAAAATTGGGTGAATGAGCATCTATGTTAGCCACATCAGCAAAAAACTGATGTCGTTAACGGAAGATAACGGAGAGTGATCAAATTTGAAATACTTCTATAATTTTAGTGACCATTATTGAAACTAAATATTTCTAGTGACCAAACGTAAACGTTTTTAGTAATTTCAGTGACCAACATTGCAATTTACCCTATCAAACCACAAGTCTCTTTTCCACAAGCAGAAACGTTTCAGAATCAGAACCCCAAACCCGAAAATAAACCAAATTAATTGAATTTGACGATATATTGATGATACAAGGCAACATGTTAAAATAACTCGCATTATATCGGGATATTGTGGCGAGTTATTGCTGTTACGATATAACCAACTAACTCCGAAGCTCTCTCTCTAACTTCAATCCTTCCCCAATCCCTCTTTTCATTTTCTCTTCTCAAGCACCGAATCACCGATCTCCGGCGTCCCTGTTGGTCTGACCCCTGATTTCCTGAGTTCTTCTTCGGGCATCATTCAATCGTTTATATGGTAGTTGGGATATGGCGGCAATTTCTCTTTTTTTTTTTTTTTGGGATTTTCTTTTCCAGAGCTCCTCTGTGAATCAAAATATCATGAATTCATGTCAAAGATCGCTCCTTTTTCCTTTTCCTTCTGGTACATTATCAATAGCTTGGAGTGTGACAAAAGGGTTTTCTCAAAATAAGCTCCCTTCCTCATCTCTTCCCTCTCTGGAGAAATCTGGCTCTTGAGGCTTAACCAACTTAGGCATTTCCACATCTTTCATCCTAAGATTCCCCCTTCTGGTGTTCGCCACAAATCGCAAAGCCAGTCTCTTGACAGCCACGCTCTGTTCTGGCTCTGAAGGAATCTCTTCTTCTTTTGCTGCTGCTGCTGCTGCTGTTGTTTCAGTTTCATCGTGCTCCAGAAGAGGTAAGCTAGACAATGACTCTGATATGCTAAGATTGTGTGCCATCTTCCGCCTCTTGAAGCGGTGCCAAGCGGATTGAATGAACGATGCAGCCCATGTCCGCCATTGGTGCGAGTAGAACCGGAATGTGTGCTGTAGTTTCTTGCTGTGGAGTCGTCTGAATTGGTTTGCCACGAATTTGAGGTCTTCTGCGCGTAATGCGAATGCTTCTACTTCTTCCAGTGCTGTGACTGTTCTTGTGGAAGATGGCAAATTGGCATTTGAGTTGGGGACTAATGCCCAAGCAAGGGTTTCTTCCCCACAGAAGTCGCCCGGTCTGAGAGCGATTGAATTGAAGAAACCTGACCTCCCACCATCTGTTGTGGAGCTCTCTAGCCTGCCTCGGATTATGAACAGCATCTCGGTTACTGGATCGCCTTCGCGGACAACGTAGGTGCCCTGAGTGATCAATGACGAGACCAAGCGTTCGCAGATTGCGTCTAGGAGCTGATCATCCATTTGTGAGAAGAAAGGAACCTGTGATGAGGAGAGGAAGTTAAACTGCAGGTGTAAAATGGGTGTTCTAGCTTGGTATGTAACACAAGAGTAGTTGTCACTTACACGACGAACAAGGTCCAAACATAGGTGTCGTTGAATGTCTCGACGAAGATCAGCAGGTAGTTGGTGCAAGATTGCGTCTTCATCGACGCCATGAGTTGCTAGCCATTTGTACTGAACATATCTCCTCACACGCCCTCGCAGGTTTTGAGGAAGTTGGCGATGGCTCATCCACTCTTCGGTGTCCCTTCTCTTGAGGCGCCATTCTTCAAGTCTAGCAGTGAGGGATTGCAAGTACGTCTGCGTGGTAGAGCGAATTCCGGAAGGTTTGAGCTGAGCTTTAGAACAAGAAGTATAAAAAGAAGTTTACAGATGAATAACTGGAAGCTCATTACCTGCATGTTTCCAATCAAATGAGCAAAAAGAACCAGACCCATGACGGCCAACACGATGGCAAACAAAGTTTCTCCGACGAATGTGGTTGTGTTTGTGCTCTGTGCATAGGAACTGAGGGTGGCAGAAATAGAGCAGCAACATCAACACTTACTAGTCCAATGTGCTAGGCATTTGTTGTAAGGGGGATGCAGCATCTAGCATGACTGGCTTTACCATATGTTATTCATAGCTTACCTCAAGTTCTGCAGCCCCCACCAGAGGCAATACAAGTACTTCTCGGTGAAGGTAGCAGAAGCAACCTGCTTTGATAAAGCGTTTGAGAACATTCCATAATCGAATACGTTTGGGTCGGAAGCGTTGTTGGGATCACATTTGCTAAACACTCTGGTAGTCCCTGCCCATGCTTTTCTGTCAGGCTTTTCTAGATTGTTACAAACCAAGTAAGAAGACTGGCATCGTGTTTGAGTTTCAATGTCTTGTTCGCACAGGTATTTCCAGCATGTTGCATAGCGCTCGATCGAACACAGATACCAAGCAGAACCCGTCACCTGCAGTGTAATCAAAATCAAAGCCAAACAACACAAACTATATCAAGTCTTTGATCAATGTGGCTTGTTGGAGGAGGAAGAAGAGAGGAAGAGAGAAATGTTACATGACTGGCCAGCATGTATAACACGAGGTTGTAAGCAGCACCAGCCCAGGCAGTTTTCGTCACTACTCCATTTGCTTTAGCTATCTCTGAACTCAATGGGAATATCAGATAAAATCTGGGAATGTACTGCAGCAGAACAACAAGTACAAGGGCATTGTTGGTGTAATCAGACTGCGCCGTCTTGATCAATGGAATTATAAACCATATCATAATCTGCCATATCATGAGGTGACTAATGTCAGCACTTCAACTGGAGAAGAATGCAAGAAAGCAAATTCGCAGAGAGGAGAAACACCCCCACCTGAGGGAGAGGCAATGCTGCAATAAAATCAACAAAGAAATCGGTTCTTAAATATCGCCGGGCAATCAACTCGGGATCCACTACCAGATCCCCTCTGCCAAAAACTCTCGAACTTGGAGCCACATAAGCCGTCCTGAACTTGAAAACTATATGCATCAAATAGAACACATCTGCAATAGTTCTGAAACATGTCACTGTGATTCCCAGCTTCAAGTCGATCGCCATACATGTTGAACCTTCAGCTTGGACTATGGTCGGGAGGTAGAAAAACAATGGATCGACGAAGAGAGCGACCAGGCACGAGATGAGGAAAACCTTGTTCCATTGCAGGGAGATGTCACTTCCTGGATCAACAATCCTGTTATTCCAAAGCTCGCCGGCATGGTTATTCTCTAGGAAAACTCTGAACTTGCCAAACTTTGGAATCCTTTTGGAATCCCTGTCGTCAAGACCAGTTTTGGATTTCAACCATTGCATCATGGATGGTATATATGTCTGCAAGTGCAACACCTTCTCCATGGCCTTGTGGTCTACAAAACTGTACAAACCAGAAAAAGGGTGGAATCCCATGAATGTAGATTAGAGATCGCGGAACACAAGCGAACCCATGAAGGGGAAATGACAATCAAAGGCTACCTTTGAATCAGAGGAACTAACAGAACACTGAAAGCTCGTAAACTTAGCCCGAAGAGCTCAACTGAAATCCTCTATCTTCCCCAGAAGATGGAAGTGCTTCCTGAGAATCCAACATTATAGATAGGCCAGAAACTGAAACCTCAATTGAGAAGGCAGGGGAAATGCAAATATACAAATGGCAGAAAGGACGGAAAGAAGGGAGAATAGTATAAGGTGGGAGAAGTAGAGAGAACAGTGTACTGTTTAGGGACAAAACAGCAAAGAGTATAGCAGAAAACAATGGGAACTAGGGAACTGAGTATTATAAGCTCGTTGATATTTCGCACAGGACGTATACATGAGAACAGAGTGGGAATTTAGCAATCTTCATGGGAAGGGATTCATTCATTCTACTAGTTTAGTCATGGTGGGTGGCTTCCATATGCATTAGGGGATATGGCATATACTTGAGGACAGAGTTGGGAATTTAGTAATGTCAATACGTCGAACTAGTTCTGTCATTGGATGATGAGGCTGACCTTTTTGTTTGGAGCAAGCCATAATCAAACTGCAAGGGAAATTCAAACCTGGGGGACCGATTCGTTCTGGTTAACTTTGTTAACAACCGGCGTTGAACTATTAAGGTTCGAGTAAGGGCAGTATTTGATCGGTATTCTTCCAGGTATGACAGGTAGGATCTGACCGATATTCAGATCACAAAATGTCAGCTCTTTACCCTGTGTAAGTAAAGCAATGTTTGATACAGAATTTGAAACGATTTTTCAAGTTTACCATTGGTATGGATTATAATCTCGATATGAACGATACTATTATTTACATCTATGAGCTAAATGGTGGGCTATTATGGTCTTTGGTTTTTTATGCTTTGTTACTAAACCAACCAAACATTGCAGATATCTTCAGGGCAGTATCCTCAGGTACGTGTATTCATGTATCTGCGAGTACCCATTGAGTAGGTTTCGATATAGACTTCAAATAATCATTTGGTCTATGGCTTTAGCACAAAAATATGAGAATGTTCCTTACAGTATCAATTCTATACATCTACTAATACTAAACTATGAATATGGAGAGCTTAAACTTCTCTAACAAATGGTATCTCAATATCTTACAGAGTGAATCACAATAAGAATCAATCAATGGAAAAGGAATCATTTCTCCTCATCACTTGCCTCTATAGAGAAATCTGGCTCGTCGGGCTTCATCAACTTCGGCATTTTGACATCCTTTATTTTCCGATTCCCTCTTCTGGTGTTTGCAGCAAACCGCTCGGCCAGCCTCTGGACGACTAAGTTCTGTTTGGGCGATGCAGTTGCAGTTTCCTCCTCGTCTACAAGAGCGAAGGAAGACATTAAAGACTCGGACATGCTCAGGGTGTGTGCCATCCTCCTGATCTTGAACCGACGCCAAGCCGTTTGAATGAAGCAAGCAGCCCATGTCCTCCAATGGTGCGAATGGAACCGGAATGTGTGCTGCAGCTTCTTGCTGTGGAGTCGTCTGAACTGGTTTGCGACGAACCTGAGATCTTCGGAGCGTAATGCAAATGCTTCTACTTCTTCCAATGCCTTCACTGTCCTTGTGGAAGAAGGCAAGTTGTCGTTGGAGTTCGGATTCAATGCCCAAGCGAGCAACTCCTCGCCACAGAAGTCCCCCGGTCTGAGAGAAATTGTGTTGAAGAAACCTGACCTCCCGCCATCCGTTGTGGAGCTTTCCAGCCTCCCCCTGATTATGAACAACATCTCGGTCACAGGATCGCCTTCACGAACAATGTAGGTCCCATGAGTGATCAACGAGGAGACCAAGCGCTCGCAGATGGCGTCTAGGAGTTGATCATCCATTTGTGAAAAGAAAGGAACCTGCCATAGAAATGAGAGACACTTGTTTCATCACACGGTCCTTGAAACTGTAAAAGTGGATGATATGCTTGGAATGCAAGTTATTGACTTACACGACGAACAAGGTCCAAACAGAGGTGGCGTTGAATGTCTCGTCGGATATCAGATGGCAGTTGTTGCAGGATTGCTTCTTCATCGACGCCACGAGTTGCTAGCCACTTGTACTGAACATATCGCCTCACTCTCTCTTGTAGATTTCGAGGCAGTTGGCGATGGTTCATCCACTCTTCAGTGTCCCTTCTCTTGAGTCTCCATTCTTCAAGTCTTGCTGTGATGGATTGCAAGTATGTCTACAATACCATAGAAAGAATTTGAGGAAAAGAGCGTGCTAAAAATACATTATGGCATTCAAGAACAGAAGAAAAGAAGGTTAGTACGCATCATTACCTGCATGTTCCCAATCAAATGAGCAAACAGAACCAGACCCATGATGGCCAACGCTATAGCAAACACCGTTTCACCGACGAATGTGGTTGTGTTCGAACTCTGGCCATAGGAACTGAACATGGGGGAGAGACATTCAACCTAAGTTAGCTATTCAGGAAGTCGTCGTGCTACTGTAAGCTAGTTAAGTATTCGTCAAGATATGTTACCTCAGGTTCTGCATCCCCCACCAGAGGCAATACAAGTACTTCTCAGTGAAGGTAGCAGTCGAAACCTGTTTCGACAAAGCCTTTTTAAACATTCCGTAATCGAAGACAGTTGCATCTGATGAAGCGTTGTTGGGATCGCACGTGCTGAACACTTTCGTAGTACTTGCCCATACCCTCCGGTCCACTCTATCCAGATTATTACAAACCAAGTAAGTAGATTGGCATTCAGATTCCTGTTTGCAGAGAGACTGCCAGCATGTCGCATAGCGTTCGATCGAACACAAATACCAAGCAGAACCCATCACCTGCCACATGATCGAAATTTAAATTGTAGAACAGAAACAACATTGCTCTTAGGGGCTAAACTTGAAATGGATGTTTTAGTCTCTGCTTACATGACTGGCCAAGATAAACAGCACGAGGTTGTAGGCAGCACCAGCCCAAGCAGTTTCGGTCAAAACTCCAGCGGCTTTGGTTATCTCTGAACTCAATGGGAAAATCAGATACAACCTGGGAATGTACTGCAGCAGAACAACTAGCACAAAGGCGTTGTTGGTGTAATCAGACTGCGCCGTTTTGATCACCGGTATGACAAGCCATATCATCATCTGTCATATCATGAACTCAATAGTGTCAGCTTAGTAGTTGTTGTTGGTCCGAAAATCCCCTGCATTGGAACATAAACAAACATTCACGCAGTACAGTTCATACCTGAGGAAGAGGCAAGGCTGCAATGAAATCCACGAAGAATTCGGTTTTCAGATATCGCATTGCAATCGAATATGGATCCATGACCAGTTCCCCTCTGCCGAAAACCCTTGAACTTGGAGCTACATAGGCAGTCCTGAACTTGAAAACTATGTGCATCACATAGAACACATCCGCGATACTTCTGAAACTTGTCACCGTGATTCCCAGCTTCATGTCGACCGCCATACAAGTCGAACCTCCCGATTGGACTATGGTCGGGAGGTAGAAGAACAACGGATCCACGAACAGCGCAACGAGACACGAGAAGAGGAAAATCCTGTTCCATTGCAGGCAGATGTCACTTCCCGGATCGAAAATCGCATGCCTCCAAGCTTCACTGCGACGAACAAACTTGCCAAACTTTGGCTTCCATTTCTTGCTCATGATGGGATCCCTCTCGTCAAAACCAGCTTCTGATTTCAACCATGGCGGCGGTGTAGATGGTTTGTATGTCGGCAAATGCAGCGCCTTCTCCAAGACCTGCTGGTGGTCTACAAAGCTGGTACATTCATACACAAAGGAACCCCTGAAATCAGATTACCAAACAGAAAGGAAGAGTCTTGAAAAAAACAGAGGCTGCCTTTTGAAAAGCAGAGACTTACTTCACAAACTTCTTGTTCTTCAGCTCCATTTCAGCTGGGAACTAAGATTCTCAAGAGAGGGAGAGAGAGAAAACTGAAAAGTTTCAGACTTGGACCCAAAGAGGTTCACTGATGCCGTCCATTCCTTCTGGCGCCAAAAAACTGGAAGCTTGAACCCAGATAGTTAGTGATGTTCATGATGTGAAGAAGGCAGGGGAAAGGCAACACAAACAGGGGAGAGAAAGGACGTGAAGAGCATCATGTGGGGAAATATTATTGTTTAATTGGGTTATTATAAGGTGGGGAAATATTGATATACAAAATTGTTTTAACAGAGAACAAAGAGGGATGAACGTTTGGAGTTCGTTGAGTGACAACTACCGAAATACGATGAGAACAGAGTAGAGAATTTAGTATATCATAATGAGAATTAATCCAATCTCTCTCTCTCTCTCTAACTGGTTTTGCAGTTGGATGATGAGGGTGACATTTTTTGTTTCTGGGCGCCATCAAGAGCAAATCTAAGAAAAATCACTACTTAATTCAACCCGTCACCCATTTTTTTTAATACGAGACTAGGAAACACTTTTCTACATTCTACAAATGCCTTTGTTCGACCACAAAACCATATATGTGATATCCAAGTACGGAAACACAATATTCGACGAAATTAAGTAGTACTATTTGGCCGACTTCCCATCGTGTGTGTGTGTGTGTGTGTGAGGATGGATGCCATTGGATCACTCACCCGAATGTGGGCATTTGGTGGTAGTGGTGGACCAAATGAAAATTGAAGGCAGGCCTCCAACTGTTTGGCCAGCCATTAATGACTTCATATGCAACTGTTTGGTTTGTTTCTTATAAACGATATGGGACAAGAAGATGGTTAATCACATTACAAATTTCCTGTGAATGATTGGGTAGAATTTTACCGATTTGATCGTCGGTGTGTGATTTAACCAGTAAAGCTGTAACAACAGAGCTTTTCTTTGACAAGGTTTTGGATGAATGAGGGTGTCATTCACAGAGCAAGTCCTCGACTTTTGTTTTTTACATTTCTCTTGGGCAGTTCACATAGCGTCTGTCGTCAAAACTCTCTTTTAATGGATTTGGACTGTTCCCGTGGAACTTGGTCACTGCCGTCCCATCTTCCTTGCTGCTCATTGAAGAAGCTAAAAATGAGAATCCAAAGTCCATTCTGATAACTGGAAACCAAACATGAAATCTTCCCCCTTCTAATTCTCTCGATAATTGATGGGTTGAGCAGCTGCAGTTGGACAATATCTCAACACGGTGAAAACTAGGTCCTTTTTCCACTCTACCCCATCATTTTACGGCGTGGTTAGCTTCAGATGTCGCGAACAGGAAGGGGGAGGTTTGCTGCGAGCAGGATAGGTTGAATCAGTGATACAGGAGCTTCAATATCGGTTTCGTGAAGCGAAGGATGTGAGCAGATACCTAAGTTGGATTTAGTGCCTACTCCTGATAAAATGAACATTGGTATCAACATTGCAATTCGCTGCGGCCTGGTAATGTTATGCCCGTGGACAATGGGTGTAATATGAAAAAGGTGAAGCAAAAGTAAAGGTAATGAAATAGATTACAGAGGTTGCCGAGAATACTAGTGCAAGGTGACACCGAAGGCGAAACCGAATGAGTGCATCAACTGCTGACACTAATCAAACTGTCTTGATCTACAGATCCACAGAAACCTCGGAAAAATGGAAGCCGACATCTTACAATCCGGAAATTCCTACACTACAATCAGGTCAAGGCATGTACCAAATAGCACAAGGTTAACCACTCAATCATCAACTTTCAGAGACGAGAGAAGTCCACCTAAAGACCAAGGTGCATAGCATCATCATCTTCCCCGCACATCACTACTGTCGGCAGACGATATGACATAACTACGTAGATAAACTGAGTACCACAATCCCACAAACGATTTACCTGCAACGGGTGGAGTATCGGTATCCTTTTCGAATGAAACAGAGGCTATAAAACCAAGAAGCAAGCAAGGCTGAAGGGAGCCATGGATTGCTGAGCACCTTGAAGATATGAACAAAATTGCCAATTCGAGCAGTGGATTCTCAGTTGCCATTGGTTTGTTCATATCCTCTCCAATCAAACAAGGACACAGTAGATTCTCAGTTGAAATTTGTTCCTTTAGATATGAACAAACCAAGGCTCCAGTGAGGCTTGGATGGCTGAGCCGCTTGAAGAAAAATAGCCTCTCGAATCAGCAAAGGATACAGTAGATTCCCAGAGGAGTTTGTTCCCTTAGATGATGCAGTTCAAAGTCCCCAGGACATGATGAGTGAAGAGCCACTTCAACACGGAGGACAAACTTGGAACTGTCAGCACTTGGGACATAATTTTAAATAGCAGACACATAAACTTGTGTATCATACAGTCTCTTAATGCAGAAACCCTTGGAGGGACCAACAAAGCTGTATGATAGTAGAAGCAAAGACTTCGTCGACTTCATCAAGCTAAAACCTTAGTGAACAAAGACACAGAAGAGCAATTGTTTTAAAAGGACTTAAAGCAGTCCGAAATATAAAACTCAAATTGATTATCTTATTTATGATATCTTAAAACCATCAACTTGGATACTTCTAAACTTTCAAATTCGGGGAACAAATATAAGTACCTGCCAGAAGAGTTTGAAGGAGGCCCACTTTTACGTTAAACACATGAAATGCCGATAGAATTTGAGGGCGGACCATCATAGGCAGGAGATTTCAATCAAACAGAACTAGACCATGGCCGGGAGAGTTCAATCAAGCAGAAGCATCTAGATATGCAGTAGGGACCCCACCGAATGAAAATTGAAGGTCGCAAATGCAGGGGCAGCAGAGAATGAAACCGGAAGTGAAGAAGCACAAAACCAACGGAAGATGGGCAGCAGAGAAAGAAACCGGTATTGAAGAAGCACAAAACCAACCGAAGATTTGAAGCAGGCGCAGATGAAACCTCAACAGAAAGGAAAATCATAAGTCTTTAGCACCACTAGTAGGAACAATCCAGCTCAACAAATAAAACGAGTTAAACATACACATAAGTTGGAAGGAAACTTATCCAGGTCTGAGAAGCAGAGCCCCAACACAGTAGTAATGAAGCGCAAACACAATAAACACGTCTAACCCAACTAGCTTCAAAGAAGCTGTGATATTGATATTAAGATATCTAACTCCTGCTCCGGCGCCTGTCCCTCAGACCATTGCTGCAAACAAACAGAACTACTGGTATTAGAACAGAAATAAAGCATTACATTCCTTAAATAAAATCTAAATCAAGTTCGGAATGCTTAAAATTTGTTTCACGTGCCAAAAGGAAACTAAGGACAAATATAAAAACAAGTTGATACAGTAATATAATTATTATAATGGCAGAACCACGGTCATTCAATAACGACTATCAGGACATGATAACAAATAAAGTTGCAGAAACTTCACCCATTGGCATAGGCTGGTGCCTCTTCACGCCCACGGTATGGTGGTGGTGACCTGCTGAAGCTGCGTTGGCGGGGCGAAACACTACGGCGTCTGGGAGATCTTCCACCACGAGGACTGTAACTCCTGCCACAGAGCAGCCCAAGTCAGACTAACAACTCTTATAGGTCGACAAAAGTTGGGAGAAGATGCAGAAATATGTTCCAAACATAACCTTCGGCCATAAACGGGACTCCTTCTGTATCTAGGACTGGGGCTTCGTCTTCTTCCTGAACCACCACGCGAGCGGCATTCGCGTGCAAAATGACCTGGCTCTCCACACTCGTAACACTTCAAATCAGAACCTCCAAACCGACCACCTCCACCTCTACCACCTTCACCTCCACCTCTACCACCACCACCTCTCGAGTTGTGGGACATCTCAACTCTCCAGCCATTTTTACCTGGGTAACAATTAACAAAATATTATTATTACATAAAGTTGCAGCACAGAACAAATACAACACAAGAAGCAAAAGGTGAAAACAGCCACTTCAGTTTACAGAACAAGTTTACCATCAAGCTCATGAATAGCATCCTGAGCATCCCTTTTGTCATCAAATTCAATAAAGGCATAACCTGGAGGACGCCGGGCAACCCAAACACTAGAATTACAACAAACAGAACAACTTTCAGTTAGTTAAACGACGATTACAAAATAGCATGAAACTTCTGATAATTACTTAACTATTCAGACCCTAAAACAAAGAAGGAATGGCAGATAAACATCTCAACACAAACAAGTCTGGATAGGGAACAAATAATTAGCAAGAGTTGAACCTTCTGATCACGCCAAATTTCCGGAACTCGTCCTCAAGTTCACGCTCACTAACCCGCGGGTCCAAATTACCAATGTAAACGCGAGACATTGCGTCAATGAAATCTGCAACACAAGAAAAAAACGAACCGTTAAACAAACCTGCAACTGAAGATCCCAGAACCCCAACATCTACAAACCAACAACACAAACACACATCCAGAAAACTCTTCCCAGAAGACAGCAGCCCCCTGAACCTCACGGGAAGCTACAAGATCCTAACTTCCCCACGAAAGATTTCACCTTTCGACAAACCCCCAGAAGGGCGACGCGGAAAACAGATCAAAGAAAACAACTGCGCGGAAAAACTTGAAGCGCTACGGAATGGAAGATGCAAAAACTTCGCGAGCCAGCAAAGCGCAAGCAAGTTTTCGGGAGAATTACCGAGCGAGATGAGGAAATCGCAGATGCAAATAGAGAAGAAAACCCTAGCGGAGCTGTTCCGCTTGTTCCAAGTTGCAACCCTTCGTTCCGTTCTACTTGGTCCCGACTTTCGACTTTCGAGAGGTGGAGATGGCAAAAGGTTTTGGGCCTTTTAAGTTTTATATTGCAACATATCAGTCCCCGCGTGAAAATTGGGCCAAGAGGTTTACTAGGCCGGTCTCTGTTTTTTTATGGGCTCGCGGACTCGCACTCGAATGGAACACACTCATACGGGCTTTAGGGGACCGATTCGGCAATAAAATGTTCTTTCTTGGGTCATCTCCCTCGCCTTCCAGTGTTGGGTAGACAATGGGTGGGTCGGGTGAATTTTAACCATAATATGCACCAACTCGAAGTTAAACTGATTGACAATTTTTAATTCACACTTAACCATATTTAGTTTTGGGTTGGGTCGGGTGGATGGCGACTAATGCGGGTGAATTTGCGGGTTCAACCACAGCGCCATGTATATAATATTTTTCTTTTTATTAGGGTGAAATAAGTTAAGCTTACAAGAGGAAAGCGAAGAAGGATACAACAGAAGAAACAGGAAAAAGAAACAGAAGAAAAGGCGCCAGCAACCAACAAAGAACAAGGGCGACAAAAACCCAAAACAAAATTGGGGCGAAAATCAGAAGAAACAAGGCACCGAGCTGCACACAACACCACGATCCCTGACACCCAGAAGTCAAGGAGATGGAAGCAACGGGGAATTACTCCTATCCTCAGTGTAGAAACTTCTCGGGAGATGGAGCGCCATGTATATAATATAAACGAGTCAACTTGACATGATCCATTTATATTTCAAATCCCTGTGTGTAATGTCAATATGTAAAATAATAATCCATTCACCCTCCAAATTTGAGATTCACTTCAAGTGGCAAGATAATTGGTGGAGGGTTATCGGGCGGAAACAAGTTGGAATAGGGGAAAAAATGTCAAATTAGTTCTGAAATTTGATAGAAATTCTATTATGAAGAAGTTTTCTACGGATGGAGATGATTATCGGGTGTAGGAAACTAAGAAAAATAATTCAACGGAGGAAAGAGAGGTGATTTGCGCATAAGAATCAGAGTAAAAAATAAAGAGAAGAAGAGGGAAGTCGAGATTTGAAAGATTGGTTTTGAGATTCAATCTCCAGAAGTAGCCCTATTTTCTGTCAGCGTCTCTACTATCCACTCTCTCGCGCTAACGACTTTGTTCTTTTTGTTATGGTTGAGCAGGTCACCCGCGCACAACCCGCCCGCCACCCGGCCAATGCCTCCCAGCCAGGGGCGAAGCCAGAGTGCAATTGGGTGGTTCCCTGTACCCACCTTGGCTCGAAAGATGACAATATATTTCTCGTATTTGGGTGTTTGAAAAATCGATAAATAAACAAATATGTATAGAAGCAGGACTTTCAAAATGTAATCAAGAAATGAAAGTGGTTTATATGGTGAGTATGTTGCTCAATAAATGAGAGGTCTCAAACTCAAATCTTATTTGATATAAGTTTTATTCTTTTATAACCAAATTAAACTCATTTCCCTCTTACTTCAAATATTCTCATTTAATAACATTAATTTTTATTAAACTTTTTTATTTGATTTCCCTCTTACTTCAATGTTTCTCATTTAATAACATTAATTTGTATTCAACTTTTTTATTTGATTTTTTTTATTTTATTGTATTGATTTGTGTACTATTAATATTTGATATTATCTTAGGCAAGTGTTACTCTTTTATAGCTAAATTAAACTCATTCTTTTCTTACTTCAACTTTTCTCGTTTAATAACATTAATTTTTATTCAATTTTTTATTTGATTTTCTTCCCTTTTTATATTGATTTGTCTAATTTAAATTTACTCACACTTTAAATTTATTATAAATTAAATATTAATTATATATAAATATTTTTTCAATATTAAAATATTTATATTTTATAGATGGACCCACCTTAACTAATATTCTGGCTACGTCACGTAACCCAGCATAACTCGTCACCCACCCATAGGCCCATCCACATGACGAAATTCATATCAAATGCGGGTGGATCGGCCCAAACCCGCAAGTGACCCGCCCGCATCCCCAACCCTATATGTGAGTGCTCACGTCAAGGGAAGGTATGGCAAGCTACAAGTAGGGTTGTTAGTGATCCGAGTCAAATTAATTTTTTTTTTATAGTTTTGGATCATATAATTTCAAATTCGAGTACACCTCGAGTCCGATATGAGCTTTAATAGGCAAAATTGAGCTTGACTCACCAAATAGGTTTAACAAGCAAAAATTGAGTTCTGTTCCGCTACAGAATGTCAGTTGTAGCTCAACCCTCAAACTGGAACTAGGCTCAAATTCACATTCTAAAGTCTGTCAAACTTATTCGCGAGCCTATCGAACTGAACATATCACAGCTAGAGCTCGACTGGTTAACCACTTCCTTACACGGTAAATAAATCATAATAATAGTCTCCGGCGCCGGATCCATGTCTTGCCCAAATAATCTAAATTTCCCGGCCGGCGGGGCAGTGAGTGCGTAAATTCTTTCTTGATTAATGATTATGCGCCCATGTGCAAACCACCAGCTTTTGTCCTCTTCCTGAAAACAACGACGAGAAGCACAGCAGCCACAAGAAAAGAAGCAGTATCCAACTCACATCACCGCCCAACGGCCAAGTCACTTCTTCTCAGCCAGCTGCACATTACACCAATAATTGATGAGCAGAAAACAACGTCCGGAAAGTAATTCGTTTGTATTATACACAGAAAGAAACACGTGGTAGATGATCAATAATTCATAAAGAAGAATGACAAATATCACCGTCGTATTCTTTACTGTACAATGAACTATCCAACCGGCTTTTCATTTCCAGGCCGCCGGCCGGCCAGCAAAATTCCGTTTAGCATAGAATCATTTCGTCCTGGCTTCGTCTTCTTCTCATCCCAACCAACTACTCAGAGAAAGAATCTCCACCTCAAAGAGGGAAGAGAGAGAGGCTTTGGTGAGAGAGTTCCTCTTCCCCTGAACCCCGGCCGCTGCAAAAGAGCTCCGCCCTCCAAAGCCAGACCGTAGCTCCTGCTAGCGCAGATGTAATCATCTGCGACCGTCGCCGCCGAGTCGCTGTAGTAGAGCACGTTCACCGGAATCTATCGCCGACAGCTAATTTGTCGCCGACCCCGTTCATCGTCCAGAGGCAAATTGATCAAGCATCGACGAGGTGGTCGACTGCTTTCTTTTTCAATTAAAAAAATCTCTCTCAGTTTGTTGTCAGGATAAGATCAATGCTACCATACCTATTTCCAAAATCAATTGAAAAATCATTATCCCTCAATTTGGTGTCAGGATAAGAATCCATGAATTCATCCTCCTACTGCCATACCCATCTTCACAACTGTAATTATTGTGAAATTGAATTCTCTTGCTCATATACATGCAGATATATACCTATCTCCTCTACTTCATTCATAGGGAAATTATAGATCCAGAATTCTCATTTGGTCTTTTCGGCTTGCTAGACCGGAGGGAGGCAGAGAGGGATGGAGCAAATATACGGTTTGACTGTCCGAGCATTATCCGACTTATGGTTGCCTTCATCTTGGTATCCTCTTTGATTTTTGCAAAGAATCCAACCAATGGAGGAGGAGTTTGATCAATGAACTTTTCTCTCCCGATTCCATATCGCTAATTTACTCTCTTCCTATTGCTAGACATGACCAACCAGATAGAAGAGTCTGGCATTTTACTCCTAACGGTGAATACTCAGTCAAAACAGGATACCATATGGGCATCACCTTGGCTTTATCAAATGGGGCTAAGAGTATAGCTCAAGTGATGGATGAGGGCTTATGGAAAAAAACATGGCAACTCCAAATTCCCCCTAAACTTTGGTTCATCATATGGCAAGTTTTAAGAGTTATCTTACCTAGGGTTGTTAATGAACCAAGCCGCTCATGAACGGCTCGGTGTGCGACTCGAGAAAAACTCGTTCGACACTCGATTCGTTTTAATCGAGCCGGCTCGTGAACAAGCTCGTTAACTAAACGAGCCGAACTCGAGCCACACCATGTTCAGCTCGAAAGCTCGCGAACAAGCTCATTTAATGGTTTGGCATAAAAAAAGGATTAGAATTCATGGATTTTATGTATGGAAAATTGGGATAATATTGTGTTTTACTTTGCTAGACTTTGCTACAGGTTTGAATGTAATTTTGTGCGCAGTTCTAGGTCAATCTTGAGCTATCATGAACATTTTATGAGCTGAACTCGAATTTGGGCTCGTTAAACTTATTTGACGAGCCGAGCTCGAGCTTTCATTTTCATAAACGAGCCGAGCTCGAGCTTGCATATTAAAGCTCGTGACGAACACGAGCCGAGCTCGAGCCTGGAAATATATTAACGAGCCGAGCCCGAACTATGGCAAAGCTCGGCTCGACTCGGCTCAATAACAGCCCTAATTTGATCTACCATGGCTATCCTTAAAGCACGAGATGTACCAGTTTCAGACCTTTGTCTAGTTTGTTGCCTTCAAGCCGAAACATTGGAACACTTATTCTTTACCTGCCAATTAGCTACTCGACTATGGCGAATGGTAGAGTTGGAGAATATCCTTAATCACGCCGCGCAAGAAAATTTTAACACTTGGTGGCGGAGAGTAATGTACTCTATGTACAACCCATACCAGATTCTATAAGTCATTTGTTTACTGTGGAGAATCTGGAAATCTCGAAATACAGTAGTTTTTGAGTATTCTCAACTACTGCCATCTGTACTCGCTGCTCAATTCGCTCACCAAGTACAAGAATTCTCCTCTGCCCGTCCATTTGTCCCTCCTCCCCCACCAACGGTCTTCCCTTCAGTGCCTCCTTCCTGGTCTCCCCCTCCTCTTGGCCATCTCAAACTCAACTTCGACGCAGCTATCCATCCTTCCCGAGGTAGTTCTACAGGCTTGGTGTTGAAGTCTGCAGACGACCGTACGCTCCTAGCTTTTGGACTTCAACATTCTGGGATCGTCAACCCGTAGCCGAACTACTAGCCGCTCGAGATGGTTTAAACTTGATTCGTCACTTCGGCCTACGAGAAGTCATCCTAGAAGGGGACTCCGAAGTCGTCGTTCGTCAGCTTCTCAGAGGGATAGAGTCAGATGTTGTTGGAGGTCCGTTGCTCAGAGACTGTCGTCAGATGATCGCTACCCTAGACATAGGCTTAGAGGTTTGTGCGGTTCCAAGAACTGCAAATCGGGCTGCCCAAAGTGTAGCAAGAAAAGACCTTTCTCTGTCTAGTTTAGAGTTGCTTTCATTTGATTTTGTTTCTTGGGTGGGAAGAGACTTATAGGGTAGTCTAATTTTCTTGTATTCTATTGTCACATCTCTGAATAAAAATAAAAAAAGAATCATTTCGTCCTGAGAACAAAATTATCCAGCGTCAATCATTACATAGTACATACTAGCTTATTACCCGGCCCGTTGGCCGAATTACTGTATGTTACCCACTTGTAGAATGGGAGAGAAAGCAAGTGAGAGTAAAAAGATTGAGATTCCACTTGATTAGGATCGACCCACTAATCCGATTCTTCCCGACCCGCCCCAACCTAAAGGGTCAGAAAGAGTCAATAAGAAAATACGAACGGAGAGGATTGGTCATATATCTTGACTCTTCAGAAGTGGGTCAAACAGGATCAAGGTTGGGTGAGGGCAATTTTTAGCGCTAAGTAGAGTTCTAGGTTGAATAACTTTACTTAGGCCTAGAAATTGGTGTTGATGCAGACTGCAGTTTTTATTATACCATCATCAATCATCATTGAATTAGTCCTGGGCATCCCTCCCCGTTGTCGGTCTGAATTCTAATGATGACTTCATTCCTTGCACCAGCCATACCAGCGAGTTGTCATCTCGAGCATGATTTGCCTATGTACAAATGATACAATTAGAGTATGAAACTGAATTCAAAGAAAGGAAAAGAGAATTCTATCACATGCCAATAAATACACACATAATAGTTGAAGCAAAGTGAAAGTCATTACTCGCACATCAATTCTAAAAAATTACAGACTAAACAATGGCTAGAATGGCACTGAAACTACCAAAAATCATGGACGAAATAACTTGTCAAATTAAATAATCCTTATACTGAAACTACCTTCTAACTTGAAATAAGACATGATCACAGTTCATAGCTCTCTTCTCACTATGAATTGGTTGCAGCTGATCCTTATCACTACCTCCCAAGCTCAATTCAAACAGAATAGAAACTGTTATGTAAGATAACCATATCCTTACTGATCATAATTCCTTTCGTCACTCCATTTTTTCGGAGAAAAGAGTTATCCCCCTCTCCTGCATTTCCCTTTCCCCCTCTCTTCTCCCTCTTCTTCACAAACCGATCCCTAAACCAGCAACAACAACACAAAAATAGCCTTCGCCTCTGCCATCTCCATCTACTGAACGCGTTGGTGGCAAGACAGGACTGCAGAAGCAAAATTTTCTAAAATCAAACTAATTTTTTTGAAGGAGACTCAACCACGAAAAAAGAGTAAAGCAACAATGCTAATAGTTCAGATGGTTGGTTTTGATGTTATACGTTGCTTTTGTTCTGGTCTCCAGTATATCAACTGCAACAGAGATGTCTCCTCCAATCATCTTTAGTGCACGATTTAGAAGCAAGTCCTCCTGTTTGTGTCAAACGGAAACATTCATGGGTTCTTAACTCCCCTGTTAGTGTAAATGCAGTAGCAACAAAGAAGTTTGACAACATAGCAAGCACCCAGGCAAAATGATACAATGCAGTAGGTGATATGTGTCTCGAAGGTTTTGAGTTACTAAAGTTCATGTTAAAAATAAAAATGAATAAAAATGGATTATTCTATTAAGCAAACATCCCCTCTAATCATACAAAGATCAGATATCCAATTCACAAACAATTAAGCCATAAAAAATCATCACACATCCACCACCTTTGATTGCCTAAATTTGGTTTTTTGCAAAGTTATGGACTCTCAAGGGTAACGTTCATGGGTAGTTTGTTTCATAACTTTAGAGAGCACAGTAAGCAGCCACCAGCCAGACACAGTGCGGTAGGCGAATATGATTCTCAATTCACAATTTCTCACCACCGGAAGTAAGAACAGACCATAATAAGCGTAGCGTTCATGGGTGGTCTGTTTCATAGCACTACTACACAATTTGTTAAAAAAGAAAGAAAGGTATTTAGTATCACGACGAAACAACTTTTACAGGCCAACAACGACAACATGCTGAAACCACCACAACTGGTATCACAACTCATAGGGAAAATCAAAAGATTTACTCTCAAATTAAGTAGTTACAACATCGAGCAATCGTCAAGCACATACACCATCACAAAAGTCACGGAACCTGATTCACAAAGCATTCAAACATTTGAGGACATTTCTGCAAAGGTACAACTTATATGTCTTTTTTCCAAGCCATTTCCATCAACATGCTAATAAATTTGCAATGCATAAAACAAACGGGCCAAAACTTGAAATTCAGCCTGTTTGACCGACCCATGCCAAATCCTAATTATTCTTTAATTTTAAACTTTCTATTTGAAAATAAAAAATTGTGAAAGAAAAGAGATGACTCAATTCGTCATTTGCACATCACTTATTCGGGAATAAAACCATAGAAATTCATAAGGAACTGAAAATATTTAGGATCGTTTTAATGTTTAAAATAACCAAATAGATCTTTCTGTTTAGTTTTTTACTAACAAATATCAAACGATTCCCTATAAAATACACTATAATTTGATCATTATGATATCAAATAATTATATAATATATATTTGAAATGATAAAAATTGGACTAATTGGGTTGGTCGAGGTTGAACCATTGAATAACTTTAAAATACATTATATTTTAGCCACTAAGATATAAAATAATAGCATAATATATATTATGCCAGAGAAAATAGCTTGTTTTAGAATGACAAACTAATTGTGTTCATTTGTTTTACTTGATGGCCAAATCCCGTGTAGGTCAGACCCATTCAACTCTTTTATTTATGGTTAGCGGTTAGCCATTAGATACCATTTATTAGTTTATTGTTAAATTTTTTTATTTTTAACAATAAAAAGGAGTATTATTTTTGCCTTTTCATATATATTTTATCACCACAGAGAAATAAAAGGGCTTAAAGAAAAAAATTGAAACTCTTGGACCCGTTTAAATCCGCATGTGTACGGTAAGTTGGCCCGTTCCATAGAGGAAAGAGAAAAAAATTGACACTCCCTATTCTACCCTTCCTACAAACGCTCATGGAGCAGGGAATTTGAAATGGGGGAAGAGTTTTTTTCTCCCTGCTATTATATGTTTTTAATTTAAAAAGATACAACAAATCTACTTAGTGTGATTGGTTATGATCCTAGCTTTTCTATAAAATGGTCATGGTTTGAATCCCAGTATGTGTCTTTTTAATGAAACTTTCACTCTCGTTGCAGGAAATTTGAAATGTGGAGTATAGTAGAGTAGATAGATAGATTATAGATAAGACACAACCCCACTAGAGAAATGCACACACCTGTTAGATTATTTTTTTTTTACTTCGCCACCATTTCTTTAGAAAGACGCAACGAGTTTAACGTGGTTGGGTAGTTTCCATGGTATCAGAATCCACGTTCACAATCAGCTTCATCTGGGCTCGTCATTCGTTGGTCAGGAATCTGCCATATGAAGATCTTGATACAATTTGGTGCGCCTTCCATTTTCAGTTTTTCACACTTAGCTTCCAGATTAGGGATGACAATTACCCACCCATGGGTAATTTTACCAAAATCCAAATAGATCCATTTAGTATGGGTAGGGTTTGGATGAAGTGTATATGGGTTTGGGGGTTTGTAGATGGGTTTGAGTTAGGTTGGATATTGCTTTCATTATGTAAATGAGTATGAGTTGGATATGGATATTCATTTACTTGATGGTGTTTTAACTGCACACACAAAAATTGGACCTATTTGTAAAACTCGAAAAGTTTAGGTACCCAAAATGTAAGACCAAAAAAATTTAGGTACTAAAATATAATTTTCCATCAATATTTTGAGGACTTATATGCAAAAAAAATTAAATTTAGGTACTAAATATGCATATCTATTAAGTTTAGGTACCAAACTGTAATTTCGCTTTGGACATGGGTACAAACCCAAATCCATGTGTTAAAAACCCAACCCAACCCAACCCAAGTAAATGGGTATGAATACAATTATACAAATCCATCTAACTCTACCCATCTATCATTTATTTGGAATCCATACCCAACCCAATTGGGTTGGATAGTAAAATACCCATGGGTATGGGCAAAATTGCCATCCCTATTCCAGATATTGGAAGGTTCAACATCAATATCTTACGCTACCATCTTGTATGATTATTTCGACCTAAACCTTTTGTCACATTCCATACCCTAAGACTAAATTATCAGCAAAAGAAAATATGGGATAGGGCAATTCCTCCCTTGGATAAATAGATAGGTTTCCGGTTTCTTTCAGGACCCTCCCTATGAATACTATGAATTAGATGCTCAATAAGCAACCTAAATAATTAGATCTCCAACGATCGTCATATGATGACAGCCTAACAACAAAATTAATTAGCAACAGTTCTGAAACTACAAAAATAGCTGGTAATTATTACTTTATTTATGTATTTTTATTTATTTATTAATTGTCACATGGACTGACTGACACACACTGGCTGGGACCAAAAAGGACGAAACGAAAAACAATTATTAAAAAACAAACGAACGGACGGACGAGAAGCAAATCCAGCTCCGATCACGTCCGGCCCCACACAACCATGCATAATCATCAGACAACGTACAATATTAATCATACATAATCATAGTCTCCGGCCGGCCAGCCGGATCCATGTCTTGCCCTGATAATCTAGTTTCCCGGCCGGCGGCAACGTTCTTTCTTCATCATCATACCCATGTGCAACCACCACCAGCTTTTGTCCTCTTCCCGACAACAACAACAACCACAGCAGCCACAAGAAGCATTCCAACTCCCACCACGGCTCCCGACGTCGCCGTCACTCCCGTCCCAACGGTCACCTTCTCAGCCAGCTGCATGCCCCAATATTACACCAATAATTCAGCACAAAACAACACAAGTGGTACACTACACTTCATTCCTATATATACAACCACGTGCTAGCTAGATCTTGTTGTTAGGAAAGGATTTGTTAAATCTCTTATGCGTCCTCTCAAATGAAAATCGATGCCGAATTGTGAATTTTTACAGTTTGCACAGGTCGAGGCCTTGTGCCGCTAGGAATGGCATTGGGTCGGGTTGGGGGCGGATAATGCATATTCGTTGCCCTACCCAAAGTAGTTCGAGTATTACCAATACCCATACCCGCATGAGAAATGGGTAGAAAATAAAAAACCATGCCCATACCCATTCGGGTTTCGGATATCCATGGTTATTCATGGGTAATAATTTCTCTTTATAACTCCAATCAATATGTTAACATTCACATATATACTCACATTGCGTAAGAGGAAAAGTATAATAATTCACTAGAATAAAGAAAATTAATTAAAATAAAATAATTTCATAAAAATATTATATTTATATGCTAAATATAAAACATGTTAGAGAAAAATAATGATTATTTCTAGAAAAAATACATACGCATGTGTATAATCGGGCGGGTTTGGGTTGGATAGTGAGAAACCGATAACCCATTGCTAGCAATTTTCGGGTTCGGGTTTTACCCGTACCCACTAAAAGTCATTCGGATTCGGGCGGATATCCACGGTTGCGGATATTTTTGTCATCCCTATTTGCTGCTAAATCACGAGACTTTAGTTTGCACAGGTTGGACATACCATCGCTTGCGCTAAACAAATGGGGGCATTAAATATGGGGGATCGTAATGAGAATTCGAAACCATAACTTTTCAGTTCTACGTTCTGATACCATGTTAACGAACTAACCACTTAGTCCCACTAAATCAAATTGTCGCGGCAAACATGTTTGTTAAGCCTTTTAATTTCTTACATACGTATCATGTATCAGTTACGTACGTACGTACCAAGGAAGGAAGGCGCAGGAAACTAGTGGCAGCCGGAGGAGTAGTAGGGCGGCGGTCGGCGACGAGGAGGTAGAAAAGGCCCATGACGCCGGTACGTCGGCGGCCGGCGGTGTAGACGGTCTCGTGAACGATCATCTCACCGTCGTTAATCCAGACGGATCCCGGTTCAGGCTGACACGTGGAAATCCCGACAATGTAACCTTCCTCCTCTCCTTCGCCGTAGATCGGCTCCGTCTTGCACAGAACCCGGCCGTCCTGATTGAACAAAAATATTCCACCGTCGGTTCAAATCATCATTACATAGTACAGAGAATAAAACGTAACGGAACCCCACTAAGGTTAAAAGGAAGGAAGAGCCACGCACCTGTCCATATATGGTGGAGTTTATGGCCCCGCCGTGGAGGTGGGTGAGCCCAAAAATAACGTCGCCGCCGTTGGGCATCGGCACTATGGTTTTTTGGAAGTCGGCACATCTCTTGTCGTCGTCGTCGTCTTCTGGTGCAATAATGTTGTTCTTCGGTCCCTTCACGTGGCAGCTCTCCACCATGTATTCAAGCTGCAATTGATAATAATAATAATAATAAGCTTGATCGATGGTTTTGGAAAAAAAGGAATAAACTTTTTTAGGTGAAGATATCACTTGGAAATGATTGATGTCACTAGCTGGCCATTATTGAATATCATGAAATTTTTCGGGGATCGCGGTTGAGTATCGTACCAAATTTACTATTATTGGTATAATTGAATATCAAGAAATTTTATAGAACTGGGATTGAGACTGATTTTGGATTGTTATTATTTCTTATTAGAGAGTATAAACATGGGATCGATCGGCATATACAAAAATATTAAAAAGTATCCAAAATTATAATTAATTAACATAGCTCACAACCTCTGGTCCTTCCTTACTCTTTTGACAACTAGCAATCTCCATCCAATCCAACCCAAGCCTGGCTTTGCAGTTTCTCGGGTCATCCTCGGCCCTTCTTACTCAACCAATCTCTTGTCATTTTCATACATCAACAGAAAATAAACACTCTTTTTAGTCGTGTCTCATGGGAAAAAACCGAGATATCACCATCAGCTCTCATGCATTAGCTCCAGACAAACTCGAGACACTGTGTCGAGTCTCTTAGATCCCAAATGAAAACTTGTGATGAATCCATTTTAATGAGAATTATGTTAGTTTTTATTAGAGTTTTTTCACCTCAACTTCCCATCACCAAGATTTTTCAATCCTGAAATTAAACCTAACAAGCCTTCCTTGTATAAAAATGTTCTAGATTTGGAGGAGTGTTCGAACTATTATTTATTTACTTATCTATTTGATTATAAATTACGAAGAATACAAAATATTTTGAGATTAGAATACAAAATTTGTAAACTCTATCTTATTCCATTTCTAATGCATTGTCGCCATTATAAAAAAAAAAAAAACTTCATCCTGCATTGTTTTTATTTCCATCGTCATTTTGGTGACATCTCTTATCTTAGTTATCTAGTTCTAGCCTGTTGGTTTCTTTCTTTCCTTTTGGTACCCACTTTTTTTTTTTTACCAAATTCATGAAGAAAAAATAAAAAGTAAACCTAACAGTGTACGAGAAGCTGACAAAGACAGGCAAAAAAAATTAAATTCACGATCATCAGTATTCTTACCCCGCAATCATGCTCCGCCGTGACCGCGCCGGTTTCAGGACTCACCTTCAACTTCATCTCATCGGTGATATCAAAGATGTAAACCCTAACCGGAACAATCGACGGTTCCCACTCGGTCCACGTCATCGAGTACCTCAACCGAATCATCCTCGCCGGCGCGTGGAATCCCTCCTTAATCTTACAGCGCGTGTGCGCGTAACAGCACGACAGCCCTCCGTAATAATCGTCCGGCAGCGGCTCCCCGAACTGGTCCAGCTCCCGGCCCAACCCGTCCACCGAGACATTGTACAAATCCCTCCTGCACTCCGTGCACCCGAACTGGTCCACCGCGCCGCGCGTGTCGATCGCGTGGACCATCAGCAACCACTTCTCGTCGAATCTGTTGGGCACCGCGGAAATATGATGAGATTTTTAGCGGAATGGGTAAAGGTGGTACTAAAAATTACTAATCATCGTCCTAACTTAATACGTAATTTATCAAATTGTCCATTATGAATTTCAAAATCAAACACAAAACAAACAACCCCTCCCCCTTCCATAAATCTAAAAAAAAAAAAATTAAACCAAAATCCAACCAATATGAACCGAACCATAAATCGTAGCAAAAGAATAGAAAATTATTAACATAAACCGAAAAACCAAAAAAATAAAACCCCCAAAAACGCCTCAACCGAAGCCAATTTTCGATTGTACCAAGGCTCAACCGAAGATAGTTTCAGTTGGTCCATGATACAACCGAAAATTGGCGTTGGCTTAACCATGGTAAAACCAAAAATTGGATTCGGTTGAGGGATACAATTTTGGAATTTTTACCTCGTCGGAGTCGTTACTCATTATTCGTACGTGTTCTCGACGATTACGACTCCAGAATGTCAACGATGAATTCGAGAGTGTGAGAGATTGAGTGTTGTTCTTTTTTTCAGTTAAAATGATATTTGTTTGCTAAAGAAAACGTAAAGATGCCAAAAAATTAAAAATGTAACTTTATTATTTTTTAGGGCGATCATTATTAATTTTAAACACAAACTTTGTCTAACTTCCACATTCTTAGGATATTAAGAGTTAAGACAGAGCAATAATATTGGAGTGAAATAATTTACGAACCCGGTGGGAATCTGGGCCGGGTCGCCGATCTCCATCCCGTACGGGTCGGGGACGACGTAGGGCGTGCTCTGCATCTCGGTCCCGAGGCCGAGGTACTGGCCGAGGATGTCGGTCTGGCAGATGCCGTCGTTCCGGCGGTAGACGAAGCCGCCGGTTTCGGAGTAAGGGAGGGTTTCGGTCTCGAGGACGGAGGGGATGGAGTAGTTGCGTGCCTGGTAGTAGCGGGACATGGAGGAGTGGTGGAGGTAGACCTCGTGGAACGGGATGACGTTGTCGTCGTCGTCGACGAGGTCAGCGCGGAAGGTCTTGACGGCGAGGTGGCCGGTGGGGAAGTCGACGCCGTAGAAGTAGTCGAAGACGACTTTTCCTGGGGTCATTTCGAACGGCGGGGAGTAGAAGGAGCCCGATTTCAGCTCCGGTGACGCTTCGGCAGCTGCCGTCGCTAAAAGTACCGTTGCTAAAGACAGCAGCAGTAGTGTGTTGGCCATTCTGCTAAAGCTCGCTAGCTAAGCTCACTTCACAATTAAGCCACTTACATATATGTGTGTGAAGTAAAAAGTGGGGAAAGGGGATCGGCAACTGGAAGCCGCGGTTTCCTTGAGGTTGATATGAAGGATGGAGATGCAGAACTGATTGTCAATTTTATAGTAGGTGGATTGATGGTGGTGGTCCAAGAAGCTTTATTAATGGAGCTACTTCCTCCAACCAAGCATATGGTCCATGCGACTATTGGAGAGTGATCATTTTTGTTTTTCCTTCATTTTTTTAGGTTCACGTCAATTCACTTATTTCCTATTTTGGTTAGTATAAAGTAGGGGTGGCAGTTCGGTTACCGGTTAACCGACCGGTTATTTACTAATCGATAATCAAAGTAACCGAATTTTGGTCGGTTATCGGAAGCTGGCAAAAATGGATTTTGGTCTTAAAAGTGGTTCGGTTAATCAATAACCGAGATAATCAAGAAACCGAAGCCTATTTCGGTCGGTTTTGGGTAAGGGGGGTGTATTTCGGTTAACCGATAACCGACCAATCAGTTACGGTTAGGACCGAAATAACCAAATTGCCAGCCCTAGTCTAAAGTGTAGGTTAAAAACATTGAAAACTAAAACCATTTCCAAGGGTATGCCAAATGGATAGTCTTAGTTCTTTGGCACTCTAATTTTTTTTTGTTTTAATAGAGTGCGACAGTGCCAGACTTTCATTTTTTCGGCTAATGTAGTGTGAATTTTACAATTTTATTCGATAGTTAGTAGGGATGGTAATGGATAGGGTCGGGTGCGGGTTTACCCTATACCAACTCCTAACCCGTCGGGTAGAGCCTTCTAAATTACTAGATCAAATAACCATCAGGTATGAAAATTATATAACCATACCCTACCCATCGGGTAACCACGGGTATTCGGGTAACCATGGGTACGAATCCTAAACTATGAAGTCATACACATATATGTACATACATACTGTTGTCCATTAAAAATTCTTAATACTTGTAATTGTTCTAGCTTCAACAATTAGGGATGGCAATGGGTCGGGTTGGGTCGGGTTTTGCCAAACCCAAACCCATGGGTTTATCTTTGAAAAAACCCGGGGTAAAACCCATTGGGTTTGAAAAACTCAAACTCAACCCAACCCGTTGGGTATCCGCGGGTTCATGGGTACCCACGGGTTTTGTCGTAAAAAATTTACAATTACAAGTTCTTATCAAAATGAAAGTAAAATATCAATCTCTCAATACAAATTATCCATATATAAAACACCATTCTAGAAGATTCAAACAAATCACAAATTAACTATACAAATTGTTCAACGCCAATCTAGAAAACTCAAGAAAATTGAAACAAATCACAAATTATCCATAAATAACATATTTAATTGAAAGCTTCTTTCTTTCAATTAAGTTTATTTACTCTCCACTCCATAACATCAACTTCATTCTACACAATTGAAAAGAAAAAATTAGACATGTCTCCACAAACATAAATAAGAATAGTTGTTTAGAATATTAAATATACCGAAAAATTAAAAATATGAGTGTGCGGGTACCCACGGGTCGGGTTTACCTAAACCCAAACCCAACCTGATGAATAGTGAACGGGTTTAAACCCAAACCCTGCCCAAAACCCGTCAACACGAATTTTACCCGCGTTGACCGGGTTGGGTCGGGTGGGTACCCATGGGTTCGGGTTTTGTTGCCATCCCTATCAACAATCCACACAAATAAAAACAGCAAACACATAATAATTGTTCTTGCTTCTACAATCCACACAAACATAATAATCGTCTACATCTTCATCACCAATAATAGTAGCTAAACTCAACTTCTCAAGCTAAACTAAATTTTTCAAGGGAAATTGACCCTTTGGTTAACGGGGCGGGTATAACGGGACGGGTATTATCGATTACCATACCCATACCCTACCCTTTATTTTGAAACCGGGTATTACCCGTACCCGCCCCTTAACCCGTCAAAGCGGGTAATTACCCTCGTTGACCGATTACGGTCGGGTAGGGTATCCATGATTACGGGTTGGATTGACATCCCTAATAGTTAGTAGATATTATTATATAGGTAGTAATAATTAATTAATATGAATATTTGAATATAATTTTTTTTAGTTCGGATATGAAATTAAAATTCAAATCACCTACTCCACTAAAAACAATTGTAATTATCTACAAACGTGTCAATTTGATATTATTCATGCCCAATTGTTCAGTTCAAATTTTACGCAGCTAAATAGATTAAGTTGATCAAGGGTTCATTTGGAAGTTATGATTCTAGATGAATGATTCTTTGAATTCATGTATTCTGGAGAATCCATCGTTTATTTTTTGTTCCAAAACTATATCCAATACATGCATTTAAGATGGACCCTCAAATCTTATATCACCGACAATCACTCATTTTAAATCTCAACAAAAATGTGAGATACCTCATATCACCGACAATCACTCATTTTAAGGTATCGGTTGCTTGCGGGATTTGGGTGATGGATTTGGACATTTGGCATCCAAATCCCAAGCATCAAGAACTTGACATAAATCCATTGTTTGCTAAAAGACACAAATATGTGGGGCCCACGGATTTGGACACTTTTTTTAGAGCCAAATCCGTGGACCCCACGGATTTGCAAATCCCACATTTCATTTGGGATTTGATAATGGAAGGGGGAAATGTGAGACAAATCCATCATAAATTTATAATAAAAACTAACTAAACAAACAATGTACCCTTCCAAATCCATAATGCACCAAATCCATCATAAATCCAAAGGTTTTGAAAACACAAAACCCTCATTTTCAAATCCAACAAGCAAACGAGACCTTAAATCTCAACAAAAAATTTAAGATTCTTCCTTTGATATTATAAGCTTTAATTTGTTCCACTTTTAGCCCGTACAATGGTTTTTTCTTTTCATTAAATTTTTTGAATGGATAGAAACAAACAAGACATTTTTTCAATCTTTGTATTTACAATACATATATTCATCAAATAAATATATTTGAACAATCTCAACTTCCAAACGACCCCAAAATTGTCTAAAAACAATTGTCAACAACCCCCAAATTGTCTCCAATTGACAACAACCCCCAAATTGTCAATTGTCTCAAAACAAGACAATTGAATCAAATTGGTCTGATAGAACTCCTACCCCTAAGTACTACTATGCTCTATTTTTAACGTGCGCCATTTCGTTCATATGGTAGCGAACTAACGATGCAAGGACGAAAAATAGGAGTCAGAACCAAATGGCAATTTATAAATAGACCATAGCACAAGGCGAACTTCCAAATGAACTCAATACACAAGACGCGACAATGCAATTCATTTCGACTCTTTATCATTTCAATCGGCCGGTGAATATCTGTTGCCCAGAAAATGCCCCAAATATATATCAAGGCGATGCTCAAAACTGAAGTGGCATGTAATGTAAACACAGAAACACATTTAAAAGCCTATTAAACCATCTCTAAATCTGCACTTTTGTTTAAGCGAAAGTACCGTTCTACAGAGCTCGGGGAAAGGGAATCGACATCATCTTACAGCCCGAAATCGTACACCACAATTGTATCAGTGATTCAAAAGGTTGCACACCTCCAAGGCCCTATAAGGAGACTTGCATACATACTAGCAGGAAGTTAACTACACATTGATTAGCTTTTGGTACAAAGTACAGACCACAGCGTACATCAGCATCGTCTTCCCCACAGAGCTACTCTCAGCAGACAAAAAAAACGTGGAGCTAGGTAGATAAAGCTGAGTTCCACAGTCCCTCAAGCTCAGACATCAAAACCAACATGCGACCAATTCAACGGGAGACTTACCTGCAACAGTTGTAGAATTCGGACTCCTTTTCGAGTGGAGCAGTGGCTATAAGCCAGGCAAACAAAGCCCGAGGCTTCACTGAGGTTAGGATGACTGGTCCACTTGGAAGAGAAAAAAAGGCTCTCCAAACAACCAAGGACACAGAAGATTCTCAGTGAAGGTTCATTCTATTCGACAAGGCAGTCCAAAGTCCTCGGCAAGTGACAAATGAAGAACCACTTTGACACAAATATCAATCACAGATGCATATATTTGTGCATTAGACACATAAACCTTGGAGAAAGCTGTAAAGATCTAAGATTACGAAATCAAATAAACGAATTAACGGGTGAAGGACAAAGACATACATCCATACAATTTGGTTGACGGTTTCAAACTTCATCATGGTTTAAGATAATGGCACATAAATGACCCTACTTCCATGGAACCAAACCCTAGAAAACGAAAACCAAAAGGGGATATGCTTTGACAGGACTCGACTTAAAGTGCTTCTGAAAAACTGGCATATAAATAACCCTACCTCCATGGAACCAAACCCTAGTAAACCAAAACCAAAAGGGGATTTGCTTTGACAGGACACGACTTAAAATGCTTCAGAATAAGCCAAGAATCCAATTGCTTGGTTTAAGATATCTTAAAAGTTAAAACCATCAACTCGACATCTGTAAACTTTTGACTTCCAGGAACAGATGCAAGTACCTGCCAGAAGTGTTTGAAGCAGCTCTCTTTTAAGTAAACTCAACAGAACCCAATTGAATTTGAGGGCAGCGCAATCCCAATAGAATGAGGGTGTCGCATCATAGCCTGGAGATTTCAATCAAACAGAAGCATCTAGACAAGTGGCGTCCCAAAAGAATTTGAGGGCGTCGCATCATAGCCGGGAGAGTTCAATCAAACAGAAGCATCTACAGAAGTAGTACGATGGGACCTCAACCATTCAAAATTGAAGATCCCAAACGCAGGGGCAGCAGATAATGAAACTGGAAGTGCAGAACCACACAACCAACGGGAGATTGGAAGCAGAAGCAGATGCAGACGAAACCTCAACACAAAAGAAAAGCACAGTCTTTAGCATCACCACAAGGAACAATCCAGCTCAAATAACTAGTACGACTCCCTACAGATACTTCAAAATATGAAAAACAAACAAAAACCCAGAGTGACTGTAAACCAACATACACACAGTAAGAAGAAAACTTATCCAAGTCCAAGATGCAGAAGCCAACATAGCCGTAGTGAAGCGCAATACAATAAACATGTCTAATCCATTTAGCTCTCAACGAAGCTATGATAGTAAAATCTCTAACTCCTGCTCCGGCGTCTTTCCCTCAGACCATTGCTGCAAAGAAACAGAGACAGCGATATGTTAGGGGAAAAAAATAATAATAATAAAGCACAAGTATTCCTGACAAAATCAAAATCAAGTTCACAATGCTTAAACAATCATTTTACAATGGCGAAACTAAGACAATAACAACTAAAGTTTATACAATTTTTTTTTTGGAATGAAACATGGTCTTTTGTTAATGGTCGCCATGAAATTATAAGAGATAAAGTTGTAGAAACTTCACCCATTGGTATAGGGTGGTGCCTCTTCGCGCCCACGGTATGGTGGTGGCGACCTGCTGAGGCTGCGGCGGGGTGAATCAGCACGGCGTCTAGGGGATCTTCCTCCTCGAGGACTGTAACTCCTACAACAAAGCGGCCGATTTCAGACCAACAACTCACATAGGTCGATAAAAAGGAGAAGGATACAGAAGTTTGTTCCACGCATCACCTTCGGCCATAACTGGGACTCCTTCTGTATCTAGGACTGCGGCTTCGTCTTCTTCCTGATCCACCACGTGAGTTGCATTCACGTGCAAAATGACCTGGCTCCCCACACTCGTAGCACTTCAAATCTGAACCTCCAAACCGACCTCCACCTCTACCACCTTCACCTCCACCTCTACCACCACCACCACCTCTTGAGTTGTGGGACATCTCAACTCTCCATCCATTTTTACCTGGATAACATCATATGATTATAGTATATAAATAAATTTGTAGCAAAGAGCCAGGCAGATAGATGTGCAATTTCTCAACCAAGAGTATAGTTTCATGTCCGACAAAGAGAAACCCGTAAACAAAAAACAAAGGTGCACTCAAGAAGCGATAAGGCATCCAAATCGAGAACGAAATAGTAGACAACACCATTTACAAGACTTCAATATATAACCACAAGAAGCAAAAGGTGAAAACAGCCACTTCGGATAACAGAAAGAAAAAAACTTATACCATCTAACTCATGAATAGCATCCTGAGCATCCCTTTTGTCATCAAAGTCGATAAAAGCATAACCTGGAGGTCGTCGGGCAACCCAAACACTGCAAGTACGACAACAAACAATCCAAATGAACTAAGAGCCAACCACAGAGATAACACCAACTTCTGATACAACAACATCATTACTGTGCTATCCATACTGCAATTGAAGCACGATTCTCAGATGTAAAAAAGGTTGTGGATAGGAAAGGGAACAAATAATCAGCAAGAGTTTAACCTTCTGATCACACCGAATTTCCGGAATTCATCCTCAAGCTCACGCTCACTAACCCGAGGATCCAAATTACCCACGTAAACACGAGACATTGCGTCAATGAAATCTGCCGAAACAAGAACCAACGAAAGGTCAAACAAGAACCACAACAGCTAAATCTTCCCAGTACCCACCTGAAGCTCAAGAGCTTCGTGATTTTGACATCTATCACAAAAGACTTGAACCTTTCGAGAAACCCCCCAAAAAGGACGACGCAAAAACAGACAGACTATCGGCAGCGCGCTAAACCATGAAAATGACAAATTCAAAATCTTCGCCGAATCAAACATGGCGCTGTCAGCAAAGCGGAAGTAAGTTTTTTCGTGAGAGTTACCTGGCGAGAAGAGGAAATCGCAGACACGAGAGTGGACGAGAAAGAAAACCCTAGCTGTTCAGTTCCGCTTCTCCCTGCTCTTCGTTTCTATTTGGTCCGACTCTTTTGAGATGAGAGGTTTGACTTTTGAGAGAGAGTTTGTTTATGTGGCCTCTTCGTAGATTTAGTAGGAATTGTGTCGATCACGCAGCGTGATTGGGCGAACTCAAGTCGGAAAGAAGACATATATCGGGCCGGTCTTCTTTCCCTTGTGCGCTGGGCTTTGGTGGCATAATCTTGGGCGGGCTTTAGGACCCAAGAAAGACTTGAGGCCCAACCACTAGGCAGACGGGTACTTTATTTTTCAAATATATATATATATATATATATTTTTTTTGAGTCTAGTCTCTACTCTCTAGAGGTGAGTTAGGTGACTAGGGGTAAGGGGTGTGCAATTATATCGGACCCCATCGGACCAAACCAAAGTTTCGATCGGACCGTATCAGATTGAGTATAATGCATTACGGTCCTTGGTCCACGTGAAGTTTACAATTATTGAAGAAATGATGGACGGAGCTGATATTTAGACCGAATCGAACCAGACCAAATGGACCAAACGCAATAATGGTTCGATCCTTGAGTCTGCTAAGATGCTTTTCACTAATGAATCACGGTTCTAGTGAGTTTGGTCGGTTCGGACCGGACCAAATTGTTCCACACCTCTAGAGGTGACGATCTTTTCTTTTCTTTGGAAGTGCTACACTTCTTTGTGCATGGTCAAACCAGACAAATGGTAGGGTTCATGTGCCGCTACGATATTTTTTCCAGATTCATTTCATTGACAAATGCTGATGGTAGAGATCTTCCATGTTAAAATCGCCTGCCTACCGACTTAGACTTCGATAAACAGTTTTTTTTTCCGTTCCGACCATCATACGGTAAGATTTTGCAAACACCGTCGTACGCCGAGATCCCGTAGAAGATGATACTTAATGCTTGTTTGATAGCCATTGAGGTTGTCAAACCGATTTATGCCGGTGTGCCGGTTTTGTAAGTGGAATGGTTTGACTGTGGTACAACCAGTATTCATGTCGGTTGTGCCGGTTTTAATAAAATACAGGAGGAAAATGGAAATCCTCAATTCCAAATAAATTAGTCATGAAAAAGCAATTAGAAGAATTATTTCACACAAAATAATTTATAGCTAAGAATTGATAACTAATACAAACAATTAGATGCTTAAAAATAAAATTTTATTACATGAATTTTATTAATGTTTATAATGATTTGTGTAAAATTTTGTGTAAAATTTAGCATTAGATATATAACATATAAGGTTAATATAGACAACAAAATTGCTTGTAGCCTACTGGTTTGTAAGTTAAACTAAAATGAACATGAGGTACTTGGTTCTAATCCTATGGAGGATGTTTATTTTTTAATATAATGTGTGTAAAATTAAATTCCGGTTTCTGGTCTAACCGGCCGGAATTTCCGGATTTGACCGGCATTGACCGGATTTGACCACAGGTAAATACCGGTACCGGTTGAACCCGGTTGAACCGGCCGGCATGAGACCGGTTTGACAACCATAGTGCAGAGCAAAGGGTTCCCCCATTCCTTTTCCACGTTATAAACTCGATGCTAATTAACTAGAAGAGGTTTTCGCCCTCCCAACAACGAAATTACGTACATATAATACCAACATACACGTGCGACGGATCTGATAAATCAATCTTCGATAGTTAGAAGAATTTCCCAACAACTGAATAACTATACCCAACATTCAGGCACGATGGATAATCTTTTTCGTCAACTAGCTTTGTCTCCCAGTCCGCCGGCTCCAAAGTCTGAGCAGTTACGTACTGGTAACTAATAACTATCATGAGACTGATACTAATCAAGAACTGGAGGCTAATTAACTTGGCAATAAGCATATCACGTTTTGTGTATAAATACGGTCTCACTTCAGTTCAGTTTCTTCATTATGCCTTCCACCATTAACATATATATATAGCTTTCGATTTACAGTTTGCCTAGCTCCCTAGATCGGAAGAATGATGACAGCCGCACGACACTCGATGGCCGGCGTTCTCGTCGCAGTCGCAGTCTTCTGCCTGTTCTCCGGCCATCCCTGCGCCGGGGAAACGGGCACTGCCACCTTCTATACTCCTCCTTACATACGTAAGACCCCATTTCATTTGCTTGCGTATTTGGGAGAGAATCGGGATATTTTATCATTTTTTCTCTCGTGATCTCGCTAACCCTACTGCGTTCTTCAACTACAAAAATCGAGACGTACATTGAACATATGCAATGGTTTCACGTTTTGTGTGTATACAATTTTAGAAGAATTACATATTGGGGGAACACGTTAGCTTATAATAAATAAAATCTTTAGCTTATTTTGGTAAATGTCTATGGAAAATACCAGACATATATGTTGAATTGCAAATGTTTATGAAAAAAAATACTACGCATTTCGATGCTTTTAGCGTTGATTTATTTGCTTAAAAAATTTAATCACTTACACAACTTTCCTTTAGTACCAAGCTGGATTTTTTTACTTAAAAGTACATCTAACATATTGTGAGAACACGTTAGCTTATAATAAATAAAATCTTTAGCTTATTTTGGTAAATGTCTATGGAAAATACCATACATATGTTGAATTGCAAATGTTTATGAAAAAAAAAAATACTACCCATTTCGATGCTTTTAGCGTTGATTTATTTGCTTAAAAAATTTAATCACTTACACAACTTTCCTTATTACCAAGCTGGATTTTTTTTTACTTAAAAGTACAGTTCATCGGATCCAATCCAATCATAAACAAAATGCAGGGTTCTAAACTTTTTGAATGAATTTGATCTCTCAGTATATATTCTCCAAACCAAACGGTATGAGTTCGCGTGAATGATTAAAATGATCAGACCTGAACCGCCACCAGACTCACACGTACACTCTTTGCATAAACTATATTAGCCCATATATCATATGCCTTAAACTTTGAAAGCAAACTTCTCAACTGTGTTGTCATGTCGCAGCGTCGGCGTGTTACGGGTACGTCGAGCAGAGCGAATTCCTAGCCGCAGCAAGTGAGGACTTGCCGTGGAACGGCGGAGGTGCTTGCGGGAAGAAGTACAAGGTGACATGCTTGAGCGGGACGAATCTAGGCGTTGATGTTCCGTGCAAGGAAGGCCGGAGCGTGACGGTGACGATCGTCGACCTGTGCCCTGCCGGCTGCCGAGGCACCATCGACTTGTCGGCGGCGTCTTTCGCCGAAATTGCCGATCCCGACGAAGGGAAAATTAACATCTCCTATGAAGAGTACGCCACATATATTGATTGATTAATTATCTCTGTTACTACTTTCAATCTTTCAGATATCCTTGCACTCATCATAATCACTCACTAACAATAATATACGTTCCTTCGTTCATTTCAGGGTCTAGATTTAAAAGGACTCTTCGCTTTCCCAGGAGACTTTCGTCGTGATGATACCATCCATCACACTCTGAATTCGAACTAAATAATCGCGTACTATATAAAAATAATTATCCGGTGGTTATGGCCGGATTTAAAACTAAGTATAGTCAATAATAATTACCTGAAAAGGATCAAGCAACGTAGATGGGAAAATGCATGGAACAACTGGAAGATACATACGTCATCAGTGGCTTGAGGTTATGATCGATGATGTACTTCACACATTTAACTAGTAGCTAGCTGTGTTTCCTCTCTTTTTTATTTCTTGGCTGCCTTTTCATACAAGCGATATCGACCAACAACAATGTTGCAATTTCCACAAGTGTTATTGTTTTGTTTTGTTATCGAAATTAATATTAAATACACGATAATTATTAAGATCAGTCGAGTTATAACTAGGGGTGTAATCGTTTCGTTCCGGTTCGGACCAAACTCGGGATAATCGTGGTATATTTGGTGAAATATATTTTAGGATTAAGGACTGGATCAATAGCATATTCGATCCGGTTTGGGTTCGGTCCCAATATCAACTTGGTGCATTTTTCTAGTATTTATAAAATTCACAGGACCAAGGACCGAACCATATTATATTCAGTTCAGTATGGTCCGGTCCAAACATCGGTTTAATCCAATGCAGTCTGACAAAGACCAACTTGTTGCACATCCCAATTGTGATAGCAATGCATATCTTAGGATAACCCTTGAATTTGGAACTTCTTTTCGTTACAAGGACCAAATTTTTCCCTTAGAGCATCAGCATCGGTCAGTTTTTGCAATTGCAAATTGACGTGGGATGCTTATTTGGCATTGCAAATATAATTGCATTAGTGTAGGCTTCAATTGCAATTTTGCAATCTTGCATATAATTAATGCTAAGTGGAAGTGAAAGCCAAGATGGCTAGTTTATTGGGAATGATGTGTTGTTTTTTTCAAATTTTTTCCTTTTCCTTTTTGTTTTATATGTGAACTAGAAAGGATGAAGCTGGATGGAAGGAAGTTAGGAAAAAGCTGGGTTTCTATGATGGATGTGGGGTGGAAGCCCGAAATGATAGGGGTTGGAAAGCAGGGGGGCTGTGTTTATTTTGGACCGAGGAGGTTTCTATCTCTCATCTTTCCTCTTCTCTCCACCATATCGATACTGTAGTTAGGAATGAAGTTGATGGATTGCAATGGAGGTTAACCGGTTTTTATGGATGGGCTGAAAGAGGCGAAAGGTTTAAGTCTTGGGATTTACTCAGAAACTTAAGTGCTGTGAACTCATTGCCATGGGTTTGTATTGGAGATTTCAATCAAATTGTGGCAGGCAATGAAAAAAGAGGAGGCAGATTGATAAATGAAGCTCAAGCAAATGATTTTAGGGACTCCTTGGAGTATTGTGGTTTGTTGGATTGTGGTTTTCAGGGCTATCCATTCACCTGGGACAATAGCCGCACTAATATGAACTTTGTCGAAGAAAGGCTGGACAGGTGTGTGGCAAATTGGGATTGGAAAATCCTCTATCCTAAACACCAAGTGATGCATTTGGATAGGTGTGGATCCGATCATTGTCCCATATTACTGTATACTGCGGGAAAGGATGATGAGGAAATCAAATGGGGATGGTATTTCCGCACGGAAGCTTTTTGGCTAGAAGACCCAGAGAGTGCAGCCATTGTTAAGAAAGCTTGTGAAGAGGCCCCGAATGGGGATATCCAGGCCATTCTGAGAAAATGCAGAGCAGAGTTGCTGAGTTGGAGTAAAAGGAAATTTGGAGACATTCGAAAGAAAATTGACAGACTTCTGAAAGCTCTCAAATATAAATCCAAGACTGAGGTTGTGATGGAGCAGAGGAGAAAGCTTGAAGAGGAGAGGACAGAATTGATTAGACAAGAAGAACTACTGTGGAAACAAAGATCAAGGATTGATTGGCTAAGAGGGGGAGATAAAAATACGAAGTTTTTCCATGCAAAAGCCACGGCAAGAAGGAAGAGGAACACTATTAAGATACTCAGAGATGAGGGAGGCAGGCTGTTCAAGGGGCAGAAGGAAGTTACTCGATGCCTCAATGATTTTTACAAGTCCCTCTTCACCAGAGGTATTTTACCTAACTCTGATTATGTTCTACAGGCCTTGCATCGTAAAATCACCCCTGAAATGAATGAGAATCTTTTGAAAACCCTTAAATGTGATGAAATAAAAGAAGCTCTTGATCAAATGGGGCCAACAAAAGCCCCGGGGTCTGATGGTTTCTCTGCAGGTTTCTTTCAGAAAAATTGGGGTATGATGGGACCAAAAGTGATTGAGACAGTGACGAATTTTTTCAATAATGGTGAGCTCCCTCAGGAGCTAAACCACACCCTTATTGCTCTCATCCCAAAGGTGAAATCTACCACTACTGCTAAAGATTTTCGCCCTATTAGCCTCTGCCGTGTGGTTTATAAGATTATTTCAAAAGTTTTGGCGAATAGATTGAAGGGGATCTTGGATGATATTATATCATAAGAACAAAGTGCTTTCGTCCCTGGACGGAGCATTACTGACAATGTGATTGTGGCTTTTGAATGTTTTCAGTTTATGAAGCAGAGGGAAAAGGCTAAAGAAGGTTTCTTTGCTGCTAAACTCGACATGGCTAAGGCCTATGATCGAGTTGAGTGGTTTTTTCTGGAAAAGGTAATGAGAAGAATGGGTTTTGAGGACAAGTGGATTGAGCTGATCATGAAATGTGTTACGACGGTATCCTATTCTGTGCTTGTTAATGGACATAAGTCTGAAACTTTTACACCTACTCGCGGCCTCAGACAAGGGGACCCTCTATCCCCATATCTGTTCTTGTTGTGTGCGGAGGGCTTGTCAGCCCTTATTAAAAAGGCTGAGCGTGAAGGGAACTTGAAAGGGATTCAGATCAGAAAGAAGGCTCCTTCAGTCTCTCACCTCTTATTCGCGGATGATAGTATCATTTTTGGAAGGGCTACCCCAAGAGATTGTGATCAACTGAAAGACATCTTGAGGATTTACTCTGAGGAGTCAGGACAATTGATTAATCTGGATAAATCTGATATTTCTTTCAGCAAGAATGTTAGATGTAGCAGGAGGCTGGAAATTTGTGGAACTCTCGGTATCAAAGAAGTGGCAAAGAATCCAAAATACTTGGGTTTGCCAACGGTGGTCAGCAGGTCTAAGAAAGCCATCTTTGAAGATACTAAGGAAAGAGTGCGGAAAAAACTCAAAGATTGGAAGAACCGGACCATGTCACAAGCAGGAAAAGAGATCCTTATTAAAGCGGTTGCACATGCTCAATTCCTTTACCCTATGTCGGTGTTCCTCCTACCAGATGGCACCCTAAAGGAGATACAAAGTTTGATCTCAAACTTTTGGTGGGGGCAGAAAGGAAAAGAGGTGAAAATCAAATGGATTGATTGGGATGAATTGTGTGACAGGAAGGAAGAAGGGGGAATGGGCTTCCGAGACTTGAAGGCTTTTAATCTAGCCATGTTGGGGAAACAAATCTGGAGCTTGATATCGAAACCAAACTCTTTTATGGCCAGAATTCTCAAAGCACGGTATTTCCCGAAAGCTGATATTCTGGAGGCTAAATTGGGTTATCGACCTAGCTACATTTGGAAAAGTCTTATGGAGGCTAAAGAAAGGATTGCAAATGGTTTTCGGTGGAAGGTTGGCAATGGAAACTCTATCAAAATATGGGAGGATGAGTGGATTCCTGGTAAGAATTTCTTCTTCCCGGACCCTATCCCTTCAAATGACCCCCCTGGCGATCGAGTTAGTACTATTATAGACCAAGAATGGGGATGCTGGAATATGGAAAAGATCAGAAACACTTTCTCTACTATGGACCAGGCTTTGATCCCTATTATTCCTCTTTGCTCCCCACTGAAGGAGGATTCTCATGTGTGGAAGGATTCAGAATATGGAATCTATACAGTAAAGACAGCCTACTCTCGGATTAGGAACAGACAGCAAAGTACGGTTGCTCGTCTACATAACAAGAACGAAGATGATTCTGACTTTTGGAAGAGCCTATGGAATTTCAATACCCAACCAAAAATAAGGATCTTCCTTAGGAAAATTTGCAAGAATATCTTACCGGTGGGGGCGAATGTGGCGGAATGGTTTGAGGATGCTTGTACTGAATGCCCTTTTTGTAATCTTAAGGAGACCCAGATGCATGCCCTCCGGGAGTGTGCTTGGATTAGACGACAATGGCAGACATGCGAGGTAAAGGAAGTGTATAAGCTGGGAGAAAACAAAACTTGCTTTGAATGGATGAAAGAAGTTTGGAGAGTGTGTTCTACAGAGCAGATCCAGAAATTTACCTCTATTCTCTGGTTTCTATGGAAGGAAAGATGCAACCAGAAATATAACAACCACAAGCTGGAGGAAGGGGAGATTGTCCCTCGTGCTCTTTCGTGGATTGACTGTTATCTCGCGGCTCAATCGTCTACTGACCGGACGATTGCTCCTGTTGGGTCGGCGCAAGCTACCGTTCGGGAAAATCATCTCTGGACTCCTCCTCCGTCCGGTGTTTTCAAACTGAATTCGGATGCTGGGGTCTTCCCTGGGGGTGGAGTCGGTTTGGGGTGTGTGATTAGAGACTGCAGGGGTGATTTTGTTGGAGCTACGATGAAGAAGGAGAGGGGCTCGTGCAGGCCAGTGGAGGCTGAGGCCAGGGCAATGGTGATGGGTTTAGCTGAAGCGAATAGGAGATGTCTGAGCCCCCTTGTCGTCGAGTTCGATTGCCAAACACTCATCAACAAGCTGAGAAGGAAGGAGGCTGATGTCACTGAATTGGGAAGCTGGTGTGAGGAAATTCATAGATTGGGAAGAGTGAATGAATTAATTTCTGGAACCCAGGTGGTGTGGTGTTTTGCTGATAGGAAGAAGAACGCAGTGGCCCATTGGCTTTCTCACGCGAGTGTTCGATGGGATCTACCAGTGGTGTGGATTGAAAATCCCCCTCTGTCTCTTTTGGCGAGGTTGGAAGATGATTTGGGCCGTGACCCATGTGTAAACCTTCTTAATATATTTCACACAGGTTCCCATAAAATAAAAAAATTGATGTAGGTACAACAAAAGTAAAATGAGATGGATTGCAAAATTATTGAGTTAGCAACAAATGCAATTGAGTTTGCAATTGCATTTATGTAGATGCTCTTAGCAATGGGAAGCCTGCAAAAGTGATCTAGACAAGCACAACAATCCTTTTGATGACCACATGAAATTTGGAAAATTTTCAGCAAAATAAAAAATTTAACATCTTAAATTTGATGTATATTTAATCAAATAATGGTTATTATTTTAAAAAGAGACTTAGAACATCCGCATTAATGAAATTACTAAGCCAATTGTATATGTGCAAAGTTGTTAGCCCGCAGGTTGACTCGGACTCGGTCTATCTAGTGGGTCAAGGGTTAACGGGTCACCCATTTTAGCCCGGAAATATGGAAAGAGTAATTATATTGTACTTATCCTGATAAATTATATCAAATCTCATCTAATATATGAGTAATAGCATATAACATTACACGAAAGTAACATGTCGTACTTGGATCCAACATATAGTGAAAATTTACACACACTTACATAACATCAATATTCAAATGTTCAACTAAGGATTCCAAAGATTGAGTTGTGCCAAAAGAATAATCGGAAAATAGACGCATTTCGCAAATCAAAGAAAAAAATGACAATTTGACCTCCAACCAGATACCTTGTAGCGGTTGACCCGACGGATACGTGCGGCCCGTTTTTCTTACCAAGTCAGGGTCAAAATGGGTCGACCCGCGGGTTGACAACCTTGCATAATTCCTATTATCTGTAAAATTTTTTTGCTAACACAACTCATGTTAGTTTCATTGCAATAACTATTTTTTGTAATAGAAAATAGAAAACCCCACTATATGAGCCCACTATCCCCATTTATTTTTGCCGCTTGTGGTCCAACAAAGGTTATTTGACAGTTTACTTTAGAATTTAGATGCATATTTCCCTGTGAGTTCATATTAAAAAATCATCGTACGTATTGACTTGAACAGACTAATTGACCCGACCCACTTCAACTCTAAAGAGTCAAACATGTCGAGAAGGAAACATGAGCAAGAAGAATCAGTTTTATAAGTTGACCCTTCAAAAGCAGAGTAGGCAATATCATAAACGGGACGGGTCAATTTTCAGCACTCGGTCATGAGGAGAACCAATTGATTCACTCATAAGGCAAAATGATATTTAGGTAGTGCCCCATTTGCAACTAGGGATTTAGTAAGAGCTAGCAGCTCGACTAATTGGTTTGTAACCAGAATGGTCATAGATATAAGAAAATAGTATAAAATTCATATTTGATTTTCTTAAAACATCTCGAATTACTGTGAATGTGTTAGACTTGGAGAGAACCAATTTGCACATTGGAGTAAATGACATTCACGCTTCAATAGCTTCAACATCAGAAAGAAAACTAACAACATCGGCATATACTAACACATGTCGCCTTGAACAAAGTTAATTAGCTGCGATTCAGCTATAAGCCAAGTCCGATCCGGCAACTGTTTATTACACGATCTTCAAATTCTCCTTAGCTTTGCTTCTCTTCTTTTAATTTGTTCTATGAAACCCTAATTATTATTCTTGTCTTCATAAAAGGAGCCAGTCTTCGATCTTTCGCCGTAAAAAGTGCATAGATATCTCAAGAAGATGAAACCCTGTAGAGTCATGAAGGTGTTCGTTTAGCAAATTAAGATGCACGGGTTAATTAAGATAATTAAACTCAAATGAATACATTGAAGACAAAAAAAAGGATGAGGGGTTCACTTACAGTTTATAGGCAACCTTGGCAAGCCCAGCCTGAGGTCTTGCAATCTGTGCGAAGGCTTCTGCCGACAACACGAACGTAGAGCAAGGCTTGCCGTCGGCTTCCACCGTGCAGCTGTCGGTAACGGTCACCGTGACGGTTTTGGTCCTTCTGCAGGGAGAAGTCTGTTGAGGGTCCACGGCGCCGATGCAAGTAACGATGTAGTTTGTGCCGCAGATGTCCCCGTTGCCATAGAGGGTCTCGTTCAGCCCGGTGAACATCTTGATTTTCGGCACTTTGTCGGTGCACGATTGTTCTGTGGCGTACGCGGGCACAAAAATCATCGTCGTCGTTATTGGGAAGGATTGGTATCTTAGTCTTTGAGAAATCTAATATATTCCGATTCCGATAACTCCATTATAGACGGTTATTTACCCTAACTACAGTGGATCGAACGGTTTATGGAATACTGGCTAACAAAATCTTGGTCGCTAACGAATTGACGAATTTACTTTTCGTAACGAAATGCGTTGCCAAGAAAACTGGTCACTTGTACTTTTTGGTGACCAATGTAAGCATGAACTTTAGCAACCAAATGCACTCGTCACCAAAAAATTAATTTTGTGACCATTGGTAGCCAAAATTAACGGTGAAGTAAGGAGTCGATAACGTGAAAAATGCGAACAATCTGCAACCCGAAATTTCTGGTTGCGAATTGTAAATGTGACCTGTATTTAACTTAGGGGAACCAATGGTCGAGAAAAATCTTAATCTTTTTCGTTGTGATAATGCTTCGATTAACTCATTATAAAAGGGTAGTGTGTTATCTATATGTTAAAGAACTTACTCGAATAAGGAGAACTGGTGAAGCTAGCAATGCCGGTCTGAGCGAAGCTAACACTGGTCGAGGAGAGCAGCAGAAGCAGGCTAAGGAGCAAGAAAGAGGAGTTCTTCTGGGCCGCCATGGCAATCGATCGATCGGCTACGTAAACAAAAAACAGTGGCAGGAAGGAGCTTTGAGAAGAGACAGAAAGATCAGTAGGTTAGATTTTTGTGTTGTGGGATACTGAATATGATAATCACTTCATCATTTGCCGAGCTATTTGTAGGGATGAAATAAGCTGGAGTAGGTTAAATTATTTACATATGACGATGACAACGTGAGAGTTTCTCAGCCAAACGTAACGTTTACCACTAAGCAACGGTGTAAACTATATCCAGAAAGACTATCTTTTTCAATATACTAATATACTATACTAACGATGGGATCAATGAGGAATACTATTAAACAAATATATGTCTGTTAGTAACGACTTACGAGGAGTCCTTCCAGATTGAATCATCTTAATTTCATTACTTATTAATATTAATATTTTATCCACTCTTTTGGTTTAATATATACTTGATAACTCTGCTAAATTAAAGTTAAAAATTAGTAAGTTGGTTACTTTCAAAAAAAATTAGTAAGTTGGTTTAGTGGTCACTGTTTCTCAAATTTATCTCAAGTACTTGTAGTTTATAGTACCCAGCTGGGTGGTTTATGAAAATGCCCGTCAGATGTTAATCACTGACAACTGGGTCACTTCAATCAATGTCCCAAACACATCCAAAATGTTGATTGCAGGACAATTAGCTTTTCTTGGTCATTTCCCCGTTGAATTGGTCATCTTTTTAATTATTAGGGTAAATACAATTTAATATCCAAACCTTTCATCTTAAACAATATAATAGCCAAACTTTTTCGAAAACAATCTAATATCCAAATCATCAACTTTCCGTCCGTTTGACCGTTAGTTGACACTTCAAAAAAGCTTTGTTTAGGGGAAATTGTCACAATACAGCTTTGTTTTCTTGTTTTGGCATTGCAGATGACTGAATATTTAGATATTCTATACCATCATGGTGGAGTCATGGACTTCTTGGGTTTGGAATCACGATATGTTGGTGGTTTTTCAGAGAAGATATCGATGTATATTGATGAAGTGTCGTACTTCGAGCTTGATGAAGTGTCAACTAATGGTCAAACGGACGGAAAGTTGACGATTTGGATATTAAATTGTTTTCGAAAAGATTTGGCTATTATTTTGTTTAAAATGAAAGGTTTGGATATTAAATTGTATTTATATAGAAGTGACTTTTTTTTCTTGCATTGACTTCTTTTTTTGAAAACCATATCTGTAGAATTTAATTTTACCCATAACCTGAAGTCCCCGACACAATTTTATGATCTTGCCATATCATTTCAGGTTAGGAGGACTTCAAGTTATGGGTAATTTTGCTTTCAAAATTGAATTGTGTCCAATCATCTACATAAAAGACGATATGTGAACACAGTGAACATTTGCTAAAATAGAAGTATAAGTAATCACAAAAGGCTAAAATAAAGCTTCATTTGATCATATGAGAACTTACATAAAGCTCCCTCCAAATAATCTAAAAACACAGTTTCGGAGTACTTTCGCACATCCAGAAATTTGGTCCTTAATAATTTACCTACGCAGACAAATTTAGTTACTTTACTATGACATATTTCTTATTTAGTACAAACTTGCGTCGCACTGGTATATATAAATTTGTTACAACAGTTGTACTACAACAATACATAATTTTTTTTCTTCCAATCATATATAATAGCACGCCAGGCAGCGAGAATCTTGCATCATAATTTCGGTAACACAACTCCGCTGGTCAACTTTCAGCTGTTTCCGTTTCATTTCAACCTGAATAAAAATCGTGGTGACTATTAGTTGAGCACATATCCGTTTGAAAACCGAAAAACAAGAAAAAAAAACCGCCCTAAAATATCACAACAAAAAATTCTCTTTTGCAACCCCTTCTTGGTCGCTGCGATTTAACGACGACATATGGTCACAAAAAGGTTTGATTTCTGATGCTGCAGTGAAGTAAGGAAACTTACTGATTGAAATTAACGGAAACGACACCAGCATTAGGATTAGCGATGGCATTGAAAGCAGCTTTGGAGAGAGTCAGCGTCTGGCAAGGGTTCTTCTTCGAGGGTGTGCAGGTGTCTACGATCTGCACCACCACTTTCTTTCCTTTCTTGCAACCGGCGCCGGTGCACGTCACCTCGAACCTCTGCCCGCAAGCCTTCCCTCGCTGGAATACTCGAATATCCGCGGCCGCGATGAGCTTGCCCAGGCCCTTCTTCCCGGGGCATGCAGTAGCTGCAACCACAACATTGTGGTTACAAAAGGTTTTGGTTGCAAAAAATATTTCACTGCGTATTTTAAAAATGTGACAAGAAAAGGATGCTAGCTCTAGCTCACCGGCGGAACGGGGTACGAAGAAGCCCGCTGTCCCGGGTTCGGCGGCAGCAATGTCGGCCAAAAGCAGGATGCAAATCAACGACACGGCCGCCAACAATGCTGCTGTTGCGGGGAGCGGGGAGTTGATGAACTTCATCGCCATGGAATTTGTGGTGGACGGTGGTCTCTTGCTTGCTTGGTGTGTCTAATGTTCTGACGGCAGAGGAAGGTTTGTGAGGAATTTCCAAGGAAGCTTGAGGGTTTTTATAGTGGGGGTTGCTGGTCGATCATTATATTTGTTTGGGGACATCACATCAATAGTGACCGTGATGTCTGAATTGGCAACACTGAGTCAATGTACTGAATTTCGTCCACATGTTTAGTGAGCTGCCGACTTGCCGGCCGGCGGATATTATGACCGCCGGACTTTTGGTGGGGAGTGATCACAACTACCAAAATTTTAGGGGTGGAACTTGAGAGTGTCTATAAAGGAATCTTTCATACGGTAGAGTGGGTTCATAATATAGCCGGCGGCTTTTCTCTCCTCCGTTGATCGTTTCGCCCAATTTAATTGCTGGTTGGAGTTACTTGGAAATTATTATTGAAATCATTTCTTCTTACTAAAAAATTTTGAAATGATTAAATCCTATTATCAAAAGAAATAATTGGTTTATTACTGTGGTGAAGCGCGGGTAAAAACAACTTGGCATTAAATTGTCAATATATAGCTTAATTTCCTATGTTATAAGTTCCAAGAGATGAAAGATATTTCAAATTCGCGTATGGGTTTAAAAGGAATAACATGTATTTGAAAGATGAACTTCGATGCCATTTAAATTAGGAATTTGGGGTGTGGAATTTTATCACAATCCCACACAATGTGGATTTTTGCCTAAATGTCATGTTGGGAAAGGACTTCTCTTAGGAATGGCAATGAAGCAGGTCCGGAGCGGGTTTCTTGGTACCCAGACTTGTCCCGTGGCAGGTGGGGTTCAGGTCGGGTAATTTATCACGGTCGCGGGTCGGGGCAGGTCGACTCAATGGGTATGCAAATTATATGAAAAAAACATTAGAAATATGTGTTCTTTTGTTATAAGACTAAGGAAACAAACAATATTATGATAAATGTAGTTAAATTATTGGATAAATTGAGGTATTGACTAATTTACAACTTTATTATACCTAAAATATGATGTAATAACAGGAAAATCCTAAGTAGTTTGATTAAACTTACATGTAATTTAGACAAGAACGGGTCGAGAATGGGGCGGGTCAGGGCAGGTCGGGTCGATGAGAGTACCCATGCCCGCCCGCCTACGGGGCGGGTCAGACCGCCCCAAAACAAGCCAAACAGGTCGGATAAAACAGGTCAAGTCGAAATTGCCATCCCTAACTTCTGTGGAATTTTAGAAAACCCGCAAATGTGGAGTTTCGATTGTCACTTAATTTTGCAACAACTAACAATAGATGATTGTTAGAATATGACTTGAATTTGATTTGGGTTTGTTTTGTGTTTGGGCCTATTTAGTTTGGGTTTGTGTTTGGGCTTTGTTTGACCTTTTCCTTGTATGTTTGGGAAAAGGTGTTTGGTTTTCTATTTGGGATTAGGAGAAGAGTTCTATAAATACTCTCCATCACCCTAGTCTGTAGTAGGGTCAGTCAGGTTAATTTGTTTGGTTTGTCCGTTTGGATTTGGTTTGTAACCTGTACTCTCCTCAAAATCAGTGAAATTTGTTCTCCTCTGCCCTTGGATTAGCTAGCACACATTGTGTTAGTGAACCACGTTAAATTTGTGTTCATTCGTGCTGGTTTGGATTATCGATTGCACGCTTCTATTCTGACAAGTGGTATCAGAGCCTGGTTGCGGTTTTGGGAATTTGGCGTTGGACTGAAGTTTTGCTTTGTGGAGGTAGCTTTCAATTCTTCAGCTTGGTTTGGTGGAGGAATCGCTTTGAAGTTGACTTTGAGTAGTTGTGTTTTGGTCTCGCTTGTTTGGTGAGAAGTTTGGTTGGAGTTTGTTTGATAGTAAGAATGGCTGCTATCAGTATGAAGATCGAGAAGTCAATTTGGAGTTGCAGGCTTGGAGTTAGCAGTAAATTTGATGTTGGTGTTATGGACGGAAATAACACCAAGCTGGTTCTGCATGGCAAGTCCCAACATGGGTTGGACTTGCTGCATGGTTTGATTTGTTGACCGCCCTTAGGGGCATCTGGAGGCAGGGGAGATTCTAGTACAACTGATTTGGAGGAGTTTGGTATGTCTGGCAATCTTGATTGCATCTGAGTTTGGCGATTTGCATCGCGTTTGAGTTTGGTGATTTCGATCACATCTGGTACATCTGGCAACTTTGGTTGCGTCTGGGTACATTTGGCAAGTTTGGTTGCGTTTGGTACATCTGGTATTTGAGAGAGAATTCAAGTCAAGGTGGAGATTGTTAGAATATGACTTGAATTTGATTTGGGTTTGTTTTGTGTTTGGGCCTATTTAGTTTGGGTTTGTGTTTGGGCTTTGTTTGACCTTTTCCTTGTATGTTTGGGAAAAGGTGTTTGGTTTTCTGTTGGGGATTAGGAGAAGAGTTCTATAAATACTCTTCATCACCCTAGTCTGTAGTAGGGTCAGTCAGGTTAATTTGTTTGGTTTGTCTGTTTGGATTTGGTTTGTAACCTGTACACTCCTCAAAATCAGTGAAATTTGTTCTCCTCTGCCCGTGGATTAGCTAGCACACATTGTGTTAGTGAACCACGTTAAATTTGTGTTCGTTCGTGTTGGTTTGGACTATCGATTGCACGCTTCTATTCTGACAATGATCAAAGGGCATACAAATTCATGTATAGTTTAATCATTGGTAACCCTATTTTTATGTCCATTACATCTTTTTATCTAGTGATTATAATGATCGGGGTATTGACCGTGAAACACATTGAGTACTAATAATCGCATTGTTGTATTGTCTTGCACAAATCTATGAATTACTGACCAATATACTTGATTTCGTCGATAGTAAACAAATGGTTCACAGTTCACTTGTGAAAATTTGTAATGCCGGAACGACACCGGTGAATGTATCTCGATAGTACTATTGTAAAGATACACCTAGTTGTGTCTAATGGTAATTGGAATTGGTGATTTAGGGTATAGAAAAGGGAGGGATAGGGTACAAAATTAGTATATACAAAATCCTATAAAACGATCATATGGACTTATCCAATAAGATCTGACTAATGACTTACAATTCATACAAAAATAAGAGGTTCATAAAGGTGATCTCATGCCTTTGTATATCCTATAAAACGATCATATGGACTAGGGATGGCAATGGGTCGGATACAGTGCGGATACCCTATATCCGTTGCCCACCATTCCTGCCCGCGGGTTGTACCCGTGCCCGGCCCACTAAGCTAAATGGGCAAAAAAATCGAGACCAAGCCCAAACCCAGTCGGACATCGGTTAGCCCGCGGGTAAGGGGCTGCCCGCCAACACTTAATGAAACACAGCAAAAAATCATCAACTAACCTAAACCTGTATATAATAAATGAACTCAAATATGAAGGAAAAACAAAAACATAATGCATTCCAGTGGAAGTCCCCAAAACCAGCACTATTCCAGCATTATTCACGAATTGCAAACCCCAAAACCTGTCTGGAAATAGAGGATTCTAACCTTAAAATTAAAATACCACAGAACAGAACTTGTGAAAACTAAGAACTAAAGTCTTAAAGTCTGAATAAATAAGCAGCAACCAGCAACATCATTCTTCAAGCAGCAAGCAGCAACCTTAAAATACCACAGAACACAATCTAAAAGCCAAAAATAAATAAGCAGCAACCAGCAAGCCAGCAACAATCATTCTTCAAGGCGCCAGACCCATATCAGCCCAGCAGCAACCCAACATCAACCCAGCAGCAACCCAGCAGCCCAGCATGGACAAAATCTGCAATGGACAGTTTCATTAAACATTCAACACTTGATACTGATGCATTTTTCGTATAGGAAACTTAGAGCTCAAAAGTTAAAACACCAACCATGAGCTAGTCCAGCAGGTTGACCTCAGCAGCAACATCTTCATCTCCTCTCTGCTCCCCCTGAGTTCCAGCTCCATCTGTTACAAAGCAATGTATTTAGTAAAGAACAGAAACCTAAGTTAATAAACCAATCAAATCCATACAAGGACTTACCTATGCACTCTTCCACCGTGGCATCCTCCATTGCCATAGCCGAGAACACCCCCTCCAGTGCTTTCACGTCCGAGGAAGTCACTACAAAAGAATGGAGGAATTAGTTGACTTGTAAAGAATTATAGAAATTTAAACCATGGCAGGAATTAAACAAGCAGAATACCTTTGTTATCGTCCTGAATCCAAGTCCTTAGCATCATCATGGCTTCCACTGTCATAGGATCAAGTCTGCTTCGATGGGGATCAAGCAGTCTCCCACCAGAACTAAATGCAGATTCAGATGCAACACTCGTAATAGGTACAGCAAGTAAATCCCTTGCAATTTCTTGCAAAATGGGATACTTGGCACCATTGAATCTCCACCAACCCAACAAATCGAAGTCCGGTGTTCTAGGATGAACATACTCAGCTAGATAGTGATCTAACTCGGTAGTAACCACAGTTGTTCGAGTTTTCTTTCTTTGGCTCACATATAGATCAAAATCCAGATCAGTGGCCGAAGAACAAGCATTCAAACTAGAAGGAACAGCCGAGTTTTTGGATGATTTCCTTTGGTATTCAACAACCAAGTCAGCAAGTACAGATCTGACCCTTTCAGAAACAAGATCGGTACTAGTAATACCAAATTTACCAGCATAGTACCCAACAATTTCCAACTTATAACGTGGATCCAACACAACAGCAACGGCCAACAACAAGTGAATATCATCCCAATATTTGGCAAACTTAGTCCACATTTTCTCAGCCATAGAGACAATCATCAGATTAGGGTCACTTAACCATTCCAACAATCGTAACCTCAAGTCACACACTTTAGGAAAAAACTGATTCGCTGTTGGGTAGTTTGAACCAGAAAAGATCATAGTTATGTCCTTGAAAACATCAAGTTTCTCTACCAAAATAGCAGCAAACTCCCACTGCTCATTAGTAGGCAGATAGTCATAATGAGGTTCTCTTATTTTCAATAAAGAAAACACATCCTTATACGGAATAGCACTAGAAAGCATCTCGTAGGTGGAATTCCAGCGAGTGGGACAATCTAAGACCAATTTCTTAGAAACAGCCAGTTTAAGTTGTTGAGCAGTAGCATGAAAATACTCCACCCTCCTAGGTGTGCATGTCCAGAAAACCACACTTTCCCTTATTTGATCTATTCCATCTTTCAGAACATCAAGACCATCCCTCACAATCAAATTAAGGATGTGAGCAGAGCACCTCATATGGAGAAGTGATCCATCCCTAATTAGATTAGACAAAACCAGCCTTTTTTTAACTATGTTGATCATTGAATCATTGGTAGTACAATTGTCAAGTGTTATTGTTGACAATTTACTATCAATATTCCACGATTGGAGGCATTGAGCTAGCTTTACAGCCAACCTCTCACTAGTGTGTGGGGCAGGGAGGTAACCAAACATCAAAAGATGGCTTCTCAGATTCCAAGAGTTATCGATATAGTGGCCGGTAACAGCCATGTAGGCCCTTTTTTGGTTTGTGGCAGTCCACATGTCAGTGGTGACAGCTATCCTCCCTTTGTTTTCATCAATGACCTTTTGAAACTTAGACCTCTCTAACCCATAAATAGCGACTATGTCCTTTTTTATGGTATTTCTGGCTGGGACTTTGAAGAGAGGGTTTAAGGTGCAACAAAATCGTTTGAAGTAAAGGTGCTCAACAATAGAAAGGGGATACTCATGCACCAAGATCATGGTGCAGAGCTCCTTTCTAGACACCTCACTACTAAACTGAGTTGTACTCATATCAGCTGTCCCATTGGCACTATAGTTAGCACCAAGAACTCTTTGACTCCCATCGTGTATTTTCTTATGAACACATTTGTTCCTATGAGTCCTAAGATGTGAAGTACCATTACTAGATTTCCCAGCCAAGATCTTTTTACAGTAGTTGCATTTAGCTTTCAAAACCCCAGAAACCATCATCCTAGTGAAGTGAGGCCAGACATCTGATTTTAATGACCTACTAGCACCTAAGGGATGTTGAGGAAGAACATCTTCCTCAACATTATTAGGATTACCAGGAGGAGGGGCAACAACATCATTAGCAGGTGCATTCTCAACGTGTTGGGGTTCCATCTGTTTAAGAGAAAGAAATAAAAAAAAATGTTTTAGAGAGATGTACATTGTTCAGTTGTGTTCTCATAATTCAATTCAGATTAGCAGATTATGTATTGAGAAGTTTACTTGATTCAAGTAGTTTAGGATTACATATTAAAAGTTTGCTTGATTCGAGTAGCATTACTTACAACAGACTAGCAGATTACCTATTACCCTTTTTCAGATTATGGATTAGCATTCAGCATATTAGCAGTTTAGCTGCTAACACTAATGAACTTACTATCAATTTAAAACATGTTTAGGTTTAGCATTATCAATTGAACAGGTTTAGGTTTAGCTACCAACAACAACCAAGGTTCGAGGACTTACCTAAGCAGACTGTAGTTCCAGCACCAGCTGCTTTCTGAGATTCCTGAACAGATTACAGAAATGAGAAATCTGCAAAAAACACAAAATCAGGAAAATTAGTGTTTCTAGTTCAGGTTTAGGTACGAACAACCAACAACAAGTTAGGGTCACGAATTACCTAAGCAGAATGCAATTTATGAACTAGCTGCTTGATTTGATTCCTGAACAGAAAAGAGTTTTCTGCAAAAACACAAAGCAGAATGCAATTTATCATTACTGGTTCAGGTTTAGTCATTACTAATGATTCAGTAGCATAATTTAAGTGAAATGGGTTTCGAGTTTCATTAGCAGTTTAACATTTCGATGATTTGATCTTAGTTATTAAGGTGAGTTATTGTTTACTTACCTCACCAGACAGCACGTTGAAGCAGAAGCACCAGTCGCTAGATGGGACTAACCAACAACAATCTGCAAGAACAAAAGAGCATATTTGAAATGTTAGGGTTTCTGAGTCTCTGCCGAATTAAGCAAGAACCAATAATAAACAAACAAACAAACTATTGTAGAATTAACTTACTTAGAGTTAGAATGAAAGGATGATCCAGAAATTTGGAAGGCTAGGGTTTGTAGACTATGAGTTCGATGAACTGCAGATGAACATAATAACGAATTCGTCATCTATTTATACATCTACAACAAGCAAAAGTGAATTAAGGTAACAAAAAAAAGAATACTTATCTCGATCTAGCCATCTGGGAAAGAAATCGTTCGCATGCAGGATTGAGATTGACGAGTCGAAGGGGATTTCTATCGATCGAGACATTTTAGGTGGTTGTAGTGTTGGTTAACAGCAAGATATGGGCTTTCTTGTCATGGGATAGTCGATTTTCGAGTAAGAATCGAAGAGAAAGGAGGAGAAATCGCCGGGAACGAGTGGATTTTTTGCTGGAAATCGGCGATTCTCGCGATTTCTACAGAGAAAAATGGGGGAAGAAAGAGGAAGGCGGCGGCTGAAATGAGTTTCCTCTAACCCTAGCTGAAAAAAGGCTCTTTATACCTAGGCTTGCTCGTCGTCGTTTTGCTCCCGGGCCGGATACGGGGCGGGTACCACAGCATCCGTCCCCAGCCCGTCACCGAGCCACGCGGGCCGCGGGTCTGCCCGACTCCGCCAACTAAACCGCTCTCGCGGGTTTCAGCCCATTCCACACGGGCGGGCCCTAGCGGATACCCAAAGCCCGCGGGCTGACTGCCATCCCTAATATGGACTCAAGATCTGACTAATGGCTCACAATTCATACAAAAATAAGAGGTTCATAAAGGTGATTTCATGCCTTTGTATTTTTTTTGTACTAACACGAAATTCATAATAGAGAGGGAAGACTTCTGACCAATTAAAGACTATTTAATCTAATTTTCTAATTTTCTTAAGCGGATCATTTCTTTCATTTTAACTCAAAATTAAAAAAAATTATATAGAAATGACAACATAAATTATGATATACACAATGGTATCAATTTTTATATATTTCGAGCAAAATAAAAACGAACTACTGAAAACACGTGTAATGTGTTGATTGTAGTATTCTCACTATCATTATCATCATGATATGACTATTATATGATGACATATCTCCTTTCTTTGAAGCACCATCGGTTGCAATAATTAGCATTTAATACATTTAATTTTATCAACTCAAATAGATGTAAATAATTTATGAAAACTTAATATATAAAGCTTCATTAATCATAGGAGAACTTGCAAAAAGTTCCCTCCAAATATACAGTTTCGGAGTACTTCGGCACATCCATAAATTCAGTCCTTAATAATTTAATTACGTATACATGTTTAATTAATTTTGCTATGACATCCTTCTTATTTAGCACGAACTTGCGCCGCGCGCTGACATATATAGAGTACCTGTTACAACAATTGTACCACAACTAATACATAAAATTTTCCCATCAGTGGGTCGTGATTTCTCCACACATAACTCAGCTGGCCACCTTTCAGTTGTTTCTGTTTCATTTCAACCTGAATAACGGGAAAACAAGAAAGAAAGAAAACCAGCCATCAAACACCACGACAATAGTTTCTTTAGCAACCATTCTATGGTCGCTAATAATTTAGCAACCGTGTCATTGGCGACGGGATATGGTCACAAAAAAAAGAGGATTATGAAACTTACTGATTGAAATTAACGGAAACGACTCCAGCATTAGGATTAGCGATGGCGTTGAAAGCAGCTTTGGAGAGAGTCAGCGTCTGGCAAGGGTTCTTCTTCGAGGGCGTGCAGGTGTCTACGATCTGCACCACCACTTTCTTCCCTTTCTTGCAACCGGCTCCGGTGCACGTCACCTCGAACCTCTGCTTACAAGCCTTCCCGCGCTGGAATACTCGAATATCCGCCGCCGCGACGAGCTTGCCCAGGCCCTTCTTCCCGGGGCATGCAGTAGCTGCAACCACCACATTGTGGTTACAAAAAGTTTTTGGTTGCAAAAAAATATATCACTGCGAATTTTAAAATCGTGACGAGAAAATTAAAGGATGCTAGCTCACCGGCGGAACGGGGTACGAAGAAGCCCGCTGTCCCGGGTTCGGCGGCAGCAACGTCGGCCAAAAGCATGATGCAAATCAACGACACGGCCGCCAACAATGCTGCTGTTGCGGGGAGCGGGGAATTGATGACCTTCGTCGCCATGGAAATATGTGTGGTGATCTCTTGCTTGCTTGGTTAATTAACTGGTTTTGCCTTGGTGTCTAATGTATGCTATGTTCAACAGCAGAGGAAGGTTTGTGAGGAATTTCCAAGGAAGCTTGAGGGTTTTTATAGTGGGGGATGCTGGTCATTATATTTGGGGACATCACATCAATACTTTATGGTAATTACTAATTAGTATCATATATGCACTTCTTCAAATAACTTAATAGACCAATTGATTTTTGATTTGAAATATATATACAAATTGATTTCTCATTGATGTCAAGTGTCAAAGTACTCACGATCCTTAATATTAATCATTGTCTTTAAACACATGATATAGCGGAACTGTGCAAACTTCAAATCCCTGAGTATGCTTTCATTTGAGTAGGTATGTAAGAAAGCGATCAATAAAATCGTCAGCCGTGAGCTCTTCCGACCTCACCGTGGATTAGTCTCGTTCTATCAAGAATGAGGATACCACTTAAAACTCTCGTGTTCAGTGTTCTTTATATCTTCCGTGTTATCAAATTTTACACAACAAATCAAATTATTGAGACCAATTGATTTACTGCACACGGTGATGTCTGAATTGGTGGTATCGAGTCAATGTGGTTTTGGAAAGATGATGGTGACGAGCCATTAGCTAACACGTGATAGCCAGCTGCCTAGCTCCACATGTTTAGTGGGTTGCCGGCCGGCGAATATTGTGACTGCCGGACTTTGCTGTAGGAGGAATTTTCGAGGGATCCGAGTTTCTTACCTTTGAAAGGGCAGTGAGATGATTAAGACCGACATTTTAGTGCACAGCAATAACCAAAATCTTATCCGTGGAAGTGTCTGTAAAGGAATCTTTCATACTATGGAGTATGGAGTGAGTTCATATTATAGCCGGCGGCATTCCTCCGTTGATCGATTCAATAGTGTAAAAGAATCTGAGATCGATGAACTGATAAACCCACACCTGGCAAAGAAAGAAGCAGGGGGAGAATCAAAATCTTCTTACGGCGCTCTGCTTATTAATAAACGGGAAGAAGCCAAACCAGCCAAGTGAGCAACGAATCGGTCATGGCGTTACTCGGATTCGGCAATAACAGAGGATATGGCCACCATACACAAACAAAACACTGCAGGCCACTAGCCGGAGGAATCAGCAACTAGCTTCTGCAAACCCAAATCGATCGGCAGGGGATACTTTGAACTCTGGTTTTCGAAGATGGAATACTTGAATTTGCCGCCTCTGTTTTTGCTTTTGTGCTCACTTGGGTCGTCACTGGCGGGAGGAATCAGTGATCGGAGTACTGACCAAAGAGCTCTGCTCGATTTCAAATCCAAAATTACCTCAGACCCACTAGGGTTCTTGGATTCCTGGAAAAGCTACGACGACAACCAGTCTTCTTCTTCGTCTTCTTCACTCCATTTCTGCAAATGGGCAGGGGTCACCTGCGACTTCAGCAGCAAGAAAGTCACTCAGCTCGACCTCAGCTCTCAGCTCCTCCAGGGCTCGATTTCCCCGTCCATCGCCAATCTCACTTCCCTCCGGGAACTCCTGCTCCAAGACAACAGCTTCTCCGGCGAAATCCCCGCCGGAATCGGAAACTTGGCAGGGCTCCAGATTCTCAATCTGCAGAGCAATTCCATCACCGGCGAGATCCCGCGAAACATCTCCGCCTGCTCGAACCTCATCAGCCTCAATCTCGGCGAAAACAGGCTCGTCGGGAACATCCCGGATCCGCTCGTCGGTACTTCGGAGCTCAGGCATTTGATTCTCGAGCACAACAATCTCACCGGCGTTGTCCCTCCGTCGCTGGGTAATATTTCGTCTCTGGAAGTAATCGCTGTAAATTTCAACAATCTCAGAGGAACGATCCCCGAATCACTTGGCCGCCTCAAAATCCTGTATTTCCTCTCAATGGGAGGAAACTCGTTCACCGGAACCATCCCAATTTCCATCTACAACATTTCTTCCATGAGCGTTCTGTATTTCCCACAGAATCAGCTCCAGGGGACGATCCCAACAGAATTGGGCAACCTTCTCCCAAATCTCACCGCGTTCAACATCGGCGTGAATCGATTCACCGGCGAAATCCCTCCTTCGCTGTCCAACGCTTCAAACTTGGAGAGGTTTACAATTGCTAGGAACAGAGTCTCTGGAACTCTGCCGTCAATGGAGAAGCTGCACAAGCTGCGGTGGCTGAGCATTGCGGATAACTTGCTTGGAACCGGTGAAGCCGGTGATCTCGATTTCCTTTCCACTTTCAGCAACCTGTCGAGCTTACAGTTGGTTTCCCTGAGTAAAAACAGATTCGGCGGATCGCTGCCGCAATCAGTTGTTAATTTTACGGAGATTTCGATTCTGGCGGTGGATGGTAACAAGTTATCAGGAAGAATACCGGAAGGGATTGGGAATTTGAAGAAATTGGAATGGTTACATTTGGGGAACAATCAGTTTACGGGCTCTATTCCTGAAGAGCTTGGCGAATTGGGGAATTTGAAGAAACTGTATCTCTACCGAAACGAATTCACAGAGGGGAGAATTCCTTCCTCCTTTGGGAATCTAAGTAAGCTGACACATCTCGGCATGCAGAAGAGTTATATACAGGGGAAGATTCCTCCAAGCTTGGGGAACTGCCGGAATTTGCTGATACTGAATCTCGATGGAAACAATCTCACCGGAGAGATCCCAGGAGAGATTCTGAGCATTGACTCGCTATCTATCTACCTGGGCTTGGCCGATAACAGATTCACAGGCGCCCTGCCGCAACAAGTCGGGAACTTGAAGAATCTAGGAGCGATGAACGTTTCGCACAACCTGTTATCCGGTGAAATTCCGGCGAGCCTCGGAAGCTGCGTTAGGTTGGAGGCTCTTCTGTTGCAGAACAATTCCTTTCAGGGAGTCATTCCTTCGTCACTGAATTCATTAAAGGGGATTCAAGTTTTGAGCTTTGCTAACAACAACTTGACCGGAGAAATCCCAGAGTTCATCGGGAGCTTCCAGTCACTCATAGCGCTGGACCTGTCTTTCAACAGCTTCCATGGCAGAGTGCCGAGCGAAGGCGTGCTCGCAAACGTAACCGCAGCTTCCTTTTATGGAAACAGTGAATTGTGCGGCGGCATTCCGGAACTCGAACTGCCTCCCTGCATCAGCAATGCGAAACCAAAGAGACTTTCCACGGCAATCATTGTTGCTGCCATCATTGTTTCACTTGCTCTGTTTTTATCTGTCCTGTTTCTGCTCTGCATCAAGAGAAACAGAGTGGAGCAGGATGCAGAATCTGAATCAAGTCCTTTTCCCCAAATGAGTTTCCACAACCTGCGGAAAGCTACTGGAGCGTTCTCTCCTCAGAATCTGGTCGGATCGGGAAGTATTGGATGCGTCTACAAAGGCATCGACCCAAGAGATGGGAAGATCATAGCAGTGAAAGTTTTGAACCTTCTTCACCCAGCAGCTGCCAAGAGCTTCAGAGCTGAATGCGAGGTTTTGAAGGAAGTCAGGCACAGAAATCTCGTCAAGCTGCTGACATCATGCTCAAGTGTCGATAATGACGGGAACGAATTCAAGGCCTTAGTTTATGAATTCGTGGCTAACGGAAGCCTGGACGAATGGCTGCATCAGCATCATGATCCTGAATTCGAAGTCGACCAGGAGTTCGAGTTCCCTCCGAGGAGGAGGACAAGATTGAATTTGATGGAGAGATTGGATGTCGCAATTGATGTCGCGAACGCATTAGAGTATCTTCACCATGGCCTGAAGACTCCAATAGCACATTGTGATTTGAAGCCGAGCAATGTTCTCATCAATCATGAAATGACTGGGCTGGTGGGTGATTTCGGGTTGGCTCGAGTTTTCCTAGAAGCAGCAGCCAATGCTGTTAGTTGTAGCCAGTCTAGCAGCTTTGGAGTCAGGGGAACCATTGGCTACACAGCTCCAGGTAAGACTTAAGAGCCATTACATGTTGCAGCTTTCCAACCCAATGCAACCGGTTTTCCCACAATGGATCCAAAAATAACAGGAAATTAATGCATTGTGGGTTCTGATTGAATTTGCAGAATATGGGATGGGGAATGAGATATCTACTAGCGGAGATGTGTATAGTTACGGTATTTTGTTACTAGAGATGTTCACGGGAAGGAGACCCACGGATGAGATGTTTAAGGACGGCCTTAACTTACACCGTCACGGGAAGGTGGGTTCGTGGGAGGAAGCGAAAGAGATATTGGACGTAACTCTGGTCGAGGAGATTGAAGAAGCATCGGTATCCCTCGTCACAAGCAATACGGTTCAACAATGTTTGGTTTCCATACTTGGGCTCGGTGTAGCTGCTTCTATGGAGTCGCCCAGAGAGCGGATGAGTATCACCGACGTTGCAGTGAAGATGTCTGGAATTAGGGGAAAACTTGTACAAAACTGGGATCGTAGAAGGATGGTGGGAAAAAAATATTGGAAAAGTACTTCTTGTCGAGAAGATTCCGAGGAACCGATTGATATATGCCATGAGAAACGCGGTAGCTCTACAGAATGAGAGGGCTTTTGATAAACTTGTACAATAGTGGGTATTAAATTTTAGGCTAGTACTTTTGGTCGATGGTATCGAAGGAAATATCGATATGCCACGACAAGCACTGCAATTCGGAAATTTCTGATAATCTATCATGGGAAAGTTGTTTGATAATCTATCATGGGAAAAAAAAACATCATTTGATTTTCTTGTTCCATCCAAGGCAAATTAGTGATTCGTAGAGGGCTCTGTCTCCTGTTTCGATTTAAGCAGATTTATAGTGACCAATTAGGTTGGTCGCGACGAGATTCATTATTCTCACTTTTCGTCGCCAAATAATCACCTATCACTATTCACTACCAAACTCAAATCTTGGTCAGCAGAAGTTTTCTCCAATAAGGCAACGGTGGCACAACTGCAACCAAAAAGGTTGGTCAGTAAAAGTATTGGCACCAAAATCTGACTTTGTGACCCCAATGACAAAAAATTTATATCGCTAATAATTAACGGTATAATATCGATGCTTATTAACATAATCAAGAGAAAATTATACTAAATTGATTATGGATACCTTATTTACCAGATTCAATTCACCGGTAAACACGATACCGATAATTACTAAATCTCATCCAACACGAGGCACAACCACTTCAAAAATTTAATCATCTTGTAATATATTGTAATTGTATCACGGAACATAGTACAATAATGTCAAAAACAACGTGTCTGAAAAATCCATCAACCAAAGTTTAATCTAGCCGGTACAATAACATAGTCTAAGGGCGAGCTTAACATAAAATCTTGTATCCCTTAAAACATGTATATAGAATCATAGATATAATCGTCCCGTCGGCCAGCCGACCGATGTCCGGCTCTCTCTACCACGCCTTCAATCTCTCAATGCAATCTGCACAAATTCGATAATAAATAAATAAAAATTTTGATTTACAAATTTTGAAACAAAACTATTTAGTGAATTATTTCGTAATGTGTCTTTCCTAAATTTTTGTTAATTAAAGTAATACCGTTTGTAGGTGATCTGAACACGGCCGGCGTCGTGTTTGGCGATGACGTCGAAAGCGTCGGTTGAGAGGGTAAAAGTGTCACAGCTGTCGCCGCTGCAGAGATTCGCAACCGTCACGTTCACCCACTTCCCTTTGATGCACGGCTCTTTGACGTCGTTCGTCCCGCCGATGCAGCTGATCTTGTACTGCCGCCCACAGGCTGCTCCATTGTTGAAAGCTCTGGCTTGAACCATCGCCAGGAATCGCCCGCCGTTGATCGCCGAACCGTTCGGACAAGCAGAAGCTGCGCCAGGAACCGACGGCATGTTAGTAGGGTTGGCATGCACAGGTCCATGTGTTTAACAAATGGGGTTACCAGGATTCGAATACAAGACCTCTCAGTCATATAAGGCTCTGATACCATGTCATGAACCAGTTGATCCCAATAACTCGAGTTGTTGGAAGAGGTCCAATCGTGGATCATATACCACACACTAACAGCTATTTGGTCCGGGCTTTTTAGTTTTACCCGAAACCGGACTGTATAACCCCGGACTGGGATCTAATAGCAAACAATCCGGGCCTAGATTTGAGGTAAAAAAAAATCGTTTGGAACCGGTCCGAAAACCGGATAAAGACCGGACTAACATAGCACAACACCCAAAAATTTAACCTCATCACCCTTTCAACCCTTAGGCCACGCAAATCCCCCCCCCCCCCCCCCCCCCCCCCCCCCCCCCCCCCCCCCCCTTCAGGAAACTCAAATCCCCACAAGTTCAATTTAAAATCGAGAACAAATTGGGACCGGACCGGATCAAGGCCGGATCATATCCAATTCAATTTTTGGTCCTTATATTCTCGAAAAAGACCGGACTGAGAACGGAGCAATTCGGGTCAATTTAACCGGACCGGACCGTATAGCCACTACATATTAGCGTGCTACAAAATTTGTTGACGAATTACGAATAGTGCGATGTAGCATATATGATGAGGGTTTGAGAAAATGAAATCGAAATAGGCTTACAAGGATCGACGGTGTAGGACGCGGCGGTTCCATTTCCTCTAGCTTCCGCCGGAGAAGTGAAGCTGGTCAGAGCAAACGCCAGATTGAAGGCCAAAACTAGGGCTAGAGAAGAGAAGTTGCGGTTGAAAACAGTAGCTGCTGCCATTTTTGCCCGCTAATATTGTATATGAACTATATACTTATATAGAGGGTTTTACTGGCAGCTGCTTTCTTGGTTTGGAAGCTAGAGATGTGGTCTTTTTCTCTCCGGCTTTGGTTTTGGATTAGTGGGTAATGAGATGGATTAGGGTTTTATAAGGTAGGTGTAGATGGTAATTAAGTTACGTACGTATAGCCAAAATGGAGTTTCTTGTGCCGCAGTTTCTTGTGTCCAACGGAAAGAATAATATACTACATTTTGGTGAGGACTGAGGAGTGATAGATGCGTACGCTATAGCTAGTTCGAGCTTGTTGGTTTTGATGGGGGAAATTTTGTTGGTACTGAGGAAAGTGTCCAATTCATGGAACTTTGGATGCATCTTCTACATGCCGGGTTGCGATGTCACCAATGTGGATCGAGGTAGGAGAAAGAGATCAAGTGGTATGTGATGTGTCGAGGAACGGTTTAGTTTCAATAATTTGAGTTGTTGGCAGAAAGTTAAATTATGGATCTTATTATATCATTTATTGATACGTACGCCGTACAACTCGTATGAGCTTGAAGTTTTCACCGGTCCGAATACCATCTATTTGACATTGAGGGGTCGTTCGGATTCAAACACAAAACCTCTCCGTCTCAAAGATTTTATTGGATGTCAAGAATAGTTTGTTTCCGTAACTGTTGAAATATATTCATTTATGAATTTTATATCATTTACTAGGGGTACGGGGGATGGGTGGGTTTTGATCTCCAACTGACCCACCTGCTTACTACTTAACGAGTTGGTACAATTTTGACCTACAATCCACCCGTACTCTTCTTCGGATTGGGTTGAATGGGTGGCGGCTTTGCTTGACTTCGTGTTCCCAGAGTCCTGTTTAATGGCCACTACATTGGCCTTCATTCCTGACTTTGAGACCACTGGTGATGCTTTCTGGTTCTCCTTCCTGCCTACTTCTTTCCCTTGTACTTATTTCTTCTGTTTGTCTTTCTTGGGTTGACTCTCTTTCTCTTGTTTCCTCCTTTTTGGATCTTCCTTACTGTGTCCCTTCTCAACTCCAGCTCCATCAGATGTTGCTGCTTCTTGATCCTGCTGTGTCATTGGAGCACTTTCAGTATCAACATTCTCTGCATCATCTTTCCCTGCTTGTTCCTCCTCGGGTACACTAAATCTGGACCCCTCTGGTTGTTCTTCCTTTGCTGCAGCAGTCTTTCCAGGTTCACTCTTCTTTGTTGCGGCCCATTTCGGGTTCATTCTTCTCTTTGGCCTTGAGGCGATCATCCATGGCCCATAATCTTCCACCACTTCCGGTCGAATAACATTACCCTGTCCTTGGTGATCTGAACTCATGGTTTGCTGTTCCTGCGAGGTAGGAGCTCTCTTCTCCTGGGTAGGGCATTTGGCCTCCAGATGACCATAGAGACCACACTCATAGCAGACTGTATCAGTCCCTCATACTCCACTCTTCTGATTCTCCTCTTCAGCCTATATTTGGGCACCAGCCTTTGCCTAAGATCAATTTCCACACATATCCTCGCATAATTTCCTCGAAACCCATTTACCGTATTGTAATCAATCTTCACCACTCTGCCTATCCTGCTACCAATGCTCTCAAGTATTTATTCATCGAAGTATGCCATCGGGAGGCATGGAAGACGAATCCAGACCATCGTCTTGTTGATAACATCAAAGTCAGGATCGAAATCCAACCTCCATGGCTCCGCTGCAATGTATTGCTCATCAACTGTCCATGGTCCTCCGTAGAGAGCTCTGTCATAGTCAAGTTGTGAGCCAAAGATCGCTTGGTAGTATCCATTGCCTATATCACCAATTTTAACCATCCCTGTTTTCGCCCACATCTTATGGACTTTCCTATGAATAAACGCAAAGGGGAGGCTGCCACCAAGGATCCTGAACGTGATTGCTCTACTCCATCGGTGAAGGACTCTAGCGTCAGTACTCTTCTTGATTCGGATGGTTGGACACAGTGGGTCATCCTCCACATCTTCTCCATCAGACTCATCTGACATGAGGTTGTCTCCTTGAGGGAAATCTGGCTGAGGTCCATTCCCCAACACTGAATCCTTGTAGGAGACTCTGTTCTGTTGGGTACACCTGTGTTCTTCTGTTTCCCTGCTGCTAGCTTGATTCTTCTGCGATCCCTCCATTTCCGAATCTGGATCCTCTACTCCAGCCGTCACAATCGCATAGTCCATTTGTCCTTCGCCGGAGAACCCTTCACTCGTCGTCGCTTTCGCCTTCTTGCTTGGTTGGACCGGAGTCGTTGTCAGCTACCCATCCGGTGGTTTTGGATCGGGAACTGTCGCCTACGATGGAGGCTCCATCGCACAACGTTAAAAAAGGGAAAAAGAGGAAGAGAGAGGTCAGAGCGTTTCTCTCTCTTACTTTCCCTTTCTCTCTTCTATGTGTCACTCTACATGCATGTGAATGCCTCCGCTAGCTAACTCTGTACTTTGCGAGGGGGAATAAAAACAAAAGTGAATGGCGATTGGTGTAGCTAATGAGGGAGGATCTGGTGCTTAGTCACTTGATTAAGTCTCTTCCGGTCCTTAGATCTAGACATGTTAATCTGACAGTTAAAAGTGTGAAGGGCTTTTTAATTAATAATAGGGGTAGTTTTGGTATTATGAAAAATTACGCAGTATACAAACCGGACTTACAAACAGTACAAACCATACAAACATACGAACAATACAAATTAGAGAGACAAAACATACAAACAATACGAAACATACGAACTATACAAACATATAAACTAGACCGACAAACATTACAAAACATACTAACAGTACAAAATGACACTACTTACAATACAAAACAGTAAGCTTGTATTACAAATCAATGAATACAAAATATACAAATCACAATATAAACTATACAAACTAGACAAACAAACATTACAAATTACAATGTATACAAATTAGTGATATAAATATTACAAATATAATAGATAAAAATGACAAACTAAAATGATAAACGATACAAACCGAATTGATACAAAATCACAAAATATACTTACAAACATTACAAAATCGTCCGACAAACATAACAAAACAGATGTCGTCGCCGGAACATCGTCGGAAAATCTTCTCCGCCGTCGAAACTCTCTCTCTCTGCGTGCTGGGCACCAAAATTGGTGGGACGCACAAAAACACAAAAAGTGGACGGGCCTCTCTTTCTAGGTGATGGGTGCACCAAAATTCTGGTCGACGCAAAATGGGCCGCTGGACGGTGGGGAGGACGGCATAAATTCTGGTCAGCGGGAAGGGCGGGAAGTGCCAGGTAGTAGAGAGATTTTTTTTTAATTTTTAATTATTAAAAAATAAACTAATCATGAATCATGCACTTACTACATTACCCTTCATTAAATTGAATTAATTTGAGCCATTAAATTTTAATGAAGTTGAAGAGGTGCAATTAACTTAGACAAGTGACTATAGGACCCCTTAGGACTTAGTCACCTGATCTCATCCGTAGCTAACCCTAATTAGCAATTCGTAATTAGTCAGAGCTTCTCTCCGAAACGGCGCCATAGAGTTCAATCGTAGTCTTGAGTAGCTTGACCTACTGGCCTTCAGATATAAACACAAACTAAACTGCCGTAGGAAGAAGAAAAAACCTTACCCAGAGCGTCAAAAAAACTTGCGACGGCCGGCGATGAACCCAAACATCCCAGAGGAGCTGATCACCGACATCTTGTGGAGGCTTCCGATCAACAAGCCATCATGCGTTGCCCGATTCCGCTGCGTCTGCAAATCATGGTGCGCGCTCCTCTCGAATCCCTCCTTCATCCTACGAGAGGATCCATTGGACTCTGATCTCCAAATCCTGATCAATTTCGACAACGAAAACGACGAGCCAGTTTACAGTTTGCTCTCTGCCGACACACTCGATCCCCTCCTTCCTTCCCCTGTTTCGCTGCCCTTCAATGCGGAAAACCCCCTCGAACATGGTGGCCGGATTATAACAATTGCAGGGTCCTGTAACGGCCTGATTTGCATATCCCGTGACCGCGACGGTCTAATTCTTTGGAATCCGGCCACCGCCGAGACCAAGCTCGTCCCTCCTTCCCCTTCACGCCCACAGTGCTTGTGGTCTTTAGACGCTGTCGGGTTCGGTTTCGATTCCGAAACGAATGACTACAAAGTCATCAGGCAGGTGAAGGACGAAAAGGGTTCTTGTAAATGCGGCTATATCTCAGAGGTTTACAGTTTAAGGAATGATTCGTGGACGAGATTAGCCGATGATGATGATGATGATGATGGTAATGGCTATTGCCCCTGTTTACCCTGTATGCAAATCCCACAATGGAACAAGGGGAAGTTGTATTGGTGGGGATGGGACAAGGATGCGAAGAGTTTATCTTTCGATTCGTTTGACATTAGCAGCCAGGAGTTCGAAAAAGTTGATCTGCCGATTCCTGATTCTGAGGTTCCTCATAATCATGTGCACGAGATACCGGACTATCTGTTGATGATGGAGGAGTCCATGGTTGCTCTGTTTCCCCTGGCCGCAAGCCCCAGGGCAGGGGAGATATGGGTGCTCTGCAAGTACTGGATAGCAGAGTCTTGGACCAAATGTAGTACTCTGAACCCTCTCCCCGGGACGATCGTTGGCACCTTCGTCGGAATTTCGAGGAATTTGAAGTGGCTGTTTACGTCGTTATGGAGCTCTGATGCCTCCGACGATGTGTCTCTCTCCCTCACTGCCATTGAACCCAGGACGGGGAAATTCTACGATCTTGATATTAGCGGTCATATCGAAGAACTGCCGGTCACCGTCAATTACACGCCGTCTCAAGTTTGTATGCGTGATTACTTCATGTCGAGTTAAGATCTGTTGGTTTTGCTCGACGGCGACTCACTTGCTATGCAGCTTCAAAGAAAAGTCCTTGAGAGCAAGGTTTGACATTGTACTCTCTAGACCAATAACATGTGGGTTGTTTGGGTATATCAGTATATGAATTATGCACAAGTTTTGGTTGAATTGGAAGGTTTTTGGATTGTCTCGAGAATAGATCGAATTTCGTTTTGGATAGAGTCTTCTGAATCGATAAATATACTAGATCATAGCAATCAAGTATAACTACTCTATAGAAAATCTCTTGAACTTTAGCAAAAAAAACTCTCTCTCTCTAACTTTCCTTTTCTCTGCCTTCTCTCTAAGTTAGAGTTCAGATTCAAGCTTTCATGGGCTGCCGTCGGCTTCCCTTTGGGACCGACGATGGCCCTCCAACTCTTTTACCTTTCCTGCTTGTTATTTTGCTTGGTTCCATTTTCTTTTTCAGTGCATGTTTCGTTTTTCCTTGTCCAATTCTCCGTTTCGCCTTCATGCCCATCTTTGGGGTTTTCTTTCTGCCACTCCTTGTGAGATGGATGTCTCATGTTCCAACCTCTACTTCTGATCCTCAGATTTAGATGTGCTTGGTTCTTTCGCTCGGTGGTCAAAGGGGGCTATAGATCTTTGATCGGTAGCTTGTCTTCTCATCTTCTTACCTTTCATCTACCTCCTTGCTTCACCCATTGAGTCGGTGTTTCGGAGATGCAAATGCCTTCTCATATGCAGCGGTCTGGATGCGGTTCTAAGATGTTGAAGGCAATGATGCATCAGTCTGAAGCTCGTCTCTTTTCTCCAAGCCTGTTCGTTGCCGTTTTCGTGATCTCCGGGCTCCTCACGGACTGCTGTTCTCCCGTTGCGGCGTTGGTCCGGTCGCTGCATGGTGAGCTAGTGGTCGACGATTGGTTTTCGGCGGCTCTGTTCGTTTGGTTGGCGGCGGCAGGTTGGAGAAGAGATGATAGCTAGGGTTGGTGTTGGTAGTGTCTGTAGGGTTAATTGGGCTCACTTTGCGGGCTCTGGGTTTTGGGCTTCATTTTTTTGTTTCTTTTTGAAACATTTGTTAGGGCTTTGTTTGTGGGCTTTTTTCCCTTTTGATTTCTACTGTATCTTTCCATGTGTTTTACACTAAACTTTGTACTCACTTTTGAAGTGCAATATATACAGCTAGGGGTGGATTCGGTTCGGTTACAACCGATAACCGATTGGTCGATTACCGGTTAACCGAACCACCATCTCCCTCTACCAAACACCGACCGACGCCAATGCCTCGGTTAACCAATAACCGACCGGTCGATTATCGGTTAGTTGGTTGGTTAACCGAGATAACCGAAAAAATGATGGTGGTTCGGTTTTAACCGGGTAAAATTATTAGAATTGCCTAAAATGAAAGGTTCTAACTTACATTTCTACATCTAAATCACCAAATTAATGTCTCAAATTCAACAAACATAAAATTATAAACTTCATAACCGGGTATTTTCACATCGTTTTGGTGAGGGGGATGGTCGGTTATTTTCGGTTATTGTCGGTTAACTGGATAACCGGTTTTCGGTTACTCGGTTAACCAAATTACCAATTAGGAGCTCCAACCACCGACTGAAGCATATAATTTTTGGTTATCGGTTAACCGGTAACCGCCGGTTATCGGTTTAACCGGCCGGTTAACCGGCAACCGATAACCGAACCTCCAGCCCTATATACAGCTTCTTGTATAAAAAAAAAAAAAGTATAACTACTCCATGGATACCATTCAATCTAAATCTCAAGAATGAATGTGTGTTTATAAAGGGTGCAGAGATTTTAGAGAATCCGAAAAAATAAGAGATACTTGAACTGCCACATAAATGATAGGAGAGGATCCAAAAGTTTCAATTTACAGCTCAAATTCTCATTTATAAATCTCTGCCACTGTCCACTAGCAAAGTTGCTTCACGACCACCATAGGCTTTTCGCAGAAATTTCCAGCAAAGAAAATGACAAATGTCGATGTGCACAGCCAGCGAGTGCAGACAAATCGAGTAAGAACAAGTGAACAACCTGTAAAGATGATGACCCAAATTCATTTCAGTAACTGGCCCCCATCTTCAACAGAGTATTAGTTTCACTTCCTCCCCCTTCCCCCACATCCCCATTATCGTCAAAATTATCATCAACCCTTTTCAACGGTGGATTGATTGATCGATCGGAATGGACCTTTCCGGCGAGCAATTTGACGTAATAGTGGTCGGAGCCGGAATTATGGGCAGCTGCACGGCCTACCAACTAGCCAAGAGAGGCCAGAAGGTGCTTCTCCTCGAGCAATTCGATTTCCTCCACCACCGCGGCTCCTCCCACGGCGAGTCCCGCACCATCCGGTCAACCTACACCGACGACTACTACTGCGCCATGGCCCTCGAATCGGCCCGCCTCTGGGAGGAAGCCGAATCGGAAATCGGGTACAAGGTCTACTTCAAGGCGCCTCACTTCGATCTGGGTCCGTCCAACAGCCAGAGCCTCCGCGCCCTGATCGCCAGCTGCGGCAAGAGATCCGTCGGGTGTCGGGTTCTGGATCCCCGCGAAGTGGAGGAGGAATTCGCCGGCCGGTTCAAGCTGCCGGAGGACTGGATCGGGGTTTGCACGGAGCTCGGCGGGGTGATTAAACCCACCAAGGCGGTGGCGATGTTCCAGGCGCTGGCGATTCAGAACGGCGCCGTCTTGAGGGACCGTACGGAGGTGAAAGGGATCGTGAAGGATAACGAGAAAGGCGGAATTAGGGTTCTAATCGGCGACGGCGGAGGAGGGGAAGAAATTTGGGGGGAAAAGTGCGTTGTGACAGCTGGAGCTTGGACGGAGAAATTGGTGAAAATTGTGAGCGGGATCGAGCTCCCGATCCAGCCCGTGGAGACGACGGTGTGCTACTGGAGGGTGAAGGAAGGGCACGAAGGTAAATTGGCGATCGGAGGCGATTTCCCGACGTTCGCCAGCTACAGCCAGCCGTACATCTACGGGACGCCGTCGCTGGAGTTCCCGGGGCTGATCAAGGTGGCGGTTCACGGCGGGTTTCCGTGCGACCCGGACCGGAGGAAGTGGGGGCCCGGGAAGGCGGTGGAGGAGCTGAAGGGGTGGATCGCGGCGACGTTCGGCGGCGCGGTGGAGACGGAGGGAGGGCCGGTGGCGAAGCAGTCGTGTATGTACTCCATGACTCCCGACGAGGACTACGTGATTGATTTTCTGGGCGGGGAGTTTGGGGAAGATGTGGTCGTCGGCGGCGGGTTTTCGGGTCACGGGTTCAAGATGGGCCCGGTGGTCGGGAAGATTTTGGCGGAGCTCGCGGTTCACGGGGAGGTGAAGGGAGTCGTGGAGGAAGGGATTCTGGGGTATTTTAGAATACATAGATTTGTGGAGAATCCGCTTGGGAATTCGAAGGAGTATTCCGGTGAGTGATTCTCGTAATTTGTGTGCCAAATTGCTGTGGGATTTGCCTTGTAATCATTGTAAGGATGGACTGTTCGTCAGATTAATAAACCGTTGCCGTCCAAAGCTTTTTAAAACTGGGTATATATGAACAAAATGAGATTTTTTTTATCAGGATGTTGGGAAATTTTTGTGGGGAGAGAGGGTTAAAACTGAAAAGATTATTTGGAAAAAGTGACGTCAATCAAATGAGGATAATCCTATATCGAAAGTAGGGGTGTGCAAATAAAATCCGACGTTGATCCAACCCGTCATCGAAACTGAACTGACCTAAATATGGGTTAATAACCGAAATTGTTGTTTGAGGGTTTTAATATTGGACCCCGTCATTCATTGGGTTGGTTACGAGTTTTGGACTCCTAAACGAGAAAATTCGAACCGGCCATATCCTCAAATCTGCATCATCCTAAGCATATTATATAAAAACAAAAATATTAGAGTAGCAGATAATATGAGCACAGAAATAGTAACATTTTTTTTTGTTTTATATATGAATACCGTCGTAGAATTAGTTTGGTTAATAAGATCGATACTTCATTAATATACTTAATTGATTTGTTTGGAACTTAAAGTTTCAATTTGTACGTGGTTCAGTTACCATCCGAATGTGTGGTCCTCCCAAGCCAACCCAATCAACAAATAAACAGTAGTGTCTTGATTTTATTAAGTGGGTTTGGGTTTGAAATTATTCAACGAAAACAAAATATTGAAATCGGGTTATATAGGTTAGATGAAAAAATAGTTCGAAATCTACCTATTCAACCAATGTACACCCCTTATGGATAGGGTACTATACCTAAATGGGGATTAATTGATGATGGGTTTAGGTGTCCTCCACATATGGCACATTTTAAATTAATATGTACACATAACTCATTACAAGTAATCTAATCTTACCTACCTCATCATCCACCAAACTTTCAAAAGAATACAAGTCTAATATGATTAATTAGACTTTTCTAATTTAATCAGCACATAGATGTGACTCACTTCTTAATCCTAGCATCCTCTTCAAGACTTTTATTTTTTTATGTTTATTGTAATATTTGTAATTAGTTTATGATAAATGTTGTTTACTCAAATTTGAGCTCTTTTTAGACATGTTTCAAACTTAATTATATTAAATTTAGATTGAACTTTAATTTGGTCATATATGCCAGACGGGATTTGCGGATGTGGAAATGAAATATGACTAAAAACCTCCATCTCATGAATATAAAAAGACTATGCATCTAAACATTGAAGATGAAGACGTGTTGATAGGATGAAACAACCTCATTGTCATCCCTAGTTACGAAAAAGTTTAACATCAATTGGTGTGCATCTCGTAGTGTGAAGACGGCTAATTAAAAGTAATGTTATGCGTTGCTTTGAATCTCATTGAATTACACCACAAGATGTACACATGTATGATAAAGATTACCCGCCGTTTTTTGGATTGGACTTGAAAGAAGATGACAAGCCAAAATTTAGTGAATCGTTCTAATCTATAAAACCTAAGTCACCGATAAAAGAATGGGTTCATGCCTCGTGGATATTCACACATGCTAAACTACTCCTCCAACAGATCGGTTATTGATTATCTTAGCGATTAACCGTCCAATCACCAAAATGGATGAATGGGTCAATTCGATCGGGTAACCGGACTATTAACTTGCTCGAGAATCGTGATAGTTTTTCCTTCCTAGTTTTCCTACCCATGGTCAGAAACGCCGGCGTAACGTCCCCATCGGACTGACTCCCGCACGTGATGTACGTACACGCAGGTCTGATTCATCATCCCCACCCTTTGCTATTTTCGCAGAAAAATTTCAAGCGAAGAAACAAGAGCAGGAAAATAACAGTTGTTTAGCCATTACAAAACCGTTGGTGGGATCCCTTTGAACATGAAACCTTGGTTACGTGTCATGAAAGTACGAGAGAACAAACAACAAGACAAAGAGTGAAAGAGATACGACCAACTGTTTTGTCTATTCAAATGGTTAGATTCCGCAATTTAGTATCCAGACGATAGAATCACGAGCACTTGTCGTTAGTGCAGACAAAATGAATTCAACAAGTTTGGTACAATTCAACACTTAAAAAACAGAGCACTCTGTTCACTCATTTCATTATCTCCAAAAAACAGAGTCCCCACTTTTCACAATCAGGAGCGACCAATGGGCCTCTCCGGCGAGCAGTATGACGTGATAGTGGTTGGAGCCGGGATAATGGGTAGCTCCGCGGCTTACCAACTGGCCAAGAGAGGCCAGAAGGTGCTCCTGCTGGAGCAATTCGACTTCCTCCACCACCGCGGCTCGTCGCACGGCGAGTCGCGGACCATGAGGGCGACTTATCCGGACGCTTACTACTGCGACATGGCGGTGGAAGCGTCCCGGCTCTGGGAGGAGGCCGAATCGGAGATGGGTTACAGGGTCTACTTCAAGTGCCCGAATTTCGACATGGGGCCCGCGGAGAACAAGAGCCTCCGAACCATCATCTCGAGCTGCAGGGAGAGGTCCATCGACTGTCGGGTTCTCGACCACCGTCAGGTGGATGAGGAATTCAACGGTCGAATTAGGATCCCGGAGGACTGGATCGGGGTCTGCACGGAGCTCGGCGGGGTGATCAAACCCACCAAGGCGGTTTCGATGTTCCAAACCCTGGCGTTTCGAAACGGCGCGGTGTTGAGGGACCGCACGGAGGTGAAGGAGATTGTTAGGGATGACGTGAACGGCGGAATTTTGGTGGTCGGTGACGGCGAGGGAGATAAATTTTGGGGGAGGAAGTGTGTGGTTACCGTTGGAGCTTGGACGGAGAAATTGGTGAAGAGGGTGAGTGGGATTGAGCTTCCCGTCCAGCCGGTGGAGACGACGGTGTGTTACTGGAGAGTAAAGGAAGGGCAGGAAGGTAAATTGGCGATCGGCGGGGGTTTTCCGACGTTCGCCAGCTACGGGAGGCCCGGGGTGTACGGTACGCCGGCGCTGGAGTTTCCGGGGCTGATCAAAGTAACGCTGACCGGCGGGTACCCGTGCGACCCGGATAAGAGACCATGGGGACCCGGGAAGCCGACGGAGGAGATGGAGGAGTGGATCGAGTCGACGTTCGGCGGGTTGGTGGAGACCGGCGGCGGTCCGGTGTCGAAGCAGTCGTGTATGTGCTGCATGACGCCGGACAAGGATTACGTGATTGATTTTCTGGGCGGGGAGTTTGGGAAGGATGTGGTCGTCGGCGGCGGGTTTTCGGGTCACGGGTTCAAGATGGGCCCCGCCGTCGGGAAGATGCTGGCCGATCTTGCCGTTGAAGGGGAGGTGAAAGGAGCTGTGGAGGAAGAAACTCTCCGGTATTTCAGAATACAGAGATTTGTAGAGAATCCACTTGGGAACCCCAAGGATTTCCTGTAACTGAAGGAGTAATTGAGGTTTCAATAATCATTGTAAGGAAGAACTATTCATCCGATTTAATAAACCGCGACCAAAGGATTGGTCTAGTGGTAATTCGAGTAAGATCGGCAATCGAAAGCTTTCAAAACTGGGAGAAAATATGAACTGAATGAGATTTTTTACAATATACAAATCGCACAGGGAGTGTTTGTATGGGTCTATACCAAGCCACAAATGAAAGTTGTATAACAAAAAGAAATCTTCTTGTAATGAATCAATGGCACTAAGAGAAGTACTGGTGTTCTAGTTTTGCTTTCTCTACTGATCTAAGTATAAGGCTTGTTCACACCTCATCCCCACCACGCCTAAATATTCCAAAGCCATTTTCGAAACAGAGCTTCAATCTGCGTGCATTCAGCATGTAAGGTGGCAGCTCTTTCGACGACGTGACTGAACAGGTTGACGAAAAACGGATTGGAAGAAACACTAACCGCGCGGACTCTGGGGCAGTCATTAGAAAATGAAAGCTGCGAGTAGAACATGCATTACAGCCCAGTACATCATGATCCCAAGCCGGAAGGCAGGTTGCCGCATGAGAGCTCGATCACACGAAACCCTGACATATCAATCAAACATGGAGCGTTATTGTTACAGGCGCCCTAGCAATCCGGGAACAGGAGATAGAAGAATGGAGACCAATTTAGCGTACCATAGACCATCAATCGTGTCAGAGACGGGCCTCGTGAATCTGGGAACGATCCTAGATGTTGTAAGCGACTTGAAACCGTGAACTGCAGTGAAAGAGAAAACAAGAAGATGAGCAGACAGCGGGAAAGGAAAAGGAGGGATCCTAGTGTGACAACTTAACAGAGGAAAAAGCATGCTAAATCTACTATAAGAATTACCTTTATCGTCATCTTCATCTTCTAATCGACCACTGCCTCCTTGATCCATATCTATAGCAATAGCGACTTGATCGTTGTTTGCTTTCCGCAAGCTTCGAACTTGAGAAGTAGTAGATGGCCCAGCCACCGTCCATTTGTTTATCTATAAATCAAAGGTAAACACAGATTACGACATTTTATAACAAGATGCACTTTTCCTTACCTCAAAAGGCAATAGCCTAGTAGTAATGAATCAAAGATGAACCTCAAAGATAACATGCTGTTCAATTAGCCACAAAAAGAGGTAAAGAGCTCACTAAGTGAGAAATAGCACAGACTGGCTCCCCCTTGTTCTTGGATGAAAAAAGGTTTAGACTCATAATCAATCACCTTTAAAATGCAGCGACTGACATAATGTACTTGGGACATAGCAATAGCATTTTGGCACATAAGTGAAATTAAATAACTCACCAATGGTTCAGTTTCAAGAATCTCAGAGGCAGAACCATTTGACCCTCTAACATCTCCACCACCTTCAAGCATATTTAACTGGGATTCTTTCTCATGTAATGATTTTTCCAGAACTTCTTCCCTCTGCAGTAAATCCTCAACTTTATTCCGCTCTAACTGCAGTAAAGAATCCCTCGACTGAGCAGCTACCCGTTGATTCTCCAGTTCCGACACAACAGAAGCAATCTTCTTCTGAATTACTTCTTTGTACTCATGAACCCCGAAATTGTCACCAACATTCACATCTTCCTTACTAATTTGAGGAACCAGATTGTCCAGCCAAAGGAATAACTGATGAATCTCATCATCCACATTTCTTTTGTCGCTCATCTGAGATGCAACAAGAACTTCGTTGGTACATCTAGTGACCTCTTGCCTTAGAAATGAGATCTCACCATCACGATCTTGCAACTGAGACTGAAGCTTTTCTATCTCGGCAAGTAGACCTTCAGAGAATTGATGAAGCTCGTCAAACTTGCTCATAGTTATTGAAAGCTTCTTCAAGACCTTCCCACGAGAGGATTCAAGATTCTCAATATCAAAATTCTTTTGCTGCAAAGCTTTTTCCTGTTCCTCACACTTGTGTGTTAAATCTTCCATCTGAGCCTCCTCTTCATCGAGAGCTTGGGTTAGTGCTTCTATTTCTGTACGTGGCACCATATGATTATGTGAAGTCAGAATATAAGAGACAACAAAACAATAAATAAGATAGACATAGGCTGTGTGGGACAAGGAGCAGAGTGTCTGGTAAAGATTTATAAAAAATGTAGAATGGATAAGAACTTATAGAACTTCTTTACTAATGAAATGGTTGATAGGAAGCGATACTACGAATAAGGAAATGAGCAACTTTTGTGAAATTATTTAAACCGTATTTGATAGAGCAGACTCTTATTTTAAAAGACAGAGTTAGAAACAAAGTTCCAATTACGAGTGAGGCACCATTTACCAAATGTTAATGAAAAGTGTTTTTATTTATTTGTTTTAGATTTAGATTTTAAAAATGAAATGTTTGGGTAATTGTTCAACTCAAATTTAAAGAGCTCAAAACAATTCAGATGAACAACACAGCCCTTCGAGTAAAAAGAGCTAACCTTGGTCTTTCGCAACAACTGTATCAGATAGTAATCTGATCTTCTCATGCAACTCGGTTGAAATTTTCCGTTCATCTTCAATTTCATTTGCTTGCTGCTGTTCCAACGAATTTCGCTCTTCCATTGCAAGCTCTACCTGTTTCTCCAGATCTATTAGACGAGCTTTGGAGGATTGAAGATCCAGAGAGTATCTGGTTGCAACAGCTTCTGCTTCCTTAATTTGGCCAGCAAGTTCCATGCATATCCTCTCTCTCTGAATATCCTTCTCTTGAAGCTCTCTCTGCAAGCTTGTTATGGTCGTCCTCATTTCCTTTCTATCACCCTCAAAAGTTCCACTATTGAGACTGATGAAGTCCTTCACGGCGCTCATCATTCTCTCTGCTACACTCCTGATATGCTCCTCTGACAAAGAATTAATCTTCCCACTTACAGGAAGCCCACCAACATCTAGAAGTTCTTGATCCGTCAAATTTCCAGGAGCTGAAGTCCTGTCAACAATTTCAGCTTTCCTATTTCCTATTTCCTTCAGTGAACTGAGGCATGTTTCATAAAGGATAAGAAGATTCCTGTGCAATGCATCAGCTTCACTTTCCTTCTGTTTTACAAATGACTCTAGGTATTCAACATCTCTCTTCAAAGTTTGAGAAGAATCTCTATTATGACTTATTTCCATTTGAACAGCATGGATCCGTTTGCACAATTTGTCGGCTTGCTCATGTGCTGCAAGAGAGTGGTCCTTCAAGAAAATTTTGAGAGCTACCATTCCATTCATGCATTCTTGTACCAAACTACAAACTCCAGGAATAGCAATCTCATCATCAAAATGGTCTTGCATGATGGCTTCTGAAAAAGGCTCCACAGCTAGAGTCTTGTCCTGGAAAGGATAAGTAATTTATATCAATAACTATAAGCAAAGCACCATTGGAATAAATTTATACTTTACGAGCTCTTTCAACTACAGCAAAAGTCATCAATTACAATAAACGGAATCAAATGAATAGGAAATGGCATATCAAATGCAGGGAAAAATAGCATTACCTTGTCAGAATTAATGATGAATGACAACTGAGACAAATCATTGACTTCTGTTTTTTGTAGTAATGACACCATACCAGCCTCAAGATTTTGAATAAACTCTAAATCCTTGGTCAGAAAACCAACAATTAGATTATTGATATCAGAGAAGATCTTCCTGAGTTGAGCAGAGTAAGATATCAAAACCATGAGTTCAGCATTTTGCTTCTTTTTCTTCTCAGACTGTAATGTGGATAACTCTTGGATACGTGATACAGCTTCAAACTTGGCGGTCTCAGCTAGATCTCTGGACGTAGACAGCTCTGAAAGCTCAAAGTTAACCTTTGATAGCTCTTCTTGAAGGACATCATTCCTCTCTTGAACCTCATTCAGTTCTGCAAGCAGAAGCTCTGATGCTCTTCTAGATTTAGCAGACTCCTGCTCTGAGGAAGCAAGAGCAGCATGCATATCTTGATACAGTTTCCTTACGTGCTCCAACTTCTCAAATGGACTACTAGTGTTAGCCACTTCATCACCAAGATCAATGCTGCTGAGACTATCCACAACCCTCGCCAAGTTTTGTTCCCTTTCATGTAAAAGGTGCTCAGTTTCAGCCGAACGATTCTGGAAGAACAAAGTCTCCGATTCAAGGGCCTCTACCCGCTCAGAGTAAGTAGATGATAAGTCTGTTATCTTCTGTTCATAGTTCACAAGAGTGCTCTCCTTCTGTTTAATCTCAGCTTTTAAGTGCTCCAACTCGATATTCAACTCCTCTATGGTTTGTTTCAGAGAATCCCGCTGTTGCACCAAGGATTTCCCCTTTCTGACTGCGATGTTTAACTTCTCTTTAGCAGATGCGCATTTCTGCTCTTCCTGCGTCAGTAGGTCTTGCAACTCCGTCCTCTTTTTGTCAAGAGCTTCAACTTCAGAAATCAATGATGCTTGCTTTCGTTTATACTCATCTCTTTCTTCCTTCACCTGACCCAGTTCGTTAGAAGTTTCATCCAGCTCTTTCTTTAGAGCATCCCAGCTTGAGTCCTCAGGATCATCCCCAGTACCTGGCTCTAGATGGACAACATCCAACTGCTCAGTAGCTTCTGCATCCCTAGTTCTCCCTTCAACAAAGCTTGCAACAGCTCCTTCAGTATGCTGTTCTTCTTCAGTTGCAACCCCAGTGGGCAAACTCTCTATAAGTTTCATCAGTAGCCCCTCCAAGCACTCTGTACCGCTACCTACACCAACCAAATCTTTTGCACCAGGATCCTGCAATGTGTTGCAGATAATTTCTTGAAGTCTAATAATCTCACCATTAATATGCCCAACTTGATACTGGTACCCTTCTTTCTCAACCAATTTCTCCCGCAAAACAGTTACTTCATCTTGCCATTTTTCTCTATCGAGTTCAAACTTGGCGGCCTTTACCGAAAAGTCGTCATTATCATGAGTCAAGGCTGCCAATTCTTTGGAGAGATTATCCCTCTCGTGAATAGATGCTTGGAGATCTGTTTCCAGAACAGAGATTTTCTTCTGCAGCCCCTCTAAATCAGCAGCAAGGTATGTTATCCGCATGTTTGAATCTTCCAAATCTGCAGTTAGAGAACCACAACTGCTCTCAAGGGTATCGACCTTCTGGCGCAAAGAATTCCTATCCTGGTTAGCTTCCAAAAGTGCATTCCCTATCCACTCAATTTTATCCTCGGGTTCAAATGATCTCAAGGACGATGGCAAGTTGATCCTGTCCAACAGTTCCTCCCATCTCTGCACCATCTGGTTCCTTTCCATTAATGATTGCTCCAGCATCTCATTCTGTTCAGCCAACCCATAAAACTTCCCTTGAAGCTCCTCACATTTTCTTCTCAAGTCATCCACAGAGCTTGAGCCCATCTGAACCTCCTCCTTCCAGGCTTCTGTTGGAACAAAGCGTCCTGTATCAGAATGGGAAGCACCCACAGAACTCTTTTGCTCCCAATCTGGTAGAGGAACAGAATTTCCATCCACAGATCGGGCTAACCATTCAACCTTGTCAATTATATCCCTCGAGTGAAAATGCTCGGGCAGATCAAGATCTTCCAGTATCTCTTCTATCCTCTGCAGCACAGAGTCCTTGAGCAGGAAGGATTCTCTAATTGCAGTGGCCGAGTTACGGATGTATGAAAGCTCTGATTCTAGAGCTTCTGCACGCTCACCAGCCTCTGAATAAGTCTTTAGTTCCATTTCTAACTCGTGCAGTTTAATATCCTTCAACTCTAACTCCTGCGAGCATCTCTCCAGCTCACTAGATGTCTCTGCCAGGGACTGCTTGAGGCCATCTCGCTGGACAACCAATCCTTTACCCTTGGCGACAGCCATGCTAAGCTTCTCTCTAACAGAGGACACCCTCTGCTCTGACTGTTCAAGTTCCTTTGCTTTTTCCTGCAAGTCGCAATGGGCAGCATTAAGAGCTTCCTTGGATTGGCTTAGTTGCTCTTCCAGACTAAGGATCTCGTTTTCATGCTCAAGTTTCAATGAACTTAACTGAGATATCTTATCCTGAAGTTCTGCCATCTCCATCAACTGTTGATCTCTAGATAAGGAACCCAGCTCATCAGCGTCTTTTTTATGAGCAAGGACATGAACCAGTGACTCCAGACGAGAAACAGCACCAATTTCTGAGTCAATGCTAGCATCTTTCTGTCTCACTACACCTTCAAGATCTCCAATAAGTTTCTCGATGGAACTCAAGTCACCACATTGCCTGCTGAGGTTCTCAATATCTTTTGTTTTATTCAACAAGTCCAAACTGAGTTCTTCATTGACAGCAAGAAGTCGCCGCCTCTGATCCAGACAGTTCTGCAGTTCCTCCAGAAGGCCTTGATAACTATCATAATGTATGTGGTCAAGCAATTCCTCATTATGTACAATTTCCTCCGTTTCCGGTACCGCAAGCACCGAATCTGAAAGAAGTTTCTTTAGTTCATAATACAACTTGCACAGCATATCATTCGCCCATTTGCTTTTCCCAAACAGTTCATCATACTTCTCGTTTGCTTCGGAGAACATTTTGAATGTGGCTTCCCTATCAGCAGTGGCAACCTCTGTTTCTTCCTTCAATCGCCGGGTCATTTTCACAGTAGCATCAACAGAAGAAACAAGCCAACCAGTTATATCCATGGACCCATGCCTGTCAGCTGACACTCTGGATGTTTGCTCCACTCCAACAGAGTTACCAAGTCTCTCAACTGCTTCAACAATCTGAGAAAAGGTGAATTTCCATTCTTGCTCAAGTTTCAAAACCCACTCAGCTATATCCTTCTGGAAGCTTTCCAATTGATAAGGTAGCCCAGAGACCACTTCATTTGAGATTTTCTGTAACTCATGCAACTGAATCTGAAGTTCTTCAATTCTCTTCTGGTAAAGGTTAAGTTTTTGGTGAAGCTCAGAGCTGTGTGTTTTGAGACTGCTATCCTCCACCCTCAATTTTTCACACACAACTTCAAGTTCAACATTCTTCTCTTCGATCGAACTCATATGTAGCTTAAAAGCTTCATGAAGAACCTCATGCTCAATATTGGTCATTTCCAAATTGTCATACTGATCTGCCATAGCTTCAACTTGGAGCTTGAGGTCCCTCACTGTTGCATTAGCAGCAGTCAGATCATCTTGCTCTCGCTTGTAAGCTGAGGTAGCATGTTCAGCATCCAGAGACAATTGCTTCAACACCGCCTTCAAACTTCCTGCAAACTTTTTGCTTGATACAAAAGGATCTGCTGACTGACTCAGAGTAATAATGTTATCCTCCGACTCTTGTTCTTCATGCTGTGACTTTGACTCAAAAGCTTGGATCAGCTTTGAAACTGCTGGAGTAGCCTCATTACCACCAAATTTACTTGAGGATGTTAAATGGTGGTGAATCAGTTCAATTTCATTTTCAAATAGTTGCAACGTTTTCTCTGCTTCTTCCAAGTGTGCATTGAAGGAAACTAACCCCCGAGTATTATCAGGGGCTGCAAGTTCAAGTAGTTCAGCCGGTGAGCTTTCTACAAGGACATCAGAAATAGGCTTCATTCCGTCTTGCTTGCAATAAGAGTGCAGATGTTCATCCTCGGTAGCATCATTAAAATCAGTGCGCTCAACCATCACAGATCCACCTTCAAAAATAGCAACCCCATCTAGGGGGGATTTTTGGACTTGCATGTCACCAACTTCTGCTACCTTTGCTTTATATACATCCAAACTACTATGAAGACTCATGTTTTCTGTCGCTAGTTGTTCAAGGCGGAAGGCCGTTTCTTGCATTTCAGCTTTCAAGTGCACGTGTTCCGCCTGATTATTTGACAACGTCTCATGGAGCCCAAGAACCTCAGAGCGAAGTTGCTCATTTTCGTGAACCAGATGCACGTTCTCAGCTTCTAATTTCTTGTGCTGCTCTTTTAACAGCACAAGGTTCTCATTTAAGTCTGTGTTTTCCACCCTTAAGGCATCCACCAAGCGCCCCCTCTCTTCTTCAAGCTTCTTTTTCTCATCTGCCACAGAAACAAGATTACCACTCAATTCAGAAATTTCTACATTCAAAGCAGTAATCACGTTCTTGGACACGTCTAACTCCTTCAACAGCTTAGCATTCTCCTGAAGAAAGAATTCTTTTTCGTCCCTTAGACTCCTCCTCTCATCGGTAGCTGAAGCAAGAGATTCATTTAACTCGTTGCTTTCTACTTTCAGTGATTCCACCAAGTCCTTCAAATGAGCCAACTCCTTGGAAACACTTGATAAATTTGATTGTGAGCTTTCCAGATTATTTTGCAATTCATAGGCCCTTGCAGAAACTTCATCAACCTCTGCCTTGGATGCTTCTAATCGACTTTGAAGCTCTTCCTTACTGCCAACAGCATCATTGAGGTCAGACCTACAAGCTGAGAGCTCCTGAACAAGGCTGTCATTCTTAGCATGAGCTTCCTTGAGAGAGTCCCTCATCCTTGAAATTTCTTCAACCAATTGCAAAGATCGGCGGTCGTTTTCATTTTGCAAATCAAGCTGCTCCGAAAGTTGCAGGTGAACGATATCACTAGTGCAACTGGCAACAAACAACTCTTCGCAGAGTTTCTCCAGCAAAGCATGATAGCCAGGTTGTGGTGCTCTCAAAATATCATTATCTAACTCCACTTCAGATACTGAACCTCTTGACTTGATTAATAAGCCAAAATCATCTTTACTAAGCCCCTTCGTCACCTCGATAAGTTGCACCAAATTGATCGGGGTCGGGGCAGATTCAGATAGCCTTATAGCTCCATCAGGTGGAAGCTGGTCACTCCTTTCGTTCACAAACCCCATGGACTTCTCTTTTTCACTTTCAGATACATCATGCTCTTTGCTGTGATTATCAGATTCAGAATGCATTTCTATCGTGTCGATGACAGATGAAGCCTCTACAGTGACTACCTCTTGAGTCATTGGCTCCTTAGAAGCACTGGAGGTACCATCTTCTTCAGAGGCAGGGAAAACAGACTGCATGAGTCCATCTGACTTTTCCATTCTGGAAGTTTGTGCGGACGCATCAGCGTCAATCTTTTCTGACTGGATAGCAGCTTGCTCTATACAAACATCCATCCCAGCTTCCCCTTTTACAGTTTCATCAGGTACACTGCAGTCAGATGAACTATGTTGCTCGTCACTTTTAGGATTTGACACATAACTAGTATCAAGTTGTCTTGAGACCAACCCATGAGCTTCCTGCATTGCCCCTACCCAGAAAAAAGTGAGAATTTAACTAACATCAGACCATGCATTCCCATTTAACAAAAAGGAAATAAGCAAAGAAAATTGCCAAAAAAAATGTTTGATAAAATGGACAGAATAATAATTATTATTACTATATGTTGTTGTTATGATTATTATTAAGGAAAAGGCTCAAGAGTTCAAGAGCACAACCTACATCGGTTACCTGAGGTTCCCAATCAAGGACCAAAGGCACAGTGGAAGAAACTTCTGCTGATTCCAGTGATTCCTTATTCTCTTCCCCGTGCATCATAAATTCTTCAGTTGTGGAGACACCTACATTGGTTATCTGAGGTTCCCCTTCAAGCACTAAAGGCACTGTTGAACCACCTTCTTCTGATTGCACTAACTCCTTGTTCTCTTTCCTACGAGTCATATTTTGTTCAGTTGTATGAGCATCTGCATCGGTTACCTGAAGTTCACCTTCAAGTACCGAAGGCACAGTGGAAGCACCGTCTTCTGATTGTGCTGATTCCTCATTATCTTCCCTAGGAGTCATAAATTTTTCATTTGTAACAGCATCTACATCGGTTGCCTGAAGTTCACCTTCAGGCACCAAAGGCACAAAGGAAGCACCTTCTTCTGATTGCACCAAATCCTTTTTCTCTTCCCTGTGCGTCATATTTGTTTCATTTGTAACATCAGTGCTAGCTGTACTGACACTTTCAATGTTAGGATCTTGAGTTTCTGAAATCACCACAGACGTAGAACTTGCCTCAATAGCCGCAATTGTGCTCTTGTTGGACTCTGCATGATCATTAGCATTATCAAGAGATCTCACATCCTGAGCAGACAACTCAGATGTATGAGCAGGAAACATCCTATCTTTAACAGATTCAAGTTCTGGAGACATTGCTGACTGACTGACATCCGCAACGTCATCAGTTGTAGCAACTGAATTCTGCAAAGTGTCCAAACTTCCTGAATTTGAATCCAGATGAGACATATTTACATCTTCAAGAACCTGTCGTAGTCCTGCTGATTCAGGCTCCTTAGATGTCGTATCAGCATCAGCTTCACGGGATTCAGCTTTGCCAGTTTTTTTCTCAGATTTGGCATTACTACTGCTGCCTTTGACATCCTTCTTCTGACGAAATTGCTGAAGCTATTGATGGGGAAAAGGGGAAAGATCAGCTTCAAACTAATCTTAGATACTATTAACTAGCTAGCAAGAATCAACCAACTAAAAGAAACAAAAGCAACAAGATCATCATGTACTAGCCTTCTGATCCTATCAAAAACATCCCATTTCTCTGAAACTTTTAACCTAAGCTAGGTCATAAGACACATAGTTTCCTTCAAGGAGAGAAAAGTACAAACTAACCATAAAAAAAAAAAGTACAAACTAGATCTGCTATGTTTCATTCCCCTTTAATTCAGCAGGTATATCATACACTTAAGTAAAGCTTAATGCCAAACAAAGAATTGGAAGAACAACCATGTGAAGCTAGATCACAGATTGAGATGAATTGGTCGACGTATGGATTCCTCTTAAACTAGTAAAGGAAAGCAAGCCACTAGATCAGATGTATGACAGCATACGCCCAACACAAATAATTTCTGAACGATTTTGAAGCTCTGGACGAATTTATACCTTAACTGATATAGCTTTCGAGTTTCGAATAACCAGTCGCAGCATGAAATGAAAACAGTTCACGAAGTGCAAGGAAACAAGGTACTGAGAAAACGAATCAATACCCTTTTACGACCAGCTGCAAGCAGATCTGTACGGTTCTTGTTTTTGTCCATCCGCTCCACCTGGTTTCAGTCCCCCCACAGGATAATCAATCACCGATCCCTCTTGCAGCTCTCACTCACCATTAGCTCCTCTCACTGCTGGGCCATCCCGAACAAAACCAAAATCAGCACACAGCAGGAAACTCGGGAGCAAAGTAGCAACAAGACGAATAACTAAACCAAAACAGCTAAAACGCAGGCAAACACTGACGTACATTCCTGGTTCCCTCACGCCACGAACACTCACCCTCCAACGAGCTATACCTACACACCTACCCTGACAAAACACGTAAAATCTCTATATCCTTTCAACATTTCTTCGGCAGCCAATCAAACCGAAACACTCAGAACTGAAACAATACAGGAATCCACAAATTCCAACAAGGAACAAAGCCAGATTGAATCGGGAAGAAACCCGGACCAATACAAGGAGAAAAGAAGATTGAAACGAGACGCTTCGTAATGAAAGAAAAGGCGTACATTAGTCCGATCTGAGAATTTCGCTGCCGTTCTCGCAGACGCCGCCGGGAGTACCCGTTCAAGAAACTGCTTCGGTTGCAAAAGAACGTCAATGGCGTGCTGTGGCAGGATCGATCTGCCTTCCCTACTTTCCCCACGGGCTTGACGGTCGGTGTGTATCAGATCTAACGCAAACTTCGTTGTCCTTACTTTATGGCTCTGGCCCTCTGCTCTGCGCTCGCTCGCTCTCGGCAAGCGATGAAGACAGACGAGACGAAACGAAACGAGACGAACTGGTGGGGCAATCTCCTAGGTCGAGAACGGTTGCGTTTTCGGCACAAAAGTGACTGCGCGAGCGACACGTATCTCGTTTCTCATGTGCCCAATGGATTGAAGGCCGAGGGCTGACAGGCGGGCGGGTCGGGCTTCAATGGATCCGGTTAAGGGTTGTATCAGCCCGACAACCGACGAAGCTCTGGCCTGCTTGCTAGAAGTTAGCCCAAAAGTCCAAAACTGCGTTTATTTATCCAAATCAAATGAGGCCGACGGGCCGAAGAATGATAGATAAGGATTGGGTTTGGGTCCGGTTGGTTGGTTGGTTGTGTCGTTTGCTTGAATTTAATGGTTTGGTGAACATCTTTATTAATATTTTTGGTGATGTGGACAGGATAAAATTACTGGATGGCGAAATGTTGCCCTTGTTTTACTACTATCGCTCTAACCTATAATATAAAACTACTATATTACCCTTCATTACCAAACAAAATTCATCAAAACGATAAAATCTAAAATCCCTAATTTCCTCTTCGAACAGAGTGCCAACCTCCTCCTCTCTGAACACCTCTGCCACCGACCGTCGCCGTCGTTCCTTCTCCTGTCTACACCCTTCTTCTGATTCCTAGCGGCACCATCCACCAAGGCGCAGAAAGAAGGCCTTGGCAGGTAAACTTATTCCCATAATCCATTACTCGCTTGTTTTCCTCATGTCCCACAACCCTTTACTCTGATTATGCCATTTCCATCCTAAAGGAACACTACAATTGAAAGAAGCTCCCTCCATTGCCCCGTCAACTTCAATGCTTCTTTCATTATTGGGTTTGATTTTATTGTTTGTGTAGCATCCTAATCCAATAGGAAATGGGCTGCCTGATGATGCGATGGTGGAAGCGGCCAGCCACGATTGCATTGTTCCCGGTCTAGTCACCCTCATTTGTTTAACATGGCGGCGGGCGGCAGAGTCACGGTCGACGGTGGTGGATGAATTGTGTTTGTTATGATAAAGATTATTTTTTATATTTTTAACCATAAAAAAAGGACAAATACGTAATAATAATTTATAAGTTAGGGCGATTATATAAAACTAGGGCGACAATTAGCAACCCTCATAAAATTAATATAGTTGTAGGGGGAGATAGATATAATGGTCATTTTGTTATATGCTCAAACATCTTAATTCAAGTACAAAATCTAGGGTAATCAATTTTCTAATTCATCCTCCCACTTACCTCTTCTAAATTCCCCCCAACTAGCTTGATCGAGTACAAATCTAGATTAATCGGACTATATTTATTGTTTACTATTTGATCTTTCGACAACGGTACGACCAACAAACCTCGCACCCAACATTCGAATCCACTTTCTCCTAGTTCATCTCCCTCTTTCGAGAATCATAATCCAAATCTTCGCAAATAGATTCCACCCTTCTTCTTTTCATTATCCTCACCCGTTGATCGCTCGACAAGAATAATAATCATGAGCATTTCTACTATGCTATATAGTATTGGTGCTTTAATATACAACTTAAAGTTGTACCATAACATGAAATGTATAAGTTTAGATTGTACCATAAAAGAATTTGTACCATTATGTTATGGTACAACTTTACAACTTGAAGTTGTACCATCACATAAAGGTACAAGTTCAAGTTGTACCATAAAATAATTTGTACAAACAGTATAGGTATAATCCAAAGTTGTTCCATAACTTTAAATGTACAATTTCAAGTTGTACCATAAAGGCAAAAACCTATAGCACCAATACTATATAGCATTGTAAAATTCCTCTAATAATCATACGAAAACTAATCAAAAGTCAACTAAAATTTTGCTTGGTCTAGAAGCTTGGAGAACAACTGCCCAATTTAACAAATCAAAGCACCACGTCTAGTGGATTAAACAAATATATAAAAGAATAGATGCATTTTGATCAGAAACCTAACTAATTAATGGAAGGCATGGCTCGACACTTGCAGTCAACACCAGCTTTGAGCTCTGTATATGTTGACAAATGACACCCACTTACATAATAATAATAATTAATAATTAATAATTATCACAAATTACAATGATCAATTATAATTGATTTTTCTTCCTACAGAAAAGACAAAATCGGATTTTTTTTCTTTTTTTCCGGGGCAATATAATATTATGATGGGTGGAAGTAAAAAGGGTTCGATAGTTGAATGACATGGTAATTAAGCTGGTGCAAATTTATGTTACAGTAATTTTATTTTGATGAATGCACATGTTGGTGTTGTTATAATATCTAGAATCGTTACTCTCGTTCGTACGGTTTTAGATATTAAATTGCATTTTGAAAAATACAGTTTCGATAAATTTAAATGATTTTTTCACTGCTAACATCCAATCATCGATCACATCAACTATATCGCCACATGTATCGTTGTTCTCGTTCACATCAATCGTGTTGTTTATCATCAAGGTGTCATAAAGAATCGAACACCGACGTCTACAATCAAAATTTACACTCTGTAACTTTCGATTAAAAGCCAACTATTTCTATCATCTCACACCTTTCCACTCACATTTGCACAGCTTCGAGCCACTACACCATATAATAAATAAAATTATAATCGTATGTTCATCAACCATCCCTTTTATTTATTTAATTAATTAATTAATGGGTTGGGCAAGATACACAATCTTCAACGGAAGAATCGAATCAAAGAAAATAAACATATCTCCGTATTAAACCCACCACCAGCAAGTGCTCTCTAATGAGATTAGTGCCTACCTCGTCCATCATTAAGCCCAAATGTCAAATCTGTTTAGTTATTAATTATACTTTAGGTTAGCCCTACATAGAGCGATCCAAGTCATCATATATACGATTAAGAAATTTAATGATGGTTGGAAATTATATCCCATTTCGAAGACAAAATTAATGAATGATAACTGGCCATGGCCAAACTAGTTGAGACTCGAGAATAATTGCATATTAATTAAATTAATTCCGGAAGATCCCACGACAGAACCTTATCACCACCACGCGTAATGCAGATTCTTTCCCCCCTAAGGGATAAGTAATGTGATTTTAAACTTTCAATCATCAATTTAGTTGGGTGTTTTTTTTTCCTATTCTTTTTATAATAAATTTATGAGGGTTGGAGTATGGGAAAACTCAAAATTGTAAAGCCTATAAATTCGTGTCTTACCACCCATGATATGATCATATTATCGATGCTATGATTCGTATCAAAAGTGGTACAACACGCATAGGGTTTGTACTTCTTTGTATTTATCTTATTCTTTCTCTCATGAGATTGTTTAGCAATGACACACTATATGATTCTCATCATTATAACCAGATAAAAGGTTGATGCGAGCTGAGCTAATCGTATTATTATTAGCCGGGCTTTGCACGGAAGGGTGTAGCGAGCCCTTTCTACATTACCTAGCTCTAGTTGATTTGAAGAATATGGTATATATATATATATATATATCCTTGTAATTGATTGTCGACTGATAAGAATAGTAGGAGAAATCTATATTTCTCCGTGGAGTAAGCTCATTCACATCAAATGAGAATAACCACGTAAATCTCGTATCTTGTATTTTTATTTTTATTTTTGCGTTATAAATCTTTCACTAAAGTTATTAAAAGTCAACATGAAGAATTCTTATTGAGCAAGTGAGAGTCGTGCTCAACTTTCATTTGGTTTATGGAAAGCTAAGAGACAAAGTATTTTTTTTTTTTTCCAAGTCATTCTTCTTGAACCAAACTTAACGTGGGGTGATAGTCGGATCGGTCAACTCAAACTCCCACGTTTTGCTGAAACTTCTCCAAATTTCTCTGGCCGTCTGCCGTATATCATCGTTGACAAATGAACCGCGGTGAACAGAATTTCTCCAAGCGACTGGGCAACATTATTGTTGTTTCTCTCTTCCGAGCTTACATACCGTCCAGGTTACGTTACTACGTTGATGGCAACTTTCAGTCAGCTAATTTGAAAAAGCATGCAAGCTAATTCATCTAGACTGTTTTTTGGTGAACTAACTACCCAAAAGAGTTTCCATTTCGCAGAAGAATTTGACCATGAAGAAGAAGGTTCATAATTCCAACATGAACCGATGGATTTAAAATGTGAGGTACGACCCCATAAATGTTCGAGGTTATAGTAAGACGTGGATTTTTTATATGGTGAGGTGGAATTTAATTTATTTAGTATTCAGATACAAGAAACATTGATTATTATTATATAAAGGATGACGTACATGATAGATCCTTGCTAGTAGGGATGGCAAATTATCCACCCATGGGTAATTATACCCAAACCTAAGTAGACCGACCCATTGATAATGGGTTGGGTATGGGTGAAGTGCAAATGGATTTGGGGGTTTATAGATGGGTTTGGGTAAAGTATGAATATTGCTTCCATAATCTAAATGGGTATGGGTTGGATATGGATATCCATTTACTTGATGGTGTTTTAACTACACATGCAAAAATTGGACCTATTTGTAAAAATTAAAAAATTTAGGTACCAAAACGTAATTTTCCATTGATATTTTGAGGACTTATATGCAAAAAAAATTTAATTTAGGTACTAAATATGCATATCTATTAAGTTTGGGTACCAAACTGTAATTTGTATTTGGGCATGGGTACAAACCCAAATCCATTTGATATAAACCCAACTCAACCCAAAGTAAATGGGTATGGGTACAAACCTATCAAACTCTACCTATATCCATCTATTTGGATTTCATACCCAACCCAATTGGGTTGGATAGTAATAAATTCATGGGTATGGGCAAGTTGCTATCCCTACTTGCTAGGGATGACAAATGGGTGAGACGAGGCGGGTATCTCGATATTTACATACCCGTCTTGGGTTGAGCGCGAATTAGGTCGGATAGTACTCACGTCAATACAGGACGAAGCTAATTATTATCATATATGTTATTTGAAGAAAATAAAAAAATTACGATAAAACAAAGGAAATGCACTTCATGAATGATAAATTGTGATTATAGAATGAATATATAATTGAGTCTAAATAATTAAAATATCTTATTTTGCACCTACTTAAAGTCTTATTGTGTTAAAATATTATTAAAAAAAATCACAATAAGAGAAATACAAATAGGTATTCAATAGAATTGAGATGATAGAGGTTAAGAATGGAGCAAGACAAACGAACAAGGGCTTGATCTAGTTGTAATACCACTAGCCTACAGTCCCAGGTTCGAATCTATTAAGTAATACCTTAATCACAATAAAAAAAACCTATATCACCCTTGTAAAAAAAAGAATGGAGCAAGACGAGACAGCAAGCTCCTTGGCTCGATATGAAACTTGGAGTCACGTGTCGGGCAAACAAACACTTAAACAGTCGCTCCACTTCGAGGTTCTCGACCAGAGGGGGAAAGTCGTAGTCAAACCTCAGTGCTGCACTGGTAGCCGTACGATTAGTCATGGGAGATCGGACGGTTGTGGGAAGCGTTCACCGGCAACAACCGGTGATCAGAAAGCAAAGCTGGTCAACAAAGATTAAAAAAAAACAGGGAAAAGAAAGAAGAAAAAAAAAACTTATTAAATTGTTGAGAAATTTAAAGAAGAAAATCCTCCACGTGAACCCCACTCCCATAGTCAGCTTTGCTTTCTTTCTTCGTTCTTGTCCTGCCTTCACATTTTATTTAACCATGATTAAAAAAATGTGATTATTGACAAATACAATACAACTTTTTTTAATGAATTCGCTAATCGTCTGTTTTTTTTTGGCTTTTTTTCCCCCGAAACAGCTTAATTACTACCAATTGTCTCAAGTGGAGACCTTTGTTCTTTGTTTACTCCAACCGTGTTTCCTTTTTTTTCTTTTTTTTTTACAAAAGATATATATTAATCAATCAAAGAAGATAGTTACATCCTAGAAAGCAGGCAGGCCTGGAAATCAAAAACACTACAAGCAGTCGGGTACAATGAAATGGCCTTTCTAGCCACCAAGTGGGCTACCCTATTACTACGCCGACCTACAAATCGAATACTCAACCCAGGATGAGCGACAAATAATTGCACCACCTCACTAAGAACAGCCCCCATCCTACTATCCTCTGCCTCTCTTCTGCGAACTTTATCGATAATCACCTTCGCGTCCCCCTCAAAGCAAACCTCTCCAAACCCTCGAGCTATACACCACCGCACCGCCTCCCGAAGCGCCAGGACCTCAGCAACTACCGGATCCTCGATACTCAGAAACTGAATTCCTTTGGCCAAGAGGACCCCATCCCCTGAGCAAAGCACAACCATTCCCCCCGCTGCATGTGATACAGTTCTAGTCGCCCCATCCCACCTACACACCACCCCTGAACCTTCCTGGGGGACCGGTAGATGCTGCGGGACGGTCACAGCCAAGGGAGGGGAAGGAATAGCCTGGGCCCGTTCCCATTCATCACATTGTTGATGAAACTGTCGCATCAGGGACTCAAACCCAAACTGTTTCCCCTCAAACACCACCCAATTCCGAGACTTCCATATCCGCCAGAGGACAACAATCACCGCCATGAACAGCGAAGGCTGGTGAATCAGGGAAAGGAGCCGCTTAAGAAATAGAGAAAATGTCTGCCTTGGGAGCCCCTCACCCAGGTATTCCAACCCAGAATAATCCCACAAAGCCCGAGCCACCGGGCAATAGAGGAATAAATGCTCCAAAGTTTCCACTCCATCCCAGCAAACCGGGCACCGAGGAAGAAGCGGAACCTTCCTCTCACCAAGCGCTTTTTTTTTCTTTGTTGCTATTGTTATTTGGATTGCGGAATCCACTTTATAATATCTATTTTTCCCCCCTTTTGTTTATATTACTCCTTTGGTTTTAGCCATTTTTTTTGAATACTTTGTTTTGATACTCCAAATGAGTGGCAACAAAAGGAAGGATTTATCAGTCCTTCGGGGGACATCTGATTAAAACGAGGGATTCATTGCAACTTGCAAGAACAATTTTTTTTATAAAAGGAAATTATGTCTGTTTCAGTTATAAATATGATAAAATCAATTATGTACAAAATTATTTGGGGGACTTAAATATGACGGTAAAACTATTACGTGAGAAAAAAACACAAGTTAGGGGATGACAGTGCAATTGGAAATTGGATTCAAAGACCACCATTGTTGGCCCAAGTAAAACTTAACTGATCTGTTTGCAACTACTAAAATAAAATGGGTTACATGCAACCAAAACTAAAACTTAGAGGACTGCCCGTGATATTTACCCCGTCCGGCTGTGTCCCCCATTTTTGTTATTTGTCTCCCTTCTTTATTTCTTTAATCCTTCTCCTCCTTAGTCTTCCCCGTAGAAAATTTCAAACTCATCTCAGCCGTCCGATCACAACCGCTCTGTTGACTAAAACAAAAAAAAAAACCTTTTAATTTTTTTCTCTCTCTCTTCCTCTTCCCTCCCACCCGGTCATCCGGTCACCCCAAACCAGTCCCAAATTCTTATATCTACCTCCTTGTTCCCATCGTTCTCCAGCTCCTCTCCACTTTACTCCTTTTCCCTCCCATGGCTTCTTGTTGACTTCCGCCTTCACCTTATTCTCCTTTCATCTTCTCCATCCGGTTCCTCTCAATTCTCTCTCCCCGATCGCTCCGAATCCGAAGAAAAATCGAAGGAAGGGAAAACAACAAATGGCGGTTGACCTAATGAGTTTCAGGAAGGTCGACGATCAGATTGCGATCCAGGAAGCAGCCGCTCAAGGCCTGCAGAGCATGGAGCACCTGATCCGCGTCATGTCCCGTCACCAACAGCAGTCCAACAGCCAAACCACCGCCGCCGCCGATTGTACGGATCTCACGGAAGTCACCGTCTCCAGGTTCAAGAAGGTCATCTCCCTCCTCAACCGCACCGGCCACGCCCGCTTCCGCCGCGCTCCCCTCCACCCTAATTCCTCCTCTTCCTCCTCCTCCTCCGCCCCCGCTGCCGCCGGATCGCCGCCGCTTTCGTCGCCTTCTTTCCCGACACCTCCAGCTCAATCGTTCGCTGCGCTTCGCGTTGCGGCCGTACAGCCGAGGCCGGCGGTCATCCAATTGACGCCTACTCCTCCTCCACCGGTGGCGGCTTCGAGCTTCGTGCAGTCGCAGAGTTTGACCCTTGACTTCACGAAACCTAACATTTTCGGCTCGAATTCCAAGAGCGTGGAGCTGGAGTTCGCCAAGGACAGCTTCAGCTGCTCGTCTAATTCGTCCTTCTTGTCCTCCGCGATTACCGGCGACGGAAGCGTCTCGAACGGGAAGCTAGGGTCGTCGATCTTCCTGTCCCCGCCGACGGCTTCCGCCGGGAAGCCGCCTCTCTCGTCGGCGCCCTACAGCAAGAAGCGGTGCCGCGAGCACGATCACTCGGAAGATCTGTCCGGGAGATTCTCCGGCTCCACCACCACCAGCGGCGGCAAGTGCCATTGCTCCAAGAGACGGTAAGCTTTGTTTCTCTGCTACACGCGACCTCTGGTTTCAATCCATTAATCAATTCTCGGCCGTGTTAGGAAAGTGATTAGATCATTAATTACCGCAATTAAGCTAGAATCCGGACTTTGACAGTCAATGAAAATGAATATACCGTGAAGTCAACGGAAGGTAAAAGAAAGGGATTAATTTGGCGGAAGCGGTGAGAACGCGAAAAAGAAGGGAGACATGATTTTGAACTTTGTTATTAATGAATTAATTCATAATTTAAACACCGATTAATTGTCGCGGAGTGGGTTAGGTTGCATAGTGGAAACATCTTTGTTTAATCCTCCAAAACAAGAGCTTTGACCGGGGAAGAATATTAGTTTATAATATATTCATGATTATTTTGTACTGAATTAGGCATTGCGTTTAAACATGGGAAACGATTTCTTAATTCGCATATATGATATATCCCAATATAAAATAGTGATAATAATATTGTTTAATTGAATAGTTAAATCTAATTTTGTGCTATTGGACCGACGTATTGCAGAAAAAATCGGGTGAAGAAAACAATTCGGGTCCCGGCGATTAGCTCGAAGATCGCTGATATCCCGCCGGACGAGCATTCTTGGAGAAAGTACGGTCAGAAGCCGATCAAGGGCTCCCCTTACCCAAGGTAATAACTAATTTTACTAAAACTAAACCTTCGATCAGATTGGTCCACCCATTAACCGATGAACCGGTCTGAAGGTTCAAATTTTGGGTCTGAAAGTTTAAAACTGTTCTTGGGTTTGTGTTTCAGGGGTTATTACAAATGCAGCACGATGAGGGGGTGTCCGGCGAGGAAGCACGTAGAGAGGGCGACCGACGATCCGTCGATGCTGATCGTAACCTACGAAGGCGAGCACCGGCACACGCAGCCCGCCGCGGTGGTGGCTGGTTCCGGCGGAGTAGGGCTGGTGTTTGAGTCGACGTAAGAGGAGCACTGCAGAGCTGAGATCTTAATGTTAGGTTAGGAAAAGTTAGTTCGGAAAGGAAAGCAAAATGACAAAGGAAGTCGGAGTTATTGTTTTGTGTATTATTTTGAAGGAGGTGGAGGGTGGTTGACTGGTTTGTTGAGTTGGATGTACATTTTTTTTTCTTCCTCCTCCTTTTGTTTCTTGTGTTGGTGAGAGTGATGAATCTGGCAAAGAGATACGTCCAGAAATGTGAATTTGATTGGAAACCAGAAACCGTCCGGATTTTAATTGTAGGAGAAGGTGCGTGCTGTTATGTCGCCGGGATGGGTGTTGTTGGTTGTGCGTCATTTTTCCCAATCTCCTAGGCTTGGCTTATGGTGAAAGACTTTAATCCGATACGTTACAATTCCTCATCTAATATCGACTTGTCCAATATTTGATCCGCGCGCGATACTCTACTATAGTTTGTAGCTTTGTACCAAACTCACACTATTTCGAAATGGTCTATAACCAGATCGTACCATATTCTGATCAAACTCTCGTATACCGACTTTGACACCTATTATGTCCGGGCATGTCTACAATGATACGGGTTATATTTGTAACACCAATGATACGACTATATGAATGCTAATTTCAAAAAAACGTACAGGCTTCTACAAATGAGCAAAATCTTGCAAGTTGCAACTCTGTTACTCAGAATTTACACTATATTCAGTTTATTCAAATTTTGGTTCCTAATGAAACACATTTCATGGACGAGAACAAAAGGAAATCCATAAGAGAAAGGACCTTATATTATTCAGTTGAGCCCTACTGAAAGGTCGCCAAGTCGGCCTGGGAACCGATGGTGCGGACTGCGGAGTGCAACTCCATGCATCTCCGTAGCAGCAGAGGTTCGAATCCCAGAGCCAACATAAACGGCGCGTCGGATTCGGTGGTGGTGGTGATAGTATATGAGAGAGCAGCAGTAGCACTTGATCTCTCATACAGAATTGAGGTATTCTAAAATACCTCCCTTTTTTACCCCACCTCCAGCATGCCTACATCTATTTCACTGGAATACCTCCCTTTTTTACCCCACCTCCAGCAAGCCTGCATCTATTCTACTGGAATACAGCAACAGAACTTTGAATGGCAATTCTATAACGCCAGTGACTGTGTTCAGAGACCACTAAAGCTGAATCGTCGATTGATATCAGAAGCACTATAAAGACTAAGCATGAAGGGCTTTCTTTTTTATTACCATTGCAGTGGCTTCAGTTTCTCCTGTTGAAGTCATGGATGGTTGGAGGAGCTGTTGCAATAAACAAATACCACTCGTATTATAACGAAAAGTAAGGGGGGATCTAGAAACAAAGCACATTGAATTGAATACAAATGGCAAGGAGAGAATCTTACCTAAAAGTTCAAAAACCTCCTGCGATTTTCCCTTCGGAAGGGTATCAACATGTTTTAGCAAGTTGCTACTGAGACAAATGTCCAAGAATCCCAACTTTAGCAGATCAAGTCATTTACAGAAAGCAAGCAAATGAGCCCAGCCGGTGGCAGATGAGTGCACGCGCATTCATATTCTTGAACAACTCCATTTTTTTTCTCTCTCACGAGACCACCTTATCTGCAAGTTGTAAAAAGCACATCAGTGAAGGCAGCTTATCAGCTAATACCCAAGAGATTCCATCCCATTACTGCAGCAGCTAAAATCAGAACTGTCTTAGTAATAGGATTCTGTTCCTTCATAATATGGAGTGCTTTGAACGAGCTTTGAACTCTCCCACATTTTCCGTGCATATCTACCATATCATTGCTGACAAACTAGATACACAGAAAGCACTAAACTTTGTCTTAATAGAGAACATGGATAGTACTTTCCCAAGGAAAGCATGCAAAGCTAACTGGGTGCACTTGCTCAGAAGACTAACACAGGTGTAGTTATGTGGATGGTTTTTAAGTTTTAACCATAAGCGTGTGTCCATAAAGCTCAATTACCTTCTCTGTAATGACCATCACAAGCACAGGGAGCAATGCCAATATTCCAAGATACATCATCTGACTCTTCAAGCTGAGAAAGAAACTTTATTGATTCGTGGTATTGGCCTGATCTGTTCCACATTCCAGCAATAGTATCAGAAAGAACAGTAGCTAGTGTTTCAAATTCGATGAGTAATGCTTTTGCTTCATGGATGAACCACTGTGTCATAGCAGCCAATAAAGGCAATGAACAAATTTCCATTCTTTTCATACACCATCTTCCTTATCAAACAGTGAAGTTGGAATAGTTCAAACACTAATAATAAATGAAGTATGGCAGAAAAATAAAAACTCATTAGAAAGGGAACCAAACCGAAGCATCTCTTGGAGCAAAGGAATAGAAAGTATGAAGCTTTCATAATAGCAGAACGAAACCCAGGGTCACCTCATGTTTTTCATCGGAACAGAATTATGAAAGATTGACAGATATTACATTAGACCTGAGAAAATTATTCAAACCTTCAGATATCCTCCTATTTCTCAAAACCTTAATCTTTCGTTGTATCCGATTGGACTTCGCGCTTAACCTTTGGGTCGCTACCATGTAATCTACATAAGAATTTGCAGGAAACAAACTATATCAATATGGTATACGAGGCAGGACTGCAACTGATGTAGTCTACAGAATGAGGTTGTATGAATAAATGGCCAAACTTACGAAGCATAAGGAAATGGCTGGACTGCCGCCTCCTTCTCATAGCTAGATGCATCCGTCGCTTTTCTCTTGCGATCTTTGAAAGATAGGTTTTCAAACCCTTTAAGATCTGTTGAAAGTGTTCAATCCCTAAACCAAATAGAGACCTTGAATGAAGCCACAATTCTAACATACTATTGAACTCAAGCCAATTTCATGATCTCTTAAAAGTGCAGGTACCTAATCTTGGTGATGGCTTGCTCTGACTAACATGACTTTCAGAAGCACTCCCTTCGCTGGGATCACTATCCGAAGAAGAACAATAATCTACAGAACCTGCACGTTAATGTATTTACTATCTTTGTTTCATGGAAGTTTCAGAAACAACAGACTCAGATGATATCGTAAATTCAGTGTACTCCGCGGATCAGACACCATAACAGATACCTGAGCGCTTTTTCCTTGACTGATGAAGAGCCTTTACCACTGTTTTATCTTTTCTGTCCATCTCCGGGAATCAAGATGAGAAGCTATGCCGACACGGAAGACTACATTACAACCTACCACCAGATAATCGAGGTTACCAAAATAGCACATCAAATCTTAACCTTAAAAACAAAACTTCGGTGCCTCTGGTTCGACTCTTAACATCAACCCTAAACAGGATCAACAATATGAAGCATTTACGGCTGAAATTGGTCGAAGTTAGGAACTGAAACCGTACCTTGTTTGTGGTAGAGCATACGATCGAGTGGCATTCCACACTCGTCGATTACATGGCTATGAAAAGATAAAGTCGGCAGCTTGATTAAGCGATCTGCTAAGGGTCATAAATACTGAGGCGACAAGGTTCCTACGAATCAAACCATCAGCAATCTTGGGAAGAGGCAGAGTACCCACTAAAAAAGGAACAGGGGAATTCAACGGTTGCTGAAGTGGTGAAAACTGAAAAGCTAACCGCCCAATAATGCGGATGCGGTTCAGTGATATTTAACCCTGAAAGTCCACCGGCGGCGAAGACTGGCCGGACTGAAAGAGAACGACTGTGGTGGCGAAGAGGGGATCGGTATGGCTCGCGATTGATTAGTGTTTCAAGAACCCTAATCTTATTGATTTTCGTGTTGTGTTAAACTTTACTGATTGAGTTGTGATTGTGCACAATTAAAACGCCATGTAGAAGAAATTTTACAATGCTATATAGTATTGGTCCTATAGGTTTTTGCTTTTATGGTACAACTTAAAATTGTATATTTACGTTATGGTACAACTTCAGATTGTACCTATATTTTTTGTACAAATTCTTTTATGGTACAACTTGAACTTGTACCTTTATGTGATGGTACAATTTCAAGTTGTAAAGTTGTACCATAACATAATGGTACAAATTAACACTATGTTTGGCAACAAGGGGGGTGCAAGTTCGAGGGGGTACAAGTTGAGGGGTAAATTGTTGGGGGGTACAACTTGGTGGAGGGTGTAAGTGGAGGGGTAAATTGTTGTTTGGATGAAAAAGTAGGGGGGTGCAAATAGAGTAAAAAGTAAGTAATTATATTATTATAAAATAGATTTATCAATTTATAAAATATTATCACAAAATAATAACATGAAAATTCAATATATAATAATAAAAATAAATAAATAAAAATAATTATTATATAATAATGCTCAAATATAATTATTTATAACAACAATAATAATCATTGGTCGAGCAACCTCGAAACTCGAAATCCAACTCGTAACTGGTCATCCTAAGGGGGTTCTCGTGCCTAACTTTAAATTGAATATGGTCAAACTTAGTCAAACACGTTCGAATCTGTAAGTTTTAACTACTTATTAAAGTAAATCGAGTTAACTAAACTGTTCCTCTCTATCTTTTCAACAAATACTTCTTATCTCTAATTTTCAATGCAAATTCGGGTCAACTAAGAGATATCGATTTGACGAGGCGAACATTGACAAACTTGCTCTCTTAGTCAAACGGTCAACCCCAAACAACTTCTACACTAATATAGATATAAGAAAAAATTAATAATATTAATTATTATGTAATTATAATCTAATTAAAAATTCATAATTCCCCTCCTCCTCCTTCCCCCTCCCTTCCTTCCTTTCCTTGCACCCCAATTTGGGGGGTAAGCCGAAACAGTGAATTTACGCTCACGTTTTGCACCCCCCTACTGTTACAAAATAACCAAACGGGGGTAAACACCTTGGAACTTGTGTTTACCCCTCCAAATTTGCACCCCCTTCCATTTGCACCCCTTCCCAAACATAGTGTAAGTACAACCTAAACTTATACATTTAATGTTATGGTACAACTTTGAGTTGTACATTAAAGCACCAGTGCTATATAGCACAGTAGAAGTGCTCCATACTTAGACGGACGCTGGTTAATATTCTGAACATAACCTGAACTCTAACTCTTTATCCAAATATGACCTGAATTTTTAAAAACGACAAAATGACTATTTTCAAATTCTTAAGACAGAATGGATGAAATATGATGTTTACCGTTAAATTTGACAGTCCCTTCGTTTGTTAAAGAGATCCATCCAGACATATTGGTGTGACATTCCTGTGTCAATGGAGTATCTGCTCGTCAATTCCACGATATCACCACCACCCAACTAAGGTATACAGTGATAACGAGATTTGTGAACATCACACAACTAACCAATGTGTATAGCATGGTTTTAAGTTGTACGTCACGTACTGATCTAAACACATTGCATTTTTTGTCTGTGGCCAAAGGTTATAATTAACATGTACATTAAGAAGTCGTCATCCTAATGGACCAATGAGTCTTTACAAATCCATATCGTAAAATTGTCCAACATGACCAACGTAGATCAAATGTGTAACAATACAACAAAGCTCAATGTGGTACCACATTCATACACATTCAAATATGGAGTTGTACTACAACACAGACAAGTTGCCCAGACGTGCACAAATGTGGACGACACAAATGAGTTATACAATGTGTAGGAGATTCCACTTCATGAGTATACAAGACACGGATATAAGATATGTTACCCCTCATGAGAGATACCCAACTCCACATATATGCTCCACATTGCCAAAATGATGGAAGTAAAATATACCGATATAATGCAACGTAATGATTTCACATGAATACTTATGAATGCCTAGAAATAAGTCTACAATGTAAAACCAAAAAACATGTACGCAAAATTCTTTCAAAGTGACTACAACATTTGTAGTAGACCCTTATAGAACATAGTTCCTTCATAAGAATAATCGAAGTGAATATGACATCACAAGATCAAACATCAAAATTTTGTTTGGAAAAAGATCGAACTCTAATTGATTTCCTCGCTTTAAATCCGAGCAGATTTAAGGAACACAATAAATTGGCAGCAGATAGGGTCAGTAACCAAGTGGTTACTGACATGTCAGTAATGAATAGGGACCATAGATCTAAGAGGCAGGCAATCGTGTGGTTGGGCCGGACGCTGAGTGGGGAAGGGTATTTTTGTCCGTTTATACATTAAATTCTTTATTTTATTTTATTTCGTATTTAATGACTGCACTTTTAAAGAAGGAAAGAGAAATCACTTCTCTACAACTTTCTATCTTCCTTCTCTCTTCCTTTTTCTCTCTCAATATCTTTTCCAGGTCCTCTCTCTTTCTCTCTTCCTTTTTCTCTCTCAATCTCATTTCTAGATTTAAATCTGCTCCCTTCTCTTCTTCTTTATTTTTTTCCATGACGAATAAAAATTGGAGCCACTCTTTTTCATTGCATTTCTTCTCTTCATCATCTCATTAGCCTCAATTTCGATCTTTCTCATTTTTTCGGCATTTTGGTGTTCTTGATTGTGGAAGAGGAAATGAGAGGCGACACAAGAAGATCTTTTTTCTCTACCTCTTTCTGTTTTTTTTTCTTTTAGATAATATATATTGATATTATAACTCTATACCATATGGTATTCGGTGGTAACGAACTATATATTGATATTACCACACTATACCATATGGTAATGTATGGTATTGTGTGGTAACGAATTATATATTGATATTACCACACTATACCATATGATATTGTATGGTATTGTGTGATATTACAACAATATACCATATGGTATTGGGTGGTAACGAAATATATATTGATATTACCACATTATACCATATGGTATTGGGTGGTAACGAAATATATATTGATATTACCACAATATACCATATGGTATTGGGTGATAACGTAATATATATTGATATTACCATATTATACCATATGGTATTGGGTGGTAACGAAATATATATTGATATTACCACACTATACCATATGGTATTGGGTGGTAAAGTAATATATATTGATGTGTTAAATTTTTTTCATACCATATGGTATGGTCAATACCAGTCAATACCATATGGTATAGCTGGTAATAACTGACAAATTTTTTTTTATGTCCAAAAAATATCAAAGTGGATATCATTTTAAAGAGCACAATTAATCTGATCTAACTGTACAAAAAAAATTAAATTTCGACTTAAAATGAGTGAGAAATTGTCCGTTAAATATTAAGAGAAGGAAAATTAAAGGATTTTCGAGGAGAAAGAAGGCGCTGATGTGATCAAGTCAAAAGTCAGCGTTAGCAATAAATAGAGATAGGAGCAATTTTACCTTATTGTCCTTCCGTATTTAATTTAAATAAAAAAGGGACTGACACGTGGCGACAAGAGAAGAGGTTACTGATGGGTTACTGACCTGATCTGGTCCCCAATAAATTAGGCAAAACTCAACGGCTAAATAAGACATTTGGCATAAAGTTCACATTCAAGAGAGACACTTTTGGTAATTAGCCAGTGAGGTAGGGACTTCAGTTAGGAGTGCCGGAAACAGAGACGCAGAGAGAAAGAGAGCCCAACTGTCCAGCATTTTGAGCATTACGTTACTCCTCTTGTCGTTCTTGCATTGCAATTTGCAACAACACTGTAAAAAGCTGAGAACTTTACTAATTTTTTTTAATAATATTCCTCTCTAGACACCATAGAAGCTCTCTCTCTCTCTCATCCCCTCTCTGCAAAATCAATCAGTCTCAATCGGGGATTTTGGTCTAGGGTTTCACTCACACAGTCACACTCTCTCTTCTCGTCCCATTCCCCATAGCCGTTTCTCTTCTTCCCTCTGTGCTCTGTTCTCCTTCTGGGTTCTAAAAAGCAATTGACTTTGAGCCAGCCAGCTCGCCCACCGACTCAGTCAACACGCTTGATTAACCCAAACACCCCTGGCCTCTCTTGCTTTTTTCCTTAACTAGAGTGAGTTCCTTTTTTCCACATCCGATTCCAATTATTCTGCCTTATCATTCCCAACTTTTTTCTCATCTACTTTCCCACCAAACTTTTAGCTCTCCCTTGGTTGTGGGTTTCCTCTCTCTGTGGGCTTGCCGATTTGGGATTGCTCTGTTTTTTCTGGTGTGAGTTTGGTGAAATTGTTGGGGTAGGAGAAAGGGAGAAGGAAAGAAGGAGAATCATGAAGATTTGCTCAAGTAAAGCTCCTGGTTGATCCGATAACGTGTTAATCCAGCTGCCCATCTCATTTCCTAGCTCCCTTCCTAATCCACCATTAGTTTCCTCAGACAGTAAGCTCCCAAGTTAGTTTCTTTCTTTCCATTCAGCTCGAAATTTCCTGGATTGGGGACTTTTCTTGTAGATTTGGGGACCGGAATGGCGGAATCCGGGAAAGGCGCTTCCAGTGATAATGATAAGATTCAGAATCTGATAGCTGCGAGGAAGTCACTGAAGCTGAGCTTGGAGAAGTCTAAATCACTGGGGCTTGCTCTAGGTAAAGCTGGGCCTAGATTGGACGAGATTAATCAGCGGCTGCCTTCTCTAGAAGCTTCAGTGCGCCCAATTCGTGCAGACAAAGACGCTCTTGTTGCTGTTGGAGGTCACATTAATCGTGCTGTGGGTCCTGCTGCTGCGGTGCTCAAGGTGTTTGATGCAGTTCATGGGCTGGAAAAATCGCTGCTTTCGGATCCTAGGAATGATCTGCCTGGTTATTTGTCGGTGCTGAAGCGTTTGGAAGAGGCATTGAAGTTTCTTGGGGAGAATTGTGGTTTGGCAATACAGTGGTTGGAGGATATAGTGGAGTATTTGGAGGATAATTCGGTTGCTGATGAGAAGTACCTCTCCAATTTGAAGAAGAGTCTTAGGGATTTGCAGAATGATGATGAAAGGTCGCGTCTTGATGGCGGGCTGCTGGATGCCGCATTGGATAAGTTGGAAGGAGAGTTCAGGCGGCTGTTGGTGGACCACAGTGTTCCACTAGAAATGTCATCCTCATCAGCTGGTGAACAGGCGGCGGCCATTGCACCCTCGCCATTGCCTGTAGCGGTAATTCAGAAGTTGCAGGCAATTCTTGGTAGGCTTATTGCGAATAACAGACTTGAGAAATGCATTTCCATATATGTTGAAGTCCGTAGTTCAAATGTTAGGTCTAGCTTGCAGGCGCTCGATTTGGACTACCTTGAAATTTCCATAGCTGAGTTCAATGATGTGCAGAGCATTGAGGGTTACATTGCTCAATGGGGCAAGCATTTAGAGTTTGCCGTCAAGCATTTGTTTGAAGCAGAGTACAAGCTTTGTAATGATGTCTTTGAGAGAATAGGATTAGATGTGTGGATGGGGTGCTTTGCTAAAATTGCTGCTCAGGCTGGCATTCTAGCATTCTTACAATTTGGGAAAACCGTTACAGAGAGTAAAAATGATCCCATTAAGCTTCTCAAGTTGCTGGACATTTTTGCATCTCTCAACAAATTGAGACTGGATTTCAATAGGCTCTTTGGTGGGGCAGCCTGCGCAGAGATTCAAAACCTTACTAGGGATCTCATAAAGAGTGTTGTTGATGGAGCAGCCGAGATCTTCTGGGAGCTTCTGGTTCAGGTGGAATTACAAAGGAAGATTCCACCTCCACCTGATGGAGGCGTTCCCAGACCAGTGAGCTTTGTAACCGAGTACTGTAACAAGCTTCTTGGGAATGATTACAAGCCTATACTGACCCATGTCCTGCATATTCACCGAAGTTGGAAGCATCAGAAGTTCCAAGATAAGCTTCTTATTAAGGAGATGTTGAGCATAATTAAGGCTATCGAGCTCAATTTGGAAACATGGATGAAGGCTTATGAAGACAATACCCTATCCAACTTCTTTGCCATGAATAACCATTATCATTTGTACAAGCATTTGAAGGGGACACAACTTGGAGAAATCTTGGGAGATTCTTGGTTGAGAGAACATGAACAATACAAGGACTACTATGCTGCAATCTTCTTGAGAGACAGTTGGGGGAAGCTTCCTAGTCATTTGAGCAGGGAGGGTTTGATTCTATTCTCAGGTGGGCGGGCCACTGCTCGAGACCTTGTCAAGAAAAGGCTGAAGACTTTCAATGAAGCTTTTGATGAGATGTATAACAAGCAGTCAAACTGGGTTGTGCCAGACCGAGATCTGCGAGAGAAGACGAGCCAGCTGATTGTGCAGTCCGTTGTGCCTGTTTACAGAAGCTATATGCAGAACTATGGGCCTTTAGTTGAGCAGGAAGGAAGTTCCTCCAGTAAGTATGCTAAATACTCGGTGCAGGCTTTGGAGCAAATGCTTAGCGCATTGTTTCTACCTAAACCTGGGAGGTATGGAAGCTTTAAAGTTTCCAGGAGGGTCAGTGACAAATTCGATAACGGGGTAGCGAGTCTTCATCGTACTGCTTCTGCAATCGTCTGATTGTCATCTGGTCACATGTGTTGGTTTGTTTGGTTGTCCTCTCAAATTCTAGACGATCAACCCTTTTCTGTACATAAGGGATGGAGGTCCTTACAGGCCTTAAATCATGTCATATAATCCTCTCCAGCAAAGTGGCTCCTCCGAGTGCTGCTGCCCAAGTTTTCCTCCATCAGCTGAACTTCCATAATCAACCGAGAAAGTGTTCGCCTCTAATGCCTGGAAGGATTCTGGAAAGCTTTGTTGATCTGAGCTGCGCCGGGCATATGCAATATGTTCCCTATTAATGGAACAGTAGATAATACTTGTGAGGTATAGCTTTATCTCATTTTATTACCCATTGATTCAATATTTGCCATAACATGGCTGCGTTATAGCCTCTGTACTTGCTACCGTTTAGATTGTCTAGCAGGGATTAACTTAAACATGTCACTTGAGCAGTAGTCATTACACTGAGGTACCCTTTAAAGGGGTTTTTACCTATTAATGATGGGATGGATGCTAGAGGCCTTAAGATTCAGCCATGAGTTTACTACTGAAAGCACTTTTCACAATAAGATGTCTTTCCATTTCTCTTTTGGATCGCAGTAGCTTCCCATTTGCTCGATATTCTCTCGTATTCATGATTGGATCTGTTGCTGCAAAAACAACGTTATTTGCGTTCATTCCATCTCTCTGCTTTGAGAACATCTGTGGCCCGTTGTGGATCTTTGAGTCTTTCTAAAGAACTATTGCTACTTCATCTTGGTCTTTTTGGGAAATCATTAGCTTCGTCTGACCTGCTCGCCTTGATCTATCCCGTTCGTGTATTTCCTGCTTGTGGGGCGGAGTTACAATCTTCCTGCTGCCTCATCCTGTCCAGTTGATCTGATGTAGCGAGGGCTATGTGCGAGCCTTCGACACTCGAATAATTAGGCTTCATTATCTGTTCTCTCCCTTTTAATTGAGAAAGTGGTATTGGTTACAATTGCTGTTGGTATACTATACTATACTTTACTACTCTTACAGTCTCATGTATGTCGTGAAACTACTATTGTAAGAGCTATTAACAAGGAAACCAGTAGGCGCTTGTTTATGATCATGAAAAATCACCAATCTTCTGCAAGCTTGTCTCTGATTCCATCCAGCTCCACTGCAACATCACTGATCCTCATCCTCTCTCCGGGAGACTCCACAGAAGCAGCTACGCCGATCCCAAGTATAGAAACCACACATTCTTGAACCATAGTGGTCGTGGCGAAGGATATCGATGCTCCTTCAATCTCGTCAACCAGAACTACGTCCAGTATCTCTCTCGCTTCAGTCCAGGAACCCACTTTTGCATGACGGTGAAGGTTCAGGCCATCCTTGAACATCTCGTCCGTGGGTCTCTTCCCAGTGAACATCTCCAGCAGCAACATCCCGTAGCTGTACACATCTCCGCTCGTAGAAACCTCATTCCCCATTCCATATTCTGCAAAATTCAATAAACTGAGTTAGATACTGTTAATTCTGAATCACCATAACTAAAAGGGCTGGAATCAGGGAAGCTGCAACAAGCAATGGCTCTCACCTGGAGCTGTGTAACCTATAGTTCCCCTGACACCAAAGCTACTAGACAGGCTGCTACTAAGATTGGCTGCTATTGCTTCTGGGAAAAGTCGGGCCAACCCGAAATCGCCCACCAGTCCTGTCATTTCATGGTTGACAAGAACATTGCTCGGCTTCAGATCACAATGAGCTATCGGAGTCTTCAGGCCATGGTGAAGATACTCCAAAGCACTTGCGACGTCAATCGCAATATTCAACCTCTGAAGCAAATTCAGCCGCTTCCTCCTCGGAGGGAACTCCAAATCCGGATCAGTTTCGGATTCAGGATCTTGATGCAGCCATTCATCCAGGCTTCCGTTAGCCATGAATTCATATACTAAGGCCATGAATTCGTTACCTTTGCCGTCAACGCTCGAGCACGAAGTCAGTAGTTTGACGAGATTTCTGTGCCTGACTTCCCTCAAAACCTCGCATTCAGCTCTGAAGCTCTTCGCAGCTGCTGGGTGAAGAAGATTTAAAACTTTAACGGCTATGATTTTGTCACCGTCGTTTGGGTTTATCCCTTTGTAGACACAACCAAAACTTCCGGTTCCGATCAAATTTTGAGGAGAGAAATCTCCAGTCGCCTTCCGTAGGCTGTGGTAACTCATTTGGGGGAGGCGATTCGGTGAAGCTTCTTCATCTGGTTCCACTCTCTTCTTCCTTTTGATACAGAGTAGAAACAGGGGAGATAAAAACAGAGCAAGCAAGGCAAAGCTGGAAGCTCCAATTATCATGGCTTTCTCGGCGGTGGAGAATCTCTTTGGTTTACTCTTCTCCTTCAATTTGCTGCAAACAGGCAGTCGGAATTCAGAAATTCCGCCGCATAGCTCACCATTCCCCGAAATCGAAGCCGCGGTCGAGTTTCTGAACACGCCTTCATTCGGCACTCTGCCATTGAATCTGTTGAACGACAGATTCAAGCTCGTCAGTGACTGGAAGCTCCCGATGAACTCTGGGATTTCCCCAGTCAAATTGTTGTTCGCAAAGTTCAAGACTTGAATGCCCTTTAGCGAACTGAGAGACGAGGGGATGTATCCCTGGAAGGAATTGTTCTGCAGCAGAAGCGTCTCCAGTCTAACGCAGCTTCCGAGGTTCGCCGGAATTTCGCCGGATAACAGGTTATGAGAGACATTAAGTACTCCGAGATTTGCTAAAGTTCCCACTTGTCTTGGCAAGGAGCCTGTCAGTCTGTTGTCCGCCAGGCCCAAGTAGATGGTCAGAGACGAAATGGTCAGAAGTTCTCCAGGGATTTCTCCGGCGAGATTGTTCCCGTCGAGATTTAGTGACAGTAAATTCCGGCAGTTCCCCAAACTTGGAGGAATGGTCCCCTGAATCGAACTATACTGCATGTGGAGATGTGTCAATTGACTTAAATTCCCAAAAGAAGATGGAATTCTTCCGTCAGAGAAATCGTTTCTCTCGAGATGCAGTTTCTTCAAATTCCCCAATTTCCCAAGCTCTTCAGGAACAGAGCCGGTAAACTGGTTGTTTCCCATATCTAGCAACTCCAATTTCTTCAGGTTCGCCATCCCTTCTGGTATGCTTCCTGATATCTTGTTGACATCCATAGTCAGAATCGAGAGCTCGGTGAAATTAACGACTGATTTCGGCAGGGATCCGCCAAAATTGTTGGCACTCAGAGAGACCAACTGTAAACTCGACCGATTGCTGATGGTTGAAAGGAAATCGAGATCACCAGCTTCGCCAGTTCCAAGCAGATTAGTCGAAATACTCAGCCACCAGAGCTTATGCATCTTCGCCATAGAAGGCATAGTTCCAGAGATTCGGTTGATAGCAATCGTAAACCTCTCCAAGTTGGTAGCATTGGACAGCGAAGCAGGAATTGTTCCGGTGAACTGATTGTCTCCGACGTTGAGCTCGGTGAGGTTTGGAAGAAGGTTCCCGATGTCATGAGGAATCGTCCCCTGAAGCTGATTCACTGGAAAACAGAGCACGCCCATGGAAGTAATGTTGTAGATGGAAGCTGGAATTGTTCCAGTCAAAAAGTTTCCTCCCATTGACAAATAATTGAGCTTCTTGAGGCGGCCGAACGACTCGGGGATCGTTCCTCCGAGGCTGTTGGACGTCGTGGCGATTTGCTGCAACGTGGAAACGTTGCCGAGTGACGGCGGGATGCCGCCGGTGAGATTGTTGAATTCGAGATTCAAAATCCAGAGCTTCGAGAACCCGCCGAATGAGTCCGGAATCTTGCCGACCAACCTGTTGTCGCCGAGAACAAGGCCGACGAGGTCGGAGCAGCCGGAGATGTTCGGAGGGATTTCGCCGGTGAGGAGATTGCTTTGCAGAGCGAGAATCTGGAGGCTCGCCAAGCTGCCAATTCCGGGAGGGATTTCGCCGGAGAAGCTGTTGTTGTACAGCCGCAGTTCCCGTAGAGAAGAGAGATTGGCGATCGACGGGGAAATCGAGCCGTGGAGGAGCTGAGAGCTGAGGTCGAGCTCAGTGACTCTCTCGTTGCTTCCATCACAGGTAACCCCTGCCCATTTGCAGTAATGAATTGAAGAAGAAGAAGAAGAAGAAGAGCTGTTGGTGTAGTTGCTGGTCCAGGAGTTGAGGAATCCAAACGGGTCTGAGGTAATTTTGGACTTGAAATCGAGCAAAGCTTGGTGTTCATCCGTCATTATCTGGTTACCACTACTGCTTTGGCCTCCAGCCAGGGACACGATTGAGCTCAGAAGAAGCAGAAACAGAGGTGGGATTTTGAAAAACTCCATCTTTGAAAGCCAGAGCTCACGAACAAAGAGAAAAGTTGGCTGCCGAGTTGGGTTTTCTGAAGGAAAGCAGTTGCTTCATCAGTTTGACGCCATTAAAGTGAGGTTCTTGGGGGCTCGTTTTAGTACAGAGGAATTTTGATGACGCGGTGAGGACTTTTGGGGCAGGGGAGTTTTGTGTTCGTGCATTTGGAGCCATATGGAGACGATTCAGAAGGGTGAGAGTGACGAGCTTTGAATATCATAATAGCCGAGGGAGACCGAAATGTGACATTGACGGACCTTTGCAAAGTAGATGAATTGGTAAACAGGGTAGCTTTCTGGGTTGTCTCTTGGTTGGACCTTTCTGTGGACATCTTGACCAGTGTGGAAATAACGAAGAAAAGTTGAAATTTTGTGGATGAAAATCGGAATCTCAACTGTGCTCTGCTTGTTCCCACCTGGATCATGTTTATCAATAAACAGGAAATTGAAATTGTCAAGAACCAGTTAGATCTCAATAACTCGAATTGTTGGGAGAGGTCATTCACAGGCCCTCTCAAAAGAAAGTCACTCACAAGGACTTGAAGTTTGCACAGGTCTGAAGACAAGAATACTATGTGGATGAAAAATGGGAGTCATCGTGAATCAAACACAAGACCTCCCGGTCACAGAAGACTCTTATACCATGTCAAGAACCAGTTGATCCCAATAACTCAGTTGTTGAGAGAAGTTCAATCGTGGATCATATACCACAACACTAACAGAAATGCTTAAACATTATGGTTTGCCAAAAGCATTTGAATTTTACTACGGAGCTGAATGATGGTACACTCTAATCTATACATCTTATGATGTGACAAAGGAATTCTTAGAACATTTCATTGACTCATTGCTTGAGGGGTGGAGCAGAGGAGGAGCGTTCATTCTTGTCTTCTAAAGGTTCTAGCCTTCCCCTGCCTCCACCTTCCTTCTCGTCGATATCGTTTCGAGAAAGACGAAGGGAAGAAAAAACAGAGAACAGAGTGAGAACATGGATTCCTTAGTTTTCAAGGTTGCCGCTGGTGGAATTTGCAATTCCCTGATTTGGGTCATCAAAATTCACACCAAACTTTGTCTAGCCGCCGTCCCGTTGCTCGAAAGGTTGAAACACGCCCTATTAGGGAAAGACAGATTGAGCATGTTGACACCCATTTTTATCCGGATTTTCCCAAAGTAAATAATTTTGTTCGAACCTGATTTAAACACAAGAAATTCATCATCCCGTTACAATCCACTTCTATTACAACTTCGGGCTTCCAATGATTTTGGTACAATGATTTTGGGTACTATAAAAGGATAAGGAAGCAGCAGGACACCGGGGGGAGAGGGGCCTGCTCTGAGAAAAAAAACCATACCATTTTACAGCTCCAGCCAAGACACAATTTAAATAAAAGAAAGAGCAAAACTCACCGGTGCCACTGAACTGCCGTCGCCGCCACAGCTCCTCTCTCCCGAGCAACACCACCAGTCACCTCCCACCATCGCGCCTCGCATCTCCATCGTCGTCACTCCTCACCGCCGTACCCCCTGCATCCTCCGCCGCAACAACCGCCAGCCACAGCATCGTGTCACCGCCCGCCTCTATCGACGATCCAGGCCGCCGCCAACCGTTCCCCCTGCGCGTCGTGAGAAGAAATGAAGAAGTAAAGTTCAAAGAAAGGAAGAAGAAAGAGAGGGACGACCGCTCTTTGTTCTGGAGCTCAATTGCGTCTAAGATGAGGTAAGCTTTGCTTGCTCTCTCTTAATTTTTAAAGTTACGATTCTAACCATGTAGTCCTAGTGAATTTACAGGATTACTGATGTAAAGTTGCTAATTTCATCACCCTATTCTCCAAGTCATTGAAAATAACCATCCATTTATTAAATTGATTCATTAATTTATCTTTCATTTGATTTGCTATTGTTTACAATTTTGTAACCGTAAAAGTCCTTAAAATCCTTTTTACCAATAAAACCAACAAAATTTGAGGTTAGGAACGGATGCGTTCTATGTATAGAATAATAAGTTAATAACTATAAACAATATTTTCCAAACCTAAATGACTTTTCATTCTAATTAATCCTAATTAAAATGTCAATCGAACTACGCGGACTTTGATTCCGAGATGTCGGGTACGTAGGCGGCCGAAAGGTTCAAGTCCACACAATATTTTTTTATCAAGTTATACGATCAAGTCGTTATCGATGGGTATGTGATCAGTAATCGTTTAATATATCTCAAACAATTTACGATCGATGGATCGTCATCAAATTTAATAATAATTACACACCGATGGGTCGTAAGCAAACGTTTTTCAAAACAATTCATATCGGCGAACTACGAGGGCTTTGATCCTGAGATGCCGGGTACGTAGGCGGCCTACGGGTCCAAATCCACTAATATAAAAAAAACCTTTTTCCCTAAAATTACCAAAAATATATACTAATTCTTCCAATTCAATTACATGTTGATGAACATGTAATTAACTTAAAAAGGACATCACATATTCGAAGTAAGGCCAAATAATTTCAATCAAACAAAATATCGAATAAAAAGACAAATCAAACTTATAGTACCGACTTAGGGCGATGTAAGGGTGCTAATACCTTCCTTACTCGTAAACGACCCCCGAACCCGTAAATCAATTTCGCAGACCGAGCCGAGCCTAAATCTAAACGATTTAAGCTTGACTTTCCAAATGTCCAATCCACTTTGAGAGATTGGTGGCGACTCCTCTTTTTCGCGCCACGTCGCGGACGGAAACGTTTGCGACAGATTGATCTCCCCGAATGCATTCTCCATCACATTATCTCTGTTCGAACCTCCGTCCTGTCTAAAAGACTGACCAACTTGTGGAAAGAAGTACCTGCCCTCAATCTCGACATCGACTCCGTCCCCAACAAGTGGGATTTGCAGGAGCTACTCTCTGTTCGTTCTCGCAAATCCCCTGTTTCCGCCATCGAATTTAACTTCAGGGCACGACACGCGGACTTGGCACAATTCGATCGGCTAATGGCGCATGCCGCCGGCCTCGGGACCGGTCACGAATCACGATCTCAAGGTGATGTCCGTCACATGCGCTGGAAATTTCAGTGCGATGCCCGCCACCATCACTCACCACTGTCACCATGAATCTCTCACCGCCTTCAAGTTGGAGCCATCCTATCCTAACTACCCTATTGTTGCAATATCATCCGATCTCGGCGGCTTCGCTGTGCTGACCACTCTGGAGCTGCGCCGGTGCCAGCTGGTCGAGCAGTACGGATGTTCGAGGGATCCTTTTGCTCAACTTCGTTGCTTGACTGACTTGAAGCTGCGCGAATACTCGTACCTGACTCCTTTTAAGGTGACGGGACTCGAGTTGTTGCGACTCGAAATCACGTGCAGTTTCGAGACGCTGACGGAGGCGAGTGTGCGGGAACATTCACAGATATTCGAAGTGTCTGCTTCAAAACTCCAGTCATTCTGTTTGTCGGGTCACAACGATGATTTTGTGAATCTCCGCAAGGTGAACCTTCTTTCGTCGGTGGTGTCACAAGGAGGAGACTGCGATGGTGATTCAATCGTTCATGAGGGTGGTGCGCTCAATCTATCTCGATAGTCTCTCACTTTTCAAACTTGCTTCGATATTATTAGTTGCTAATCCATAGTCTCTTATGGTTTTTTACCGTGTTCTTTATTTTGCAGTTTCGGAATCGAGAAGACTCTCGTTTTAACGAGTTGAGGCCACTAGTCAGGGAGGAAGTTTCTCGCTTTGTCAGATTGAAGAATTGGAAGATTCGATACTCCTACAGAGACCAATAGTAAACATACTTTGATCCAATGGAGGTTTGAAGAAAAGTTTCTTCTAAGTTCTAACTTGAACGCATTATGGGTTATAAATTTGTATAATTTTTTTCTTTGTTCTTTCTTTTTGTAGTTTAAGTTGGAACTTCGAAGGTAAACATGTGTGTTTCTGTAATGAATTTTTCAATATTGTAACATGTTTCAGACTTTATTTAATCTATCTAACTGTTAATACTTAATATCGTCCAAAGGTTGAGACAATCTGTATCTTCAACCGGATTTTGGTATCGTTTCTCGAGCGCTAGGTAGACAACCAGCTTCGTCGCCAGGCCCTTAGCAATTGCCATGGCGAAGACCGAACCTAGATCCATGCATCATGATTCACCACCTTATCTCTTTTCGCCCTGGGCCCTGGCCTATGGTTGTCATTCGTTTCCGATTTCCAATCTGATGCTCTAGTATATGTTATTGTATGACTGTTAGGGGGGGGGGGGGGGGGGGGTTCTGTAATTTGGTTGGTTTTGAATGAAAGTTAGGGTGCGTTACATCCATTATAAGAAGAAGAAAAAATCTTATATGTAGTGACTTTTATAGTATTTTTGCAGAAATGGTAGGGACATAATTTTGGTTAGTGACTAGAGGTTTAACCAAAAGCTACACTAAACCACACACCGTTTGGTTACTTAATTGCCGATTTTTGTGGTAGTAGTTAATAACTTACCGTGATAGTTAAATAAGAAAAGTACACCTCGTTGTGGAACTTTAACATTCCTAACTCCTTCATTTGCAATACAATCCAACAAAAGAGTATTGTATGAGTTTCACCAAAGAACACTGAAGATCCTCAAATATATGATTAAAATGGGCTGGCTATACAAATCAACCAGATTGATAGATGAACTTTTCATATACCAAAACGACAATGACATTCTAAGTGTAAAAGAAGAGAAAAATTGTAGTAGCAACCTGAATAAAATCGTAGAGAGGGAAGTTCGTATCTATGATGATGATTACGAACCTAGTATGTTCTTGAAAACACAATAAATTGTAAACTGATATTTTATTAATGATGATAACGTAGACATTAAATACTTAGCATTTGAGCCACAAAGTCCGGCCTCAAAGCTTCCAACTACTAACAACAAGCCCTACTAATTAGCTTGCATTACCTACACGTCCACAGGAATCTCTGAACAAACTAAACAACCTATCTTGACTCAACTGACCAATCTTAAAACAACAAGGACTAAACAAACACTTAGCCAGAACACGACCTGGCCTTTATTGACAGACTTTATACTAAAACGGTGCTGCACCAACTAAAAGGCAAGCAGCAGGGCCGTCCCATGATATTTGGAGGCCCTGTTTTACAATTTAAAATGTGGCCCCAAAATTTAACTCACAAATTTATTAAAAGTAAAAATTATTAAATAATAGGAAGGATGAACATTGATTAGGAGTTAAATAGAATTTGGTGTGAAAATTGATTTTTAGGCGTTGCATGGTTTTAGAAAGTTGAGAAATTTTCGGGAAAGAGATAGGGAGAGGCGTTAAATACTCTAACTATTAGTTTAAATTCAGCAAACTAATTCTATCCTAGTGGTTAAATTTCCTTTCAATGGAAGTGGAGATTCCTGGTTCGATTCTGCCAGTTGTTGTCTTGTACATATATTTTTTCAGTGGGCCATGAGCTTGCCAGCCCAATCGGGTCTGGGGGTGGAGCTCCGTCTCGGATTATGAGGGGCCCAGTTTAGAGCAAAGCCCAAGGGAATGTCAGCTCTGTCTCTTATGAATTATGAGGCCCAGTTTGGCCTTGGCTCCGCTTCCAGGCTAATGGATTATGAGGCCCCCCAGAAATTGAGGCCCTGTGCTATGGGTCTGACTAGCACAGGGCCTGGGCCGGGCCTGGCAAGCAGTTTTCAAGTAATCCTAATCCGCAGAGGAAAAGGATTCCAACTTCAGTTTAGACTTACTCCAACAGTGCTTTCTTGCTAAGCTATAGCAAAAGACTATCAAAAGAATTAACTACCATGGGTGAATAAATGTGCAGCTAAAGAACCAAATGTTAATATTAAAAAAACCCGTACAAAGAAATCTTACAGCTATGTCAAATCAATCATCAACCTCATCTCTAAGCACTCTTAGCAGTTCCTCCTTGTACTCTTCGAACGTCCCCTCATAGATCTCCATAACACCATCTTTCACAACCCAGATCTGGCTCACCTTCCTTTTATTGATAGGTATATTTTGGTGGGATAAATAAAAAAAAAAGGAAAAAGTATGGCTTGTCATGATTGATAGAATCAACACTCTTGATAAAATCAAAATGTGGAAGACTGATGTAGATGAAACCTGTCCTCTATGCATGATCTTACCAGAAAGTCGAGACCATATTTTCTCTAAGTGTAGCTATACTCAGCATTGCTTGAGATTTCCCCCTGCAAACTGGGGATATTTTCCTTCTGGTGGCTGGCAGGAGAGTTGCAGGACTGCTACTAAGACTAAGAGGTTGGGAAAGTGCAGGATTGGACGCCTGATGTGGTGTTTGCTGATTAGTGAAGTTTGGAAGGAGATGTGTCGTCGGTTATATTATATGGCAGGAAGTACCTCACTTGTGATGAATTGATTACAAAGATGCCGAAGGTCTTGGGGGATCTGGAATGTGAAAATTGTGTGTTTGCAGCAGCTGTGGTAGTGAAGCCTTATATGTAGCAGGTAGATATGGATAGGTTGTTTTGAAACTGTTAGGTTGTATATTCAGTTTGATTCTCGGACAGATTGTGTAGATATATGGATCTGTGTAAAACATATGAGTGTAGATCGTATTTGATGAAATAAAATCTCCACTTTTCATTAAAAAAAAAATACAAATACAAACTTAAACGTTCCACAAATTTTATGAATCTATTTCCTTTCTTAAACGACTCCACAGTAATTGGCTGTGTTAATTTTGTTGTTGGGCTCGGAATATCATTAGCCCATCACCGTCCATCTCCTTTCACTTTTGTTGATGGGCTTTGAGAACCCACCTAGAGCTACACGTCTAAAGCCCACCGTAAAGGTGAAAATTACTTTAGTGGGCTTTTTTTTTTTTGTCTCCATCACTAATCTTTGGTTAATCCGTTTCAAACAAGTAATCGCTACTACTGGATGGAGACACCTCCAATGACATATCTAGGTGGGAGAGAAGTAGCTGAAGATTGAAGAATGAAGAAAAGGAGGAGAAAGAAGAGAGTAGACAAGATAATCAAAAATTGTAATTTTTTTTCTGGTCAATGAAAATGCCACGTCACGGCGAACGTGTCAACCCTATTGCGCCGCCGGCGGACTCTTCTCTTCCCTTTCTCCTCCCCTCCACTATTCCTTCCTCCAATCGGACTCTCGTCTAATCCTAATCATATCCACCATTTCCCACCTCCTTTTATCTCCCTTAATTATTTAATTAAATTGCTTCTGACCCCACTCTCTCTCTTCCCTAATCTCAATTCCAAGTATACGTATTCGTATACAGTATACGCGACGTATATTTATCAATTATTATTATAGTCTTCCGCCACCGTATACAAAAAAATACAAATCCTTTCTTCTTCTCCGATTAAAAATAGAATTAAATAATAATAAAAAAATCATCGCCTTTTGTATTGTGGGAGTTGTCTTCTTATTTTCTCTTGCCTTTCCACTCTCTCTCTCTCTCTTTCTCATCCATGGTTTCTCTCTCCGTCTCTTTAAAAAAGCTTCTCTATCTTCTTCTTCTTCTCTTTCTCCAATGGAATAAGCGGATAACTCCTTTGTATACTTTCCACTCCAATCTGTCAATAATTTCTTCCTTCTTCCGTTCCTCTCTTTAATCTGTCTCTCTCCGTCTTCTTCCTCCGATTGATGACAACGAAGCCTCACTGGAAGACCGACACCAACATCGGAAGGGTCAGGAGGGTAGAGCTCCGACGAGCCAAAGGAGCCGTTACTTGATCGGCGATCCGTTTCAGCCTCTCTCGGATCCCTTTAGTTTTTCTTTTGGTTCAGAGATCTTCTATTATCTCTATTATCTTCCTTCTTTTTTCGGTCGTCTAAAAAAGAAAGAGAAGCCAAGGATAAGGCTGTCTTCCCTGACTATCACATGGATGTCTTAGTGGGTCCTACCTTCACCATCGACGTTTCGCCTCCTCAGTCGGCGGCGGCGGCGGCCGGTTACTCCCTCTCCCAGGCGGAGACCCAGCGGTTACTTCTGAAGCATAGGGTTGTGGAGGGGGGAGAAGAAGAGGATGGATTTGTGCCTTCGATCTCGATCTCCAACCGCAGTCGGTTGGGTCTCTCGATGGCTGGATCTGGGAAATCCCTAGACGATTCTTCCGATGGCTCGTCTTCCGTCGGCGCTCCCGACGACAGCGACGAGGAAGAAGATGGAGAGAGCAATAGCAGCAGCGGCGCCTCCTCTTCTATGAAGAAAGGTCTCGGCTCGCTCGGCTCCATGGATGCTCTAGAGGATTCTCTGCCCTCAAAGTGAGTGTATTCTGTTTGGATTTTCGGATCCGTATCATGAAATCGTTTTATTTAATTTTGGGATGGTTCTTTCAAATTGCAGGAGGGGATTGTCGAATTACTTCACCGGGAAATCGAAATCGTTCGCGAGCTTGTCAGATGCGTGTTTGGCCGCGAGCAAAGCGAAAGATCTGGAGAAGCCGGAGCACCCGTTCAACAAACGGAGGAGAATTCTCATGGCGAACAAGTGGTCGAGGAGATCGTCGTTCTACAGCTGGCATAACCCTAAATCCATGCCGCTGCTCACCTTGGACGAAGACGATGACGATGATGAAAGCGGGGACCACAATCGCCGACGCCGCCAGAACGAAGACGATGAGGACCGCCGTGAAAGCCGGTCGTCATCCTCGTCGGATAAGGATGAGGACGAGGATGAAGAAGACGGGAAGCTAGCGCAGAGGAAACTGCTGCAGGAGAGGAAATTCAAGAACAGCTTCAAGTCCCATAGCTGCTTCTCCCTTACAGATCTGCAGGAGCAGCAACGGCAGCGAGAACTCAATCTGCCTCCCCGGCGTTGAAGATTGTTTTTTTTTTTTTGCTGGAATTTCATTTTCATTTATTGGTAATTAGTAACTATCCTTTTGAAAATGTGAAGAAAAACAGAAAATGATGATGAGCTCTGCTGGGTATTGTTATTAATAAAAAAAATCGTTTCTTTGTTTTTTTTTCTTTTTTCTTCAATATTTCTTCGCCAATTTTGTACAGATAAATGCAAAATATGTTTCTGGATAAATATTGTGTTTTTTTTTTGTGCTATTGATATTTTTCTTTTTTGGGGTTGGTAGGGGTTAGAGGTAGAAGGGAAATAGGATAGGCCAAGTAGGCTTATCTTTATCCATAATAATTTATTGTCATTATGAAAAATTTTTGTTTTATTTTTATTTATTTCCGCCTTGAAATGGTCAAAGATGCGGATATAGTTTTTTTTCATTCGGGTGATAATTAAGGAAAAGAAATTAGAAAAAAAGGGAGAGGATAATTGTGTGCCAGCCAGCCAAAGGACAATTATTAAATGTTAAGACCAACCCGTCTCGCATCTTAGATCTTATCTCTTCATCCTTTCAGTTTATTATATCGAGGAAAGGAAAATATAAAATCGGAAAATGGTCATCTTTCACACACAGACAAAAATTAAAAAAATTAAAAACGTTGTGTCATTATGACGTGGATGTTCACTTGGACACACCGAATGGGCCCATAGCTCCACAAACACAAGGCCCGTAAGCCCATCCGGCCCATCGGGTGGTCTTCTTCCTGAAATCCAATCCAAAACTCGCCAAGGAAGGAAAAATGAGAATCAATGGCGACTCACCTGCGGTTCTTCTCGCCGTGTCGTGTACCAGCAGCTTCCTTCACTCGCCTCTTTCTCCCCTCCTCCGCATCCAAAGTTAGCGCTGCCGGTCTCCCTCCTCTTCCCCTCCGCCGCTCGCTCCGATCGAAGCCAATGAGCACCGCCGCCACAAATTCGGAGATGGTGGATTCAGATCCGGCGAAGAATGAGAAGCCCGTCGGCGGCGGCGGCGGCGGCGGCGGCGGCGACGAAGAAGTGATAGTCCAGTACGTAGTGCTGCGGCGAGACCTGATCGATGCGTGGCCGATGGGAAGCGTGGTGACTCAGGGATGCCACGCCGCCGTGGCGGCGATCTGGTCTCACAGGGACGACGCGCACACGGTCCGATACTGTGCGCCGGAGAACATCGATTCTATGCACAAGGTGCGCGCTAGTTATAACAATGTCTGCTGAATTCCGTTTCTTATTGGGGATTTTTAGGGCTTTCGATCTGTAATTGGGAGAGATTGTTGTTGTGTTAGGTGACGTTGGAGGTGAAAGGGGAAACGCAGATGTTGAACCTGGCGGAGAAGCTGAAAGGTGGAGGGATTGCTCACAAGCTGTGGATTGAACAGCCTGAGAACATTCCCACCTGCATTGCTACAAAGCCTTACCCTAAATCAGAAGTTGCTTCGTTTTTCAAAAAGCTGAAGCTCTGCAAGTGAAGCGAGAATGGAATCTTCTGTTACACTCGCCGCCCATATTGATGCATTGGCAGATACGTTTTTTCGGTTGTGGATCGATTCGGACTGCTAGCAGTGTACTTTCTGGTACGAATTAGGATCGAGCTCTGGATTCGTTTTGTAGTTTTTCTGGTAGAATGGAATACAATGTCTGCTGATTGGCCTCACTCTTTGATTCAGTTCGATTCTGCACTAATGATCAATCGGACGAACATGACATGAACTCCCTACTTAGGATAAGCAAATGATATACATTAGCAACAATGGTGACCAGATGAAAGAGGGTCAGTAATAAGAGATTCTCACTCGTCGAACCACGACCAGCCAGAGGATTCTCCCGTCCAGTAATTGAACTACAGAGCTGAGCTTAAACAAGAACAAGAAAGATCAACAGATGTAAAGGAAAATGTAACTCCATTTCAAGTTTCAAACTTTCAATATGGAAAATGCCGCAAATCTAAGCTCAATGCCGCTACATTCCCAATACAAAGAAAGCCGCTACCCCTCAAACTACATACAAACGAGAAACAGTATCGCAAAGAGACAATCTTCCAGCTTGAAATATCCAGGTTACCTGAAACACACAATACCCTACAGATTCATGTTCATCGCTCCGAAGAGACACGAAAAAAAGAGACCACTCGCTATAGAGCAAGATGTAACTGATGGGGGAACTAGAGAGGAACCTTACCTGTATAATTTTGATACAAAAAGAGTTGGGATACATCCACATCAACTACCTCCCTTCTGCTTTAGAGTGATTTTATCGCCCAGGCTGAGTGCGATTCCCTGGGTCTTGCTACGTATCCTGATGTACCCGCTGAGTTTCCCATCTCCCTGCTTTTCGAGACTCACATTTACCAATGCGTCCTCACCAAACACACTCTTGGCGTACAAGTTAGCTGCTAGGAATCCACACTCGCCATCTAGTGCAGACCTGAAATGAAAACTTGTGTTAGTTGTATGCTTATGATTGTTGAAAAATCATGCCAAGCCAGAGCAAATACAAGAAACTTACGGTGCAGTGAGGCACTTCATGTTTGTCGAGTTAATGATATGGTCCAGGAATTCCTTCTCATTCTGAATAGTTGTGTTAACAGCAACCTGACAAAGCAGAGAACAGACTGTTAAACAAGCATATCACACTTCGGATGAATTGTTGTTGCAAGAAGCAGAGTCTAACAACTGGACCAGATTTCCCATCTTTACAAAATGAAGCAGAGTCAAACCATGCACATGCTGAAGGCGGGCGAATGAAGTGTTTGAACTGCTAATCATAATAACCTCAATCAAAGAAGGATTCTAGAGGGGTACCTTGTTCTCCCATTCAAACTCTGCCCACATTGTTCTAAATGCTGAATCGGTACAGTAGGCTGGAGAAATGTAATCCATGATATCAATGTGGATATCATTGAGGACGACAACATTTCTTTCGAGCACATTTGAAGTCTCGTAAACAATGTTGCCGAAGATCACTCCAGTCTCAGTTGAGGAGACCTTGATGTTTGCCTTAATTTGTTTGCTTGATTCTGGAGCCAATGCATAATTCTGAGGGCGCTCGACTAGTTTAAGATCACCCATGGTGGCCAACTCCAAGCATAAGTTTTGGAGAGTTTCCTTTGTCCGGTTGATGACAGTGACATCAAGCACAATATCATAGTGATGAACTGTCACATATGCTTCAGCATACACAGGGTCACTAAATCCAGTGAGTTGAAGGATGCGGTTAAGCTTGTTAGCATCATTGCCATCCTTGATAAACTCCCCAGTCGCACGTTTCAAATCATCTTGAACTTCATCTTCCAACTCCAGCTGACTCATGCCCTGAAATTTAAGTCGAAGCCAACAAACAGTTTGTCTGACTTTCAGAAACTAGGTAGAAGAAAATCTATAACAAAACAAGATAAGATGCAAAGACGAAATGGGAAAACAAGCGACAGATCACTCAATTATTGTTGTCAAATAATGAAACCTTAAAAGAGCAGTAGTTGTCCAACTCGCCCTCTGAATCATACTGACCTTATATATGATGCAAAGACAAATGCAGCAATGGAACCCAACATCGAATACATGTAAGCCAATATTACTTTTGAACAACTTAAAATGACACTTCTAAGAAGTTCTTACCTTCCTGCTCTTCAAATGATAGAAGTCAATGAGATCATCTGGTTGCGCATGGGAAACCTGAGCCTTCGCCTTCAATTCCTCAGTCTCTCTCAACTGCTTCTCTGAAAGCATTTTCATAAAACTTTGACGGCAAGACTTCAACCATATTTTCCGGATGTCATCGCCAGTATTGCACAGCAACCTTATGCAGAGAAGCATCCTATCGTACGAATCACTATCAATTGGGTGCGGAAGAACAGAAGATTGCCCCAATTGTAGCATGGAGACCATAATCAACAAAGCCTGCGTAGATGCTTTATTCACCTCCAACTTAGAAGACTGTACCTCTTCCAATCGCAGCACTAGTTTTGTTAGAGTGCATGCGACAACTGCTCCAAGGAAAAAATCGCCAGTGAGAAGAAGCGATCTAAGATTTCCAGTGGACAACGAACCCAGAACAATAGTAGGCAGGGAAAAGGCAGTTTCAGAGGCAGCATTCTGTGTAGCATAGGTCCCATCAGCAAGGATAGCAGGCCTTCTCGAAGACACAGTGATGGAATTAGCTTGTGGAGGCTTCTTGGAAGCATCAGTAACTTCCCCTTCTTCGGAAACAGAGAAGAAGGGCAATTCACCGAGACACTGCTTGATGGTCGCTAAACCGCTCTCAACTTCAGAAAGGGAAAGGCAATACTCTCCTATGATCCACAGAGCACAAGCACATACCCTAGAAGCTCGGATCTGGTAGAAAGTATCCAAGAGCCGTGTTATTATTGAAACCCTCAGTTTTGGGTTAGTCTCTATTATCTCTCTGACAAAAACAACCACATCAATAGCTGAAGCAACATTGCTATCTCCTAGGAAATCCATCAATAGATGCACCACCGTGCTTGCAACTTCTGGGAACTTAATAGCACAAGAATGGATGGCTTGGATAAGCATCTGCCTGTATTCACCATTCTTCTCAAGCTCTCCACTCTGGGTCTTGACAACTTCCTTCTTCAACATGAGAACAACTTCATTAACATTCCTGGGGGTTATCAAATCAAGGATAATATCAAGGGTCTTACGGCGGATATCAACATTGGGGCTAGACAGCGCCCTAAGCACGTCCATGACCATATCAACCATAATTTCCCTGTGAGAAGATTTGAGCTCACTCAGTCGATCAAGAACAATAAGCTTGACATTGTTGTCACTCTGAGATAGAAGGAGCTGGCCATATGTGTTAGCAGCAGCTTTAATTGCCGTAGGTGCAGATGATAGAGAGACAAGTGTTCCAGCACACTCATAGACCACTGCACTGGATGTGGCATTCAACAAAGATATGATTATCTTTATGTATTTGCCCTTCTCCAATCTATTTGTTCTACAAACTTTACGAATCAACTCCAAAACAACCATCTGAAGTTGCTCAGCCCATTCAGAGATCTTATCAATGTGTTCAAAAAGATACTTAACAGCTCGATCCTGTGCACAACTGAAGAGCATGAGGAATGCATTACGTTTAGCTGATGGATCATGCTCTGATGAAAGAACCTTTTCAATCATTTCAGGAGCATCAACCAAAAGCTGATCGCCCTGGGGAAGCTTATAAATGCACATAACAGTGAAGATTGCATTCCTTCTAATAAATGGATGTCTATGCTCCAAATTCTGCAGCACCGAAGGGATCAACGGCTCTATAATTTCTGTCTCATTGAGGCGGCACAGAAACCTCAAAGTCACCCCACGGATATATTCATTTGGGTGCTGAAGATTGTTCCTCAAATTTTGGCATATCAGGATCATCTCGGGCAGAAGCTTCCCAGAAGCATCTTTTTTATCGATAATCTCCAAGTATAAAAGGAGCAGCTTCTGGATCGTGTGATCCTCAGAAGGCAAAACATATCTGAGGATCGTGATAAAAAGCTGGGGTAGGGTTTCTCCATTCAACAGAAGGCTGATTGCTTTCTTCATGGCATCCACCTTAGCTGTAACATCATTGCCTTCCAAGGCTTCCTTAATCTCATTTGCAATTGCTGGAGTCCCTTTGTCAAAGTGCACAAGCAGAGAACACGATTTCTCCATCTCACACTTCCTCTCTGTTTAATTACAGAAAACCCATGTTAGCTATCCAAAAGGATAACGTCCTACGAAACATTCTCTAAAATCGGGAAAACGGTGTGGATGTAAACACAGTACAATGTCGTGTAACAAGTTAATAACAGGAGTTCTGATAGACCAAATACTCACTATCCTCACTGAATAACAATATACTACAATTACCGAGCAACCTCGAGTCATTCCAGTTTAGCTAAACTAGTTAAAGTCCTTAAACATTTGAATTTAGTAGAACAAAGGACTGAGCAGAAAGCAGAATTTCACTACTGCTTTTTTTTTTTTTTTTCAAATCTCGGCAGTAGGAATGCGGCCATCTGAAGCAACATGCTTCTTATAAACAGATCACGCCTGTGAATTCAAACGATTCGGATCACTACGCTTTCTCCACAAGAACCGCCATTAGAAAACACCCGAGCAATAGCATTCCACACTGAATTGCCATTGAGATAAACGTTTCTCCTCGCACAGAGATTGCCCCCAGGACAAATCGAATTCAAAATCTAAATCCACCACCTCGTATATCAAGCAACCAAACAAAATGCGCAAAAACAGAAATGCAAACCAAGAAACTAGAGAAAATACAACAGATCCAGGCAATTGGGGAAGAGGATTAGACGAAACGAACCTTGAAGAGATCAGATCGGAGAAGAAGGCGAAGGAAGCAAAAAACTTAAACTAAGAGTGGCTTCTGAGCTGAAGAAATGCAGTCGCCGCCTGCGTTCACTAAAATATGAGGTTTCTCTCAGATCCAAGATCTCATGGGCGAGCGGAGGATTGGAATAGGAGGGAAGAAGACGACTCTGCGAGTTAGAAATCGCAACTGTAAAATACTAATGCGCTGAATAGTAGGAGAAAATGTGCGAAGCGGACTACTACACTACCAGATGGTTTGATTTTGGGCTAAGGACCCAATCTGACAGTTTCGCTCTCGGCCCACCCAACCAATTGAGCCCGGTCTAATTTGGAGTTATGTTTTTTCGGTTCAGTGCCGGGTTCGACCGCACACAAAAAACCTTAAAAAATAAATTAAGAGGTGGTTTGCTTGTTGGATTTGGGTCATGGATTTGGTACTCAAATCCCAAGCTTGATGGATTTAACATAAGCCCATTGTTTGTTGAAGGGTGCTAAATCCGTGGGGTCCACGAATTTGGTCTTTATTTTGGAACCAAATCCGTGGACCCCACGGACTTGTAAATCCCACATATTTATTTGGGATTTGCAAATCCTTGATGGTTGGTTATTTATTTAACAAATCCAACACAAATTCATCATCAGATCTATCATGTAAACATTAGACTTTTCAAATTCATAATCCAATAAATCCAACATAAATCCCAAGATTTTTGTTGGCCAAAACCCTCATTTTTTTCAAATTCAACAAGCAAACGAAAGGCAAAATATAAAGCCTGAGTGAACTTTCTACCTTCAGTTAATCCAGAGAGGGGAACTGTAGAAGAACTCATTCCCGTTCGCCACTGCTCGCAGCCGCCGTTTCGCGTCATCAGCCGGTCTCGCTCGTCCGCCGGCAGGTTCGCCTTTTCGCCTTTCCAGAGAACGCGTTTGATATTCCTCCAAGCTATTTGAACGAACATCGCTTCTCTTCTCAAGCGAAGTATCTATCTCTGATCTAGTGCAACACTCACCGATAGCGTTTCTTTCTCTTCGACATGCGAACCTAATGCCCTGAAATCTGAATTCTCTGCTGTAGTTTACTGGTTTCCTCGCGCTTCGTCTTTTGCTGAAAAATGGCGACCATAGACGAGAGTCCCTCTGCTAAAAGGTGGCTTCCTCTAGAAGCTAATCCTGATGTTATGAACCAGGTACCGTTCACCACCTCTTCGCGTTATCTCCTGATGCCTTGCTTGACTATATGCTGCTTTCAGTTTTGGAGCTTCCCGACGCAATGATTTGATGAGAAGTAGCATGCCTTAGCTTTTACTTAACCTTGAATTGGATTGTGTTGATCGAGTTAATCTGGCTGATCGATGATGGAGTATTAGTAAATTCTTCGGTCTTACTTGAAACCATAATTCTGCTTACAAGAAGCAAGTGCTGTAGTCTAATTGCATGCAAGAAGTGGTTACTGTGCGTGTGCTTTTCCTTAGAAGGAATAGTGTTGCCTGTGTTTATGTAAGACTTGAAGAAACTTAAAACTGTTTGTTGTTCTGTTTGTTTCAGTTCCTCTGGGGGTTAGGCCTTCCGGAGAATGAGGCGGAGTGTGTCGATGTTTATGGCTTGGACGAGGAACTCTTGGCTATGGTTCCACAGCCTGTGCTTGCAGTTATCTTCCTCTATCCGCTAACTCCACAGGTGTGTCTTCTCGGATCTGGGACCAATTTTTAGTGACTTCCCTGCTAATTTTATTACAATATATGAGTTTATGTTGGTATCCAAATTTGGATTCGCGAGTTGTGTGAGGGTAGAACCACATGTTCTGGTGATGGTGATGAGAATGTACTTATATGCTGATGTTGGAGAGCTTGTTTCTTTATTTTGTTTTCCAGAGTGAACAAGAGCGACTGCAGCAGGAAGGTGTTGTGAAGGTAACTTCACTTCATACTGTTTTCTAGAAAATATTGAAGACTTGGCCATAAAACCTTCACTGTTTCAATTGTGTGTGTGTGTTAATCCGCATTCTTAGTTTTCATCAGTTTGAAATGATGGTATGACATTATTTGTCACAACTTTGAATAATTACACTACCATCCACATGTGATGTAGAAAATATCCTTTTTATGGCTTCTTCTGTACAGAGGCTAGTTGCCCGTGTCCATTTATATTTATGTTCTACAATTGGTCAAATCGATCTATCTTATGTTATAAGCATATGATAATATTAGTTGGGTGAGTGCGGTTGAATCCACACATCTCGTACTTGAGAGGTAAAAGTTATCTGCCATAATGAACAATGCACACCTTGTAATTTTCTTCCAATTTTCTTGTCTGCATACCATTCACCAAGTTCTGTCTGGTATTGGCGGTGAATGCCGTTAAATACTTAAATGACTGAATTTATCTCAAAATTAAGTTCTAGATTTGAATGTTCTTGACAGCTAGGAATACGGTAGCCAACTCTTGAGCTAGTTATAACTTGTCAAACTGTTATTATGTGCACCATTTGTTGGGTTGCTTGAGACCCAAATTATCTGAAATGCATGCGGAGACTGGACACTGTACTTTGAATAATCAAACCCAAATGAAGCTGAACAAATAATTAATATTTGGAATTTTGATTGTACAATAGTTTTCTTCCTCTATTTTCAACGTCAATGGCTCCAACCTTACCCAAAAGTTGTTGTAATCTACCACAAAAAATGTACTCTCGGACTTTCTAAAATCATCATCACCTAATCCAAAGGATATTTTTACATTCATCTCATTTATGCTATCTTATTTTCATATTCCTATACTATTATAGTACATGAATTTTTATAAGTTTTAAGCTCTAGACCAGTGTTTATATTTCTTGAATCTGTTTTTACTAGTCAATGACAACCATGAATGATGAATTACAGTGACTACCAAAGTAACAATTGAATGAACCTGAGGTCATTATTTTCATGGTATGCACTGGCAACGGTTACATCATTCTCTTGACCTGTTGAAAGTTTCTTATATCAAGCTAAGCTCTTAATAATTTTTTCCATATCTTTTGATAGGAACCTAAGGAAAGCGTTTACTTCATGAAACAAACTGTTGGCAATGCCTGTGGAACAATAGGGCTTCTTCATGCCGTTGGGAACATCAAGTCAAAGCTCAATTTGTGTAAGTTGGTCTATCTTTTCCTATGAATTGACATTTACTTCACTCCAACAATAGTATGGCATCTGTGCTCAAGTGCTCAATTCTACACCATAACATGGAGTTCTATGCATTCTGATCTGCGTTCTTTCTTTGGGAAGGGCCAAGCAATGGTAAAAGTTCTTGTTTTCTGAGGTGGTAGTAGTGAGTGCAATACTAGCAGTTGGTTCAGTTTCTACTAGATGAGTAGTTTATCCTTACCACGATCCTTTTACCAGGTGAAAGAATTCATTCTACCATGGGGTTCTTGATGCTGAATATTACAGGACATTAAAGAATGCTAGTCCTTGAGAGTTATACAAGCAAACTCAACGTAGATATTAGTCTTTGATATTGTCATCTAGGTTATACAAGCAAAATCATCATCAGTTTACCTACAATCAAAGCATAAATAACATGCTTCTGAACTAAAAAAGAAGGCATAAAAACTATACCATTATGGCATAAACATGAGCTAAAAACCACTTGGCATCATTCACAAGATCCCCTTGTTGTTTTACTGTTCAACACAGCCACTTTCTAAAATCATTCATCCTTATATAAATCAAGTTCTGATGACCTTCAGCATTTGAACTTTCTTTTCAGCTGAGGGGTCATTCTTAGACAAATTCTTCAAATCAACAGCCAGCATGGATCCATTAGAGGTTTTCACTTTTCCTCGCTTTGCTTTGTTTACCAGTTTCCAGAATTGTTCATTCTCTCTCCTGAAACAAGAATATATAAGTTGTTTATAATGTTAGATGTGTACAAAGGCTTCTCTGCATTGACTGTAGCTTTTTTATTTATCTTTCTTTGTTTTATTCTCTGTAGCGTGCTAAGTTCCTGGAAAACGATCGGGAAATGGAAACTGCTCATTCTGTAGCTGCTACAGGTGGTGAAACTGAGGTAGGACTTGATGTTTCCATTATGTTGATTTAGCATTGGTGTGATGTTAATTTCCGGCTATATTCATCCATGGAGGGAATCCCTTGGCCGAAGAGAGGTTATATCACTGACAGCTGTTGACAATATAAATTTAGCCAAGTCAAATTTGAAGAGAAAAATAATGTGAAGCAAACATCACGTTTGAAGTGATTATCATCTTACCTTCCTACTTTGCTTTGTGCAGGCAACAGACAACGTGAACACTCATTTTATCTGCTTTGCCTGTGTGGATGGTAATGAACACTACTAGCCCTGTTTTTTCAATTCTTAGATGTGGAACACAGAACAACCATAGTGGACACTAGCATCAGATGACAAAGCCTATGCGGCTTTGATGCTTTAATACTTTCATATCAGCAGACTTAAATCGCCAGTTGTGTGTTATACAGGAGAACTCTATGAGCTTGACGGCAGAAAAGCAGGACCTGTACTACATGGCCCATCTTCACCGGAGAGCTTACTGCAGGTTTGTCATTGTGTTAATCTTTCCCAAATCTTCCTTTTCATGTAGTTGCCACCAGAACAAGAGTGATCGTGTCTTTTGGTTAAACGGGCATCAACTGTAGAGAGCTGGTCATTACTCATTAGTAAGGATTATAGAGAAACTTGAAAGACTGTATTGTGAAATGATCAGTTCAGTGAGTGCCTTGGATTGTTTTCTGCTCAGGTGTATGCTGCATCCTTTCAATCTCGTGGTGTTGATTTGAATCATTAGCACCTAGAGAATAATTATTGAATGGAAATACTCACATTCAACCTGCATACACTAGTATATGGTGCACTTTTATCACCGTGATTCCTAATAACGTTGTCCATCGATTTCGCAAATGTCACAGGATTCCGCTAAAGTCATAAAGGGAATGATTCAGAAGAATCCCGAGTCGCTCAACTTCAACGTGATTGCTGTCTCGAAGAAAGAATCTGCTGCTTGATCTCTCGACTTTGTGAATCCATAGGATGCCGACAGAAGAATGTTGATTACGCGCACATTGTTCAGTGTCTTCCCTGCTTAAACCTCGAGGATTTGCTTCTCCTTTTCTCTCGGTTATTTGAAAGAGGGACTAGCTAGGTTGGGTACACAGTTCGACACTGCGTAGGAGCTTCACCTAATAGACCCAGTACTTCCTGACGCGGTTTGTTTTTCGGTCCCTATGGTTCATGATGCTTTGCATGATCGGATCATCGACGATTCATTGATCCGGGTTCGGTTAGCGTAGAATCGAATGGAACATGGCAAACGAAATAATTAGTGACAGCTGAGGCCTAATTACGGTGATGGTATTCGTGTACGTCTTATATACATAGAGAATGAACAAGTGTTTTAAGGTGTCATTGAACGACCAGGCGCCTGGTGCACAGAGAGCAGAAGTACTTGCGCTTGGTCTTGAAGTAGAGCGGCAGGAAACAGAAACGCCACTGGCTCTGGACGTCTGCGGCCTGCACCATCCCTCCGCAGTAAGGGCACGCCCCAGGCGCCGGCTGCCTCGATATCACCCTCTCGTCCTCGTCGCACACGAACACCAAACACATCTCGAGCAGATTACCGTCACACCAAGGAAAGATGATTTAGGACCTGATAAGCTTCAGCACAACCCCTCGCTGCAACAACAAAAAAAATTTTGCTGGCTCAGTGGCTTGATTTGTTTCTCTGGCTTCCCGGCGATGGATCAGCTTATTTGAAGATCAGACGATGGTTTGAATGGTCTCTTTTTCTCTGGTTTGCTTGGATTTATATAGAGTAGTGGAGGGGGGCGGCCGCGTTTGGAGCTTCTGGAAATGTGTAGCTTATCCCAGAAGAAAAAGAAAGGAATGACAATTCTGCGTTGCATCCCCGCGACGCGTCGTGGAGGGGAACATTCTCGACTGAATGACCGGCCGACCGGCCGGCCGGCGGCCTTGCTCTAATCTCGTCTTTCTTCAAATGAGTCTGGTCGTAATTGTGACGTTTGTTGAATGTGGAAATTTTGGAATCTGGGAATCCCAATTCGTCAAGCTTCAATTTTTTTCCTACGTTACCTTTTTTCCAATTTTTCCTACGATTCTAAATCCTTCCTTGACTCAACCGCAAGGAGTGGCCAAGGTTTCCAATTCTACTACTTTTTTCTGTTGTCAAAGGTTTCCAATTCTACTACTTCATCACGATAAACTCATTTGAGTGGTGTGTAGAGGTGGCAATTGGATCGGATTTGTGGATTCGTGGATTGGATTGGTGGATCCATGGATCAAATGGATTGGTGGATTGATCCATGAATCCAAATGACATCAAAGGCTTGGACCAAAATGGAAATTTTGAAAAGTTTTGGTACTAAAATGTCATAATGAAAAATTTTAGGTACCAAAATGTAATTTTCTAATGATATTTCCGTATAAAAATATAAATTTTAGGTACCAAAATATAAAAAATATAGGTACCAAATCGTAATTTGCCATTTGGATCCATGGATTGATCCATGAATCCACCAATCCAATTGGATTTTGATCAAATGGATTGGATTTAAATGGATTGGATTAGTTGGATAATTTGGTGGATGCATTTGGATTCTAATTGCCACCTCTAGTGGTGTGATGTGATGAAACTACCAAAATGATTGATCCTTGTATCAAATCAATTGGTATTCCAAAGAATAAAGTTGAAATTATGTCAGATTTTTTTTCTTCTTTATTTTTTTTCGTTACATGAAATATTTGCAAAGTTGTCAAACCGGTTTATACGATTACACGGTTAAGCAAGTGGTATAGTTCGACCTGTGGTACAATCGGTTTACGTAGGCGCATGCCGGTTTAATAAAATATGTAAAGATATGAAAAAATCATTAACATGAAATGAATTTAAACACATATAAAACATATTTGAATATAATTTACTTACGATTAATATTCATCTTCAAATAAAATACAAGATTCCAAATAAAGTAACAAATGCTCATATTTAAATACAACATCTAACGCGTTTACACTCAAATTTTTGTACATGAATCCAACAAATAACATCAATATTTAACTTTTAAAATCAAGAAATCAATCACAAATTAATCTTTTACTAACCAAATTCACTTTTATAAGCCCAAAAATCTATCATATCGGTCATATCGACGATATTCACACCAATTTCATGACCAGAACTGATTGAACCAAATTCAACCTACCGATTGTCAGAAAGTACTGGAGACTCATCGAGTTCAAAGCTTATGTTTATATTCATTGTTTCATGCTATTAAATGAATTTGAACCAAGAAAGTTTGACAAGGCTTCAATTTCTGTGCTGGCTGTTATCGATTTAGAAAACAAACAAAAAAATGTGGAACCTAAGCAATATATGATAAACCAGAATGGATGAACAATTGAACATACATACCTTCAATATTTAACTGCTATCACATTCAGTACTCGAATGTGATAACAAAGGTTCGTCAGAACCTTCACTCTCTGCTGGCCTATGCACATGAAACACAGGGAACGGTCTCTTCTCAGGAAGACATGGAAATGGCAGCTCAAATTTCAGAACCTGAATCGCCTGCCGGATCGACGCCCTCTGGCAGGAATCAGGATGAGCACACCACAACCCCACAACGATCAAGCATTCGACTTCCCTCTCGTCGAAATCCACCAGCCTCTTGTCAATGGCGACACTGTGATTCCCATTCCCATACAGTTCCCAAACCCATTCCACCAAGCTCATTTCCAATCCATCCTCAATGTAATCAACAACCCTCCTTCCAGTAGCAATCTCCAAACAAACCACCCCGAAGCTATACACATCCGATTCCTTGCTCGCCCTTCCGGTGCTGATGTACTCAGGCGACATGTAGCCAATCGTTCCAGCCAACTTGGTGGTTCGAGGGTGTAGCTCGTGATCGATCAATCGAGCCAGCCCGAAATCCCCAAGCTTGACGTTGAATCCGGAATCCAGCATAACATTACCTGCTTTGATGTCGCGATGGACCACACATTGTTCCCATTCTTCATGAAGGTAGAGCAAGGAGGAAGCCAGCCCCATAGCTATGCTGTATCTTTGAGACCACAGGAGAGGACTGTTCTCACCAAAAAGGTGAGAATCAAGGCTACCCTTTGGCATGAACTGATAAACAAGCAAGAGCTCGCCCTTTTCGTGGCACCAACCGATCAGTGGAACAATATTCCGATGCCTCAGACGGCTAATGATCATGACTTCAGTCGTGTACTCCTTGATCCCTTGTTTAGAATCCCTGGATATCCTCTTGACAGCAACTGCCGTATCTGAATCATCTCTAAGACACCCTCTATAAACAGCTCCAAACCCACCTTCCCCCAGTTTCCTATCCGGCGAAAAATTGTTGGTAGCTGATACAAGATCAGTGTGAGTGAACTTCCTGGGACCTGAACATCTCGAGAATTCATCAGTCATGGACAATGAATTCATCCCCTTGTGAGCTCTTCCCCTCTTTCTACGCATCTGCAGAAAGACAAATGCAGCCAATTTGGCAGCTATGGCAATGCCTGCCAGTACTAGAACAATGCCTATCAATTTCCTGTTCACGGAATTTCTTTCCCGATCGGTGTTCCTCATCTGCAGATCGGAATAGAAATCCCAGGATAGAAGCTCCTGTTCTCCGGAATAATCATTGTTGGTCGCCGAAAACCCTATCATCACCCACTCGGGAAGAACCTCCCTGAGATCAATTACATACCAAAGACTCGAATTCCGACCATTCTCACACTCCCACGCCACAGTGAGATTGTGGGTACTGGCCGTATAGTTGATATCAATCATGACCGTACCGCCAGGCGGCGAACTGGAATTCCAAGGGGCGACCACCATGGAAGCAAGCGAATTGTTGTTGATTCCGACGTGCTGGAACGGGGGATCCCAACCATTCAGGAAGCAATCAAATTCTACATGAACCAGCTGTTTCCCAGCCGGGGGATGAACCCTGTCGGTGTAGTTGTAGAGACCCATGTACCCGCCGGCGGAATTTTCAGGCGGTTGGAACCCTAGGGGTGCGAGGAAGAAGGCGATTCCCGATGGGTAGGCGCTCTCGGCGTCGATGGAGAATGAGAAGCGGGTGTTGAAATCGGAGAGTTCCCCGGTGGCGGAGCTCCAGAGCGGGACGTCTTCGGCGTAGGTGACGTGGCTGACTTCGATCCCGTAGTGGGCACTGGTCAATTTAACGGTGCCGGAGCTTGCTCTGGCTCCTCCGCTGCAGAGTATGGAGTCGTCGTTTGGGTCGAAGTTTGGTTTGTGGAAAGTAATTGCAGCTGCAGGGGGGAGCAAGAGGCAGAGATGGAGTAGAAAGAAGAGTGAAGTGTGTGGAGGAGTTGCTGCTAATGCCATGGAGTTTCAGAGGGTTAATGGCGGAGTCCGGTAGCGACTCCGGCGTGCCAAGGGTCTCACTTGAGCCTTGCGGTTGGCCGAAAATGAAGTCGTCGGCTGAGGATGCCGTTGCGAGCTGTGGTTGAAATTACACTAGAGTCTCATCGCATGCGTGTGTTCCTTGGTCGATGACACCACAATGGACCCTGAGGGACTAATGGACCTTCAAATGCGACCCCAGGTCAGGCGGGAATGGCTACCATGCCAACATACGGCGGCAAATGAGCCAAACTAGTCGCGAGCAACTCGAGGTTCGAATCGGGAAAAATTCGTTTGAAACTCGATTTATTTACTGACCAGCCAAGCTTGATCCTAGCTTTGTTCAACTCGTGAAGTTCGCAAGCTAGCTCTTGTTGAGCTAAACTCGTAAGTTGGCTCATTTAGAGCTCGTGATATGTTTCAACATTGTGGTTTGAGGGCCAACTTGATCACTGACTTATGGACTAATCGATCTAATTTGGACTTTCATAATTCATAGGATTGTTAAATTATATATCTCACATCATGTGAAGTTTAACATGTTGAACAAGTAAGAAAATATGCCTTATTTTTAATTCTATAAAGAAATTATGTATAAAATTGTTTCGATACTATGAAATAACATGATTTGAACTAGTTAAAATTTATTAACTAAACAATATATGACACCTATAAATACTAATATAAGATTGATTAATGTTGAACATTTGATTTTTTTTATCGCTACATCAACCACATGTACCATACACGACATAAAAAATGAATGTATTAAATACGATCTAAGAATTTAGTAAACAAACCTAGCTCGAACTCGACTCGACTCGGCTCGTTAATAAATGGCTCGGGCTCAAGCTCAACTCATTTGTTAACGAGTCAAGTTCAAACTGGGATAAAACTCGGCTCAGCTCGGCTCATTTGCAGCCCTATGCGAACAGAAACGGGTTGACTTTGGATCCAATTGTTGAGCGGATTTATTCGCCTGTCTAGAACTTCGGATCGGCCAAAATGGGTTGACCAGCCAGTCAGCCCGCGGGCTGATAACCATGCAAGCAACTATCAATCAATCATTTGTCCATTAATTTATTCCACTCTGTTTCCTCATTAGTATCGAGATTAATGGAATTTCACATCTGTCGTTTTCTGTTGACTCCCCGGGAAACACTGGGTCAACGAGGGAATAAGTACGGTTGCCGTTATACAACCGGCCGGCCGCCAGCTGCCGTAAACGGAGGAAGGCACGGCGGAGAGACCAAGCGTCCAATTTAGGTATAGCTAGTTAGCAGTGAGAACCCCCGTTAATTATTAATCAACATTTCCTAATTGCATTATTATTCAAAAAATGGTGGTCAGTTGTTGCTTAACTCCAAACACTAATCCCCCCCCCCCCCCCCCAACCCAACCAATCATCCATCAGCTCTCTCTTTCTCTCTCGTTAATCCCGAGCCTTAATTATATATTTATAACTTACCTTGCTAGCTAAGTTTTTCCCTCCCTCTATATACCGAAAACAGAGGATTCACAATTACACCATCTCATTTGATCATGGATCGGAGACGAATGACCGCCGCCGCCGGCGGCGGATGGTCGGTGGTTGGACGGCTGAGGAAGGCGATGAAGAAGATCAACTTCATCTTATTCAGCATCGGCATAATCAGGCGATGGGAGCTGATAAGTTCAATTCATCAACGACGCAAGAAGCAGAGACGGCAGCAGCAGCAGCAGCGCAGGTTCCTGAGCTTCAACGAGAGGCTGGTTGGACTCCAAGGCTACACGGAGCTAGTAGAGGATCATGATCATCATGACCATCACAGGTCCAGTGTTAATAACGGAGGTGGAGTCCTGGATCGAACTTGCAGCTTGGATCAGGACGATATCGACAAGAGATCGGAGCGATTCATCGCGAATTTCCGGCGGGACTTGTTGCTGCAGAGGCAGGTCTCTCTGGAGCTGGGTTACTGCAAACTCAATTAGTTTCGGATGATCAAATTTGATCGGTGTAGCGTAACACGAGACATGTTTATTAATGTTACGAAAATGGTATAAGATCCGATCTTTTGTATTCGATATACAACGATTCAATTAGTCGCGTGATTGTACGAAGTAGAGCGATCGATAAAAACATACATAAGAGGAAGAGAAGATTAAAAAAAAAATGATTAGGTCGACTTTGAAGGAGAGGTAGAAGAAGTGCCGGCAGATTCGTAGTCGATAACAGTCTGAAAAGCACCCACCAATGCCTTCACCTTGTTCCTCCTCTTCTCCATCAGCTTGTTCTTCGTCTCCTCGATTACGTCGTTGTAAGCCGGAGGCGACTCTTTCTTCCCCTTGCTCGAATCTCCTGCCTCTTGTTCCTTCTTCACGTCTTCCACAACAACTGCTTCTTCTTCTTGTACCTCGTCCTGCTTCTCCTTCTCCTGCTCCTCGTGATCGCGATCTACGTGTACTTCTTGATCGTCTGAATCGCCATCTCCTTCTTGGACCCCATCCACCATTGTTTCCCCTTCATCATTCGACTCATCTTCGAGTTTGTCATGATGATCTTCATCCCTCTCTCCACCATTGTTCCCAAGCACCTCCTTATCCTCCAAATCTTCTTGTTTTCCCGCAACTACACTGCCACTCGAACACACGACCTTCTGATCATCCTCTTCACTTTCTCCCTTTTGGCCATAATCAACATTGTCAATACTACCTTGATCAAGATCACCACTATCAACACGATCTTCAACAATAGCAACAACGTTTTTGTCAAATGGTGTGGGAGATAAGGAAACATCGGGGCTCCCGGCAGACTCGATCTCCAAATTGTCGAGGTTAACGCTCTGATCGTCTTCGCTAATCAGGTACTCGTGATCGCTCACCTGCTGGATCTCGTTATCCAAACTCTCGTTCACATCCTCGTTGTTCTGATTGTCGTTGTCGTTGATCTTAGAAGAACCAGATAATTTCCCTCCCGTCGCCGCCTTACCACCTCTGCCAATAGTTCTACCATTACCCCTACTAGTAGTACTCACACCACCTCTCGTACTTTTCCCAACACCACCGCGAGTGGCGGTGGCGGTGGTATTGGTACTAACCGCCGCCGTCGCTCTCCTCCTGGCAGGGCTGGCGCTTCTTTTCTTGGCGTTCGCCGCCACGAGAGCGGCGATAGATCTGCTCCCGGCCGTGGGCCGGATAGTGGTGGCGCTTCTCTCGAAGGTGGGCCTCGAGGAGGAGGAGGAAGCGGCGGCGGTTTTAGGGGTGAAAGAGGAGGTCCGGAGCGGGGCCCGCGCGGCGGATCGGGCGGCGGAGGGATCGGGAGAAATTAGGGATCTCTGTGTTCGGGAAGCGGCGGCGGAGGAAGGAATGGGCCTGCTGTCGAATGATCTCCTTCGGAGTACTGCTGCCGAGGCCTTCTGGTCTGTGAGTTTGGATTGGGAGTCGGGCCTGGAGCTCGGCGTGGGCTTCAGGCCCGCTGTGAGTTTGGATTGGGGGTCGGGCCTGGAGCTCGCCGTGGGCTTCAGGTAGCTGGGGACGGGTCGCGTGGAGGAGGTCGGCGGCGATGCGGAGGCGGAGTGGCGGCCGGGTTGCCGGTGGGAGGTGGCCGCCGTCCGCGTTGTGGCGGTGGTGGTGGTGGTGGTTGTGACCTTCTTGTTCCCGCCATCCTTCTTCCCGGTGCTCTCCTTGGACTTCGTCGCCATCAATTACCCGATATATATGTGTAAATTAATGTTTTCTTGCGGGTGGTGATGAAGAGAAGGAGAAGGAGAGAAGACGGAAGGAGCCTGCAACCAGGAAAAAAAAAGGAAACAGGTTGGATAAAACGGATCAGATTACAGTAAGGCGTAAATTAAACTTAATTTTGCTTCGATCATTCGTATATGGCGATTTCTTTTGACGAGACATTGTGGAGATGGAGCAGTGGAAGGAATTTGAAGAGCAACCCAATGTGAAGAAATGTAAGAGGGAGCAGAAAGGTGGTACCTTTGGCGAAGATGGGATCGGAAGGGAAGAATTGATGGAGAAATTGAGAGGAGAAAAAATCGAAGAAGAAGGAAGAAGAAGAAGGAGAGAATAGGAAATTGAGGGCGCGGGAGTTGCGGGGGTAAATTTTGGTAAGTAGTTAAAAAGATTTGGGGTTAAAAAGTTAAAAACAAATCAACGGTAAATAAATCAAGGGAAAGGACAGAATTTGGCACATTCTCACCAAAAACAAAATGAATTTGGCACCATTGCTAAGAAGGTTAATGGAGGCCAATTGGCAAGAGACAAAAAAAAATAGTTATTTTGTTTTGTAGGTTTGTACGCCAAGAATGAGAATGGGGTGAAATTTAGCAAAGGGACGGATTAGGAAAGGGAAAATGTTGACATTTTCATATACACAAAAAAAATGTCATAAACTGAACTTTTTTCTTTCAAGTTTTAACCTTTCAATTTCTATATTTATTGGCTTGATAGAGATTAGAGAAGCTATAGAATCAATATGAGAATTGGATGGATAGATTACCTATTTGTTTCGTGTATAATATCAAGCCTAATTATTAACATGTATCTTCCATATGCAAATATCATGTGTAGCATGAATATGATACTAGGCTTTCGAGCTAAGGCTTTGCCTAGCTGGCCTCGAGGCCAAGGTACCAAACAAGTATCTAAAAGACCATCAAACCGTTTGTGCTTACTGCTTAGCTTCATGCTAAATAGGACCATGCCTTTGTGCCAGAGCCATGATCTAGGCAACGCGAGATACCGGGTAATTTTAGGCCAATGTGCGAGGACCTATTACTAAACTTGAAGTCTGTCAGTTTCTAATCCAGTATCGCTTGATTGAAGAATCCCTCTCTTTTCTACAAATTTTGGTATGGGCTATTAAATAATTTGCAGAGTAAGATGAGAAACCTAAGTGCTCTTAAAACATGGGGTATCGATCAAAACCTTAATCACTAGCTGATTTGAAAACGACCTAAAACGTAGCCATCCATCCTATTCTCCATTCCTCTTGCTAATCAGAAAGAATGGAGAAGAAATGTCAGGCTGTCACTTCCTAATTCTAATTTGGGCCCACGGCCCACCATTGCCTTATGTCTCATTCGGGTATTTGGATTAGGCTCCTCTCGAGGCTTAACTATTTGAGGCTTCGACTATACGACACGGTCTAACACTTAAAACGGATAGGATCCTTTTGTCTGTTTTTTTTTTACTTCTTTTCAATCACTTTTCTCTTTCATATGCATGATATATTAAAGACTATAAATCATACAAAAACTAAAAATTAAATATCATAAATAATTGCTAACCAAAATTTTAATAAAAATGTTTTCATTCTTCAAACAAACAAAATTTGTATTTATTTATTTATTTGCAGGATATCTACCCACCACAGCAAAATAACTAGTAGTTGTCGTGAGCCGAAAGGTCTTACAAAACAATAATGAATTTCTTACAAATTGTACAATATTTTCATGAGCCAATACCAAGTTCTGTGATTACATAATTAAAGGAGCAGTCGATCAATCCAGCGTATATGCAATTTGCTCTCGTACTCCTTTTATCAACCCAAATACAAAAGAAATTTTGTCCAGCAGTCTCACCGTCAATCTTCAAGCTATAGATGTTGAAATTCGGATCATTTAAGTAGAGCATGTAACAATGAAAATTAAAATTGATATCACTTCATTAAAAAAAACATACAAAGAAATTTGGCGTATGCAATCCTTATTATCACTAAATTGTTCTCTTTTAAGAATCATGATGTTATTGAACTAAAAACTAAATTGTTTATTCCTGGCTAATTGGGTTAAACCAATTGAATGAATCCCTTGGTCTTAAATTATGGATTCTAAGTACAGACAAGGCCCCCATACCATCTCCTTAATTATATGTTGGTACAGGATACAGTGACAACCCCTTGGGGTTGTCAGATTCACAACCAAGGGTATTTTGGGTATAAAAAAATGAATATATTAATTACCTTTTTGTATTAATTATATTGGGAATTAAATACCCATATTAAATACAATTTTTTTTCTGAAATTTAAATCCTATACATTAATATCTCTATCTATCTCTCTCTCTCTCTTCCTTTCTCCAGCAGCCACTCCGCATCGACCGACAAACTTTTTCTCCGGCAAATTCTCTCCGGCAGACTCCCTCCGGCAACCTGAAAAAATGTACCAATGCGTTAAAAAGTGTACCAATCTATTAGTCTACTGGTAATTAATATACCAGTGCTAGTGGTACGCTACCAGTATGTTAAAAAATGTACCAGTACTAGCGGTATCAGTAAAAAATGTACCAGTACTAGTGGTACGCTACCAGTACAACGCTACCAGTAGAGAATAACACAACGCTACTTGCACTGGTAGCGCTACCACTAGCATTGGTAGCGGTACCAGTAGAGAATACACACACAAAAAAAAAAACAGATGATAGTGGTACCAGATGATAGGGGAGTCACTTGTATTGGTACCAGTGAGTAGTGGTAGCGTACCAATAGCGCTACCAGTGGTATTGGTACCAATAGTGCTACCAGTGGTATTGGCACTAATAGTGCTACCAGTGGTATTGGTACCAGTAGAGACTATCAGATCTGGAAAAAAATAGGGATGAGGAAAGAGGGAGGCAGGGAAGAGTCTTGACCTCGCGGCGGCGGGGCAGGGGAGGACAGCGACGCGGCGGGGCGCGGGGGGAGGACAGCGGCGCGGGAGGCAGAGGCGGCGACAGTGGTGTAAAGACGCCGACAAGTGCGGCTGGGGCGACGAGGGCAGCGGGTAAGGCGGGGACAACGTCGACGTGAGGAGGAAGGCGGTCGCGACAACGATGATCGAGGTCTGCATAGTGATTGAGGTCGACGATGATGGAGGTCGGTGGTGGAGCTCTTGACGGCTAGGGTTTTTTTGTTAGAGATATGTGAGAGGGGAAGAGGAGGGAGACGCAGGAAATTGGGGGGAGGGTCTGTTTTTTTTTTTTCCGGTAATAAAGAGTATTTATATGGAAAATGAAAAGGATCTCATGTGGTAAGTTTTCCATTCTGAAATTGCCCTTGGCTTAATCTTAACCATTAATTTAAAAAAAAAGACAGGAGAGAGAACGTATCCGATGACCACAAAGGTGGTTGTAAATCTGACAACCCCCAAGTGGTTGTCACCGTATCCTGTCCCTTATATGTTATGGGCTTATGGCCCTTTATTAAGAAACTTTTTTTTTTAGATATATAAACAAATTAAACAAATTAATGCATCCCCCCAAACACAAGAACTAAGTGAGATTAGGACAACCTGTATCATGGTCCCTTGTTTTGTTCCTTAAACAACACAATATAATAGTGTCCACATACTTAAATGTACTAGCTTTTGGATTAGTCAATCGAAAGGGTGGATTGTTGCATTTAAAAGCCGAGCTCAATTGTGCTTATCTAATTTTTCTAGTTATATATGATTTGGCTTTAAGCTAATTAATTTAGGGATTTATATAATCGAACAAATAAGAAGAGGCCAAAATGGTGGGATCAACGACACCACAAACACAAAGTGGTGTTGTTGTTGGCAAAACGGCACTTTATTTTTCTCTTGTTTTTAACACTATTTGTTACTTTGTTTCATTGTTTGTTGGTGCCTTTTTAATTTGCCGGTTTTGATTAGAGTAGTGGGTTTTTGTCGTGTCCTTTCTGATAAGTGTATGTAAACACCCCCACGAGCAACTCGCCTGCTTTGTTATCATTGTCCAAGTGTAAAGTCATTAAGGAGTCCCTTCCCGTCAATTAATTAATTACATTTTAATTAGTTCATCATAAAAGTCTGTTGCTTTTGCCACTAGTTATGATAGCTTCTCTCATTAACTTTTCTGCAGTCTACTACCTTGCCCTTCGTGGTTGCGATGGCCGGGTGGGTACCTCAATACTCATACTTGTCTTGCTGTAAACGGTTAAATGTGGGTTAAGTTAGATAACATTCGAGTTGGGTACGGAGCAGGTGGATATATAAACCTATTCTTAAATATTATTTGGAGAAAACTACGTCGATATTTTATTATTTTATAAGAACATATAGAAAAAAACACTTCAACGAACGAGAAATATAGTAGAAGGAACAACTGAGTCTACATAGTTGAAAAATGTAGTCTTAAATTTTTTTTTGGATGGAAACATGATTTTAGGGAGGTAAAAAGAGGAAAAACACATATAGATATTGATGCAAATCATAATAGAACAAGTCGAAAACGGGATAGGACAAATCGGAAGCAATACCCATGCCCCATCCCACGCTACTGCGGGTCAGGTATAACCCGGCCAAACATATCGATGCAGGTCAGGTCGCGAGGGTTAGGTCATAAATTGCCATTACTAATTGCCCTTGCTGTCATTCTTCATATTATATTCAGATGAAGACTAGTTGATGTTCTCTCAAGTCTCAACCATACGTTGCATTTTAAAACACGAGAACAACGAACTAGTTAGTAACAAAGACAGAGTTGAAGCTTAACTCAAACTACAATAAACTCCGTCAAATGTAGACTACCAAGTCGTGGTCCTATCCTATGCTATCGTGGTATACCGCTAAAAATGTTTATCAATTTGGACTTCAATGCAAGATTACTCAAACTACAATAAAACCCCGTCAAATGTGGACTATCAAGTCGTGGTTCTATGCTATCTTGGTATACCGCTAAAAATTGTCTATCAATTTAAACTTCACTGCAAGTTTTTTTTCCCAGTCAAACCGTCAATACAATACGCGATTCCATAAGCAATTGATTTAAAAAGAGGAACCCAAATCACCATCAAACCCTAGTTGGCTTAACCTAACCACTAAACCGAACCGTAGCTAGGCTGCATGAGGTTGGGTGGTGGAGTTGTTGGTTGCGTGGAGTGCTTGTCCAAGCCAAGTGATCGGCGGGTGAAAGGTTCCATTGGAGGCAGGCTGGTTCGGTTCATTTTTCCTTTTTCCAAAAAATTATTTCTTTTTTTTTTCCCGAAGAAAAGGAAATAAAAAATGACGTAACCATCGATCACCGGCCGTCCATCTTTGACTCCACTCATCCGACGGCTCCCAGACCGCTTCGCTCATCCTTCCCAGCTCCGGCTTTTCCCACCCAGTTTTATTGTTTGTTTCTCTCCCATTTTCATTTCTAGCATTTGGGACGGCCCTCTTTCTCTCTCCCCTCATTTTCTCTCTCTATATCCTGCTTCTTCGTCTTGTCAGAGAAGCGAAGAAGAAGAAGACGCAACAAAGTGCCCCTGTAAAAAGCCAGGCCGCCAGTCTTTGAATCAACGAAGAACCAGAAGAGAGGGAGAGAGAACTGATTCTTCCTTTCTCTTTTCCTTTTCTTCTGATATCTCCTTTTTCTCGTTCAATCCGTTTACTGGACGACGGAGGCGCCTTTCCCGCCGCCGCCGTGAGGTACTATTGCTGATACTAACACCTGCGATCTTTTTCCGTTTTGGTTTTCCGCTCTCCGCCGGAAGTAAGGTTTCTCCGCGGATTTCGTGGAAATTGTGAACAAGGAGACTGGTAGGGGAGAATCGGTATTGGTTTTTGGGCGTTTCTGGAAGATATGGCGGGGGAGAGCTCCTGGACGTTTTTTTTTTTTTTTTGCGTTCTCTTTTAATTATTGTTTTCTTGTGGCCGCTCCCAATTGATTGAAATTGGACCTGAAATGGCGGAGGAAACAGGTGGTATTTTTAGCGTGTGGAGAACAATTGAATGCGAAATTCGCAAAGTAGAATTGATTTCTTTCCCCCCCTTAAATTGCGAAAGAGGAAACGCTTTGCGTCCTTTTTTTTTTTTGGGGTGTAATGCGAAGTTTTCCCTTCGTTTCATTCGCTGCATGTTCATTCTTCCCCTTTCGTTTCCCGCTCCTTGCATGATCAACCGCGATGCGATTGTTGTTCAGAACCCAGGTCCTTAAAATCAGTCCCACTTTGTGAATTGAATATAGTTGTCTTTTGATGATGATGATGATGATGATGATGATGATGATGATCCTTTCCCTTTTAGTGGGGGTTTTCTTCTGTTTCCTCGCGTTGTCAATGTGTACCCGTCTTTGGAATTTTAGTGGGTTTTTGTTTGGATATGCTTTTCTTCTCCTAGGAGACCTTTGATACCGATGTTATGAATGTTTTCATTTCATGGCTTTTTTTCTGGTTTGCTGGAATGATGTAAGATCATTTCGGGTTCTCTTCTCTTCTCTTTCCGTATAATTTTCCTGCTCGATGATCATCTTCTCTTTCGGCACATGATCTAGGAGAGTGTCTGGTTGATGGTTATGGTGGTCTTTTCCGAATTGGGAAACTTGGAAACTTTTTCTAAGATGTTGTTCTCCTGTGAATAATACTCTTTTTGGATTGATCACTTTTGTAGGAAATACGTGATTCATGGATGAGTACTCTGGTAAGAGAGGGCCGGATGGCCTCTTGGTCTCCAGGAAAGGATCTTCACTTCTTCTACGAGATACTGGCAATAACAAAGACCAGAATGGTCAATTCTGCAATCGGATAGGGTGCAGTGGCAGATTAAACGCTGCTAAAGGTACTACTCAAATCAACTACACTGGCAAACCCCAATCTTCAAGGTCATCAATTCGACCTTCCTCAAGTGGCAAGGAAATTGCTGGGAGTTCCTCTAGGAATTATTCAGCCGTTAACAATAGCACTAGGAAATCGCTGCCGGAATGTCGGAAAAAAGTCTCTTCTCGGGTAGAACCTGATTCTTCTTCTGAGAGCGCTGGCATTCAGGGCGACCCTGATGTTCCAGAACTCGAAACTTCCTCGAGAAAGCTTCATAAGGGTAACAAGTCCTCTTCTGCTGAAGCTCACACTAGTGTGATTGCATCCTCTACACAAGTGGGAAGCTCTAGTTTAGCATCCAGTACAATGTCCCATGGAGATTTTCCTCAGAGGTCAATATTAGGCCATCCACATACTCTAGCAAGCTCTTCCAGCTCACTACCATTGAAGAACCTCGTCCAAGGAAAACGTTCGAATGTGGGCAGGAATGGTCTAAGAAATTTTAGGTGCAATTCAGTATCGGATGTTGTCTCTTCAGGTTCATCTTCATCTTCAGAGACGAGCCTTACCAAAAGAAAGGACCCGGTGAAGAAAAGAGTCTTTCATGGAGAGAGTAGTAACTCCTCTGTCAAGGGTAAAAAGATGGCTAGCTCCCTTCCAGAAGGGCGGAGTTCTTCTCTTCCTACTTCTGGTATTTCCATTTCCGATTCTAGAAGAGCCAGAACTGTGCCTCCTATTAGGGATAATCCTGTTTCATCTGTTAGGACTAGAAGATCAGTAACTGGTTTCAATTACAATAGACCCCAAGGGACTAGAAACAGTTTAGCTCTCACTGAGGCCCATACTTTGGTCCCACAAGTTCCGCAACATGACATGAGTATTGACCTCAGTAGCCCTACTACTTCATCACATCAGTTCTTTATGGAACCTTCCCTAGGTCGCCCTTCATATAGTCGGCCTGGTAGTAGCAGTGCAAGTTCGAGGGGTATTAGGCCATCTAGTCCTATTGCCGAAATCAGCAACATGAGATCCTTACTAAACAGGGAGAGTTTCAGACGCTACAACATGGATGGAATTGCTGAGGTAGCTGGACCGCAATGTTTTCTTTATACAGAAGTAATTTTGGAAAACTTTGATGTAATATTGCTTGTTGATTCATTTTGGCAGGTATTGTTGGCACTTGAGAGGATTGAACAGGATGAAGAGCTGACATATGAGGTAGGCAGGCTACTAGCTGAAAACTTGGAATGCAGTTTGCCGGTCATCATCATCTTACTATACTTTTTTATCCTTTTCTGCAGCAATTGCTTGTTCTGGAGACCAATTTGTTTCTTAGCGGGCTGAACTTCCATGACCAGCACCGTGATATGCGACTGGACATAGATAATATGTCTTACGAGGTCTGTTTCTGTTAATTGCGTTATCATCTGGTACTATGTTCCTGTGCTGTAAATAGGAAGTTCCTGATGCTTTTTTTTCTCCCCTGTCAATCTCGGTCAGGAATTGTTAGCTTTGGAAGAGAGAATGGGTACTGTGAGCACAGCAGTGAAGGAGGACGAACTGTCAGATTGCCTTAAGACAAGCATCTATCAGTTGGTATCCATGGATGGTGCATCTAGGAACCTTAGTACAGATATGGAAGATATTAAATGCAGCATTTGCCAGGTCTGTTACTTTGCAATTACTTCCGTTCTCCTCTAACCCTGTTCTCTTAAATCTTGTCGCGCCCCTGGAAATTTAGGTTTTGACTAGTTGAACATATGTCTGTTTCCAGATAGAGGTATTAATTATCTTAGTTGCTAATCTGCTGGATTTGACTCCTCAAGCAGCAAGTGAATTGGTTCGGATGTTAATGCTTAGTTGTCAAGACGATGAATTCAAGGAATTCTCGTTCATATATCTAGTTGATTCTTTCTTCTCAAGTTATAGCCTCATATTAATTACTGTGCGATTACAGGAGGAGTATGGAGATGGAGATGAACTGGGACGGTTACGATGTGAACACGAGTATCATTTGAACTGCGTACATCAATGGTTGAGGCTGAAGAACTGGTGCCCGGTTTGCAAGGCACCAGCAGTTGTGCCCACCGAGCCTGCATCTCCTTCGTCTCCCTCGTCGTCGTCATCACTTTGATGATTCTTAATGACTTCTCTTCATTTTGTACAAAAATTTCACGTTTTGGGTCGCTTTTCTACCCTTCTTCTCCCCTCTCTGAAAAAAGAATTCAAGTTTCTTTGTTTTTGGTTTCTGGGTTATGGTGTACATAGGGAGATATTGTGGTGATTTTGATAGACTAATAAGTTGTGGCAATTCATTGCTCAACAATTGATATAATGAAAAGAAAAAGAAAAAAAATGGAAATGCTTCTATTTTTTGGCTTTAGTTCTTTCTAACTACAGATTCAAGAAATATAGCTTATAATGGAATCGATCAGATTTTGCTTGAATCTATGTATCAGTAGCAAGCACTGACTTGATATATTTTTTCTTCTTTTTTGGTAGAATTTGGCAATTGACATAAACCCACACATGATACATGATCTACACATGAATGTAGAACACGTGGGATATACCAAAACACGAATAACGTCATTCGATGTTTCCTAGATTCTTACTTTTCACAAACAAACAAAAAAAGGATCTCCTATAGATTCAAAAACAAAGTATCTACCTTAGATTCGTCAAATAACTGATTAGCTAAAGGCTTCAGGCAAAGCTTGCCAAGAACAGGAAGCTGAACTAAACAGCAGAATACCCAATAGTTTGCTACACCAAGCGATATCAATTAAAATCATAATCATCAACATCACCATTGCCGAGAAGCAGCGTAAATCGATCAAGGGAAGCACCAATAAACATCACAATCAGGAGAGTTAGAATACAGCAGCTGTGGCAGCCATGCAGGTTAGATCGGTGTTTTCTCGGTCTCCACACTTTCAGTAGTATAGTACCAGAAAGCTACACAGCAACCATGTTAGATTACTAGGCAACAACAACATAGGAAGATTCCTGAAACAACCTCCAGAGGCCAAGCTAACTATTGCTTGATTGCCTGCTACTGTTGCTACTAAAGAGGGTTTCTTGCAGCTGAGACTTCTGCAGCTTTTCTTGTACAGTGATTGCTGCTTCATGTTAATACCATCTTGATTCAAAGATTAAAACACTCTGAAAGAAACAGTTCGATACACAAGCACATAACGATGCAATTTCTGCCCACCGAACAATGGTAATTCTTTTTAGTGCCAGTAAATAGAAAATAATGCAGCAGGTATCCGGTAAAATGACTTCACAGAGGAGAGAGCGAAAAAGGAGGGCAAATATCCTGCTGCCAGCGACAACACTAAGAACTACGAGCCCATTCCCATATTAGGAACGTGCACCATAATGGTCGCATGACCAATATTAGCACAACTGAATGCAGGAAAAGGTTCCTTTGTACAGCTCCTGCAATTCTGTATCTCTAATGCTGTTGCTACTGGAAGGTAACACAATTCAATCTAAGCTTCTAAAAGTTGGAGAGAGCAAGTGCTGGATGCCAAAATACATCAATTCTGAAGCATAACTGAGCTAAATTTGACAGGCTTTTATGGTAGTTAAAAGAAGAACAGGTAGGCACAGAGTGCTAAGAGGATGAAGGTTAGAGGGAGAGGAGATACCCATGCAGCCAATACAATGAACCAAACACTCCTAGAAATCAGAAAACAAGTAAAGCATAAAAGACATTATTTATGATAGGAAGAAAGAGCAACCAATGTTGTTCCAAAACAGTTTATCTGTAAACAATGCCCACGAATTTGCACCTTATCAAACATCAAGGGAAGGGAGAATGCTGAGGCATCAAGTCAAGAGGTGGTATGCCTGTTCCACCTTTTGAGCATCTCCAAGGAAGAAAAGTATATCACAAGTGTGTACCCAAATGAAGTGAGTTTTGAACAAATAATAGTATTGATTGATGAACAACACCCGCATATCAGCAGAGAATATTGTTTTGAGCAAGTCCAAACAAGTTATTGAATCAGTTTCTTACTTTCTTCAGATACATTCAAGGATAAGCAGTTGCATAAAAATCTTTGACATCACTGCAACTCTGAACATTCGGTCACTAAGTATACACGAGGTATTTTCAAACATCGACAAATATAAAAGACATACTTGAACAAGCACAACAAAGAAGAAAAAGAATGGTCTGGTCCTACTAAAAAATTACTTCTACCACTATGATACAAAGACTTCACCAAGATACTTCTAGATAGAGTACCTGTGAAGCATTTTTCAAGTACCAGATAGTCACAAACTCCGTATAAATCTTCCAACGAAGAAGCATTATTCTGATCTCGACTGCATAAAGAACTTAGCATCCTCATTCTGGGTCTTCACCTTCTACTGATGCTTGAATTTATAGCAAGCATGTGGTACTGCATCTTAAGATAACAGATTGGTCAAAAGGCGACACTTGTTTGGGGCAAATTAATTATCTTTCTGTGATGATTTCTAGAATTACGACATCAATGTAAATCAAATGGCATTGACTTCACTCGTATTTGAGTTTGCCTGGACCTCAGATATGTACGGACACTGAAATCGGTTAGGTAATATCCAGTTTGAATGTATCTTGTATATAGAGTATGAAGTTCTGATGGAGTCAGCTAATCAACAACTAAAGAGAATTTGAAATACTTGCTTACGCTCAAATATATGAAGAGTGTTCTTTTCCATTTGAATTCTAAGCAGATAATTAGCATTCCTACAATTTATTACACCCTCTGAGTTTCCTTATTATATATAGTACCATATCATCAACAAGCGTAAGTGAAGGAAGTTTCCTACTTGAACTAGATATGGGCACTACATCACATGTAAATAAGAGATACCAATGACTTCTCTTAGGAGGGTCATTATGGGGCAAAAGCTAAAGTAGTCGCCTAAGGGCGAAGGAACCAAGTAGGTAATTAGCAGTTTAGTTAGTGATATCCAGGACATCAAAAGTCAGTTATACTTTGGCAGATAAACCACCTTCAAGAATCATCAAGCTCAATTCCAAGTAAAAGTCAAGAGGTCAATGGATATCGATGTGTTATTCATATCGAAAACAAATCAATTCTGAGACTTTAAAAATACATAAGAGCAACACTAAGGGCTGTTACACCAGTGATTTTACCTTTTCACCAAACTACACACGAGTATCCTGCAAAACTGTCTTAGATTTCTCACGGTTGGCTGTAAATTATACAAAAGAGCTTTGAGATCTGCAATGGCAAGAGACAGCCAACACCCATGCTTATCATACAACAAAGGCAACCAACCATTGGGCATTCAACTTTGGAAGTTTCCCTAGCTTGGTCACCATGAAATGATATCCCGATCAGTGCAAGATCTGCAGCCGGAGAGAGTACATCGATTTGGGTCAAAGCCAGAAGCTCAATTTTTTGAAGGACTGAGCCTCATCTGTGTGATAGCCGTTGGGTTCAAGCAGGCAAAAAGAAGAGAACTGTGTATGTCAATAGCGTTCCAAAACAGTGGCCAAGGCTTTGAACCGGGCAAGCAGATCAATAAACAACTCTGATGTAAAGAGATCCTTCTTAAGATTAATTCTTCAATCCTCATACGACTGCATGCAGATTCTCTCCAGCAGCAAAGGCCAATCTTCACCTAGTTGCTGCGGATTTAACTCCATGGCGACTTTGAAATCAAGCAAAGATATCGAACATCGTGGCCTTTGTTGTTCTTGCATTACTTCTAGGGATCCACTGCCATTCTGCATGTGCAAGTGATTACTACTAGGCCATACTCCATTGATAACTTTCCCTGGAAGAAACTGCTGCTTGAGGCCAGCCTGCTGCTTTCTCTGGTCCTGAGGAGCCCTTGCTCCAACCAATTCAACACAGGACTTGATCAACCTCTTCAAGTACACATCTAACATGTTATTCAACATATTTGCACATTCCATTGAAACCCCTCCAAGGCCCTGTGAGACTGCAATCTGCTCCATGCGTTTTCTCAGCATCTCTGTATCAGACAAGACACCGCTGTTGTAACACATACCAAATTCATCATCAGAACATGTCAATACTGGAGCTTTGCGAGCACCACCAGAAACGCTACTAGCCAGGCAAAATGGAAGTCCAAGAGGTGCATGGACATGATTTCTAGAGAAGGTCAAGTAGTTTGCTTGCTCGACCTCTTCACCCTCGTCAACTAATGTGGTCCTCCTGACTTTGCTATGCGTCATTGGTTTCTCAGTGGATCGTTGAATCAAGGCTTCCCTTTCATTCCCGGGTTGCTCGGCCACTACTTGAAGGTGGTGCAGAGGTCTCTGGTAATCACATGGACTGAAATCCCCATTCTCCATAACAATCTTGTTACTTCCACCATCTTCTACTCCGAGTGATTGTTGTGGGAGACACTCAACTTTTCCATTTGGCCCAAGTGGGCTAGGCCTATCTCTAAACTTCCTATGTGTAGTACCTGACCTACTTTTCCGAGGCGATACAGGCAAAACTCCATTTGACCAAATGGAAACGTTTTGACTCTGATTTGGGAGAAGGCTCCCACTCTGTTCATGAGCATCCTCTCTGCCAGGAGGAGAACTCTTTGCTGTCTGAATTGCTGCAGATTTTGTGGGGCCCACATCATAAGTTGGTGGTGGAGGGGTCTTTGCCAGGCAAGCATTCTTCAGAATCCCCCGAATTAGCTGATTGTGTAGGGGGAGATTCTCCCTACCAAGCAACCGAAAACAAGATTTGTCGAAATCACTCTTACTTAGCCTCTGACTAAGAAACCTATTTAAGTTAAAGAAATACTTTTTTGCCCTCTCTGCCCCAATCTTCTTTACAATCTGAGTCTTCAGTTCGACCAAATCGATTCTGGAGCTCTGTTGAGGCTGCATTTCTCAAGAGACAGTTTGACACAACATCCAACAGAAGGAAAACCCCTAAAACTTCCCCCAGATGACCGTTGTCAAAGCTACTGTTGTCGTTGCAGCCAAGCAACTTCGAATTCAGCAGCCATCACCATATCATTTCAATGCAAATGAAGCAACAACCTCTTCTTGTATCTCAGAATAACCAGATTCACAAACCATATACTGGACTGCCAGAAATGAAGATTCCTAAATTGGATGTCAGTTACCTCCGCTTCCAAATCCCTCCAAATTTACCAACCCGCAAGCAGCACAATGCAAATTCAAATCTCATCTTTGCAGAGACCCCAAAACCCTAGAGATCAAAACCCACTTAAAGCACAGATACGGGAGGCCCGCAAACCAACCCAAATATTATCCCAAAGGCATAATGAATCAAAACCCTAATAAGTTTGTAACTTGGGGCAACCTCGTGCTGTAGTGAAAACCTGCAAGCAGCGCCAAATCATAAGAACCCATCCGTTAGAAACCACACACTCGGAAACTGATGTACAAAATTCAAAAGCAACGAACTTCGAATTGGGGGGGAAATTGAAGTTCAGAAACAGAGATCAGTGAGTTACGAGGATTGAGTTCGGAACAGAGCAGGAATTGAAAAGATGAAAAGGAGGGAGAAACCCAATAAAAAAAATCGAATTGAAGAAAGCACAATGAAGGAGTTGGGGAAGTAAACTGAGAGAGAGAGAGAGAGAGAGAGAGTAAAAAAAGGAAAAAAAGCTCGAAGCTTGGAGATTGATTTGAGCTATCTAACCTGAACCCAGTTCACGAAATTTTTGGGGACGACAGGGGGATTAAGAAATCCGAAGGAAACTCACTGAGTTTGATGCTTCCTCGAATCTTTCTCACTCTTTGCCAGCTTCAATTCTTCCTTCCTTCCTTCGTCGCGCCTCTTATTGCTCTCCTCAAAATTCCTATTTCGAGCGACATTCAGAGTACCCTCCTTTTCTATTTCCTTCGGCTTTTTTGATTTGGAGAAGAAAGCCCAGAAGCTCGGGGTTCTCCCTTTTCCTTTTTTCTCCCTCTCTGTGCCTGAGCTCGTTCTCTGCCTTCGACTTAGCTCCCTCGATCGCTCGCACTCTTCGCTGCTATTACTTTCGCTTTAATTTTTTTTCTTCTTCTTTTTGGGTTTTGTTTCAATTTTTGGTTTTCATTTTTTCTTTCTAATTCACACACTCTTCTCTTCTCTCTTCGAGTCTCCTCCTTCTCTTCTCTCCCTCACAAAGCTTTGTTTTTTGCTTGATTTTCCAAACATGTCTTAATTTTTTGGGTCAATTTTTGTTATTGTGCACGATTTTATCTTCGTGTCTTCATGTTTTCTATTTGTACTTTGCATTTTCACTCGTGTGAGGGAAAATGATTTTCCAACCTTTTTTTGTTCCAAGCATACGTTGACTTTGTTCCCATTTGTCTTCTAATTATTCCAATTTTCCCTCCACATATGAACATTTTAGTAGGGTCTCCATTGTAACATAATAATCTTGTGTTTGATGTGTTTATGGATTTGGATACTTTATAAATAACTGATAATGTCGGTATATTACCGTGCTTGACAATAACAAAGTGACATTATAATTTTATCTCTGAAGTAATGGTCATGAGTTTGAGCTTCAGTGGCGCTATATACATCATTTTGAATCTCCTTTTTATTCCAAGTAATGCCAAGAAAGAAAAGTTAGAAAAAAATTCTCTACCCAAGAACCCCCACGACACCAACTTAGTGAAATCGCCAGCAAAATCAAAGGAAACTAACTCTAAAGAAGACATAACAAGGCTATGCATGCAACTTTATGGTCAGTCCAGTTTGCATTCCTCGGACCACCCTAAATACTATACAAAGAGAAAAGACTCGATAAGCTGGCAACATTCTCGAAGTAAGGGCTCTCCTAGTCAATCCACCATCACATTTTGGCTAAGCTGACGAACGACTACTTTACCATCCCCTTCCACAATGATACGTGACAGCTTCTTTAGACCGCAACTGGAATGACATCTCTAGCCGCAAACAATTCTGCAAGGTAGGGATCAGACACAGTCCATTGTTGGTCCCCAAGTGCTAATGGAACATGCATGTCCGAGCCACGAACAACAAGACCCGACGAGCAACCGAAGATTCGATCGACAACATCAAAGTTTCACTTCAAATTGTCTTTAAAGGCGGGCACTCCCAAAGTGATGGAGTCGAAATAGAGGGGAAATAGAAAGCATACATGATAAGTAGGAAGGTAAAGGGCATTTCACGAACATGCACTGAATTGACGATCAAGCGCATGACCATGTGGTTGAATATTTTCAGAAACCACTTTATTACGAGATTTTCAACTCTCACAACAGGCAGACATATTTGATAATAAGGTTTTGGGATTGCTCCTTAAGCATAACATGATGCCACTAAAAACTAAAATTCACAATCGGGCAAAACAATAACATCAATTTATCTCACATAAGCCCGTAAGTGGATGGTCAGTGAGCAACGAAAGAACAAATGTTCAATATTCTTTCGATACCTCCAACAAACAAAACATCGGTTAAGGTCGTTGACCCCTTGGGATTGGAGAGCAATTATTGTAGGAACTCCACTTCGAGACATTGCCAAATGAAACATTTTGAATCTCCTTTAAATGTAGAAGTAGTTTAGGTTTCTAGATCAATAATGTATCATAATATAATTTTTACCAAGCAAATATGTGTTTGTTTTCTTTTAACATTTATTTATTGTACTAATATTCACACATTTACCCAAAAAAATACATTGATATGACAATAAAGAATAACGACATGGTAAAAACAACCTTAATGACTCTTTTTTTTTTACAATAATGGAACTCATAAAGCGCACCCCAACCTCTATGTATTTAAAAAAAACTTGTGGTTTTGAACCCCAATAATGTCAAAATGCAACCAATAAGCAATAGTGCTTTTAGGAGTATCAAAGAAAAGAGTCCCACAAGAAGCGAGTGCCCCAAAGAGGCAAGATAGTCAACAACAAAGTTGGCCTCTTGATACACATGCTCAATCCTTACTGTGTAAGGCCTAGCCAACCATCGTATAATCTCGGCAGTACAAGCATAATGAGAACGTGATGTGTGGCTATTTTAATGAGAGTCATAGCCGTCAGCAAATCTATTTGAAAATAACCTTCCTAGCTCTCAGTTCAACCCTCATGTCGTTTAAAAGTTCATAAGATAATGGTCAGACCAATAATAAAAGGCAAAATACACTTTTATAGCCATAACTATTCGCGTTGTGACAAATATAGCCAGATTTGAAAAAATACACTCATATAGCCATTCCGTCCAAAACTTTAACAACAATCTCACAACTGCTGACTGGACTAACGGATGTTTGCACCGTGGCGTAGGTTCATCTACGTGGCAATACAGGGGAAAGAGTTTCTAATTCAATTACTTAAAAAAGGTTAAATAACTAACTTTACCAATCCCTCTACCCTGTTGACCATTTCGTTCCAATTTTAATCTTTCTCTTCTCTCCTTCTTCGACTCTCCAATCAATCAGAAGCATCATCGCCATTCATCAATTACCTCCCTTCCTCCACTTTGGAGTTCACAAGCTCAGAAACCCAAAGGTTTCTACGCTGTTTGAAGTGGGTTGAATTGGCACCGGAGTTGGGTTTATTGGTGATGTGTTCTGTGGGAAATCGTCTTCGCGTTCAATCGTCTGCTGCCTCCAATCGTCGATAGATCCCCAATCCCTAGCCGTCAATCGTCTTCGCGTTCAACCGGGTCCTTCCAACAAAGCGGAAAGATTTTCAAAATCTGTGGCAAATTAGAGGGCAATAGAGCTCGAGGGGAGTCACGTCGGCGGTGGGGAAACTAAAGGAGAATCGATGTTGTCAATAGACGAGAGCATAACAGAGCTGGGGTTTCTTCACCTGTCGGCAGCGAAAGAGAAAGGGAGAAACGAAGGTCGCAGCTGCTATATGTCGCTCGGCTTGGATGGAGAAGCGATGTAGTCGATTGGAGGTGGAATCCTCTCTGGCCAAATTGTTGATCTCCGGCCAAATCCTCACCTTTATGGCGGTCACGGCAACCGCTCGTCCTCTTTCACCATTGTTATGCCCACTCCAAAGCAACTGGGTAGAAGTCCTTCCTTGCGTTCCTCCACCGACCACTGTTCAACACATTTTTGTAGATCTGACGCTGTCAATTCATCCTCCCCTGCCACAGGCGAAGTCGGACGAAGAAGAAGCCCCCACCGCAGCCGTTGCTGAAGAAGCCAAAATAGAGGAATCCCCCAGTTCATCCACACACATCGATTCTAGGTTTAGGGTATGGGTTTGATTTGGCCAATCAGTTTATTGACTGGGGACGAGTTAGGTTGTGAGCAACGAAATTGATTTCGTCAAATCAAGAAGAAGAAGAAGAAGAAGAAGAAGAAGAAGGGAGCTGATGTGCAGGATTTTTGTGGTCTCGATTGGATTTTGGATCCGGAAGAAGATGGCGGAGGTAATTAGCGAGGAGAAATTAAAGGGGAACTATTTAATTATATAATATTTTTTTAATCTGTTGGTGGAATCCAGGTCAGCGGTGACGTGGGCAAATCGAGTCTAGTTGGTGACGACATGTCATCAGGTGGAAGCCATGTCACTTGGTGATGACGCCGTCCGTGATGACTTTAACGGCAGTAACGGAAATGGCTATAGTTGACAATAAAGTTTTACAAATTTTTAATTTTTGGCTATATGAGTGTATTTTTTCAAATCTGGCTATATTTGTCACAACGCGAATAGTTATGGCTATGAAAGTATATTTTGCCATAATAAAATGACTACTCCTCCCTCGTTTTCTAATAGTTAGTACTTAGTAGGAATGACAATCGATCCCATAAATGTGGGTATTCGATCGCCCCCGATCGAATACTCGAGGAATCCTCATATAGTCATATTGACTGGATATTGGGTGGGTATGGGTAAACTCCGCAAAAGGTTTGATGAGTAAGAGGCGGGTATGGTTTTAGCCTCCTCCACTCATACCCATACCCGCCTCACCAAGAACATTTCTTCACATATAAAAAATACACGGGTCAAGAAAATAAATAGTAGAATTGCAATTGAGTGGCCCTCATAAATCAAAACCTAACTCATTTCCTTCAATTCTCCCTTCATTCTTTCGCTTTTCCCTCTTGTTAACAAGATTATTATATTAGTTGTTTATTACTTACTAGACGTAGAGAGTTAGAAACTAATGATTTGAAAAATATTGTACTCTATCTTATTGAATAAATTTATGTTTAGGATCATATGATTTGAATCGTATCAAGAATGATTGTGTTTTTGTTGACTTCATAATATAATATAGTAGGTATGTTTAGTGTTATAATTGAAAATTTACAAGTAATTTTTTTTAAGGTAAATACAATATATTAGCCATAACTATTAAGTAGCGGGGAATTATAGCCACAACTATCGAAATACAAATTATTAGCCATAACTATTGTTGCGGGTCAAGATTTGGCTAACAGCCGTTACTGTTTTCAAAATTTTAACAAAGAAGGCCATGTCAACATTAGTAAAAAAATATTATATCATGACTGCCATGTGGGAGCCAGCTCAACATCGTAAAAGTTTAGTCATCATTACTAACAAAAGTGTTAACAAAAACTTAGCAATTGACTAATAATTTGTATTTCGATAGTTGTGGTTGTGGTTAGGGGTGGGCAATGGGCGGGTTGGGTGGATTTTGGTCTAAAATTGACCCACCCGCTTACTAGCGGGTTGGAGTATATGTGACCCGCAATCCACCCACATACTTATGCGGGTTGGGTTGGGTGGGTGGCGGATGGGTGCGATTGGGTCGCGGGTTAACCCGCAAAAGCAATTCTCCAACTAGCCATTAAGAAAATTGACTAACATTTATAATAAGTTCATCATAGCACATTAGTAAAATTGTATCAATAATTTGTGATTTTGATACAATTAATAATTTATAGTTTGTATCTCAATATTTAATGGATATTAACAATAATTTGCATTCCAATATCCATTGCAAATGGATATTGCACAACACAATAACCAATAATAGTAGTCAAACAATTATTTATTCTCCACCTTTTGCAGTATATGGTCAGACTGTAGTGCATTTTGAAAATATGATGAATATTCGATACTATAAGAAACAACATTTTTCCATGTAAAAAATAGAATGTGGGTCATACGGGTGACCCGCAATCCACCCACCATCTACCCACATAAGTGCGGGTGGGAGATTTAACAATCCGCAATCCACCCACATCAATCACCCATTGCATGCGGGTCGGGTTATTTGCGGGTGGATCGATATCAATCCACGGATTAACCACCCACGTGCCCACCACTAGTTGTGTCTATAATTCCCTGCTGTTTAATAGTTATGGCTAATATACTGTCTTTGCTTGCTCTTATTCATAAAAAAAACTTTTCAAGAACTCTCTTAGCTGGTTCACGTTTCGAAGCCAGGAAGAAGCAATTTATTGCACTTTGGCTTTTCTTCTTCAAACCCGATCCCAAAATCTTCCCCCAAGCCCTTGACTGACGGCACTACCCTCTTCCGGCCTCCCGCTCCCCACCACGACGCCGTCGTCCCTTTATCACCGGCACCGTCGCGTTTCCGTTTTCCTCTTGCCGCGCCCCGATTCTGCTCATCTCTTTCATGTACCCTAATTCCCTGTACTCTTGTATTCTTCTCCCCTCTGTTGATGTTTGAATGTTACCGCTTGTAAAACCCCATGAGAGCCTTCTTGAATGTTATTGTATCTCATAGAACTTTGCAGTGCTACCGCTTGTGGGTGTTGAAAGGTCTATGCATGGCGAGGCTGTCATTGCTGTTGATTGGTTCACATTTTTGCAGTTTTAACTTTAAACAATTGCTCGCTCCATCGTTTTTCTCAACCTTCAACTGCTCTTTTTTTTCTTTTTTCTTCTTCTCAGTTAGTGGACATCTTCGATAGCTCTGCTAGAATTGCAGCCTTACAGCTGCTTCTAGTTGCGCCCTACCGTTTCTCTCGAGCTCTGGTGCTACGGGCTTGTACTGATGGACAGTGATGTTGAGGAGTCGCTTAAGAAAAGGCAAAAGAAGGTTCCTTTTCCAGGGGACTCTTCTCGTCGGGTCAGTGCCCCCAAATTTCTTCTCCTCTCCTTGTTGATTTAGCTGAAAACACATAACCTCCCTCAAAGAATCATCCCATTTAATGATGCGCTAGATTTTACTGCTGTTGTTATTTGTCATGTTGATGGTGTTCTGTACATGTAAGAAGAAGTTAACTATAGACATGGAGATGTGCATCAATGATGTGAAGCAATCTGAGGCACTTGCATCAATGATAAGTAATCTACATTGATAGGGAGTAGGATAATCGGTCTGATTATTGATTACAGAGAATTAACATGATCTCTTCCTATAATTACATCATGATCTTTGATTTGGCAGTGCAACCATTTGGTTCTGATTTGGCAGACCGGTAATTCTATTTTGTAGGGTTTCACGCAAGAGGAAGATACTCGTTTGGAGTCTACAAGAGCTAGATGTATTGAAAACCTTCTGTGTTGTTTATTTGTACCGTTAGTAGTGGTATTTGATGCATTGTTATTGTACTGAATGTTGGTTTTTCTTGACAATTATCAGTTACAAATCTTCTCAAGAGACATGGGGAATTGGCAGAACGTCTTTCTAGGTGCAACATTATTTTCAGATTGCAATGGATTTAATTAGATGCTCTGATGTGGGTTGAGCATCTCAAAGGTTGTGATGCTGAAATAATTTCTCCTTCGTTTTGGATAGGGATTCTGACAAGATGATATTCGAACGCCTACAAAAAGAATTTGAAGCTGCAAGAGCATCTCAAAAACAAGGTACCAGTCACTTATTCCATTAATAGCTTAGTTCCTTGGTATCTTTTCTGTACTTCTGTTCTTTGTTGGCTAGGAGTTACAAATTCTTGTTTCCACTCTCTAGTTATATAAAAAGGATATCAACTGTTTCTTTTTTCCATCATCTGCAGAAGTTTATCTTGATGGTGAAGAATGGAATGATGGGCTGTTGGCAACTATAAGAGAAAGGGTATGTTTTGCTGAGAGTTTGCATTTTGTTCATCTTAAGCTGATTCAAGATTATCCTTCATGCCACAACTCCTTGCTATCATAAACATTTTGCCAGAGTTTAAATTGATGGATTGTTCTTTTGGGCGGCTATTTGTTTTCGTTATCAGGTTCACATGGAGGCTGATAGGAAGGCAATGGCAGCAGAATCTAATAATATGACGACTCAACATTTTGAAGAGAAAATTACATATAGGGCTGGTAATAAGGTAGTCTCTAAAAAACATCTCCCTTGTACACTTTGACTAACACTCTGTAGACAGATATCATCAAGTTTTAAGAATCACTAGGAGTCGAAATGTTGGTTACGTATGCTCTGCTTGTGTAGATCTCTTGTAGAGAGAATTAAATTTAGAGCTGTTCACAAGGTAGTATCTTAGTATTAATATATACCATGTGCAGATTGAGTTAGTTTCTCCCGAGATTATGTATCCTAAAACTCTAAGACTGTTTCACATGACTTGGAAAGTTGGTTTAGTATTTTCTGGTGTATGTTGATTTTCTGGGAATTGCATTTGTTTGGTAAAACCCGAATGCTGATAATAATGGTAACAACTAAAGCATCCAGTCCAAGGGAGTATTGGTAGTAAGTCGCACAGCATTTACTTGCATTTGTATCATCTTTCTCTCATTAAGTGGAATAATCATCAGTTATGTCAAAAAGGAAACATTGAACAAATTTCGTTGTAAATTTGCTGAATATTGTTGCACTTATCATCTATCATGGAACTCAACCTTGTGATGTAAACAGGTCATTTGTTGCTTGGAAGGGGCAAGGATTGGCATTCAATATGAAACATCTTTTGCAGGTATTTGTTTCCTGTTGTTCCATGACAGTATCTATTGACGTAGCCTAATTTCTCACGATCTTAAGGCTGTTATATAAAAAAATTGTCAACTTTTTTCCTGATTTTTTATGCTGGAAAACTCATTGCTTCGTGTAAGTGACAGGAGTTTGCTCCTTTATACATTTCAGGAGAACCTTGCGAGGTATATCACTGTGTGCTTGAGAGTCGGTCATTTCTTGAAAAGATGACGGTCCCTGAACATACTGTTCCATTTTTTCTGCCTATACGAGAGGCAGAAAATGATCTTCTTTCTTCCAATGCTATGGCGAGTTTTTTCAGTTCTTGGATCTTCACTTGTGATTAAACTCTGTGGCACTGTTTGATATTATCTAAAATGGGCATTGATTAATTTGCTTGCAGAGATTTATAGACTTTGTTGGAGAACTCCTGCAGTCATATGTGGAGAGAAGAGAGCAGGTACGGAAATTTGTTTCTCATTGTCCTTGGATGTTCATGGTTCCCTCAAGAAGATGTTTGCATAGAAGAAAATTAAATTAGCAATAGAGGCTCCACGTTTGTTCATTATCATGTTCTCTTTAGTATACCTTGTGGCCTGTATGAATATTGGCAAATATTGTTGCCCTTCATCTTACCAAAATCTTGTATAAATTATTTGCATTAGTAGCCTCAGCGGGAAGCCACTACTCTTCTCTCGTTAATTCTCTGGCCAAGCCATCGGACTATCACAATTCAATTTCTCTATGTTACCTAATGCTTGAGACACTGGCTGTCATTTTCATTCCCTTAACTTTATCTACTTAACTATTTTCCATGCAGTAACTGTATGCTTGTAGCATCTCATCTTGACGATTGGTTGATGTCTCTTTTTCATCTTTGATGTACTTAATGTATATTCTGATGGGGTCAAGTGTTGGAGCTATCATTTGAATTTGCTTATTCTCTTTTACAGGTCAGGCTTCTTAAGGAGCTGTATGGAGATCGAATTGGGGAATTGTATCACAGCCTGCCCTACCACATGATAGAATTTGTTCTAGATGATTTTGATTGGTAAGTACCCGTTTAGGCACCGTGCCTGGATTATTTTGATTTGTTTCTGCCAACCACGTGCTTAAACTCATTTTATGTAATCCCATGCATGGCATTTCTTCTTCTAGTGTATTTGCGAATCAATTTTACTAGTTCGTAGTTTATCTTGTCTAGTTAGAGATTAGTTATATGCTGCTTTCCTGATCCTGCATGTGTTGTAGTCTAAGAAAGGTCAGCATTTCCTGTTTAGAGTAACTTTCACTTCCCATGATGATGGTTTGGTGTGGTCGTTTTTGGCTGCAGCAAAATAACCGTAAGTCTTAGATACTCTGATCTTGTTGCTGTACTTCCAACTCGGGTGAGAGTGTTCGCATGGCCCATAAACCAATTCAAGAAAAATGCAGCCACGGGAAGCCACTCTAATCCAAGTCGCCTATCGTTTGCCGAGGACGCTATGCGAAATATGACATTGCCAGAAGGTACACGGGTTGCTCATTTGCCATACTTGCTGAGTGTGCCTTTAGGCGCATAGTTCTGTTGTCTGATTTCATCATTTTTTGGGTTCCTTCCTTGCGCAGCATATGCGGAGATGGTGCTGAACCTGCCACAGGCTTTGCAGCAGATGGTTCAGGATAGGAGCCCTTGTTAAGTCGTGTTGACATTTATGACGAAAGGATTGGAGAAAGTGTACAAAAAGAGAGCAGTGTTTAACGTATTAGACATGTTGTGAATTTGGTGATGGGTCTAACTGGGTTATGTACTTTATCATATGTAGTTGTGTCGGGTTAGAGGCTTAGAGCTGTTATTCGGGATGTAGCGATTCAGGCATTTTTCACTCATCACTATGAAATTTGAGAAATGTTTAGCTCAATTCCAATAGTAATATTTTCCTGCTCTGTCCTTCTGTGTTATATCTGTGCTGCAAGGTATCCAGGTAAAGCTGGCCTATGTTTTCAACTTGGTGTTTATTTTGGTCGAGTAGCGTGCTATGCAAGAAATACATTATTCCAGTACCTCGCCAACGAAGGTTTACATAACTGAATTAATCCGTCTGAACAGCATCAAATCAAACCACAGAACAACAGTAGGGAACAACTGCTATATATGCCAACATCAAAGGGTTAAAGAAGACAAGTAGGTGGGAGGACGATCTACCTCACTAATACGGGAATCACAGAAACATGAAACGACATCAAAACAAGATCAGATTCTGGGTTTTATCTGGGGTAAGAACACTCAGCTCCTGCTGCTTAATTTTCACGTTTTATGCTACTACGATGGCAGGCAAACATTGCCAGAAATCTATATATACTCTAGGTGGCGTCGGCTATGCACATGCCGGTGTTGGTGTTTCGTCATCATAAAGTGTCAATTTGCTCTCTAGACAGTGTAATGCTGTTGAATGGTGTCGATGTCAAGCCCTTTAAGCTTCACCACCGACTCGACGTGCCCCTTCAGTGTATTCAGTTCCCTCAGCCTGTTCATCCATCCCATATGAAAACAGTTAATCATCCGAAACAAACAGCTCCTGGAAATTCTGATGGAAAGCAAATCTGTTGAATTACGTACCTAGCAACCTCAGCACGTCGCTTAGCTTGCTCAGCAATCTCAGAAAGCTCCCTGTAGCTGTTCTTGTCAGCAAAGAAGTTGGTGGTCTCAGGAGGCTGAAGCCCGTGGAGTGTTCTCTGCGCGGTAGCCCACTGTGCTTCCCTCTCCTCTTTCCCATAATTCGTCTTTGTAGTAAACGCAGTCTGTGAAAGAAAATTACCAAGTTTAATAATTTCGTCATTATCATCATAACACCACGTTTCATGATAAGACAGGAAGGGAAGCAACTCAACCACTGCTTGGTTCCTTTTACCTTGTTCTCCAAGAGATTGTCCCAGGCCTTGCCGCTGAGAACATAGCGAATGGCGAACTTGAGGATGTCGAGTGGGATGTAAGTGACGATGCTGTAGAGCCAGATGACGCCAGCCCAACCCCAGCCGCAACCCCTTATTCTCGCAAAGGACCAGTTAGCATACACTGCAATTAATGTCGCGATCAGTTGAGCAACCATGAAAGCAACGAGGAGGAGCTTCCCGGGGATTTCGACAAAGGACCAGCTGCGTGATCTCGTCACGAATATCAGTGCTTGGCTCACTATGCTCACTTGCAAGTACAGCGCTGACATCATCTGTTCTGGTCTATCATGCAACGGCCTTACATGGAACTTGTCCTGCGTACAAATCATTCAGAAAGAAACTCATCGGTCCCATTATTGTCTATCCAAAATCTCCAACGAAACAATAATACTCAGTTTGTTCTTTTACCGAGAAGAAATTTGTCTCTCGCATGGCCCAGAAGAAAAGAACTGTCATTATTGCCATGTAAGTTCCCAGAACGACTCCAGTACTGAAGATCTCTTTCAGCTTCCAGCTGTCCGGCTGCGGAGATGGCTTCACTCGATCCTTTGATATCGTCATGATCGTTCCTGTATCACGAATTAGCCGAATTTAGCTTCCTCCTCTCTTGCTAACAGGAAAAACAGAAGAAACTTTGATTAATTAGGCTCACCGTCATTGAGTACGGCGATGATCAAAACCATGAATGGGGAGAAATCAAACTTCCATATCAACGCAATCAACATGAACCCAAGCTGCCACAGGCAATCCAACATGACTCAAAAACTAAGTTGTTATAAATGCCACAAGACAAAATTGATGTTTAGATATATAGAGAACTTACAACAATACGGATGGTGATGGAGACCGCATATATCTGCAAAGAAGATAAGAAAGACAGAATCAGAGAGTCTTAGTAAGGGGCAATTATATATGAGCATCTAACAACTATTAACAGAAGGACAAATGGTGGAAGAAGAAAAAAAACCGTGTAATTTTTCATTCTCTGGAATATAGCCCTGCTGGTGAGCACAGCACTTATGATCACACTGAGCCCCGGCTCAGTGAGGACGATGTCAGAAGCACCTCTAGCTGCATCAGTTGCATCAGCAACAGCAATCCCAATATCAGCCTTCTTCAGTGCAGGAGCATCGTTCACACCATCTCCCGTCATTCCACAAATGTGTTTCTTCTCTTGTAGCCTCTTCACAATCTCATACTTGTGCTCTGTCGAAGGCAACAAGTTTTAAGTTACTTGAAAGCATATTATATTACACAGACTTTCCCGCCCTTGTAAAGCGGCAATTTGGGCAGATGTGATACCTGGGAAAACTCCGGCAAATCCATCAGCTTTTTCAATCAACTCATCCACAGGGAGGGATGCAATGGAAGCATCCTTGCTTTGACCAAGCAATGAAGATGAAGGATACATGTTGGTTCCCATCCCAAGCCTCCTTCCAGTTTCCTTAGCAATTGCAAGCTGATCACCTGAATAATATACAAGAAGTGACAGAAAGATAAATAAGAGCTTAAACACAGACTAACTATGGCAGTTACAAGATAAGAACACCAGAGTCTTTACCAGTAATCATCTTGACATTGACTCCAAGGTGAAGAGCTCTTCTGATGGTTTCAGCACTGTCATGCCTTGGCGGATCAAATAGAGGCAACAAACCAACAAGCTGCCATGGACCGCCTGCACTGTCTTTGTTCTTCTCTGGTACTTCCTATAATTCACATGGGATGGTAAATAGGAGGATTAGTTCCACACACCAAAAAGCTAAAGGTTCAAAATGAAAACTGATACAGACCTGTCGTGCAACTCCTAAAGATCGAAGCCCACGTTCAGCAAACTTATCAATCACTGCATGAACCTTCCTTCTAACATCCTCCTTGCAATTGCACAAGTTCAATATCTGCATTCAAAAATGAAGGCACACATTAACATTGCTGACGTCGCCAAATGATTCATGAGATAAAACCTGAAGCAGACATATATAAATATTACCTGTTCAGGAGCACCTTTACTTGCCCGGTGCCAGTTATTGTCCGAATCAATATAGGTCAAAGCAGTCCTCTTGTCGACAGGATTGAATGGAAGAAAATGAACCTCCCTAATGCCAAATCGTGCCTGCAAAAATTGAAATTGTGGTTATACTCACAAGGCAGCAGCAGCTTTGGATCAGGAGGATACTTTTGAAGACACAACAAAGTTGAATAAGACCCACCTCCTTAGGGTCTGCAAGCATTCCTACTATAGCGGCATCAATAGCATCCTGATTTTCAGTCCTCGAAGCTCTGGCAGCAAGTAGCATAACATGCTCTTTGTCCATACCCTTAACAAACACCTCAATCAAGTTCTTATCAACAGTGAGCTTGTTCAACGTAAGAGTCCCTGTCTTGTCACTACACAGAACATCCATGCCGGCCATTTCCTCAATAGCAGTCATTCTTTTGGTAATAGCCCCCTGCTGGGACAGCCTGTGAGAACCAATAGCCATGGTGACAGACAAAACGGTTGGCATAGCAATAGGTATTCCGCCAATCAAGAGAACAAGCAAGTTGTCGATCCCATCTCTGTACTTGCGGTGCTGTATGGGGTACATCACTACAATCTCAACAAGTATCCCGGCAGCAATCGAGCAAATACAGAAGTTACCAATAGCAGTAAGGACGGCCTGAAAATGACCAACTTGATTGGTGCTGTCCACGAGATGAGCAGCTTTACCAAAGAAGGTGTGCACACCGGTGGCAATGACAACAGCTTCGATTTCACCTTGCTTGCAGGTCGACCCAGAGAAGACTTCATCGTATGGGTTCTTAGTGACGGGAAGTGACTCCCCAGTAAGTGCAGATTGATCGATCTTCAGAGGATCACCCTCCAGAAGACGTGCATCAGCAGGGACAATATCTCCCAACTTGATGCTGATAATGTCTCCTGGAACCAAGATTGCAGCTTCTTGCTCCGTCCAGCGCCCATCTCTAAGAACCTATTATCATGGGTGGGTTAGCTACAGAAGTCAGATACATGCAAAATGAAGTAGCAGTAGAAAGTAGAGATAAAAAAAAAAAAATGAAGATTACGCACCTTGGTCTTGGGGGCAAGGCCAGCCATAAGTGCAGCAGCTGCATTTCCAGCATTATTTTCCTCGACGAAACTGATGGTGGAGTTGATGAACAGCAGGGTAACAATACCGACGAAATCCTGCCAGTCTGGTGGCCTTCCTCCACCATTGGCCAAGGCTAAGGCCATAATAGCTGCAGCTTCCATGACCCATGACAGCGGGTTCCACATAAAACCCAGAAACTTGAGAAATTTGCTCTCCTGTAACCAAAATGATATACTGAATTAATTACCCGCCATGAACAAATTTCTAATATGAAACGGGCAACGGAGCAGAGTCACAGTTTCACAAACCTTTTTCTCCTCCAACTTGTTGGGTCCGAAAACTTGAAGCCGGTTGGCCCCTTCGTCGCCGGAGAGACCTTCCCGTGAACATTTCAGCTGCTCAAACACTTCCTCGATAGGAATCCTTTCCTGCGAATTAAGGTTTCATCTCCACTGTTATTAACCCCCAAAACAACTAGCAACCTGATTTTTATGTTATGTTTTATTTGCTTGCAAACGACGACGAGGAAAAGAAAATGAACAGAAGGAAGAGACGCGCCGGTGGTGCGCGTGGGGATGGAGAAGCAAATCCGGGGATGCTGTATAAATCCAGTTTTCTCTCTCCTTTTTCCTATTCAGCCACGCAGAGATGCGTGCGGACTAATGCCGCTTCTTTTCACGTGATTGGTTGCTCTTTTATTCACCAACACTCTGGCTCACCGATTGGCTGCCGTCTACGAACAGGGATAAACTCTGTTTTGCGTATTCCTTTTCTTAATTATTATTATCTTGTAATTAGTCAACCATTGACACTAATTATCCTAATAAAACAAAATTTGACCATCAACCTGACTCTTTGGATACCGAGCCATCCAAGAATCAATGCGATTACCAAAGAAACAGTTAACTCAGTCCAGGATTTCAGACGATAATTAAGGACCTAATATCAAATTAGGGATGTAGGGAAACGTGCTTTAGCTGCTCTCCTCTATTTCCCAATTATTTTTCCAAGATCGAGTCCCTACCAATTCGTCTAATACACCACAACTGTTTGAAACAAAAAAAGAATAACGATGACAGCAACAGTTTTAGAAAATTATATGTTCATCCAGATTCCCGAAGGAGCTAGCTAGCTGCTCATTCTCTGACACTAGTTCAACCGTGATTTTCCTCATAACATAAAACGAAAAAGAAGGAAGACGATTCAAAATAACGCAACAGAGTAACAACGATAACGAAGAACAGATCTGGCAATTCAAACGCGAAACCAGTACTAGCGTCTAGCAGACGTCTCCAAACAGTAAAAGCTCAAGCTAAACGAAAGAACCTCTCGCACGCAAGGAAACGAAATGGAAAGTGCAAAAGCAAAACAGTCGTGCAGGAAAAGGAAACAACACCGCTAATCAATCACACACTCTCGCAGGCCATAGTAATACACTGTATCAGCCTTCAATAATATATATAGGAAAACTACGACGGCGGGGGAAGAGGAGGAAGAAGTAGGTACGTACCAGATCAACGGCCTCGTTCTTAATCTCTTCGAGACTGATGCCTTTGTTAGCCGCCATTTCTACGCGGCCGGAGCTCGTCCGAGCACCGGGAAAACCCTAGCTAGCGAGAGATAGTCAGAGAGCGGCGCGATTACTGTAAGATCATAATAATAGATCCGAAGAACGGAGCAGAAGAAGAAACTCAGAAAAAAAGAAAGAGAACTGCGAGGAGAGCGGCGGTGGGTAGAGGGGAATTGCAGAGGGGGGCGAATTTTGAGTTTGTTAGCGGGGGTGCGAATTTATACCGAAAGTGTGGGTAGGTCCCACCCCGTGAAAATCGGCTTCCCTTCCTTCCGCGCTTTTCTCGGCCCAGAGCAGTATTGTTGTTGTTGTGCTGTTACGATATTTTAATTTTTTTATTAATATATTTTGACATTTTTTTTTTAGTCCGCGCCACGCGCCAGCGAGTGAAGGGAGCAGAGAGTTAGCGTTGCCGTTCCGCCGGGGGGATACGGTGGTGGTGAGGTGATGTGATGTCATCGCTTCCGGTGACTACACGTGTCCCCGCTCCGTTTCACATTTGGTTCGCTAACCCGAACCCGAAACCAAACCCTATCGTCCAGTTCTCCACTTCCACGAAGATTCGAGTTAAGTTAGGTTAATGTGAGTGATTACGGATTATGGAGGGTATAGTTTATGAAACTTCAGCGGGATATGAATTTTCTTTTTCTGTTTTCAGTTTCCAATTTGGACTGTGGAATTTGAAAGGGAAGAGAATCACAACTTTGGGGAAGTGCAAAATGGGATTGATTCCGAGAAAACAGAGCATATATTCTATAATTTCATTTCGCTATTTAGGAATTTGAAGATTTATTTCTTAAAAAAGTAATTAAGTGGTTAGTATGAAACGAAATCAATACTTATATGGTATCCGGTGAAATTAACCTTCACGATGTCGAGCTCCAGATGAAGTAACTTAATTAATCTCAATTTTGATTCATCATAGCCATTAGTCAAACCGTTGAAATCCAAATCATACAAAGAGAAAAGTTACAGGTCAATAATTCAATGTAAGAAAGTAGGTAAAAAAAGTCAAGAATATTAGTACAATATGGAGAAAGAGATCTCACTGTAGCCAAGTCAACATTAAGTTCTACCTATATAAACAAGTAGGGGTGTACATGGGTCGGGTGGTCCGGGTTTAACGATTTTAATCACCCGACCCATGCACTATGGTTTGAGAAATGTTAAATCCAAACCCACCCAAAAAATTTAAATCATACGGTTTGTTTCTAGTTGGGTTGGGTCGGGTTGGCAGTATTTTTAAGTAGAAACCCAACCCAGCATAAATCTAATTATTCTACACTATAAAAATTTCAAACGAATTAAACCGATGTGAAAGTTATCAAACCGTGATTTACTTCACCATATGTCTAGTATTTTTAAAAATTTAAATATTTAAAATGTGATTTACTTCAACAATATGTCTAGTTTTTCCACGACATTTGTTGAAATAGGCTAATAAAGTTATAAACGAATGCACACATAATATGTTATTCCATTAAAATTGTACACAAGAAAAATGATTACGTGAATCATAGCTATATTAAATTTATGTCTAAACTTTAAGCCGAAGAATATTTGCATTAGATTAGGGACACCGCGTGAGAGAAAAATATGGCGAAATATCTTAATTTTCTCGTAAGTATGGCTATGTACTACATAAATATTTTTTTGGATACGAACTCCTACCAATAGTTGGAATACGGGTTGGGTCGGGTTCTACCAGTTGTGTAATCCAAAATCCAAACCCAACCCAAAAGAGACGGGTTGTACAAAACAAAACCCTCACCCAACCAAAAACCTTCGTTTTAGCGATACATACAGGTGGATTGGGTCGGGTTGAACGGGTGTATTTGTTCACCCCGTATAAACAAGTCTATACAGTATGACAGCAAGACTCTCGTAATTTTTAGAGAATTAACAAATAATTAAATTTCAAATTATAACAAGTCGTATAACATTATCACGAACACTTTTTTTTTTCTATCTTAATTCTTAAACGTGATCTAGTTCCTGTGATCATGGCCATAGCCACCTACCCTGGTGCAACCCAATAAGAAATGTCGAATAACATTACGTGGAGTCACATAATTGGTTTACCAAAGGGAATCGCTTTTTGAAGAAGAAGAAAAAAAAGCCATAGATAGAGCTAATGTAACATTTATAGGTAGCATCTGTTCATTTTTTTTTATTTTTGGTTATTATGATCGAAATTGTTAAGAGCTTATCTGTTGACAAAAAAATTGGTAATCTTACAACGCAAGGGTTCCGGCTTGGGACAATTGACTTTACCGGGTTCCAGTTTATAATGTTATTTGGATCGATTAACCGATCGACCACCTCTGGTTGTACGTAATGTATATGTATATAATACATATGCATTCACGGTTGCAAGCAAAGGAGGAGGTAGGTTGAAGCTAAGAGGGCTATAGCTCCCCTCAAATATGAAACATAGGTAAAATTACATATAAAATTTCGTAACAAATTTAAAAACAGAGTAATCGGCAGTTAGACCGACCTTATCTCCCCTCTTCAAATTCACGGATCAAATCAACCACCTCAATTCAGATTCTTGAGTCCGTCACTCGCTATCGGCAAGCAGAGCTTTCCTTTCACATTCTCTACAAGAGAAAGACAGTTGGTTCTCCTTGTGAATATAGCCAGCCAGCCAGCCCGACATCTTCTTCTTCTCCTTTCCCTTTTCTTTATTGCCCTACAGACGTTGCAAGAATCACATTCATTTGATAGAACACACAAGGAGACCTAAAGAGAGGCAAACCAAAAAAAAAAAAAAAAAAGTGGCAAAAAGAGAGATAGAGAAGAATCCTGATGATGAGTACGTAGAAGAAGAGGACTCCATGGATGCCTATTCCTGTCTATCTGTAAATGTAGAAGAAGAAGTATTGGTACAACACGAAGACAACCTACCCGCAGCTTGATAATGAAGCATTAGACCATTCATCAAACATCACTACTTCAAATCTCATTTTCTTTTTCTTTTCTTTGTACTTGCTCGTTTAATTGTGTCCATTGGCTCATCATGCTTATGCACAAACATGAGCCATTTGATGCATGAGATAAAGATGGAAACTTTGTGGAGAAGTCAAAATAATTTTGACAACTCAATTTGGATTCACATGTGTTTTGGATGAAGTTCGTATATAGAGGCAATTCCAGTGTTTTCAGCCGTCTGACTAGGGGTGTTCAAACGGTGTGGTTACCATGGTAACTGTATTAACCAGTACTATTTGGATAATTTGGTTTGGTTTAGTTTGGTTAAAGTTTTTAGCTTGTTTGGTTTAGGTGGTTTGGTTTGGTTTCTGACACTCCTAACCAGCCAAACCAAATTAACCAGATAAATAATTAGTTATATATCTAATATATACACATACTTAATACTTTGAATAACCACTCAAGAGTTAAACGTTCATCCTTTTAGACTCATAAAATACAAAGCTTGATATTGTTCCTATAATGTATATTTGTATATGTAGAGTGTAGACCTCAACATATGACCGCCTAATTTAGATAAATCTCATACATTATGTTGGATGAAAAGTGAAAACTTGAAAGCAAGGTCCTTTTCATCCTATGAAAATTGCTAAAAGACTAAGTTGATTCAAACAAACACAACAATTCATTAATCCATACCATTGTGATAAATTTTTGTTGGTGAATACTTCTATATAGTAACCGTAAGATAATTGTCTTAGTTGATGTATTTATGTTAAGGGTCAACTATAACTATGTGTTGATTGTTATGTTTTATTCATTATATAAATTGTGAATTGATAAATTAACCGAAGTTTTTCTCACTTGATGATAATATGATTTTATATTGGTTGATCTTGTTAACCAATTAACCAAACCGATTAAACTTTAGTTTGGTTAATTTGGTTGTTGTATTAGTTTGGACGGTTTGGTTATGATATTGCATTCCATGGTTAATGAAATTTAGCCTTATTTGGTTTGGTAATAACCATGGTAACCATTTGAACACCCCTACATCTGACAATTCTCTTGTCTAAAAACGGTGTTTAGATGATTTTGTGGCGAAACCGTTGTAGAAAACTAAGACCCAAAAGTTTGTCCGTTGATGGACCCTTACCATTGGCATGAAAGTGATACATGCATAGTTTGATGTCATACAACACAATGCACCAAATTCATCTTGACATTTTGCATTTTTCTCTATAGAAAAAACGATGGTACAATTGAGATTAAGCAGAACTAAAAAAAAAAATGATGCTATGATATACTAGAATTCTCTCGGTTCGAAGTAACTAGAATCAGTGATGTCAGTAATGTATCTGTTGATTATATAATATCAAATCGGTTAGCTATCAACAACAACCATATTGTTATTGATATGGTTTTACCCTTTTCCAATGATTTTTTTTTTCCTTTTCTTTCTTCGCATGGGTATTTCTACTATACGGTTTTCACAATCAGTAGGGTTGAAAAGGATGCAAAAGGAAAATAGGAGAAATAATAGCATTATCACCATGGAGAAGAAGAACCTCACAAGATGCTTGCCTAGCCAGCTTTGCTTGCTTGTTTTCTTTCCATCCATGTGAAGCGCTCCACTTTTTTGCTTGATTGCCTAGTTTCTTTCCTTGTTGCCCTTCCCTTCCTCTGCCTCATCAGATGGTCTTTCGAACCAAACTATCGCTTTCTTTGCATACCATTCATCCAATTTGGCCTGCCTCCTCTTTTCGCCATCACCACCACTTTCTTCTGTGTGCTTCATGGCAATATCACACGCACAAAAGAACAATTACTAGACATTATCGTCATTGTTGACGAATGATTCGTATAAAACCATTATTCGAGGGTGCGTTTGTTTCAAGGATTTGCATCATGGATTTGGTACCAAAAAAATCAACAATCATGGATTTATACACAATCCGTTGTTTGCTTTGTCAAAAAATGTTTGGATAAATTTGTGGGCCCCACGGATTTGGAATTTTTTCCCCTCTCCAAATCCATGGCCCCCCACGGTTTTATAAATCCCACCTCATGCCCTGGGATTTGGAGACAAACTGAAAAATCATCAAATCCATGCGATAAAAAATAGTTCAACAAACAAAGGATTTCCTCAAATCCATAATGTCCAAAATCCCTAATAAATCACAAAGTTTTTAATTAGCAAATCCATGACAAAACCCTCGTTATAAGATTTTTAAAGCAAACGATCCCTGAATCTCTACCAACAATTTGAAGTATCGAAACTTATGTAAATGATTGTCCAATGATTTTGACGGTTTGTAATACCCACCCCCAGCCCTATCGCGAAGCTACAAATGCCCCCCTCCGGCTCTCTTGTGAAACCAATTATACTTGATAATTTCTTATCACCCTTATATAAGATTTATACCATGATTAACAGGATTAATAATCCCAAGTTATACTTCAAAACTCAAAGATTCGAAATTTGTACTGAAAAAATAGTATCACATCAGCATTTGAATCTCTATCAATAACTTGAATTATCCGGAGACATCATCGACATGTTTGTACAATCAAACCCAGCCCTATCGCGAAGTTGCAAGTGCAACCTTCCACTCTCTTGTGAAACCAATTATTTGGAAAAGCTTTGTACTATTAATTTAATTCATATGGCGAACAAACTTTATCATCAATAAACATGTGGTGCCATTCATTGCATAGTTCATATATTATCAACACACTTTTCTCTTTTGTTTTCTTAGGGTTCAACAGAATATAGATTGATTGGTGGTCTCCCTTTCCGTTCATCCCTATTCCTTTCTTCAAGCATACACCCAACCCAAACCCCTTTTTTCTTACCTTGCATATTGTTGATGCAAATACTTCAAATAATGTTCATCTATAAAATTTTATAGGCAACGAAAAAATTGAGGTGTTACAATATCTTTTGAAGCGCTCGAATCGAAATTTTCTTAAATTTGTTCTAGACTTTTGTTTTCCAAAACAAATCTAAAGAATATAGAACACTAATCAAGAAGACAGATTGCAACCAAATACGATAATCCGTATGCAACACATACTTGTTCCCGTTTTACGTGTTAGATTTTCTGGTGAGAGTTTATTATGGGGCTAATTGACCCAAGCAAGAAAGTTGGTAGGTTGATTTGACTCTAGTGAGAGTTCATGGCCTTTACTGACTAAAATAAGAAAGTTCAAGGGTTGATTGGTCGTTTTCAGCAATATTTATAGGGACAATGTCCTGCCGTTCATTGATCTAATGTCCTACAAACATTTGTAAAGGAGTCTACTCTTTTGTAGATCTAATGGCCTCCAAATGCTTACTTGCAGAACCAGTAGATGGCATCACACTAATTAGACAAGAAATAGGGGGCATGACAGGCTCCCATGATTCACCATTAACAAGCATTTCCAATGATCAAGCCAGTTCACAACCGAAGCAATTGATGAAGAAATGGAGCTGACAAAAAGAATTTACATAAGCCTGGTAAAGTTAGGAAAACTCAGCTATTTCTGTTTGCTATTCTTCTCACCTAACATGAAAGATAAGCAACACAAGATGTTGCACCAAAGTCACTCAGGTCTCCACCATTGGCTCCGGCTCCGATGTCACTGGAAGAGACCTACTCGACTGTCGCACCGAATTGAAAAGAATGTCCTTGATAACCTAGCACAGGTTCAAGGGAATTATTAAGCTTAAAGCAATTGTCAAGTGGTCAAAGTAAGCAGGGATGTCATACTGGGTGAGCCGGTAAGGGATGTCACCTGTGACATTAGACCATGGACCTGTTCCACAGTAATCTTCGCACTGTCTCTGGTGATTTTAGCAAGCTGTGATTCTTCCTGCAATTCACAAAATGAGGTTGTTCAGTAACCAGGTGAACTCCAAGGAGGCATGGACATGAACAAACATGGAGATATCCAGAGCCATAGGAATATTGTTTCAAAATCAGAAGGTTTGACGATTTGGAATAAGAGAGAGGGCAGTCACTTGTCACGCTGTACTTAATCAATAAATCAGACATGAAAACTTATATGTGATAAAGATATATATCATTCAAGTCAGCCCGCCACGTTCACCAGATGTTGGTTGTGACCACGAGAGCAAGTAAAAGAGAACACTCACTTCTTTCTTCCTTTGGGGAGGTGCGATCAAGGGTCCAAATCGAGAGTGAGCCAGCTGATTCTCTGCTTGCTCCAGCTTTTCAGCTGTGTGTATATTACAGAATGTATTAATACATAACAAGAGAATGTATTAATACATTACGGATTTTGACTTGGAAGTAGAGCTCAGTGAAATGCAACTAACAAAGTAACACATTACCTAAATCGGAAATCTGCCCAGCCACGTAGTCCCCATTGCCCAAGAGAGGTGAAGAAGAAAGTGTGTTCACCCAGTATTTATTCCACAGAAGATCCAAGAGGTGGGAATCGAGGGATGACTTGAAGTAAGTGATGTCAAGAGAATAATACTGCAGAAACATAATAACAGTAGCAATTAAGTTGCAATCCTACGAATCACCAAAAGATATAACAGTCTGAACCAAGATAACAACCTGCTTGCAATGGACACCAAAGTCCTCAATTTTGTTCAGAGGAATGGTCTGGTATTCGGAAACTGGATCATCTGGAGGCTTGTATCCCTCGGGATATGTCCTGAAGGCTCCGATTTCAACCTTCCCAGCCGACACCGTCCTAGTTGGATCAATGACAACAGCCAGAAAGGGCTCCTGAAACTGCTGGTTTAGCATCTGGGTTGACACATCGATACCAGAGAGCCAGCATCCATAACCAGGATGTGAATGATACCACCCCACAACATTCTCTAGCCGTCCAGCCTAAAAAAAATGGCACCCTTGTTACGAAGAGACTATCCATACATAGATATATAAACAAGTAGGAGCAACTGCATAATGTCTAATCGATAAGAACTACTTTACACAATGAACTTCTCTCATTCAACCTAATGCTACTGGGTTCGACAATAAAACTCCAACTATGAGACATAAACCCTAGCAGCAGTAACCTATACGCAAACAGAACCCAAATTGAACAAAAGAAAACAAGCAAAAAGGAAAAAAGAAAAGCCCTAACCTGCTTGTTAGTCTGGGAATAATCAACCATATACTCGTAGGCATCAGCCTGGGCATTAACCCTAGTCTCAGTCCCTTCAACAGGCAAAGCAAAGGCGTCCATAACGATAATGGCGTCGCCGTCAGTCTTCCCTTGCATAAGCCCCATGACCTCGATGGTGCCACCGGATCGAGCGTGGACGACCATCTTGAGGAGTGCGAGAGCGGAGATCTTCACGCGCCGGAAGTAGTGAGGATCGTTAGCCCAGGGCTTCTCCTGCTGGAACTTGGCCTGAGCCGCATCGTCGTAGTAGAAGATGGCATCGGAAGCTGCTGCGTCGGAGCTGGACGACGTCGCCGGAGTGTCGACGGAGACGATGTTGTTCTCGAGTTCCCACGTCTTCTGGGCGATTTGAGAGGAAGAAGAAGGGTAGGGATCCATGGCGTTGCTTCAGTGAAGTTTGCGGGTTGAAATCTACAAGTGAGGGTTTAAGAGGGAAGGGCAGAGTATATTGGGCTCAACTGACTGTGGGGCCCATACGGATGACAATGGACTATGAGTGAAGCCCGGCATTGGAACGGGCCCAGCCCAATTGGAACAACGATCTCTTTCGAGGTAAGCATTTACGCGCAAAGCCACCAAAGGACACGAGCCGCTTATCATTTTCTTTCGATTCCTTCACCACCGTTTCGAGAGCCGCCGCCCGCCAGTCCTATAAACTTTGCCGCCGGCGCCTTCCTTTTCCGATTTCCGATTTCTCCTCTTACATACCCTCTTCGTCTCTCACTTCTATCAATCTCGATCCCGCCGGTGAGTGCCAAAATGACGGGCCTGACCTGCAACTCTTGCAACAAAGAATTCAAAGACGATGCCGAGCAAAAGCTCCATTACAAGTCCGATTGGCATCGCTACAATCTCAAGCGCAAGGTTTCTTCTCTTTCTTACCTTTTTTTTCATCACCTTCGTCTCCAGAATAAGGCAATACATGTATGATTGCGGGTTATGCTTCGCTCGAATTAGGGTTCTTTCTCCTGCTCTTTGGATGTTGATTCTATGGTTTATTTTCGGAAAGGTGTAAGTAGGGTTCAGGGTTTCCTTTCCCGTTCGATTGCTGTGGTTTCATGCTTGTTTGTACCTTCTGCTCCGGAAAAAGATTTTACTTTGATCGTAAGTAGTTTGAATCACTGCTTTCTGGGAGAATTAGGCGTTTCCTTTTGTTTTGTAGTGAAGATGCAATCCTTGGACTTGGATTGCCTATGGAAGCTGTTGATAATGAATAATGATTTCATAGTTTTGCAATTTTCAGCGTTCATTTCATGTGTAATCTGACATGGGTTGCCTTCTTCGTGTTGTTCCCCTGGAAGCTATCAGGTGGCTGGGGTTCCAGGTGTCACGGAAGCATTATATGACGCTAGACAGTCAGCAATTGCTCAAGAGAAAGACAAGTCTCGGGAGACTCCAATGCTCTACACTTGCACACTCTGTGGCAAGGGTTATCGAAGCTTGAAATCCCACGAGCAACACCTTAAGTCGAGAGGCCACATCCTGAGGGCTGCTCAGGGGACAATGCTGGAGAAAGAGGAAACAATAATCAAGCCACGCCCTCAACGGGTAGTGAACAGGCCTCCGCAGAAAGAGGAGAGTGAAGAAAGTGATGATGATGATGATGATGAGTGGGAAGAGGTTGACCCAGATGAAGTATTGGTTGATGATGCCACCGAGTCGTTGACTGGCTTGAATGTGGACGGAGTAGGCGCCAGTAATGATATGGATGAAGATGACGAAGAAGAAGATGATTTGTATGATCCTTGTGTTTGCTTCATGTGTGATAAAGAGCATGACAATATAGAAGGCTGCATGGTGCACATGCATAAGCAGCATGGGTTCTTCATCCCCGATTTAGAGTATTTGAAGGATCCTAAGGGTTTCCTTACTTATCTTGGTCTCAAGGTAGCACTGTGTTCTGTTTGATTGATTTATGTATTTTTCTCCTCGTATCTTGTTTTGCTCAATCGATTCTGTTTCTTCCTTTTTTGTTTTCAGGTGACGAGGGATTTCATTTGTTTATACTGCAACGATCAACGTCAGCCATTTAACAGCATAGAAGCAGTTAGGAAGCACATGGAAGCAAAAAGTCACTGCAAAGTCCATTATGGTGATGGGGATGATGAAGAGGAAGTCGAGCTGGAAGAGTTTTATGATTATAGTAGCAGGTTTTGCTCTATGACATTCTTTCTTCCTCATGACCTTTTTGTTGGTTTGGCTATGATCGAAATGAAACTCTGCTAACTCTCTGCTACATCATTCGTGTAGTTACGTGGATGAGGATGGAAAACAGCTGGTTGCTTCGGGGGATATGGACAACACCCTGGATCTCGGGGGTAGTGGTTCGGAGCTGATTATCACTTCAAGGATCGATGGTAAAGTACTATCCAAAACACTTGGTTCCCGAGAATTCCTGCGCTACTACCGGCAAAAGCCGCGACCACCAGCAAGCGATGTTCCCATGACTGCCACCTTGGCTGCTAGGTTTGCATTCCCTCTGCTTAGAATTTTCTTAGGTAACACTCTGTGTCAATCTTCAACCATGGCATTCATTCCCTCTTATGGCCATTTCTTCCAGGTATAGGAGCATGGGATTGGCAACGGTCCAGTCGAAGGAGCAGTTTGTGAGGATGAAAGTGTTGAAGGCAATGAAGCGATCAGATGTCGAGGTGATGCGCACTAAGATTGGCCTGAAAAACAACGTTATAAGGAACCTGCCCAAGAATGTCCCATATTAGTCTTGCCGCACAAGAAATACAGCTTCAGCTACAGCTAATACTACTGGTTGATCTATATGTACTAAGATTGGCCTGAAAAACAACGTTATAAGGAACCTGCCCAAGAATGTCCCATATTAGTCTTGCCGCACAAGAAATACAGCTTCAGCTACAGCTAATACTACTGGTTGATCTATATGTACTGGTTTTATTGTGTCCTACTAAAACCCTAAACATCAGTAATGTTTCGGTACCAATGTTCTTTTAACATGAATTGGATTTGCCCTTGGTAAAGAGCCGGTGTGCTAGATTTTGTTTAATCGACAGTTAATTTCCCTAGCTGCTATTTCCGTTACATGGCCATGCTATGGCCATGTTATTGAGGCGAACGATGTTTCTATGACAACCAAGCATTGAGATCCTCGTTACTATTACGACCCTTTTTGGCCTGAAGAACTTGAGTTCAGATTGCAAAAATGCAAGCTTATAAGCCTACTGGGCAGAGTGGAAACATTGAATACAGGAGAAACTACAATTTTATACAAGTCAGTGTGTGACTTTCAAGCATATACTCAAACTGATAGCAGGAAAACAGACTATGAGTGGAAATGAAGGGGAAAAGAAACAAAAGAAGAAGAAAAAAATCTAATCACATGAAGCAAAACCCCATTCATCCTTCCAAAACCAAAAGTTCCACTGACAAACCACAACAGCAAGAAACGGGAAACAAATCTAGCCACCATCATATCCACATTACAACTACCTGAATCGTCCTAACGCCATATCTGGACCATTTCTTTAAACAGCAACCCAGCTAACTAAAGCAACAAAGATGCAGCACTGTAAGCAGCATTCTTTTTCCAAAAATGCTATCTGAACACTAACAGAACCAGCCGCACTTAACATTGTCATCCTTCTTTGACTTGTTTCAGTTTTGTCAGTGCACCGAGTCAGGCATCAGAGTGAGAGGTGAACTGAGGTGCCAAACAAGATGTATGGACCCAGTATAAGTGCCGTACCTACAAGCCTGCCATTATTCGTGCCTAGTTATCATAGAACCGAGAACGGCGCCTGCGAGAACTGTAAAACAAGAGCCACCAGTAGTAGATTGGTAAGTGAAAAGACTTACCAAGTCCATAATTTAAAAGTAATGCAGCTAATCAAGAATCACTTAATCCACATTCCGCAATATGAATTTTACTATTAACAATATAAGTGTGTTATGAGCCTGATTTGATCCTAACCTAATCGAAGAAAATATGGTCACAAGTTACAACTCTGCAACTTTAACCACCTAAAACCAAGATTAATAGCTTCACAATAAATAAACAATATCACTGTAAGCAGTGGGCATATAAAATAAAACTGACATCTAACAACACGGGCCGACCTGTTTACTCATTTTCTTTCTTTACATTTCTCCAGTAGATAGTCAGACCAGACCCTTATTGCCAGTGCATTTGGCTTAACACCTTCATTATCCATTTGTCATACTTTGGTACATCAAAATTCTCTAGCAGTTGAAAAAGACAATGCAAGAATAAACATTTTGACTACAGAAAAAAAAAAGTTTATCTGACCTGCGATGAATAGAATGGCCCCTGCTTGCACTTGGAAATTCATCATCCATCTCATCTAATCTATACTCTGCAAAGTCAACGGATGCAACAGAGCCCTCATCCGAGTTCGAAGTGTCATAACTCGATCGTCGGCTCCCCCTTCTGGTATCAGCTAGTCTCGCCCTTCTTCTATTCCTCGAGTTTCTAAAATTATCAAACACCTTATAGAAGATGCAGGAAGTCCACCAGTTACCTTCATCCACATGAAAGTCATCAAACTCATCTCCAGTATTGTCATCATTCCCGTACTCGATCACATAGTCTCCCAAAACCACTCCACGTGGCACTTCTGAATGTATTGTACTCAGAACATCTATTATCTCAGACGACTGCTGGAAATTCTCCCAGTCAAGCTGGCGTGCAGGGTCAATTTTAGAAGGACGAGCATGAGGATGCTCTAGTTTGGCATGCTGCTGAAGTTCCAAGTACGCACCTGTAAATCCACATCGGTGTTCTTCACAACACCGCTTCTTCTCATCCAAAAGCAACCGAGCTTCCTGAACGACAATCCAGCCAGTAACTTCCCCTCTACACAAGGGACAAGCCAGTTTGACATCTTCGTCTGCTTCCGATGATGGCTTGTCAGAGTCAGCCGAAGGAGGTGACATGCCGCATGCACTCTTGAAACGGTCCAAACAATTCGAATGCAAGTGGTCAGTGTCACATACAAAGGGCCTGCAACCCTTGTGGTACGACGAACATTGAAGGAGCACAGAGTTGTGCGGGAAATCCAAGCAAATTGGACAGACTACTTCTTCCCAGTCAGTATCTAACTCAATCTCTTCCATGTGAAAACTTTTAGCAGTGAACCCTTTGCGAAAATAGTGTTGAATTGCCATAGTGACAATCTACAAAGGGTATGGCCAGTATAGTCCCTCGTCTTCCACTTCTCACTTCAGATGTCACCCTGCTACTCAAAACTATGAGAATCCACCAAAAGGGTGCAACTAATCTGTCCCTTTAGATCAGGACGAAGCCAAGTATATCCCTGAACTTGGAGCAGACACCCATCAGCGGAGAACTGCAAGCACCAAATAAAAAAGATCACTTGTAGTTACAACAGATAAATATCCATTGGTCATAACCACAGGCTACGAAAACAAGTCAAGTGAAGATGTCAACAGCAATCAATCTATCCCAAGCGCAATCCAGACCCAGAGGCCAGAAGTTTGCCATCTCTTTGCAAGATCATTCATTTCCTGGCCACCCACTTACCGTACAGAAATTGAGGACAAATTGCTTATCAAGTTCCTAGCTTTAAGACGGAACTGTACTGGGGAAAAAACAAAGCATAAAACTGTGACTACAAAGAGGAATATGCCGTTTTACTTTTCTTTTTCCTTTTTTAAAGAGGGGTGTACCCAGGTAAGCCGTTTGAAAAGTATATACCCAATTGACAATCAACCGCCGTCCCCCAATTCCCAGCGAAATCAGAAGCAAAATCGAAGGAAGGTGATCGAAGATTCCGCCATAACCAAACCGAGTAAAGCAATCTCAGTCAATTAGAATGAAGGAGACGAGAGACCCAATCGGAGCAAGCACCAGCTCCATATCAGCAAAAAAAAAAAAAAACAAATGAAGAAAACGAACGAACTGGAAATTGAGTCTGCCGCGAGAAATCAAAGCAATCGAGGAAGGATAGAGAGAGAGAGAGAGAGAGTAGAAGGGAACTCGTACCTCTGTGATTGCAGTAGCTGGAGAAAGCAAGCAATCGGGGGGAAGGAGGGAAATCGGAAGCCGAGAAGAAGGGGAGAAGGATTCGGTATACGACGAGAGATGAGAAGGAAAAGGAAGGAGGACTTGTTCTTGAGCATACGCGCGTGGGGGTGCGTGAGGTGATGATGAGTTTTAACATCGGAGTAGTAGGTGAGTTAAAAAAGTTTGAGAGGCAATGAGGTAAATGGTTAAACCGGTTTAAATTGTTATGTGATCGGATTGGAGTACCATTTTATATATGTTGGTTTTAATAAAATTTGCTAGGAGAATGAAAAACTATTAATATTAAATGAATCATGAATTTATAATCTTTATGTTGAGGTGATTAGCCTGTAATTTACATCCATATTTAAATAAAATATCACATTACAAACAAAATGACAAATCGTCATATCTTAATTGAACATTTAACATCGATATTCAAACGATGTATTCGAATCCAACAAATTTTTTTTTCCTTCTGTCAATTGCATGAAAAAAACATCATTATTTTTGTTTAGACATAAAAAAAAAGAAGAAGATGATTTTGATCGGATCACGAATTCTTTCGATATTGACCAACTTTTAATAATGATTTTACAAATTTTTACTATCGACTTCATACCGATGATTTTCCCACGAATTTGTTCAATTGAGGTCAAAGATAATGTTCTTAAATTTTGTTTCCAAACGAATGATTTTAATTAAAATCTCTAATGATGAGAAATTGTGCCTAAATCTCCCGTTAGAACTCTAATCCAAACGACCCCTAAAAAACGAGTAGCACAAGAGATTTTCCCACTCCCTTCTCCTTTCTTTCAGTAGAGTGTAGCCCTCCTTCCTCCACTTTTCCCTTTTCCCCGTTTCCAATGTCCTTTCTTTTTCTTCTTTTAATGGTTGATTGATGACTTTATAGTTTATGCCCTTATTTTCCTAATTCCCTCTGTGCTTTGTTTTCTGAAATACATACAAATGTCAATTTGTTTGAATAGCTTCCTATGTCAAAGATAATGTACTTCAAATAAATTAATTTTTGTCGGGTATTTTCTAAGTTGAAGCTACAAGATCTTATTAGAAACTGAGCACCAGCTCGAGTTAATAATATGTATACCCTGATAACTTTTTTAGTGTAACGACAATGAATAATGTGATGAGTGATACAAAAATTGGTTTCTGCAAAAATATTAAAATCGAATTAATAATTTACTTTTTTTTTATCTTTGTCATATAAAAATACTTCTCCCGCAATCATTTTGAGGATAATATTCTCATTTCGGTTTTAAGATAATTGTGATTGTAATTGTACAGTTTTCTGTTTATAAGATTGTACAAAAATTTGTTCTTAGAGACCTAGTTCAATGCTTTCTTCGTTCATTTCTGCTTTCTCCAGATTCTCAACCGCTTTCCCCTTATATCAGCTACCTCCATTTTCTTTTGTCCTCAAAACCACTAATGCCCTGGCAATTATGAAGTTTCCCCCCTCTTTTTTTGCCTTTTAGAAAGAAAAGTCTACTCTAGTTTCTTCGTTTATATATATTTGCAACTTTTTACTAAAAGTGTCACTATTTCAAGAAATTACTTAACTTTGAATCATGGCAATTTGACCTCGTCCTATTGAGTATTATCTGACCCGAGCCTGGTAGGGGGCATGGGTACTACTTCCGACCTGCCCGCCCCATTTTGAACAGTGCTACCTTAATCTGTCTCAATACTTCTTTTATTTTGATTTATCTTAACTCATATTTTCACCCAATGATACTTTAAGTACGTATAAGACTTTATTTTTAACAAATTGGCCTCAATTTGTCTACCTTTTATCGCTATTTATTTAAGGAACTAATTTCTTTTTGTTTTATCACTAAAAGATAAACGTTTTTTTTCAAAGAATGGGTCCTGCCTCAACTCATGCATGCACGAGTATTACCCGACCTCACCCACACTTGGTGCGGGACAAATATGAACAATGAGGTATCCGCCCTGCTCTATTGTCATCACTTGATACAAGCAACATCACATCTTCCTAATTTGACTTGTGTTGGTGTTTGTGAAATCGTGTCTACGATTTAATTGAAAAAACATTCCGCGAAAGTCTAAAATAATTGATAATTTTTAGTGCGTATGAAACCATTGAAGCACCACGACTAAAACCTTTGATTTTTAGTGAACCAACTTAATCCATCATCTCATTCGAACTTGAGCACAATTCCACGCGCACTTGCCTAACGTGATTCCATTCAACTTCGTAGAAAGTCACTTGCTTCGCAGCCCAGACCCTCCACCACCACCCAGAAAAATGGAGAGTAGCCACTTACACAGTTACACTAATCGAGTAAACGAAGAAAGAAACAACAAACACTTTGAAAATCATACATACAGGACTCTACACAAAACGTGTGTAGACAACTACCCTCATTCCCTCTTGCAAGTTACCTACGTCAACTGTCCTCAAAAGTGTACACAGCTCAAAATTGCAGGTCCTCCTACTGGATTATCCGGGTGACGATGCCAATGGCAATGGTCCTCCCCATGGCTCTGAGGGACGCCCTCCCGAGGGCTCTGCAGTTGGAGTATTGTTCCACGCAGACCGGCTTATTCAAAACAACCTGCAAATACAGCAGATAAGGTCCAGTTCAGTTCACCACGACAAGCATTCGCCGAAGAAAGAGAGAGGCAAGTCATGGGTTTGTAAAGATTTTTTGTTTTGTTTCAGTTTCTATGTATCTAGAGTTTTCCCACCTCGAGCACTGCGCTTTGCTTGGAGAGAAGGCATCGGGGTGATCTCTTTGTCTCCTTCCCCGACTTCGGATCGAGTATCGATACTATTTTCGATACCTTTCCTGCCTCTTGTGCATGATGTATGTGAAACTCAACCTGCGCATTCAACACTAAGGATCGGAACTCGGAGATCGTGACAATTGGACAGCAGGAAAGCTTGGGAAGGATGAGCTAGTTATTTACCTGAGAGCCGTTGAGAATAGGGAGTGCTAGTTCTTCTAAAGCGCGTACTTTCAGCTCAAAATGCTTTGCAACAGCAACAGGATAGTCAGGGTGGCATACAACACCTCCAGGCACGACATTGTTACTCAGATCGAGTCCTTGGAGATTGAGAGTTACATTGTCTCCTGCTCTGGCAACAGTAGAGCTTTGAGAATCACGCTCTAGGGACTTTATTGTTCCCACTTCTCCAGAAGGCATCACCACCACCTACAATCCAGTGGAAGCAAAAATGTAGGTACATTAAAAATGCATTTAGCTTCTTAACAGACACAGATAGGCGCCCCACTAAATGGAAGATGAAAAAAATCGAATGCTTATGATGGTCATACAGACACACAGATATACATATTCTCCCTCAATCAAACTAAGAGTTTACCAATGAAATGTAATGGCCACAGCTTCATGAATTCGTAAGGGACAATAAAAAAAACAAACAGAATGAAAGGAAGCAGGGATTATGAATGTAGTGAGAGATAGAGTTGTGCACCTTCAATCCACTTCGAAGTGCTCCAGCAACTAATTTTCCGCAGACCGACACCTGACCTTGTGAAGATGATTTGGTTACATCACATATGGGCATCAGTAGCGGTTTGGCAAAATCTCTGGCTGGAGATTGCAAAGAATCAATTGCATCTAACAAATAAGGCCCTCTATACCTGAGATTCACACGGCTAATCAATAATCCTCAAGGCCAAGGTGGAACATCCATACATGATAATATAAAAAATAAAGTACAAGAGAGGAATGAAGTGGTTGTAGAAGGAAAAGAGAGAAACCCACCAAGATAATAAACGAGCATCAGAAGGAGCAGCCACTAGATTTTGGTTTTCTATAGCGCTCAAAGGAATCCAGAAAATACATGATTCCTTGAAGCCACAAGAACGAAAAAATGCACCAAGTTGTGTTACTATAAGATCAAATCGATTTTTTGAGTATCCCACAGCATCCATTTTGTTGACAGCAACTATAAGTTGTTCCACACCAAAGCTTCTAATCAGTAGGACATGCTCCCGTGTTTGCCCTTTGGAACCATCGAATCCAGCTTCAAAGGCACCATTAGATGCATCGATCACTAGAATAGCAGCATCCGCTTGTGTTGCACCAGATATCATGTTTGGAACAAAATCTTTATGACCAGGAGAATCCAGGATGACAACGTGATACATTTTGGAATCAAAATAGGCAACTGCCACGTTCATGGTAATTCCCCTTTCCCGCTCTTCAGTGCTCTCATCTAAAGCCCATGCATAAGCAAAGGAACTCTTTCCCTGCTCAAATAGAGGCCTTGTCAATCCCATAAATTAATGAGCTTGCTTAGGTATAAATGCAAATAAAAATATTATTCTAGATGCTATTACCTGTATCTTGGCTTCTTTTTCATATTTGTGCATTTCTTTTTTAGTGATTCTTCCCAAAAGATGCAGCAGTCTTCCTGACAATGTTGATTTTCCTGAATCAACATGACCAACCTGTAATGACCATTAAGAAACTGTCTTGATAAAAAAAATTCAGCAAAAGAGAAAGTAAAATCAATAGAAATTGAACCCACATAATGTTCCTTAGACTATATACACATAACCTACAATTGATTGGTTCCAAACGAGAGGAAAAAACTTACAATTGCAAGGTTTAATTGAGTTAATGTATCGTTAGCCTTGTCGGGAAGCATCCATTTATCAGGATGGTATTCTGCAATTGACTTGGCTTTTCTGGAATCAAGAGCATTGGAATTCCCGGGTTGGTCAGACAAGGATATCTTCCCGAAATTGCTGGTGGGAGCCGTTCGCTTTTGACCAATGAAGTCATCATCTGCATTTTTATGTTTTTCTTTAATCTTCAATGGGGTAGAGCTACCAGAAGCTTCATCACTACATTGACCACTGAGGACGCCCTTCTTCGAAGAATTGTGCCCCCCTAAACCACCATCACTTCCATGAAATGTTTCTGCAGGAGGACGATCTGAATATTTGGAATCTAATTTTCCAATGACTGCTATCTCAGTTGAATTGTTTGCATCCAGTTTACCTCGTTTCCCGTTTGATTTGGATGACTTTTCAGACCTCTGCGTGGTAGAATGTGCACTTTCTGCACCATTATGGTCTTCAGCTACAGTTGAAGGCTTTACATTACCTGCACAGACCTAAGCACTTCAGAAAAAAAAAAAGGACAAAAACATATGGGCATGCTTGTGTAAAGCATACCCATTTCACCCATTTACAAATGTGTACCAGTTGAAGCAAACGTCTGAATAATACCAACAATTTCCTAAATCAAGATAAGATGACCCATGCAGATACTAAATGGTTAACATCCAGACCACATAACAGCATTTATTGCTTCAAATATAAAAGCATACCTTTAGCAAGCAATTTTGAGGACTGTAACCCAATTGAAACCGTATCATCAGGAGATGGAGCATCAAACTTGAAAGCAGCTGCATGGACAATGCCAAGGAGGTCAGGTGTCGATAAATATAAAAGTTGGCAGGAACTACCACTAGCCATCTCATACAAATAACTGCTAAGCTTAAATGATTCTCAGGCAAAATAAAAGCAACACTCATTGCTCTAGAACAGTTCAGACCTATATTAACAATAGAATGGCTACAGAAACTACAAGCATTATTGAAAGCAAGGAAATTTCCTTGGGCATTTCCACATTTGTGAAAGTCATTCCTGCTTTTCATCACAAAGTCACCCTTCTGCAGTTGACCAACCCCGGCCTTCTGGGATGTCTGATGTGGCAATGATGCAAAAAGAGACTTTGCCAATAATGATACTCCAGAGAATTTTCCCTCACTGTCAGCTGCAACAAATACATCTAATCTATGATGGTATGATCAAGTCAAAAGGATTCCTAAATATCAAACTTAGCAATCCAAGTTTTGGCATATGCCTTAATGCCAAAAATAACATCATATATGGGCTTCAGTTTTCAAAAGCAATCAATCATCTGTTTGCACTCTTTATACCCTGATAGTTTGAAACTAGAGTTGGTTCAATAATGATGACAACAAGTTAAATAAGGAAGATCAGTTCCATAACAGGAAACCATAATTATAGCAGCAATATCAAACCCAAAAATCCAAAATATTAGTCAGCTTGCTATCTACATTCAAGAAAGACATAGATATGAGAATTTAAAAAACGAAAACCGAAGCAGGGGAAAATTGGTGGAAGATGCACCTGTTTTCTTATTGCTGTTCTTGAAATCACCAGCCACGGGGTTGCGAACAACACCACAAATATCACATGCAGACATGCTCTCTTCATTGTCATATGTACAAATAGAGCAGCTCCACAGCTTTTTAGTTTTTTGATGAGGCTCTTCTGCTTTTGCTATCACAAATACGAAGTCAGTCAATTAGATTACAATCTTTGTACAGCCGCAGCCCGACAACCGAAGTACCATTTTGAACAAGAAACAAACATTCAGAAGATTTGCTTTTACAATAAAACTTCTTGTGTATTGGTTTGAAAAATACACAGGCGGAGTTCCTAGGGTTTAGTGAGAAATTTTATTCCAGCAGCCCTGCTTAGATTGATTCCTGGTTGTAAATGTTGAAGGCTTTCATATACCTACCATGCTACCCCTATTGGATAAAAACTAACCTACAAATAACCCTGACGTGCAACCTATTAAAAGGTGATACTAGTACAATTTTGATACCATAAGATATAAATTGCTTGGAAAGAGCACCAATGGTGCAACCCGTTAAAAGGTGATACTAGTACGATTTTGGGACCATAAGAAAATAAATTTGTTGAGCAAGAGAAGCGATTATCACCAATAGTTAACCTTTGATAGCAGTGCATATATGCATACATTGTAAGTCCCACTTCCAAAAAGGTAATCACGAGGTCTTTCTATATCTGATCACTGTACCAGACACAAAAGATACTCCCTTGCATGTCTTCACACTTAATCCCTATAGTCAGTACCATTTATTTCCATCCCTACCAGAGGGAGACTTCTATGGATATGGTCACTAAAAATGCCAAGGAGAAGAATGAGTACATCAGGAGCATATCAGGCACCAATGGAAGAGGAATACCCGAGTTTCAATAAAAGGGTTGCAACAAATATGACTTGGGTACAACTACTTTACTAGCTGCATTTAAGAAGTTCCATCAAGAATGTACCATTCATAGTAGCTTGCAGATAATAACTCACAAGTTCCACCTTCAAAGTTGAAATGTATAAAGCTCCTACATACAAATGGAGCAACAAAACTCACCAGGACTTTCTACACTATAATCATAGTCATCTTCATAGTCATAATCTTCATAACTATCATAGTCTTCATCGATATCAACTCCGCGGTTAACTTTACGAGGCATGGCCCTGAAATACAAAAATGTAAGCCAAAGGCACAGCTCTATTAGAATGGTAAATGCATAACAATTTCATTCATTCGTCATAACCGACACATGCAAAGACAAGATGAGAAGAAGGGACATCAGCGAATCTCATACCCCAAAGGTTTTATTCAATCGCGGGGGAGAGAGCTTTAACGGCTGGACATACCCAGAACCAATCGGCGTAAAAAAGAAACCCCCTAAGTACTTGTTAACTCAATCCTCGTCGGTAGAAGGCCGACCGGAAGAATGTTGGTCCAAACACACGCTAGCCCCAATCTTCTATTTCAGAACAAACTTCAGTGACCCTCGAATTGGCGTGGTATCCACCAATTACTGCGTGAATTGCCGCTGGAATAATGAGAAACGAGAAAGATGGAAACAATGAGGGTATCAAATTGGATTAAACAAAACATTCAGTTCAATCTGGAAGGAACTGAAATCCCAATTCTAACAAAAGACTGACGAAGGCGCAAAAGGATTGAATGCAAGAATGAGAAGGTGCTTCCGCCATAAGAACGAAAGGAAAACCCCGACGAGGCGACAAAGATAAAGCAGCAGATGAACTGGAGAGGTAAGTGAACCCGCGGAATGCAATTGGATCGTAAAAAAAAAAAAAATTTAACCTTGGAGCGACGGGAGATGAAGTTGGGATGGGGAGAACTGAATTACTGAAAGCTCGAGCGGCGAAGAAGACAATGAACAGCGGCAACAAGGTTTCGACGAGGAGACGCCGCCGGAGGTCTTCTCTCGGAACTTCAGAATGCTGCGAGTGCGCTATGCGATCAGTGGCATTAGGATTTAGGCAAAGCCAAACGGTTAGTGAAGCAACCTCCCTCTCTGTCTCCTCAAATATCTTTTTTTTTGTTTGTTCTTCGAGTGTCTTCTGGATTATAAGTTCTTTATAATTTCTTACGGATCCCTACATTATTGATTTTAACTAGACCAACCCTCACATAATCAATTTTGAACAAATAAGTTGTAGAGTTGTAAATTTATCGGATAAATGCTACATTTGTTCACTGAAATTACTAAATCATGTCATGTTTAGTCATTAGAAAAAATTTATATCAATTTTGGTCACTTGAATTACTGAAACATACCACATTTAGTCACTCTCCCGTTAGTTTTCGCCTAACTCCGTTAATGAAGTTGGACGGAGGCTAATAGAGAGTGACTAACTGTGACATGTTTCAGTAATTCGAGTGACATTCATAAAAATAAAAAAGTAATTTGAATGACCGGAGTTGGACGGAGGCTAACGGAAGAGTGACTAAATGCGACCGATTTTCGTAGTTCGAGTGACCAAAATTGATATTAATTTTTTATAGTGACTAAACATGACACGATTTAGAAATCACAATGACCAAATGTGGCATTTACCCTAAATTTATGGGTTAATATATTTGTATGGCACCAACTTTGCATATAATAAATATTTTGGCCAATCTTTTTGATCTATAACATTATGACCCAAACTATACATTAAAGTTATGAAATTGGCCAAACTCGATATTTGAAAAAAAAAATGTAATAGGTGAAAAAATAATAAAAAAATTAAGTGAAAGGTGCAAACTTGGTAATGATGTGGTTTGTTGACCGTTAGTCAACGCATTTGACCGTTCAAAATAATGGTGAAACATTGGGTTTGACCTTAAACACAAGATCACCGTCATGGTCAGTAGAGTATCCGACATATCTGTCGTAGTCAAGAGCTCGATCACGATAGTTCCGCTGAAATCACGGCTCCCTGTCTCACACGTCCCGACCCGACCCGACCCAACAAAACCGATGGATGTGGAGGCTGTGGAGCTCATCTTGTCTGGATTTCGAAGAAAGGAAAACAATCCCATATCCAAACATCTTCGTCAAGGTCCGGCCCACTTCTACAGATTTTCTACCTGGGCCTTTTGGGGGACAAGCCCAGACCGCCAAACTGGCGGTACATCGAGAATCTGAAAAGTTTGGGCGGGAAAAAACAATTCACACTTAGATCTCGCGCGGGAAAATGACATCTCCCGCCCTAGAAAGGCTGAAAGAAGAATCCGATCTGACCCCATATTCTGCTATTCCGCTTTCCCTTAATCTCTCACCAAATCGGCAAATCCTCCCTCGACGATTCAGGGCTCTCTTAGGGTTTTCGAAAAATGTTCTCCAGCAGCCAATTCGACGGCGGTTTCATGGCCTCCCAGTCGACTCAGATGGGCGATGGCACCCCATCTGCCGCCAAAGTAAAGCCCTTTCTCAATCTCACTAGACCCTTCTCCTATTTTGTTAATCCATTTGATGCCCGCCCCAAATCTGTATACTCCCATCGAAGCTAATTGGACAAAGTTTTGTTATTGTGGCAGACTCGTGATTCTCATGGTTTGGTCCCCGCTACGGTGAAGATGATCAGCCAAGCTTCTCAGTCCGGCGACGAGAAGTCAAAATTCGCCATCAACGGGGTGGATGTAACCAATGTAATGATCTTAATTCGGTCATGTTGTGGTTTGGTTCAAATTTCTTTTTTTTTAATGAAGATTTTGAAGTTGTGTGATTGGTTTTTTGTTTCCTTCAAGGTTACTGTGGTTGGAATGGTGTCTGATATAGTGGAAAAGGTTACTGACATGGGATTCATAATAGATGATGGAACCGGCCGCATTGGTTGCAAGAGATGGTACTTATTCCTTTATTGTTTTCTTTTATCAATCAAATGGTTAATTGTTATGGTTGCTTTCCCACAACTTGGTATTGCTATATGCCCATCATTCATATTAGTATGATACTTTGAAGTTGAGCTTCAGCTTCAGCACAAACCCAGATGAATGTTAACAGCAATAAGCGGTTCTGCCTCTTTGTTCTGATATCTATAAATGCTTTGCTATTAGGGTTAGTGACGGATTTGACAAAATGGAAGCTGAAGCAATACAGTGAGTCTAACCAACCTCTTGTTGATCTTCCTTGCTTAGTATTAAGCACATATAATGTCAATATTGCAAATGGTGGTGACGAAATTTTGAACTGATCTTAATTTGGTTTTGCTGCAGGGATGGGAAGTATGTTCGTGTTAATGGTCACCTGAATTCCTATCAAGGAACAACTAATTTGGTTGCTTTCTCTGTAAGGTATGAATCGAGTTTCCCCTTCCCACGAACAAGCTCTTTAAGGACTGAAAGCTCAAGCAAACTAAACCATATTTAGTTCCAACCAATGTTTGCTCGCAACATAAGCTGTGGCTCTTCACTTTGTTCGTCCTTCTGTCATGAATGTGATTGTGATAGTTATCAATCATAAACCTATATCTGTAATGGAACCTAATCCAGCTAGGGATTGGTATGTTTGCAGGCCTGTGACTAACTTTGATGAGGTCACCTTCCACCATATTGACTGCATATATTCTTATCTGCAGAACACCAAAACAAAGGTAACTCCATAGTCACATGTTGAATTAATTCAACCTATATTTAAAAAATTTACGATGACTAAATTGGGTTACCTATCATTGTGCAATAACTGAAGCTGCCTCAGAAGGGAGAATCCTCTTTCAGTACCCCTGTGAAGACTGAACCAAATGGCTTCCAAACGTCTTCTATGGACCATGTATGAAATCCCATCCACTAACATGTTTGCTTTGTTTCTCACTACTCTCTTGTCCCCTTTACCGCTTGCCATAAATGTCTAACTGACACTTTTCCTTGCAGTTGTCGAAACAGTACAGTATCGACGGATTGAAGGACTGCGATCAGTTGGTCCTCGAGTGTCTGAAACAAAGCTCAGACATGTAAGTTTGTATTCCAAATACTCCCCCCACCATTCTGTACATTTACCTCAAGTTCTTAACCTCTTCTGAACTATGAGATTGGTAAATGTGCTCGAGTAACCAATGGTTTGACAACTTCCCAGGGGACAAGAGAAAGGGATGCACGTCGACGAAGTATGCAAACATCTGAAACTCCCACTGGAGAAGATCAAGTAAGTCACCTCATCCCCTACCAATACCATCTCCATTCTCCACCCTGTTTCTGCTCTCTCTAGCCAGAATGTAGCAACGGACATCTAGTGCGCCTAAACCATTCATTCAAATCATTTTGTTTTTGTTTTTGCAGGGAATCTGTTCGATCTCTTGAAGATGAAGGTCTGATATACTCAACGATCGACGAGTTCCACTACAAAGCTACCTGATCTTTCAGGACTCACAAGTGGCCTTATTATGCTTACTCTGATTATATAGTACCCTCTACACTCTTCTCAGATTCTATCCTTCTGGTATTTTATTTGGTAGTATGTGTAGTTAGCTATATTTCGTGCGCGGCAAGTGACAATCTAGGTTTTCTGCAAGTCAGTTATTATCTGTTAGAGCTTGGCATAGTAGCAGGCAACCTGCCTGTCTCCCCATTGTCGTCAACTGCTGAGCTTGGCATTGGCCATAGGTAAGCTTGCAGCTTGGGAAGTGATTGCAGACTTGCAGCTGGTGTTGGTTCACCCCCTTTCCATCTCAATATATTACATAGTGAATCAGTCATTTCGGGCCTAGAACCCACTACCTAGTTTCACGAAAGCCGTTGGGCCATTTTTGGAAGACCGGCCCATTTTCCTACAATCGGATCCAAGCCCAATGGATCAAACAGAAGTGATTCTCCTTCTCTGTCATTGTCCAGTATAACCGTTGTTCTTCATTCCAACGTGTCACTTCACTGCCCTTTTTCCACATATTTCACCATCCAAATAAACCAAATGATAATTAATTATTATAAGATAATGTGGATTTATTTAATCAATTAACAATTAAACAAAAGTAAAAAAAATAAAAAAAAAATGATTGTGGCTGCGGGAATCGCCAGCGTCTCACTCGAATTGGCAAGCTAGCTAAGCACAGCCAAGTAAAGGATACGCTCCCCCCCGGCCCCCTGGAATCTCGGATGTCGAGACACGTGGCATTGTGGGCCCCAGAAAGAAACAGAGTGGACACTCTTCACGTGACAGCCCACCACCTCCATCCTCCTCTGCTATCTTCTCACCAGGACACGGTGGATCGGCGGCTCTGCTGCTTGCTTAGTGGCCGTACTTTTTTTCCGGGGAAAGCGGTGGGTCCGGCGCCCACATGGCCGCAATCTGCAGATGCTCACGGATTGATGATGATTATCGAATGATTTGAGTAATTGTCAGCCGATAGCAACGTCGTCCCTCCCCGGAGTTTACTGTATCGCCGGCCGGCAGAGTCTTGACTGGAATCTGGGATGTCGACACGTGGCTTTATGGTGGGATGTCGACATGTGGCCGCTCTTCACGTGAACTGCCACACCCATTCACACGTTGGACAATCTCAGCCTTTTTTTATCAAATGATTATCAACCGAGAGGATCAGGACGGCCACACACAATTCCATCCCATGGATACGGGAAAAGAGATGATGAATTTGTGATGATGATTATCAAATGATTGCAAAAACTACCTTATCCGTTAATCATTCCCTCCAATCCGCAGCCATGCATCTTCCACAATGATTTCCCTCTCTCATAATAACGATAGGATGAGCTAGCTAGCTAGCTAGCCAGACAAAAGATCAATGTTAGTATATATTAGATTCATTATTGGACATCTCCTTAAAGACGCGCGCCACCAACTAGTCATTGATATAGCATCAGAATTTTTGTTTTAATGATTGAGATGTTTTATTGTTGAATCTTAGCTGCGATAGTGACTCCATCTGTTAAGCACGCACATGGTATATATTCTATTGCCTGTCCAAACTTAGTTTTCGTTTGAAGGAGCGCGTTAATAATTTAAGTTGTATATGATCCTTAATAATTGAATCTCTCTCGCGACGACTCGAATGATTGAAACCAACTGGGTACTCGCGACAGTCCGATGAGCGGGCAGACAGAGAAGCTAGAAAGAAAAAAAAAAATCAATCACTTCATTTCACTCATTACCGCAATTACATACTTCTGTATAAATAGTATAGTACAAGGAACACAAAATCTCCTGAAAGCAAAGCTGGCACACCTTATACATAAAAACTCCACTCTCCAAAACCAAAAAGCACAAAAAAAAAACCCCATTAATTCATGTATCACTAGCTAGTATATATATATATATATAACGAAGCAGAACGTCCTCCAGCTTCCAAGCAAATCAACCAAATTAAGCAACCGTACGTTGTAATTTGTAAATATATTGGAGGTTAGAGTAGAAGACACTCTATTATTTTTGCATGGATTATCCCATGCATGCATGCATGCTGAGCGTAACAATGATTCATATTAATTAATTAGTGGATGTCGCGGACGTGGAAGAGGTTAGGGTTCTTGACGACGATGTCGTACATGTAGACGGAGTTGAACCTGTGGAAGTCACGCGGCAGGGAGATGAGGTCGATGGAAGAGCTCTTGTGGAACTGCAGAAGGTCAGGGTCGCCGCCGTGGTACCTCTCCCACCCCAACCCTAAAAGGATGCGCTCCAGCGACGCGTAGGAGGTGACGGCCTGCCCGCTCGGCAGGTGCACCAGCACCTTCCTCCTGCTGCTGCTGATCTGCTGGCCGCCGTCGCCCGCCGCCGTCGTTTCGCCGCCGGGGTTCTCCACCAGGCGTATCACCCCGTTGTTCTTGAACACCCACACTCCCGACATGATATTGGTCTCTTGTGTGTTTTGGTTTGGTGAGACTGTGTATGTGTGTGATTGTATGTGGATGATGAAGAAGAAGAGGTTTTGTGGAGAAGTGTGGAGTGGGGAAAATGTTGATAGTGAAGAGGGATGAGGGGGGTGATATGAGGTTTATATAAGGGGAGGTGGAGAGGTAGATGAGACTATTGATTGATCATTGATGGCTTAATTGGGTTTGGATGGAATCTAGATATTGTGGGGCCTTTTGTGCCCTAAAGTTTTATGCCAATATTCTCTCTCTCTCTCCTTATGTCATTGTTCTATGTGGGTTATTATAAAAAAAAAAAAAAAAGACATCGGCTGTTCGACCGGTAAAAAAAGACATGTCGGAAGCAAAAATCGGTAGATGGGATTTAACAGTAGGAAACATTTCAATCGTGGTTAAACTACGGTTTCAGCATTAAATACCCTACACTTGCTTTTCCCGTACAACCAGATTTTTCAATCGTTGGTTATTATGATATGTAGCAACGATGGTGGTGGAATCGTATCAGAAGTTTGTATACCGATAAGTTAGCAGGTGATATTTTTGTGCCGATCGAATGTGTGGTTCGGCTATTTTGTACCACACTAAAAAACTGTCTGTCAATTTAGACTCCAATAATAAGAAATTTCGATCGAACGGACGAATACAATACGATTCCAGAAACACCGGTTTATGGATTGCTTTTTGGTGGGGGAGATTCTTGTGTAAGGGGGGAGTAAGGAGTGGCCGGGGAAGAATGAAATGCGATATAACAGATAATATTATTTTTGCAAATTCTGGTACCAAAAAAGAAGGTCAAAATCGAACAGCGACAGACGACGTCGTTTTCCGCCCACATTGTCTCACGAGCAGTCCACGTGAACTATGTGATGGGCCGGCCAATGAGAGACAACTTCGTGATTTCTCCTGTTGTTGGCAACATTCGACGAGTCAAGTCAAACCACGACTTCCATAAGTGTGATTGATCATATGATTAAGCACATGTCAATAAACTAACCACCACATTCACTAGCAAAATTGTAACGTAGGGATGACGACGTCTTTTTCTTAAAAGCAAAACAAGACGGCCGAAAGGTATAATAATAAACCGTTGTTGGTGTACAGATCACGTACAATTAGAATTTATGTTGATTTGGTTTCTATTATTATCGTCGTGTGGTTCAGGTTACAAGGTTTTAGGTCTTTTTTCTATATGTTCTTGTAATTTCTTTATTGGCGGGTTAGGGTACATACGGTGGTGGAATTTCATGTAATCAATGCACCTCGATCGACTTCAAGAAAACATATCTTGCTTGGTTCACAACTCTTGAAACACTACTCAAATGAGGATGTTCGATATATGCACCAAAGGAATTTTACTTAGTGTTACCTCTACTCCTATAACAGATTCTTTGAGAGCTCGGTAACTACCAATTATGAATACATATGAGACTTGTAGAAGATCTCTGGTGCTACAGGTATAAAATTACAGTTTAGAGAGAGATAAAGATAAAAACCTTGATGACGCTTTTTGTGGTAATTTGATTTTTCTGTTCTTCTAGAAGTTTGATTCAAGTTTTTTTCATGGAGAGCTCTCCAACCGATAGCTCTATCCTCTCCCACAAAATTAACTCCACGCAACACCCATGGATGCACTACAGGAAAAATGACATCTTGCAACTCCCACAAATGTGTTGCACAATGTCTTAAAATAGTTGTGAAATCCTAATGCAACACTTTTGGTAGGGTTGCATATAGTGGGGGTAGCAAAAGGAATAGCCAACTGTTTTTTCATCGTTCGCAACCAAAATAAAAAGGGTTGCGTATCTTTACCTTTTATGCAACACCACTTTCAACAACACATTTCAAAAAATTTGCAACACATTTTAGAAACATAGGCAACATTTTTTTATATTTTTTTGCAACATTTATATTTTATTCGTGATGAGTCTAACTCATCGCAAATGCCTAACTCAATTGTGACTATTCTGCACGTAACACATACTAATACTTGCATGACAGTGTTATCGTCAATAAAGATCCTTTTTGTGATGAGTTAGTGGCGACACGAAAACCACAACAGTGACATGTCTAATTGTCACAAATAATTGTCATGTGTGACCAAAGTTCTATCACTAATACACTTTTTGGAATCCAAGGTGTGATTATGGGGTCGCGTCACTGAAGTAACTATTTATGACGAATTCTATGGTCATGGATGCAACATTGTGTGACAAATTTATAATAAGAATCACATTAATACGCGTCACGAATTATTTCTTTTGTGACAATACACTTGTCACATAAATTAGAATCAACAAGGAAAATTGGTAATGAACGTACAATACAAATAAATATTTAGACAAAATTTACAGCGTTGACGAACAATATTGATCAAATAATTACAACCATCCATATATATTATTAAAAGAACACTCCTCCATGTGAGTCGACTTCTGAATTTGGTGAAAGAAGACTCCTCCTTGTACCTGAAAAATAAGGATAAATTCTATCACATTGTTATTCCTGATTTCTATATATATATATCCAACAAGTGACTTGAAGGCTCGTCTAATTTGATTTTGATTGAGCCTGGTTTGGTAGATATTATCCATAGTCTTTGGAAGGAAAATTGAAGAAAATACAGAAACTTAAAAACCCATTCAATATGATTGACTATTTAGATCTTATGGAGCAACTTACCTCAGATTCCGCCATCTCAACCAACCTGTCCAACCTCTTCACATATCGTTATTCACCCTTCAATCAATGAATTTTGATTGCTTATTCTCCCAGAATTGAATAATAACACTGAAAATCAAACAATATTAGCAAAAAGAGGCTAACAAGATTAATGAATACAATATGACGATCGAATGACTCTGTCGCATAGATTGGAGGGTGGGACTGAAGTGAAAGAGTTGCCTGAAGCATAAATCAGAAGATCAATGGGGGATGATGACGATTTCGCTTGCTAGGTGAACTGAATTTTTAGAGAAGAAGATGTATGAGAACTTCTATATATGTCTTCGAATCCAAGGAAAAAGTAAACTAGTGTTTGACATCACACCGTGAGAAGCAGAATACAAGCGGGCAGCGGCGCAGAAGTGAAACGATAAAAATAAAAACCCTAACGAACATGGAAAGTTGGGATATGGCAAGGGGACTTATTGGGGAATATATATTGAATATTTTATGGACTTACCTTCCCCGATATATCTCAGTGGAAGGGATTAGGCGGGGTTGTAAACCTCAAAATTTTGTTCCCCATATATTCTACCATTTGGAGCCTTTTTCTTATATAATACAAATCTATGGGGTTTTTTTTACCACTATTAAATCATTCAATTAAACGTGTGATGCTTCCTAATCTGTTCAAAGGAAATTTTGTTTGGAAAAAGTTTTTTGTCAATTAAACATATTCAACAGATAATTGTTAAAATTTAGAGAAGATTGGAGCAAATTAACTGGATGCAGGAAAAGTGGATGATGATAAACTTCGGAAAGAAACAAAGCAGCTGGGTAGAAAAAGTGGAACATCCACCACATGTTGGGTTCGAATCTTAAAACCAACAACTGACGGGAAAAAATAAAAGATTTGATCTGGAAAATATTAAACATGACACAATGAATACAAATAGGTTGAAAATTTTAACGAAGTTGATTGACAAATGTTTTTTTAATTGAGTTATCATTAGCCAGAAAACTAATGTGCAACACTATTAGGCAAAAAGTTGCTTAAAGTATATAAATTTGCAACATAATATCACTCGTGGTGCAAGTGTTGCGTAAGATATGCAAACGCAACTAACATTTGCAGTGTGTTGCGTAAACTACCTAATACGCAACTTAAAAAAAAGTGTTGCTATTATATATTTAACGCAACACTTTTAAATAGGGTTGCAATCCGAGTGTTGCAAGAAGTCATTTTTCCCGTAGTGATGGACGATTGAATGGTAATTACCACACATCTAACAAATCATTGACCGAGACAACATATCATGGAATTGGTAATCAGACAACTGGATGGTCACTATACAACAACATGCATGGTACCATGCATCTAGTAATTTGGGTGCGATGACCACGAGATGAGATGACATTGATCGTTTATAATTGGATGGTATATATTCATGATGTCAGATGACAGCACCCACTTAGAGTTTGGACGGTGTTCATGTAGAATGAGATGACACCATCTCTACTAAAGAGTTTGATGATATCCATTGTGTTGAATAGCAGTATCCACTTAGAGTCTTGGATGCCTACCATCTCTATTTCTCTTTATTCCGGTATTTATGATTCTCTACACGTTTCGATTACTCCGATAACAACGTCATTTATCAATTCATGATTAACCCTATGATGATATGATGATTAATTAACGATATTCTCCTATACTTTATGATCACATTCTATGAACAATCACAATCGTATATAATAATGTGGGCTGAATATCCCTTTTTCTTTCGGCCTTGCTGCCTGCCTGCTGCGAGCTCAAATATGTATGGATAAACGGCTGCAACTGCTCAATATTTCCACATGAGATCACATGGGCTTAGAATTTAGATGGTCCATTCCTCCGTTTCTACGTCCCATGCACACACAGTGAACTGCAGCCTCACAAAACTACGGATATATATTTTCCCTCCTTTTTTTCCCCTCGCAAGTTGGATAATGCTGCTAAAGAAGGAAGCAAGTTGCTCCATTAGCTCTGACCAGTTTAATTTTGAGAGGAACAGAGAGAGAGTTGAGAGGCTTTCTCGTATGACTGGAACCGTAGTTTTAGATCGAACTGTACAGTTTGGTTCAGATCGTAGTATGGTGGTCTCTCCCCTTCAATACGACTATGGATAGATTGAAGGGGACGGTGCATGCAGTCATTCTCCATTTCTCTTGCAAGAGCAAAGCCCAATATTCTTGTTTAAGGAAATTCCTATACTGTCCTTACCAAATCGGGTAACAATTTATAACCCAAAAAACTGAGCAAACAAAAGTTTTGAAGATACCAAAGAGGATACCCATTACAATAAAATAAAATAAAATAAAATAAAAAGACACCCTAATTATATTTGCCTCTGCCTATCGTCTCCAATGTTGCCCTACCACATATGCATATGATTATTCTCCTTTTAAAAAAGAAAGAAGAACAAAATTCTAAAAAAAGTGATATAACTCAAATTTCAGCCTTCGATTAGTGGGATTCTCTTGTTCATCGTGTCGTTTTCAGAAGCTGCAATTTATGTTCATTCAGATTGTTTATTGAGTAATGAGATTTTAAAAGTTGGCTATTTAGTTGAATGAGGAGAAACCTAAGTACGTATCCATACGTCGTTAACAATTAGATTCATAATCTTACGGCTATAAAAACACGTGGGATGTGGGTTTCCTAAAAAAAATTCTTTGACATAATATAGGTGGATAGAGAGGGGGGGGGGATAGATATGATATTGTGATGATTAATCTTATACGATCATTCTAAATTTAGTAAATTTATATGCATTCTACATCGATTTTAACAGTAGTGACACACAGTGATGGGGTTGTGGCAGGACGAGTTTTGGTATAACGGGGTCCATCGTATCACTAACTAATGAATGAGTATTGGTACAAAAATTAAGTTAAAGAACCCAACATTTAGATTAAGTGACAAATCATCCTCTACTTAGTTGGCAAGTAAAGTATCTCAACAAAATGTTGGTGCAAAATATTTAAGCGTAAGTACTTCTTTATTAGTGGCTCGATACTCAGTGGCGGGAATCATGCATGCGAAATGGCTTTCATTAATTAAAAAAAATAAAAACCTTAAACATCATTGCTGGGATCTATACCCAATTATACAGCTTTAATGGTTTACTATAGTTAATGGATGTTTCTTAATTAGAGGTGAATAAAGGGATCAACTTACCATTCCATGAAATGCAAGGGAATGATTAACGGCAATTGGCCCTTCTTGTTTATGGGGAATATATTTCCCCATTTTCAAAGTTAAAGTTTCTGCGTTTGATTACGTGTTCATTATAGCCTGGACAATTAATCATACCTTAATTGTAGACAGAACAAATCATAAAGATCAGCTACAGCTACGTTGGAATATAAGTAAAGCATATGTTTAAATAAGATTTAAATTGGCCATAATTTTGTTTGGAGAGGGAATCATTCTAAAATAAAGTGATAAGATATTACTTATTAGTAATAAACAATTTGGAAAACCAATCGAAACGAAAAGAAAAACACAAATCAAAGTACTGGAAGGCAGATAGATATAGTAAAAATGAATGATGAGCCATCCGAGGTGCATTTTCGGATGGGTTATTCTATACTTTAGATGTTAGATCGGACCGGTTCAATGTGAATTAAAAATTAATCGAGTTGCAAATTATTGAGATTACGAATCGTTAAATTATACCTGAATCGGGTTGATTCGATTATATGTCAGCACCCTAGCACCAGGGTTACTGGTTTGATCACCCGGTTTTCCAACCCGACTCCCGAGATATCATCTTCATTCCGGACCACAAACACTACACCATCTTGGGCTTTTTAGGTGAACAAAAAATGGCCCATCAGTTGAACTAAGGCCGGCCCACCAAATATCCGGCTGGCTCCCGCAATTGAAAGAAACTAAAAACCAGACCGCGTTCAACAGCCCAAATATGGCCCTCAATGCCAATCCTGAACCAATACGGATTGTGCTAACAACAAGAAGATTCCAACCGACCAACTAGCCGGACTCCGACGTGTCTATCCTCTTTTCCGGCCAACTTTTCTTTTTGTTCTAGTCTCCAACTTCCGACTCTCTCGCTTTTACTAACCAAAACAGGCTCCGACGTTCTGTGATCACCAAGACTACCAAAATTCAAAACTAACAGTCTCCTTTTCTAAAAACAGGGTCGGATTTGTTTGTATAAAATGGGTTCCCCAACCCTCTCCATCCTCATCATCAAGAGCCTTACTTGATCGATCTCTCTCCCATCTTCACCACTCCCAATCCCCACAGGAATAAAATTCCACAATAATAACCCTAAGCTAGAGCCATCAGGGGCAAACTCTTCTGTTTGTGTAGGAGACTAAATAAATCCCAAGGCATAGAAGGAAGAAAACAGAGCATGGAGACTCCCAATTGGCTCTTCTTCGCGGTGGTTTCCCTCTTAACCTTCTCCTCCCAAACCCAAAGGGCGTGCGCCGGCAACTTTAACATCACCGAGATACTCGACAATTACTCCGACTACAGCCAATTCAACGACCTCCTCTCCAGAACCCGCGTCGCCAACAGAATCAACGGGCAGGGCACCGTCACCGTCCTCGTCGTCAACAACGGGGCCGCCGGCTCCCTCTCCGGCCAGTCCAACGAGACGATCAAGGCAGTCTTGAAGTTGCACGTTATCCTCGACTTCCTCAACATGCAGAAGATCAAGAATCTAAAGCAGCGGTCGGCGACGTACACGAACATGTACCAGACCACCGGGGATGCCAACGCGTACCAAGGCATGACCAACATGACCAAAAACGTCGGCGACAGTAACGACCAAGTCATGTTCGGCAACGGGAGGCGGAACGCCAACCTCACCGTCTCGTTGCAGAAGGTGGTGTCGACGGTGGTGGCGCCGGGGGGCTGGGTTTCCGTCATTGAGGTCAGCGGCTTGATCGAGCCCGACTGGGTTTTCAACCTCAAGGCTTCCCCGCCGAAGAAGGCTCCGTCTCCTGGCCCTTCCGACGCGCCGGCGCCGTCGAGGAGGCACAGGAAGGAGGCTCCTGAGTCGGCGGAGTCGGCGGAAGATTACTCACCTCCCGAGCCTGATGCCGATGCTGAATCCTCCGATTCCCCGGCTCCCGCACCCGCACCTGGAGGCCCCAAATCTGCTGCAGCGTCTTCTCCTTCCGCGGTCCCAGCTGCTGCCTTCGCCGCCGTGCTCGTTGGATTGCTGGCCTTTAAACTCGGCTTCTGAAGCTTGCAGTGACGACGAAGAACATAGTGAAAAGGGTTGGTTGAAAAAATAGGGCTGGGCCGTTAAGCAAACTGCAACAATTTGATCTTACTAGAGTGATCGGCTTTCACTTTTCCTTCATTAGCATACACCGCAGCTTTTTATGCATTTTTATATCCATCCATTTATGTAAGCAGCAGTATTAGAGAAATAAACATTTGAAAAGGAAAAAAAAAAAACTTGCATCAAGAACTGCATAAATGGAAAAGCCAATTCAACACTAACAAACACATATAATTCAGCAGATGAAATGCAAATGCAGAAAGAGAGATTATGGGGACAATGAAGGAATTCTAGTTTTCATTAAAGTTGACAGCAGGTCAAGGTTAGGGCAGAGAGGAACTATGTAGCAGAGTTGCAACTACATAAATGCTTTGATCTCTGCCCAACCAGCAATCAGAATATAGAGCAACGACCGAATGAGGCCTCTGACGACGAATTCGTCCGAAATGAGCTGTGCCTGTGGTTAAGGCTCCGGCCCTGAACTTCTAAACCCAGCCGCAAGATGAAGTTCCAGAGCAACAAATCTAAAGCAATGTAGTCATATGTAGTACTAGGTACTGAAAAAATGTCTCTCTCAAGGACCAAACTATGTTAAAACCCTTTCTTTCCACTGCTCTCCCCCAAAATTTGATACCCACCCGAGCAGCAAACCAACCTACTCCACTGTACTTTGCTGTCAATTGAGCTTGCTAACGATGTCGGCCACGACTTGATCGAGGTTAAGCTCTTTCATTTGATTGAATGGGCGCTTCATACCCTGAAATAATAGAGAAGGTGACCAAAAAGTTAACAGGGAACACGTGAAAGGTAGAGCCACTGCAACGTGATGATGAACAATTGGAACGCGTAAATACCAGAAGACTGATGAAGACTTCCCCTCCTTCCTCGCGCACCTCAAAGCAACCCTTCCTACCCTGGTGATGAGAAATTGATCAAGAATTAGACATCAACTGAACGACAACTGTCAATCCCAAAACTATCTGTAACTTGCATAAAGGCAATGCAAGACATGTTGTGTAGTGATTCAACCCATTGTTGAGTTTTACACCAACATTTAGACTAACAGCAATGCAGGGACTGACTGGAAAGACATTCCAGTCACTGTATATTGTTACAGTAAAAGACATTCCAAACAATGTGTACATTTGCATTTGCAGTTTGAATGATGCAGTGGATGCAGTTTCTATTTGCACACAAGAAGGCATTCAGGGACGAAAGCTTCGAAGTTCACAAATCAGGAGAAAGGAAAAGAAAAAAACTAAAAGTCTGTCGACATACCGCCTTATAAGGATTGAGCAGCACAGTAATCCCAGGTACAGCTGCCTCCAAGCCAGCTTTCACCTGATCAGCACACTCCTTGAATGATTTGCACTGTTTGCTGCATGAATCAAGAAACAGTCACCATGTGTACCAAAGAAAGATTGCAAGAATTGAATGAACACAACAGAAAGTTGTTGAATCAGACAACAACAATTTAATCAATGTTTCCTCCCAATTTCCCCAACAGACTGACAATTGGGTTTTCGCTTTCTTCCATATGTCTCCAGCTGTTTAGTTGAAGCTGAAGAATGCACTAATTGCAATGTTCATGCCTTATACAACATCATCCACTTCCATGAATGTCATTTTCCATCAAATTTTCCACAGCTCCTCAAAATAATGAACCTTCTACTACCTAAACTATGACGCAAAAAGACATTAGCAGATGCAGTTTGCAGGGCAAGTAGAGCACATCACCATGCAAAGAGGCCTGTAACCATCATCTTCCATTACTTTCCAGATAGAAAGATGAAAAGAAGATATGATTCAGCAATAATGGAAGAATGAGTTCAGATGGGGGATAAACTTTCTCTTGACTCATGAGCTTCACTTATTTTCCACCCCTGGTCGAGAATAAAAATAGAATTCTCAAAACTTCCATTTCTTTTACACCATTACTTTGATCAGGACCAAACGTAATTTAGTGAGTAGGCAAACTTAGGCTCAAATCTTACGACAATTCTATGGTCAGGGCCAACACAAAACCTGTGAACCCTTCATCGATGGAATCTTCTTCAGAGCTACATCATAACTGTATGACCACACACGAAACCCTAATCTGCAGGCAACGATGGAAATCAATGCCGCCCCTGAAGCGAATCTGTAATTGTTATTCCCAGATTTGACGTTTCACTTTGCGCTTCTTTAGGTCGCTATCAACGATGGAAATCAATGGAAGCCAAACGAATGTACTAAATCTTCCAGTCCAGAATTCGTTGCTACTAGCGAAGCGTAGCTTGACAGCGCTCATAAACAAGAACTAAAACAGGGAAATCTTGAAGTATCTGTACCCTAACTTTCTCAGAAGCCAAACAGTCCTCAAACGAGACGCAGGAAAGTTTTCGGGAACAAGATAGCGAGAGCTAGCAGGAACGAAATCCTCCAAACAGGAAACTAGCTGTTAATTAGCAACGAATCAAGACCTAAATACGCATTCAAGAGCTACGACCTATAACAGATAAATCTCGAAAATCCTGTACTCAGCTTTCTCAGAAGCCAAACAGACCACACACGAGACGCAGAAGATGAAAGAAAAAGAAAATGAGAGAGAGAGAGAGAGAGAGAGATCACCAGTGTTCGATGATCAGAGTCTTCCCTGCGGCACCGCCATCGTCGTCCTGCTCAGGCGCTTCTTCTCCCGCTCCATCTTTCTCGGCCTCGCCACCGTCATCCTCAGCTTCTCCTCCGTCGCTGTTGTCCTCCGCAACCGCTTTCCCCTTGTCATTCTTTCTCTTCTCGGCGTCGTCCTCCGGCTTAGCAACTTCTTCAGAACCTCCCGCCTGCTGAGATCCCCCAGCGCCACCGTCATCCGCCGGCTTCTCCTCCGCTTGCTCCGGGACTGCAGGCGGTTCTGGCACCTCCTCCTCAGGCTTCACTTCCTGCTCCTTCTTCGGAGTCGGAGTTCTCGCCTTCTTCTTCTTAGGCGAAGCCTCGCTGCCGAGGGCCGGGGTTAGCTTCACATTCTTGCTACGGGTCGCCCTTGCCGGAGTCACCGAGGCGCTGCGGGTCACCCGCTTATCTCCGACGGCCGCCGGACTCTTCTTCGGACCCGGACTCTTCTTCGGACCCATTGACAGCGGCAGAAAGGACAAAGCCTAGCAGAGGAACGCTCTCTTTCTTTGTTTCTTGGCTTGCTCTCTCTCTTCGTTCTCAGCCTAGCTTCTGTTGTACTCTAATTTTCTCTTTCCAGAATCGCTTTCTAATTTGTTGTTTATATGGTGTTTATTGCAGTGCTGCTGCTTCTGCAGTAGCAGCTCCTAGCTAGCGAAAAAAAAGGAGAAATTTACAGCTACTCGGGCTGGGTGACGTTTTGCGTGACAGATTCTTACAGTCTCTTCGTTTTCCCGCGCTTTTGTTATGGTTGATTTTGAACGAACGGCTGGTATCATATACAATCTGGGAGGTTTTGATCTGATGGCTAGGACTCCACCACGTGTAAAGGCGAGAGGTTTAGGATCTATCCTCTCCACCAAAATAGCTGGGAAAAAAGAGTGAGTGATGAAAAATATTTTTATTTTATTTTTATTTTCTGAGGGAGAAATGTGTCTCTTTCGATTTACCTAGTGAGATTATTAGTTTATTACAATAAAATTGATAGGAAACAATCATTTTGGACGAGTAATGTGTGTACAATGTAATAAATTAGTTCCAATTCCAAATGTTTTTGGTTATTAGCAAAAACCATTTTAACATAACATCATCAACTACTTTTAGTTATGTGATTAGATCATTAAGAAAATTTGAACAATCCATAAATCAACCTCATTCGAGTTCCAATAAATTAGACTACCATAAATATAGAGGTTACTAGGGGTGATGTATATAGTTTTTGATCAACGGGGTCATTTTGTAATTGGAAAACAAGAAAAATACGGGTGTACTAGACCACATTTCTGTTTCATCAAATTCACACTTAATACGAGCCATTTCGTGGTTCTCTTATTGCTCTCTCGTCCCCAAAATCTCCACCCGATGTGTTCCTCTACCTCAACCCTTTCTCTAGTTTTTAAGCAACAATCTCTCTGTTCTAGATCACTCAATTCTTCCCTGTTTAATGAATGTGTGAGAGTCTACAGTACGTCTCAAGTAGAGCAAGCCTTATATCGTGTTCAATCATCATTTCTATCCCTCACCGAAAAGCTATCGCTTCTCCCATTGGACTCTGTCACTTTGAAACTACTTTATCTCAGTTCATATAATTTGTATATAGCAACACATCTATTTGAGAAATTTATTCTACTTGGGGTAATACATGATCAAACTAGTGTTTCTTAATCACACCATTGTCCAAAAAGCCAATATGACTTGAAATTGTATATTTACTTTGCTAATTAATCAACTAACTAAATCTATTTCTCCCGTGCCTAACTCCTTTATTCGTTTCGCTTCTGGTGTGCATTTGTATCACCCTTAAATTTTTCGGTAAACTCTAATTGTTTGTACATTATGGAGAAGCTATTCAAAATCTTGAAAAAGGGTTGGGATCACTATAAAAGAATAATAACTTACTACTTTCCAGCCAATTAAGAGTGATGGAAAGACATGTGTGAGTCTAATTTGTTGTATAATTCGAAAAATGGTACAACAATTTGTCGAGAGTGTTCGGGTAAAACTTTCTGGCAAATAAATAACAAGGCCGCTTCACTCCATTCCAGAAGCAAGGTCTCCATGTCGTCACTTTCTGTTCATAGTTGCCAAAACGTCAATCATCAACACCATTGACCAAAACTCAAAGAAAGAAAAACACGAAATGCACGTACCTTTCCTTCACTCGTGACATGTATGGCCTCGTCGACAGTCTGACAAGCAACAACAAAAGAAGTAAATAAAGTAACTTCGCAACTACATAAGATAATAAAAAAAAATTTCTATTGTATGGACGATCAGTGCGTGCTGACATCATTGGATCGCCCTCTTGTATATTTCAGACATTGAAACACACTATGATGTAACGATTCAATGACTGTGAAAACGTACTGATCGCCTCATTATCATCAACATTCTAACCCAATCGAAAGAGATGCACTAATAACAGAGTATTAAGGTTGTGGACATTACAGTAAGGTTCTTGAGGAGCTCATAAGTGATATCAGAAGCTCTGTAAGATCTTGGATGCCACTTTCCCTCGGACCAGTCAACATGTGTAACCGATCGCTTTGCGATCCCATCAGGATCAATCATCTACTCAAAAGACCAAGAATCCATGGTTACTCACAGTAGATTGAAGTAAGATGAACTATGATAATGACAGCATTCAGTATGCTCACAGTGAAAAATGTTTGCAGGTAATGTTCATCAGAGTAGCAATTCTTCCCATCCATATTCGGCTGCAAAAAGGGTACAAGAATCAGAACCAGTTAATCAATCCCCTTTCTCAAGATAAATCTTCCAGATTTTGATCATATGGTTCATGTTAGAGGGTGTAACTTACTCTGCAGTAGAGCCTGAACTTTCTGTAGTACAAGCTATCTGCCATGACTATGATAGCATGCTGTCGCTTCATCGAGAACCACTGCAATCCGAGTTTTTTTTTACAGTTTGGTAACAGTAAAAGAAAAGAAACAGTAATAATGAACTGTGGTTTAATTTATTTACCTGAGCACCCTTTCGGAAATCAGAGTATCGAACTTCCGGCATCATGCGGTCCGAGTATCTGCCGTTGCCATGCGGACCCGGATCCACGTAACTGAAGAGAAAAAACGAAACAAATCGATCCATTGTTGAACCTCTGCCAACAACTTGATCTACTAGAATGCACTGGTTTTTTTCGGTATAAAATCGGAGCGAATAATACACATGAATGGACATGATAAGTTACCTGTCGATGTAGCTGACGTTAGTGAACATCAGGTAGTGATACACATAGTTGAAGGTGCGGAGTGGCACGCAGCTGCATAAGGAGATTAGCAGCAAGATTAGACAATGTAATTAGTTTGGTATAACCCTGTGGTGGTAACATTAGTAACACACACAAAGACGGTAATTAAAAAGTTTAACCTGTCAGAGAGCAAGACAAACTGGTGGTTATCTGGATCCAAAAGTGCATTGGCTAGTAGTCTCCTCTCTGCATCAACCATGGAGATTTTCCCCCACTCTACCTGTTACATAAAAGCCAGATAGATACATAAACTGATAGTTCAGGTGGTTGAGTGGCTCTTTAACATTTTGCTAGTGTTTTGATAAGTAGTATACGCTAACTTCTCTTAACAATTCGGGTTCAACTGGTACATGAATTGGTATTGGAACTATGAGTTCTTCTATTCAAATTCACATGACCCGAGTTGTTAAGCACATGATATTCTGATATCTTTCGAACTTTCCAAACCCTTTCAAATTGGTTTTCATAAAAGGGGATGTGTTAGTAAGTGGTATATGAATGATAAGATCAACATTTTACAACAACTAGAGTTATCAGGAGACCAGCTGGTTCTTGACATGGTGAGCAATGCTTCAAGAGGCTGATGATACACACCTTTTCACTGCGGATCTCTCGGCCGACGAAGTAACGGCTGCTATGGATTGGCTTGTCTCTGGAAGAATGTATGTAAACGGTGAATTTGTCTTCATGACCCTACCACCACCAGTAGATCCAAAATGTACAACGTGTCGTAAACCAGCTCGAATACCATGTCACAAACCATTCCGTCTCAATAACTCGAACTGTTGGCAGAGAGAATCAAACAATAATATCACTTACTACTCAGATACCTGAAAGAATCTCTCCCAGAGCATCTCGAACGGGAGTGAGGAAGGAGTCAGGAACATGAAGGCAATCTTGGGCGACTTGGAGAGCGGCGGCGGCGTGCTGAGGATCTCGCGGATCACGACGTGAGACGACGTCTCCTCGTCGGTGAACACTTTGGCCGGAACGACTCTGTCTCCGTCGTAAGTGGTGGTGCACCCGCCCGGAGCGAAAACAGAGCAAGGAGCGGCGGAGACCGTGCTTCTCGGCTGGTAGAGGTAGTAGGCGCTGATGAGGAAGACGGCGGCGAGGGAAACGAAGAGTAGGATCCACTTTGGTGTCCGTTTCACGTGTGCTCTTTGCCTGGAGGTGGCCGGCGGCATTATTAGGTAATCCCTCGTCCCCGTCCACCATGATCGACTTGTCTTCATTTTATTCGTTAAGTGAAGTGCAATGGATGGTTAAGATGTTGGATGATCGTTCACTTGGACATCTTCTGGATTTTGATTGTACACCTCTGACACTTCAGTTTCGGACTCCGTTGGCGCCAATAAGTCGAATGACCACTAGCGAAGAAGAATCATTGCACATATATAATTATCGACGACGACGAACGTAATAATAATATTATGAATACATACTTCGGAAGAAAAAAAAAATCTAGTTAAATCAGAAACTTCATTTTACTAACGATTGTTGACTGTGAAATGTGAACTTATGACATAGTAGTTCTCATAATTTTTTTAGGGATGATGTTAATCCAAATATTTAAATTTGAGGTTGGAATTTTTTTTTTCCGCTACGCGTTTTGAATACCCGTAGCCAAGGGCCAGGTATTCATAGATCAACAATGAAAAGTGGAAAAAATCCAGTTTTTCTGTTCCGGGTGCCAATTTTTGACATAGGTGATTGACAATCTAGTTTCGATTCATTTTTTCGAGTGTTAAGGATGCAACTAAGAATTAGTTGCGTTAATGAACGTGTTACACTCTTATCATTAACAGTGATGCCACTTGAGAACGGAAAGCTCCATTTCCACAGATTGACACCAAATCAGGGAAGTTCAAGAAAATATCACAAATTTGTGGATTGAACAATGAAACATGCGTAAGAAAGGACTGAAAACCTAGGGGGAAAGGACAAATAATGGGATCAAGATTCAAAGAAAACGACAATGGCGAGATCGGAAAGTACCTGGAAATTACGAGAATAAAATTGCAGTAGATGTCGATCTGCAGGGCAGAGAAGAAGGAGGACGAGGAGAAATGAAATCCGAAGCATAAGCTGCAAGAGATTTCAAATTTTTTTTTGTAATTATGAAGTGGAATTTGGTAATCGAGAGAGACAATAATAATTTGATCTCCAGCTGTTTGTAATAATTAATCACTGTCTGGATCCCTTCATTACTTGTGAATTGTAATTTAAATATGGTTGACAACAACTACAACATATATTAATTATTATTTATAAAAAAAACATATATAAATTTTAACATTTTGACAAATAATCAAAAAATAAATCATTTTCACGACGAATTTATTTTTTTAAAAGTCAATGAACTACCAGAAACACGTAAGCAACTAAGCATGTAGACTATTCATCAGTATGTAAAAACAACTTAAGACTACGGTTCTATTAATTAACTTTTTTTTTTTCTTCTTCTGTTGGGATAAATAAATGTGCTAAATATCTTATTTTATGATGGCATAATTTTTTTTATATATAAAATATGCATATTTGATACATATCTCTTTCTGGCCCAAAAAAATACATGAACTGCCACAGATTTGAGTGCTAAATGAGTGTAACATAACGTAATTTTATACTACATCGTTGTCCGATCAACTCAAGAACGACGGAGGACGAAGAAGGAAACATTGCAGATAATAAACAACAAGAAAATCATAATATCTTTTCCGCCCACTAACGTACCCAGATGAGCGGGCCGGCCGGCGGCAGAGTTCGGCCTACGGAAGATTCCCCTGCCGCCGCCTCCGCCGCTTCATATCGACTCCGACGACCAGAAGAGAAGGGAAGCCCAAGTTGGCGGCTTGAATCTGCAGCTCGCTGGTGAACTAATCAAACCCCAATTAAGAGAAATTTATTGAGCCAAAATCTAGTACTGGAGCGGAACACAGACAGAAAGAGAGAGAGAGAATTGGAACTTTTCTAATGCGGAAAAATCAAAGAACAATAATAATAGAGGCTTTTGGAGTTTAGGGGACGGCGCTACTGGAGACGCAAACACACGACAGCTAACCGAGGACGTTTCTAGTTATTCCGATAGCACCAACCCGGGATGGGATTAGGTGCTAATCCTTATAAGGGTTAGCACCGTGATAACTAGCAAAAATCACTACGGATTATTATAAAATCACTACAATATCTAAGTTAAATCACTACTAATTCAAACTAGTAGTAGTTTTTCCCTTGGTTAGGACGGTGCTAACTATTGTACAATTAGCACCGTAGCCGTTCCCCACCAACCCCAAAACAAAGACACAACGGTCCGATAGGAACAGGGATGAGAAATCGACCTAATATAGATCGCAAAAATAAAGGAGACGAGATTTACGTAGTATCCCCAACGGTGTGTCGGGACTAGTCCACGGGATAGAGTTATTGAGAGAAGGTTATGTTTGATATTATACAGGTCTGTATATGGTACTTAACCACTTCTTTGCAAGATACGACACCAGCAATAAGTCTAATTTCTCGGAGCGAGAGAGAAAAAAAAAAGCGACTCCTTTAACGAGCATCCAATATACGAGGAGGAAGCCATGATAACTAAACTTCCACAATGGAGAAGAAGTTAAATCTTACAGCCCGCTTACCGGGTAGATCTCATCTCCTCTACAAATTCGCCCAAAATGATGGTAAGGAACATAATAATCCGTTGTTCTCAATAATCGAGTTGTTGGAAATAGGGACGGAGGGAGATCAGTGTAAGAGGGTGGGTTCCGAGCAGCATTCTGGTTCGAGAGAAAAAAATGATTAAATTAGGTATAATAGATGACTAATACTGAAAATTTCAGGACGCGTCTAATTGAGAATAGTTGATTGAAAGGTATTAAAGCAGAAGACTAACTGAATTATGAATAATTGTTTGGTATAAGATTCATTTTTAAATCTCTCCCATCACCTCGAATTGTTGATACTAAACATTTCTTTACAAATAACACCATTCAAAATTGAACGATTAATTGATTCATGAATAATTTTTTGGTACACAGAAATTGATATACTTAATAATTTATACTTTATTTGACGTACCAAAAATTTCAAAAAATAAGATTATATTATGATTGATTTAAAAAACTAACAAAAAATTAATATATATATATATATATATATATTTTTCTAAATGAGTTCACCTTAGATAAAATGGTGACTAGGACCGGTTCGATCTAAAAGAAGCACTCCAATATCCCAAAGACTCAAATAGGAATGGCAATGGGCAGCTCCGGGGCGGGTTTCTTGGTACCCAGACCCGCCCCATAGCAGGTCGGGTTCAGGTCGGGTAATTTATCATGGGTCGCGGGTCGGGGCATGTTGACCCAATGAGTATACAATTTATATGAAAAAAATTAGAAATATTCGTTATTTTTATTATAAGGTCAATAAAACAAATAATATTATGATAAATTTTGTTAAATTATTGGAGAAATTGAGGGTTTCACTAATTTACAACTTTATTATAGCTAAAATATGATGTAATAAAAGGAAAATCCTAAGTAATTTGACTAAGATTACATGTAATTTAGGCAAGAACGGGTCAAGAATGGGGCGGGTCAGGGGGCTTAGGATAGGGTGAGTAACCCTTTGTTACTCACCCGTGAGTAACCACCTAGGAACCGTTGATCTGGGGCGGACGGATCGTGTGGCTGTCATTGAAGCGGGATGGTCAGGGGCATTTTTGTCCGTTATTTGAATTAATGAGTTTCCCCTTTTGTCCGTTGCGAATCTTTCTGTGTGCGAGTTGGATTTGGATTTTGGAGAGTCTCAACTACGAGCAGGGGAGCAGCAGCTGAGAAACAAGGACGGCGATTCTCCATGGTTGATCGACGGCGATAGAAACTGCGAGCAGCAGCTTCGAATCGAGCTTTCTGATTCTCGGTCTCCATAATTGATCGACGTGTGCGCGAGTTGGATTCGGATTTTGGAGAGAGAAATTGCGAGCAGGGGAGCAGCAGCTGAGAAACAAGGACGGCGATTCTCCATGGTTGATCGACGGCGATAGAAACTGCGAACAGCAGCTTCGAATCGCGCTTTCTGATTCTCCATAATCGATCGACGTGTGCGCGAGTTGGATTCGGTTTTTGTAGAGAGAAACTGCGAGCAGCTGCTGCGAAACAGGGGACGGCGAATCTTTTGTGATTCTCCATAATTGATCGACAACGAGGTTAGATATTAGTTTTTTTTATTCTTCCTGTTTAGCTAATCGAGTTTTCTGTTGATCTCTGGTTTCGTTGGAGGTTTTTCATTGCTGCTAGTCGAGCTTGTTTATGTTTAGCTAATCGAGCTTGTTCATGTGTTATGTTCTATGTGTTTTGGTGTTTTTGTAGTATTCTGGTGAGATGAGTTACGTAAATTGTGGCGATGTTGTTCCAATTGATAGATCTGGTTCTTCAACCAGCGTTGTAGGATCTGGTTCTTCATCTAGTGCTGTTGGAATTGCTTCTTCATCTATCGATCTTGGATTTGATCATTCAGCTAACTCTGGTGAATCAGGAGGTAAGATATACAAATTTGTTTGTTTATTGAAGTTTGTATAGTGTCGTAATTTGATTTTACCATGCCTTATCATGTGGTAATTGATTTTATAGTACATTACCATGTGGTAAAATGTGGTAATTAGGAAGTTAAATGTGATGGTTCTGTGTGATAATTGATTTTACCATGCCATACCATATGGTATAGTGTGGTAATTTGATTTTACCATGCCTTATCATGTGGTAATTGATTTTACAGTACATTACCATGTGGTAAAATGTGGTAATTAGGAAGTTAAATGTGAGGATCCTGTGTGATAATTGATTTTACCATGCCATACCATATGGTATAGTGTGGTAATTTGATTTTACCATGCCTTATCATGTGGTAATTGATTTTACAGTACATTACCATGTGGTAAAATGTGGTAATTAGGAAGTTAAATGTGAGGATCCTGTGTGATAATTGATTTTACCATGCCATACCATATGGTATAGTGTGGTAATTTGATTTTACCATGCCTTATCATGTGGTAATTGATTTTACAGTACATTACCATGTGGTAAAATGTGGTAATTAGGAAGTTAAATGTGAGGATCCTGTGTGATAATTGATTTTACCATGCCATACCATATGGTATAGTGTGGTAATTTGATTTTACCATGCCTTATCATGTGGTAATTGATTTTACAGTACATTACCATGTGGTAAAATGTGGTAATTAGGAAGTTAAATGTGAGGGTTCTGTGTGATAATTGATTTTACCATGCCATAGCATATGGTATAGTGTGGTAATTTGATTTTACCATGCCATACCATATGGTATAGTGTGGTAATTTGATTTTACCATGCCATACCATGGTGGTAACTCTTGTATCATGGCTGTAATTATTGGTATACATTGAGATTTCATACTGTTGTGGTGTGGAATCCATTTAATATGTTGTTTCATAATGTTTGTAGGTTTCAATGGTATAGATCCTACTGTTCGTGATTCTTGGAAGGACTTAGAGTTCAATACACCAGATGATGCATATAATTTTTATGTTGATTATGGGAATCATGAAGGTTTTGGTGTGAGGATTTATAACCAATCAGCGTGTCCGAAGCTCAATGGTGGTTCTTCAGCTGTATATTATATCAAGTATTGTTGCAATAAGGAAGGTTGGAAAAGAGGTAGCGAGAATAACCCTGATAATGCAGGTGTTGTTGATACGACAGTTCGTGTTCGTAATGTTCCAGAACAATAGATTGCCATATGGTAACAAACTAAAACACAGCAGGACTTATGGTTTTTTGCTATTTTACAACATGAAACCATAGGTTACCACACATTACCATATGGTAACAAACTAAAACACAGCAGCACTTATGGTTTTTTAGCTTTTTTACAACATGAAACCATAACTTACCACACATTACCATATGGTAACAAACTAAAACACAGCAGGACTTATGGTTTTTTGCTATTTTACAACATGAAACCATAGGTTACCACACATTACCATATGGTAACAAACTAAAACACAGCAGCACTTATGGTTTTTTAGCTTTTTTACAACATGAAACCATAGCTTACCACACATTACCATATGGTAACAAAGTAAAACACAACAGGACTTATGGTTTTTTGCTTTTTTACAACATGAAACCATAGCTTACCACACATTACCATATGGTAACAAACTAAAACACAGCAGGACTTATGGTTTTTTGCTATTTTACAACATGAAACCATAGGTTACCACACATTACCATATGGTAACAAACTAAAACACAGAAGAACATATGGTTTTTTGCTATTTTACAACATGAAACCATAGGTTACCACACATTACCATATGGTAACAAACTAAAACACAGAAGGAGTTACGGTTTCTTGCCTTTTTATAACGTGCAATCATAGTTTACCACGCCATACCATGTGGTAACGAAGCAAAACACAACAGATTCTACACCAGTTCAGCAATGCATGCTAACGATTCGGTAATGTAGCAAGTTTTACTACAATTTTCACATGAAGAGTGACTGAAATACTGTTTCTATTGTTCTATGGATGGATTTCGAAGAAAGAAGTGAGGTTTTACCTTGATATTTTGTGCGAAAACGATTTTTGAGACTCGTTGAAGTTGGAAACCCTTTGTTTTTCGACGAAGAAGCGAGAACAGTGTATCGTTGAATGATTCTTCGAAAAGCTTTGCGAAAATCATTCGATTTGAAGTTTTTTCTGGAAGTTTTTGCTGCGATTTTGGTGAGAGAATTGAGGAACGGGAGGAAGAATGGAGAGAAGGCGGGACGGTTGTCGCGGTCACGTCTGCAATTCAAATTGTCAGAAGGAGAGAAGGCGTGATTACCTTTTTGCCCCCGCGTGTATTTAATTGCCATGATCTGACGGCTGGGAAGATGGCGCGATGGACGGTCAGATGGACGGTTACTGACCGTTACTGATAGGTCGGTTACTGATAAGATCCGGACCCGGTCAGGGCAGGTCGGGTTGATAAGAGTCCCCATGCCCGCCCCGCTCCAAAATAGGCCAAACAGATCGAATATAACGGGTCAGGTCGATTTTGCCATCCCTACTCAAACCACACCTAAAATCCTATTATGGCGGCCCGGCGATCCAAGAAGTGTGTACATAGATTGTTCGTCATGGGCCGTGGGCTGACTTGCAGAGGCCCGTCTAATGGACACGTGGACGAAATGGCAAGCCAGTCAACCAGAAGGCGCGCAAACGAGTCGCTGAAAAAAGTAACACTTGATAGCGACGACGACGGAAGACGGAAGAGACTAGAGATTGCAAGTGCAGTACACTTACACTGCAAGTTGAAAGAAGAGGCGGGGGGAAGAAGACTGAACGGCGAAGCGATGCCGGCGATGGCACGGTCACTGGCAACTAGAGCTCTCAATGAGCCGTCGCTGTCGCTACTCAATGTACTACGGCGGATCGGTACTACTCGGCCGCAACCGCAACCTGTTCGCGCGTTTTCTGCTCTCATGTCGCCACCGTCCACGGCTGTTGTTTACGAACAGCACGGCCCGCCCGATTCCGTCGTTAGGTAACCCGCTCTCTGAACTTTGTTTGCACGAAGTTAGGTTAAAGGTTGACGTCGCGCTGACGGAATACTTGTGTCTGTGTGCTCACTTAGAATGGTCGAGTTGCCGCCGGCGGAAGTGAAAGAGAACGATGTCTGCGTTAGGATGCTTGCTGCGCCGATCAATCCTTCTGATATTAATCGAATTGAAGGTAGAGTCTGACAGATTTTAACCTATGGAGTCTAATTTTGTAGCAATCATTTCCTATTTCTGAATGGTTTTTCTGAATTGTTGGTGCAGGAGTTTATCCTATACGGCCGCCGGTGCCTGCAGTTGGAGGGCACGAAGGGGTTGGAGAGGTGTATTCTGTGGGCTCGGCGGTGAAGGGCTTTTCGCCCGGTGATCGTGTTATCCCGTCTCCTCCCACTTCTGGTATACTCGGCTCTCTCTTTTTCTTGAGATGAAAACTTCCTAGATTGTTAGTATTCTTTAGGCCTGGAATAAATTCAACCAGTAGTATGTTGGAGAAGCATTGAGTGTGGAATCAATATGGATTGACTTGCCACTTCTGTTAAGTTGGGGGATAAATTCAACGAGAAGATTAGTGAGTGTCATAGCAACACTCACATTGCCTGGTAGTAGGCTTGGCTAGAAGTATCAAATGCAGGTTTTATCGTTGCATTGTTAAGTGGTTCAATTTTGTGATGGTTAGGGACATGGCAGACTTATGTTGTGAAGGAGCAGGGTGTCTGGCACAAAGTCGATAAAGATTGTCCGATTGAATATGCTGCTACGATCATCGTTAATCCGCTGACTGCTTTACTAATGCTTGAGGACATCATTACCTTAAATTCAGGTTTGTATATGTTTTAAGATTGTTACTCTCAATTTTGAATTTTATATGCCAACCGATTTTGTTTTACTTAAGTTCGACTGCATTCAAGCAGGGGATTCAGTTGTCCAAAATGGAGCTACAAGTATAGTAGGCCAGTGCGTGGTCCAGCTTGCCCACCTTCGTGGCATCCGTACCATTAACATTATAAGGGACAGGTGCTTGTTTGAGTTTGATTTTGTGAAGTATGCTTTTTTTTTTTTCAAAGAGTCTAGAGGTAGTTGGGTTTGCATGCATATCTGGTTTCACCTTTCCCTTCGTTGGTTAGAGTTTTGAGTGTGAATAGTTTTCAAGCATGGTTCAATGCACCTATTATTCTTCCTGATCCTGGAAAGGCCAGCTCCAAGGTGTGAGGCAGATTTGGGAAAAGATGAATGGCTATGTATCTTGGCTAGCAGCTTATTGACTTGATTGATGTGTGCTGCATTTGTTTGGGGATTCCATTAATGACTTTGGGCCAAAGGCATGAGTCTTCTGTTGGCAAATAATTTTATAGAAATATTAGAATATTTTGCTGTTCTTTTATTTCACCTTCTCCCACGATAGTCTGAATTTTACCTGCGTAGCATGACTTTCTTCTAAAACTAGGAACTCAACTTGTCAGTATTTTGTAATAAGATGTGCTATTAAGGGTAGATTTCATCTTTTGTTTAAGAGTGAATTCTTCACAAGCAGAGTAGTCAGAGAACTTATATTTGATGGTCTTTCCTTGGGTGAAATATTATACTCTGCTAGTGCATCTGTCTGGACTCATTTCATTCTACAACATCTGCTTGCTCCAGGGCTGGGTCAGATGACGCAAAGGAAATGTTGAAAAAGCTTGGTGCGGATGAAGTTTTCACTGAAAGCCAGTTGAATGTGAAAAATGTGAAGAGTCTCCTGGTATCATGATCTTCTGACCTTTAACAGTTCACAATTCATAATTATTGAGCTAGAGTGGTTTATTGTCTTCCACACATCTTTTCTGTCAACGTATCCTCATTGCATAACATGTTTGTCTCAAGTCGTCAGCAGCATTGGAATACATGTCATCCACATCATTTGAGTACGTGATTTTTGCTACTAACATATCTCATCTCCGTGCCAGACTGATTTACCGGAACCTGCTCTGGGATTCAACTGCGTCGGTGGCAATTCTGCTTCCTTGGTTCTCAAATTTCTGAGGTAAAACTTTGGTTCCAATAGAACGCATCCTATCAAGGTTTATATAATGCTTATTGCACAAAAGATCTCATTTATTCTTGCACTATTCAGGCAGGGAGGAACGATGGTAACTTACGGGGGCATGGCAAAAAAGCCCGTCACAGTATCGACATCAGCCTTCATTTTCAAAGCAAGTCAATCCCTATGCTGTGTTTTTCTGTTCTCCTACTCTTGAATGACGCCCCCCCAATGCTCTTGAATGCTACAATATGTAATACTAGCTACCCAATTTGGTTGCAGGAACTCTCGCTGAGAGGATTCTTTCTGCACAACTGGCTGGGCAGCGATAAGGCGACGGAATGCAATAAAATGATCGATTATCTTCTATCGTTGGCAAAGGAAGAGAAGCTGAGATACAAGTAAGCCAAGCATCGGTACTCCCTTTCAGGCCATTCTTTGGGGGGTTTTTTCCTGGTTTCCAGCTATTGAATGATTCATTTGTGGGTCACTCACTCTGTGCAGGATGGAACTGGTTCCTTTCAACAATTTCAATGTAGCACTGGATAAAGCACTTGGAAAGCTTGGGAGCCAGCCAAAACAAGTCATTACTTTCTGAATCTGTCTTTCTTCAGGCAAACACTGAGATTGATCTCTGTTAAAGACATGATGCTGCAGTAGTGAACCGGTGATTACTGATTAGGTTCTGCTAATAAATCAAATTTGGGCCGTTGGGTGGTTCAATTGGGTCACTGACCCTTAAGCTCCATAACCTGATTCGGTCAGGTTTTCGGTTCACCCGGACCTGGCCAAAACCTGATAAAACCATAAATTGATAGCGCGCGAAGAAGTAGATTTCTGCGGACGTGGCATCACGGTAGCCAGTCAATTAAATTGCGCCCACCCGAATGAAGTGCTCACGTGGCACAACTTAAACGACTACTGAGTTTTCAATATTCATCTGCTAAGTTGGACAAAAATTCGACGGAGGAGGAACCTCATCGGAACTTGGTCAGTCTTCTCACAAGGAAAAAGAGCCATGGCTGCCGCCTCTACCTCAGTCGCCATCTTGCCTTCCGCCAGAAGAAGCTGCGACGCGGGAAAGTCCAGAAGCTTTGTGTTTTCATCGAGATCCTCAAAGTCCGTCTCGTTTCCGTCTCAACCGCGACGACGGACCGGGAACTTGCGAATCGCTTGTTCCGTATCACTGACGGACCGGGAAGTGCGAACGGGTGGGCCAGACGATCTCGTCGACTCCATCCTTTCCAAGGTAAAAAACCATAATCCGATCTAGATTGCTGTTAGTCTTCACCGCATTTTTAATTAGAAAAGGTTTGAATTGGAGCTAACTCAGGCAAAATTTCAGGTTTCGGAGACAGACCGAGGAGTTTCGTTGAAGAAAGAGGAGCACGCAGCGGTGGGTGAAGTTGCTGGAGAGTTGCAAAAGTACTGCGTCTCGGAGCCTGTGAAATGTCCTCTCATATTTGGAGGTGAAATTGCTCAACAAAAGCTTTCTTTTTTTTGAATGGTTGAGGAGTTGCTTATGTTCTGCACACCATGTGTTTGGTAAATTGTTCCAGAGTGGGATGTGGTGTACTGCTCGAACCCGACCTCGCCAGGCGGTGGGTATAGGAGCTCAGTCGGCCGTCTTTTCTTTAAAACCAAGGAAATGGTGCAGGCTGTTGAAGCTCCCGACACTGTGAGAAACAAGGTCAAATTCTCCCTCTTTGGGTTTCTTGATGGAGAGGTATCTCTCAAAGGTAAAAAGCTTTCTCACTTTGGAGTATCTCCCTGCCCCTAATGTGAATTTGGAACAGGTTTGCTGAGTTCCTTTGTTTCTGTTCAACGCAGGGAAATTGATCGCTCTGGATGGGAGCTGGATTCAGGTGATATTCGAGCCCCCTCAACTTAAGGTTGGATCTCTGAACTTTCAGTATGGCGGTGAAAGCGAAGTGAAACTGCAGATTACATATGTAGATGAGAAGATCAGGTTGGGCAAGGGCTCCAGAGGTGCGCTATTCGTCTTCCAAAGAATCGGTTAAAACCCTCTTGCCTTAGCTCTCTCACATTTCACCCTAAAAAACAGTGTTCTTTCCTTGATCTCATATGTTACCAGCTTTCTGTTGTACACTGACATTGTAGTTCGATGAAGTATATATAATCGTTCGTTCGAGTGACCTTTAAGTGTGCTTCTGCTAGAGTTACAGAGGATTGGAGAACAATGGAATTGGTGGGATTGATTAGCCAGGTCCAACTTTAGGAATGTCGTAATGTTCAGTGAGATTGGCAAGATACTGGTTGAACTCGTGAATCCGGTCGCGCGGTGTGATTTGCTTGCCATCTTAGCCATCCTCTGCCCATCCAGCTTCTCCCATTGCTGCAGATACCGCCTCTCGGCCTGTGTCAGATACAGGGATCCACCTTCCGCTTCTCCTTTCTCTGTGATGCCGTCAGCTTGACCGGCCGTGACAGGTTCTGTGTTTCGACCTGATGGCAAACACGAATAGAGCTCCCGTTAGCACAACTGCACGTATAATGGAAAGAGCTCCAAAACTTCGAACCAATTCATCCCGGTTAGTCATATTCGAGGTTCGAAATCAACTCTGTCAATTCAAGTTTCTGATGTTACGCATCAAGAATCGATTAAACAGAAAATAGATCTCATTTCTGAACAATCTATGGGACATTTTGCTGCCGCGAAGGAAAAAAGAGAAAAAATAAAGGAACCTGATGTGGAGGAATCTTGGTAATGAAGATCCTTGTTGCTGTTTCGCTTCTTCTTCTTCGCGATTCCACCATCTTTGAGGAGCAATGGCTTCCCTTTCAGCCGTAGCTTTCCTCGCACTACATTCTCGTACGACGCTGCCGCCGACGACATTTCATCGCCGAGCTAGTAAATGCTAATGGTATCAGATTTAGAGAAGGAAGAAGATGGAAGAAACGGTGCTGGTCCGTCCGCCGGTGACGATGCAATATCAGGGAAGCACGGTCCCCCGTCTTATTTTCCCAGCAAATTCTAGAAGCTCACAGAAACCGAACAATCTAGGACGTGTATTGTTTCGCAAAAAACTACATACTTGTCATCACTTACAAATCAGTCACTCAACATTTATGATTTAACAAACTCATCACTGAATTTTGAAATGCTAACACAACTTACAGTCGATTATTCAGGGTAGAAATCAAAATTAATTACCCGCGTATAGGCTAGCAGGCTATTGGTCCAGAAAACAGCCACGTCACTGTCGACAACAGACAGTCCACGTGGCTAATTCCCAACTGCTGAATCCCGTCGCTCTCCTGCCTCCCTTCCACCACGTGCCAATCGAGCTCAAGCTTTTACCTTCCTCGCCTTCAATGGCGGGCATCCTCCGTTTCTCTTCCTCCAATTCATCCCTTCTCCTCAAACAATTGCCCATTAACACGCGCATTCCCTCGTTCTCGAACTTCCTCCATCCTCCCAAACTCTGTTTCTCCCACTTCCGCTGCATAACCATGGCGACGAGCAGCAGCAGCACCAAAAATCCCTCTTCCACAGCCACTTTCCAGGTCCCCGAACTCGCCGCCGACGAGATGGAGCGAATGGCCGAGCAGACATTTCAGAGATACTCTTCAAATACGATCAAAAGAAAGGGAACAGGGACCGCGATTGTTTGGTTCAGGTACGATCTCAGAGTTCTGGACAATGAGGCTCTCTACAAGGCTTGGGTTTCTTCTGAATCGGTTCTCCCTGTCTATTGTTTGGACCCACGCCATTTCCAATCCACTCACTTCTTCGGATTCCCTAAGACTGGAGGTTGGTTAGTCTCTCCCTGTTTTCTTCTTCATCGCAACCAAAATTTTGTTAGTGTTTTGATTACATCTTTGATGATACGCTGCCAGCTTTGAGAGCCCAGTTTCTGGTGGAGTGTTTGGCTGACTTGAGGAAGAATCTGACGAAGAGAGGGCTGAACCTTGTGATTCGCCATGGGAAGCCGGAAGAAATTCTCCCTGCTCTTGCCAAGCAGTTCTCTGCTCATACAGTTGAGCTCTTTTGATTCTTCAAGCTCCAGAATTGTGTTAAGGGTTTCGAATTGGTGGTTACTTAGATGTCGTCGGCTCTTTCTTTTGCTCAGATATATGCACAGAAGGAAACTTGTAGCGAGGAGCTAAGAGTTGAGAAGCTTGTAAGCAGAGCATTGGAGAAAATAAGTTTGACGACGACGATGATGGCTTCTTCATCAGCTCCGAAGAATCCCACACTTCGACTGGTTTGGGGAAGCACAATGTACCATAAAGACGACCTTCCCTTTGATGCTCGTAGTGTTCCTGATGTCTACACAGAGTTCCGCAAGGCAAGCCAGGGGTTAGATTGCAAATTGATCTCTTGCTTCTGAAGACTATTTGAGCCTGCAATAACAGAGGAATTCTTCTTTTTGTTTCCATCTCTTTTTGTTTTTCGATAGTCCGTTGAAGCGAAATCCAGAATCAGGCAGTGTGTCAAGCTTCCCATGTCTCTAGCACCACTTCCACCCGTCGCGGTGGAAGATTGGGGGAGCATTCCAACGGTTGATGGTCTTGGCCTCCAACCACAACAACAGGCAAGAAAACCCTTTTTCCTTACGCTTTCATTGATTGTGGATTTGGGGTCAATGTGTTAGGCCTTAGGTTGTCTGATTTTGGTGCAGGTTAGCAAAGGGATGAGGTTTGTAGGAGGTGAGAGTGCTGCAATTGGCAGAGTGCATGAGTACTTCTGGCAAAAGGCAAGATTGTTTTGTTATTAACTTGTTTACTAATAATCTTAACTGTCTGAAAATTGTATCAATCTTACATGGAAATGGACATTGTATATTGTTAGGACTTGCTTTGCGTGTATAAGGAGACGAGGAATGGGATGCTGGGATCCGATTACTCGACCAAATTTTCCCCCTGGCTGGCCTCTGGATGCATTTCGCCGCGGTTCATTCACGATGAGGTTGACTGATGAGTGATTGACGAATGATAGATTTCAAGCTTTCCTAATTTGGACATCAAATGAATCTGTTCAAACGTCTTGTTTGGTGTACAGGTGAAGAGGTATGAAATGGAGAGGCTAGCAAATGCTTCCACTTACTGGTACCTCTCTTTCGCTCTCTCGTTCACCACATTAACACTTTCTCGAGTTACAGAGTGATTCATCGAACAAAATTTTATGTTTGTGGTTTTGAAGGGTACTGTTCGAGCTACTCTGGAGAGATTACTTCCGCTTCATCTCGATCAGACATGGCAACTCCATTTTCCAGTTAGGTAAGCAAACACTATGATGTTTATGAAGGAGACCAGTTGAGTTTCAAATGGAGGTTATAAAGAAGTGCGTCAAATGTCTCTTAGGTGGCCCAAGAAGAGTGGAGAAGAGATGGAGCCAGGACCAGAAGCTGTTTGAATCCTGGAGAGATGGCTGTACAGGGTACTCTGTTTTGTTTTCTAAACTGCTATGGTTGTGCTCTGTTTTACCCCTGCTTCTGCTGTAATAAGCTTTCATGGATTTATTCTGCAGGTATCCTTTGATAGATGCAAACATGAAAGAGTTGTCAGCAACAGGATTCATGTCAAATAGAGGAAGGCAGGTTAGACAAATGATTAGCGATTCGCTTGAACTCGGTCCGACTTGGTTCGAATGATGTTCAGAACCAATCTTGTGTGCAAATTGTAGATAGTATGCTCGTTCCTGGTTAGGGACATGGGCATAGACTGGAGAATGGGGGCCGAATGGTTCGAGACTTGCCTTTTAGATTATGATCCCTGTTCTAATTACGGCAATTGGACATATGGTGCAGGTTTGTGCACATTACTCTGTTTCTCACATTGGGCTCCTCACATTGCCTTGTTCTTTGTAGTTTCACAACTTGCTTCTGAACATTTTCGTTCTTTTGTTTCAATCGAAAGGGGTTGGAAATGATCCGCGAGAAGATCGTTATTTCAGCATTCCGAAGCAAGTAAGTTGCGTCTTTAGTTCGATTTGGGTTCTCATTTCATGATTCATGTGGCATGCAATTTAAAACCTTCACCTGGTGGTCACTTTTCTGCGAAATTTTAGGCACAGACTTACGATGCTGAAGGAGAGTATGTGTCATACTGGCTTCCCCAGCTGCAAAATCTGCCGAAAGAGTCGCGTAACTTTCCTGGGAAATTGTACATCAATCAAGTTGTACCTCTAAAGTTTGGTGGCAAATCTAATTATAAGAGCCATGCTCAAGCCACAACCTACAATGGCAGGCAGCAGCAGCAGAACAGCCGTGGAGACAGAGCGACCAGAGGAAACAAGAGATGGAACTAAAGCATGTCGACGAGATCACTCTTGGTACAGAGCAACAATGATGGAAAAGCAGCAACTTTGTTGAATAAAATTTCAGTTCTGCCTCATTTAGGCAGGAGATTATCTTGAATGAATGGAAAGAACGCTTTGCAAATTTACATTGGAGGAAGAACAAGCAAAACCATGTATACGTTGTGTGTTAAGTGATTCAAATTTTCCGTGTACTCTGATGACTACATGAGAATCGTAGCGGTCTTGATTCGTGATGCCAAACTTAGCAAGCCTGTATATAGCGTTCCATTGAACTGAGAAACTCCATGCAGCAATTTGAAATGTTTTTATTTTTATTTTTCCAGTTGGAGTTCATTTTCTCTTCTTAGCAGCAAGACGACATTTCAACTGCACAAGAATGGCAAATAGCTTCAATACTGGATTTAAACAAGGAAACAGATATTGTTTAGTGCTGCAAAGTTAATGCTGAAAGGACATGGTGGTATGAAAACCAATTCATCATAAAATGAAACTTGTGCCAATGATTAAAAATTCATCATAAATTGGCTTGACACTAACAGTCTGTCAAGTTTTGATTCAGCAAGATATACAATGTAACGTAAAGATTCCAATCTAAACCATTACCAAACACAGATTCGTAGTTTAAAGCTAAGAGACCATACCTGCTCAATGTATTTCAGTTGCACTAGTACTTTCTCGGTTTCCAACTCCTTAAACAAAAACAAAAAATGGGGCCAATATAACTTTAGAAACAAGCTAAATGCAGTTCAGTATATGCTTGGAGAAATATGTCAAGCATGCATAAAGAGATGTCAACAAAAAGCTGGTTCTATGAAATCAGCTGTTCAGATATAAGCCAATGCGAGGAAGTGAAAACAGAATGCTCACCTGTGGTACATTGCAATCTGCATGAAATGGATCCCAAGGAAGAGCACAAGAACATTCCCAATCATCACTTTGGACTGCAGAGAGTGGTGCCCTGGATGAAATATCAGCTTATGAGCAGTGTCTACAAAAAAAACCAGGTGATGCCTTGCCTAGAAGTAAAGTGTTATGCAGGCCATTCATTTGTCCCAAGTACTAGTAGAACCAATATTCACTTGAAAAATAGCAGAAAGCACAAGTCTCTCCTACCCAACTCAGTTTTAGCAATCAAAATCAATAACTTATCAAAGAAACCATGAAATTTGAACCGTAACCATATTTTAGCTTGCATATTCAACCATTATAGTAAGTGAGAAAGACATGAATGATCCAATGAAACTCATAAATGGGGAACATTGTGTTGTCAAGGTATGTGATATTTATTATACAAATGAAAATGCAATGACCATATATATGCTTCATGTAATTAGATAATCATTCCCTGTTAACCTCATTTTGTAACCAATCATCAATCTCTAGAAATAATGAAGCATCAAGCTAAGGTTTACCAGTTGGAATCACCAAATAGTAAACTTGTTTTTGTACTCAATTGTCGAGCTTATGAAACCTAAAAAAATCCAATAAGGTTTTTCTCTACTTAATAATGTTTCTTCTCAGCAAACTATGGTAGGGTAGTGTCTAATCTATTATGTGAGTCGCTCCCACTATGCATACAGGATGTAAATATGGATACCGCTTTTACCTGCGCCACTTCCCACAAAGTCTTTTGTAGCCCCGTTCTTTGGGTTGATCATCAAGGACCTCTCGACATTGCAGCCAGTTGCTCATGGAGCTGGGTTTTAAGATATTATCTTTAGCACACCCCTTAAGAAATGAAAAATATCATAAGCTCAAAACCTTTGAAAAAGTTAACCCCACAAAAGCATTTAAAACACAATTTTTGGCCAATGCTTCTAATTAATTTCTAAGACAATCAGCAAACCCTTCTGTCCTTTCTTTTGAAGTGAATGATAATTCACTTACTTGTAAGCCCAGAGTCTCAAGTGGATCCATTTCAATTGGTTCGCCAATGCAGTCAAAACCCCTAAATACCAAACTGAAATTAGGAAACCGTAGAAGTATGGGAACATCTAGAGGTTACAACCTTATAGACAGCACCATATGATAGAAGGATAGAAGATAAAAATACTTACTCGGTATTTTTACCACGCCATTCAGGCACTGTTGCCTGAAAGGGGTCACCAATCCTCACCAGGGACACATGTGAATCAGGATACTTTAACATACGTGCTATTCGACCTAATTTCTGGTTAGGACCCAAACTCCAACCTTTCATGCCTCGTGATTTAACATGAAGAGGTCCTTTTGCATCTTTGCCTTTCAATTTCAAGCAAGATTTACAATACCATTCGTCAGCGTCCTCCAATGTCTTTCGGTTAGTACCACTGCAAGACAAGTGAAATGCCTCCTCACAATCATCACATATTATCATATTCACAATACTCTCCAACACGCCACATGCCTCGCATGACTGATATGTGTTTTCACTTGCAGGATCAAAAGCAGGCTTGCTTTTGGGACCATTTCCGAGAGGAATTCCATGATTCTTAAGAACAGAAATGCAGATTTCTTTAATCTGGAGATCTTGTTCTGACTCCTCTGGGTCAGAAATCCAGCACTTCACATCACTGGTAGTTCTTGTCAAAGAAGTGCCACACGAAATATGCTCTCTATCACATTCTCTTGACCGCAGTTCAGGGCCACCAGATTCACCAAGAAGCCGAAGATCATCCTTGCCTATTTCAGCACCTATTACTGAACCTTGAACCCTCTTACTACTAGAACCACTAGCACTCTTTTCCTGCTGAGAATCACTATCGAGCTCAACCTCGTCCTCACACGCAGCTTCAGTAAAAAGAATTAATGAGTTCCTTCGAATTCTTCTCCGCTTGTACTGGACATTTGATCCGGAAAACAAAAAGGAACTGCAATGGGATGAAGGATCTGCATTATCATCTTCAGGACCGTCTTCGGGTTGTGAACAAGGCTTCCACGATTCGCTCTCAGGGATCCATTCCCATGCTACATCGTCATTTTTACGATTCAGGGAGCAAGATACAGGTCCTTCAACTGAACGTTGGAGCACCATGTGCGTTTAATTTTCGCCTGTCGTTACATGATAACAATTCAATTTCTCAAGATCTGTCCAACTTAAAGTACCAAAAAAATTTACCCTAATCCATCTCCAAAAAGGAAACCCTAATCCATCTCCAAATCCATGTTCAACCCCAAGAGTCTAAGACTTGTGGGATTTACTATGCATATCTTCCTTCAAAACACGCCGAACCACGAAAAGTTATTGATACATTCATTCAATGATACGTCCAAGACTATCCCAGCCCCATTAATACCCAGAAAACCAATGAGAAAGCAGGCAATTCGGGCTTACAGCCCTACCAGAGGCCTCAAGAAGGTTTCCATCAGATTGGCAAACTCATCCATCCACGTTCAACAAAAAAACAAAGCAAGCACACAAACAAACAAACAAGAAGACATATCTCGAATTGCCGGACGTTTCCCAGTAAACGAATTGTACACTCAGGACATTTCTACAGGTAATCGAGGAAACAAAATTACAGGGAAAGCTGAAGAGACTGCGAAACCGAAATTCAAATTCCGCAATCCAACTAAGGACTCGTAAAGTGACCAAAAGAAACAGATGCTCAACACCCACAGAAAAGTTACCAAACAAATGAATACGCACAAAAAAAAAGAGAGCAGATATTCAAGAACAGGAAACAGAAAACGGCGAATTGAATATTCCAAATCCAAGGCGTACCAGAGAGAGCAAGTCCACCGGCCGGAGTTGCTGTTGCGTTGGCACTGAACCGAAATGGACGGAGAAATAATAAAATAGTGTATTAGGAAAAGCGACGCGACGTTTGGTTGGAAGGTGGTAAGTTAATTGAGGAATTTTGCTTTAGATTTTAGAATGATTTAGAATGGTTGTTTTTATTTAATAGAAAAAACTGGTATTTAATGTTACTAAATTTAATTTGTACCTATATTTTTGTATAAATATTTTCTATAGTACAAATTTAACTTGTAGTTCAAATTGAGTTTGCAAATATTACTTTATGGTACAAACTGAATTTGTACATTTATGTTATTATACAAACTGAATCATAATATAAGATACAAATTCCTTTATAATACAACCACGTATTATAAAGAAAGAGCATCGATATTCGATCTTTCACATGTAGACATAAAGAAAACACCTTACAATTGAATGAGAAATATAGTAGAAGAAATATGATTTTAGAGTCTTAAAATTCCTTTGAGATGAAAATATGATTTTAGAAAGGTCAAAAGAGGAGAATACATGTACGTAACGGGGTGGGCTTGGGATGGGATAGGTCGAAGCAATATTCATGTCCTGCTCCATGCTATTGCCTACTGCGAATCGGTAATACCCGCCCCAGACAAGTCGGGGCAGGTCTAGTAGAACTAGTTAGATAATATCTTCCCTAAACAGGTTGGGTCACGAGCGTCAGGTCAGAAATTGTCATTACTAGGTATAAGTTCAATTTGTACCTCGAAACAACAATACTTTAGAGCACAATGGAAGGGCTCAAGTTAATAATGTCATTTCTCTTGCTAATTTAAGTTATCATTAACGACACTCAAAGTACGGGAAGTATGTAGCACGTAAAAAAGACGAAAATATCAAAGGTCGCGACCTAACAATAAAGAAGGCATGAAGAGTTCAAAATTGTATTTACCTCAAAATTGACGCGTTCTAATCTTTGACCCACGATCGGTTGTTAGAGAAAGTGTCTTCAGACACTAAGAGTTCGAAACTTATTTGAATCTAACGAACGAATGACACCTATATCCAACAATCAAAGTACACAACAAATATTCGAAAATTAGTATAAAAATATGAGAGGAAACAATGACCGTTTATCTATAAACGTATAAGAACCTTGTTATGATGAAGAAGCCATAGTGCAAGTATGAGAAACTTGATCAATGCGTCGAAATCTCTTCTGAACTAGGAAGATGATGAACTTAAGAAGAAGAATGGTTGGACGTTCAACCTTGAACTCGAATAGAAAATTTCTAATGAAGCATGGTTGCCTCCTTCATCCATGACTCGTCCATTCACTCTAGTTATCTATTTATAAAGATTGCATGAGAACTAATCTAGCATAATTAAGGAAAGAAATCGAGTCCTAAACAGTCATAATAACATATCATATCTAATTCTACTCAAATAAGGAAACTAATTATTCATATTCAAAAAAGAAACATATGAGAGTTTTAAATAGTCATAATGACCTATATCATAATTATTATACTATGACAAGGGAAGTAATTAATAAATATTACATGAGAACTAATATAGGACAAGTAAGGAATGAAATCAAGTCCTAAACCACCATAATGACATACCATATCCTAATTCATCTCAAAGAAGGAAATTAATTATTCATATTAAAAAAAAGAAACATATGAGAATTCTAAATAATCATAATGACATAACATATCCTAATTCTACCTATAAAGATTGCATGAAAACTAATATAGGATAAGTAAGGAAATCAAGTCATAAATACTGATAATAACATAATATATTATACTTCTTATCAAATAAGGAAAATAATTATTCCTATAAAAAGACATATATGAGAGTTTTAAATAGTCATAATGACATATTATATACTAATTATATCATGACTAGGGGTGGGCATCGATCGATTCGGTCCAAGATCGGACCAAACTATCCTCAAATCGGACCAAAATTTCTTCTAAAGCAAGGACCAAAATCGAATCGTTATTACTTCGATTCGATCCAGATCAAACCATATATGGCTCGATTCGGTCTGGACCATCCAATTGGACCAACTTATATTTCATTCGAATAAAATCACTCTTAAAGGACAACACAAGAATTAAAAAAATGTAACTACATAAAAAGAAGTAATCAAATTATCCCAATTTAAATACTCCACAATTCTTAAAACCCACATGTTCCAAAATATTATGGAAAAAGCTAAACGAGAACTAATTAACTAAAAGACAAAAGTCTTTTTATTCAATCTCAAAGTAATCTAACTAATTGCCTCTCTAATCTTACATTTTCATTTTTAGAGTGCACGTTGGACCTCCCAATCTCCATAATTTTCACTGTTCATTAGAAAGGAGTTTAACAAAATGAAACTTACTCCAAGAATGAGTGCAATAAAACAAATGATTCTTAAACTTGCTAATTTGCAGTGGTGTTGTCAGACTTGGCAGAAGCATCTGTGGTGTCATATATTCGCATCTTCTCCATATCTGAAACATTAAACAAGAAAAGAGAACAACAAATAAATACATGGTTCACAGTGTAGGTAAAGTAAGCAGCTCTCTTGATTGAAGCAACGCGGATGAGAACTTTGATTAGAGGGTAGGACTATAGGAGCGGGAGCGACGAGTCAAAGTCATGAAAAGTCAATTATATTTATAGGTAATTAAGTGGCATGTAGGGTATTGTGGTTTTCAACTCCAATTCGACTTTCCTTCTCAGAGCCTAATAAAATAGGCAATTAATTTAATTACGATTTGGTTCGATCCTTAGTTTGATTTTACGGTTTCGGTCTGATGTGAATCAAATCGTTGCCCACCCCTAACCATGACAAGGAAAACAATAAGTTATACTAAAATAAGCAAAGAAATAAATCACAAATCTAAATAGACATAATGAAATGAACAAAATAACCTAATTCTACTAAAAGTCTAAAACAAAGAGAGTAATGAATTATATCAAAAGAGGGAAAGAAATAAATAATAATTTAATAAATAATAATGATCAATCATATATTAATTTTATTGGTGAATTCATAAAAAATAGCATTATGGTCGCTTTTGATTGTTTTTACTCATTGAAGCAATTCATTCAATCAACCAAGTTAGATAATGCAAATGCACATGACAAGGTTGATTGATGATTTTTTAAACCAACGATGCAAAAATAACTATTACATGTATATAAGGTCGAGGCATGTTAATCGATTCATCTAGTCAAATCAAAATTATCGTTTAGCCTAATGAGGATGGGAGTAAAAGAGAACACATTGGTTGCTATATTGGGTATGAAACAGGTTGCTCAACATGAAAAATATTTTAGCCTACCAAAGATTGTGGGAAGGGAGAAGAATAGAGTATGGAAGAAAGTTAAAATGTGGAAAACAAAATGTTACCAGCTAGAGCCAATGAGGTATTGGTCATGGTGAATTCTCTATGCAATGTCGATGTTTCAGATTCTAATAAGTGTTTTACAACAAATTAATAGTTTGATTGCAAATTTCCGATAAGGGCAGAAGAGCGAGGAAGGCATAACTCCCTCGATCAAATGGAAGAATTATGGTTGCCTAAGAATGAAGGAAGATTGGATTATATTAGCGGACATGGGCCAGCTGGCCCAACCGCAACCAGTCTCCACAAAGCCCATCCTGGGCTCGTCTAGAATTGGGCAAACCGACCGAGAACCCACGGCGTCCCATGCGCAACACGTCTCCTTTACGTGCCCTAGCTGCTTTATCCTTGTTGATAGATGTAAGGATATTAAAACTAACTGTAAGGCCGATGGCCATCGTTAAGCATTGATCAATAAGAAAACAGCCGGAGAGTTAAGCTCTCCCGTAGACTAGTCCCGATATCGGGGAGACAACGTAAATCTCGTCTTGTTCTTTCTTACTGGTTCCGCGAATTTTACATGGTATCAGAGCTGTGATCCATACATAGCGTTTGCACTATGGGCGACGTCGACTCTACCCTTGAGACACCAAGCTCGGGAAAGTCGATCGGTTCTGGTTCTAGCGGCGACAAGGAGCTGGACGCTCACAACCCATTTTTCATCCCAAATTCGGATTCCACTGGACACCTGCACGTGAGCAGCGTATTAACTCCGACCAATTATGGGGAGTGGGTTCTTGAGATGACTGACGCTCTCGTCACCAAGAACAAAATTGGTTTTGTTGATGGTTCTCTTCCTCGCCCACAGGGCGGCGGCCCCTCGTCGCTTACTTGGACGCGTTGTGATGCCCTGGTCAAGGGTTGGTTGCGCAGTGCGATGGATCCGGAGTTACGAAGCAGTGTTATGCATGCTAAGACAGCCCAAGAGATATTGGAGGATCTTCGGAATCGTTTTAGCAAAGGTAATTTGACTCGCGCCTATGAGTTACGTCGACACGTGAGTTTTCTTCAGCAAGAGAAACAATCTGTTTCCACTTTTTATACAAAGCTCCGCAAGGCCTGGGAGGAAACACAGTCTATTTTGTCGCCTCCTATTTGTGCTTGTGGACGTCAATGCCGTGATCAGAATGAGAGTTTGAGACTCTTTGATTTTCTGTTGGGCCTAGACGATTCTTTCGCGACTGTTCGCAGTCAAATCCTCTCACTGTCGGTTCCTCCATCATTGCCCGAGGCCTTCCGGATTGTTTACAATGATGAGCAGCAACGACTACTGACTCAGACCCGCAAACCCCTTCCAGAGGCAGCAGCGTTCGTGACTCATGGTGAAGCAGATCGTGGCGCATCTGGCGCCCGCAATTCACGCGAACGAAGCTCGGCCGACAAAGAAAAGGATACTCGGATTTGCACTCATTGCCTTAAACCTGGGCATTTGCGGGAGACCTGTTATCAATTGATTGGATATCCTTCTTGCGACAAGCATGGCGATGGGCAGAACCGCCGGAAAAGTCGCGATTCTGGCCGCGATGCGAGTTGCGATGGTGGCGCTGCTCGTGGTCAAGGTAGGGAGCCGCGGGCCTCCCAGGTGGAACAGGAGTCGAGTCCTGTCCCTGGTTTTAGTGTACAGCAGTTGGAGCAGCTAAAGCGGTTCTTTGGCTCTCAATTCTCTCCCGCCACGGATCCCTCAAGTCACATGGCTGGTACGTTTTCATCTTCTGATCAATGTGAATGGATTATTGACTCTGGGTGCAATGAGCACATTACTATGGATGATAATCTTCTTACTACGGATCATCATGTTTTATCGACTCCACCTGTTCGTATCTCGAATGGAGCTAGCATTCCGGTTAAACGTATTGGCATAGTTAAGTTGAGTGATGGGATGACATTGGGACGTGTTTTACATGTTCCGGAATTTTGCTGCAACCTCTTATCAGTTAGCAGACTTTGTCAAGAACATCATGTTGCTATAATCTTCCTCGATGATTTTTGTATCGTACAGGACTTACACTCCAGGAACGTGATTGGGAAGGGGGAGATTCGTGATGGATTGTATTTCCTGTAGTTGTTCGGTTGTCGTAGTGCTCGAGTTCATGCCGTTGACAAGCCGCCTGCACTACCTTGGCATGAAAGGTTGGGACACCCTTCGTTGGCGGTCATGACCAAGCTTCAAGATCAACTTCCTACACCTACAGTTTCGGACCATGGTGTTTGTCACCCTTGCTCTCGTGCTAAGCAAGTTCGGACTAGTTTTCCTATTAGTGGCATTCGGACTACCTCTTGTTTTGAGATGTTGCACATGGATATTTGGGGCGGATATAATACTCCTTCTTACAGTGGTGCTTATTATTTTTTGACAATCGTTGACGATTTCAGTCGTGGCGTTTGGATTTATCTCATTAAATTCAAATAAGATGTTGGGCGGTATATACAGCTTTTTTGCAATCTCGTTCGCACTCAGTTTGGCAAACAGGTAAAGAAGATTCAAACTGATAATGGCCCTGAATTTGGGACCATGCTGCTGCGTGATTTTTATGAGAAGGAGGGCATCCATTTGCAAACTTCTTGCACAGATACACCACAACAGAATGGTGTGGTTGAGCGCAAGCATCGACATCTTTTAGAGACAGCACGTGCGTTGCGTTTTCAGGCTTCTTTACCCATTCGATTTTGGAGTGAGTGCCTACTTACTGCCGCGTATTTGATTAACCGGTTGCCCACTACTGCCACAGGTCGTACTCCTTATGAGGTAATATTCGGAAAGCCAACTAGTTATTCTCACTTGCGTGTTTTTGGGTGCCTTTTTTACAGTAAGGATACTCACTCACATCTGGATAAATTTGTTGAACGAGGTCGTGCAAGTGTTTTCCTGGGTTATGCAGCCAGTCAGAAAGGTTATCGTGTATACGATTTGGAAAGCAAGAAAATTATCACAAGTCGTGATGTGGTATTCCATGAGTCAACATTTCCCTTTCAACCTGGCACCTCACAGCAGTTTCATTGGGTTCCCCATGGTGATTTTTCTCGGCAGGCTGATCATCTGGACGACGAGCTTGTCCTGGCCGATCCTGCTCCCGTCCCGCCTCCGTCGACGGTCTGCCCCGCTGGGCTTCCTCATGTCCAGCCCTCAGTTGGGCCTGCTTGGCCCCCCTCCCCACATGGGCCCCTTGAGCCCGCTAGCACATCCTCATCTCCACATTCTAGCAGTCCGCCTCCCAATCCGCACTCCTCAGTTCCTCATCCATCTGCCGAGACTTCTACATCACCACCTGATCTTCGGCCACTTTCGCAATCACCTCCCCCACCTCTGCAATTGCGATGAGGTGACCGAGTTCGGGTTCCCCCAAAGCGTCTTGATGATTATTACACAGGTCATGAGGCTCATTCAATGCGTTATCCTATGTCCAATCATCTCTCATATGACAAGTTTTCTACCTCTTACTGTGCTTTCCTTGCTGCAGTTGCCCACAACCCTGAACCTCGCACGTTTCGTGAGGTCTTCATGCATGAATGCTGGCGACGTGCCATGGCAGCCGAGGTGCTGGCACTTGAAGAAAATGACACGTGGAGTCTTGTTGTTTTGCCACCTGACAAGCGTGTGATTGGAGCAAAGTGGGTTTACAAAATTAAATTCAATCCTGATGGTACTGTGGAACGTTATAAAGCCAGGCTGGTGGCCAAGGGTTACACTCAAATAGAAGGAGTGGATTTTCATGACACTTTCGCACCAGTTGCTAAGCTGGTTACTGTTCGTTGTCTTCTTGTTGTTGCCGTTAGCAAAGGGTGGTACATCCACAGCTCGATGTGAATAACGCATTTCTTCATGGTGATTTGGATGAAGAAGTTTATATGCAGATTCCTGAGGGTTTTGATGCACCTGGAGATACACGTGTTTGTCGCCTTCATAAGTCCATCTATGGGCTCAAACAAGCATCACATAACTGGTATAAAAGATTCACGACTGTTCTTTGTGAATTGGGGTTCCGTTCGTCACCTGCAGATCACTCTATGTTTGTTTTTCACTGGGGGAGTACTCATGTGGTTGCACTCATTTACGTTGATGACGTTGTGCTGACCGGGAACGATCTTGCGTTCATAACCCGTGTTAAGAGTTTTCTGCATTCTCGCTTCACTATCAAGGATTTAGGTGATTTGCGTTACTTCTTGGGTATCAAAGTTGCCCAGTCACCAGCAGGTATGGTTCTTAGTCAGAGGAAATATACTCTTGATATTCTTCATGATTCAGGTGTCATGGCTAGTCGCCCTAGTGCTTTTCTGGCCGAGCAGAATCATCGTCTTACTCAGCCTGCTCCTGCTGATCATCCCGACCCAGCGGCGTATAGTCGATTGGTTGGTCGGTTACTCTATCTGAATGTCACACGGCCAGACATCACATATGCTGTCAACATTCTCAGTCAGTTTGTTCATGCCCCTACTCGGGCACATATGGATGCTGGTAACCGGATCCTGCGACTAACACTCTCGATCTAGTTGCTTACTGTGATGCCGACTGGGGTGGCTGTCAGTCGACTCGAAGGTCTACTACCGGCTATGTCATTACCCTTGACGGTGTGCCCATCTCCTGGCGGACCAAAAAGCAGCAGGTAGTTGCTCGATCTTCCGATGTGGCAGAGTACCGCGCTATGGCTAGCACGGTTAGTGAGGTACTCTGGTTGCGCTGGCTTCTCAGGGAACTAGGTGTGTCTTCGCATGGCCCCACTCCTCTTCACTGCGACAATCAGGCAACTCTCCATATCGCTGCTAACCCGGTATTTCATGAACGCACCAAGCACGTCGAGATGGACTGCTACTTTGTTCGTGAACGTGTTCAGTCTGGTGACATTGCACCCATGAAGATCAGCTCACATCTCCATATTGCTGACATGTTTACAAAAGGTTTGGGTGCCGAGCGTTTCCATTTCCTCTTGTCCAAGCTGCAGGTTCGTAATCTTCACGCTCCAGCTTGCGGGGGAGTATTAGCGGACATGGGCCAGCTGGCCCAGCCGCAACCAGTCTTTACAAAGCCCATCCTGGGCTCGTCTGGAATTGGGCAAACCGACCGAGAACCCAGGGCGTCCCATGCGCAGCACGTCTCCTTTACGTGCCCTAGCTGCTTTATCCTTGTTGATAGATATAAGGATATAAGAACCAACTGTAAGGCCGATGGCCATCGTTAAGCATTGATCAATAAGAAAACAGCCGGAGAGTTAAGCTCTCCCGTGGACTAGTCCCGATATCGGGGAAACCACGTAAATCTCGTCTTGTTCTTTCTTACTGCTTCCGCGAATTTTACTGATTAAAATACTTGCTACGTTTAATGTGGCTCTACTACGAAAACAAGTGTGGAGCTTGTTTGGTAACTTAAAATACGTAGTTGCTCGAATCATGAAGGCAAAAGTCTACCCTTGTAGGTTGCAATCCCGATCATATGTAGAGTTGAAAATGAGACACATATAGACATATGGAACGATCACTCCGTAGTCTGTTCCAAAGCCACCCATCCCAAATTGGTGACACTACTATTTGGGAGAGCTAACATACCATACATGATACATCCATAACACGGAAGGCAACGGTCTTGCATACACATTTCAATACAAAATATCGTGTTAAAATACAACAAGTTACTAAATAAAAACCATCAATCGACTCGCCATGTTCGACAATGAATGAAAGGATTGATTTGTTAAAAACTAATAGTTGAAGCCTGTGCATATGACAAAATATTAGTACAGGGCCTAGAGCGGTAACCATCAACGAATAACCGCTGCAAAATATTAAACGGCGTCAGAAGGCGACGTCAAAACTCATACAAGAATTCAGAACTCGTCGTCACATTGACGTTTCCGTGACCTAACGGAAATCCAGTCGGTCGGCCCAGACTCCAAAGTCCACTGGCGGAACAAAAAAATAAAAAAAAAAGTTATAAAGACCTCTGAGAATAACATCACCAATAACCGCACTCTCTCTCGTCATCTATCAATCTCCGGCAGCAAGAATGGCCTTGGTACCGGCTGGGAATCCTATAGTCGAGCAATCGGAACCTGATGTCCCTCCAGGGATGACGGTGGAGGCGACAGCGACGGCGGAGGCAGAGCAGGGGATTGAAACTGTAGGAGAAGCGCCGGAGGACGCGGCCGCGGCGGCGCAACCAGAGGCGACGAAGTGGCCGGGATGGCCGGGGCATAACGTGTTCAGGCTTATAGTTCCGGTGGCGAAAGTAGGTAGCATTATCGGAAGAAAGGGCGAGCTGATTAAAAAGATGTGCGAGGAAACGGGAGCGCGAATCCGCATCCTCGAAGGGCCCCTCAGTATTCCCGATCGAATAGTCAGTATTCGTTTCTTGCCCTTCGAATTGCAGAGTTTGCTCTTTCTTTATTTTTACTATGCGATTGAAAGTTTTGAGCTTTGATTGGGTTTCTTTGTGCGATTGTGAATTGAGATTGCTCATATTATGCAAACCCTAGTTCCTGGATGTATTTTCCAGTTGTGGAATTGAGGACCACCAATGGCACCTGAATGAGATAACGGAAATTTGGGTTTAGATACTGTATCACGGTTGCTAGTTGTTGAGCGATAGTGAGCTGGGGCAAAGCCGTTCCTTTGTGCTTATTCGGATTATGGAGTATCTGATTCCAGGGTTTCTAGCTTGCTCTAGGATTTTTGTTACTCGGAAAATCATGGTTAACAATTGAGTTCAGCCTGGCTTGATTTGTTTCAGTCACTTGAGTTTAGATGGAAACCTTTATCTCTTTTTTGCCAGTTCTGTGCTTAAAGTTCCTCTACACAATTATTTCATGCACCTATTTTTCGAGAGCCCTCTTCCCTTGTCCTGAATTTCTCCTTATTCTCGTGTTCAGATTTCTGAAAGACCATTTATATTCTGGGTAAATTGTGGGGGATAACTAATCTTGTTGAATCAGTTATGGGAACAATAGGTGAACTTCTTTTTTCATTGTTCATCCTTGCTAGGTTTTGATATCCGCAAAGGAAGAACCAGAAGCACCAGTATCACCAGCAATGGATGCGGTGTTAAGAGTGTTCAAACGTGTCAATGGTCTATCTCCTGGTGAAGGTGACAGCACAAATGCTGCAGCTGCTGGCGCTGCATTTTGTTCCATTAAGTTATTAGTTGCAAACTCGCAAGCAATTAACTTGATTGGAAAGCAGGGATCCACAATAAAATCAATACAGGAGAGTAGTAGCGCAGCTGTGAAGGTGTTAGCTGAAGGTGAGTCACAAATAAAGTCCTTTAACTGTTCTTCATTTTCAAATGCACTAGTTCAAGTTTTTTGGGTTGAATTTTTCCAATTCCAACGTAACAACTTAAGGCTAATTATTCTTCCCTATTCTCTTTACTCCATTCTTGACTAATCATGTGTCCGAACCTATGTAGGGCTGTTTGCAGTCAATTTAGCAGAACATGTGGGAAAAGCTGTTTTTACAGTTTTCCTTTTCCATGAGCATGTTTAGCATCAGCATGGCTTTCTGTGTAAAACTTGTACTAATTTAAACTCAATACTTGCCTGATCAGTAAACTTTTCGATCCATTGTGGCATGTTAGACTTTTGATTTGAGCATTAGTAGATTGAAAATTTTGTCTCGAAGTCGCTGTTTGCTTTGTCCTGCTTTATTTCTCGGAAAGGAAGCATCTTAAAACTCATGCTTTTCTTTGTAGGCGACTCACCTTCCTATGCTGCTTCAGAGGAGCGACTTGTGGAGATACACGGGGAAGCACTGAAGGTTCTTAGCGCACTAGAAGCAGTAATTGGACAACTGAGGAAGTTCTTGGTTGACCAAAGTGTCATCCCCATGTTTGAGAAAATTGTAAGTAGTACTATTAGACCTTAGTTGATCTTGGTATAGGAATTAAACTACCGTTTACGCTAATACGATCTGTTTGTTGCAGACAAAGGAGCGTTCTGCTGATTCCAAGCCTGATAGAGTTCAGCCCTCACTGCAGTATTCTGTTTCTGCTTCTCAGACAGGGAGTATCAGTTCCGACTATTCCCTGTCAATAAAGAGGGATCCTTTGCTATTTGAACGTGACACACATATCGAACAACAAAAAGTTCTACAGCCTGGGCTCTCTCTGTATGGACAAGACCATGCACTTGGGTTGCGTTCAACAGGTCTTGCTCATGCTAATGTCCCCATAGTTACTCAGGTAGAGTCTCAAATTGGTCGTGGTTGTCCCATTATCACAGTTCAAACGATCTTTCCACCTTTTTGTTCTGTTAAATTGTTCCCCAAGAAATCTGGAACATTCAAGTATGAAAAGGGACTGATATGGGCATTTTCTTTCAGGTGACACAAACTATGCAAGTGCCACTCTCGTATGCGGGTGATATCATTGGAGTTAACGGTACACATATTGCCTACATTCGCCGTGTCAGTGGAGCAGTTCTCACAATTCAAGAGAGTAGAGGTTATCCTGACGAGATCATAGTTGAAATCAAGGGCACTACGACCCAAGTCGAGAAGGCTCAACAGCTAATTCAGGTTTGATTTCAAAATTTCCCTCGATTAGGATGACGTCAGAGCTGGTATTGATACAATCATTCTTTTGCCGTCAAGAGTTGCTAAAACAATATTGGTGGTGGTAATTTGTTTTGCAGGAGTTTGTAGGTAATCACAAGGATCCGGTGGTGGCACCACAGAGTTCGTATGGGAAGATCGATGCAGGATATAGCTCCTACTCGCAACAGTTGCCAGAGACCAACTATTCATCTTCTTACTCTCCTGGACTAGGTGGAGGAGGAGGAGCTTATGGATCCCCTGGTTTAGGATTAGGAGGCTATGGCGGTTACAGATATTGAATCGTACCCGTGTTGTAATGTAATCAAATCTACTCTGCAGGATTCACTCATGGGCGCAAATGCAATGTTTCTGTAGTGGCTAACCGGATATCGTGGTTGAGTCGTTTTCGTAACATAGAACAGATCTTTGTAAATCATCATTCCTTTGTCCTCTCTAAATTTGAATTTTTGGAGTGGAGATAGCGAATTGTTTACCCCGTTCTATTGCAGGTGCCAAGGTGATTGATGAAATTGACGAGATTGCGTAGAAATTTTGGTTGATTGTTTGACGAACTTAACATAGTTGTGTGAGAAAAATGTACTATACAACTTCGTTTTCTCCCTATCCGTCGAACTACTTCGTTCCTTTGTACGTCTTTCGGCTCGTAATACTCTACTGACTGGGGTAAAATGATGGGGAAAATTGTTTTTTAATGCAATTTTGGCGAACATTTTATCTCGTCGCTCTGCAAAAGATAAAAACCAGTAAACCACCTCATTTCACCTTGCCGTCGCTTAAAATCCCCTACTCCAGCGCTTTGCTTTGTGCCCGCGCCTCTTCAGTCTCGACGACAGCCCACCGCGCGCCCGAATCTCCTCGGCGTCGGACATTGCCCGTCGGAGCCCCGTCTTCCTTCGTCTTTCAGTTGCTGTTGCGTCGCTCTTTGTTTCCTCCATCGGGAAATCAGAATCTAGTCTTGCCGCTCTTTGTCGTCCCAAAAACTACGGCGGCCGCCGAGTGGTTATGTATTTATGATTATTTCTCTGTCCCGACGCAGCTGCTGGTGCTTTGGTCTCTCGCGCATTGCATATATAGCTCTTCATCGTCTCAAGAGGCGGGTGCGGTTGCCGCCGCTGGTCTCATAGTCAGATTTCAATTGATTTCTCTCAATCCTAACTCCGGCCGGCTTTTCTGTGACCTAATTCCAAGCCACTGACGAACTGATTCAGCTAACGGCACGCTGCTGGTGTCTTCTTCTTGTTCTCCTTTATCATCTGACTCCGGCGGCGATGGCCCTGGTACGTTAACCTGAATGATATTAGTCTTGGAATCCTGTAGTGGTGCGGTTTTCCGGTGTATCTTAGACTCTCTGTATGCTAAATGCGTGGTTGTTTTGGCGATTACAGTTATTATTGTCTCGTGGAGAATCATCAATGGCGGCAACTCAAATCTCTTTCATTCAGTTTCTGGACCAAGCTGTTGGCAACATCAAGCGCAAGTTCGATGATATGATCGCCAACATTAGTTGTTGCAAAGCTATCACAGATTCATATACGAGGTAAAATTTGCTTCCATTACATTCTACCACTGAATTAACATTTGTCCAGCATTTCTGAACCTCAAATACTCTCAGGCATGGCAATGTGCTTGGTAATGGCTCGTTGGACGACATCATGAACTCTATTGGGCGTCATTGCCAGTTAAGATCCGAGGACTGGTTCTCAAACAAGAATGAAGATAATAATGGAGGAAACTCACCCGCTGTTTTCAGTGTGTTGGATGATATGCTAAGGGAACGTCTGGAGCGGTTGAAATCGATGAGGTGAGGGCTGGTCTTTTTGGATTCCCTTTTATATTACATGGTTTGTAGGAAGAGTCATCAATTGAAGGTGATATTTCTTCATTGAATGTTCTGGATTACTTGCAAATTGTTGAATGAGAAGTGGTAAACAAATTAAGTCCCTTTTCGGTTAATTTTTGCAGGGAAAGTATGTCTCTGACGAACATTGATGTAGTTGCACATATCAAAGAAAACATTGTTCTAGATGGAATCACTACTGTTGGTGTTAGAGAGCATTCATCAACAATTAGGAATTTATGTCTAGGGGGTAAGTTGGGAGTTGCTTTGTTGCTGAGGAGAAAAATGATGCAGAATGGTTTCGTGCCAGATGTTTTCACCCACAATCATATTGTGAATGGACTATGCAGGATGGGGGAGCTGGACATGGCAGGTAGGCTTATTAGTGAAATGTTGGAGAAGGGTCCGCTTCCCAACTCTGCCACCTATAATACCCTTGTCAAGGGTTACTGTCTCATGATTAATCCTCAAAGAGCTTGCAATCTTCTCTATCATATGAGCAGAACTGGCTTCAGGATGAACACTGTTACAGTTAATATACTCATGGATGCATTCTGTAAGGAGGGCATTTTTGAAGAAGCTTACAAATTTTTGGACGAGAATGTGACAGCGAAACCAGATTCGGTAACCTTTACTATCTTCATGGATGGCTACTTCAAGAGCAAAGATTTTGGTAAAGCCCTAGGTGTTTGGGAAGCAATGTTGGAAAATAATCTCCAGTTGGATGTTGTTGCCTACACTGTTCTTATCCATGGACTTTGCTTGGCCCGAGAGATAGAACTTGCATATAGCTATTCTTGTCAAATGCTAAAAAGAGGTATACTTCCAGATATCTTTACATACAACACCATCATATCTGGCCTTTGTAGAGTGGGAAAATTTGATGAGGTGAAATACATACAGAAAGTGATGCTAAGTATGGGTGTCGCTCCAGATCAAATCTCATGCAAAACGATTATTCGCAGCTTATGCCTCCGTGATGTTTATCAGGCGAAAAATTACCTAATTTATATACAGAAGGCTGTAGTGCCGGAACCTCTGGTGTGGAACCTTGTAATTGATGGTCTTGCTAGACTTGGAGATCTTGATACAGCAGACCAAATTCTGAAACAGATGCTGTCGAAGGGTGTTGAACCAAATGTGTATACATACAATGCATTGATTCTTGCATGTATGAGAAAAGGAGACATCAACACTGCAATTACTAGGAAAGAAGACATGCTTTCTAAAGGGATTAATCCTGATGTGGTGACCTATAATCTCTTGATAGGCGCCGCTTGCAATGGTCAGGATATTCGGCGGGCATATCAATTACTGTATGAAATGCGGCTAAGGAGCCTGGAACCGGATATGATAACTTACACAAAACTTATCCGAGCTCACTTTATTAGTGGTGATTTGAATGCCGCACGGGAAATCTTTTCCTACTTAAGGAAGACTGGTTTAGCTGTAGATCGTGTTTCATCTCTGATACTTACCAAGAGTTATAGAAATATGAGACAGATAGGACGTTATATAAAGTGGCGGGAGAGGAATCATGGAATCTTGGCTCTTCCAGAAGAGGCTGTAGACGCTTCTAGTTAGACACTCGCTGTAACTGGCTGAGCTATAGACTGTGTTTCATCTCTGATACTTGCCAAGAGTTATAGAAATATGAGAAAACTAGACCGTTATATTAAGTGGCGGGAGAGGAATGGTGAAATCTTGGCTCTTCCTTGAGAGGCTGTAGACACTTTGAATTGGACATTCGTTATAACTGGCTGATGGCTACCTTTTGTAGCACTGTACAGTGGTGGGTTTTCTGTATAATTTATGCAGTTGTTCACTGTAAGCTTTCTTTGCGACGAACCAGTTAAAATTTCTGCTCCCTTTCTGGGCAAATGGAAATTGTAATGGTGGAATTCTTGTCTTCTAGATAAGTTGGCCTCTTAAGCTGCTTAAGATGATAGAGTTAAAGAGATTCATGATGCAGTTTCAAGGTTAATCTCTAGTGAAGTTTCAAGGTTCTAAAGCATTGAAAGCATTGCTAACTACTGAGAACTCAGGAGGATTATTGCCTCTTCATCCCTATTTCGAGAAAAATGTAAGTATCATACCCAATATTTTCACGAGCTTAATATCTTGAGAATATAAACTAATCGTTGCTCCTTGCAGTGCAAATCAACAATGATACCCGAGTGCTCTGCTCATATCAAGCTGATAATTGTAAGTCCTCACTGCCATCTGTCATTGCTTTGTGGGTAGGGATTACGCTGAAGGGGCTGGTGACTGTGAAATTTACCAGGAGGGCCATTTACATTCTTGGCAGCGTTTGCATAAGTCATTTTGCCAGTTTTTTTTTTTTTTTTTTTTTTAATTCGTGTCCCTTATGCAACATAAGCTATTCGGCGGGATAACTATTCTGGTTGCAGTTTTGGCTGTACTAGACACACCGTCTTGTTTAAGTTCTGGGTTTGTGGCATTCTCAAATTTCTGTTTCCCCCACTGAATAAAGTTGCAGCTCAAGACAATATGTGGTGACGATGTGACGTTTTTTTCACATCAATGGACTGCTAATGTGCTTTTGTTTACAGGAATTTGAGTTACAGTGCCACAAAAGTTAATGGATTGAATATTCCACCTTAGAGGTAAACATGCACGGATTGAACTTGGCTTTCTTTGTTGGTTCTCTCTCATCGTGTTTTCTCCATATATGAATTTAATCCTTTAGTTATTTGTCCGTAATTCAATTATGCTTCAGGTGGATATGAATTTAATCCTTTAGTTATTTGTCCGTAATTCAATTATGCTTCAGGTGGCAAAACCATGCAGGAAGTTCTCTCTCTCATATGCAAAGGATCCCTTGGAAATTTATGCTTCAGCTGAGCAGTCGACACAATTATAGAGAGTCAGAGACTTTCCAGATTAGATCACCGTAGAAGTCGAGAGCCACCAGCAGTTCTGAGGTTTGAGATGGCTTAAAAGCTTACACAGGTACATAGTTTTTGCTGGTTAGCATGTCAGTGAGCATATCGACCGTAGATCAGATGAATGCACTCGACCACCTGCATTGGCAGGTTTCATCATTCAAATTAGCCTTTTCATGCTCGAATATTCTTAAAAAATCTTGGGTTACCCTGTATGTCTTTTTGGTGCTTGCATCTTCTTGATTGAATTTACTCTCTCTGTATCTTCTAGCAAAAACAATGTGGTAATTTAAACAAGCATTCTATAATAGTAGTTATTATCTTCTGTAGCTCTGTTTCCTTCTGATGTCATATGCGCAAGATCTAAGAAAATCGCGTGGTCATCTTTTGTAGGAGTTCACAAGGACTAGTGCCACCAAGATTGTATCAGATGACATCTGCAGTACGTAGTAAGCTGTGCTCTGAAAATCAAATCGTAGGCTAAATTAAACACTAAAGATGATTTCAATTACAGGAATTGGAGAAAAGGAGTGGATCAAAGTTTCAACATTACAGTCTTTTTCTTGACATTGTTTTGCAGATGGATCGTCTTACAAGTTACAACGCTAAAAATCAACCCCATAAACACTCTGCCCAGCCGATAACCTCACCAAGCTTCAACGGCACTTGTACACGTCGCAGAATGTCTGAACACCTAACATCACCAACAGCAACACAGCAGCCATCACCTTAGCAACATCCCACGAAACCTTCAGATACTTCTTCACCACCTTCGACATCTTGATCTTCCTATGGCTGTTGTAGTGCTCATTCACTACCTTTACGTGATCATCAAAACCCGTCTTGTCTTCTGGATCACCACTCCCCGCCATCCCAACAAATAGCTCCACAATCTTCCCATCCTCAGTATCCGTCGGAAGTACAATGATTCTCTCTTCCTTCAGAATCATCACGTCGGCTGCACTCCTGACCAAACAACTCATCAGCTGAACCCACCGGTTCACAATCAGATTCTCCGACTTCGCCATCAACTCGTAAGCCGCAAGGTTTCTGATCAGCACCTCGCAGTTGGGGTTCCAGGTGAACGCCGGAAGCCACAGCATTTTCAAATTGGTGTCGTAACGGAGGCTTCGGATGCCATCTCTAGTACAGCCAAACTGTAAGCCGACGCTTCTCAACTGGGAAGCCGTGGGGAGCAGAACCTCTTCCTCGTCCTCTCCAATCGCCTTCCTCAGCCGTTCGGAGATCCCCAGAGCTTTCGACAAGCGGACGACACGATCCACTGGCGCCGCCACAGACTGAATCAGACCGATGTTGGCATCTTTCGCTTCGTCCCAGAGATCGGCGACAAACTCCTCTGCTATTCTCATTGCAGCCTTTGTTGTCCTCCCCATTCTCGCCCGTTCATCCAGAGGTTTGTCTTTCAGCCAAATCAACTGGTACATAACGTCCAGCAAGTGCCGCGGCTCGATAAGGCCGACATCCGGGTATGTCTCGTGCAGGTCGAAAGGCGACAGCTTGCAACAGAAGGCAAATAACAGCACAGTTAAAGGCTCGGAGATGGAGGAATCGGCGTACTTGGTTTCTACCTCCATGAGCAGGGAAAGAGGGATTTGGTTCTCCAGCATCAGGACATCTTTCACTACGCTATCTCCGTTGACCTTTCTCTCTGAAGAGTCAAGGAAGTGACGCCGGGAACTGTGACGGAGCTCCCCATAATTGTGGAGATAGTCGAGCAGGAACAACCCGTCAATCGCCACGATCCAGGCCAGGGCTTCGTCGGAGATTTCCAGGTGCTTGTCGTAAGAGCAGCGGATTGCGGGCAGTAATGTGGACAGGCACCGGACGAACTCCGGGAATGAGGGGAGATGGAGGGAGCTGTGTGCCCGTTTCGCCGCCGCGAGCTTGAACGTCTGCATTGGGTAGAGCTCTGGCTTGAAATGGTGGAGAGGGCCTATGGCGATCAGCTGGGGAGCGTAGGCTTCTGGGTTTTGGGATCTGAGGTTGTCTGGGACTTGGAAAATGCTGAAGGAGTGTTCTGTGACGCTTTCGAGGTCTTGGTCGAGGCTGCCATTGACGTGGGCGACCCAGTTCTTCACTGTGAAGCTCGAGTTGATCACTGAATCTGCAGAAGAGGAAGAAGGAGCCATTGGAGGTTGTTTTTTTTTGCTTGTTTGGTTTGTAGTAAATGAACACCAGGTGAAGGCTTCTAGTAGTAGGAGAATTATTTACCTCGTGATGATTTGGACTTTGGAGTCGAGTCAGATTATCAGCAAAAGCTGACGTTTGACGAAGACGATACGTGTCAGAAAGTCGGTACGAAGGACGATTCGACAGCCTATAAGTCACGGCAACCATTTTTGTTTTTTATTTAAGCGGGTTTTGTTTTACCTTAGACAGGGATGCCCTCTTTCACCCTATCTCTTTACGCTTTGTGTAGAAAGATTAGGTCACTGTATTTCTGAGGCTGTTGATGGTAAAAGATGGATTCCGATTAGACTTTCCCCTGGAGGACCCCCTTTGTCTCACCTTTTCTTTGCGGACGATCTTGTCCTTTTTGCTGAAGCCTCTTTGAAGCAAGCAGAAATCATCAACCAATGTGTTGAATGTTTCTGTGATGCCTCAGGAGAGTTGGTGAGCAGGGAAAAGTCTAGAATTTTGTTTTCCAAGAACACTAGAGATAGAGATAGGAAAGACATTTGTGATAAACTTGGGATCCAATCCACCCTTGACTTAGGAAAGTACCTAGGGGTCCCTGTCATCCATGGAAGGATTAATAGGAACACTTATCGTTATATCATTGACAAAATTGATCAGAAATTGTCTTCATGGAAAGCCAGAACCCTTTCCCTTGCTGGTAGGGTTACCCTCGCTCTTTCTGTGTTGAATGCCATCCCTGTGTATGCTATGCAGACCTCTATGATTCCTATTTCTGTTTGTGAGTTGATTGACAAGAAAATCAGGGGGTTTGTCTGGGGATCGAGTGAGGAAAAAAAGAAAGTTCACCTTGTCTCTTGGGATAATGTTTGTAAACCTAAGAACCAAGGGGGGCTGGGTTTAAGGTCTGCTAGAAGCCTTAATCTTGCCTTCATGATTAAGCTTGCTTGGCAGATTCTTAACAATAGCTCCGATTTGTGGGTGCAGGTTATACAGGGAAAATATTTCAAGCACAAGGAGGGCCAAATTGTGGGAATGAAAAAAAGCAACCACTCTAGCTTGTGGAAGGCAATCATGAAGGCCATGCCCCTTATGAAGAGTGCCACAAACTGGAGCATCAGGAATGGAAGAACCACTAGCTTCTGGCATCATCCATGGCTGGATCAAGGCATTTTCCTCAAGGATTTCATTACTCAGAATAGTCCTATCCCACATGAGGACTCATCAGTTGCTGACTGGACAGACTACAATGGAAACTGGGATTGGCAAAAGCTTCAGACCCTCCTCCCTCATAATCTCCTGCCCCTGATTGCTGGAATGGAACCCCCAAAAAGTAATATGGGAGAAGACAAATGTATTTGGGGCTTGGAGAGGGACGGGAGGTTTAGGCTCAAATCAGCTTATAAGCTTGCTGCTGATCAGCTGGAGACAACTGAGGAGGGTTTTTGGAAGAAGCTCTGGAGTTGGAAGGGGCCAAGTCGCACAAAACACTTCCTTTGGTTGGTGATGCATGACAAACTTCTCACAAACAAGGAACGCGTGAAAAGGAAGCTCACCCTGAATGGCAACTGTAACCATTGTAAGGACACTGAAGAAACCACAGAACATATCATCAGACTCTGCAGGAAGACTGAAGGGGTCTGGGAAAAGTTCAGAACCAGGGTTACTTGCAAGGATAGAAACCTACCTTTCAAGGAGTGGATGTCCAAGAACCTTGAGGATGCAAACCAAGGTACTGAATTTGGCCTGATTGTGTGGCACCTTTGGAAACAGAGGAACGAGGAATGTATGGAAGGCACTGTGTATGTGGAGAAATCACTTATTTGCAGGATTGAGGCTTGGTTCAATATTTATAAGAAGGCCCTGCAAAATGTGGACAGAAGCTTCATGCCCGAAAGAACGAGAAGTGAAGTCCAGGTTGGATGGATCCCTCCACCTGAGGGATGGGTACAGGTCCAGACTGATGGTTCTGTCCTCTCTCCCTCAGGTTTTGCTGCTGCAGGTGGCCTTATTCGTGACTGCTTGGGACGCTGCTGTGCAGCTTTTGCTTGCAACTTGGGAAACTGCTCAATCACTGCAGCAGAACTCAAAGGAGCAGCTGTTGGGCTTGAGATCGCATGGGAGAAGGGCTTCCGCCATGTTGAGCTCAAGCTGGACTCTACTACTGCTATCACCATTATGAAAAACCGGTCGGATGATGATCACAGGCATGGACTGCTGGCCCAACACATCAGCAACCTCCTGAATCGTGAATGGATTGTGTCTGTTTCTCATGTGTATAGAGAAGGAAATCATGCTGCTGATTTTCTTGCTAGTTTTGGTCACAATCTTACTTTTGGAACACATCATGTTGATGTGGACAGCCATGAGCTTTGTAAATGGCTTGACTATGATGTTATGGGTGTTTCACAACCCAGGTTCATTAATATATGAGTTCTAGACGCTTTAGCGTCTGTCTTTGACCAAAAAAAAAAAATAATTTTACCCTCCCAAACTATTGTTGCATTTTTTTATTTTTTATTTTTTTTTTGCTGTCTTGCATGATGATGGGACTATTAACTATGTGGTCGAATTGGTCATATCTCGATATTTAGTCTTTAGATGCACATAAGTCCGGTTTTGTAAATATTATTTTGTCAATATCTAGCGAATGTAGGATCACGTAACGAAGGATTCAACGACATCAAGAATTGTCTAGACTTATCGCGCAAGTCCTTGTCTGGGGACCTATCAGCATCTTGGGGAAGCTCCAAAATTGGAAGATATCGAGGAGGAGGTCGAAATAATAATGTGATTATCTGGTAAAATATAAAACGTGCCTGATAGGGAACCGAATGAAGGACCGCGAAGAGCATCAACTGTGAAGCTCTAAAATTCTTCTGTGTTTTTTTTTTCTTATGGGTCAACTAATTTGTGGCTTTTCAGTTGGTCATGCTTGCAAAGTTCGTGCCATTTAGAGTTGGTTGTAATATGGTTTTGAAGGGTATTTAGTGTTTGTTATGTGTGAAAGGTGGGTGCAAGTTTGTTATGTGTGAAAGGTGGGTAAATTACATAGCGGATCCCTCCACTAAAATACAAATCCATTCAAGAAAAAAGGCCCAGTCCAAGGACTAATGGACGGGGCCCAAAAATTAAGGCCCAGCTTCTAAGCGCCGAATGAACCAAGTCACCAGCAAAAGGCTTTTTTCCGCCCTTTTTGACAGTCCAACGAAAAGCTTAGCGGTGGACTGCTGTGTTGTCGAGTCAGAACTTTACAGGTATCCTTTCCTCTGTCGCTGTGTTCTTCATTTGGCGAGCCTCTTCCCCGTCGAAACTTCTCCGTCCGCCATCGCTCTGCCTTTTTCCATTCGTTTTTTGCAGCTTGGCCATGGTGTGCTAATTGTGAATTGTGAATTGTGAATTGTGATGTCACTCGTTCCGATACCTTACAGTGTCTTGTTATCTTCTTCGCCCTCCCTATGATTTTCCCGCCCTTTGACTCGAAGTAGCTATACGAGAACGAGATCCGCCCTCGAAACATTTCTGTGTTCCTTCGAGTGTTATCATTTGCTTGTTGGTTCGACTTCTTTTCGTCTCAACTAGAACTCTTCGTCTCTCTCACCCGTTTGGCAGCTAGGTTTTGACGATTCCAGTATCGTCAATTTTGGTGGATTAGATAGTTCTCAAATTGTGTGCTGTATATTGGTGCCACTGTTCCTTCAATTGCCATGGTTGTTTGAACACGCTGTCTCTCTCTCTATAAGACCTAGCTGATTGAATTACTTGGGTTCTCTTCTGTTTCTGTAGGCCTGACTGAACACAAGGTGCTGAAGCCTCAGTTGTGCGAAGAAGAAGAAGAAGCCTGTAAGTAATCTCTCCCAATTATTCATTGTGGAGTTTGTGAAGCTTGTTCATAACTTATTGTTGCTTAATCCTTGTTAGCATTCGTTTGATTCCTCGGTTTCTCCACGGAGTGCTATTATTTGTAGATTCAATTATTGAGCCTTTGGATTCCTAGATTTTCCAATCATCTCCTGTCCAATATGATTCCTTTAATCATTTCCTGATCTAATTAAGAATAGTTTCAATTAGTGGAACCCCAGTGCTGCAGAGTCAGAGAGGACTCGGAATATTGTTTTTGTCAGTACTCATAGCCCAGATAATATAAACTATCTAAATACCCGGCCGGTTTGTTATAGGATACATCAAAAAGATATGCATTATGATTAATAAAGGTGTGTTTTCATCATAATCACTCCACTTTATTAATTTTTTAAGAGAGTAGGAACAAAACAACCGGAAGAAGGAGAAGAGAGGAGCAGAGACGGAGAATATTGGGGGTCTTGAAATTGCAACCATCATGGCAGAGCTTTGCACACTAGATTTGTCATAGCCGGGGAAAAATATTATGGGTTTATTGGGTTTAGCCAATTCATCATCGCTTATAAATCTCAACGTTGCTTCTTCTACATCTTCCCTCCGGCCTTCTTTGCCTTCCCTGTTCCCTTCTCTTTCTTCCTTCCGGATTCAACCTCTCTCCGCAGGTAAGTTCTTATAAAAAAAAGCTTCCTCTTTTATGATTCCTTTTAAGTGGGCTGATATTCAGTCCATGGCTTTGTTCTGTGTGTTTCGATTTGGCAGGGAACAAGAAGTTTGTGGCCCTAGTGCAGAATCTCGATCGTAATTTGGATAAGGAGCTGCTGAGTGAACCGATGGAGTCGGACAAGGATGAATCCCAGGGTGGTTTGAATCGAGGCCTCTACCCTCCTCTTGATCCCTACGATAGTGGGTTTTTGAAAGTCTCTGACCTCCACTCCATCTACTACGAACAGTCTGGGAATCCTAGTGGCCATGTCGGTAGCTCGTTCCTTCTGCCTTTGACTTTCCCCTCTTCTTTGCTGTTTTTGATTTTGCTTAGGCAATATCACCTTCCAAATTCAAATAGATACGTCGAGCCTGAATGGGATAAACTTGTGAATGGAATCTTCGGTTTGAAAGAAATTTTGGCATTGCATTCAGTTCATTGCTAGTGATGCGAAACTCTAGCTTTTGTTTCATGATGTTATTATGGATTCTTGCAGCCAGTTGTCTTCCTTCATGGTGGACCTGGTGGAGGAACTGCACCGAGCAATCGAAGGTTCTTCGACCCGGAGTTCTACAGAATAATCCTCTTTGATCAGGTTTATGATTCTCACATCTTAGAATTGTGCTCTGAAGTGAATAGATTTTAAGGGTTGCATCCAATTCATGGTTATAATTGTACACACTGGTTTATGCTTGTACTTCTTTGGTAATATTCATCATTTCAAACAATCTTTGAATCCTAAATCTTCATTATTCTAGAGAGGTGCAGGGAAGAGTGTACCCCATGCTTGTTTGGAGCACAACACCACCTGGGACCTTGTCAGTGATATTGAGAAACTAAGAGAACACTTAAAAATCCCAGAATGGCAGGTGATGGAAGTTTTATTTGATTCATTATCAATTAAGAAGGCTCGTGTTTGCCTATGTAGGAGATGATTATCTTTTGAAGATCATTATTTTCATCTTGTAGGTGTTTGGTGGTTCATGGGGAAGCACACTTGCGCTTACTTATAGCCAATCTCATCCTGACAAGGTGCTTTTCCTTGCCTCGTTTTGCAAAACAATTAGATGGAAACGCAATAAACAAGCATGTCTTCTTGTTAGCTATCACCATCATAATTATATTTTCCCACTGAAATTTTCTTAGGTGACCGGCTTGGTCCTCAGAGGAATTTTTCTTCTACGAAAGAAGGAGATTGATTGGTTCTATGAGGGTGGTGCTGCAGCCATATTTCCTGATGGTATGCTACGCACAACTCACTTGACTCCACCTATAGTTATATGTTTTTTTTCCTCCGTCTGTTATGATGTACTGTTTAAGCAGCTTCTTCTGTTGCTATTAAGTGAAGCTAGGATTAAGCTCATGTGTTTACCTTTTGGTTGTTCTTACGTGAATTGCTTTTTCTATCCCTTATGGAAGAGTCGAAAGAAGACTGGGAAATATGGGGTTATTGTTAAAAAAAATACTGTCTTGTTGCCTGAGGCTGTGAAATCACCTTAGTCTTCTATATTCCAGGAACCATACTAAGTTGTAAACTGGTATGCTTTGTTGTCGAAATTGATCCACTGCCAAGCTCTTAAGTCACTCAGGCCGATCTATGTTGGAGACTGGAACTTTTTATACTTCGTTGATTACAACTTGCTTTTCTATTGACGTGCTTGATCTAAAAGCTGTCATGTGTTTGGTCTTGATACAGCTTGGGAGCCATTCAGGGATCTGATTCCAGAAGATGAAAGAGGATCTTTTGTCAATGCTTACAGCAAGAGGCTGAACAGCGCCGACATGGAAATTCAAGTAAGAATTTCTGAGAGCTGTCTCAGTGTTCAACGAAAACAGTTAACATTTTATTGGTCTATCTTATCTTATTCAAAGGTGAAGTTTTCTAGTAGTGTATGTGTGCATTACCCTCCTTATTTTTTAGTATGCAGCTGCAAGAGCCTGGACCAAATGGGAAATGATGACTGCCTATCTTATTCCAAGTGAGGAGAGCATCAAGAGAGGTGATGACGACATGTTTTCATTGGTAAGCTTACATAAAGTGAAGCATTCCTATTTTCTTCTTCTCGTTGTTCTTCTCTTTCTAAGTGATGATGATCCGCCCCACATTCCATGGCACTCGAAGTTGACCTTTCGCTTCACCCGTCCCTTTTGTTTCTCACAATAATTCTGTTGTGATCCCGTTCAGGCATTTGCAAGGATTGAAAACCACTACTTTATTAACAAAGGCTTTTTCCCTTCGGATTCATACCTGTTAGACAACGTGGATAAGATCAGGCACATCAACACTACAATTGTCCAGGTGTGTATGCACCATCTCATGTCTGCTCCCAACCTAGAAACTCTACTTTCTAGCACCTTTATAAAATGGTCGGTCCACCGCGACTCGCTTTAGTCCCTGCTCTCCACCAGCAGTTGTATAATTTTGCTTCCATTTGATTTGGATAATTTTGTAGGGAAGGTATGATGTTTGCTGCCCCATGATGTCTGCTTGGGATCTGCACAAGGCATGGCCAGAAGCAGAATTCAAGGTAACTCTTACTAATAACTAGTTTGCTTTCGAGCTCGAGCCGAGGAGGATTCTGGACTAACTAGAAACAACATACTTTTTCGGCAGATTGTTAGGGATGCAGGGCACTCTGCGAACGAACGAGGGATTACTGCAGAGCTTGTTGCTGCAAATGAGAGGCTAAAGAATATCATTAGGAACAAATCGTGAGAGCCAAAGTGAGTCAGAATCTGGATTAGGAGAAAAACAAAGCAACCCGGAAGTCGCATATGTCTGAAGAGTGAACCAAATAATTAGCAGTACAATGCCAACATAAAGACCAACCTTGTTTGTTATCGGAATCCGTTTTGTGTTCTGCACTTTTTATTATGTTTTGATTATATGGCTGCCATGGTAAGCACTCTGCATCATCGTGGTAAAACGACGTAAACAAATTTCGAGATCGGAGTTCAAATGAACAAGATATATGAGCGAAAAAAGAATAGAGAGAGAGAGAGAAACAATGAAAGAGAGAAACAAATTGATGGCAAGCAGCTGGGTAAGAACAAACGAAGGGAACAAGAAAAAAAAAAAAGTGGAGGCTCTTAAATAAGACAGATGAAACTTGATGCAACTATAGCCTACAGTAACAAATGGAACACAACCAACAAGAAAATGGTCAAATTAGAGATTTAGGCACTAAGAACAATGGTATACAACCAAACTCTCAACTCCAATTCAAGGTAAGACAAATGCAGTATGAAATCTTGTTAATTATGTCGTTCTGTCAAGAACCCCAGGCCCAGAATATGTACAGACATTTGACCTTACACCGAACCAACATTTGAATCGAGTCGGAGCAAATTGAGCACATAGCGATTCACCCAATATCTATGAATTCATTGATAGTTAAGAAGAAAGAAAAAAAAAACGTACTGAAATTAAATTTGGACCTGACATAATTGTATCTAAATAGTTCCTTTGTTTTTAGTTCCGATTCTATCTCAATTCGATCGAAATCTGCACCTACTCCGACACGACATACTCTCTCCATCCATCTCTAGAAGAGGAAGATTCAGTTCAGTCCATCAATTAAAATTACTTCTGGCAGGCCCCCATGCATATGGCTGGCCAGAAGAAATAGTTTTTGGAATTTAGTTACGATTTTTCTTCTTTTTGTTTGTGGGTAATAATGAGAGGTCAAATCACCTGACTCTCCCAGTTTGTTTCTATGCTATCTACCAATTCTGCAATTCTGCAGCATGTGTGGTCGTCAGGCTAGATTCCTCTTCAGCGAGCTAGCCGATGCTTTTGTTGATTCCTTCATCCCGCCATTTACTGTGGGGGGACCAACAACAACCCATCGTCGCCAAATTCTCTCGAATTGATCACTAAAACGCGTAACATAACGAGCGTAAACACGTGCTTACATCGATAGTAATCGAATCGACTCAGCATCCGCATTCTACACACCTCTTATTCCCTGTCATCCAAGATTTTGAAGCTTGATTAACTATCCTTCTCCTGACACTATTAAGTTTCAACCTTAGAAGCCATAGATTATTAGTGTCACGTGAAAGAAGAATAGTGGGATACAGCCTTTCAACTAGAAAGAATCGTATTAGGGGGAAGCATGAAGCACGTTGTTGGTGATGAGTAGTGCAGCAGAAAAGACAATGCTTTCTGTCTTTCTGCCTTCTGGTCCACCGGTGAAAAAAAGAAAGAAGAACAATGCGCAGTTAGAGATAAGTCCAGCATGTAAAGATGCTCTGCAGTTGCAGGCTCTCGAGCCCAATCAACTGAGAGCTTGGCAATCCTCCATCAATGGCAGCAAACTAGCAGTGGATGCTAAACCGGCTCCGATTCTCCGGGTTAACCGAACCATTTCCATGCTTGTTACGATCACGGTTTTGGTTAACCGATAGTAAAAAAAAAAAAAAAAAGTTGTTTTTTTAATTTCATTGGATAAGTTTTTCGGTTATATGCAAGACACATGGTTGTCAAACCGGTTTAAGTCATTGAGTCGGTCAAGTAAGGGGTTTGAGGTTTAATGGTCTAATCAGCAGGGTCCGGCCGGTTTGAGCCATTTTATCCGTTTTGTAAATATATGTATACAAATAAGATAGTAATTAAAGATTTAATGTCTGAAATGAAATTTATCTTACATACATTTATTAAAAATTTATTTTCCACAAAATAAATCCACTTATCCTCCATGAGTCACTTACCATCTCTCTTGATTCGTTCCTCTTCCTCTCTTCCCAGTTCCCACTCTCTTTACGAGTCAAACCGAGGGGGCTTTCTGGAAATCGTTTTAAAGCACACCTTATGTCGGACTGATCCAGCCGGGTATCGGGGTGACGATTAGTTAAGAAAATGGCAAGTCGAAAAAGCCGATGGAATTAAAGTTTACACAAGAATTGAATCTTTATTGCTACAATTGATCATTAGGTCTAAGTACGATGATTACACCAAATCAGGCATTAGCCTGCAGATTTGAAGGAATCAAGAAGAATGTTCGACGAACGAAAACGACAGCGTTTTGGACTTTTCAAATCAGAAAACAAAACAGTTCTTAACGGCTGGCTGACATTTCTACAGAGAAGCAGCCAAAGCAGAAGGAGCAGGAGGAGCCAACGATGACGACGGGAACAACATTTTGGCCACACCAGCGGCGGCGGCTGTGACATTTCCCGGCGAGCCCGGAGGATAACGGAAAATATCGATGACGACGTGGAAGAAAAAGAAGAGCAAGAGAAACAGCGCCGCCAGAAACGTGGCAACTTCCCACACTCGCTTCCCGAGCCTCGCCCCCAATTTCCACACCTCCAATTTCCGATTCCCGGCGTAGAATTCGTTCACCGCCTCGATTCCCCCGTCCAGCACCGTCCTTTTCCCTCCGCCGCCGATCGCCGTTGTCCCCATCCCGCGCCCGCCGCCGAACACCTCCAAAACGGCGTCGCTCCCTCCTCCTCCGCTGATTATAATTAGTTCTTCCTGCTGCAGCAGTTTCACGTCCTCTGCCGTCCGGCAAATTGAATTCATCAAATCGGCGTACCGGCAGAGGACGGGGCTGTTTTCGGGCCTCGCCACCGCCTCGTACGCCACCAGATTTCTCATCACCACATCGCAATCGGGCTTCCAATTGAACGCCGGAAGGGTTAGGGTTTTCGTCTCCTTGTTGAAGCTTATGCTCCGGATCCCTTGCTTCGCGATTCCGAACTTCACGCCGGCGTTCCGCAGCTGGGTCGCCGTCGGGATTAACCCCGCCGTCTCTTCCTCCGTGATTCTCCTCAGCCAGGCGGAGTAAAACCCGAGAACCCGGGTAAAAAAACCCGGACCCGCATCCGTCTTGGGAAAATCCCCAATCGTCGCGACGTTTCCATTCCCATTTCCATTCCCGTTGGCTTGAAATTCCTCGGAAACTTCTGCAGTTCCCTGCTTTGCCGCCGGCGGTTTGTTATTATGATGCAGAATCAGGTGGTAGAGAAGATCCAGCAAGTGACGGCCTTTGACATCCTCCGGATCCGGGTCGGATAACCCGAGAGGCGAAACCTTCTTACAGAAATCGATCGAAACTGAACCCAATAAACCCCTGCTGCCGGAATCGCTGAAATTCGTCAGAATTTCAACGAGCACGAAATTGGGGATCTGATTCTCGAGCATGACAGCGTCTCTGAGAAGAGACTTCCGGCTGGAAGAAGGATAATTGAAAAACAGGGGATTACTGTTGTCATAATGAAAATCGGTATAAATGAGGTGTAGTAAGAACAGAGCATCGACGGCAATAATCCAGGCGAGGGCCTGGTCGGTCATTTGCAGGTGGCGGTCGTAGCAGGCGCGGATGCCGGGGACTAAGCGGGAGATACCGGCGACGAAGTCACGGAAGTCGGAAGGGAGATGGAATTCTCGCTGTGCCCTTTTGGCCGCGGCCAGCTTGTGGGTCTCGGCCTGGTAGAGCTCGGGCTTCCAATGGTGGTAAGGCCCCAGGGCAAGGAATTGCGGGGTGTAAGCGTCGCGCTTGCTGATGCGGAGGGATTCAGGGACATGGTAAATGCAGAGTGGGGTCTGCGCGACGACGGCGTCGAGGTCGAGCTCCAGGTTGTGTTCCATCTGGACGATCCAGTCTTTCTCAGAGAACTTTGGGTTGATTATGATGGAATACGGGGAAGCCATTGCTGGGGCTCTCTGTTGAGAGTGTTTTGTTGGGTGTGGGCAGAAAACAGAGTGGTGGGAAGGGGGAAGCGCAGAAGCTTTGCCTTTATCATGTGGGCATGGGGATAGCGCCATAGTGGAGAGTGTTTGTGGGGGGATAGATGATGAGAGGGGGAAAAGAGAGGAGAGGGGAGTGGGGTTACTTGCTGTTTCAGAAGCCTGCTGAAGGAGACCCAAAAGTGTAGACTACAGAGTGTGATGGAGAGCAAAGATTGCTACCAAACATTTGTTTGTCACACTATTGATTGGGCACGGTAATATTTTATGTAATTATGTTTGGTATTGGTTGGTTGTCTTCAGTCCGTCTAAATTGCACACAACCTGAGGTGAAAACATGCTCACTAAAGTTGAAAGTTATCGAATCAGACGCCAAGTATTTCATAATTGTTGGGTGGACGCAGTGACATTTTACTTATCATATGATGCCCAATCACCTGATCACCAACTCATAACCTCTTTGAACATGTTCTGAAAGATCGTGTTGTGAGCACAATAGCTGAATTGGCTTAGATTAACTCAGCTTTCCGACGAAAGGCCCTTCATACCTAATGTGAATGTCAGATTGGTTGTCGTTGTACTACAGCGGGGGTTGGATCTTTGAGTTGTTTCTGGCTAAGATACATACGTTTTAACCAAACAATAGGGAGTTGCAATGGCAAGAAATGGTTTCTGTCTTTAGGAACCAGTATTTGTTTGTTTCTTTGTTATCTGAGTAACATGTGTATGTGTCCTTGAGAAAGTACAATGATGTGAAAGTGGTCGGAATTGAACTACAGCTTCATACAGTTCTACTTATCTTCATCTATCTTTCCCCAAAAAAGATCAAAGAAAATGCCACCCATAAACTGAAAGAATTCTTCTGCCAGGTTATTAAGAGGATACATAGTGTTAAGCTTCACAAAACTGATAGGCATATCAATGTTCATAAGCAGATGCAAACTGCACCATATGCAAGGGAAAACCAGCCCCAATGCTATCTAATAACTAAACATGAAAGTTATCGATCCAACTAGTTTGAATTTTAGAGCAGCTTACGCTCAAAACGGTCAACTGCTAGAACCTGCAATCCGTCTATACACTGCCGTGAACGTCTGGCCTCCATTCCTAGCAACTTTCTGTCCTTCCTCCGTTGCAGTACTCAACAGCTTAATGACGGGATCGGCTTCAAGTTCTTGATCTGTCAGGGGCTCAAACATGGGGTGCTGCTCCAGACAAGCCTTCATCCACTCCCCGAGCTCTTCCACGTCAGTGATGGTGTATATGATCCCACCGACCTGGAGAACATACGCATACTCATCCAAGAGATGTGGGCTGATCACTCGCCTTCGGTGATTCTTCTCCTTGAAGTGAGGATCCGGGAAGAGGAAGAACATCTTGGACAGCTGTCCTTTCTCAAAGTAATTAGGGATGTACTTCATGGAATTCGTCCGAACGACTGAAACGTTTCGGTACTGTCCAGGGTTCGTTACCCTCAACGCCAAGATTCGTTCTTTCACATACTCTGTCACCTTGTCTCTGAGTTCCATCCCCACCATCAAAGTTTCAGGGAAAAGGGTGGCCAGGCTGATCAGCAACCCTCCAAACCCACAACCGACATCTGCAAACTGAATCCTTTGGGAATTACCGTCGACTTGATCGTATGAAGGGAAGAGTTCTGGGAAGTGAGCAGTGTAGTCGACATGACGAGGAGAGACCGGGACAGGGAAATGCGAATCGCTTAACGGGTTGCTGTGAGCTCTTGCTCGGTAGAATCGCTTCCTAGGGAGTCCAGTCGACTTGCTGAAAGTTGGGTTTGCCTCACTTTCCGGCATTGCTTCTTGCCTGACATTCGTCAGAGCAGAAAACATCAGGGCAATCAGCAGGTGAAAAACGAACTGAGCTACAGTAACCAACTAAATTATACCCGGTTATTCGTTCAACGGCATAACCAATTCCACCAACAACTCGAAACCATTCATTCTCTACAAGACTAAAGCTAACCTCTAAGAGTCCTATTACTGCTTGAATCAAGCAACTACCAGTAACGGTTGGAAGCAAATAATTAGAAGGAGAAGAAATTTGGTTTACCTGATGCGAGGAAACAGACTGGTGATTCACGGGGAAAGCTCTGAGCGACGGAGACGGTGAAGCCGCCGGAAGGGATTCGGGATTCGATGGCCGGGGGTGCTGGCTTGGGAGATTAGGGTTTTGCAAAACTTGAATTGGAAGGAGAAGCCATGAACTGGAACCGCGGAAGACTGTGAGAAATAGAATGGGCCTGTGGGCTGGTGGACTACTTTGGGGCAATAAGCGGAGGGGTTATAGAGGCCCAATAAGTTTGGCTCACTAAGTCTGGCCCGGAATGACATGTAAACTGCACCACTCACTGTCTTCTATATATATTTAATCAAAACAGGCTTTTATATATTCATGGTAAAGTTTTTTACAAAATCTTGATCTCGAGTTGTTTAAATTACGGTTTCTGAATTATTCATTTAGTACTTACCAACTGGAACTGGTTACTAGTCCGATGATTTAAACTAGTAGCAGATGTACTGAGGAATGAAGATTGAAGCTTGAGATGAACATGCAGTAAAGCTATAGAATTGAGGAGTTGGTCAAACCTAACGTATCTGATTCCCAACGATCTTTCGCCCATTTCTTACAGACCAAAATTGCGGTTGAGTGGAAGAAATCAGGCAAGAAAACACACCCCGTAACGTGCTCAAATTGTGCGCGAAGCTGGAACTAAATTAACAGTATAAATTAGCAGATCTCCAGAATGTGCAGCAAAGGTTCTGGAAAAAAGAAGCAGATCCACAGCATGAATAATGTGTGTGTGTACGTACGTACTATTGGGCTGCCCCTTAATTGGGCCTAGGGCCTGCCTCCCTTCTCTTATCTCCGGGTTGATTAACTCAAATGTGGGAAAATTCTAAAGAGGACGACTGAGTGAAAAACAAGCATGTCGTTTTATTTGGACCGTATTAGAGGCGATATCGAAAAAAGTTTGTGGTAGATTATTTTGTACTAAAATTGTGTTTTGATTATGGCTCAATTGTTTGTTGGAGGGATATTCATTCATCAATAGTTTCTCTATTTTAACAAACAATGATCATTTTTTTTTTTTATTATATTTGGGCCACATTTCAATTCTTGAAGTAGGATTTCCAATATTCATTCGACAATCTGTATCACACAGCAGATTACATATTCCTCACCCTCCAATGCATCATGCCATTTTCCTAGCCATACTCTTTTTTTTTTTTTTTTTTGTCGTTACGAATTCATCAAAAGATATCAATCGTTAAGACGCCTTCATTAGCTATAGCATTCTTCAGCCCCTTCAACATGTCGCTCGACATAAGCCTAAATGAGTTTAAAGAGGTCCCTTTAGTACTCTTGATTGTCGACAAATTAAATCAGTTGATCCATAAATACTCGAAACTTGTATAAATACAGTACTCGTAAATAAAATTTGTACTACCAGTCAAATCAGAATAACGAATGGTAATGATTTATCCCTTTCTATTCTAACACCGACTGATTGCCATCCCTAATAGATCAAATTATTTCGTGTATTGGATTTCACTTGATTGTCTAAGGCTACAACTATTTCACTGGCCAGCTAGTTTGCCAGCACCCCAAGCAGACCAGAGTGGCTTAGCTTGTCGCTGAAGTGGCAAGGATTGAGGGTTTGTAAATTGTACGTAGAAGACTTTATCAGAATTTTGGGCAAAGAAGTGGTGGAAAGGGACAGCAGCTGCACGTGGCGAAGAGAGATTACTTGGTGCAGTGACCATAAAAATGGTGCACCGGATTTGACCCACGTAATTAAGTTAGAATTCCAAATTATCCAGATCGACCCGTCATTTTAGTTATCCGGTTTGGATGAATACGGCATTGGTTAAAGTATTTGTATTGCTCCGTACGTACAATACTCTTCATAATACGTTGAATGTACGCCTGAATGATTCTCAGTACGTAGTTACTATTTAGGTCAAATCTCTACATCCTCAAAATTAATGTTTTGACATGCATGTTGGTCCGCAATAATCATGATTCCAACCCAAAGCCAAAGTAGTCCTTAAATAGAAACACAAAGTATTTTTTTTTTCATTAAATTGATTTCCGAATTTGGTTTAAAAAAATCGGTGTTTATAGAGTTCATTCATTAGATTGATATTAGAGTACAATATCATACTCAAAACCCAATTTGATTCATAGTCTGTATATATAGATTTCTCGCTTAGAGTATAACTGATTCATAAATATATGTGGTTCTACGATATCCATGGTAAATTTTAACGTACCGCATACTTCTTAATTAACAAGGAAGTACGCCGTGTGTATATAAACATTAAATTAACTAAAGTTCGAGGCATTGTATATACCATTAATACTAATGATTATAAAATAAAATATAGAGATTATTTTTTTTAGACCTGCTCATGGTGAAGTAATTAAGTATACTAGGGTTGAACAACTTGTACCGTATAAACCGTCTATAATTCAGGACATGGTACTGTACGCTAAGTCGATCCAGAAAGACCGGCAATGCAATATGGTAGCCACTTCTCACATAGCAAACTCCTTTTTTATGTATTCACCCAAGTGAGTAATGAAAAAGGTAGGGAAAAAAGAATGTGAATATTCCATATAAATAAAGGAGGATCTTTCTTCATAAAGCTATGGTCCAGGAAGTGTTGTATCAAAGGAGCTATAGCTCCTTAATTAAATGTTAAAATTTTGGAGGACAATGGATGTAGCCAACCGCCCGTCGAGAAGGAGTGTTACATCTCTACACTCATTTAATTTCCCAAACCACACACCTTCTACCACAAGACCCAAAGTAGGTGAGAGCTTCACAAGTACACATATGACATGTTTTCTCCTCTACATATACTCTCTCTCTCTCTCTCTCTCTCTCTCTCTCTCTCAAAAAACCTCGGAGAGCTCCCCATGTAACTGGTTAGTTTTCTTGTGGGTTTTCGTTTGTTGACTTGAGATGATGAACGATCTGCAGCAGCAGCAGCAGAAGGAACGGAAAGGTAAGGATCAGGAGATGTTGATGATGGTGGAAGGTAGTGATGTCACGAATAGGAACGATAACAACAACAAAAGCAGCAGCAGCAGCAGCAACGTGAAGGTTGGTAACGGTAGTAAGAAAGACGGCGGCGGGGAGAAGCTGCCGCCGGGGTTCCGGTTTCATCCCACCGACGAGGAGCTGATCACGTACTATCTGGTGAAGAAGATCGCGGATGCTGGTTTCACCGGACGTGCCGTCGCCGACGTCGATCTCAACAAGTCCGAGCCCTGGGATCTTCCTGGTACGTTTAATTACCAAATCAATCTTATTACTACTGAAATTCATGATTCTAAAAAAGCGCGTCGAGAGACATCTCCCCCTAAATTCACTTAGGCACAAGTAAGAAGGAAAACGTCTTGCCTTAGCAAAAAAAGCAACGGAGAAGGGATCACAATTACGTTGTGGCTTCAATGGCGCCTAATCAGCAATAAGTTGTGCCTCAAATTTGATGTCACGCGCGCGATGTCTTTTTTTCCTACCCTTCGATATGCTATTAGGGAGGACTGTCTTGATTTCTCTATAATCATGGTAGAATATTGTTAGAGACGACCATCTTTATTAGAGTAGTTTTTTTTTTTTGCGTTGTTTGTTTCGTCTCAATATGCTTCGCTATTTTCCATCTTTTTCTTTCTTACCTATTTTTCCACACTAAATGCGATTTGGTTTATAAACTTGTGATTTTAGTCAAGTGAGAGATACTATTCGTACTATTCATACTCTTATTGGTGCAGGGAAGGCGAAGATGGGGGAGAAAGAGTGGTACTTCTTCAGCCAGCGTGACCGGAAGTACCCGACCGGAGTGAGGACCAACAGGGCGACCAACACCGGATACTGGAAGACGACCGGGAAAGACAAGGAGATATACAACGGCGTCACGTCGGAGCTGGTCGGGATGAAGAAGACGCTGGTTTTCTACAGAGGGAGAGCGCCACGTGGCGAGAAATCCAACTGGGTCATGCATGAATACCGCATCCACTCCAAGTCCTCCTACCGCCCTTCCAAGGTAATCATCATCATTATCTTATCTCATTAATTACTTATTATTGATCGCTGTTAATACGTGTACGTACCCTAGCTAGATTCCTATGCATCCTTCTTCATAGATCAATCTCATACACACACTACATCTATCTATCTATCTATCTATCTATCTATATATATATATAGAGTTCTCGGGCAGATCGGTGTGGGTATTTTGATACTCATACTCGTCCAGATCGTGGCGGATCTAGAAATTTTTAACAGGGGTGTCCTCTTCAAAAAAATTAAATAAATTAAATAATTCATAAATAAAAAAATATCGGACTAGTACAAATTTTAACATAAGGCCACGACGTGTTTTTATATTATGAAAAAAAATAAAAAATAGGCTTGGTAAATTGCTCAACAAATCTGTATATCCTACTAGATAATAGAACAACAAATGAGTTGCAACTTAATGGAGGACAATGTTTAAAAAATATAGTATATCCTAAGTTTGAAGAACACAAACTATCGCTTATTTTTTTTAAGCATACGCAAACTACTACTGAGGATAGGATTATCGTTGTAGGGGTGTCCCGAATCACTAATTATAATTTTTTTATTCATACAAAACTATTACTGGGGGTTGAATAATCGTATTCCCAAATTTTAGGGCCGGGACACCCCTAAACCCTCATGTATCCGCCCCTGCGTCCAGGTATAGGTCGAGTACAAGTACTCTCTAGGTGGATTGGGACAAAGCAACTCCTACGAACATGTGGTTTAAAATATATATAAAACATTGATTTTTTTTTCTAATTGAAATTTTGAGATGCAAATTATGACATGATAAATATAGTTAGATTATTCGAGAAATTTGATGTAGTAAAAGCTAAATTCTGAATAAACTGAGTAAGATTATGTATAAATAAGACAATAGATCAACGATAGAACGGGTCCAACAGGTTGATGAAAGTACCCATGACCTATGTTGTCTTATTGCTACGTCTGCACCCGCTTCAAAATAGGTCAAACATATTGGATATATAGAGTTTGATCGAAATCTATCATCATAATATAGACTATATATATGTGATGGATGATTGGTGTACAGCTTGGTGAATACTTGTGGCACAATTAATGGAGATCGTCAGGGAGAAGTAGCTTAGCTAGCTAGGTTGTGCTATAGGAAAATGGTGGGCGTTTGTCTGTGGCGTAGGAAGAAAGGCTTTTTGCTGGACTTAAATCTTAAATCTTTGCCACTTCTGCTATAACCTACCATCTACCAGGCCATGCTACCTAGTTCTGCTTAACGTCAATTTCGATATGCAAGCAGTCCGTGGCCTATATATCTAGGTCGCCCTTGGGAGCAACATATAAATTTCAACATAATTCCCCCTAATACCTCAATTATGATATCTACCAATCTCTTACACAACATGCAGTAAGAAAGTAATCAAATCGATTGTAAACAATTATACATTTAACAAGCATCCATGTAAGGAAGTGGTTCCGTAACATACATGGACCTCTCCCGACAACTCGAATTATTGAGACCAGTTGGTCTATGACAATGGACATACCTAATGATCGTGGATCTTAGGATTCAGGATCAAACTGCTTATGGACATGCTTACGTCAAACCTCGTAAGAGTAGTCAGTGGCGGACCCAGAATTTTTCGTAGGGTGGGTGTCCCATTTTAAAAAATAAAATAATAAATAAAAATAAAATTGTAAATAAGAAAATACATTACTCGTACAGGTTAAAAAAAGTCCATGATGTGTTTTCATATTCAGAAATAATTGTAGAATACAGTTGATGTCTGCAGTGTTAAAAACCATTGTCTCTAAATATCCTACTAGACAATCATTCATGAACTTATCGCATATTCGATTTGTAAACTTGCTCTTGATGTAACCTAAAGTTGAAAAGACTCTTTCAATACTTGCCTTACAACCATAGAATCAATACAAATTAAGGGTAGCTTGAAATTAGTTTAATTGTTAGGTTCTGAAAATAATAAGAGATAGGAAATTACATTTTACTATTACACAGTGTTCAAAATCGAACAACAAATGAGTTGTAGTTTAATGAAAATTAAGTTTATTAATAATAATAGTGTTCTAAGTTTGAATTACCAACCTACCACTTATTTTCTCATACACAAATTAAAAAAAAAAAAAGACAGTAGGATCATCATTTTTTCAAATTTCAGGGGTGTCCCCACTATCAATTATAAATTTTTTGACCATATGTAAATTACCATCGGGGTTTGAATAATCCGCGACCCTGTGAGTAGTAACTGGCTCCCCCCTCGAACATCTTGTATGCCAAAACTTGTCATCCACTTCTTCTTTTCCGTTAGATTTAGATGGATGTTTAGCGGAACACCATTTTGACGACATATATGTCACATTTTTTTTTTTTTGAGAATTTACTAACTACTCGTCTAATTCGCATGAAAATGAACATGTATGAACACAGCAAGACGAGTGGGTAATATGCAGAGTCTTCCAAAAGACCACCGGCAGCTCGCCCAAGCACAACAACAGCAACAAGTACCCATCCAGCTCCTTGACCATTAACCACCACCATCAATCAAGACCTCCGATGACGTCGTCGCTCAACAATCCCTACACTTCCCTTCACGAAATGATCGCCGGAGTAGGACCCACCAACGCCGCCGCCGCCTTCCTCCCTCCTCCTCCGACGATGATCAACCACCAGTTTCCTCCTCACCATGACGACTACCACCACTTCGGCCAACGACCAACCTACAACAACACGATGACCAACTCCGAGCTGGCCGACCTCGCCAGAGCTTTCCGAGCAAGCACTGCCACTCATCAGCAAATGATGATGAACAACAACGGCTACCAGTCCACGTCAGCTGGTGGAGGTTGCTTCACCTTGTCCGGGCTCAGCTTGAACCTAGGAGCGACGAACAATAACAATAATGTTGGTCTTACTGCAGCAGTACTTCCTCCAACGGTGCCGTTTTCGAACCAGCAGCTTGTAGAGCAGCAAGAAGAGAACGTGGGAGCTTCTTCTAGTATCATGATGAGTCCTCCGTTCCCCGGTTTGACCGACGAGGGGAGCGGCTACGGTGGCGGTGGTAACGCCGAGCAAAGCATGGATTTCGACGCCTACTGCTGGGCCTCTTACTGATCGCTGACTAATCATAATTAGGGAGAAACAATTTCTAGATGATGCGATCGATTGTGTTATTATTATAATTGTTGTGGATGAGTTGATCTTAATTATGTACGTAGCTTAATGCTTGTAGAGTATTGGATGGATGTTTGTACTTTCATACATTAGATCTCCACGATGATATATGTTTCAAGTTTGGTTAGGGTTTTCAAATTCCTACTTAATTGATCATTCGTATGCTCTTGAGCTTCATTCTGCTAATGAGTATGGTGGCGGGTAGGGTTGCAAATGAGCCAAGCTACTCGCGAGTAACTCGAGGCTCGAATTGGGAAAAACTCGTTCGAAACTCGATTCGTTTACTGACGAGCCAAGCTTGAGCCTAGCTTTGTTCAGCTCGTGAAGCTCTCGAGCTAGCTCGACTCGGTGGCTTGTTGAGCTCAACTCGTTAGTGGCTCATTTAGAGCTCGTGATATGTTTCAACATTGTGGTTTGAGGGCCAACTTGATCGCTGACTTATGGACTAATCAATCTAATTTGGACTTTCATAATTCATAGGATTGTTAAATTATATATCTCACATCATGTGAAGTTTAACATGTTGAACAAGTAAGAAAATATGTCTTATTTTTAATTATATAAAGAAATTATGTACAAAATTGTTTCGATACTATGAAATAATATTATTTGAACTAGTTAAAATTTATTAACTAAACAATATGACACCTAAAAATTATAATATAAGATTGATTAATGTTGAACATTTTATTATTTTTTTATCGCTACATCAATCACATGTACCATACACGACATACCAAATGAATGTATTAAATACGATCTAAGAATTTAGTAAACAAGTCTAGCTCGAACTCGACTCGACTCGTTAATAAATTGCTCGGGCTCGAGCTCAACTTATTTGTTAACGAGTCAAGCTCAAGTTAGAGTAAAAATCGGCTCAGCTCGGCTCATTTGCAGCCCTAGTGGCGGGGATAAGGTTGGATAGAGAAGCCTGGTTCTGTGCATGGGCCTCGGAGGGGGAATTGGTTGTTGATACTTGGTGTGGGGGGGGGGGGGGGGGGGGAAGAAGGTGGGCTAAACCTGATTAAGGTTGGCCTGAAATTTTTATCTACCAAAAGCGTTTTGAGATTTTGGCCACTAGGAAAAAATAATTTCCATTTTTAACTCAAAAAGAGAACACCCGCCTTGACGAGGGAGGGAGTGGGCTAAATTTACGTTGGGCTTTGACCGGGAAATCAGGCCTATTGGATCATTTCTTGGCCCAACAATCATTCCAAGCCCATTTCACGTGGCGGGAAAGCCGACCGTTGTCCATTTGGCGGTAAAATCAGAAACCTGCGCTCACTGCTCCGTTTCCAATTGGGAGAAGGAAATCCCTGTTCCTTTCCGATCAAGGAAAGGATTCCATATTAGTTTCGGTAAATCATTTCCTCTATATAATGGAACACCCACTTAACTGAAATCACGATTTCTTTCCGGCAATTTCCTTTTCTTACTCCCGTTGGCCGCTACGCTCTGTTCTCGCGCAGCCGCTCTCTGTTTCAGTCTCTCTGTTTCCAGCCACCGTCACGATGGCTCTTCCGCCGTGCTGGAATCCAGGGAAACACAAGGAGCTTCTCTACAAGCCGCAACCGGAGTTATTTGAGATCATAGAGTGCGCCATGACCCTCGCTGCTATCCGCTGGCCGAAGCAGCTCCGGGCTGAAAAAGCCCGGATTCTCGGCGCCTTCGACATGTCTCGGCGCTCCGCCGTAGCCAATGAATCGATGACGGAGAAGACGGAAAAACCCATCAATGCCGGCGAAGGCGTTAAAGAAAAGGAGGAAGCAGCGGAGAAGCCAAGAAGAAGCATCCATGTGGAAGTCGATTTGCGAGATCGCGATCGCAGATTGACTTCGTCCGTCCATGCCAAACCCGCGCTCCAAAAGTCAACAACGCCGGCGACGAAGAAGACGACAAAACCCATCAACGCCGGCGACCACCGCGCGCAAGGAAAGGAGGAAGCAGTGGAGAAGCCAAGTAGAACCATCCATGTGAAAGTCGATTTGCTAGATCGTGATCGCAAATTGACGTCTGGCTCTGCTAAACCCGCGCTCCAACTCTGCCAAACCGGCGCTATTTCGAAGACGGAGAAAAGAGTGTCCTCTGAACCGAATCGCGGCGACGAAGCAAAGGGAGAGTACGAAAGGAGATTGGAGATCACCAAGAGGAAGCTGCAGAGTGGCTACAGTGCCTGCGAGGAGTCGAGGAAAAGGTCCAAAGTGATTGACTTTTGGACGGAGGTTCCGAAGAACACGCAGCAACAAATTCTCTACGACAAAGACGTGCCGTCGGCAGGAAGATTCAACAACAACAACAAGATTCAGCGCTGTCGTCCACCTATTCATTGCTAGTCCTCCCAGTCCCATGGCTGTCTACTTTCAGATTTCCAGCGTGTAATTAATGAATCGCATTGCCTCTGATTTAGGGGAAGAACATATTCTTTTGTATAGTTAAGGGTTCTGGGTTTTTGCTGTTCCTTTTTCCCTTGGTAAAATTTTTGTAGTCTTGAAACGCTTAATGTTAGCTTGATTGGTCCCTCGTATTGAATGAAACAAGCAAATTTTTGTAAACCACTTTTATTCTTCGTTTCCCTTGAACTTGAAGATATATTGGTCAAACCTATTTCATTCAGAACTTCAATTTTAGTACGCTTGGCAACTCCAGAAAAGAAGTAAAATTTATCAGGCAGAAGCAGTAACCAAACATTGAGTGAGTGAGAGAGGGAGTTCTTGCTTCACTGCTAATCTGGATCCAAAGCTGTACTTTCCATCATAGTTTTACCTTGAAATTGGAGTAGCCCAGCAAGAAACCCTTGGCTGGAAGGAACACCTGAATCAGGCTGCCCTTCTTCTCTAGCTAACAACTCTAGCTATGTGGATGCAGTAAAGGATCGAAAGGGTTCGTATAATCGAGACCGAACTGCAAGTACATTCGGGTATAATATTTGCTTCCCTCTTGGCATTCATGTCGAAGGAAGTGTACACAAACAAGACGTCTCATAACAAGTCATGTTACCACAACACATTGAAGCAAAGCTATTTTTAACTTTGTGAATGAAATATTACCACCTATCCGCGCAAAACAAAGAAATACAATGTGTGACAACTGACAACTACATCTCTAGCCCCCATAAAATACATCGCTCTAAATCTTATCGGTACAGAAGATCTGCTGCATCTATTGTGTTGTTGAAACTGGGGTGTTCGTTCTTCTACACACTTTCTCACATACTGGCATTGGCAACAAACATTATTAAAAAACTAAAGGAGATCCAGAGCCTCGTCACGATCTTGAAGTTTCACCCACAAGCTCGAAGATTTCCACCGAACAACGAAAACTAGTCAGGAAGAGAGCTAGTGACATCTGCAGGACGGGAAGTCAGAAGGGTTAGATGAACCAAAAACGGTAGCTTATTGATCATCACAGCAGCGCACTAACTATGATCAAGCACACCTCGAACGTGTCATGACAGGAGCCAGGAGGCACCAAAAGGCGACCTTCAGCCATTTCACTTTTCTGAATGAACCCTTTTACCCTTCCGGCGGGAGTGGCTAGAATGGGCACTTCTAGTTGGTCTCTTGGATTTCTTGCTGCAAGATCATTGACGCATATTGAAGAGTTATTTCAAAATAATGGACTGGAAGAAGTGGGGAAATGACATTTTGTCGAAATTCCGAAACCAACCAGAAAACAGCTGAGAAGACTCTGGACAGGAGAATGATAGGCAGGGCTAATATTGCTGATGCCTACAACAGTTGAAGCAGCCATCAGTTACTTCTTATTTACTAAACAAAAATATATTTTCATGATTGAATAACAATATGTTCGATGTATTATTATTACATACCACAAACCAGACGAATTCTTTAGTTGCGAGAGCTTCTGTCAACTCATGCCTTTTCAGGGTATCTTGAACAGTTCCTTGCACCTACGAAGATATGTGTACAAGTCTGCTCAAGCTATGATATTTGTGGAAAAAGCATAGAGAGTGATCATTCTAAAATGATTTCCTAAAGCACAAATACACAACTAATCAACAGAGGAGGTTTCTTGAAATAGTTCTATAAGCCTAACCAATAATAACAAAGATTTACCCCTACCTGCTCATGATAGGTAGTAGCTGACTTCAGGAACTTCCCATATGCCCGAACTACTTTCTTTGTGTATGGTTTAACGACAACCCGAATTTTGTCGACATGGGGTTTGGTAATGGTGGCAACTTGATCGATATATGGCTTACTAAACTTCTTAGCTTCCTGTGATAGTAGTAACTGATTTAGAGGATACTTACGAGCAAGCATACAACAACAAACATGAGTATAGTTGAAATGTACCTGAAAGTAGGGGTCCACTATCTCTTGTACTTGAACTAAGTGAGCTGTAATTGAAGTCTTTGAGGTCTCGTAAGCTTCAACAGTTTTAGCACTTAGTGACCGCACATGTGGTTTAACCTGAGTTGTTACCACCACCCACTGATCCTTCGCAGTTGGGATCCATTTCTGCATTGAACAGGCAAGCAAAAACATAAAACAAAGACTGATGAATATAAGAGGCATATGGGAAATAAAAGATGCCACTCTAGCATGAAACTGAGATCCCAAACAGGTACTAACGACTGACCATTACGAGCAGCACTTACTCCATAAACGGTTACTGCTACCAATAAGAGATGCAAGAAAAGACTTACAGTTTTAACTGTCTCCAGGTGTGGCTCAGCCCACTTTGCTGCCTTAATCTTGTTCTCCTGGGCCTGAATCAGATATCAACATGTTATCTTTATGCCGAAACAATTACATGCAAAAGATTAAATTAAACATGAAGAGAAAACCAAAAGCACTTAGGTATCTCCAGACGGTTATAAAAACAAAAGAAATCAACTGCATACCTTTTGGACTACAATTTCCAGTCTAGGCTTGCCATGGTCATTCCAATGTTTCTGTGCCAAAGACTGGAACAGGAACAATAATGTTACATTTATAAGCAGGTCTAGTTAAGTATAAAAACAACTGTCCTGCAATACAGTTTACAAGGATTATTTAAGGGGCCTATTTTTAAGAAGCAAAACACTCCACATTCTTTGTTAATCTTCAACGGAACAACATATTCATTAGTGACCCTGCCAGCAGAGATTGTAATGTATTTCTTTTAATAAATGATGTTGGCAGAGTCCAAAATATATTACCTGAAAACGAACTAATTGCACAGCAAGCCATGGAGGAAGCCAGGCACCATGAACCTAAACACATACCACATGCTCAAATTAGAACCAGCGGCATAGTTTATTGCAGTATTCGATGCAACAGATATACTAAGACAAACTACATAATGTAAAAAACAGTTGATTGGCCACTACAAGTAAAGACCTAGAGCCAAGGTAAGGTGTAAATTTAAATAAATAAAAAACTATCCACCACACAGCCCACGACATCAAACAAAAACTGAGGCCAGAATTGTTGGATGAAAACTAGGCGAACAAATAAAAAACCAAGACAGGAACAGAAGACCAAAATAGACAGAGAAGCAACACAGGATCACCATAATTGCATGATGTCCTGGCTTTATTAAGGTAGTCAATAAGCTTGAAACTTCACTTATGTGTAAACCTTGAAAGTATTCGAACAACACCAGTTCTTACCTCCATCAACTCTTTAGTTCTCGAGCTGGCCTCCACCTTTGCCTTCAGCATTTCTTCCTGATAGTTATAATAGAGAAGATGAGCGGGAATACTCAGAAGGACTAATCACAACGCTAAAGGTTTGAACCTTTTGTCGTCTAAGACATATATACCTCAGCCACTTTAAGAGCACGCTCTGTTTTACGGATTTTGCTCTTTTGGTCATCACTAATCTTTTGAAGCTGCACATAGAAATTTTCAAACAGCAGTAATATCAGATGGTGCATACCCCCATAGAAAGTAGAACATATCTAAAATATGCCTGTTATATTAAGAGGGGGAAAAAAATGTTAAATGACTAAAGTATATGAAGAGTGATTTCTACATCAAGTAAAAAACCTATTGCAAGTACATTTGTGTTTGGCATAATCAGTTATCTTTTACAATCAAAACTATAGTTTCAGCTCCACATATTCAGTTACTACACAAATTCAGTCTGCAATAGACGCCCCTATAGAGTAGTAAGAGATGGGTGTTTGTATTTCTCCATTTGAATCAGAAGAAAGCAATTTCAGTTATGTTTAAAGGAAGAATCAACAGCAAGAAGAAATAACCAACGGCATTGAGACCAAAGGAGGCAATAAAAAGGAACTTACATTTTTTAGCCTAGAGTTCAGCTCATCAATCTTCCTTTCAGCCTCACTAGCTTTGGTCCCCAGAGCCTCTTTCTCAGCATTTTGTGCTTCAAATTCATTTCTAAGTGTATCAAACTGCAGAAGCGGAAAAAAGATTCAGAAAATGTGCAACAGCATCCTGAAATTTGGAGCTTCATTCTCTAAATTTTACAAACCTGCTTCTGCAAATCTGCAGCTCGTTCATTGGCCTTGTTCAGCTGTTCAGAATCATCCAACTTCCCTTTTTCCTGTATAATAATAACAGAGAATATCAAGTTATGATGCATCGCGGCAACATCTACCTTATCATTGCATACTTCAGTTACCAAACTAAGGATATCGTCACATCCTAGCACATAAATGAAATGTATATGAACATTTCAGAAACATTATAACCTGAAGGGATGATATTTCACTCTGCAAGGTTCCAATGCTGTCTGCTTTATCTTTGATGAGCTTCTCCTTCTCAGCTAATTTCTCATCTTTCTCCTTCAATTCCCTTGTCTTCTTATCGATCTGGGACTCTTCATATCACCAGGAAAATCAAAAGCAACAGAGAAAGCACAAATTCAGAACCATCGTCCGCAATAGCAACAGCATACAAACTAGGAACAGAAGTCAATCATCACACTCAGTCGCAGCGCATGCCTACTGCTCAGCAGTTAAAAACACAAACCGAACCAGGATAACTGCCAGGACACCGCCGGCGCTTCGATTCCTAATACAAAATCGGAAAACCTAACGACGACTTTCACAGTTTCCAGAAGAAGAGAAGACTAGCTAATTCGGTACACAAGTCGGCATGATCAGTCAAAGTTTTCTCAAAGCAGGAGGAGTGCGAACTGACCAAGGGATTGGATCTTGGACGTGAGTTGGTCGAGTTCGATCTTCAGAGCGGAGGACTCGAGGTCTGTAGATCCAGTGACTTGACTCGCCGGCACAGCGACATCGACGTCGCTGTCGGCCGAGGCGTCCGCCCAGGCAGTGGAGAGAAGTAGGGCGAGGAAGAGCGAGAACACCAGAAACTTAGCGGCCGCCATGAACCGCCGGATCCGTCACCGAAATTCGCGACGGAGGGAAGAAGTGGAAGAAGAACAAGAAGAAGACCAGTAAGAACAAACTCCAATTGATACTTGGGGTAGTTGATTTGTATAAAAGGCTTTTTCGGACGGAGGGACGGGGCGGTCTAACATCCACCAACCAAACAACAACGTGTTAGAAAGCCGGATCGATAGAATTGAAGAGAAAATCAATGAATATAATAGAAAAAGGGAAATAAATATAGAAATAAGTAATCGGAGGAAGTTTCAGCGCACACAAGTGTGTAGACCGAGAAAATGAAAAGGGTAATAACTAACTAGCTTAGACCCTGCCCGTTGGGCAGGCAGCAAACATAAAATTTATAATATTTGTAGCACATTTATTTAAATGTATTGAAATTTTTACATGTAATTTGGTAGTTTATGATAGTTCAATCTAATGTAGACTAATATTCTAACCAAACATGCAATATTTATTAGCTTATGGTAATTCGATATTAAACATTATATTTGAACTAACTCTCAACCAAAACAATTAGAATGATTAATTTATACGATATAAACCATAAACTTCGACTATAAATGAAATACTCGATATATTATATCATTGTACTATAGTATTTTTGAACATCCACAAATATACAAAAAAATAAAATTAACGCAAAAACAAATTTAAAATTTTGGATAAAGGGTCCTTTCTTTCTCAATGTACTACACAAAACTCTGGTTCAAATCCTATTTTCAGAAGCAAAGAATGAATAAAAATTGGAGGGACATACTAATTTGTAATAACAATTTATTCTCCCAGGTTTGCAACTTCTAAGCGGTTACAATTAACAATTATACTTTTTTTTTGCCGAAGGGTTGCTATTTTTGAGGGGATTTGAAAGAAAAAACCGGAAAGTTTGTCATTTAGTGATGCTGACTTGGAAGCCTAATTTTCGTTTATGGCTGATGTGGCAGGGGTCAAATTCCAAAACCCCTTTAATATTTTTATAGATAGATAGATAGATAACTTTTTTTGGACAATGGCGGTATGGTGGGGGAAGAAGAAGGAAACCCACCGGCATATTACTATTTGTCACCCCACTTAAATTGGTTGCTTACTTTTGGATTCGAGTTGGTGACAATGTGAATTTGTGGATGGGAAAATGTATAGTTGTATAGATACTAAAATGACACTCTCTTTATACAATTTTCTATGCTGAGAAGTGTTTTCTATTGTAATTAATATTGTTTTGGATTTTGCTAGACGTTTTGGGTACCAAAAGGTAATTAAAAGTAAGAAAAATTTTAGGTTGGACGCACACCACTTTAGACAACTTAAGTGGTACACAAGGATTCGGCGTGAGGCCATCCTTCAGCGATGACTGAGTCTATTGAGCACCGATTTGGGCGTATTTGTTCCGGGTCAATTTTTGGCAGTTTCCAAAGGGGTACCATCACCGATTTCGGGCGATTTTATGGAATGGCCATTTTCGTTGGATTTTGGGGTCTAAAGGTCACAGATTCGTCCTGAGGCGAACTATGGCTATTCTCCACAGATGATGGAGTCAATTAATCGCCGATTCGGGCGAAATGTATTCCGGGGGCATTTTCGTAATTTTTCGTGCGCTTTTTCGGAAGGCCATTTTCCATGGATTTTGGAGGCTACGGATCAAGGATTTGGCGTGAGGCCATCCTTCAGCGATGACTGAGTCTATTGAGCACCGATTTGGGCGTATTTGTTCCGGGTCAATTTTTGGCAGTTTCCAAAGGGGTACCATCACCGATTTCGGGCGATTTTATGGAATGGCCATTTTCGTTGGATGTTGGGGTCTAAAGGTCACGGATTCGGCCTGAGGCGAACTATGGCTATTCTCCACAGATGATGGAGTCAATTAATCGCCGATTCGGGCGAAATGTATTCCGGGGGCATTTTCGTAATTTTTCGTGCGCTTTTTCGGAAGGCCATTTTCCATGGATTTTGGAGGCTACGGATCAAGGATTCGGCGTGAGGCCATCCTTCAGCGATGACTGAGTCTATTGAGCACCGATTTGGGCGTATTTGTTCCGGGTCAATTTTTGGCAGTTTCCAAAGGGGTACCATCACCGATTTCGGGCGATTTTATGGAATGGCCATTTTCGTTGGATTTTGGGGTCTAAAGGTCACGGATTCGTCCTGAGGCGAACTATGGCTATTCTCCACAGATGATGGAGTCAATTAATCGCCGATTCGGGCGAAATGTATTCCGGGGGCATTTTCGTAATTTTTCGTGCGCTTTTTCGGAAGGCCATTTTCCATGGATTTTGGAGGCTACGGATCAAGGATTCGGCGTGAGGCCATCCTTCAGCGATGACTGAGTCTATTGAGCACCGATTTGGGCGTATTTGTTCCGGGTCAATTTTTGGCAGTTTCCAAGGGGTACCATCACCGATTTCGGGCGATTTTATGGAATGGCCATTTTCGTTGGATTTTGGGGTCTAAAGGTCACGGATTCGTCCTGAGGCGAACTATGGCTATTCTCCACAGATGATGGAGTCAATTAATCGCCGATTCGGGCGAAATGTATTCCGGGGGCATTTTCGTAATTTTTCGTGCGCTTTTTCGGAAGGCCATTTTCCATGGATTTTGGAGGCTACGGATCAAGGATTCGGCGTGAGGCCATCCTTCAGCGATGACTGAGTCTATTGAGCACCGATTTGGGCGTATTTGTTCCGGGTCAATTTTTGGCAGTTTCCAAAGGGGTACCATCACCGATTTCGGGCGATTTTATGGAATGGCCATTTTCGTTGGATTTTGGGGTCTAAAGGTCACGGATTCGTCCTGAGGCGAACTATGGCTATTCTCCACAGATGATGGAGTCAATTAATCGCCGATTCGGGCGAAATGTATTCCGGGGGCATTTTCGTAATTTTTCGTGCGCTTTTTCGGAAGGCCATTTTCCATGGATTTTGGAGGCTACGGATCAAGGATTCGGCGTGAGGCCATCCTTCAGCGATGACTGAGTCTATTGAGCACCGATTTGGGCGTATTTGTTCCGGGTCAATTTTTGGCAGTTTCCAAAGGGGTACCATCACCGATTTCGGGCGATTTTATGGAATGGCCATTTTCGTTGGATTTTGGGGTCTAAAGGTCACGGATTCGTCCTGAGGCGAACTATGGCTATTCTCCACAGATGATGGAGTCAATTAATCGCCGATTCGGGCGAAATGTATTCCGGGGGCATTTTCGTAATTTTTCGTGCGCTTTTTCGGAAGGCCATTTTCCATGGATTTTGGAGGCTACGGATCAAGGATTCGGCGTGAGGCCATCCTTCAGCGATGACTGAGTCTATTGAGCACCGATTTGGGCGTATTTGTTCCGGGTCAATTTTTGGCAGTTTCCAAAGGGGTACCATCACCGATTTCGGGCGATTTTATGGAATGGCCATTTTCGTTGGATTTTGGGGTCTAAAGGTCACGGATTCGTCCTGAGGCGAACTATGGCTATTCTCCACAGATGATGGAGTCAATTAATCGCCGATTCGGGCGAAATGTATTCCGGGGGCATTTTCGTAATTTTTCGTGCGCTTTTTCGGAAGGCCATTTTCCATGGATTTTGGAGGCTACGGATCAAGGATTCGGCGTGAGGCCATCCTTCAGCGATGACTGAGTCTATTGAGCACCGATTTGGGCGTATTTGTTCCGGGTCAATTTTTGGCAGTTTCCAAAGGGGTACCATCACCGATTTCGGGCGATTTTATGGAATGGCCATTTTCGTTGGATTTTGGGGTCTAAAGGTCACGGATTCGGCCTGAGGCGAACTATGGCTATTCTCCACAGATGATGGAGTCAATTAATCGCCGATTCGGGCGAAATGTATTCCGGGGGCATTTTCGTAATTTTTCGTGCGCTTTTTCGGAAGGCCATTTTCCATGGATTTTGGAGGCTACGGATCAAGGATTCGGCGTGAGGCCATCCTTCAGCGATGACTGAGTCTATTGAGCACCGATTTGGGCGTATTTGTTCCGGGTCAATTTTTGGCAGTTTCCAAAGGGGTACCATCACCGATTTCGGGCGATTTTATGGAATGGCCATTTTCGTTGGATTTTGGGGTCTAAAGGTCACGGATTCGTCCTGAGGCGAACTATGGCTATTCTCCACAGATGATGGAGTCAATTAATCGCCGATTCGGGCGAAATGTATTCCGGGGGCATTTTCGTAATTTTTCGTGCGCTTTTTCGGAAGGCCATTTTCCATGGATTTTGGAGGCTACGGATCAAGGATTCGGCGTGAGGCCATCCTTCAGCGATGACTGAGTCTATTGAGCACCGATTTGGGCGTATTTGTTCCGGGTCAATTTTTGGCAGTTTCCAAAGGGGTACCATCACCGATTTCGGGCGATTTTATGGAATGGCCATTTTCGTTGGATTTTGGGGTCTAAAGGTCACGGATTCGTCCTGAGGCGAACTATGGCTATTCTCCACAGATGATGGAGTCAATTAATCGCCGATTCGGGCGAAATGTATTCCGGGGGCATTTTCGTAATTTTTCGTGCGCTTTTTCGGAAGGCCATTTTCCATGGATTTTGGAGGCTACGGATCAAGGATTCGGCGTGAGGCCATCCTTCAGCGATGACTGAGTCTATTGAGCACCGATTTGGGCGTATTTGTTCCGGGTCAATTTTTGGCAGTTTCCAAAGGGGTACCATCACCGATTTCGGGCGATTTTATGGAATGGCCATTTTCGTTGGATTTTGGGGTCTAAAGGTCACGGATTCGTCCTGAGGCGAACTATGGCTATTCTCCACAGATGATGGAGTCAATTAATCGCCGATTCGGGCGAAATGTATTCCGGGGGCATTTTCGTAATTTTTCGTGCGCTTTTTCGGAAGGCCATTTTCCATGGATTTTGGAGGCTACGGATCAAGGATTCGGCGTGAGGCCATCCTTCAGCGATGACTGAGTCTATTGAGCACCGATTTGGGCGTATTTGTTCCGGGTCAATTTTTGGCAGTTTCCAAAGGGGTACCATCACCGATTTCGGGCGATTTTATGGAATGGCCATTTTCGTTGGATTTTGGGGTCTAAAGGTCACGGATTCGTCCTGAGGCGAACTATGGCTATTCTCCACAGATGATGGAGTCAATTAATCGCCGATTCGGGCGAAATGTATTCCGGGGGCATTTTCGTAATTTTTCGTGCGCTTTTTCGGAAGGCCATTTTCCATGGATTTTGGAGGCTACGGATCAAGGATTCGGCGTGAGGCCATCCTTCAGCGATGACTGAGTCTATTGAGCACCGATTTGGGCGTATTTGTTCCGGGTCAATTTTTGGCAGTTTCCAAAGGGGTACCATCACCGATTTCGGGCGATTTTATGGAATGGCCATTTTCGTTGGATTTTGGGGTCTAAAGGTCACGGATTCGTCCTGAGGCGAACTATGGCTATTCTCCACAGATGATGGAGTCAATTAATCGCCGATTCGGGCGAAATGTATTCCGGGGGCATTTTCGTAATTTTTCGTGCGCTTTTTCGGAAGGCCATTTTCCATGGATTTTGGAGGCTACGGATCAAGGATTTGGCGTGAGGCCATCCTTCAGCGATGACTGAGTCTATTGAGCACCGATTTGGGCGTATTTGTTCCGGGTCAATTTTTGGCAGTTTCCAAAGGGGTACCATCACCGATTTCGGGCGATTTTATGGAATGGCCATTTTCGTTGGATTTTGGGGTCTAAAGGTCACGGATTCGGCCTGAGGCGAACTATGGCTATTCTCCACAGATGATGGAGTCAATTAATCGCCGATTCGGGCGAAATGTATTCCGGGGGCATTTTCGTAATTTTTCGTGCGCTTTTTCGGAAGGCCATTTTCCATGGATTTTGGAGGCTACGGATCAAGGATTCGGCGTGAGGCCATCCTTCAGCGATGACTGAGTCTATTGAGCACCGATTTGGGCGTATTTGTTCCGGGTCAATTTTTGGCAGTTTCCAAAGGGGTACCAT